TAGAAAGATCTCGAAGTAATACGAAATGTATTTAAGTAGAACGTTTCTCTCTCGAGAGGCTAATTCTAGTTCTCTGTTACATTACTCTGCTCTCTACTTACAACACAAAGCAAACCAAGAGGTAATTCTATGAGATAATCAATCACAATACCTTGGCTTGAAATGTACCAGAAGCCCACTTACGCCTTTAGAAGAGGATGCCGCGCCTGTAGTAGTGGACAAACTGACCTGGCAATTAATGCCTGTTCCCAAAAATGACGAGCACCGCGACACCATTAAACTCGGCGGCAGGTTCTCTGAGAAGCTGGCTATAGAAAAGGCGCACTGAACAACAGGGTGTGGCGAAATTATATCAACGTACCAGTATTTCCACCACCAATTGAGCTCAACAATGGTTTCTGGTAGAGGTATAGGGTCTTCTATCTCTGGATTTATGAGACCTTGTGATACGTCTGAAGGTCATATATTTCCATTGTGATGAAAAATGTCGATACACTGTGACGCCGAACAGGGTACGATGTCAATGAAAAATCTAAGCACCATCATATGCTAGCGGTATCCTGCTTCAAACACCGAGGAATACCGAGTTAATTGAGATAAAAAAACAAAAATACGAATAGAAGTCAAGCATGCGGGCATAGTTGCTGACACTCACCATGCAAAACCGTGGTTCGACGCAGTCAATAGACATGGTGTCATTAATCAGGTCAGTGACGAGAGACGTGTTGACGAGTACAAGTTCTGAGCGATAGGGAGATTTTTTCGCCAAGTCGAAGTTTTCCACATGTCAAGCAGGAAATTTTCCACCAGATTCCGCACAGAGTCGCACAGAAAGCATGTCCATGGATTGCAAGGATCGGCATCAATATCACGATGTAGAATCCACATTTGTGACCAGATTTGGCATCGGAGGCAACGGAAGATAGAGAAGTCCATACCGGTGTACAGACAGTCTCATGGCTAGTTGCCGTATATACACTCGAATAATGCTCTTCCCCCCCACCCCCAAAGAGTTCGTGGGCTTGGAAATATGAGAACTGGTGGTAAATAAACCTCACTCGCTGAGGCTCAGATGAAGAAGCGAACATTAATTGACGCTTTCTCAAGCGCAGCTGTATACCTCCGATGTGCTGAATCCACCGAATTTAGCGCCATGAGAAATTGGCTGATTCCGACGTATCTTCCTTTCTATGCAACATTCCATACTGAACGTCAATATTGCTTACCTCTACGTTATGGTCCGCTCAACAAGAGCTGCGTTATGCGCTGGCGAGAAAAATAGGATGATAACAACACCTTTGGATGTAGTTATTCGCTGAGGAGCACGACGATCCATATTTACGCCCATGAAGTTCGTGGGGCTTGTGATCATCAAAATATAATATGTTCAAGTTGTGAGATCTTTGTGGTAAAGAAAGAGATCTGAGGGTGTTATATATTCGAAGTAAATGTGGTGTTGTATTACTCTCGCTTCCTCATCGGGAAGCCCCCAACAAAAATGCCTTGAGTCGTGCGTTGTCCCCTATCCTCTGTTCCGCACGCTGCATGAGGCTCTCACATCCGTGTGGGGCATGCTAAAGAACTTGAAGTATATACCCATTGGCAGGAAGGTCGAAACTGCTTCTTCTAAGTTATGGGGTCATATAGACAGACTGATTCGATCATACAAAGCCAAAGTTTAAAGCCACGAAGGACAATCAGAAACAAGTTGCTCAATTCTCCTACAAACGAGGACGGTTGGCCAATCCATGGACTTCAACAGAAGGCGAGTAAGCATGGCATATTTCGTCATAATCGGCTCTGTATTATAGTGACACGCCGAACAAACTCAATAATCATCGGGTTCACGATTTCCGGGTACTCATAGAACGGCGCATGGCCTCCTCCCGGAACCCGTCGATATTCCAAATTGTCACCAAAATGCCTCTTCATAAACTCCTCATGTTTATCCGATTCCATCAACGTGTCCCCCATGGCCTGAATACATAGAATCGGCAAATCCCTCGACACAGAGCGCAAAGCCTTCTCATCCTGCGTACGAGAGATCGAGAACGTCCTCGCCGCAGCATTCTTAGCAAACCATCAAATCACATCATCATACGGACTAGAGAAAGAAAAAAACTCACCATACTCGCCGCACTCCCTACCCAAGCACACTTTTCCTCAAAAGACACTTGTGCCAAATATCCCGGGGAGAAAAACCCACTGATGAGCCCTTCTAATGCTTTCTGGAAATCAGGCAGGTCGGGGGAGGAGAGCGGGAGGAGGATGGTAGTAGAATAGGGTGTGAGGATCTCCGGTAGCATGGAGCGCCATGGGATCGCGTTGAGCATGATATGCCCAGCTACAGGGAGCGGGGATGTCCCGAAACGAGATAAGAGGTCGGGTATGATGATACCACCAAGCGACCTGGGTTCGGAAGACTAATGATACGCAGACAAGGGAAAATAAAACAATATACCAGCTAACGACGATGGGTTTCGTTACTCCGAAAGCAACACATACGGCCTGAAAGTCCTCTGCGTGTCTTGCAGAGCCGTAGGCATCTTCTGATTCCGGCTGGTCACTACGACCGTGCCCACGAATCTATCCAAATGAATAAGCCGACCCGATCGAGGAAAGGATAACTCCCAGCTCACCTCATATCTAATCTAGAAGTATCAACGTTAGAACTCTGCGCATACACCAAGGAAATACACAATCCTACCATGTACAAACTCTCCAACAACCTCTTATCCCCGAACTGGCGAGCCCAGTTCAAGCCCGAGGTGAGGAACCCATGAACGAACACGACGGGTGGTTTTCCTGGGGTGCCTGCAGCCTCAGCCCAGATACGCGTGCCGTCTTGAGAAGCGATAAATTGGCCAGACATTATATGTGGAGAGATGGCCTGGGGGAGGCTGTTTTTAAAGTAGTGCGTAAATCCATTATCACCGCTCATGCCCGTGTTTTTGCATAAGTATTTCGTAACGTTTGCAGGTGAGACGACTCTGGATGCGAGGCCTGGGAAAAGGAGCCAGTTGAACGGAGAGGGTCTTTTTGTTTAAGAAGTGATAAAGTTCGAAGTAAACAGCGCCGCGAGAGTAGAGACCGTCCGAGTGTTGAGCCTGTTAAATAAATATCCACTCATAATGTTTACTGGTAGAACGGGATGTCTGGGAAATCACCTCATCGATTGAATGCACGCAGTTTCTGCTGACCAAGTTCGGGCTGCGAGGGCCACGGATGACGAGAAATGCGGATGAGGGATGATCCATTAGAGTTCGGATTTTGTTCAATGTCTGCTATGAATGAAAAGAAGGAATGGGTTCAACGAATGCGATATGGTTGACAGGAAAGGGAGAACATACAGGTTCGTCATGGTAATGAACGTCAAATGGTCATTACAGAGAGGCGAGAGAACTACTGGTGAAGTCATCGGCATGGATATAGTCCTCCACAACCGAGAGATTATGAAACCTATTGAATCACTTAGCGTGTCCTTCGCCGGCGGGAGGAGCTAGAAGCATGGACAGTGTACCGAACTCCTCATTTCAGCCTCGCCCTCGGTCTGCTCGATCTTTCGCGCCAAACTCCGTATTTCTGCCGACGAATACCCAATGGCCCTCAGATGATCTTTGCAACGAGAAGGTGCTCTTGTTCATACAGAAAGGATACCTTTAGTATAACGGATAACGGATAACGGATGTATTATATGAAAGTACGAGGCTTGATTTCATAATGGTGAGCGGTTGGTTACCGAAAAGGAAAGGGGCACACAGGCTTGACTTGACGACGTGACACGACTACATCCACCTGGCGGTATTCAGTGATTCACACTGCACACCAATCAAGGAACATACGGCCACACGAATGTCATAAAAATGGGCTTTCGTCTCACTTGTAGTAACCGAGCCAATCGCGAAAATCCTGAGGAAGAAGCCCAATACCTTCCTAGATCCTTCCCTTCCTTTCCGATACCGGATAAATCTATCGGACAGAACAGCCTTTATGTTTTCTGGTGACTTCTTAATCTGAAACATACTACTGTGACGAGAGAGATGCAGTTGTCCTTTTCAATTCAGCGTCTCTTTCTGGACTTTCTATGTACTGGCGCTGTTGCATCAAGAAGTTACCACTGCTTCTGTTCAAATTTATCAGGATAAAACTGCGCTACATACTAGCTGGCCCTCTCTTCTGCTCTGACGGTCCGAGTGATGGGGCGTCAGGCTTCTGAATACAGGCCTGACACGATATTACACTCCTGGCAGCTGACTGGTTGGCACTGGTCAAAATGCAACGGAAAATGATTAGATTATGGATTCTGCTGTGCTCAGGACAATTTTTTTCTTGTTATTCGTTAATTTCGTCAGTTTTCTGTTGATGCGAAATAGTTGCTTACCAAGAATGTTATGTAGTCGAGACTCGACAACGCTTCTCAGAACAGCAGGCCTTCATCTACCTTCGGTTCTAATAATGGTGAATACAATGTTACCTTGGCAATTGATATGGGAGCAATGCAACGACTTCGGTACCATTCTTTCTGTTTCGAACAACTCTTTCGGCCACTTGTGGTATCGGCCCTTGAGTTAACCGCTTCGGACAGTTTCCCTACTTCTGGCCCGACTGGGGTCACCTGGATGGCGCAGTAGCAATCGGTCTTCCACATGTGACTCGCATCCGGATTACTTTTCTGCCTGGGTATCATGATGAAGGTGTGACTTAATCCGCTATTTGTACTAAGATGTTCTCACACAGCTTAGCTCTCATCCTATCATCCTATCCTGCCAAAATTCACTCATGATGCGTGCTGTTGTATACGAAAGTCTATTCCGCGTCACCGTTCAGGACGTTCCAAAGCCTACTATCGAGCATGCCGATGATGTCATTGTCAAAGGCGCGCCTTTGTCTTATCTGGCAGTGAGACGAGGATTTAACATATCTTTTCAGTGACCACTAGTTGCATTTGCGGAAGGTATAAAGTGTTTCGGCATTGATTCCTGCTGATAAATATCATGACAGTGATCTGCATATGTATGAAGGGCGTACCAGAGCGCAAGCTGGTATAGTCTTCGGCCATGAGAAGTATGCCCTCCAAGTTTTCCATGACCTTAATATCACGTCTGACTGTTCTTTTTCCAAGTATGGGTATTGTCGAGGTGTGGACGGTTTATCTGAAGAGATCATGATCATGTAACATCTATTTAGGAAGTCGGAAGTGGGGTCGCGGTATATTCACTCCTCGATGCTTTTTCTGGTCGATACCAACCATGACGGTCTGTAGCTGCTGAAGACTGGTGACCGAGTGGTCATGCCATTTAACGTTGCTTGTGGGCGTTGTCTTAACTGCGAAGAGGGCCGTTCGGCTTTTTGCACCCACGTCAATCCAGGTTTCGTGAGTGTCGCCATTACGGCGGTATAGTACCACTTCTGATACGTACCAGGCCGGAGGGTACGCGTTCTATAATTAATCTCGGATCCTGACACGTGAGAACCTGATTTAGGGCCTATGGGTGAGTCGACTACTCGTGTTCTGGGTTTATTACTGAGAATGCACTTAGCTATGTTGCAATGGGACCGTACCAAGGTGGACAAGCCGTACGTGTCGTCACTGCCATTCATGACGACCGTAGTATAATACTACATATAGGAATATGTCCGGGTTCCATTCGCCGACTTCAACGCACTCAAATTACCACTCGGCACCGAGCACGAAGAAGACTTTGCCCTCCTGGCTGATATTTTCCCGACGGTATGCCTGGACAATATCCGCTTATCTCGGTACTGAACGACTTCGTAGGGATGGCATGGCGTTGAAATCTCAGTTAGTCCTCTCTACAGCCTGAGTTTCAACCTATTCATCATCAGGGTTTTCGTCCGGGAGAGTCGGTTGCCGTCTTTGGCGCTGGACCAGTTGGTCTGATGGCAGCCTACTCTGCTTTGATACGCGGCGCTGCTGAGGTATACGTCGTTGATCGCGTCCCAGAGCGCCTGGAAAAGGCCAAGGAAATTGGTTGCATCCCGATTAACTTTACCGAGAGCGATCCCGCTGATCAAATCATCAAGCTGAGAGGAGGGTAAGGGTGACCTCGAAAGATTGGTATGACGCCCGATTTACTGTTTTTTGTAGCAAAGAAGTCGATCGCGGAGTCGATGGTACACGTTTACTTCCTCGTTGGTATGAATGCTGATAGGCTTCTTCCAGCTGTCGGTTATCAAGCTACCTCTAGCGATGGCAAGACTGAGCAACCTAACGCGGTACTCGAGGCGCTCATCAAAGTTGTCCGACCTACCGGAGGATTGGGTATACCCGGGTTGTACGTACCGACAGATCCTGGTGCGCCTGACTCTGCTGCCGCCAAGTGCGTACATGTGGTCTTCTATGCGATGGATCGGCCGGTACTCACAAACCTATACTAAGGGGATACATCTCTTTCCCATTTGGTAAGTCGTCCTCTAGCTTGAGTAACTCCCTTATCGGAATTCCTTTCCCAGGAAAGCTCTTTGAAAAAGGTCTGACCATCGGAACTGGACAGTGTAACGTCAAGGTCCGGTCCGTTTTCTTAGATTCCATATTCAGGTTTTTGATATGGCTTTCAATGACAGTCCTACAATCGCTATCTTCGCGATTTGATCATCGCTGGTAGGGCGAAACCCTCCTTCGTTGTTTCGCATAACCTGCCGCTTGAGGATGCCCCATCGGCATATGAAAAATTCGACAAGAGAATTGATGGGTATACGAAGGTCTTGTTGCACCCCGGACCTTAAATAAACCATCACGAATGTATAACCCGTACTGTGTGTACTAGTGTATATGTTGAACGAATGAAAGGATACCCATACATGTTGGAAAAATGCATTTTTTAAAGATAAATCTAAGGTATCAAAACTAAACGGACTTAGACACCCAGGTTAACAAGAGTGCATCCAAGAGCAACGACACCGTTCTGTGAGCAGAGATAAGTCTACCGGGGCCGCCATCCACATATCCGAAAAACCCTCTCACGTAGTTGTCATCGTCGCAGCAAGCAAGTTGGTTAACACACTGAGTAGTCCCCAGACCGATGACGGTGATGGGGTCGCAAGTGAGACCGCTGCAAAAAAAAAAATAACATAAGCGTTGTGTATGGCAAAGGAGAACAACGTACACGTCGGCTGTAACACATCAATAGGAATGCCGACAGCGGCCAGGGCGCTCTGTACGGCGCTAGTGCTGGGCTGCAAATGACTAAATAAGGAAGGACGAGAACCTGGGCCACTTGGACTCAAGTCCTGAACAGACTTGCAGCACTGGAAGGAACCAGAGTTGTACTTTCCATTGGTGACAGTGACGGTGGTTTTAGCAGCAGCTACGATGCAACCAAGGCGACGATGGTAAGAGTAGAGATGCGGGAGAACATAGTGGCTATGTGGTGGTGGTGGTGAGGCTCTTCGATGTGCTATTATCTCTTTTATCGCTTTCCAACCGACATTATGATCATAGGCTGAAAGACTGCCTGCTCTCTGTGGAGTACGCCGCTTGTATGTTGCTTTCAGACTTGGCAATGCATGTCGTGATCACGTGGTACCGAATAAGAGAGATTTTAATTTGAATCTTCTATTTTTAGTACAAAGCCGGACCTTGAGAGTACTACAACCCTACCAATGCCATCAACGCACCTTACAACGAAGAAGTGAGAGACCTTTTATTTTCCAGTCGAGCTTGACCTGACAGAACTGACGATCTTGACTCAGTTACGACTGCCACTGGGAGGAAGTGCAGCGCCATCAAGCGACTTTCTTCTTGCTCCATCAGGCCTAAACGCGACTTTATACTTAGATAATAAACGGTGTCGTGATTCAATTTCCAAACACTAGTGTTGTTCCCCGAATAAATAGAAGCAATAATTATCATAGATCATCACCACCACTATGGAACATTCAAGATCAGCCAATGAACAGCCAACACGCAAAATTCTTTCTGTCACTCACCGGTTGACATTCTCCACCGTCCCAGGCCCAGATGTTCTTCGCCTCCCCTACTACCATCTTCGCTAGATGCATCATGCTCCCGTTCTCCGCATTCTCTATCCACCACTTCACCATCCAGTGGCGGAGCACCCACTTGTACCAGACATAGAATTTCCAGTCGTAGCTCACAATCACTCTGGGATTGAGATAAATGTCGTTCATCTCGAATCGACGACGCATATCATACGGCATAAGGAACGACTCTGATGAGAAGCACTCCTCTCCCTCCACTGACGCGCGGAAGGACATGGGTGGTGTCTGGGCAGGTGACAAATCTGCAGGTTGACCAAACGATGGATGGGACGGGGGAAGCGGTTTTGAGAGGGGTGCCGTTGAAAGGCGCCCAGGGGTACGCAGATTAACGGGGAGGAACGGGTCTGGACGGAAGGATACAATGCCGTTCCAGCAGGTAAAGACAGGCGCAGGCTCGTCCTTCATGACTGCCTGCATCCCGGCATCCTCCAGGAAATAGGGCCATAATGATGACACTAGTCGTCCTAGCCGGTCTCGGAGGACCCAGGCATCGTACATTCTAGTGCGTTGTCAGAGATGATGATAACTTTGCAAGGTGAATGCTCACCCCCAATAGGACAGATCAATCCCGCACGCCATATCGTAGTCTCCGTCGCGCGTCTTCAGGAGCTCAAGCATCGTCTCTGACTCGATAAAGACATCATTGCTGAAAATAACGCGATCATAACCGCCATTCTCCACCAACGGTTCCAGGACCTTATTCCTGACGGCAGCAAGAAACCGAATCCGCGGCGGTGCAGTATCCATGCTTTCCGGACGGGTAATTGATGTGTCGTGATTCAGTATTCGATGCTGGACCTTGAGCGCAGTTAATCTAGAACCGAATTTTTCCAGCAACGCGGGTGTCTTGTCGTTGCTGTTGGACTCGACTGTGGAGACAAAGACATTGTCCTGCACGAAATGAGCGTGAAGTGTGGGTTGTTGAGATGAAACTCACCGTGCCAAGATATTTGATGAGCTTGATCACTTCATCACACCAATATGGTACGACGTGCTCGTTGTTATAAAACATGGCACCAATAAAGACCTTTTCTGTGACTGGAATTAGACGTCGAAACGCATAGTGATTGTCAACATACCTCCGTTGCCGTGTCCCTCAGGTCTTGGAGACTTTACCGCAGCTTGAATGTCGGGCTTGAATCGCACGTCTCCGGGCAGTTCATAAGTCGATAACATGAATAGTCCGCAGATGAATAGAGATAAGTATACCAGCACCTCCAAATGCCATCTGTACTGGACATATCCGCGACGAAAATTTCGACTGCTGCGGGGTTCGGAGTCCAACTCGATAGCCTCGTAGTACTCCCCTCTCGACGTTCTTCTGACCCATGCGGTCCTGAGAACGGTGTATCCAATGGTCCATATTAGCATGACGAAACCCCACGTCGGGATCGATACCATTAGAAAGACGAGGCGAGTCCTGTTGGATGGCCAAGCCGGTGTCCATGATCCCATACCCACGGTCGCGAGCCAGTAGAGATAGACCTGGTTATAGATGAATATGAAGATAAAAGTAGGAATCGCGTAGGGAGAAACTTGGCGCAAGGTGGAGAAGAACGCCCAGAATGCCCATGATATTCTCATGGTAAAACGGTGAACCGCAGCAGCCACCGTCCTGCGCATCCTGGGTGCCAAGAGGGAAAATGTATCGGCGTTTAAACTTATATCCGGTATTATGACATCATAAGCAGCATCATTAATTTGTCAGATTCTGTCAGCCACTGTGGCACACGATGGATGTATTCTTTCATTATCATGAACGCGCCGCAGAGAACCACCAAAAAAAACCTAAACTTCGACCGGTTCATTCAACCTTTGGCATCGTTGTATGCCTCTCAACCATCTTAGAGACAGCCATATCAGATCAAGTTGGCGGCCTAGCCTCTTCCTTTGGATGGGGCTTATTGTTCACACATTGGGCGCGGCGTGTACGTCGTAGTCGAGAAAAAAACAGGAACCAGCTAGCCTTTTCAAACGTGTTCTTTGGAAGGATATCAAGCACTTCTTTCAATATTATGCTCAGCATTCTTCTGCTGATCGAGGCTGGAAATCTTTTCCCCCCGCCCGGCGGGGTGAATTTCTGCACCGTACACAAATCGCCTGTCGTGGTTTAAACTAGTGTCAGCCTCCGTCGGTAATGCCTCTAGGCTTGAGCGAAACTGATGTCAATCACGGTTCCTCTTCACTGCTGTTTCGACCATTCACCATTCTGTTCATCAATTGATCTTCACGTCGCTCGACCCTTGTTATGCATGCCCCTTGTGCAGAATATCAGTAACTATCATAAATGCCTTGGTCTCTTAAAGCGATATATATCACCCAACTTCGGCGGCTAGTGTCGTCAGTTTCTTCAATGTCAGCCAGCCGCTCTTAGTAACTTTCAGTACACACTCTGGAACTCTGAACGATTAGGAATGACTACGCGGCCGATCCCGATTCCGCTATTTCTCTCTAGGTGCTTACCGGTAACTGGCATGTTTTTGGCATTCAACATCTATTCGTCAGGCATCTCGGGCGAGTTTCGGTTTCGGTTTATCGTAATCCTCATCCCCATTGCTTCTCACGCTACTCTCTTTGTGGTCCTTGCTCTTTCGGTTATCTTCACCGCCCCCAATGTCGAGGAGATGAACTTTTTGTCGTCGATTACTACAAATGTAATTAGACAAGGTCAATGACACGTCCCATTCATCTTCTCCATCATGAAGCTCGAGGGATCATAGGGGATGTGGAGTTTGCCTCGCCATATCGAGTTTATGAGCTTGACACCAGCCACAATAGTACCCTCTTCATGGACGACTAGACAGTAAATAGCAGGAGATTAAAGTTGTTTGAAACCATCACTGGAGAAAGTCGACGAAGCAGAGTGAACGTCCATGATAGCACCCCTGGAAGTTTGAAAAACTACATTATCGAGAGCGAACATAACAAAACGATCACAATAAGTCAAACACGATCTACCATCACACCCTTGTTCGGCGTCCTGAAAACAACCTCGAGTCCTTCCCTTTTCATCCGTTTCAGTTCCTGAAAATGATGCTCATCCAACCTCGTCCACTTTGACCATCCCTCAAAGCGCACTAACGAGAACGAATCCAAACCCCACCGCACACGGATCAGATCGACGAACGACCGATCCAAAAAGAGAAGCTCGTCAATGAGCTCGTTCCTTCTCCCAACTTCGATCCGCATTTCCCGCAGCTGAGGTACGAGGGTCACCTTGGCCAGTCGCGTTACCAGCGTCTTCATATGCGATTCGTAGAGCCAGCAGCTGTCTATCCAGAGAGGAAATCTGAGTTGGAGAGATTGAAGCTGGGGGGTCAACTGTAGGATATGGATGAAATTGCTGTCTGGAGCAGCGTTTGTTAGGGACAAAGATGTGAGCGAACATTGGGAGCGAACGATCAGGTCTGGGACGGCTATGCAGGCGCTGGGAGGGCACTCGCGGCGGTCCCCTGGCTCAATATTCATGGTGTCGAGGGCAGGGAGCACCAGGTTGTCTAAAAAGAGGTTGTCGCATGCCGCCAGACACTTCAAGGATGTATGCGTGACACGCGATAGTTGAGGAATCGGGTAGGATGAACCTTCGGTGTCGCAATGATTGACCCTGAAGGTTTCCAACCGAAGGTTTCGCCGGACCATATCGATGTAACATGGAGTAAGCGTGATGTCTCCCTGTAGTCGCATGTCGCAATAAGTGGTAAGATGACTCGGTAAACGAATCTCTGTCTTCCAATGAAACCCATCGAAACATGCTTCCACCAGCTTGGGTGCGATCTCGAAGGCATCGAGCGTCCGTAGCTCTGCAGAATCTGAGCACTGCAGCGAGATGGATACTAGGGAGTCAAAATGTTCACGTGCAATTGAGAGCAGCGCAAGCACGTTGGCGGGAAGGGCACATGAAATGCGTTCCCAGCGTCTGGAATGTTCCAAAAGCACCCGGAGAACATTTGCTAACATCTTTTCATGATCTGAGTCGACGATAAAGGAATAATCGTCGTCGCAAGTAAACGCAAGATGCTTTATATTTTGATCAGAGAGGCGGAGGACTGTGGAAAGGAGAGACGACGGGTCTCTACGGCCAAAGACGGTAGCAATTTGCAGTCTAGACCACAGAGACGGGCATGAAGAAGCAGTCTTGCGCCAAAATTGGCTGACATGCATGAATACCCAAGGACTTGCAGCAGTGTTTAAAGCATCACATGTGCCATCGACGGTGGCGAAAATGAATATGCGAGTGAGAATTTCTTCTGAAATGCGTCGGGTGGGGGACAGCACGCATGCAAACGTGTCGACTCGTGTCTGGAGATGGGCTCGCTCTTGCTCGAGCTGGTGCAACAGCACTCCAACATCACGTATTCGGTCGTCAAGCTGAGAGACGTCGTCTCGAAGATTTGGTAACCCAACATCGCGGAACCAGGCAGCCTGCAAGTCAGAGGGAGGGTCGTTGGTGCAGAGAAGCCGGGACAGTTGCGGTGACAGCGAGATGTTTGGGGAGGTGTTCACCTGGAGGGTGTGACCACAACTACAACAAATGACACCATTTGACATGATACTGGAAGGAAACAGTCAGTCTGGGTTACGAAAGAGAGACGATTACAGGAAGATGAAATGCAATGTGCGCTCTTTGACACGTTTCGGTGAAACATTCCCATAACCAACTTGTGACAGAAACGGGGAAGATATTCCACAACCAGATAATCGCCCAGAAACCAGGCTACGTTCTTCAATTTTGAACGTTGAACGAATGCCATTGTACCCAGTGGATAAAACATACAAACCTTTTCATTCCGATACGTTAGGGCAAACTGAAGAAATTATCCCTAAGACACGGAAAAGGGAACAAAGCTGGAAAACTCACCAGAAGCTTGCTCTGAAGTCGAAGTTACTTTTACACTTCTCACTGCTGACGAGGCACAAATCCTACCAACCTAAACGACGAAACCAGTGAATGAGAAGCTGACAAGATCCCTTGCTGACTGTACTAGTTGAATGAGTAAGCACGCGAAGTTGATGACGACGAATTTGGGATTATGTAGCGTCCACAAGAGGACTGAGGGATTTTCTTGGCAGCAGATTGACGAATTCCAGATGTCCCCGCGAATATAAAGGATGAACATGATGGTGCTGCAGTACGTGGAAAGGTCAGGGAACGGCGGCGGCCATTACTCATTTACGCCGGTCTCAGGGTCAAATGAAGTCCGCTGCTTGCCAGCTACTACAATCTCCAGAACTCTCGTTCAATACGACTCGGTGATAGCAAAGATAGATTATTCTATTGGTGTCGGGTATTAAAGGAGTATAAAAGTCGATTATTACTAACTTCGCCAAATGCCTCAGCCCGGTACCGCGATTTGATGGTTGATTTACCTTCATGCCCCATGCGGCTGCAACTCGGAGACGATCCAATCAGGAGATAAATCCCACGCTTGTCTTTCCAGACAAGTGTCGGTACAGCAACGCTTAGAGACCCAGAACGTTGTATTCGGAATTGAGCAGCGACGTTTCGGAGCTGGCGAAGAAAATCCTTGCGGTAAAGACAGATGGACGACAGATGGCATCCAGGCGGTACATGGTAGACTGGTGCCGGCCGACTGATATTGAATGAGCCGCGAGAGAACTTATATTATATGCGACGTTGAAGTCGGCTGCCAGGTCGTATCATCCAAAGTTCCAGAGTGTGCATTGAACGTTACTGAGACCGGCTGACAGTGAATAAACTGACGACAGTAGCCTACAGAGTTGAGTGATATACATCGCTTTGGGGGAGTCGGCATCAGTCCGACTTTGGGACATTATGATGGTTACTGACATTCTGCGCAGTGAGCATGCGCATCGAGCGACGTGAAGATCAGTTGATGTACTGGATGGTCTGAAGAGTGACCTTAGTTGACATCTTCTCGAGGGTTGATATTAGTTTCACTCACGCCTAGGGCCAATACTGACCCAGGCTGACATTGAGAGGGAACACGACAATGGGTGATCTGTGGCCCAGTAGGGTGAAACGATATTAAAACTGTTGTGCAATCAGTAGGGAAATGAACCGTGTATGTAAAAAATTCATTCATTTACTGAACATTACTGGTCAAACATTGTCTCGAGTCTGTAAACTACCTCATTTATGAGATAATCAATATTTTCGTATTTGGTTGCGATTGACGTTGGATTTAAAGCCTGCACAACACAACCCGCAGTGAGTTTTTATGATTGGTCAAAAGGAAGAGCATATCACGCACTTTATGACTTTGACAGAAAGTCTACTCTTCCCTTCAAGCCGAGGGAACTGAGCTTTAAGTTTCCTGGCCCTAACTTCGGTGTTTTCCCAGGACCTCGCTCCTGGGGTCCCCGGAAACAGAGGCAGCGTATTTTCTTCCCGCACGTCTTCGGGCGATCTCTTCTGAACTTTTATAGTCAGCATTCGGAACCCTTCGTCAAATGGGGCGCTTGAGAGGATCTGGTCGAACTCGCCCCACGCTGGCTGCGATGCTGGGTTCCGCAACAATGAAGGACCCAATTCGATGTCCATGACCCGTAAAGCGGGAGTTTGATCGGACTGTATTACTCTCCCTAGGCTTTGGATCCACCATTGTAAGTAATGAACTCCATCGCGCCCAGATGTAACCATGAAAGCAACCTTTCGCAAATGCCCAATTCTGACGATAGGAAGCCCACTCAAAGGGAGAGAATGCCAAGCGCTTGCTGCCATAATTCTGGTAAGAATATAAGATAAAGAGATACATACAAATACTCACGACAGTTGAATGTCAGCGAGAGAACCCGAAGGGTGGCCGATGTCAGTCTGAGCATTTTGGCGAGATGCTGGAAGTCGATGGTCTTGCTAAGACTGAACGCAAACCGTCGCAGCTTTTCTATAGACACGGGGCATGGTTTCGTATCCAGGATCGCTTCGATGAAGGCGGGACACCTGTATGAATACCTGCTCACGATGCTCAGGTCTCGGATACGAGGTCCACGACGCGTAAGGTGCGTGTGGTCCAGTCTTGGCTGGCTGGTTTCGTCACCATTAAACATCGATACTCTCATCGCACCAGTATGATGTACAAATGGCCGTTCCAAGTCTGGAGATCCTTGTAAGACGGCGCACATCTGGTCGAACCCGTTCTCGTGAAAGAAGACGTCATAAAGATGTATCTCCCGGAAAGGGTGGGATGAGAGCCGTGCCAGGGATCCATCGCACAAATCGCTGATGGTGACGTCGTAAAATTTGATGATTTTGAGACTGCATGAATTGCAGGATAGCGTTAACGGTATCGGGTGTAGGACGAAGGAGGGTGGGACCTCGATGATACCCGTGGATGCAGAGAGTCTGCACGAAAGAAGGAATATGTGGAGATATTATGCATAGTTCAAAAAACCTTTGGAATGCACCGAGTTGCGATCGGCCGCTCAGCCTGACCTCACGGAAGAGAATGGCACGGGTACGCGAGGAGAAAGCGTGAGATATGAGAGAGCACGCCTTGAGATCGTTGAAGTCGTGAACTTCGTCGATTATTGCGTCGACGAGTTCTTGAGGAAGGGACTCTGCCATCTTGATACGTATGAGATAGGGAAGAGGACAATGATTCGAACTAGTCCCACCTTGATTTCCGAAATATATAGGAAAGGATCCTAATATCAGAGCCTTTCAAGATCCAACGATACCCGCAGAGATGCCTTGAATACACCAACTACGGTCAGAGTCGAAGTGGGAACAGTGAGAAATAAGTTAGATACCTACTAAGAGCGATGATACTTCACCCCAAAACACTTATGAGTATATACACTGTCAGTATTTGACTCAAGCATACCAACTATGAAAAACGTGTATGTGCCTTGGTCCCTTCATTCGTGTGGAGTTGTGTCCAATTATTTATGCGAAATATTTAGTGCAAGGTACCGGGTATAGATAGCAGTTCTGATATCTCAATACTCACAGAACAGAACGCTCATTGTCGTAGCTTGAGAATGAATTTTGCATGTCGCTTGCTGGTACAGTGCTAGTGAGTTGTGACTGATAAAGAGAGGTAAAGACCCATAAATTTCCGGCCCGAAAATTCCGACCACGTGGAGAATGCTCCACTTTTTCTTGTCTGTGCGCGGCTTCTATTTCTGCGTCTGCCAATGTCATCCGTGACTACATTTGAGCCTTTATATGTTATAGAACATCCCTGTGTTTGCAGCTCTGTGAGTCGCCCTGTTGGGATTTTGCTGGAAAGTTCTAGAAAGGGCAATCCGGCATCATGCCGAGAGTTGATGAGTGAGCTCGAGAGAAAGAGAAAGTTGTAGTAAATTCTAGATATAAGTCTGGAGAGTATAAATACAAGCTCTGTAGGAGCTGTAGAATAAGAAGTTCATACCTTCTGGCCTTACCAGCCTGGAGTCTACCCTGCGCACCACCGAGGATTTCCAACACACCCTTTGCAACTTGTTTTAACTTCCGGCTTTATTTGGTCAACACGCTTCGAAACTGCAACTTTATGTAACTGCTCAGCCTTCCCATCACGCAGCCCCGTTGAACCCGGCCTACTGCCTCTTACTGCCTACGTTTTTCATCAGTCTATGGTCACTGTGGACGACATTTGCGAACATCTTTTGGAACCTGAATATGACTAAACGCCTTTAAATATATCAGTAACCTATCTGGCATTCCGATCCTGCAAGGTTGCGCATCTCAACGGAATCTAAGCGCTACGATCCCAGCAATCAAAACGAGGCGTATGCGTGAGACTATTTTACCACTTCCCGTGATTCTGGCCTTTACTTTGTTACTTCCAACACTGATGCCTCGTCGAGCTAAGCATAAGCCAGCCGCATCGTCCGGTAGGGCACCTCCAGTGCGCAGGCGAGATGACCAGTTCCACCATGCCATCCCGAGATTCATATTGCGGAATTTTCAAGTTGGTCCCCGCAAGTAAGGAAGCACTTGTGCCTCGCCGAGTCGATTTTTAACCAATTTTTACAGGACCAGGACGGAGCGCCAAAAAGAGTGGCGTCGTACCCATGTTGATCCTGACCACGTCCTTTACTATGACTTGGCCTCAGGGAGCCTCGACGTTCGTTCCATCGGGTCCATTTACGGACTCAAGAACCTCTACAAAGACGCCAGTAACCCTAGCAACGCCAATGAGCTGGAGGAAAAGCTTTCTTTCTTAGAGCAAGATGCCTCAGTGGTCATTAACGATCTCCACTCCAACCTCGCTAGTGGCAATGCCACTCTTAAACGTCGTGATGTTGAACGGCTACGGAAATTCATGTTTGTGATGCATTACCGCAACCAGGGAGGGTCATACTTCGATGCAGATCATCCTCGTGGAGGCCCCACAATTCGGCAATGGCTGGAGCGCTATAAAGCCAACCATCAATGTCGAACTCACACAGATGTGTGGCTGAGTGTCCTCCGCTACTACTTGGATACTCCTCATTCGCAGATCCTCGACGATGCCAAGGCGATATATGATGAACATGGAATGGGAAGGGTTCAATTAGAGATGTTGACCAACATTGATCCCAACATGGAACATTACCCGGCCCTTGCGTACCACCTCCAGGCTGATATGAGTTTTCTTTGTATATGGGAAGCTCATGAGACATCAGAATTTATTCTGAGCAACGATGTTTTTGGACTGTGGGAGGGACTAGCGGCGTCAGGTGATCACATCCACCGTGTCTTTGTCGTCAGCCCTCGTATTGCAGTTGTCTTACGGTCCAACATGCTACCCATGTTCGAAACGTTGGGGCCAGTGAACAGCGACCTACTTAAGATTCCCCAGGAGCGACCTGTATCAAAGCTCGTCAATGGGGGTGCCGGATTCCGATTTCCCGAGGGCACTGATCTATCGTCGATCAATCTGAACCTCCTCCGATCACCTGACGATCTCTTCACATTCACCATAACCAAGCTGACCCTCGCTCAAACCGACACTTTCAACGCTGTTGTTCTGAAGAATGTTCACCCTGACGGCGCCATCACGTTTCTGGGAAAAGAACGTATGCTGAGAACCATTCGCGCATTCTCTTACGACCAGACGAATAAATATGATCGACAAAAGTTCATATCATTAATGCGACATTTATCGGTCATCCCGACTCAGGCTATAGTGCAGGCACCGTCGGAGTCTGATCTAGTCGATGCTGAGCTCTATGTGGCTCTCATGAAGATCCTGCTTTTCAAGGAACCCTTTCCCTCTCACTATGACCGCGCCTTATCCATCTTCCGACTGGCGAAAGACCCTTCCCTGCGCAAGATTTGTCCTTTCATGCTGGAGTACATCTTCAGTCTCTCTGCTGTCATACAGAAATGTCAGACTCATTTTGGTGGGGATGTATACAAAGCTGTAGGAGGTTCTATTACCATGAGGTCCTCTCTGTCGGAGGAGGTTTCATCGCTGGTATTTCAAGAGCTGGATCAGTTCATACTAGACAGGTTAGATGTGCGACTGGCCTACGACACCAGTAATGCACTTGGACAGGTGGGCAAAGAGGTTGTACTCGTTGCATTTCTTGACTGGGTCATTGACGATTCAGCTCATGTTTTGGATAAGATGCCCAATCTGATAAGGCAGGTGTTACGGATACAATCTTTTTGATATTTGCGTTCTCTTTTGGCTATGGTCTTAGTTCATAACGGTCATAGCGTTGGGGATTTGCAACCCTTGTGAAAAACGCAGGACTTAGCCGGCATTTCCTCTATTTGGAGATATCAGTTGTTTATACATATCTGTACGGTCGAAGCAGTCTTACGAAATATAGCCAGAATCTCATGAAAATCACCAAAATATCAATGTTAATTAGAAACAACTCAAAAACAAATCATGCAGTCCATATTTAGGCTGCCACATTGATGGGAGTGCAGCCCAGAGCAACAACGCCGTTCTTCAAAGTGAAAGGTCAGTCTACATCCCCATTCTCCGAAGATGATAGCGCTCACGAAGCTGTTGTTCTCGCAGCACACAGGTTGGTTAGAGCATGAGGTGGTGCCGAGACCAATTACCGTGATGGGGTCGCAGGTGAGACCACTGTCGAGGCAATTTAATAAAATTTCCACGAAACCAAAGTAAAACTTACACATTAGCAGTGATATCACCAATAGGAACTCCCACAAGACCAAGGGCGTTCTGGGAGGCCTCTGACTTGGGCTATGATATACTATCGTGAGTATCGATCCCTCGGTGTCGAGGATAAAGAAAAACTCACGTCCTGAACAGACTTGCAGCACTGGGCTGAACCGGTGTTGCACATCCCGCCGGTAACGTTCGTGTTGGTCTCTTGCCTTGGGACGGCACTGCTAGCCACGAGGAGAGGCAGAGCTAAAATAGCGAGAGAGAAGGCTGAGATGCGAGCGAACATTATCGTGAAGCTACGAGTTGAGAATCTTTCCTCGACTTGTTGTGTCTTTTATACCATTTCTATCGTGTGGACATAATGAATTTCGCTTCTAAAATTGTCGGCTACGCGACAGGCTGCCTGATTGAATTAACGAGATGCAGGAAATTACGAGAGAATAAGACTTCCATGATTGCTCTCGTACTTGGTGGAGATAAGTTTTCGTGATCGTTGCAGGATCGATCCGTGTCACTGTCAGTGCAAACGTGAATAAAATGTGAAGGCGAAAATTGAGAGAGATTTAGGCAAGACTGTGGCTGTTTTTCCAAGATTTTTATCCGTGGAATGTGCAAGCCTTGAGCGACGTCGTAAATTGACTCCGTCTTTCCGATTGAAGTCGACCAGGGATCGAGCCGTTAGAATTTCGGCATTTAGTCGACATTCGGGCGATCAGTACCACATGCAAGCGTAGTTGCGTCAGCAATACTAGCATGTTCAGGTTCTATTCTACAGTGGCTTTAGGTAATCTCGCCTTGCGCCGTTGCTCGTCTTTGTGCTCACTTTTCCGGTATTGGCGTGTCTATCGCGCTGTACTTGTCAACCAGGTATGGGATCTTCCAGCCTGCCAGAGGTGTTCCTTTTGTCCCCCCCGAGCCTCCAGCCCCTCCGACGGACCTTCCCCATACCCTTGGGGAATGGAGAAAGAAGTTTGTAATTACTGATGACGACGTTCCCTATTACGATATATGGAAACTTCCTGTTCTCATTCAATTCTTTCATGAACGCGGTCTTGATTTGTGGATTCCCGTTAATGAGTGCGAGCTTTCACCACCAAACGATAATCCCCGTCTTCATGACTATACATATCTTTCTGACTATCCGGGTCAACCGACAAGATTCTACGGATTAGAGGTGTGCCGAAATTCCGTCGTATCTTTACATAGACTGATTCCGTTCAGTAAACCATGCATTGCCCAGCCCGCACTCGCTGGAATCAGGACGTTATTATACGTCTTATATCTATTGACGGAGATGTGTCTGGTATCGAGCACCACCTAGCTCTTAAGCGTCTCTATGGGTGAAGACTTATTTCGAGGAAGAAACCATGCCCTTCCCGTCTTGCAGGAACTCAAGTACGAAGGACTCACATTCGTTGTATTTCCTATGATGTGGTCGGCCTACGGGCTTCCGTGGTTCTCTGGGAGAGATTCTTGATTTCGTTCTTCAGGTTTCTGAGGTGTGTCATGAAGCATCCTGTTATACGACGAACACTCATAACATCTATATAGGGCTTGGCTTTCTGCCATAAGAGACTTGTTGCTCATCTGGTTCGTACTAGTATCTTGTTTCTATCTTCGCATGAGTACCAGCATGAATATTTTAGGACGTCTCTTATGACAACATCCTTGTTAACTTTGCTGGGGGCATCAATTCCCCAAGGACTTCCGCTTTTAGAAGCAAGCAGTACCTCTCAGTCCATTTTCCGGTCCGCTATTATATCAACGGTTTTGAGCACGCTGCAGTCTTCTTCGAGGATTCCAAGCCATCCGAACGGACAATAACAGGGCTTCCAAATGCATGCTGGGGCAGCAAAAAGGAATATTTTACACGACGTGTCCCGCCCGAAATGGGAAATGCGGAGCCATACTGCCCATTCCGAGCTGACGTGTGGTCCCTTGGTGGCGTCTTTCAAAGGTACCTTGGAGAGCATCTCCTTCAATTTTCGAAGAAGGCATGAATAATTTGTCAGGTAACGGACTTCCTACTACTCAACGTCCCTTAGCATATAGTCGAACTTAAGCTGTGGGATGATGAAGCGGAGGTAGGTGATCCTTTGTTGTTGACCGATGTCTGGCTTGTTTGAACATAACTTTCCAGCTACATCGCATGGTGAGACACGTTCTGCTAAAAAAAAAGAAATTACCCATGTAACCTAATAGCACGATAGCTTCTAGTGTTAAGAGATACAGACCAAGTTTTGAAAATTTTCTATGATATTCCAAGTTGCTTCCTGACCTTGACCTTTGTAGACCGTCAAAACGAAAGCCGCCAGTACGGCCCTTCGTCTCCTCATTCTATTCAAGGAAATGAGTCAGGAGATTCCTACTCAACGCCCACTCATGGCGGAAGTATACGAAACACTGCAAACCATCATTCGCGAGACTGACCAGGCAGCTCAAGAGCATTACGCCGGCATTTATCTTCCACGAGAGTCGCACAACAGGGGAGTGGAAAAGGACAATAGAGGCGTGTTACCCATGGTGGTTGTTGATGGGGCGTCGGGGGGTTCTGTGAAAATGTGAAAACGAAAAGGGGTCGATCGTGACAATATCCGAAGGTAGTGGTCTCCTGTAGTTATCTCAAAAACCGGTAATCTTTGCAACGGAGCGCCTTCGTACCAGGGTAAAGTTGTTAGTGAGAAAGCGGACATACTAAGTTAGTACCAGGCCAAATTTTGCTACTACGCCTAGTACAAGTTGAAAAAGAGGAATATCAATTCATCGCTATTTCCTTTTGAAACAACTCTGTTGGTATCGTTGTCGTACGAAGATCGGAGCCGACATTCGACTATGTACACTGCCAGAAATTGTAAGATATATCTGCATCACTGATTTTCAATATCATGATAAGATGTAATCAAGGTGATGGCTGTCCTTATCGGAAAGTTTGTCCCAAGACCGCTCGAGTTTTCGTTTCCGTCTTTTTTCTTTCACGTATAATAATGATTATCACAACTGTAAAAAAAGAGAAAACGCTACATGGTAGGTAATATCTAAACAACCACGTTGATGGGAGTGCAGCCTAGAGCAACAACGCCGTTCTTCAAAGTAAAAGGTCAGTCTACATCCCCATTCTCCGAAGATGATAGCGCTCACGAAGCTGTTGTTCTCGCAGCACACAGGTTGGTTAGAGCACGAGGTGGTGCCGAGACCAACCACCGTGATGGGGTCACAGGTGAGACCACTATTGAAGGAATTTAATAAAATTTCCACGAAACAAAAGGAGAATTTACACGTTGGCGGTGACATCACCAACGAGAATTCCCAAAAGACCAAGGGCGTTCTGGGAGGCCTCTGACTTGGGCTATGATATACTATCGTGAGTATCGATCCCTCGGTGTCGAGGATAAAGAAAAACTCACGTCCTGAACAGACTTGCAGCACTGGGCTGAACCGGTGTTGCACATCCCGCCGGTAACGTTCGTGTTGGTCTCTTGCCTTGGGACGGCACTGCTAGCCACGAGGAGAGGCAGAGCTAAAATAGCGAGAGAGAAGGCTGATATGCGAGCGAACATTATTGTGAAGCTGCGAGATGAGAATCTTTCCTCAACTTGTTGTGTCTTTTATACCATCTCCAACGTGCGGAGATAAAGACGAGAGATGGACCGACACGACAGACAGCCTGAATAAATTTCTTCAAGTTACGAGAAATAAGTATCCTGCTCTGGTGTAACGGAATAGAGATTTTTTTTTTATCTAATTAAAGTGAAGGGCCAAATGAGAAGACATTCAATCTACAGGCGACTGGAACATACTTGTCTTACCTTTGACAACCTTGACAATGACCGAAGGAAAATTCACCAAGACGCCTGCCTACGCCTCTCGGACAGTACGTATGTACATCCATCTAAACTTAGGATCACATGACTTTGCAGCGAAAAATCCCACATCTAAATTAAACCTCTGCTAGTATCTGTATCAGTATGCTCTTGACAGTCGGCCTCTCGTCGTTATTTACAGACATAGACGCCGCTCCGGACATGACTCCATAGAATATATCATCATCCACATCTCCCACCCGCAACCTATGGGTCATCACCCGGGGCGTAATCCTCGCGATGTCAGCTTCAGACACATCGAGCACAGGAACGGGTTCGTCTGTAATTTTCGGGCCGTCCATATCCATGGCAGCGCCCCAGGATACCTCATCCATCACATCAAAGAATTTGTCTTCGTCTTCGTCCTCATCAGGATGCGTAGAAGTTTCCCCCATGGCAGCAGCCTCACGAATGAGTTCCATACCTGTGGGATCACATCCCAGCACACGACTCGCCCGAGCAAGATCTTCAGCGTCCTGCATAGAGCGCGCCGTCAACCACATCCCATCCAGCTCATGGTGGTGTCTTGTGGCAGTGAATAAGTCAGAGAGGTATAATCTGAGTTGCGCAGGGAAGTGGGTTTGATGATAAAATGCACGTAGATCGTGGATGAGGGTCTGGGGTATTGGCGTGGAAGTGAATACAGGAGCGATGTAGGGGTGCTTGCAAAGTGCGCGAACGTCAGCTGCCAATCTGACTGTTGCACTCATAGAGAAGCGGTCTAACTATTTACAGTCGTGAGATAAGAAGTACGAAAAAATAGGACGGGCCTTGCTTACCAGAGTCTTATGAATCGCGGGCCGTTCTCTGGTATTCATAGGACACACGTAGATTAGCATGAATCCATCCGGAAGGTTCCATACACCGTCCATCTTTTCATCCTCAAGATCATCATATAAGGAACCCGAGCCCATTGGCTGCGTCTTTTCTCTCCCATGGGTCGAAGAACGCACCACTTCGAGTTCCTGGGAATCAAGCACCACGCGCTTCTCGGCCAAGACTTTTACCAGTGCTTTTTGGGAAGGGAGACTAGCGTTCTCCAATCCCGAGAGCACAACAGCATTGGGAATTTGTGCGAACTTCAAGTCTCTTGATTCCTGGAAAGCTGAATCCAGGTACGAATGGAGAAATGTGGGAGAATGGGGTGAGGTTGGAGAGTGACCGGAAGCGAAAGGGTTTGATGCTGCTGTAGTTTCTTTGCCACTGATGGTGGAAGAAAGAGAACGAGGCTTGTCTTCAAATGGATCAGAGTGAAGGGTGTTTGGTGACAATGACTGAGCGTTAACCAAGTCATTCGCGAAGGAGGAAGAGCGGGAGTAGTGTTTGGATTTACGTTTTGTAGTGCTCCGCGAGCCTGAACGACGTTTCTCTGTTTTGCTGGCTGATACTCCAGTGGTGCTGGGATCGTCTATAGAACTCAGGGTCGAACTGGAAGATGGAGTGCCTGGTAGGAATAACGACCGGAGAAACGGGCTCGCGATTGTTTGCCGAAAGGCGGGATGTCGGGGCTCGGCATCTGGTTTACGTATACGTAGTTTGTGGGTCATAATACCGAAAAGGGAGGAGAGTATCTAATAACAATGCGTAGCAGGGGGTTGGTGAGTACCAATATTGTGTTCCGTAATTCACGGTCAAAAGAAGCAAAGGGATGGTCATGGATACCAAGTATCATTGATGGCAGCTGAATGAAATTAAGAAGCATAGAGCGTATTTGACCAACACGAGGCGATGGACGGCTGCTCACTACTGTTCCGACCACCCCGCAGGAAGGGACGTGGGTGTGAAATAAACAAGTGCTCACCGTTACAGCAATTCTCTGGACATAGGGTATGTCTTCTTCAGAAGTACGAAGGATAAGGTGTTTATCCCCCGAGATGAAACAGAGAAGAATAGATTGCAAAATGACAGTGTCCAGAGGTAAACCAGCGGCAGATGTGGCCTCCCGAACGTTAGACAGTAAACGAGGAAAGAAAGCCGAAGAGCCGATAGCCTCAGGCAAATTGCTCGGACCAGCAAAAGACATGCTGATCAAGAGGAAATCCAAGTGTTTCAGAATCGAAGACTAAGCGTCCTGTGGATCAGATCGTGGCAAAATATGATGAAACAAGTAAAAAGGGACGGGAATCCGAGTCATATGAAGAGGTCGCTTGCAGTGTGAGGATGAATGTGCCCGTCGGGCTGGGTGAATGTTAGCAACTGTCACTAGGGAACTCCACACGGAATATTTTAACGTGCCGGTGCTGACCAATTTTGTATCTTTGGAGGGGTCAGCACCCCCCCTTGCGATCGGTGTCCTGGATGCTGATTGGCTGACAAGCAGATAAGATGAGGCAAGATCGGCTCCGGGTGCTCTCTTGGCGGTCGAGATGGTGATATGGTCGCGGGGCAGACTGGCACCAAGGCCGACTTAATTGCAAACGATTACTACTTACGCATGGTAAAACTTGCGGCCCGTTTGGATCTTGACTGTCACGGACGAGTTCCCTCATTATACAGGGTCATCCGTCGTTTGTCCTCCCCATCGTCGCCATTTTCTACTTGGATTCCTTGAATTCCCCTTCTGGTTGATTTATCTCCAGGAACTCGGTCCTTACTTATCCCGGACTTCGCTCAATGCTCACGGTCTTCCCATCCATATCTCGGTTGTAACATCCTCGAATTTCCTCCCATGAGTCGATGGCAGAAACCCTGGAATTCGAGGTAGACGATACCTCACCTGCGATATCCTATTATCCATTTCGCGACACCTTTTCCGCCCCAAATCTCACAGCGGGCTGGAACCCTTATTATACAGGATCCGGTTTTTTGACTTCTCTGGGAGAGACGGGCGAGGGAACTAGTCAGCACATATCATCGCTGAACGGTGCATCGCTTTCTATACAATGGCATGGTGAGGGTTAACGTTCATTCTGTGGGAATAACGTGCTCATCAATCCGCGCGCCACTAGGAACTGGCATTGAGTTAGACGGAAATGTTACAAATGCTTCCTACACCATTACTCTGGACGAGACGACAATCGATGTTTCTTCACTGGAACGGTCTGACACGCTTCTCGCCAATATCACTGGCCTATCCAGCCAAAGCCACAATATTACATTAACTGCGCAAATCGCGACCGAATCAGATTCTGACCCGACCGGATTCCTCGTCTTCGATAAAGCTGTAATTACAGTAACTCCCCCAACTAACGCATCTAGCAGGTGAGTCCTAATGTCGCCGTTTCATTTCGCGCCACGAATTGACCGTTTAGCAGCTTAAATTTTACATTGCAAACCATAACGGACAGCAGGATTAACTTTAATGGGGAATGGTCGTACGACAATGGGCTGGGACAAGCGTTTCGGGAGTCAAACAAAGCCGGCGACACCGCTCAAGTCTCGTTTTTCGGTTAGTCTCTGCGTTTCATGATATACTATAATTTATTTTGTCCCAGGTACATCCTTTCTTGTACTGGGAACGACATCACCAACGGCGGGAAATTATTCTGTTACAGTGGATGATATTCAGACATTTCTTTCAGCGAAATCGTCGTTTACTCAGGATGGTTCTTTACTATTTTACGCCACCGGCTTAGACCCGGATCTCGTCCACAACTTCGAAATCTCAAATGAAGATGGTTCGTCACTGATTCTTCCCGTGGGAGGCCTTCGTTCTTTCTCCACAGTAGACCCCAAGTAAGTTGATCCATATAGTTGTAACGCGTGGCGCATATTAAACGCTAGCTTCCAATATTTTTAGTCCAACTGCTTCCGCGACTTTTACAGGCGAATCCAGAGCATCGGGTTATCCATCAGGCACAATTGCAGCACTCGCATTGGGCGGAATCCTCGCTTTCATTTTATTAGCCGCCCTATTCTTCTTTCTGTTTGTTTATCGACCAAAAAGGCGTAGAAAGCACCAACATCAGAGACAGCACAAAGATGAACAATGGAAGAAGGAATCTGAAGCTGGGGTTGTCCTTGATATCGCACCTTTACCGAAGACGCACTCCCGAGAACGCCGCAGAGATAGCGACTGGTCTGGTTTAAACCGGTGGAAACGGGATATTGAAGGCACTGACGGTCTGGGCATCGACATTGTATTTCGGCACTCGGACTCGGTCAAAGAGGACGGTGATGTAGATAACATCGAAAGCCCTAGCAACCCTCAGCACACCGCAAGGTCACCTGAGCCTACCTCCATGGCGCAGAGGAATAACAAGGGAAAAAGCAGGTGGTTTGGAAAGACCGACAAGGAGAAGTCATCACCTAGCTTTACGATTGATCTTCCCCTTCCCCCAATACTAAGTAGATCACGCTCCGCTTCTCGTCAAGGCTCCGACAGTGGGAACGCAGCCCGTCAACGGTCCCGCTCAAACTCAGCCCTTTCCTATCTCGCTTCGCTCTCTTCGGCTTCCTTCGCTTCGCGAAAATCATCGAATGCGTCGTCCCGCTCTCGTGACCGTCTGCCTGTCCCTCGACCCAAGTCACACATTCGGACATCGAGTCAAAGACCGTTGCTGCAATATGAAGCGGAAGCACTTCCACGTCCGACAAGACTTCGTCCTCTACCCCAGCCCCCCCGTCCTCTTTCTGACGACCGTGGTAGTGTCAAAGATTATCTCGATGATGCGGCTACCGTGTTGGGCCCCTCGACCTCTCGAACAGCCTTGAGGCACCGCAGTCCGCGATCAAGCGAGGTCTTTCCTCTCCAGACGCGCCCGGCCCACGAAGAACAGCAGCCGCTCGCGAGTACCAGTGAGCCCGTGGACTACATTCGTGGCCGGCTAGAGACCAGACCGAGTCTATTGAATGTTCGGGAGAGTAGCCCATTCCGAATCGAATTCCACGACTCCGAGCAAGTGCCGGTGAAACCGCGTAAAAGACGCCTCCCTAGCGGCGTGGCAAGTGCAGTCGGACATGGAGAGAGGTCAAGTCATCGTGCCTCAGGCGCGTCTCGCGTCAGGTTCGAGGAAAGCGAAGCTGCATCTACCAACGAGACAAGCGAGAGTGACTACCCTGATAGTCGGAGGATGACCGTCGACAACGCGTCTCAAGACGACCCTGCTCCATCTAGCCGCCCAGCCTTCCGACTTACACCCATACACCCCATGGCTCCACCTTCTAGGGTCACTTCATTCCTTGATCTGAGTGGCTCGTCGGACGCCTCGATACGTACTCATTCCAACGACAACGAAACACTTGCTTCGTCCCACCGCATTTCCTCCGAGAGACAGCCTACATCTCGTTGGAGCAGCACTACTGCACCAAGTTCTCACGGCCACGCTCGCGAGTCTGCTGCGCCGTCATCCCCTTCAAGTACAATGTTTCCCTTCCCAGTATCATTACCCGCATCTTCCCATCATCCTACTGGACATCGACTATCTTCACCACTTCCCCGGCCTAATGTCCCTGACGACCAGCAATCGACTGCACGCGTTCACTCGCATCCGTTGTCTGAGCTTGCGCCTCTTTCGCCCACGGATAGTGTCCCTCTCTCTGTATCAGAGTTGCATTTCAGACAGAGCGTCTCGGACGACGCAGGAGAACGTAGGCCTCGCTCTAACGTTTCGCTGCCTGCTCTTCCAATGAATATGTCATTGCTTCCGCGACACCCACCCCTTCCCGGTCATGGGACCGAGACCGACAGAACGTAGATGAGCATGAACATTTCGTCATAACGACACACGATACCAGATATGAATAAGATTATGTTTTCAACGATTTTCCTCTTTCCTTTCAGGACATTGCGTTGGGACAATGCTCGCTTTATTTGTCGAATCTATATATTCATGGAAGGTCGTTCCTCCACATTCCTTTCTTTCTTCATCTCTTTTGTGTACTATACGCCAGATTTACTCACGTGGTGTCAAAGGTCTATACAGTATTCACTGCTAGTTCAATTGGTGCATCCATTCCGAGTTATGAGGATAAGTTACATATGATTTCCTACTATTATGGTGCCTGAGTGTCCCTGCGTAGTCCAAAGCTAACGAATCGTCTGAAGTCTGAGAAAACTTCCCGACGTTCTCCGGGACGATTAGCGCCATCGCCAAGACTGGACCCAGTTGGCGGCCCACTGATTGGCGGCGACGTTAATCCGGAAAAGATTCCCTCACTGGCTGGGGTGATGATCACAGGACTGATCAAACCTCCGACAATCTGCGCGGAGTTGGGCTCCATATCCAAAGACGTCAAAAACGACGTGCTATCGAGATCATTCTTTGTACTCGTTATGGTCACGAATAGATCCAGTAGATTGTTTTGCTCGAACTTCGGGGTACCTTTGAGGTCTAAGATCTAGACGCCTTGGTTCAACATACAAAGTGAGTCAGTTGTTGAAATCCCTTACTTTCTGGAAATTGGAAAATGAAGCATCACCGATTAAGAGGGTATAATTAAGTATGAACCCTTCAGGAGGATCCTAGACAATCAGGCTGGTCAAAAAACAATTATTGTTGGTAGGAAAACAATCACTAACAACAGGTGTGACGATAACCTTTAATAGAGACTCCAGCCTTGAGGTAATCTTGGAAAGTCCACGAGTGTACCTGAACGATACACATCAGAGAGATAATTAAGGAAGCAGTATTTGAAGTGTACGTCGTCGTTGTCAAGGTATCTCCAGGCATCTTGGATAAATAAGCCTTGATTGTTTGAAGGTCTATCAACAGCTGTCCAGAGGGGGGCCAGAGTTACTGTATGAGTGCAGTTAGCTGGTAAAGGACATACCTGTTCCGCTCCGATCTCTCCCAGTGGCCTACTCTTGACTAGAGAAGTCGTGAACTTCGTGAGGATAAGGCTGGATGGAAGATGAAATGCCGACAGAACGATAAGTATATTTTGACACACTTGTAAGCCTTATCAAAGAGATTCCTCAAATATTTCTTCTGCTCTATCTGCGGTTTGACCGCTTCGATGACTTTTTCCGCCGCTCTAATCAGATCAGAAGTATAGATCGAGGGACCAACAACTTGAGCTAACGACGACCATGATGTCCGCAGCATAGTCATAAAGGCAGGATCACAAGCAACTTCGAGTTCCCGGAGCTGGACGGAGATGGCGGAAGAGACAGCACTGAAGTGTCATCGTCATTGACCATAAGGATGCATGGTTGTTGGAAGACCGCGTACCCGACGAACAGATCACATTCTCGCTGCAGAGACACTCTGTCCCTAAACTCGACATTAATCTTCTCTCGGATCTTTTGCTCTAGCTTGCGGGCTGATGTCAGAATCACGCGTCGTAAACGAGGCGGAAAACAGTACTTCAAGTGCGGTTGCTTGGCAGTAGTCTGCGGTGTTGATCACCAGTGATGCCTGATGCATGGCATTGGCATCATAGCGATGCTCCATGGATCTCCGACCCTGAGAAGTGGTCAGAGGTCTAGGGCAAATAAATGTGAGATGATGATTTGACACGTCAATAAAGGAAGGAATCCACCTCTTAAGACTGGCAATTAAGACATCCTCTATAGGCCACGTTACAATTATCTCTGAAACAAAGATTGACATGACACACCTGCATAGATTTTCAACCATTTCTTGTGTAACGAACAGAGATCGAAAAGAGGTTGCCTCGTTGATAGCTTTGCACACTGTTCTAAGCTTTGACCATAGAAATAGAACAACTCTGTTGACGACGGAAGAACTGCCAAAGGTGAACTGGCATCGTCGGCATCAGTCAGTGTAGAAATCGCTTCCAAAGAACCACGAGTCTGAGAGTTGGTAGTTTTGCCTTTCCTGTGGGGAGCTAACATATCTGCTAGTGCCCTTGAAAGATGTTGTTAAAGAAAGGTGCGAAGACACCGAAAGGGCTCACTTGTCCTGAGCATCAACGAAAACGCCCATGTGCGGCTCAAAAGCAGTGGTGATGGGTTTGATAGATCCTGCAGGTAGATCGCTCACAGACAGAAGGTCAGTAAACTATTAGAATCAGATGAACAAGCATTAAAGACGCGTCTCAAGATTACGCACTGGGGTTGCCCACTTCTTGGATATTGATACCTCAAAGTCTGCAGTGAGCTGCAAATTGTCGAGAAGAGTTTTGACATTGAGAGATGCTCCTGCTTTTGATAGTAGAACGGAAAAGTGTTCTCTATGAAGAAGGGTCCGTGAGCGAATGCTTGAAGCGTGGTGCGTACTCACCGAGTTATCTCAACAAATTTACACAGTAACCGCCAGCCAACTCTCCATTCGCCTGGAAATATTCTTCCCTGGTGCAACTCGTGGGAGTGGAGTAGTCGATGGAACCATGAGAAGCGTCTCGAAATATTGTCCAGCTGGCCAGCTTCATCGGTGGTTCGGAAAATTTGCCGATACTCTTTGAGCTCTATGGACACGTATCTGTCAATGAGGGTTGATCGCACGTCACTGCCTAGAGCGTCCACTACTAGACAAGCATCCGCAATTGTCGAGGCTTTGAGTTGCTTGTTTGGATCTTCTAAATAGCTAATACCAAGGCATTAGGGCCAAACGGAAATGTCAGTGGTTGGACGTACAATTTATCGAAGTCCGCCTCGATAATTGTCCGAATGGCTCCTTGCACCTGTTGTATCTGGCGCCAGACTTGCGATACGCGTGGGACGGAAATCATAGGTTTGAAAGCTGCCGCGATCTCTTTCACGGCCTGTGTTTATCGGTTCTCAGCATGTCATCGGAAACGAGAATATGACCGTACAGAAAGCGTTTGCGCCATTGCACTATACTTTCTCTCCTTTACAAGATCCTCCAGCTGCGTCAAAGCATTCACTACAACGTGTCAAATGTACGAGATCACTATCAAGAGGTTAGTAACGCACCAAGCATTTGTAACCTCTTCAGAGTAGTCATACTAAGGATCAAATTCTTCTTCGCCAAATCTAGGACCTGGATATCCTTGGTAATATTGCGGACGACGGCCTCTGATTCCGTGGCCTTTTCGCGTATACGAGATATTTGACCCAGAAGTTCCTGAAATTCTGTCAAGAAATGAATTAAAATATCCAAACCAAGGCTAACCGAAATGAGCTCTTGAATGAGCTGCATCTTATTGGAATCCTGGCTTTTCTTCAATTGCGCCTGCAATGCATTGATTTCTTTCTGTAGTTCTCGCTGGTCATCATAAATTCTACATTGCAGTGCATCTGTCTCTGCCAAAGACGCCTCTATTGGATGTCTTCAGCATGTTATTGGTGTTATTGAACTTGAGCTTACCATTAGGAAAATGTCTGTTCAAGATGTCCACGAGATTGAAGACATTCCCTAAGTCCACAGTAATTGAAGAATTCCCATTTATTATTTTCTCGGCCTTATCAGCATTCTCTGGCAGGCTTTCGCTGGAGCTCATCGGCGCTGAGCATAGGAGAGAGAAAGTTAAGACTAAAGTTGCAAATAAAGGCTGTAGCCAAACATTCCTCTTTTAGTCACCACCGCTTCGTTACTTTGGGGCCCTGATTCAAACGACCACTCTCCACCGTTCTTTGGTGCTTTTTGGATGTATCCATATGTCTTCGACAATAAATTCAGATACTAAAACTCAAGTAATTCAAACATACGATGGGCACCCCACGTACTCCTGCGCGAAGTGTTCTGCTGTCATAGTCCGTTGCCTTGATATAGAGCACGTATCATACGTCTAACTGCGATATTAGGCTCTTCAGGATGAACTTATTAGCAAGTCTTTCTCTGGACGTGATGGACGAGGATAGTCAGTCTGCATTTCCTGTAGCGACTGTAACTGATCTCTATCTCTGAGAAATAGTCTGATGTACTCGGCGACGAACGTGAAGCTCGGAAAGAAGGAAGAACGGCCACTTCTGTGATTCAAATGTTCTGTAGTAATTTTATATGTCTTATTGGAGAGTTGCGTTGCAGGACTGGCGTACATACCGTTGCTGACGTACACTGCCTGGGCTGCAATGATAGGCTTGGTTGGTACTATCACAAAGCATCCGATTACTCTCAGAAGTACAAGGAAGGTGAGTTAGGCGCGTTTACCTGTCGTAAACCTGATATATAGTGTAATTTTAGGTAAATATCTGCTTGAGCGAGAGAAGCTGATCAAGGAGAACTCGTGGACACTAGATTCGGAGGACAAGGTATAATATAATCATCGTTCCAAATTTCCTAAGAAATAGCACTAACTACATTTCCACCTATTTATGCAACAACTCCAATTATGGGACTTAACCAACTTTCATAGTCGCTATCTTCTGAAGGATCTCCTGTGACCTTGAGCGCGCGCAGAAATAATTTGTAACTTCCATTGGGAATTGTAGTACCGTCGGCGAATGTTGGGGTGGTAAGGTCCAGCAGGTAGTAGGGATTATCCTGTTTCGAGAGTTGTCAGATAAATCACTTGACAAATGAGGTTGCTTCATTACCGAGTCATCATTGCGAGGATAATAATCCAGCTCAGCGACAGATCCGACTACATCCCAGGCCGCCGATGCCGCCACACTACCTTCGATGAATGTCAAAGTCGGTTTATCACGACGTTCCAACGTCGTGTCAACGGTCACAAGGTCGATGCTAACAACGGGGGAACCGAAAGCAAGTCTGCGTTCGGGTCAGCAGTTTAGATGATTTTCAAGGCATTTGGGTGTTTCCCTGAACAGCAGCGATGGATAATCGGAATTGGAAAACGTGTAGTTCGTCGGGTCAGTTTGCACAAACCCATCAGCGTCCAAAATGACTGGCAAGTCTACGCCAAAGTAGTAGTCTGTATCATCGATAACTTGTTTGTCGTACAGCGACGCAGCAAGACCAAGGTATGTAGCATGAACAATTTCACTACCGCTGATCACCTGAATGAAGCCACTGTAAACTGGGAATGTAGATGCATCAACGCCGTCGGGAGGCGTAATTGTCACAGTGATATCAATGGACTCTTGGGGTTGAAGCGTGAAGCTTTCTTGACTGAAGCTTTCAGTTGCATAATCGGTGGACAATGGAACAGGTCCGTCAGCGACAAGGATGGATCCCTTCGTTTTCCGATTGTCAGTAGAGGTTTTTCAGCGGCTACAAACTGGATCTACCTCAGTAACGGTGACTGCTGTTCCAGCGGGAACGTTGGTTATGTTGTAATCTTTGGAAGTCGATCCCGTGTTCGTGACGGTCAAAGTCTGGCTGTTGTAAGATGGATCAGTCAATACTTTTAACATTGTTTATATCCTATACTCACCTGCCTTGGAAGTGGGTCGTGTCATTCAGGATTAGTTCTCCCGGGTTGAGTGTTGTCGCGAAATGTATCGCATCATACACATTTATCAATCCAGCTCCTTGCTGTGTCACGGTCTGATACGGATCTCCGTCTGTATGGCTAGAAGAAATTGCCTTTGCAGTAGATTCGAAGAGACTTCTAGCCGACAGTCCAATTTCAGAACTTGTCCCCCTGGCGGAGAAGAGAAGAGCAGCACATCCTGCAACAAAAGGTGTAGCCATCGAGGTCCCCGACAGAAGGCCATAAGAATCGAAAGGCAAAGTCGATAGAATATTACCACCAGGGGCGGCAACTGCTGGCTTGAAGTAGAAGTCGTTGGAAGGACCATAGCTATAGGATCGTGAATACCCATGTGCAGAAAGTCAGGAAGTGCGCGAACCTGGTGAACGTAGAGATTAACCCGCCATCGGGATCCGGGTAGTCGTAAGATGCTCCAGTTTGAGGGAACGTAATTGTCACTGTGGCACCAGTCGCGTATGCCTCGACCAGCTGCATTGGACTTGTTGTTAGCAGAGCTACAATTGCTCAAAAATTGGGCCCATACAAATTCCCCGTCAGCTGATTGGATGAGTGAAACATTGTAATCGCCGACTGCAATAGCACCAAATCCGTTGCCATTACTGAGAGAGCAAAAAATTCTCAGTGATATGGCATATAGATCATAGTAATATAACTGACTCGTAGATCAGAGCTACTGTTGCGCCCTTATCGGCAATATTGGCCAATTTGGTGACCTGTTTGAAGTATGGTCAGAATGACATGTGATGGTTGAATCTATGAATGCAGAATGTATACAAAAGTACAAGTACCACGACGCAGTATAACCACGTATGGTGAAAGATCAGGCGTATCATCTGGAAGTGCATCACAGGCATCGTCTGGGATTGTCATATCATTTGAGGTAACGCAGATCAATCGAGTTTCAAGGACAGGCAATGGGGTCGTCTGATAGTACGTGATTGGGTCGTGCTCGACACCGCCAACGGTGGCATTCTGCAGTGGGACGGCAGTACTATAGGAAAGATTAGACATCACCTTCATGGATAAGCTGCGGAATATCCCACTTGTCTAAACTTGCAATGGAAATGACATTGATACCATTTCCAGGGCCAGAAGTAAACCAGCCACCAGAATCACCCTATGCAATAATGAGATTCTTGTTGTCGCTGTAATTGGTCTAACGTACCGAATTACCGGCGGCAATAGTGACAACCTTTCCGGTCGCAGCGATTCTGCTGGAAACAACGGAACTCGTGCCCTCTGTCCAGCCGTCAGTACCACCTAGCGACAAGGTGAGAATGTCATTGCCATCCTCGTATCCCCGAAGAAGAGCATCGACAAGCACTAGAATGACGAGTCAAAAGTATCATCCATCATGTACAGAAAAAAACTTGCCATCATCTCCCACCGAACCTTCACAGCCAAAGACTCTATAGGCATTAATAGACGCCTGATATGCAACACCACTGATATTATAGGGGTTATCTGGATCAGCCCCAAGTATGCCCTGTGAGTCAATGATTGAACATTGAATCGTAAATGGTTGTCTCGGTTCTCGAACTTACAGCAACGTGTGTTCCGTGACCTTCACATTGGTCCAGTGGATCGTCATCCGGGACAGGGTCATTGAAACCTGTAAGTCGCTGACTGAAAGTCCGTTCCGGACAGGGCTAGGATACATACCAGTGTAATTATCACCCACGAAATCATAGCCACCGACAACTTTGTAACTCGGACCAAACCCACCTCCAAGAGCGGGATGGGTGTAGTCAACACCTAAGTTCCGATATCAAAATCCGCCAGGTCGATGGATCGGAATAGTACCAGTATCTATTCTGCAAGGATTCGGGAAAATGCGGGAAATCGTGGGAGATCCGTGCTTACATTCCAACTAGGATTCCTGCGCCGAAATTACCCTCGGCATGGACCTTGTCCACTCCCTTCAACATCTTGGCGTCAGATGGAAAACGAAAATGTTGAGAATGCCTTACTCTTAGTACGTGGGTGGTTTGGATGTCCGGCGTGTCGTCTTCTGCCACGACATCCCACCACGGAAGCCTAGCTCAGTAAGGATGTGTATAAGCTTGAAAATGGCGAAGATAAACAAAGACTAACGTTGGAGGGGGATATACGCGGACAGGCCGAATTGCTTTGATGCCTTCGGTGTCACCAAGTTCAGCTGCGTCCTGAAATTGGCACTCAGTTCTGGTACGTCGCGTCGTCATTCCGTGATTTCGGAACATACCTGAGTATCCTAGAATGTGTTGTATTAGTTTTATCAGTGTTGGACATTCAAGAAGCGCGCTCGCTGCAAGCGTCACCGCTGCCCCGACGAATATATCTGCTGTATCATACTCCACGTCGACTTCATAGCTGACATCCCGTTCCTCGAGATAGGTGTACAATATTTCATGAGGCTAAACAACACAGATGAAGGTTACATGCCCAATGAAAAGCAATACGCGTACGGAAGCTCTTTCCAACGATCGTTTGGTGGGAATTTTCGAAGCATCGTCTACCTCGATGATGAACCTATTGGTTTGCGTAAGCAAAGTGGTGGTTTTGGAAATGCCGGAAAGAGAAGCCACTTGGGCATCGATGGAGCTCGTGTACAAGGCCAAAATGGCAGCAATGAGGGGCCTTGAGGCCATCATAACTGTGAATGAACCTAGTGGTCAAGTGCATCTTCATCGAAGATGGAATTTATATATCGAGAGCAGTGATAACCGTGATCATGCGCCAGAATTGTAAAGTGTAGCGACCGACATTGATTCATATACCAAGAAAGAAGAAACAGTAAAAAGTTTTTCTGATCCTTGATAACGGTAGAACTCCTTGCATGTGGGCATCCTGTAAAGCTCATGGTTATCAATCATTGTACCTTACAGAAAGGAACATACCAACCAGGTCTTCCCACGTATGAACCTATGATAAGCCGGCAGTTATTCAAAAACAACGACTGAACTATTGGGAAATGCCAAGCATGCAGTTTCAATCTGCCTGGAAACTATCAACATGGATCCAAGACGGATTTAACTTATCTTCATGCGAACCTGACATCGTACGCGTGAGACGGCACTATTATCGGCAAAATAAGACGTCGTATCATTTGAGGGCAGAAAGACGAACGAGAAACAGGACACTAAACTACAATTCCTATGGTTGGGCTCAGCCAGCTCTCGAAATCCTCTTCCTCTTTTGGATCACCTGTCACCTTCAGCGCACGTAGAAGAAATTTATACGAGCCATTAGGTATAGCAGTACCGTTGGCGAAAACCGGCGATTTCATTGCGATCGTATTGTATCCGAAATTATCAGGATCCTTTGATGGCTGCTCAACAAAATGTAGTGCGCGAAAGCGTACGCCATACCTCGTTATTCCGACTGAAGAAATCCAATTCGGCCAATGGTCCGACGATCTTCACACGTGCAAAACTCCCGCCGTTATGCATATGGGGAAATGTAAAGAAATGGCCCGGGTCCGACGTGCGAGCATTGAGAGTTGGCTGGAAATCGATGTTAGACTCAACCAGGTCCATTCGGAGGAGAGGCGTTCCGAATGCCAAACTGAAGTTTCATCAGTAAACGATTGCGGCAAGAAAGCAAATTGAATGATAAACCGGAAAAGTAAGCTGGGGTAGTCATTGCCATTCGTAAAAGTATAATTGATTGGACCTGTCTGTGCGTTTCCATCGGCGTCTAAGGTGAGTGGAAGAGGTACGCCAAATAAGAAATCGGTGTTGTCAACGACTTGCTGGTCCTTCAGAGATGCTGCCAAGCCCATATATGACACATGAGCGATTTCACTATCGCTTGAAATCTGTATGAACCCGCTATACACCGGCAGCAAGGATGAATCGAGCTCCGAAGGTGCAGTAAAAGATGCGAGTATCGTCGTCTTTTGACCGGGCCGCAGCGTGAACTTCGTCCGACTGAGCCACACCTTGGCCTGATCTGACGTCAATGGAACAGGGCCTAGAGCTGGGAAGAAGGTACCCTGGCAACATACGAGGTCAAGAAGATGGTTAAGGACACCACAAGAACTGTCGTACAGGCCTAATAGTTATGGCGGTACCTGCCGGGACATGGATCAGCTGATATGATTTGACACTAGTTCCCGTATTCTGAACTGTAAATTGTTGACTAGAAGTATAAGCTATCGACACCCAAGCTGGTAAAAATGAGAATCGCAGACACTCACAGCCCTTGAAAATTTGCTGTATCATTCAATATAAGTTCTCCAGGAGACACAATCGTGGTGGCATGGATAGCATTATAGACGTTGATCAAACCAGCACCTTGCTGCGTAACTGTTTGCCACGGGTCACCGTCGGTATGACTTGAAGAGACCAACGTCGCCGTTGTTTCGAACAAAGTACGAGCTGTCTTACCGATAGACGAGCCTTTTCCTTTGACGCTTAAAAGTAGAGAAGCACAGCCGGCTACGAACGGAGTAGCCATTGATGTTCCGGACAAGACGCCAAAAGAACCGAAGTTTACGGGCAATGTCGACAAGATATTGCCTCCAGGTGCAGAGATAGCAGGCTTGAAAAAAAAATCATTCGTTGGGCCATAGCTAGGACATTTAAGTACACGTTGGTGCACATGAATAGGAAGGTACCTAGTGAAAGACGAGATCAAGCCTCCTGCAGAATCAGGATAGCTATAGGCTCCTCCAGATTGGGGGAAAGAAATTGTGACGGGTACACCCGCGGTGAACTGGGATACAAGCTAGAACGTAATATATGATGGCTGAAGCGTTGGATGACTGAAAAGAACCCACAAATTCGCCGTCTGCCGCCTGGATGAGAGTGGCGGTGAAATTGCCAACGGAGATACCCGCGAATCCATTACCATTACTAAAGTCATGGAAATAAGCAACGCAAGAGAATGGCCTGAAGTTGCTCTCACTCGTAAATAAATGCAACGGTGGCCCCTTTGGCCGCAATATTTGCAAGTTTTTGCGTCTATGAGAAAAGATTAACGTCGTGTGGCGAAAAGTGCCAAGAACATACGAAAGGACAGGTCCCCCTTCTGACAATGACTAAGAAACTTGAAAGATCAGGCGTAGAATCAGGCAGGGCCGAACAGGCGTCATCTACGACAGTCGTATCGTTGGAAATGGCATAAATAGGGAGCGCCACGGTTATAGGAAATGGAAACGTTTCGAAATATGTGATTGGGTCGTGCACCACTCCGCCCACAGTAGCATTTTGCAGAGGTATCACTGTGCTTCGCAAGGCATCAATACTTCGCGACTAGTCAAAGAAGAAATTTCCCATACTTATCTAAACTTGCCACCGAAATGACGTCGATGCCATTACCTGGGCCGGAGGAAAACCAGGAACCATAAGAACCCTTAAAACACGTTCATAGAGTGTACACGAGAGGGAGGAAAAGCTCGCACATCGTTACCGGCAGCAATAGTGACAATCGTCCCGGAGGCCGCGATTCTGCTCGCCACTACCGAACTTGACGATTCCGTCCACCCAGCAGCACCGCCCAGCGACAGAGTCAAAATATCTTGGCCATCGTTGTATCCCATGATTAAGGCGTCAATGATCACTGCAGATGAAATGAATCGTCAAATCAAGTCTTTTAATCTTGATGAAGAAGAGAGACCATCGTCTGTTACATAGCCTTTACACCCAAAGATCCTGTAGGCGGATATCGAGGATGAATAAGCAACTCCACTGATGTTAAACGCATTGATAGGATCTGCGCCGATAATTCCCTGTGAAAATCATGCACATTCAGTTCGTATATGTGTCCTGTCCTAGGAAATTTGAACAGACTCACAGCGACATGGGTTCCATGGCCTGATCTATGCATTAGGGGCATCCGTGATTTTTCAGAATTTCATGATCCATACCTTCACATTGATCTAAAGGATCTGAGTCGGGAACGGGGGTATTCGTGCCTAAAAAAAGTTAGACAATGATGTCCTGTACTCTGATTGACTTCACCATCAAAGTTATCACCAACAAGATCGTACCCTCCCACTACCTTGAAACCCGGACCAAAACCCCCTCCGAGTAGAGGATGAGTGTAGTCAATACCTGCAATAAACCCGTTCCAGAAAAGTAGTAGACTCAGAAAGACTGTCTAACCAGTGTCGAGGCTAGAAACTTGTAGGATTCTTCAGCCCAAATAACGACGAACATCACTCACATTCCGATCTTGATCCCAGCACCTGTGATCCCAGCTGCATGTAGTTTGTCGACGCCCTGTACCGTAGGCTTGAATGGGAAGAAGCACAACAATTCTGCAGCACAACGCACCGTTAGAATATGCGTTGATTGGGAATCCGGCGGTATAGCCGCATCATTGATGTCAGTGACGACGTGCGAGAAGACGGGTCTGATAGATGTTTAGGGAACCATGTCAACTTCACATAGGAAAACACTTTACGCTGGGCGATCAAATATTTGGACAGGACTAACGGATTTAATACCTTCCACAGAGCTTGAAAAGTGGATGACATCCTGAAAAGAATGGTGTCAGAAGCACGGACAAGATGATCCGAGCTGTAGCTGACAGTGGGGTTCTGATTAATGGAATGCTGAGTCGAATACCTCAGGAGGTTGACAGAACTCACCTCTAAAGTTAGAGCAGCTCCTACAAAGATGCCAGGAGCATCGAACTCTTTGTCGACTTGAAAGCCAACTGCACGTTCTTTCAAGGACGCGTAGAAACGCTCATGTACCTAATCCATCAGGTCAGTCACCGAAGTTGAAAGGACAAGAACAAACGTACAGCTACGCCGGATCTTTTGCCCGTAATATCAGCAACACTGTCCAGTTCTACAATAAATTTATTTGCTGCGAAAGGCAAATCGGTTCCTTTCCGAATCGAGCTGAGAGGAACAGATGCCAGAGAGCACCAGGCAAAGACGATATGGATGAACGGTCTGAAAGAAGACGTCCTCATTATGAACGCCCGACCTTGCAGCCCTCAATACACTGCGACATTATATATCAGGACGAGTCGACGGATCTGGACATATTTTCCTGCCCAGGGAAACTTCAGCCAAGGCGAGAAGAGGGCGAGGAAGACGTCGGAATTTGATGATCATAGAAAAAGGTGCGGTTTGGGTCGAAAGAGCGACAGATGACAGGAAGAGAATGAATTATGATGGCAGCTGATTGAATTGTACCGTCGAACGTGGAGAGACGAAGTTTTGTAAACTAGCTCATTGGAATATTCTCGATACAATAAAAAATGGAAGCCGACGAAAGCCTATTCATGATCATCGGTGATGCTGCAGGAGAAAATAGAAAATATAGAAGACGCACTATATGCCCCGAAGAACCTTGTAATTACAGTAAGAACATCCAATCGAAGAAACGACAGTCGAGAACATCATTGACCATTTGGTAGACCTTCGCCAATACACCGAGGTGGCGGTCGGAAGGCAAGACGCGATGGCTGACATAATTCAAGATTCGGGGCTTGCCTCTGCTCGCCTACTTACCTTGCTCCTTCCTCGCCGTCACTATATCATTTGAAAGACTATGTCATTCAATGTCACCAATTTATTCAGTGAAGAGATCGGATTTCTGTCATTAAGAAGGTACAGGTAAGTGCCAGAGTTCTTCGTAGTTACGTCCTGCTGACCTCGCCAAAAGTTACCACCATAGGGTCACACAAATCGTTCGAAAACAGGCTATATATGCCTTCATCTAAGGCGAGCTCTGCGTAACGAAAGCTCCCAAAGACAAGGTCTATCAGTGTATTAAGGAACCACATCCCTTGACCTCGGCGCGCGCCGTTGTCGACGTCAGCCGATTCAGACATGGCCGCAGAAAACCAATGTTCGGAAGTCATCAAGAATGGGAGGTCTGTGCTATGTGGGGTACACTCTCAGGATACGAAAGATCTCCTTGATCCTACTGGATTTTACGCCCGAAGCAAAGCCGCTGGAGGGCCTGAATGGACAGGTAAGCGTTCAGCAGTCTCGTTCCGCGTATCTATATCAACATTCTTGTTCTAGAATACATCCCTCAATAGAGTCGTCGTCTAAGTGGTTCTACGTGTAGAGATAAAGGCGACGCATCCCAATCCCGATAGTGTGCCCACCTAGCTCGATCTCAAACGTGCGGTCAACGTCGTGAAATAATTGAATGAGTAGAGCAAGCAGTGTAGCTCAAAGGAATGTACCCTTGGAGATTTCTATGATCGCCCTGTTGGGGACTGCGAAGACGAGACTTCCCTAATGAAAGGACGCGTTATTATGGTGGTAATGAGGATATATGCTATGATGGACTGACTAGGTTCATCACGAAGAATTCGTCCACGAAATAACGATACGTTTAGAGCTGATACCTCATATTCGCGGGTCTGTCCTCGAATGCAGCGCACTTTCAGCCAGGTTCCAGAAGCGGATTTCAACAGGGAATGGGAAGGGATCGTCACCTCCTGTTACGTCTCCAAAAAAGAGAGACAGCAGGGGCGAAAGTGTAGGAGATCTCAACGTTAGGTTGGGCCAGCCGTGCAAAGATTGTGAGTTTTTCCGTACTATCACAGAGGATGTCCGCTTCATGCATTTATACTTGGGTGGAACCTCTCAGATCCAAATACATGGTTGACGGTTGAGCAGCAATGACTTCCTTCCTTCCTGACTTACTTGAATACCCTCTACCGAACCTATCCCTTCAATGTCCACCAAGGGGATCTCGGGTCATACATCAAAAAAAGCAGTCAAGGAATAACGCGTTATACGACCAAGGACGCGATGCCGTCTATATACGTCCGTGCCATATGTCATAACCCACGACATACGAACTGCAGCTGGTCGACGGCAAAGATCTTCGTGGCAGAGTAGGTCATTGGCGCCAGAAGTATTTCAACAATCCGAACAAGATACACGAAATCTTAGGCGAGGGCCAACAGGGGGCGATTCCGTCACAGATCTGTGAGTCAAGCGGAGACAGGACGCCTACCAAACACGTATTCTTTCGTTCGTGAACACCACAGCTAACTCGCTTGTCCCGAGGAAAAATCGGCAGTTTCATCTGCCGCTGGACTTTCGCGGTCTTGTCGAGATGTATGTTGCATATTGACATGATGTCTCAGGCTGGCAATTCACTAGCAAATTGACCGTGATCATTGGGCAGTCTCTGGACCGTCTCAGGTCGGTATCTTTTGCCGTCGGTGGAAGCGTGTTCCACTGTGACATGTCTGTCATGTTCTGAACAGTCATTATAAGGAAAGGGTCAACTGCGTTTGATAAGATGAGCGACCTGCACGTCTTTATGGCCCCACGAGTTACTCAACCTGACTGGATGTATATTGTGGATGATCCAACGTGTACGCCACTCTCTGAGTGCCTTATTGCAACGGCAAGATCTCCCCGTCTGTGAGCCAGCCGTTTAAGACCACAAATACAAGGTTCATATCATATCCCTCTACCAGCAGCACAATCACAGCCAGGGAGCGTCTAGATTTCTACCTCCCATGCCCCAAATCATAAGCATCATCAAAATTGACGTCGAACCATGTTACCTGGTACGTCTCCACTCAGATGGCCGCAGAAAATTACTCAAATCCACTTCTTAACATCCAGACATCATATCTCAGAGCACCCCGATACAGGTCCATTATGTCTCCTAACGACCACTTAACAAAGTTAACCCCACATCACGATACTTCTTCATATGTTACTCCCGTTCACGGAAGTCAGCTACATGCTGATCCTAGCTAATAATCAACACAAGCTAGTAGTTTTTCTGGTCCCGCGCATCTCTGTTCACCTCTTAGAAACGCTTTTTTTGAGGAACAAATGTTTCTTCTCGCAAAGCTGTTCGGCTGGCTTATCTTCTTGGCGTATTGCGACAAGTGCGTTAAGCTAGAGTGGCGATAGGCCCGTCGGAGCTCACACCATATGCAGTCTACAACTACCCACTTTACGAGAATGTATGTTCTCACACGGCTTGTCCATGGATACGATCGTGCGATCTGGCTTTCCAAACGCGAGCCCTTGGGCACGTCTGAAACACTGCCGTCTCCTCAAGATACCGCTCTTATCAGCGCTCAAGAGACACCGAAGACGTATAAGACGATTTCATTCTAAAGAGCGGATGGTCGCTACGAGGTGCGCATCCTTAATATTATGATTGGATGATATTCAAGTACGACATGGGAAATTTCTTCCGTGCTCTAGACAATGGGACTTTGATGTGGTGCAAGCTGAACAGATGCCTGTGTGATGACGAGCTGTCGTCCATGCTTGATTTTCTATCTCAGGATCTCGGTGACGTTACTGGCATCATTGACCTGCCGCTTGCAACATGTCCGGCAAGGCACTCAAGTGTCGTCGATGATCGGCCTACAAATCCATCTTCGACCAGTAACACAATCTGATAATCTTACACGCTCCTATGCTTATTTTCAGTCCTGATCCTAGGTCGATTGTCACCGCCAAATATCTTGGGCCGCGGTTAAGTCATATTTTCTTTCTGCCGGCCTCTGCGAGATGGAATTATAGTACATCCATCACCATTGCACAACTGCCGCTGTCCAATGAGAAATCCCTCACCTTTCGACACCGGTTTCAGGGTCTGTTGGTATGTGGTGATGCACGCCACGGGTAGGTGAGTTGATTACGACGAGCCCGAGGAAGTGACACAATTGCCATTTAGTCGCACATGTTTAATCGCAGCAAAGGTGGCATATTTCCCGCGTCCTGGGAAACATGTAGCAGCGCGGCTTGCGTTATCGAATCACATTTACGAGGTGCCCCTTAGCCCCTGACTCGTTCACCGCTCATCATGATGAAGGCGGTACCTTTGTCTGAGTAAAACTCAGAGGATACAATCTATTAAATACTTCATTATATATCGGTCTATACTTCATTGCATATGGGTCTATGCTCAGCCACTGACAGAAGAGGTTTAGTTCACTGTTTGTTTGTGCGGCCTTCACCTCCGTCGTGGAAAACATTAATATTTAAGAAGAGGGAATGCGGAAGTCCAGTTCTTGGCGGAATAACTTGCAAAGGTCATGTCTTCCTCTTCTCGCCTGCCTATCCTTGAATGGCCACCGGAAACTAAATGGGAGCGGTTGAAGTACTCGGTTCAGAAACTCCATACTTCCTCTCTTCCTTGATTCCCTGCCGCCTCTACGTCCTCCCCTTCTAGTTGGCTCTGTTCAGACACGTATTGGCCCCTGCGCCAAACTAAACCTGATATGGTGACTGATTTCCACTGTTTCCCGTCAATGCCCCCCAACTACCAATTCGAAGAGAGAGTCCGGGTTGTGACTCTTTTACAAAAGATTTAAACAATACGCGATTCTCGCTCGAAGGAGGCTAGCCTAGTTATAGAAAGTGTCATATCGCGTTCGTATTATAGATTCTCTTCCATTATACTCCAAGTTTTTACGCGACTACAACAGATAATATAGGACGTGCGCATAGGAATAATTGCATTTCTCTGGATCACCTCAAGGTCATTTCGCTAAAGGCTTATTCAGTAGTATGAGATGACTTATCTCACATCGAGACAACCCGCCGGTCAACACAAAGCTTATTACACAGCAATTCACTGTCTATTGCCGTAACCTAACAACTTGACTCATAGAATGTTTTCTCACCTCTCATCTCATCTCTCATCATTAACGGTACCTTCACATCATCCCGTACAGTTCAAGCCCAAATCAGGATGTATTTATCCGTGGGTTTATTTTTCCGCTACGACTAGGATAAGGCTAGATATCTGATAAGCAAAAGTATCAAAGCGGGGTTTGAAGCCCTTTAACGGGTCGTGGATTCAGGGTGATCGGATCATGCCCGTAAAACATCAGTTGCCTTCGCTCGGCTGTAAGCTTAGCTACTGATCTCCCTCACTGAGAATTCTCACTCGGAGTTCGAGGAACGTAAGGAACACTTGGTACTCAATGATTTCGGTATACGAAAATGTCTACGTGTTTTCACCAAGTAGGCCAAGGTTACAAAGCATCACGAATGGCGGGGGGAGTCACTTGCGAACATACATTCCCAGATTGAGAGTAGGACAAGGAGGTCCGCCATGGATCATGGACGGAATTTTCACGTGTCCTTCGGCCCGAATCGGCATAGAACGTGGTGTACGGCATATACCGAACCAGTCCGGCGGCTCAGTGGTGCCTGAATGACATCACATCGGAAAGTATCAACAAAACAAGGTTTAACAGGGCCTTTCTCGTCTTCCCAGCTAAGTTGACGAAAGGAAGTGGTGATAAATGGAGTCTCACATAAAGCTTCGAGGGGGCACTGTAGGTAGCGTAATTACCGAAAAGCGCTAGAAGCAAGCACTCTAGCTCGTGTATACCTTGCCAGATTCAGCGGTTCGTGCCGTCAAGTAAAGTAACTTGAAGCCTCCAACAGAGTCTGTTTTGTTTTAGTCTGGCGATGCCCTTCTTGAAATGCTTGGGGTGACAATGACAACGATGAGCACATGGGGACACGGTGTCCACATAGCTGGTCTTCATTTTTAAGGCGTGAGAAAGCAACTATTCCAGGTGCAAGAGAGTATTTTCTGACTCTTATCACGGTTATGGAAGCTAGGAACAAAATTTTCTGTGTTTATGGAAGAGACTGCGCACTGCAGATGCTTATAATAAGCCTCAAATATCTATGGGTTCGGTTGAGTTCATATGCCATTGCATATCGTTTCAGTGACACAATCTTTGGCCTTGGCTTGGCATACGGAAAGGCAAAGGGGGAGCGCCAAGAAAGACGAAATGTGTCGTTACCTGTACGACACGATATATAATGAACGCCTCGATCAAATGATGGATCGGTGAACTATGGCCTTGGGAAACAGGATAGAATTCAACAGAAAGAGACCATCTCCAGAGAGCATTCCAAGCCCGATTTCCATAGCAGTTGACTGAAGATATCTTGGGAACTTCAATTGAAAGGATTATTCCCCAATCAAAACAATCACTATTCAGAGACTGAAAACCATCAGTGGCGCTTGTTTCCGCATGAGTAGCCCCACTTTCGGCCAAGAGGGGCACCAAGAATAATAATAGTTGCATCCGGAGGCACTGTAAACTAGGTAACCATGATCAGCTGCATACAAACAAGAGGATGCCAAACCTGGTTCCAGTAAAAGCCAGCAGTTGTATTTATATACCCAAGTCCTTCGTAACGGAATAACGCTAGTCAAAGTAAGTAGCAGTGCAAGGTCGGCACCGACCTTCGCCATTCCGACAAATTCTCAGTTTAGGGCTATCCCACGCCACTTTGTTTCGAACCACAGTTTTCATTCCATTCACCTCGAAAGCATCTGTACAACAGGAATCGATTTTATGCATGAGCTCGGGATTTCAACTAATGCATCCTCTGATAACCTTTGGACAGGGCTTAGAATTTCGATTGTCAAATCACCGGCATGTAAAGAAGTCAACATCGATGATAATGATCTTATCAGCTGTTGATACTATGCTCCCGTGTACATCAGGGGGGCCCTATGACGAATCTCACTGTGTATCTCTCCAGATATTCCGGCGACGCTCTCTGTGATATCGGCGATGATAATGAAAAGTACTTCTCTCATTTCATGTCACCGAAATCATTTCTCGCCCCTTGTAGGTCCGGATCACTGTGTGTGCATAAGTGGAGTAAAGGATCAAGCCCCCCTCCTCCTCCCTGTGATATAACATTCGTGCGTCTTTTGGCCGTCGACATCTTGTGCGCCTTGCTTACTTTGATGTACCCATGTTTCTTGTTTCGAATCTGGATGGAGGCTTTAAGATATTCTGCTTGAATCAATGCAATTATATCCCCGGTGTTTCGCGACAACATTAGGTGCTTTTTCTAACCACTTCAGCGGCGGATTTCGAATCTAACGATCTTGGATGTCAGGATCGAGCTTTTGAGTTTTTCTGATATGGACCAAAATAATATCTCTCCTTCAATAACAATACGTATGCAGCGAAACGGTATGTTTGGAGTCCTCGATAATGCGATAACGTTTCTGACATAGTCTTTCTGCATCTCCAGACTCGGAACACGATGAAACTCTGATCGAGCCATGATGGAAGGTAACCAAAACTGCACCCTGACAATTCGCACCCGTTGTGATTCCGACTTCGATCAGCGCCGCAGAGCCACACCGTTATTTGTCCCCCGAGAGCTTACGACACTTAATAACTGGCTGCCGGTAAGTTGCTAACCAAACATACAACGCTCCCAAATATCATCTCAAGTGTTCCCGACTGGGAATACCGTGACATGATGCAACAGTTCACTCCCAGGATTGTATTGAAGGAGCCGAAAGCGCAAAGTTATAAACGTGTTATGATATGGCAGGGTGTATGGTGAAGTCGGACCGCATATTTGGAATACCCGGAAGGCATCCTTTCGTTCGAATGCTTTACGAAGTTTGTGCGGTGTCTTGGTTGAATTTGGTCCTGATATTCATCAGGTAACAGAGATATATGTGTTATCGTTCTATTCCTATTGACAGCTATGTTGGTATGCACATTAACCAAAGCTGGCGACTGCTATAAAGCGCAAGCAGAAACGCAATGTTCACATATATACGTGCGTATCTAATCTCTGGTGTTCAACTCTTGTATGAACTGATTCTTATTTGATTCCAGCCGCAGGTTCAAGGACCCTGCTGACTCCTACCATCACTGGTACGCCGCCGCAGGTGCCTGCCGATCACCGTAATTTCCATTTCCCTGCGGAAGCTGAACATCAGTTGGCGCATCTAATTCTGGCGCAAGATGATTCGTTTCCCGCGGTGCTCACTTGGTGGCTTAGCAACGTAAGCGGCATGATTGTAGATGTTGAATAATCATGATGATGGACCTTTAAATGTCGAGAATCAAGGCATGCAATTCTGGAGAGTCCATGGGTAGCGGACCTATATCCTCTCCTCAATTCGCTTCTTCCACTCCTCCCCCATGAACCATTCACCTAACTCCAGCGCCTCCGTCGAGCTCAAGGCGAATGGAGATGTCTCTCGAATTCGATCTCATAGAGGGAATGCCCCCACACTTCCGCAAACGAAGTACTGCCCTCTCTGCCCCGCCAAGTTTACAAGAACAACCCACTTGAGTAGACATATCCGTTCACGTGAGTCTTGACCTTTCTGAGGCGTCAGTTCGGTCAGTGATCTGAAAGTGGCGGTTAGATACCAACGAACGGGCCCACAAGTGTATAGTGGGTGGCGTTACAGTTCATCTTCAACTATGCTTAGCGTTTCTATTCTAGCTGTGCGGTGCCGAGTTCACCAGAAGCGATTTGTTGACCCGACACAAGAAGACCTGCGGAGACCCGTAAGCGAGATTAACCTCGGCAGTCAATAGAACTAACGCCTCACAACAGGCTCAAAGCCCATCGATCAAGAAGAAAATCCTGTCAGGTGTGGCCGAAATTAAGTGATATGATTACTTGCTGATCCCTAGATAGGCCTGCGTCGAATCCAAAGTCAAGTGCGATCTCCAGTATCCATGTTCGAAGTGTGTATCCCGTGGCAAGAAATGCGTTTTTATCAACGATCCAGCCGTAACCCGCTATAAACAGTCGTGTGCCAAAAAGCGCTTATCACAGACTCGAGACTGCAGCCAGGGAATCGGTGTCTCTGTTGAAAGCGCTGCTGGACCCCAACCTTCTCCCACCTGCTCCTTTGACTCTCTCTCGTCCCCTAGCGAGATCGATGACGTCTCCCCTATTCTGTCACATCCAGCTGCAGCTTCAGAGTTCGGCAAATTGGGGATGTCTTCTCATTCTTCACCCCAGCCGGCTATCTATAATCCGGCCACCGATGATGGCGGAGTCAGTCAGTTATATGGTTCAGAACAGGATATCGAAAAGATGTTTTCTGGCAATGGGTTAGACTCTCTCCTCGAACAGTTTTCCTTCTCCGATCAAGACGCAACTAATCCAGAACAAGTACCTTCTGGACTTCCATGGCTGGGAGGCGAAGGGTCTGGATCGGAAGGTATCTACCCGTTTGCACTTATGCAAACCATGCCTAGCGTATCTATCCCCCCGTCGTCGGATTTCAGCTCTCCCTCAGATGCCGTTCCTACTGACTCCCCCATCTCATCCGAAGATCACCCGCATTCTACCGAGGTCTCAACTGGTATGAAAATACTAGACACCGAGAAGGAACAATATTGTGTGCCCTCATGTTGTTTATATTGACCGACCATCTAACTTTCCCCAGTATATCTTTTCTTCTCTGCGTTCTGCACCCAGCTTCCTTTAGTTCATCCGGAAACCTGGATGGCTGAAGATAAGCCTTCCGTTCTGGTTCGCGCAATGCAGGCATGTGGCGCGCTCTTCGTGACAACACGAAGGGCTATTAACTTCATCAACGAGACACTGTCTTCAACACGGGATATCTTGATTCAACAATTCGTAGGCCTCCTCTCGTCAAAATAATACGTGAACGCTCATACCACGTATTCCAGACAAAAGCAGCGTGCAACTCCAAAGAGCAAGATTATTTGATACTTGCTGTCGTGTTGTTGCAGACTATCGGCTTATTCCACCAGCGCGCCGAATTCCGGGTCTCATCCAACGTGTATCATGGAATGTTGGTCATGGTACGTCGATATTTGATCCATAGACCGTCATATAGTAGATTCATGTCGATCTAGATGATTCGCAAGACAGGCTCTATCACTCGTTCGCGTTCTTGGGCTGTCTCTGACTTGAATGACTCCATCGCACTGGAACAAACATGGCATGAATGGGCCCAACACGAGACTGTTAAACGGTAGATCCGAGAAATGCCATCCCGAACCGACAATTCCTGACAGTTCATTTAGGGCTTTACTCCTCTCCTATCTCCATGATTGTTGTCATTCTGTGTTCTTCTCGATACGTCCTTCTTTCCAAACTGCAGAATTCGACATCAATTTGCCGTGCGACGAAGCATTGTGGAAAGCACAATCTGCCCGAGAATGGTATGAACTTCTACAGAACCCCTCTGCGTACGGAACCGGGACAAATAGATTGTATGGTGTCGGCATGCAGCAAGCCTTGGCCAATCTTGGAGAAATACGTCTTGGCGCTTCCCATACCTCTCTAAATCCGTTCTCCCAATTCATTCTCATCCACACAATTCTCCAAAGTATCTACGAAAGCCATCTCTGTTCTGAAGTTCCAGCCTCGTCACCGGCCCCGACCCCTGATGGCGAAGGTCGCCAAGGAAGCCACTTTGCGACACAGTGTACTTTGCACAATTGGATTCAGATGTGGAACCACTGTCCAGATATGATAAAACATGAGGGCGACTCTGATGAGCTCCCTTTTGCGTTCAACGCGTTGCCATTCTACTGGCTAGCGCAGGTCTTGCTGTTGGCCATACAAGAGGGTGGCACAGAATGGATTGAATCGATGACGGCTGAGAATAGATTCCATCTCATAAAGGAGTGGCTGGATCGTATACGATTCTTCTTGCGCCAGAACCACGAGATTACGCCTAACTTGTGGGATGATCTGATGGCTATTCGCCGTCAAGTTTCACAGGTTGAGACGCATCAATTGGCAGACCACCCAAATGGTTTACTTGCTTTCTTTCCAGAGCACTGATGTTCTTAAACCATTCTTTTATTACTTGTGCTTTCTGCACTGATAAATGTGTCTATACGTATTGCTATTGTTTGTATAACAGAAAACCATGGAATCTTGTAGCATATCTCTGTTTTTAGATGGTCATGATTAGTGTCGACTTACTAGACTATGTCTAAGTGATTGAATTTTCGGCCTTTGAGATTTATTGCAGAAGAATTCTCATGAGTCATGCCCGCTCGTTCGGGTACTAAAATAGCAGTACGATTAATGCTTACTCTAAGCTAGATTTATAAGTTTGTGAGGAGGGTTTCCTTAGAGCTCGACACTATGGAAAGTTAAATGAAAGAAAAGGGTAAAAGGTGGAGACTACTCGGACGTTTACCGGCACCACCTCATAGTGTCATTTTTTGACACCTTCAATTCCGACGTTTTATGAGTCCGCAAGCTGAGCGTAAGTCCGACGTGGAATCAGGCACTAAATTCGCGACATAAGACTCAGATCATTTGCAGATTACCGGCAGGTGAGCGACGGCCCCCGTCATTTTCAGTGGTCCGAACGAGTTTTGCGTGGCGTGCTTCATTCTACCTGAAGTTTACGGAAATACTCTCGCAGAGCCGTTTACGAGAGCCGTACATGTTGTTTCCGAGTGTCCTGCCAGGCGCCACTGACCGACTTCTACACTGTCAGCTTCTGTTTGGCGGTACATGCTTGTTAGGCGTTTGGGGTCGTAATAATGTTTCGGTCCAGATTTTTTTCGTGACGGCAAGTTGAAGCAGAAAATGGCCCTGGCGGCAGATAATATATCTCTGTCAGGCCGCCATAGAATCTTAGTCCACTGGAAAATCGAGCTAGAAGAGTCTATAGAGTGGCGGTCAGAGTTGGACGATAAACGATTCATGAAATATTTACGTGTTTAACATAACATCCCGACTGTTTTCAGAATGTCTCAGCATTCAGCTTGTGGGTGAATACAGCGTACACCCTCCATGCAGTCTGTCGGTTTTCTACGCCAAGAAAATCTATCCCCACACGATGACAATTGGATACTGGGTACCAAACTTTATAAAAGACGCGACCAGTCGCGTTATTAATTCCTCAATTCCCTTTTCACAATGTTCGCTTGTATTTCCACCTACGCTTTGGCCGTTTTGGCTTTGCCTCTCCTCGTGGCTAGCAGTGCCGTCCCAAGGCAAGAGACCAACACGAACGTTACCGGCGGGATGTGCAACACCGGTTCAGCCCAGTGCTGCAAGTCTGTTCAGGACGTGAGCTTTTCTCTATCCTCGACACCGAAGGATCGATACTCACGATAGTATGTCGTAGCCCAAGTCTGAAGCCGCCCAGAACGCCCTTGGTCTTGTGGGAGTTCCTATTGGTGATATCACTGCCAATGTGTAAGTTCCACTTCGGTTTCGTGGATATTTTATTAAATTGCCTCGACAGTGGTCTCACCTGCGACCCCATCACGGTAATTGGTCTCGGCACCACCTCGTGCTCCAACCAGCCGGTGTGCTGCGAGAACAACAGCTTCGTGAGCGCTAACGTCTTCGGAGAATGGGGATGTAGACTGACCTTTCACTTTGAAGAACGGTGTTGTTGCTCTGGGCTGCACTCCGATCAACGTGGCAGCCTAAATGTGGACTGCATGATTTGTTTTTGAGTTGTTTCTAATTAACATTGATATTTTGGTGATTTTCATGAGAATCTGGCTTGATGGTGTCGAAAGTCAGCCGGCGTGGATAGTAATAGGTTTGAGTTACTTCGTTATAATAACGGACTCGGTTAGAATACCTCAACATGTTTGGCACCGCAAGACGTTGAGAAGGAAGCTAAATTTTGCGCGTCCACCATCGGTAGCTCACGTGGAGAGCGATAAGATACCAATGGTCCCAACGTGCATCCTGTGTATCCCAACGGCTACAATATCCCAAAAATACACAGACCAGCTCAATTAACTGAGATTACGCACCGACAGCGACGAGAGGCGCCAACTCGACGACACCCTCCATCGACCGACGATGCTTTTTATGCCCTTTCCCCTCCTTCCCTTCCTTACTTTTCTTCTCCTTTTTACTCTTTTTCTCCTTCTCCTCGACGACGGGATGACTTCGCTCCTCCTCATTGGTCTCACGCTTCCTCTTCCTCGACTCAGCTGCAACGTCGACATTTACGGCATTGAGCTCTGCATCTGTTTCCGTCCTCGCCTTCGAATCATGCGTCCGTTTCTTCGACTTTTTCCCCTCCTTCCGGTCCTCTTTGTGTTTCCGATTCTCCGTCTTTGACTTACTCCCTGACTCGTCTTCCGCTGAAGGCGCAGTTTCTTCCTCACCATTCCTTTTCGAGGACTCGTCAACCGTTTTAACTTTATGTTTCTTCTCCTTTTTCTCCTTCCTTTCCTTTTGCTTTTCCTCGTTCCTGCCCTCCACCTCCGCGGGCTGGCCTTCCTTGACTCCGTTCTTCTCCTTCTTTTCTTTCTTGGTCTTCGGCTCCTCAACACCGGTCTCCTCGCCAGCTTTGGGCTTGCTCCTCTTTTCCTTCTTCACCTTATCGTTCGTAGTTGGTCGTGTTGCTCCCTCCTCTTTATTCTTCTTCTCCTTCTTGGACTTCTTCACGAGCTTCAACTCGTCACCATTCGACGATTTTGTACTTGATATCGCGCCGTTGTCTTCGACTTCAACCTAATTTATGAATTAGCACTTTTCGACATCAAAAAGGCTCTACAATACCTTAGTTTGCTCAATCTTATCGGCTTTCCTTTTTTGCGGTAGTGAGATAGCGTCGACTGGCGGTGGAGAGCCTTTCGGTGTGCCCAAAGGCGTACCGTTCGCGCCTGTCCCCGGAATTTGAGGCCTTCCCCACCCATTATTGTAGCCTCCTCGACCCCTGCCACGGAAAGAACCTCTCGACGATTGGGGGCAGGGTGCTGGAGCACTATCTGGAGGTGGGTAATGGTTCTTGGGCCCCTGATCATGGATCAGAACAGGTGTGTGTCAAGATGAGGATAAACACACGGCTTTAGGTCCCTTGTACATGCTTTTCTCGTATTTCTCTGCTTCGCTAACACATGATGTGTGACTTTTGAACTCCCCGGGGTTGTTGAATGTCTTGCTACAATCTAAGCAATCAACTTGGGCATAACATCTGTTCCAGTGCGCCATAAGCTTCGGCTTAGTTACAACATCATCACATCCTAAAGGAGAGAATGAACACTATACTTCATCATCAGTGGTCGACTTTCATACCGTTGCAACTAGTATATCATTCGTCTGTCAATTTTGACCCGCACAAACTAGTAAAAGGATTGGGACGTACTGGAAGGAGACCATTCTGAGCCGTTTACAGCGCAGAATGGAAGCCCGTCGTTACTGAGAATGGCTATGTAGTGCAAGAAGGTCCAAGCGAAAGCTTGTGCTCGTGGATGATTTTTTTTTCACCAACTCACGTGTCGATCAACTGAACCGGACCGTGATCCCGATCCTGATTACCAACCCCTAAAAGCACTCATTGAAGACGGCTGATATTGGCTTAGCAACAACATAAGGACTCCTAGTGTTGTGTGGCGATATGTCTCGGTTATAAACGGAGATATATGCCAAAGAGGAGTGTAGTTTTTGTCCACTCGCAGCCTGCAGGCTGTGGAAGGATCCAAGGTCACAGTGAAGGAACCAGAAGAGATGAGAACGGTAATACAATTACATTATTAGGTCGACATGCAAGCCTACAAGTTGGCACGCGCCAATGGGTACTCCATGACCACATCCGACTTTGTCGTAGCAAGTTCAATAACTTGATTAATCAAGTGCAATATATCAATTGCACATCCCACGGAGAACGAGAAACCTGAGCCTCCTTGCCCATATGAATGAACTATACGGCTAATTCCGCCATTCGATTTGTTCTGCCGACGCTCTCGCTCAACACGTACGTTCCCGACACGCGTCGGTCGAAGCCCTTGCACAAAGGGCGCTTCCGGGTCGTACTCTGCATTCTCAAGCCCGGGAACACTGGGAACTCGTGAGTCAACGGTTGCGGCCTGAGATATTCTACAAATAACTCACAACTTATTGCATCGTTCACGCATACGCTTGATCTCGGGAGAATCCAGGCTGAGGTTCAGCTCTGACTTGTGAGGTTGGGCAATACCGCCGAGGATAAGAATCTAGAAAAAGAGCCGCTCGGCAGGCGGTGGTCAAGGATTAAACGAGGTACGCACATTGTCATTCCGGGGAACAATGAATACTATGTCTTCATGATCAGTACTGAGCTCGTTGTCGTGGGTTACGGCCAAGGCTTCTTTGACCTTAGGAAACTGCTTCCCATCATTGACTACACGAATCAAAGCACCGCGCAAAGGATAACAGGCCTTGTCGCTGGCAGCCTCCAGGGAGTTGAGACCTGTGGCATTGACAATGGCCACCGCTCCGTATGTCTGAAGTAATTCATGCTCGGAATTCAACAGGTCCCCATTGATGCGTTGGGTCATCAGCTTGGCACCTTTGGTGGCCACCAGGTTGCTGAGCCAAACCTGGTTGATGGTGTTAATGCATTTCATAAAATGATTCTGGAAGAGCTTACCATGTATGCATCTGTGTCAATCACAGGCGCCAAATGCGAATATGCATCAACAACACCAGCGTGCTGGTTGACAGCATGCTTCGAGATCAAATCGGGGTCCCTGACGAACTCTTTGATGCATGAGACCTCAATTTCTCGCATCTTGTTTAGCTGCTCTGGCATGTCTTCAATTGCTTTGCCGAAGAAGAAATTGGCGGTGCGCATTTTGACGGCAGGCAGAAACTTGCTCAGCTGGTCAAAAATGCGGTAAGACGTCAACGACCACCCCTTGGACAGAGCCAATGAAGTCGCGTCGGTGTGTTTTCCTACAATGATAATGCAATGAGCGCCATGAGAAGAGACAACAATCATATCTACCGCAAACGGCTGGAGGGTACTCCCATCTACCATGCAGGAAAGAGTAAATAGCTGCACTTGAACCACTATAACTATGAGAAATGATCTCACAGCGCTCCAGCTGATGGTATGTTATGTCAGTCAAGGGGGAACTGTATGCAAAAAAGTCGCCGACCAATCTGAGATGGGATACGTGGCGTTGCCGGCGCCCACTGCTCAGCCACAACGGTAACGTCGTACCCCGCATCGAGCAAGACCCAGGCAGAGCTAAGAAGGCATATGGTGAGAACATGTCGTCAGCGCGAAGAATAATCTTACGTCAAACCAGTGACGCCTCCGCCAACAATGAGAACGCGCCTTCCATTCCGAGGGGCGCAAATAGCATTCGGAGACGCGTCGAGAGTAACGATACCTTTCTTAAGGACTAGTAGAGGTACACATGAGGGAAAAGACATCGTTAGAAGACTGTCAGGAAGATAAAGTGGAGATTGATAAATGCTTGTTCAAACTGGGAGGGTTCTTATAGCTCTGCAGAATACCGTATGACCATGTTTGAAGACTCTAGGTTCTACCATGATCGACGTATTGTTGCGGACATGACCACAAACTTCTGATTGATTGATTATAAAAGCATCATACCCCTTTCAAGAAGTTCGTTGCTAACATAATGGCTTCGCCGCGTGTCTCTGTAAAGTGTGTCCAGCCTTTGTGGGGTACCGCATACGTGTCAGAGAGTCTGAGTCCTATACTCTTGGTTCAATACCGCTTGGCAGTTCATAATAAGACATACATTAAACCTTGTTCAATCCTTCAATTAGACATAATGAATTCAAAGCTGACATCGTCCAGAACAGACTTGAAATCGACCTTGGCTTCAGCTGACGAAATCAGACCGATGTTCCATCAAAGCGTCCGAACAGAATTCGACTGCTGTTTGAAAACGATACACAGCATCGAAATCGCATAGACAACGCGTGATTTTGAAATAACACAAGCTTGGCCAAACTGTAACATTTCCGAGTCCCCGAAAGTAAAGACAGTCTGCAGGTTTGCGTCAGATAGGATGATAATGCACAAAAGAAGAAACCGTACTCTGGAACCGTCCGTTCTGTTCATTGTCGGCTCAGTCCTTCAGCCCTGTTCTACGACAAAGATGATAGGACATAGCATGGAGGGGACCTGAAGAGTTCGCTTCCTGAGAGGGAAGCGACCGAACTAGCAATAAACGTCGGGGGGCGGACCAAAGTCGGCATTCATGGACTACCATAGAACCTTCCCAACACGTTCTGGATCCTCAGTCTGCGATTCTCCTCTGTCATCGGCCCAGAAAGAGTTCACATGGACCAGGGAAATTAATGGAGAAAAGGCAAAGGTGAAACGCTCCTCTCATCACCCCCACTGATGTCGTCTGATGGTTCGCGTCTCGTGCACTGAGAGCGCCAACCGCCTAGACCACATGCGTAACGCTATCCCCTTCCTCTGTTCAAAAGTCAATGAATGCAGATAGAGCGGTCGTTACAGCTGCCAGGGGACGAGAACAGTTGACCAACGCTGAATGTGCAGAAGCGGCGACAATTTTTTCAGAAACAGGCAATGGCTCTCGGCCTCAGAAACACAACTCGCAGGGAATACCAGGTGCGCGCCAACATCTCAGTACTCGACCCATGACCTACGGAGATTATCCCGAAGAAGTGCAGCGCAAATAAGCGCAGGCCCACGTTTCTTCCTTCTTAAGATGGTGATGAGAAAGAAACTCAAGTCCAGTTCATTCTCGCCCATTCTACACTTGAATATTTGAATCTCCAAGTCTGTGGTCGAGACTTCTTTGCATCGCTATAGAAGGTGGCCTTGTACTCGGACGAACGTGGCGTCCGCCCTTTCCTGGGCTGTTGGTAATGCTTGGTTTTCCGATGCGGCAGTACAACTTGGGAACGGAGCCGAAGAACCATGGGCGCGATGGTGAATCATTTATGAAACAACACCGAGCCTTAGGTTTGAATATACGGAGGCAAGTATACGTCGATGGAATATCGTCAGATGCTGAGATAAATTCGTACCTGAACTCTTTGATGCAGTCATATTTGCTGCGACTATCAATCGGTCTTCGTAACTGGAATGTATCTTTTCCGAAGTGTCAGACCTGGCCGTATCATCTGGACCGGCACAAGACAATGATCATGGTTACTAGGGGTTCGTATCCTCAACAACACAAGTTATTGCACGCGTCCCAAATCCCCTTTGTCATTGCATCTGCTAGGATAGCATGGAGTCATCATGATATTGATTGACACTTTTCAGGTACGTACTGAGTTTTAAATTCGATATTAATCGTAGTTGCACCGACAGATAGACTAGAGGAGCCATGTCGTATAGGCAAGGTCGACGTTGAAGACAAATTCAAATTGAGAAGTTCACAACCATTTTTGGCGACACGTGCTTTGGATAATGGATCAGATCATTCCAGGCAACAATCAAGCAAATCCCATGCGAAATTTTACCAAATCAAAATGATCCCACTCTTTAACTTAGTTCGAACTTGCAACCAACGGTACATTTGCGCTAACAACCATGTACGGAAGTCTTAAGAGCCACTAAGCAGCGCAATCGCCCATCTGGCAAGCGAGAACGGCGGCGTTTTACTGGAGAATAGACAATAAGCACCGCCGCCATGCGAGAGTTCTACCCGAACCAGGGAAGTCCTGGCAGTTGGGACTGCAAACCGCTAATATTCCTTCTAATATTCTGTTATGAAACTGTCAGTACTCTGGTCAGCCTGCGGCTCGTCAGAATGATGCCCTCACACTAGTTTGTATATTTGAAAAATTCGAATGATTTCTTTTGCCAAAAGGACCCAATAATGCTTCAGCATGGTCATGTCGCATTGACATCTCGCTGCATTGTCATTCATCGAGTCCGGAGTTTTGACAGATCATCCCCTTGATCAGAAAACTATGGCTTAAGACTCTCCCTAACTCCCATTGACACCCGCAGTCGGATGGACCAGTCGGATGGACCAGACAGTTGAATAACCATACGGTGAACTGCTCGATGACAGGTCTGCGACATCGGGATTAAAAAATGGAATAAGAGTGTTTGGGTTGTCCTTCCCATGAATACATGGGGAGCTACGTCTCATGATGATGCCGGCAAATGTCGAACGGGAGTACGTTGGAATATATTCTTTTTTCGCAGGGTAACGACGAATATATGTCAGTTGCGTCCGGTGACATGATTTACCTTTGCCTTTTCTCAAGGCTGTGGTTCTCAGACGCCCTCACATGACTTTTATACGGAACCCGATGTGGCTGTCTATACACTTTCAACGAAACATTCAACAGACCATTGCGGGTTCAGAAAAAATGTAACGAAAATCATATATCGGGCCTCGGTAAGTGCAGATTGGGCGCAGGGACGTGTGAATAACTGCTTACACGCGATTGGCCGGTAGTGATTACAAATTTCCCCAGAATGGTCAGAGAGGTCACGACCTTGCTTACGACGAAAAGTAAGTCATATTGTACCGTAACCTCGGCTTGATTTCCTATCATGTCCTTCAACGCATTTTTCAGAGCTCGCGCGCCGCTGGCACTGGCAGCTGCGAGGCCAGCAAGGACACATTATCGCTCTGCTTTCCGTCGCTTCAATTCGACGCAGGCACCCACCCCGAAGTCCAACACTACTCTCTATGTTGGCTTAGCTGCGCTGGCAATTGGTGGTGGTGCTGGCTATTACTACTTGTCTGACATCTTGGCTGCCCCTGCTCAGGCCACTACATTCACTCCTACGAAGGAGGATTACCAAAAGGTATGCGCGTATGTCCGTACACTTATCGGGTTCATGTTGATGCAACGAGGTGCTCAGGTGTACAACAAGATCGCGGATATCCTTGAAGACGGAGCGGAGAACTACGATGGTGCGTTATATCGTAAGTACTCACCCGAAAGGCTAACAATGTCCTCAATAGACGGCTCGTACGGGCCTGTTCTTCTCCGTCTGGCTTGGCACTCGTCTGGTACATACGACAAGGAAACTAAGACTGGCGGCAGGTGAAGTCAATGCGTCCATAACTCCATTATCTCCAACTCACTATTTTTCTCCAGCAACTATGCCACAATGCGTTTTGCGCCCGAGTCTCTTCATGGCGCCAATGCTGGATTACATGTCGCACGTGATGTTATAGAAAAGGTCAAGGCGGAGTTCCCCTGGATTAGCTATGGTGACTTGTGGACTCTGGGTGGTGTTTGTGCTATTCAAGAAATGGCAGGCCCTAAGATTCCCTGGCGTCCTGGAAGAGTGGACGGTGTTCAGGCTCAGGCTACTCCCGATGGTCGTCTCCCGGATGCTGCGCAAGGTGCTGATCATCTCCGAAATGTAAGTGCTTTTAATCAAGTTGGCAACCAATGCTTAATTGGCTCGTAGATCTTCTATCGTATGGGGTACGCATGTTTAATGAAGGGTTGGTTAGCTTATCATTTACCGTTCTGTCTAGATTCAATGACCAGGAAATCGTCGCTCTATCTGGTGCTCATGCTCTTGGACGCTGCCACACCGATCGGTAGGTGAATGTTATTATGAAGGTCTCGGCCTTGATTGATAGTTCCCCCACAGCTCCGGATTCGACGGCCCGTGGACTTTCTCGCCTATCACGTTGACCAACGACTATTACAAATTGCTTTTCGAAGAGCCGTTCGTTCTCCGAAATTGCTATCATTCCTTTCTCTCACGCCTTCTGCAGATGGGTGTGGAGGAAATGGAACGGCCCGAAACAACTGCAGGACAAGAAGACGAAGAGTCTCATGATGCTTCCGTACGCTTTTTCACATGACGATTTCTGTCGGCTGATTGAAAAATTTTCATAGCACTGACTATGTTCTGACCCAAGACAAGAGTTTCAAGAAGTATGCCAAGGCTTATGCTGATGATCAGGATCTCTTCTTCAAGGAGTGAGCTCACGAATACCTTACCTTGGTCGATTCTTGCTCATTCGCCTCCTTAGCTTCGCAGCCGTTGTCTCACGCTTATTCGAACTGGGAGTACCCACCGAACAGTTCGCCTCGGCGGAACTTTGGATCATGAAGTCATCGGACGAGAAGTAGACCCCTCCTCCGTCACCAAATAATGCCTCCTAGAGAAACACTAGACGCCCTGATTCTTTTTAGAGTAGATCTAGATGTCTCTTGCGTGCTGATATGTATATTTAGCTACAATCTATACTTTAGGTTACCTGCCGTGTATAAATTCCGAGGTACAGGGTTTGCAGTATGCACGATAAAAGTCTACGAAGTCTATGTAAGAATGATGATACAGGATGGATGGAGAGGGGAACACTGCGATCGGTAAAATTAACGTGAGAGCGATTGTCCAAAGGTCAAGATGTAACAAGAAAAAAAAAAGAACCATTAGAGAATGACGGCAGCGAAACATACAAAGATGAAATCTATGAAGCAAGTCTATGCGATGGTAATACAGTACATTGACAAAATAAAGAGGAAGAAGAAGGAGAAGAAGAAGAAGAAAAAAGAAGATCGCGAGCGCCAAGGTTATGTACGAGTCATCATCATCGTCGGACTATTTGCCACGTCGAACCGCGGAGACCTCGCAGGCACGGTAGTAGAATCACCCTCTGCACGTTCGACGTCCTCATACGACGGCAGGCCTCGCATACTCGTCAATGGCGGAACACCACCAATGAAACCCCTAGCAGCAATCCTGTAATCCGGCACTTCCGTAAACGCCCGATGCAACAGTGCCGTACCAGAATTAGGATCACTCAGTTGGACCGGAGGACGTAGTGCTGCTGCCATCGAGGCCGTCGCCATTGCCTGCCGCTGAGAATCTGCAATGCTAGGATGGGAATGCGAACGGGAAGAGAGCCAGTGCGGGTGGGCGAGTGACGTGAAGGGCTTCATGGAGGCTTTGAACAGTCCGTGGATGTTCCGGCTGGCGTTGCCACTGTGCACGTACGTCTCGTGAGGCCCTGCGACGTGTAAGCCGCGTTCTGGACTCGCGGAACGACTGGAGAGCCGACTGGGGCGACTGCTGCTTGGTCTTGAAGCGGGGTTCGAGTCCGTGTGATCCGACGGCGAGTGCGGCGCTTGACGTGAAGTCACGCTTAGCGCAGGCGGGTCTTCCTCCGAAAGAGAAAGCAAGAGCTCAGAGTTTACCCAGTCGAGTGGTGTGCTGTCGCCTGAACCTGGCGCATGAGGGAGATGGGCTAACAGATGGGCTTCTAGGGGTGTCGAGTGCCCAGAGTGGGACCGTGGCCATGGCGAAGCCAAAGCTTCGGTGCCTGCATTGGAGACGATGGTAGGGCTGATGCCGCCATGAACCCACGGATTGGTGACCCGCATTGTGGCGCTCTCAGGTAGAAACATGTTTGCGACGCGGTCCCGGACGTGAGCCGTGTAGCTCGGAAGTTCCATATCATCTGGAAGTTCTTGGGGTGGGACTTCAGGGCCTCCAAGGAGAAGACGCCGAGTGGCAGCCGTATGCGAACGTGCTTCTTCCAACAAGCGATAATCAAGAAGGTGGAGAGGAAGAGAACAGCGCAACTCGGATGTGTGACCGTCAAGATTGAGGATGAGTATACTCCATCGTATTCTATGGCTAACGTTAATGGGGTCGAGGGAATGAGTGGGTGTGATGCAGAGAGGTATGGGGAACGTAAGGAAGGTCACGACATCGTCGTCGCTCATTTCGAGATTCTCATTAGGATCTGAGGAAGTAGATGGTGATGCCATAAGAGTCGAAGGACCGGCTTCTGCCAATGACGCCGATGACGCGTGATGAGGACTGAAGGAAAAATATCCGCCACTGCCGCTGCTGGCAGAGTGCGTACTGTTCCGAGGACTCGATGACAAGGAATGTGTCAGGTTTGGGGTACTTGGCAAGGAATGCCCAGGGGTTGTCGGCGACGGCGCCGCCTTCCAGCGATGCTCGTGGACCTCCACAGCCTTCCCCCCAACAATCTCGTGTCGAACGGTCGCCATGGTGCGGACAGATTCCTGAATGCCTATCCGTGCGTAGACCTTGGTCGTCTCTTGCACGGTGGTTGTTATGCTCAAGACTCCGACACCCTTAGCTAACGGCGAAAACTTGACGAGAGCGGTCAAGATATCGCCTGCAGCCCAGGCTTTGTGGGGAATCATGATAGAATACATGAGCTTCTCCGGCCAGGTGTTTTCAATCTCCAGGGTCTGCTGATACTCCAAGGCTTCTGGCGCGAACGAGCGGATTAACGTCACCGGCGTGAAGGTCTGAAGATTGTGGCTAAGACCGGGACGTACGGCAAGAGCACGTAGTTTGTACGCGACAGAAGCGCCTCCGTTGACACTCGTGGAGATAGTGGATGGAAGGGAGCCGCCTAGCTGGAGTTGGAAGGGGAAAAAGTGACGGCCTGGCTTTAGGGTATGGCTATGTTTCTTTTCTCCTTCGAGGAAGGACCATTCGTGATTGCATACGATGTACGTCAAAGGTGAGGAGTTGAGTGACATCCTACGACATCTGTTAGCGTGGCGATCATGACGACTAGGTCAGAGAGAGAGCACGTACGATTCATTAGCAGACACTGGCAGGCGTGCCTTTCCTCTGAACTGCAGGGTGATTTCCTTGATGGACGTCGACTCTGCGAGATAGAGGGCGACATGTCCCGAAAGACGAGCTGGCTCAACATCGACGCCGGTGCCCTTGAGGAAGATACAATCCTTGTCGAGCAGGATCTCAAGGCGAGGCCGTTCCCTGTTTTGCATGTCGGCCTCTGGAAAGAGAGAGTTGGGAGAATAAGCAGGGTGGGAATGCAGTTCATCATCGGGGTCGAGGTTATTATGAAAGACATCCCTCGGAGGGGGGGAAGGGGGTCCTGTGTAGAGAAAGGCCATGGTACTTTATCAAAAGAAGCCAGGTCAAGGATTTGCTGCGAAGAGAAACAGGGGCCAACTCACGGGACAATGAAAGCGGCGCCTCCAAATAGAAAGTCCGAGATGGAAGGGACACGAATGGGGGGGGGTGGTTCCTCTTGCGATTCGTGAAAAGATAAAGGAGGTCCAAACAGGCCCCAAGGCAAAGCCTGCCTGCAAGCCCTATACCAGGCTATATATCAAAACAAGATCCTTTTCTTTTTCTGGCTCATCATTATTTGTTTGCCGTTATGTATGTCCGAAAAATCCCGCATCAGTCAGATATCAAAAGTAACGATAGTCACCGGAGATACATGTCGGTCCGAAACTCTTGCCTAGACCTCCTTTCAGTCCGTCAGCGCATCCATGTTATTCAACACGGCCAAGTTCACTTTACGTTTCCATCCTTCAAAGAAATTCCTCGGCCAAATCACGGACAATGCCCTTGTTCAAGGCCTGAAAAAGGTGAGTGATGGGGGGGAGAGGGGGGGGCATCATCTTTTTGCCATCTCCACCGGGTCATAGACATCAAGCTTTATTCTTAGCCGCTGTTTGCGATTTCCCCCGTCCCTCACTCGAGCGGATCGCAGATCATCCATCTTTCAGACAAGGATTGATCATTTCCACAGAAATGAGTGGCAATTAGTAGCCTTCCTCAGAGTTCATGATCAGACTGGTCGAGGCATCTGTCGTCCACAAGTCGAGAACGCATCGTGCACTTTGGCTGCCCTTAAATCTCAGATACCTTATTTGTTCGTAGTCCAGCTCTCCATTCCAAGAAGTCTCTGTCTCATGCGTTCTCTCGGAAAGTTTCAATGGCCAGTTCGGGGAGACGGCAGGCACAGCATGGGTACAGCGTATACATGCGGGATTTTATCGGCACTTTCTTCTCCGTTCATTTAATTTTGGCCCAAGTCGGTAGATCATAATTTTCAGCACGCCCCAAGTGTATTAGCAAGCCAGTAAATAGTATCCGAAGCAGTCCAAGCCAAAATCGAAATCATTCAATCTATAACACACGTTGCTCTCAGCCAGCCAAACATCCCACTTGCCATACGCGGCTACCGCACACCCGCAGCGCAGTACTACGCCTTGTACATCGTGTCCAAGAACGCCGTGGCCAGCTGTCTCACCATGGACGGCCCGACAGTGCTAGAATTTCCCAACCCTGCCAAAGAGTTCAGTAAAGTTTCAACTCACGCTAGCGCGTATCCAAAAGAAACCACCCCAGAACGAAGCTCAACGGCGGCAAAGGGTATCTTCGAGAGGGGTATCAACCTACCGTAGAGCGCTACCATGGTTCCTTTGCCAGAAGGATTCAACTTTGCTTCTTTGATAGAATCTCTTAAATCAGCGATGAACGTATCCGCCATTGTAACCGTTAATCTCTACAGAAAACACAACTTCTTCATCAACGGCTTTATTGTCATCGTGGAATCGAAATGAACACGTACCGTGCAAGCAATATGCACACCTGGGGTTCCATTCAACGCATTCAAGTGCCACCCCCTCGCGGCCATCTTGTCGCCAACCTCCATGATATTCACCTTCGGGTGCTTGGAACCGAAGGCGATAACCGAGGACGGTGGATTTCCCAAGATATAAAGTTCCGGCACCGAAGAACTGATCGTGTCTGCGATGAACCGTGCACACTTCACTATCGAACGGCACGATTCGAGATAACCACTATAAAGAAGAGTTCGTGAGATCTAGACGCAAACAAACCGTTAGTTAAGCGTGCCTCGAACCCATGTAATGCATTGCAGCCCAAGTTCCAGCGATCACCGCGCCCGGTCTATGTTACCATGTCAGTCAAGGTGACCATATCTAAGCCCCAAAATCCGTACCGAGAGCCTGAGAAACTAGGACTTCCGTATGCGCCACCTAATATCAGAGGAGAAAACATTGAAACGTGTGAACAAACAACACAAAGTCGCTTACCCATCCAATCCGGATAGACGTAATACTGGTACTCTCTCAATGCAGCATCGCGATACATGATGACCGAGGTTCCCTTCAGGAATCTTCTTAGAGGGTAAGGCAACAGTGACGACTAACGACATACTTTGGGTGCGAATCCATACTAGGGCGCATTAAGACTCGAAGCAACTGTGGACCTCTCTCCACTCACCTTGTGCGTGTCACAGCTAATGCTAGTAACACCATTTACGCGGAAATCGAAAGGTATCATCTTATATTTGCCGTTTACACCCTCCGCCAGGCCCGCCTTCTCAAGGTAAGGCATGATAAAGCTGCCAAGACAACAGTCCACATGAAGACCAATGTTGTACGTAGATGCCAGAACACCCAAGGCTACGATATCATCCTGATTGCCATCGGGAAAGTTGACGCTGGATCCTACAAGCTACGAGACGTCAGACAGACGTATACGGATCAACGGATTATGCTGTGTTTACCATGATTGTGTTCACATTTCTGATATCTCAACATGAGCCCAGAGTAAGACAAAGCTACAGAAGAGAACTAACATAGCGCGCTTGACATGTTTGATATCAACCTGTCGTGTATATCTGTCCACTGGTATCAGATGAACCTTGATCTTGAGATATTTTGCGCCCTTATCGAATGCCGCATGAGCAGAAGCCGGCACGACCCTACAGATAAGTGTTTAACTTTAGAATATATAGGCTTAATATGCACTCCTGGCTAGTCAGTATTTTGTGCCGTACAAGGGAAAATTTTCTAAAAAGAGATATACGTTTGTTCAAGCATTTTGACTACAGCAAAACCCGTCGAGTATAATACAAGCGGACATTGTTGCGTACAAAATGCAAGAAGAAAAGTACATCTCTCTTCTCCGGCAGTTGTTTCCCATTCATTTGCCTGGCTTAGAAAAGTCGCGATCCAAGCGCGCATGTAACTTGGAACACGAATACGTACATTTCTGGCTCAGTAATTCCCTTGACCGCCTTCGCCCAGTCCCGGTATGTCTTAACAGCCATGATGATGGACTCTGTTCCACCAGAAGTCATCGTCCCGGCACCATCAGGGTTATTGAATAGTCGAAGGCACATTGCCACGATCTCTGCCTCCATCTTACGAACAGCTGGGAACACGTCGGGGTGGATCGGATTCGATACGCAGTATCGCTGGTACGCCGTCACGATGACCTTCTCCATGTCGTCACCACCATCTGGGAAAAAGAATTGAGTAGAAGCTCGTGGATGAATGAATAGCGCGTACGGTAAACAGCACCAGATAGTTTCCCATGACGCCAATCACCTCTGTGCTCAAGCTCCGTGTCCATCTTTTCCATTTCGGCGAGGATCCATTCGAGCGATTTGCCTTCTTCCGGTAGGGACAGGTGCCGGACTACTTCGGCTCCCTTGGGAACCAACTTGTTCTCAATGTCGAGCTTGGCCTGATCCATCTGTTGGGTGACCTTGGACCTCATGCTAGGCAAACGTAGAACCATCATAATGATAGCCTGTGCGCCTGATTCAGTTTGGACGCTTCGTGAAGACGACGAAACGACATACGTGAGCTATCCAGGCGTAGATGTCCTTGACCGACGTCACGAAGCCTCTTGCTCGTACATGGCGATGGGCTTTGAGGTAATGCGAGAGCAGGAAGTACAGAAAGAAGACGGTCTTCGCCTTGTCGAATGCTGTCCTAGCCCAGAAGGCCTGATTCCAAGCCAAGAGGCGCTGCGATGACGACGACAGTGAGAGGGACATGATACAGCCAGCAAGCGTGAACGTCGCCGAGAAAAGGGAAGCCTTGGCCGCTACGAGACTCGCCTTATGCTTGCGCCTTCTATGGTGGTCATATTAGAGCCTGGGAACCGGATCCACGGCAGGTGAGCAAATCTACGATTACGTCACGCTCCCCCGGGCCTTTCTCGTCCAACGTCGACAAAAAGGATGAGCAGCCTGCGAATGGTAGGCAGTCTCTTCACTCTTGCACGCCACTAAATCTCTTCTTACTTCCTCAAGATACCTCAGCATGATGAAAATGATGATGCAGCCGAGGTTACTTGGGGTTCGTCCGTCATGATTATAACAGAGCATTGATGATTGATGCTGCTCTAGAGGACCAGCAGCGTATCAACACATTTTCGAAACTGAATACACGAATGCGTAGTATTGATGAAAAACTGGAACAATTAAAGGTATGCTGAATTTATAACTTGAAATTACAATCGACATATTCGAATTCAGCAAGAGAAAGAAGCACTAGACGACCTCTCCACTGAGTTGGAGCTTGCCGATGAAGATGATCCTGTCTTGTAAGTCACCCAGTCTACCCTTATTGAGGCTGGGATATCTTACATGGTTTCAGGTACAAGGTCGGCGACACTTTCTTGCACATGCCCCATCCACGCGCTATGAAACGCCTTGAAAGAGATCAAGCAGCTATTGACTCTCAGGTATCAATACTTGCTGACAAGTCTGAGGCATGCCAAAAGGAAATGAACCAACTAAAGGTCGTCCTGTACGCAAAATTCGGACGCGCAATTAATCTCGATGAGTAACGATCGCGCGTGTATTATCTGTTCAATATCAATCACCAACTGTGTAGCATTACTCGATTCGTTTGCCTTTCAGGGTGCCCGGTTCGGGTTCGCAAACTAGTACCCGCAAGAGGACACACGTGAAAAAAGATGCATATTCATTCTAGGGGCCATCTTGTGGACGCGCACATCAGAAAGATACTTTCCGGCCTGCTGCGCCGCGGACCTTAGCACTGAGGACATTGAAGCGGCCCGGTATTGATGAGATCCCATAATGGTAAAGATCTTGGACCCAGTCGCCATTGGGTGACAGAAACATGAGGATAGCTGGGATCAGAATCAATGGATGAAGCTGAAGCGATCAAACCGCATCGGTGGGATCCGTGCTGTCCTTGACTGTCATCTTCTACACTGCGAGTAGCGTTCGTGGCAATTTGATCATGATGCATTTTCAGTTCCTGGGACTCGTTCCGAGAAATCTCCCTCTGTAGGGGCAGGATACTGACACCGCCTTCCTTCCATTTCTTCTCCTTCACATTCCCCTTCTTCAACTTCAATAATATATCCCCTTCAACCTGGCAAAGAGCTTTGTCTTGCCGAAGTAGTTTGCTGTAGTTGTGCTTTTCACATGGTGGCTGATGCTCCCCGCCTGTCTGTCCTCACTTGGGAAGGGAGTACTAATTCAAGTCATTCTCTCTGGTTAGCGGGCGATATACTGCAACTGAGAGGCAACCACTACTGATGGACTCTGAAGCGAAGGGCTCAGAGTCATGAATAAGTGAAATTGCGTAATCTAAGCGGAATTTTCCGTAATGTGTATACTTTGAGGAACATCGTACAGCGGTTATTGGTCTTTCCGCGGCTCTCCACCGGAAACAACGTCTACCTCTACTAAAAGCTTTCGTGGCAAGGTAGTCACCAAGCCACCCTCCTCTACCATCCACGTTTTCTCGGCCAGCTCCTTCAGAAATAACGGCAAATGTTCTACAGCGCTGGCGTACGAGACACAAAGCGCCATAGTCGGATCTTCGGTTTTTGGATACTCCGCCAGAAGCTTCCCTACTTCATATGCGTGGACCCATGCCTTCAGATGGTCTAAGGCACCATGCCCCTTCTTCAAAACAATATGCATACGTGGAGCGCCACCCATCAACTTTTTACCCGAGCTGTCTATACATGTACGATGGAACCATAAGAGGTATTGCTCAGTTTTGAACACATCAAAAAGTAGAACTCCATGACCGGTCGCGAAGATGCTTCCCAAGCCTTCGGACGCAAAGGTACAAGATCCCAACTCTTGCCCCGTCGTGACATCTTTCAAAATGCTGGAGTTAGCAAAGATGTGTTCATGTTTCGTCACTTCCGTGGGAGACAGGACGTCCTTGGTCTCTCGGAATGTGGACCACAAGATGTTAGCTCTTTGACGGTTCAAGGTCCTGAGCGACAGTCCCCGGACGCCGTAGTAATTCAGCACAAGATGTAGGGAGACCAAAACGACGAGCATAGTATACGTTGACGTAGGCGTTGTAATGCGAGGGACTATCAAAGTGCCAATCTGTTCAACGTATCAATATAACAAATCCTGCCTGAGAAAAAAAAACCTGACCAGCATACCCAAAAGGGCCAAAACGGTTTCTTTGCTCGCATCCTTGGCACTCAGATCTCCCAGGTCTCCTTTGCCATTTACAGGAGTGGCAAAATGAAGGCCGATAGCAGCTTTGGAGCCTCCCGCAGCTACTCCACACAATGACCGAAGCGACGCGCTTAAACATAGCGTTGGAACTCTCAGTGATGGCAGACCATGTTTAGAAGCTGCTACGAAGACAGGCGTAAGGGTCTCCAACACGATCGCACCGTCATTCAGAATGTCCGCGAGGAATCGGTAGGTCTTTGATTCAGGGATCAGGGATGTACCAATAAGAGAAGCAGATACGATGGCTTTGAATAGTGATGAGAAGCGTCGTAACTGACGAGAATAATTTGAACTCACTGGTCATTCGACTGAAGAAGTCCAGAACGACGGTGAGAAGGAGGGCATTCGTAGCGGAAGCCGACGGGTCTCCAACGCCAAAACCTAACAGAATTTAGTGAGACAGACGCGAGGGCGTTAGATAGATAAAAGTACCCTCTAATACGGCCCTGGATGACAGTAAACTGGCTAGGGAACTGCAGAACGCTTGGAGGGCATTTAAAACCTGGTACCTGCAAACAATTCTTCGTCAGAATTCCCGCGAGATTGTGAATGCAGGCGAAGCGACCGAAAATAATCTTGGGTAATAATATTTCATTTCCCGTTAAGTTTCGTCGGTAAAAACGTACCAGGAGTAACACTGTCGGGGTATCCAGCGGGCAGAAAGACCTTTGAAAGTGTTTCGGCAAATGGCAATGGTTTGCTGCCACCAGTGTCCGCCCTTACTGTTATCTATGCTGGGCTTAGTTCTGAGAACAGGAAAAGTGAAGAAGACTCGCACCTCATCGTTGACAATGTCGATGTAGTGAAGCCGCCCTACATCATCTCTTTCTACAATCCGAATTGACATTGTCTTGTTGCTGCTGTATCAATGTCGAACGTATGGGAAGACCATGTAGGTGATGGTGAAAGTAAGAAGGCAGAGACGACACGTGGGGGACGTCATCGTCTTGCCACCACACGACGACCACCAGGCATTTGCATTTGCATCCTTCCTCCGCTTGATATGCACCTGCCGACTCACGAGAGATACCGCGACGATTATTTACCAATGATTAAGCGGACAGTGCTTCAGGACCATGACAACTGGTCGGCATTTGTCACACTGCACACTCTTCCGTCGGCGTTCACTTTATGTACGCTGCAAAACGAGGATATATCGCCCGTTAGGAGAGGAAGCTGTTGAAATATCGATACTGAGCAAAAGGACGCGTCAAATTCCATCAGGTTCGTCTCAAAGCTTGAAAATATATGTTGTAATATCGATAACATCTTTCCTACTGACCAGACACAACTACCGTTTGTCGCCGGGTATCTTCCCTAGGTCCTTCCCCCTGTAGCCTACCCGTCGTGCTGCTTGGAGGCGTCCGGTGGCTATGTTTTCAGTTTGATTCCCAAGCCTACATCGTACACATGACGTATCACCAAGCCTTCGACTTTAATTGACAAAGCCAAAATGGCGTTTCCAGCAAAAATCATCTACGGCACGGCTTGGTATATCCTTTCTATCTTCACTCTCCAAGTGCTTTATGTTTATGGTACAGGAAGCAGGAGAGAACCACCGACCTGGTCGTTTCGGCTGTTCTGAACGGGTTTAAAGCTATTGACACAGGTGTGTGATTCTTCGGTTTTTGCATTTGCGTAATTGTTCAAAACTTTTATCGTTAGCATGTCAACCCAAGCATTATCGGTTGGTGCAAAGCTTCAACAGCGTATTACAATAACCCTCAGGGCCTAACGCGCTTAACAGCGAGGATCTTGTTGGCAACGCACTGCAAACGTTGAAAGAAGTGCATGGCATTGAGCGGGATCGGCTTTTCATTCAAACAAAGTACGTCCTTTGCTTTACTATGCGCGATGGGAGAAGAACCGGTATTCCTCAGATTCACGTCCATTGATGGCCAAGACCGTTCTAAACCGCTCCCATATGATCCCTCTGCCACCGTTCCGGAGCAGGTCAGAACCTCTTTTGAGAAATCTCTGGCCAACCTGCGTACGGCCTACATCGACAGTTACATACTGCACTCACCGCTCCGAACAATTCACCAAACGCTTGAGGCTTGGAGGGTGCTGATCAAACTTCAGGACGAAGGCAAAGTACGCATGATTGGTGTTAGCAACGCCTACGACGTTGGAATCCTCCGAGCTCTGGGACAAGAGAGGCAGGTACAGGTAGTGCAGAATAGGTGGTACGAAGGAAATGCGTGGGATCAAGATGTGGTGCGATATTGTAAGACAAACGGGGTCGTGTATCAGTACGTACTTCTGGTTTCAGCTTTCTTCGGTTCTGATGAACTACGACTCCATCAAGGTCGTTCTGGACGCTGACGGGCTCACCTTCGCTTTTGTCGCAGCGATCCGTTTTGGCCATTTCTGCAGCTTTGTCTATGACCCCTGCACAGGTCCTGTACGGTATAGTACAGATGGGTGGCATAATGCCACTCTCTGGCACCACAAGTGAGGTGCATATGAAGGAAGACGTAGCTGTGGAGAGCTCGAATCTTGTTACGGATGACAAGCTCCGAAACCACGTCGACACTATCAAGAGATTGGTGGGGCTGGGGTTGTGAATGAAAGCGAGAAGTTTTAAGGTATTCCTGATGTCATCTTGCCCAGTACAATGCTTAATAAAGCCCCATTCCAGATCAGCGAAGGTAGAAGTAAAGTAACAAGAAGTTTCAGCCTGGGCATCATTTTGTTTTGAATCAGATATTTTTCAACTTGTCAAAGCCCTGTCTCTTTCAAGCAGTGCACCACTTCAATTTCCCACCTTTGTACGATCCATATGATGTTGTTGAGTTGCAAGTTCATTGCTGTTCACCACGACGGGAAAAGTGACTGGTATGTCGTAGCTTTCTCATCAGCTCCTTCGCTGGCATTCCTTCTACTCAGGTAATATGCGTCCTCCCAAACATCTTATACTCCAGACGCAAACACCGAACTTGTGCCGATGCTCTGTGGAAACATAAAACGGATGAGTTTTCCTTTACTATCAAAGACACAGTAGCTACGGACGGTGTTACTGAACGGCTTGGCAGGACAGGGCAGGGCAGGACAGAATGAACAAGTACGTCTCTCTTTTACTCAGAGGTTAGTTCCATGCTATTGACTTCCTCTTATCTAGGCTGCAAGAAACACAAAAGTCTAAGCACAACCCTAATGAGGGTGCAGACATATGGAAGACACATTGAGTGTTTACCCTCTCAGTTTGAAGGTATTAGACTAGACAGTCCCGTACCTTCTGGTTCGCCGTCGGGCAAGACGTGGCTAGAGCAATTCCTCACAGATCGTGATGGCTATATTGTAGATTCCATACTACTACGTATGTTATAGTCTTCTCTCGCTTCTACGATCTAACGTCTTCAACGTAGATTGGTACCACATCAACAACGCCCAGTTCATCTTCCTATCTACATCAACCCGGGTTACGGAACGGCATGCCAGAATTTCAACGATGCGGATAAACAAGATATGCCTGGTTTGGGCTGATGGCAGATTTGCAGGGCGTCAATGCGGTGGGGCCTAACTGTCACCGTCCACCTGCGACCGAGATGCCGACTGGCTAGATATCTGACGGAAATATTAAGTTCATCGGTATACAGTATACAGGCGAAGAGGATAATGTAAACCTCTGAACGTCTGTCTGGTGTTCCTCGACCGGACACTTCAGTACGATGGCTGCTGTGGACGTCGTTCTTCCTACGATTTTCCTCGATATTGGTGATATGAGCCCTATATTGTACGTCTCAGATGAATATACATTCCTGATACCCGAACACGTCTGCCTTTTAACTCAAAACATTCTCCATTTATCGCTAAGACGTTGGCTAGATTCTAGGAAATAGGGTCACCAGACTGCTCACGCCATCTCCGTTTCGCAGAACGACATCCTGAGAGCATTTCCCTTTTCATTGCTGTATAGCATCATCGTACACTAGGATGAGGTGATAGGAGTCTTACCAATACAAGGTTTTGGAGCTATATTTTATAAAAGACGGGAACTACCTCCGCTCTTGAGTAATTCACTCCCGTCCACCATGCCAGTCGCTGTTCCCCAACTCGGTTCTTACCAGTACGTCGCGGAAACAAAGGTATGTCGTATTGTCGATTATTTTATTAGTTTAGTGTCAACGATATATTTATAGGAGAACCTCGACTGGGCTGATCTTGTGACCGTCGACCTAAGCCTATATAGCACACCTGAGGGCAAGAAACAATTGGCGCAGACTCTCATTGACGCTGTGCGCGAGAAGGGGTTCTTTTATGTCAAGAACTTTGGCATATCCCAAGAAAGCGTTGATAGACAGTTCGCCTTGGGAAAGCAGTTTTATGAGCTTCCGTTGGAGGAGAAGTCCAAATACATCCCAGAGGGACTAGGTATGCCTCCTTCTGGCCGTTGTACTTCTTGAACACTAACGAGTGTGTCACAGATCAAGGAAAATTTAATGGCTATGTTCCGGCTGGCCGTAGAATGTCAGCTTCTTGTGCGCGAATTTGAAGTCTCGCTCAATATTCGAACAGTATCGATCCTGCAACTAACCTGAGGGACCATGTCGAGGTTTACAATATCCCCAGTACGACGTCGTAGCTTCATGCTTCTGTTCCGTATTACTAATATTGGAGCAGAGTTTAACGGGTTCTTCCCTCAACAGCATCCCGCAGTCATCAATGACAACTTAAAGGAAATCGAAGAATTTGCACGGGTAAGATCGTCTTTCATGATAATTATTTCGCTCATCAGTGGCATGTCTAGTCGCTGCACACTGAGGTCTTGGACCCGCTATTTGTGTTACTAGCCATTGCTCTCGAGCTCCCTGAAGACTACTTCACCAAACTCCACAAATACGAAGTCAAGAGTGAGGTGTGTCTTTGAATCGTTCCCCGGGCATGGAGTTCTGAAACGAATCCTCTGCAGGATCACCTGCGGTACATGAAATACTCAAAATATACACCTGAGGAAAACGCAAAACTAGAGAACTGGGTTCCCGGCCACACCGGTAAGCTGGTGATTCTCCGCGGTACGCATTCATTGACGGAACTTTTCCTATAGACCTCGGGAGCTTCACGCTCCTGTTCCGGCAGCCTGTTGCAGCACTTCAGATCCGATACCATAGTAACAATGAATGGAAGTGGGTCAAACCGCAAGATGGTACCCTCACAGTCAATGCATGCGACGCCTTGCAATTTTTAACCGCAAATTATGTCAAAAGCACCATTCATAGGTACGTTATTTCCTTTCATTTAGTCTTATCTTTTCCAACGCGTGTTTCATAGAGTTACCACTCCCCCGAAGGATCAGCAACACGTAGACCGGCTCGGCTTGCTGTACTTCTCTCGGTAGGTTATTATTTCGGTATATCAGATTGTTTCGGACTTTGGCTCATTAGTCCTCTCTAGTCCTCACAACGACGTCACTCTGGCGACGATCAAAGACTCCCCCGTCTTGCAGCGAGAAGGATACACTCAGAACCAATTCGAGGCCGGTGGGAATAATGTGCCAACGATGGAAGGTCAGTCCTATGCTTCTTAAATTGTTGTCGAGTAGGCTCTGAGTCTAGAAATCTAGAATGGACATTTGCGAAACAGAAATGGCAAAGGACCAAGGGATATCGCGAGAATGTCGAGCATCGTACGGCGACGATTCTTCCGGGTTTCAGAGAGCAGATTTATGCCTAAAAAGGGGAGTGAATGTGTAATATATTGGTCATGTATCAACTTCGCATAAGCATTCGTGTAGCAAAGAATTTATCATTCTGAAGAAGACGTGCCGGCGTCCGTTCTGTTGTCTGCTGTAATCCTATTCGGTATTCTTACGCCTTGCAGCTGTGGATCAAGCGCTCATACGTTTCGTACACGCTTTTCCGCAGTGGTAACAAGACATGGAATATATGAAAGTCTCCACAGTATCGTGGAGACGTTAGTGGTCATTTCTCCCGAATTCATAAGCTTTCAAATGAGTCTTGGTTCTTTAGGCCTTGGAATCGACACATGAGAGTTCTGCAGTTCATTTATTACAGGATAAAGATAGTGATGCGCATCAAGGAAATTCTAATCAATCTAAAAGAGTATGTGCTACAGGAGAATAATGCTGGACAAATACTGTGATAAAGAGGTTATGTTGCAATTAGAACGTAAATCGAAAATCCAATTATCCACCATCTCCATGGAAACTTGGCGTTCGAAAGGGCAGAATCTTCGTCGCTCGATTGGCTTTCTTCCCCTCCGATGTCCTCTCCGTTGAGAAATCGTCCAAAGACAGTTTGCGCAACCTTAGGTTGGTACGCAGGCATCGTGTGTCCTGCTTCGAAGACCCGACTGTAAAATATCGTCAAGACCTGAAAAAGCTGGTTAAAATAACTTACACAAAACTAATTCCGCCATTCGGGACGACCTTGTATTCTCCTACATAGTTCCCGTCAAGGACCAAGGTTGTGTAATTCAGGTTGCTGAATGTCTCGTTTCCCCACCAATCCATCTGCGCGATACACTCTTGCACTCCAATCCAGTTAGCCTTCATATCCGAATCACCAACCTGGTTCGCTCGATATTTCAATCAAATCTCAACGGGAAATCACAATGAAAGCACCCACCCATATCAATATGTCCACCTCTTTTGCATCAGCTAGTTCGGCTAAATTCGACAGGAAAGACCTCCCCGTCTCCCCGTTATTAGAGAATCGATTCTTGATACTGGTGTCGCACTGATCGAAGCTGCTCTGGGCGCCGATGGCTTTTTTGACACTTGACGACCGGATGTAGGTTGAGTAGTACTTGGGCGGAAAAATATCGCTGTAATCATCTTCGTCGTCGTCCTCGGTAAGTTGCTCCGTAGAATTTTGCCTCAAATCATCCGGATTCCGATCGCCGACGGTAGGTGCGAAGACTTGGTGGGTACAGAGAACTAGCGCGTCGTGACATACGGTGTCGTTTCCACCTGCGTAACAATCACTCAGCCCAGGTGAACAATTCACATTGAAGGCTTTTGTGACTTCCGCCAGGACGCTGTCATTGACAAGGGGACCATACCCTGGAGCGTCCTGTGCAAATGTTATGGAGGATTTCATCTGGATCAAAGGGTCGTGTTTGCCGCTGGCAAGCACACCAGAAGTAAGAAAGGACTTTGGCCAGAAAAAAAAATAAAGGTACCGACTTGCTTATAATCAACTTTGAAACAACGATTTTCTCCGCGTCGAGATCCCCACTATCGATTTTGGCATTCTGAGACTGCAAATACTGCGTGAACACGGGCCCGAAGCGACCACCGTAGGACTCTGTAGCAATAATAAACCTAAGAAATCGAAACTGTCAAATTAACTGTAGATGATTATAAGGCGATACCCACTCATTGTTCTTATATGCGCTGAACGTGCTGTCGGCAAAGAAAATCTGAAAGGCCTTCCAAAAGTACGTAGCGGCCTGATCGGTGGAATTCACTAATGTTGACCCCGTCGAGTATCCAGCTCCAAACGGTTGATCGATATATATCACTTTGAACAAAGTAGCAATGAGAATGAGGGTCGGCTTTAGATCAATTCGAAGCGCTCACTGTTTGTATAATTATTCCAGCTATAAGGGTTGTACGTCGTGGAATTCGAGTCCGCGTTTACTGTACATGGTCCGTGTTCTAAATTTGATGTTAGCGTATCACCACCCCTTTCAATGAAATCAACAGAATTGCCCACGGTTAAGACATACCCTGGAAAAGTCCAATCAATGCTGAACAACCGGGTCCTCCATTCAACCACACGGTCAGCGGCTTATTACTAGAGTCGTTTCTCGCTTGAAAGAACCAAAACCACATAGCATCCTTTTCGTCGTCATCGAAATAAATATAGCCGCTGTATTGCGATACTCCTGGTGTCGTTTCACATATTCCCGAGTTTGTGGTGTAGTTCACTGACTGTGAAAGAGAAAAAGAAGTAAAGAAGGGATTAAGAATGAACAGAAGAGAGAAGAGGAAAGTGGAGAGCATCGAAGTGGGGATTAAGAAGCATTACATGGGAAACGAGAGACTATATACTTAAGCGACTTGCATGATGTGTTCGGGGTTGTGAATCCGACATGTCTCGGCATGCGATTTAGTAGTATAAAAAGTACTAGATTAGGCAGAAAACTGTAGAAATATATGGCAGAGGCAGAGGAAAGTCCTCATGAGTTTGCCTCCCAGTGACTAACAGCCTAACAGCTGGGGATCACTCTCCGGGCAAGTTTGAGTCAAATTTGCATGAGCGGAGCAAGATCGGCGATTATGAATTTCCCGCAATGAGACGTCTTAGACCTGAGTGGTACCCGCAGGATCAAGAAAGACGATGCAGGACCCTCTCAACACCAGCTGGAAATTTTTCAGGAGCCTGATACTCTTAGCCATATTTTTTTAAACCGTCGCCTTTGCCAGATTACCAAACCACAGGGTCACATAAAGCCCCGCCAAGTGAATCATCAAAACTTGGCGGATACGAGCTAAAGCACTACGCATGACTGTGGTGCTAGCCGCGTACGTAATGCGTTCCGATACCCACAGAGGGTTGCGCAGCAGTATCCAGAAAATCAAACGCCGCCAGTTCACTAGCATACCTAAGCGGCTTAGCAACTAAGAATTCGGTCAAGAATCTCTGCCAAGGTCGGCTCATGTCAGGTAAAGAAAGGAGAAATCCAGCCTCAGCTTCCAAATGCACTATCCCGTTTTCGATCTTGCCTCATCCTTTTCTTTGTTAAGATATAAATACCGTCCAATTCAGGGTGCCTCAGCTACTTTACGGATAACTATGGCAACGACGTGGCCAAATAAAAACGTTGTAAATATTAAACCGCTCATGGTATTCACCAGAAAGAATGTACGAAGGAGTGTTATGCACGAGCCATATTAACCTTAAACATCATGCAAGCAGATGAAAGCCAGCAGAACGGACACATTAGTGAGATTACACCGCCCCCACAACTAATCCGTCGCAGCTGCAGCGTCGGCAGTAGAGGTCGAGTACTCCCTATACACGACGAGCCCAACTTAGCACCACGCGGGTGAACCGCAGCAAAAGAAAAAAAATCGCACGTAAAGGTAAGCATGCTCGTAACGTCGATCAAGTACGGACTGTAGTCGACCAGAGCATGCTCGATCCTGCTCGCAGTATAGGTCGACACAGGGACGACAGTCCCCGAGTCGGAGACGTCACTGGAGGCGGGGGCCTACACAACGCATGAGTATCCATGATATAATTGAGCGAGAGGAACCATCAAGTACCGCATTGGCGAATGCCATGGCAAACGCAAGCACGACAGAAGTTCGCAGGAGGAATGCCATTGATAAACTTGCTATAATTCAAAGAGAGCGTTCGAAAGGTATGGTTGTTGTTGAAAAGGTACCATGGCGCTCAGGTTTAAATAGTCCGCGGTACGTGCGACCTTCGTGGCCTACATCTGCCGTCAGCGCTCGCTAATAAATAAGTACAGGAACGCGTTAACAAATTGAGCGCGCAGCTCCGGACCTGCGTCCTTCGGTTTCAGCGCTAATCGGGAATGATCATTTCAGGTTACTTACATACAAGGTGGAGTTTTATAAGTTCATTATTGGAGCTGACTCCTGAGTATATCGATGAGAACCGGTAGTCAAGAGCAGGTGCGTTGAAGAGATGCCCCAAGGACGAGAGGGTGAAGGATATCTAAAAGAAATGCCTCATGTTGATGTCAAATTCATCAGCACTTGTACACTGCATTATGAATTGCGCAGCAGAGGCATTTAGTACACTGCGAAGACCGCCTTGTTACCGTGGAGCGATATGCATGATGAACAGATACGCAGGCAGACGCAGCTCTCCGATGACATACAGCACTGTTCTAAACGAACGTGGATGCCTGAAATGCGACATATCATGAGAGATTCAACCTATATTAATCAATATGAATGCTTACCGCTGAACCTGTGTACCGCATGGAAGGGACGACTGTCGGAGTGACGCACCTTATTTGATGACGGTTCACACTGCCTCACAAGAATGCAGCTTTCATCTTTTTCTCTTGATCGTCACGATGGTACATACAACAGAGACAGAGAGTGCAGTAAAATAGGGAAAATGAGGACACAGAAAAAATAAAGAATGTGGGGTGATGAACGATGTGTACGTAGATAAGAAACCGTAGAGTAGCGTATATACAAGAGAAGGGAGATAAACAAGTAAACAAATGGATATGCAAATAATCCTACGGTGTAGGAGGTATTGTCGGCGTCGTTTTGGAGGCCGACTTGACTCTGAACTCACTCATTAGACATATGTGACTAAGAACGACATCAGTCAGCGAATCATAATTTGAAGAAGCATCAAGGACTTACTCTGATGGGAAGTGTGCATTTGGGAACCCCACCACCTTGTCTAAATACTCCCTGTCGACCTCACCCAGCACTGCATTCACTGCAAGCGTCGCTGTCGAATACCACACGTAATCGATGACGCCCCTAAAGCTCGGCGTGTAGTTCGTCATTGGTAGGATCTCTCCGCCTTGCCCTGTGCCGTATGCGCTCTTTAGTCCTAATCGATGCCTCAGCCCTTCCTCCGTGTACCGTCCATACACATGCTTCATGAAATCCTGGTGATCGGCACTGAGCACTCCATTTTGCAGGAACTCATAAACACCGCTCTCTGGCACTGAATTGAAATCACCGCAGATAATCAACGGTATTTTGGTCCCTTCGGAATACTTGGCCGGCATTCCTGCTGGTGGGGGATACAGGGTGAATGACGACGCTATCTTCTCGATCTCTTCCACCAAGAGCGCTACCTGTACGAGCTTGACATCCCGGTACACTGGATCCCAATGTATGTGTGCATTCGCAATCACATACCGCGTCCCTGTCTGCTTGTCCTCCAAGAGACAAATTACGGCGATATGGTCCTTGCCCAAAACCCGATTGAACATGTCATCTGTCTTCTTAAAGTCCTGTCTCTGCATTGCAACGGCGCTGAACTCGACAAGGATCTTCTCTACGAGCTTGAAGCGTGCTGCATTGTAGAAGGTTGCGCATCCGTCCACCATCCGCCGATCTGCTTCAGGCATTGTCTTTGCACGAGACTTTGGCCAGAAGACACCCTCGTAATCTCGCGTCTGCAGGTTCTTGACAAAGTAATCTTCGTACTGCGCGATATCCACCTCCTGGAGACATAGGAAGTCGGCCGAGTGGGAGACGACCTCGGAGAGAATAATCTCTTTTCTGTACTCCCAGCCGAGGGCCCACGATGGTGTGTAACCATACAGGCGTTCGGTCGCATACTTTTCGCACAAAATATTGTAGCAGAGAACGCTGAGCGTCTCACTGTTGGTACCGGCTGTTGACGATGGATCGAGGTGCTTCCACTGCCGTTCTGGAGGAGGGGGAAAGACGGGGCACGAATCGCGCAAGTAGGAAATGAGGGCGTGAGTGCCATCTTTTTGGACCATGGCCTTCAGTGGCGGTTCTATTGGGTTCCCTTCAATGCCGAGGGTTTGTAGTTGGTGCAACGTGCCTAGCTCATGGGGGATAGTGGTGACTTGGTTGTCGAAGAAATAGAGTTCCTTGAGCTGAGTGAGCATACCGAGCTCTGGAGGAAGTTGTTGGAGGTTGTTCCCTGAAATGTCGAGCAATTCGAGGTGCCGTAGGGCAGATATCTGTTGTGGTACCACCTCAAGAGCGTTGTGGTTCAGGTACAAATTAATAAGGAATGTGAATGAAAATAGGCCTGATGATGGAGGCAAATTCTTGAGACCGATGCCACCCATGTCTAGCGAACCCCAATTGTTTTGTGGTGGGGCGACCGCCGTTGGTCTCGGTGCCTCCGCTATGGGTGCGACTGTTGACGACGGATGGTTTTCATCGTCGACAGGCTCCTCCGGCTTGTTTGGATTCGTGATGGGAATAGCAGACTTTGCGACAGTCCGTGACGCAAGAGCATTGGCCCGCGCTCGGAAATGGGGTGAGCGTGACGACCGAACCGTTTCGCATTTGAAGAGCTGCTGCTGCCAGTGCTGCGTGATGATCTGACCGGCTGGCGAGCCCATCTGAGGCGGGGAAGGATAGTGAGATAGACCATTGTGAGACAGAGAATTCTGGTGGTGGTGGTGGTGGTGAGGCAGGGGCAATGGATGTGGATGAGCAAACAAAGCATATCCCGGCGGCTGTTGACCCGATGGCGTCTGTCGTGGCCATGCATGGTCTGCCAATTTGTGAGGCACTCCAGGAGAGTGCTGAGCGTAGTACATGGCAGAAAGTCCTTGTGACGTGTGACTCACAGTGACCGAGGCCTGCCGTCGGGCCGGATTGGGCGGGTGGCGGGATCACATTACACAGTCTTGGTTCTCTTTTTAATTGGGAAGTTTTCATGCTGCACCGAGAACCTAGACTCTGCGAATCTTGGATTACACAACTTGATCCCAGTATTTGTCTACATCTGTTGTCGATACAAGAGCCACCAGGGACAATCTATCATCTACTCCAGAGATCTTGCCTGCAAATTCTGTCTTCTGACCCTTGCAGAAAATGGGAGAGATCTATTGCCTCCATCTCTTGAGCTAGAACTTGTCTCGTCTGCAGCCGGCGCATGTTGATTACTTCCCCTCGTCCTAGGGCCCAATTTGACTTATACGGATGCAGCACTTCGCACAGCTCCGTCTTCTCAGAAATATTTCCGGTGGTCACTTTGTTCTTTCACCACGCTCCAGCAATGCTTCTCCCAAGGGGTGAAAATGCACCCGGTCCAGGTTCCCACTGTCCTGCCGGCTTCATCGCATCTCCTCCCGCTCTCATCTGAGAACTCATCTTGATGTATTCCGATGAATCTCCTCGACTCTCCATCAACAGTCATACTATAGAGTGGCCAATCTACCCTTCCGTTGCTTGCAAATCTTAAGGATCGAGCCTAGAACTACCCTTTCCATCGGACATTGCGCTCTGTACCTCCCTCTGAAGCCCAGGCATGTTCAGATGCCCTATCAGAGCCTTTATCCACCAATGAGGTGAACAACATTCAACCTTACTCGCCTCGTACATCTCGGGTGTAAACAACTCCAATAACCATCGCCCTCAGACTCATCTTTTCATACGTCACCGCAGATCATATCTGCATCACTGCAGGGACTCTATAGCGTCAGTCATAACTTCCTCACCGCTACTAGTCTCGAGCTAGAAATATTCAACTCCGGAAATTCTGCGCGCGCTTTGATCGCGTTTTCGCTGTTACGAGGGTTTTACTTTTTCGAGGCGCGAGGACCACCAGTCGAGACCTCGGTTCAGATGAGCAATGTCGTTCCGTGTCAGTGGACCGGAGGAACACCGCGCGAAGCTCTGCTCTTTTTTTTCCCTCTCACGACGTTAACACTGCCAACCGTAGCATACGCCTTCCCATAAAGTTGGTATGTTAGCCTCAAATTATTAATTATTATGATTTTGGGCGTCACATCAGGATTCAGAAAATAATATTGCTCCCACCACCGTCCGCATGCGGCCGTCTTACCATTCCGGATCCTGTATTCCCTTCTTCTATCACTTTCCTGCTGGCAAAGATATCTGGGTCCTGACGAAATTTTTTTGCCACTGAATAAACAGGGCCATGAACCGCGCTATCAATGACGGAAACGCACCATACCATTCCTAGTACCTGTCCACTTTCCGCTCTTCTTCGTGGCTGTTACCTGACTAACAAAGTTCCGCCACGAAGGATGGACTGGTCATGTCTGCCGTTGGGACCGTGGAATGCACATCTTGTATATTTGTTCCCAGGTACCTGGAACATAAACTGGCTCACCGTGTCCCTGTCAAAGCGTAGATATGTCGCTACAGAACGCCGAGTAGGGGATCAGGGACTCATCCACTCATTGGGAGTCGTGCTAAACCTGACAAGGTATACTACATTGACACAGGCTAGTTGTCGGTGTATAATTCTATCCCCTGTAAGACGAGTATGCAATAGAGAAGGTAGTCTCCTCATTTGCCAGATACTTGGTGTATGAAGAAAAAATGAGGTTGACTCGCCGAAATCACCGCTGTGGGCATTCCAGCGGCCCAATGACAGTAGAAGTCACAAGCAACGGTTTTAATGTTAGGTTATTCCAGCATCCTCACATTTCGTCACTTATATGCGAGATTAATTGAGATGATGTCGCTTAATTGATATCAGCTCACTCAAAATTATCAGGGGAAGACAAAGTCCTGGAACTACACATACCAGGTCGGCGCATAACAGTCCATGATAAATTAAATCGACCTGTACAGATAAAGAAAGGCCCGGCTGATACAACTATAAAACATATAAAATGCTGAGCTATCAATTTACGACAGTAGGAAAGTCGGAAGGGAATATATCCGCAACCGGTCTCGGCTTGGTCACATTTTGGATACTGTCTGAACCCCTATATACTTAATCCTAAATCTATGCGAAAAAAATACACAAAAAGCGATAAAACCATTATTAATAGTCCCATAAAAAACATAAATAATCACTGCATGCTCTATGAGTGTTAATGATTGTCCGCCCCGGCGTAGCCCCATTTCACCGTCCGAGTGACTCCGTTATTCCAGTCTTCGACTCGCTTACCGCTGACGAGACTTAATGTTGACCCGTCGGTGCCCACAAATCCGACAGCAAGACTATGGATCACGATGTCAATGATCGGACCATACCATTCTCCGTAGGTCTTGACAGTCCCTTCTTGTTCGTGGTCGACATATCCCCAGCCTAGGTAGTCGACCTCCTCCCAAAAATCCTCATCCTTTTCATCTGACGAAGTATACTCAGAAGGTTCCGAAGTCAAGGAGTCCTGAAAACGCACCTGTTGATATGATGATATGGATTACATCCAGACCAAGCTTCTCTCGCAGCTCTTCTTGAACTTCCTCTACGCGTCTCACAAATGCTGCAAGATCTGCATAGCATTCCTTGATAACCTCTGTTGCCCAACAGTTGCCTTTGAAATCTCCGTGCCGCACATGGACAGCGATAAACTGGGGTCCATTTATTATTAACACAATCATAGTTAAAAACCAAACAAAGCGAACTCACTGGCGGCAGTTGATTTGGAGCGACATCAAACACTCTCGCAGCATACTCCTTTCCCAATTTCTGCATATGGTCGGTGAACCTCAAGTGCTTCCCTACAGTCCTCCACGCCGGCGACCACGGACGAGTCCATTCAAATGAATCCGCCCCGGTACCGACATAATACAAGGTATCAAAACACGCCAAATGCCGGTCAGGGGGTCTCTTCTCGCCCTTGGGCGACACCTTTAGCAGTGGAAAAGTCTGGTCTCCGAACGCCGGTTGTACTGGATATATCAGAGATGCAAGGTTCCAAAAATTGGTGTGTCCCTCATCAAAATCTGACGAACGGTACATTTGATCGGGTACGCGTGTGTAGGATGCATCGAGAGCGAGGGCTCTGGCAAAGTTGTAGTCGGGACTAGCATCGTCCACATCGCGAGACCGCACGCTCCAGCATCCCAGCCCCTCCCATGATGCGGAAGGATCTCCCAGTTTCTTCAGAGGCGTCTTAATATCGGACCATTCAATAACAGGAAATTGAAGAACGTCACGGAGATGGGTGAGGTTGAACACATCTCCAAAAGCAATCACTCCAGCGTCATCAGCTAACAGTCGCCCTTTCAGACGCGGTAATAATACAGTGGCAATGATGCTCACTCACATATATGGTGGGACGGTGAAAATGGAGGGAGAACGGGGATTCTATCTGATATGAGCCCCAAGTAAATCAGATTGGTCTGGTGCACGGACATGCGCGTGAGCCTTCATACGAAGGACGCGAAATGAACACGCACCTGACCCATGAAAAGGTTCGCTAATGTGACGAGCTGAAAACGATGGCAATATGAACAATCCTGGCTACGCACTGAATCCTCCAAGACACCACGCTGTCAGGTAACTCTTATCTCTCAGCAGATTATCTGTATACGGATGCATGAAGCTCTAGAGGGCGCTGAGAAGTCATGTCACTCACCTCGAAAGTTGGTGCCTGGAGTTCCTCGCACATAATAGCTCGAGTCCCATGGCTTAAGTGTTGGCTTCGGTTCGACTGCAGAATATGATGTCGTTGTCGCATCTACTATGGTCGACTCCACCGCCAAGTCGTCATTTAAACATCTAGAGGGACAGACATCGTCTCTGGGCGCTTGTTCCAACTGTTGCTTGAAGACGCCCGTTTTCTTCAACAGATACAGCGAGATGTAAAGGAGAATTACTATCGAGATGGTATTCAGAATAAACACAGCAGGACCACTGAGGCGGCGGCGGGACATAACATAGCGGAATCTTATGCAAGGTCTTTTAGAGCACATAGAAGATGGGCACCAGCGCACAAGGGAGGTAGCATGCTTCTCCCGATTGGCTGTACACGAGGTATGATCGAGAAGAGATGATGGGAAAATTTGAATTTTCAATTATATGTTGATCCCCGTTCGGCTCGGGAGCGCCTCGGCAGAAGTCGGCGCGCTTTAAATAGCCAGATTGGGTACAATGCTGCGGTGCGGGTTATCGGCACCGACGGCATTTTTAAAGTCGGTAACCCCAAATAGGGAACTTCATGCTTAATGTTGCACGGAGCCGATGCATGGAAGTATATTATCTATCATTTCGGATCGAAAGAATCGGGGATTAAGCTATAGTGGTGAAGTGGTGTATTTACGCTGCACGAGGTCGATACATTCTCCGTGTCTGGATGTAGCACCATATAATTTGCCGCAGTCAGATTTTGGCGACATAGGCGGACAGTCCGAGAGCTCAGATATGCGAACCAACGTGTTTATGAATGAGGGTGATTTGTCCTAGAATTGTCCGTGAACATTCCACTTTGGACGTTCTACGTGTATTTCGTCTCAGTTCCCGCAAAAAAGTTCCGCGCAGGGACGGACCAAGCCTTTGTTGAAAATGGAGACTGACAGTATCGGAAGGATCAACAACTACCCAGCAAGACTAGCATCCATCAAACTGAAAATAGTAACGCAACAGTTCCGAATACCGCTGCCAACTTGGTAGTCTCAATACTTAGGGCGACATGACCTGCCAAGTAATCGAAGTACGATGAACGGACGGCCAGCGAGACTGGCAATGCACGTGCATTTCATCTGAAGCAAGAAGTTATCATTAACGGGAAGTGGATCAGTGAACATCGGAGGATCACCGCCAGTCTAGGACTGCCAGCAAAAATACTCGCACACCTTCTTGATCGGAATGACGGATCCGATAGCAGAAATAAAACTCTTGCTCTGTTTACATTTCTAAGGTCAATACAACTTTCCAATAAGATACCTACGAATGAAGTCATGCCAGCGTTTTTGGAATCCCATCAGGGCCAAGCAACGCTTCTTCTTCACCCAACACTCTCGGTCCATCGCCAACTTTCGTGTGAATGAGCCCCTTCACGGCTCCGATATCAAAAGACTTCGCCACCGCCTCATTGAATCCGTCCACGACGGCGCCTTGCACACCTTGCGTACCAAAGATCCCAAATACATCTTTGAAGGCCTCTCTTTGAGGGAAGTATTTGACAATCATCTGCACGATTTCCTTGACGTTCTCCTTTGGTGTATAAATAACCGCGTTCGGACCCGCATCATATGTATAAGCAGCCTTGACCTTCCCGGTCTTGAGTACTGCCACACGGTTATACTCCACGACCAGTGCGATGATAGCTTTGGAGACATCGTTCATGTAAAAGATCGGCGGCTCCGTGTCGAGAGCAACAGCATGAAACTGATTAGAATCGGCCATCGTGATCTTTGCGAACGTATCAAAGTCGCGCTCAAGGATAGCCTTGGAGATGTCTGCCATGCGTTGAGGGACGACATGCTTGATGCGATGCTGCAGGAGAGGAGAGGTCTCGACAGTGCGCTGCATGCCTGAAGTCGAGGAGGTGCCCTTCTTGTCATCGGAAACGACGCAAATAAGGGCATGAATATCGGGCCAGTGGGATTGGGGAGCGATTTGAATAGCGTAGGAGTCTTCACCGGTGGGGGAGGTCCCTTGTTCCCAGGCGACGTATCCGCCAAAGAGGGAGCGGCAGGCTGAACCGGAGCCTTGTCGGGCAATCAAGGATAGGGCAGAGGCGTCACAAGGGAGGGCGTAGAGGGTTGCGATGGAGGAGACGAGAGCAGCAAAGCCAGACGCTGAGGATGCCAGGCCGGCGGCAGTCGGGAAGTTGTTGAACGACGATATGTGGACGGGAAATGTCGATAGCTGGTACGATATCAATCAAACAGCTGTATGCAACGATCAGCACGTACTTTGGGTGCATCCGGATCCTTGTCTTCGACAAGTTCTTTTCGAAGGCGCTTCAGTTCAGCGATGCAAGTCGCCATTCTGCCGCCGTCCTTTATCAGCTCTTCCTTTCCATTTAGCCATAGTGTGTCCTTCTGGAACGATGGGTCTGCGCGCGACGTCGTCGTCGACCGAAGGTGGTCCTGGTCAAGTGTCACTGAGAGCGAAGAGTTGGTGGGTAGGATGAGTTTGGTGTCCCGTTTTCCCCAGTACCTTGACACGACATCAGAGCAAATCATGAAGAAAATAAGCCTACGCACTTTATACAAGCAATGTTGACGGGCGCAGAGGTAGTCGCTTGGTAGATGGCCATTGGGAGGTCGCGAGATGATGGTATGATACGATACCTTTATATTTTATCCGCTGAAGAGAGACCGGGGTAGCGCTGGCTGGGACAGGAGATTAAATCATGAAACACAGCGGTGGACTTGATCCATATAGGACATACCTCACAGTGCACCTCCGAGCGGGATCAGCGAAAGCCTGACCCATATCACAAAAAGAGACCGTGATGTGACTGCATGTGACAGCTTCGAAATTGTCTCAAAGTCAAGGGATCCTATCTGCCTCCTGTTTTTGTCTTGCTATACCAGAACTCAAAGGAAAACAATACATACACCATTCCTGTGTTGTCTGAAGCACGGTTGATGAGTATATCGCTGATTGGCTGCGTGCCGAGTTTGTCGGTGGTGAAAATCGCGGTGAAAATGTAACCTGAACCTGTGGACAGCTTCAGGAACAGAATAATACTTTCGAACGTGCAGTATCATCAAGTTATCACCCGTTCACCCATCCTCCCAATACTGGAACACTTTCACGTCAATCCAAACACAGTAGCACAGGATCAACACGATCGAACATGCAGTCTTCCAGTGTTTCATGGCACTATGCACAAACATACTGTCAGCCTGATGCACCACGAATTCGCCATGTCTGTCTTCTGGGTCCTCATGCCCTTACATCCCAGGAGCGGTTACCTAACGTGCGGGGGAGACCGTCTCCCCATAGACTTAAAGCTAGTATCAATACAAAAGAGCTTACCATAGAAGAAGTCGTCGTCATAACAAAGCCTTTTCGAAGCAGTATTCGTAAGTGTCGACCGGATATCAATGGTTCGCCTTGGTCTGGTTCAGTGAGTTTCGCAGAGACCTAAGTAGCGATTTATTTCTGTCACGATGAACGCAAAACATACCTAATCCATACGGAAGCTCGATGAAACCAAGCGTAGGTAGAAGAATGTCGTCACGTAACGCATAATTGCAGAGAAAGGCAAGCTGAATACCCCCAGGTATACGAAATGAGCCGTTGTGAGGTTCCCCCGTCCAACCCACATTCGTTGGGCAGATTCCTATGATATAGAAGAGCCAATACATTGGTAGACCTTAACTACCATCAGCCCGTTCGGCTTTGCGCAAGGTCCGAGGGAATTTTAAGGTAGTTTCCGGGTGAGACGACGTCGCAGAGCCTATTGACTTCGCCGGCTGACCCTCTTCTCTACGTTTAATCTGATGGTGACAGTGTCAACCTTCGAATAGACATATTCATCGCTCGTGAGAACGGTCGCATACCAGGATTCGATGCACTGAGAAGGTCGACAGACCCACCCACATCCATCATAAGCCGGGATCGGCGGAGATCTCGTAGAAGCAAAGCTCTTGTTAGATTCGTTAGACGTACGCTATTGCGTGAGCGAAGTCTGGACCGTGCCAAAAATCAACCCGATGCAAAAAAAAAAAGAAACACAGTTAGCCGACGTGATACTGATATTTCCGTGAGATGGGCAACGAGGTAATATAAGCTTACCGTGGGATGAGGACAACGCGAAATCAGACACCATACTCACGTAGGGGTAAGTCTGGTGTCAGTATCCTCGAATGAAAAGATTGGGGCAGATCATTCACCGAGCCCTTCAAAGAAGCGTGATATTTCCGTAAGATGGGCGGTAAAATGATTATCATTCGCTTATAAGCTGAGGGTCTTCTCCGGTGGACCTCGCGAGCCAGTTTTTTTGTGCAGGATTTTCTAGCATCAGAACTGGAACAAAGTCTGCTCATAGATTGTCCAGGCCAGGCCAGTACAATCTGTTGGATGGAACACAAAAATAATGCAATCAACGAGTAGCCAAAATTTCCGGTGGAATGAATACGGGTTGCAGACCTTGGGTCGAGCCCTAGTTCCTTCAAAGAAGTTCATCTATATCCCCATACGATGGGTGGCAAAGAAGTCTGACTTCCCCCCTGAGCATGTGAGCATCCCGCGAAGGTCTAGCAGAGGAAAATAAGCCATTGTATGATACGCGCCAAAACTCCCGGATCCAAGTACAGCCCTGAAAATGACGCACCTTCGTCAGCTGGGTGGCGAAAAAACTTTATCCACCAATTGAGTTCTGCATCTCCTGAAAAAAAGCCCTTCCAGGAAAAGCGATAATTTCAAAAAATTTTGAGCAGCGAAACTGAGATCGATTCATCTAGCAGGTGAACTGTTCTTGGACATACCCGATTCCCAGGCCGCTAGTAGAGTGGTCAGCTGAGTAGAAAGAAGACCGCCTCAAGTACGTGAACGGGCCTTTGACAAGATACAAACTGCTCAATGCATGACAGTGGTCGACCTGAAGTAGTTAACGCCCCTGGATTGTTCGGTCATGGACCTCAATCAGAGGGCTCGAACAACGTTCAGACGCCCCGCCAACAGAGATTTCGATTTCTGGACAGTAGAGCTTCAGAGACGTTCAATTTTTCGGCGCGTATATCCAACATCAGGACACGACATTGTCAACAGGCCGCATAGAAGATTACATAAAAGAGGTACTTAGTGTCGCTATGCCCAAGAATGGCGTTAGCATGACCTATTGGTGCCTACAAACGATGTCCATGTCTGGTACTCGCGCGGGTTTGCGCAAAAGTAGTAGCCAACTCCAACAGTTACTGCATCGTGAGACCAGATGTGTCGTCATAAGCTCGTAATACAGACCCTTGGTTAGCTATCTGTTCTTCACGTTTGTTCCCTGAAGAGATTCCATCTAGGGAATACGAATGAAAACATGAAGTTCACTGGATGACAGACGCCGCAAGAGCTTTGCCGCAAAACTTGCGCTGTTGTCGCAATTTTCCTTTAGCATCAAGAGTCCACTGAATTGGCCCGACAGATGGCTCTCCGATTCGGTATTTGTGGCGGGCTGCAGAAAAGATGCCAGAGTCAAAAAAAAAAGAAACAAAGTAGTGACCAAGTATGTACTAGCGCAGCGCCTCCGAGTCGGTTTTTTTGACCCTTACGCATATACCGTCACTATAAGTCCCCACGGGCCGAGGAGTGTCGAAATGTTTCCCATCAACAAAAAAAAAGATCAGCGTTCGAAGTTTGAGGTGTTCGCTGAGATCGCAGCTAGGGAGTAGGTTCGAAGGCCAGCACAGTACTCAGTCGAGCGGAAAATTCCGAGAGTAAATAGCCCTGCCTCCTTCGCGGTACGATCCACGAGGGATCATGATGGCTCCACTGGCAAACAACAGTAATATCCTATGTTGTTCTTGATGAATATCAACCAGGGGGGATGAGCCGCAATTGGCCGCCGGTTCCCACGAACGACTCCGGCCCGCTTGTCCGACATGCTCTCGACTATTCAGTTATCCCCCACGCCCACATGTTCGAGGTAGAGACACGTAAGAAAAAGCGTGTCTTCACGAGAAGAATGCATACGCTCACGGGGTATTTAACGCCACTACCAAAGTAGGATTCGGTCTCTTTATGTGGTATCCTGAACGCGCCCCCGTGGAAGTACTAGGAACGCCGTGTTCCGATTCCTTATCCGGGTTCTGTGGGTTTGTGATAAGATGTATGTATCGGCGTGGACGCCGAGGCTCAGGGTAATGCATGTAGATACTGATGCCCTCCATTCATTATGAAGAAGGTCAAAGCTCGGAGGCAGAACGTTTGAGAGACTCGGAGGCGTAATGGTTCCGTTTGCTAACATCGCTTGTGAGGAATACATTCGTAATATAGCCGTAGGAAGGACAATCATGCATATCGACTTTTCGAGCACCGGCTCTAATGCGTCCTTAATACCGGGCAAATACTAGGAGCGATGCCATAGTAAGTACTTCATGCTGGAGTAGAGAGCGCCACTAGAGACAGCGACTCTACTATGAGGGATTAGTGGCGAGAGAATTCGAACCTTGGGCTCGAGTCCCACAGCAAGTCGCTCTAAAAGCACCGAGACATATATGTCTCTCCCGTCACTGAGATAACAAGACAGACTCTTCTGAGAGTGAGCACAGGACACGCGCAATTATCCGGTGATATGGCTGAGAACATCCGGTAGGAGCGGCACCTGGGTCGACGCCACATAACGATTATGAATTGGTGAGACGAGTGGGTGACTGATGCGTTGTACCTTCATTATCTTGAAATTAAGAGGATCAACCAGTCCGCGTCCGAAGTGGACACAACCAGGGGGGTAACAAAAGGAAGACCTGTCAGAAGACTCGTTACAGAGAGGAAGGAAGCCCTCTCGGGAATGCCCTTTTGTACAAGGTGCTTAAATAAGAAATGGAACGAGTCGAGTCGGTGTGGCGACCGTCGATGAAATTGATTGTACACCCACATGTGATGAAATTGAAAAGCGAAGTGAAATTTTAGGTGGCGCAAGGGGGATAACTGCGAAAAGTGGTTACCGGTTACAAGTGAAGATAGGCGGCCACGGAAGTAAACGGGGAAAATCCAAAGATCGATCAAAATGATCGTAGGAGAGTCGGCTGGTCCGCATGGTGGAAAGAAAGTTCAGGCAGTAGCCGGTCGTTTGGGGGAAGTTCACGAACGGGAAACGCCAGAAGAACAAGGCCGCACAAGATCTGACAATTGCAATGACAGAAAGCGTTGATGGGTTCCAGGTATTTTACATCACCGGTGGCTCAAGCTGTGCCATGCCGCGTGGTGCTGCCTTGCCAGTACCTGCGCCATTGCCACCACGATGCCAAGGAATGTTCCTGGCAGTAGGGGGACAGAAGTACACCGGTCGCAGCATGGAAATTTCAGGAAAATAGCTGAAAAACCGGGGGATTAACGACGGCGAGGTGGGGAATGGTCGGAAGCAGGGACGCAAGGCGGGCGAAAGAGTGTGGCCGTGTTTGTTCTTGACAACCACGTTCCTTACCTGGCTTCTTTTTGTATTACTTTTTTCTTTCATTCCTACTCTAATAAGGCTTTGTTTTGCAATGCCTATTCAGCGCATCACTAGACGCACTCCCTTACGGAAATCGCTTTCTGACCTGCCCTCATCCACGTTCTTCAGTATGGCAGCACCCTCGTCGTCATTCTCCCTCATGTCGTCCTTGGCTACCAGGAAAAGTTGCTTCAGAACAACATTTCTTGCCCTTTTCGTGATCTGCTTCTTGTCTGCCTACATTTTTGTCTTTCAGCAGCGAGCACTCCAAGCACCGCTCGGCCTGAAGCGTCCCGAGCCAGTTGCTGATCAGATCGAAAAGGCCCTGGAGACGATACGGACGTCGACTAATGCTGCTACTCTTCGCAAGACCTATACCAACCAGCCGCAGCTGCGGCTGGACACGACACAGGAACTGGCTGCCGTCTCCAGCTTCCTAGCGAGTCTGCCCCAAAATGTCATTCCATCTTTCGTAGACCCTTCCTCGCCCATAGATCCCCAGCTTGTCGTCGACTTTGATCCCCAAAGTCCGCGAGTCTCTGATGAGATACAGAACATGATTGATGATGTCTGGACCCGGCATCCTGTTTTCCTCTACTCCAAGGTGAATTTCTTCATTTTTCGCTTCTCGCCTTTTTTGACTAACAGTCGTCTTCGCAGCTATACTCGCCCGTATCGCGTGAGATAAAGGCAATCTTGGCGGGCCTCCATCTGCATCCAGCTCCCATGATCATGGATGTCGATGTCCGTGAGGACAGCACCGTGCTTGAGCCTCTCCTCGAGAGGGTCCTATCCACAGATGATCTGCCCATTCTCTTGATCGCCGGTCATTACGTCGGGCCGATATCCAATATTCGTTCTCTGCATGAAAGTGGCGAGCTCAAAGAAATGATCAAAGCCGCCGGCGCTGTCATTGACGGTGCCAAGAGGAAGCACAAAAAATCATAGTGGCTTTGTTGTTTTCTCTTGGACATCTTTGGTCGCTCGTACCACTTTTGTCTATTTATGAACGTTCTACGCTATTCACGGACATTGCATGCCTCCATCAGTCATCCAATGGTGGCCTTCACGACACCCCATTTGCTGTGATAGACTCCATATTAAAAGTCTCTGCCATTCAATATTCAATCACTGTAAACTACATACCGTCTTTCCTCGTCATACCTTAGGCATATTCCCGATCTATCCATACACCTTGTCCTTGTTTTTGGTAGAACTAGTCTCCATTTCCTTTTTCCCTTCCAGTGTTATGTAGGTCGTATTCCATATTCAACGTACATAATATTGTACCTCTCCATCCATTGGCCCTTCATTAACAATGGATATCACCTTCTCTCCGACTGGACTCGGAGTTGTACTTAATTCCACACGTCTGTCTCTGAGGTTGCTTTAAGCCTATCTGAATGCGATACCGTCATCGTTGAACTATTATGTACTATGATCAATATGAAGGTGGAGGAACCGTCTTTCCGTATAGGTCGGTGAGTATATTCCTGCTTGCCCTATGCACGTCCGAATGTATCCAATGCGAGCTGTCAATCAGCACTAATCAGTTGAGATGGATGGATGGCTGAATGGCTGATCCGTTCGAGTTCTCAGCTGAAGGAATCAAACAGGAAGACCTGGAACTTCTCCTTCGACGCAGAAAGCATCGGAGAAGGATGACATCAAATGAATAAACGTGTAGTACATCGCACGAACACACGGATGCAGTGCATATGCCAAGGTGAAAGGCGCCGTTAAGACTGGATCCGCCACGGTTAAAAGATTAAAGTATGCAGTCGTGGGTACGGTCGTACTATGATTATCTTCTTATGTCCGGTACGTCCTCGCAGTGTAGAATAGCCGCTAAGCTACAGTGAATGGTGTCAGTCGATGGAATGTATTAGAGGCAGCCGGTCCGGCACCTTTCCGACCAGCAAGGAAAGCAACATCTACGTTGTTATTGAGGTACGCGGGTATGTGGAAGAATGAGCGTATCCTTATTGGTCATGCGAGCTCCACTGTTATAACGCAAGTGTCAAGGGTTGGGTGAGGGTAAAGGATAGGCGAGGGACAGCGTCCCCGTCGTAGACCGACAGGCGACTGATTCGCGGGTACGAGCTTAAAAGTCAGATGGATGAACGGCGCGCCGTCATTCATTGCAGGGCACCGGGAGCTGTGGGCTCGTGGGGAAGGGGAGTAAATATTTGTTTGTGGGGGTGAGATAAAAAAAGAAACCCTGTGTGCATGTACGTACGCGTGTAACGGGCGCGTTAGAAACACCGGCGGAGCAGCTATATTCAGCAACATGCGAAGGGTAGTTCGAGTCGAGCCTCTAGGTCCTCACGTCTCATGTCAGGACTCGCACGAATGGACCGGTAGTAGCGAGCGCTTCGATGCAGTCTACGGCTTGATGGATCATTTACGAGACATAGGCACCATCCGGTTTTAATGATTCCCATAGGAGGGTTACTGTGACCTTCACGGTAAACAATCAGACACGTGTCTGGTAAAAAAAAAATTTAGATGGGATGGACCTACATGGTCAATCGTACCCAAAGAAATGGAATGAGGTCAGTCCGGAGGCGACAAAGACGGACAGGTAAAGTGACCGAGACAGATTCCTTTAGACTATATGTGCTGAGCCCTGTTACTAGTTTGCCGGGCCGGGTCCAGATTTACACAGTCAACACACACGAAACAGAATCGGGAGATGGATGATGAGAACCTCTACACGAGATTTGAACGGCGTCGGTGCCAATTTTCTAGGAAATCTTTACGGCGTTGGGGAGGGCGAGACCTGAGTAATAAACACGTTGAGAATAGGATGGGAAGATGCCTGATTGTGTTCTGGACGTTCCGAGGCTCGGAAAAGTCCCTGTCTATGTAAAACACGAACGATAACTTAACCCCATGAATGGAGAAGTTTGGATGGTCTGATCCCTAGGGCTTGACATTTGGGCACAGTCCCCCTGAATAGATGTGGCGGTGGGACTATGGCCAGGGAATGAGGTTTTTGCGTCATGCTAAGTAGGCTAGGTCGTTGTGGTTTTGACTGCCGTTGTTGATAATCAATTTAGAGGGCGCTTAAATATGCAGGGTAGGAGAACTTGTGACCTGGGGGTGCGGTTACATTATTCCGAAATGTGCAGTGGATCCTTGGTGGTGCCTCAGAATCGAACGCCTGAAAGAAATTGCTAGCTTAGATTGAGAAAGTTTGATATTATGTGGAGATGCGTCAAGTGCAAAGTTGCGTAAGGATACATTAGGAGGGCTAGGCTCGAATTGAATTTTTTTAGCGAAATCTGTCACGGTGATTAGATTTGAATAAATTGAAAGATGGGAGTCCGCCCTTAGTTAGTACATCCCTGTGCCAATACCGCTTGTAGTAAAAAGAACTTGCGAGGGTTGGCGCGCGCCTGCCGGACCCGTAGTCGCTCTCCTCTCAGCTCTTGTTATTTCCTGGTTGAAATCCTCGCCTACGGCCGTGACACTGAGTCAAGAAAAAAAGAGATCGATTCGCTGTACCATTCGTTGGGTATTGGGCAAAAACAATCGGCACGAAAGTCGGAATATCGGAGATCCCGGCATCTTTCGGCAACTTCTTTGTAGTGCTTTGTCCCTCTGACACAAAGCTGTGCACCGCCCTTACGATTTTAGTAACCGACATTTTTTTTTTCCTAGGTCCCTTCGCATGTACATGTTCCCATACGGAAGGCGTGTGCTACGGTGCCGTGTTTCCCAAGCTAGGGAGATCTGATTTTAACGCGAGGGCATTGCCATGGGGTCCGGGACATCGGACTTTCAACGGTTATCACCTCCTTGATGGTGATTCGCGCGCAGAAATTACACCTTTTTAGGCATAACCAAGACCACTAATGTAGGTATTTCATCATTCTTTTCTTGTCTGGGCTATTGTATCTTGCAAGTCTGGAGAGCAAGCGTGTCTCCAACAGGCCCTCACGAACAATTGACGACTGACGACTCCGGATGCATTAACTATCTGTTTGGGTGATCCTTGCTCACACCGACAACAGTTACAGCTCTCAATCGTCCACGTCTACAGATTCTAGGTCCTTTCAATCTATATTTGAATTTTGATGCCCTCTTTATCAAGGCGCATCAATATGATCCTCCAAAGGCGATTTATTTCTGGCCAAGGTTCAAGTGCAAATTTGTGTGGAGCCCTCAGGCTCGAGATCATGAAGAACCCCAAATTACATCTTTCAATATGATGATACCTAACATTAACAGATTGCTTCGGACCGGCATCAGTATCGGTACGAATCTCCAGAATCTCGATGAGAGGCGGATTTTTATCGGTGCTAGGGGGAATAATCCCTGTTGTCAACGAGCCCAATCGTGCACTAAACCATTTTGATGGGACCAATATGTTCGACTAGGCTATGTTTTTTCATAGTCTCATCACTTGCATCCTACTCGGTTCAGTAACATTCCATATGGTCACTCCCCATGATCGCCGCCGTTGCAGAGGAAGAAGACCGGTCTGTGTGGCGATGGACGGCACGGCAAGACGCGGCTGCTGTGTTCTTTGCGTGCGTTGCCTCATTTCGACCGGGAGACACCGACTTTTTTCTTACTATATTGAAGATTATCGATCGCAGGCTTGTAATTCCACCCTGTCGGAGTACACATCTTAAGTGAAACTGATACGGCCCGAGTTACTGGATTTACGAAAGTCCAGTCTAGAATGTCTCTTCTCTAATCTCATCGCCTGACCTTGGTAAGTACATACTTACATGTACAGGCCCTGCTTCAACATGACTATTTCGTACACTTAGCTTCTGCTACACCTGCTTCTCATGTCGTTTGCCTGTCATTCCCAATAAAGGCATCCGGAGGTCAACATATCTCCCTTAATTGTCGTGCTGTGTTTGAATAATAAAGGTACGCAAATATCTTCCCGGAGTGTGATCCAATGATAACAGTCCTTAAAACTCTATTAGTGAACTTCGTTTAACATCAATGCTTTCGAGTCGGTGCCGTAAACGCGAACTCCATCTGTCATATGCCATTCGCGCACGGGGATTATGCTTTTCTGATAAAACAGTGCCCCACACAGAGAACACCCCTCATTATCCGCTGCCCTCCCTCCTCCCTCAACTACGTGCAGGCCATGTCTCAACGAGCCACCATCACAGGTCTACGCCTCCGCAGCCCTTCGGACGCGAGGGTCATCTTCCACGCTGTCCATCTGAAGATTCTGCCGATGGTCACCCGTCGGCTCGATAATGACGAGAGAAGCCTCATCCAGCCAGGATCCGTCTATGTCTGGGAAGAACGCGGCCCCAATGCTGAGCTCACTGGGGTGAGTGTCGCTCAATATTGCCATCAGTCCAAGGCTCATTAATGTCATAGACCGGAATAGAGAGATGGACTGACGGTTTGTAATTGAACGCCACCATGTCATCATCGCCTGACCATGCATCTAGGCATTCGATGGGGTCCGTCGCGCGTGCGCGAGGTACGTCGGCTAGTCGTGCGTGTCCGGCGCTCATGACTGATTTCTCTGTTTCACCCAGGGGTTTCTCTTCTATCAAGAGAAACAAGATGATCCCAATTTGTATGTCGTTAATGCCTATAGGCCATCCAATGTGTACGCTGTACCTCTTTGCCCCTTATCTTCCCGTGCATTAAGCTCGTCATTTAGGGATCCCGCCAAGATGATCTTAACAAAACAAACATACACCGTTTTCGTCGTCACGCCTGCCGGTAAAAGGAAATGGCACCTAAGTAAGCCCGTACAACATCTCTTCATTTAATCTCCTGTTGAATGATTATTATTCCTTTCCAGTCGCGTATTTCACCGATGCCTCTCTCGATCGGCTGAAAACAATCGATGACATACCTCAGCTGGCGACTTTAGCCGTCCCCCACGAGAAATACCAGACTGCACGCGCAGCAAAGGGGCGACCGGAGCACATATTTAATATGGCACAGTCCCACGGTGCATCATATCCACGTCTGGAATACGTTCCATACACGCCCAAACATATACCGCCGTCTCCGTCGCCATCGCCAATTGACATTTGTCCCACTGTTCTGCGATCCGTCTCGACATCCCCCGGTGCTAGACGCCAGAGTCCAAGCGCCACTCCCCCGCTATCGAAAGATACCCCCTCTCATCGCCACGCCACAATCCAATTCTCTCCCAGCTCGCTTCCGCCTCTAGAGTACCTGCGGAACCAACCCAGAGTGCGCCGTTTTCCTGGCGATGAAATGGCTCTTGCGAAACTCGCACACGGGCAATAATCGTCCACCGATTTAACGGAATTAAGTATTGATTTTCACACCTGATGACTTGGGTTGTATTACTAGTCTACTCGATTTTCATTCTTTCTGTAATTATTCTTTCATTCCCACCTATTATATTTAGTATTAACTCGATATCACTGTTGTTGTACTTATTCCACCACTTTGAAGACTTATGTTTACGACCAGTCTTTACGAGCAGTACGACACGATGTCTATAACGTAGCACAATGGGACCTTTTTGCTATTTTTTTTAAAAAAAAAACAACCTGGATAGAGCTTGAAATTGAGGCTTTGCACCCAGAGCTGTTTCGGAACGCGTGGATCCAGGTTACAACTTTGAATACCGGATATTCAAATTTCGTCGACTACATCGATAGCGAAGAAATTTAATTAATAAGACAGCAATAGGAAAAGGCCATTATAAGGGGATATATGTTGTTCGTACACGGTACGGGTCACCTTTACCCCTCTGCCGCGTGATCCATGAAGATTGCCTGTTCAGTGTATCCTCATTCAATCCTTCTTAGAGTTCACCGCGCCTCCCATCAGGGTACTTGGCAACTCCTGGTTCCCAACGTGGAACAGCAATGATACGGATCCGACGCATAGGAGAATAATGACGATGACCGTCCCTGCGAGCAAGACGAAGGGTCTAATGTCACGTCAAATGAGCGCCAGTTACCTAGAGAATGGAGAAACAAGTCTTACCCACTGACATCCCTCCTTTCACAGCTCTCACCGACCCAGGCCTGGGTCTTTACTTGGTTTCCCTCGCCAGTTGTTGTAACACCGCATGCACAGACAAAACATGTCTTTCCAGCTTTAGTCGCCTGAACACATTGTCCTCTCCCAGAACATGTGGAGGTTTCTTCGTTACAAACGTCTTCGGTAGCGAAGCACGTTGAAACGGAACCTATGGGTTCCTGGGGTGGGGCATGATCAGAGGGGAAAGGAATCTGCGACTGCAAAGGGCTTGATTGTCGCTTAGAGTATGAAAGAGTAGGTGGTGGAGTATAAGTCAGGATGGCGAGCTGTACGCGGTCCCGATCGAGGCCCCGTTCAAGGAAGGCACGGATTGTTGACGCAGCCTCTGCGAATTCTTCACAGGCAGAACCGTAGGTCTTCCGTAGAGCTGCCAGCCCTGAGAAGTCGAGAGCTGCAAATTCTGAATCTTCCGCCTCATCGAGGAAGGCTTTCAGGGAATCGATATTTTCGAAATGAGAAAGAGAAGGGCTGGCTTCGTATACTGAGGCATACGCGTGTCTGGCTCGATGAAGATAGGTTGATATGACGGAATACAGAGACGATATTGATACAGAAGAGGGAGTCGACAGCTTGAATGAAGGAGTTAATGAAGAAGGTAATATAGCTAAGAAAATGTGGTATACGTCAGTCCATTTCACAATACCAACTTGATACAGCTCAGCGCACCTTCCGCGTCATATTCTTCCATGGTCAGCAAGAGAATATTCTTCTTTCCCTTTCCGACGAATACCTCATCCTCATACAACGGTGCCGCCGAGTCTCTGAATGGTTCAAACAATTCAAGTCCTAAATGATGCGACAGAACAGAGCTTGCGTCAGAGGGCGACAATGAGGTCCTGAAGGTATTTCTTTGGGGGCTGAGGTATACTTTAACGCCCAGCGTTGGCTGCAGGACTGACAGCAACAGACTAAAGGAAAGGAGACCCAGCATTCTTGGGTGTCGAGGAGGGAAGAGAATATTTGGTGTTGTTTCACCGCGTGGCTCTCGCCTCCCCAATCAGGCAGCGTATCGAGTGGGGCTTGTTCTTCTACCACCATGAACACTATATTCTCTCTCGCCCAACACTTCTTATTCCCATTTAAATGGTATAGGCCTCCACCATTTTGCCCCCGTAATACTAAAGTCTCTCTAGTCTCTTCATGACCGCTCCTATAAGGACAAGTGATCAAGAGTACAGGAAACCTTTACCTCGATTGCCACCAGAAATGTGGCTGGAAATCTTTCAGTTTGCAACATATACGTATCACTCGATTGCCCCAATGGACCCATTTACTCAGAAACACATATCCAACAATGCCATGGGTCCTAATACGCCACTCCTTGCGCAACAGACGAAGCGAACCCTTGTCCTCGTCTGCCGATCTTGGAGGCAAATTGCAACCCAGATTTTATACCACCATGTTGCTGTATTGAGTCCCTCTAGAGCAACGATGATATTGCATGCCCTCCAGAAACACTCTTACGCGCTGGAGGTGACAAACGACAAGTCGTCCAAAGTACGAGTTCGCATATCGGAGTATGGCCGTTACGTGAGGCATTTGGAAATTCACACGCACTCCAGGAGAGCAGAAAGCGCGCGATACCTCGAAACACTCTTTCGCATTTTTCAATATTGCCCCAATCTTCGCATTCTTGATGGCACATGGAACCATCGTCTTCCTGTCGAGTTCATCACTGCGGTCGCCAGGCTGTATGGGGCAACGCTTCGTGAACTGCATTGGCAGGACCAGAAAGACATTAGTGTGGTTACGCCCACTGATTTGGCGTGCTTCCAAGCTCTACGTGTTATCGATTTGCGGGATTATTCAGGCTGTGACGCCAACGTTAGCAACGCCGAGAGGCCTACCCTTCCTCTCGTTGACCATCTTATTCTTTCTACGCGAACTACCAGCCTCACCGTTGCGACCGATTTGCAATTGCCTCGTCTTACTAAACTTACGCTAAGAACCCCAGCCACTGAGTCCGTCGCCTCTGATCGTGCGATAACCCACTTCCTCGATGTTCACGGTTCCCGTCTTACCGCCGTTGACCTCCCTTCTCCGTCACCGGATTCTGATCCTGATCCTGTTTCTGTGAGACAGGTCGCCCGAACGCTTGCCCACGTCAAACCTGCCTTGTTTCTCAAATCGGGTGTGTGCCCCAATCTTGATACCCTAACTTTCGCGGTTACGGCTCCTATCATCACCCTAGCCGACCCTCACCCCACTCTCCGAAGGATTGGCTTACGCGACGTACGAATGGATGGATTGTACCCGGGCAAGAACAGTAACACCAAGTTCCATCTGACATCATTCAACCGAAATACATTTCCCAATTTAGAGACGGTGAGGACAGTCGACTTCCTGGTGGAAGCGGAGACGGATACTATGGCTGAGGACATTTTCATCTGGTGGTCCGAGAGATTTGAGAGTGACGGTATTGATTTTCAAGACGGTCAAGGGATAGTATGGGCCTATGAAGAGGAGAGCGAGAGTGAAACATAGGCGCGAAGCCGGTGAGGATTTGATTATGATCAGTTATTTGTTTTTCTTTCAGCCAGAAATGTCATACTTACACTATATTCTACACTTTGCATTAGGATACCACTAGGAATATTACATTAAATTCGAATAACCGGTTAAATGGACAACGTGTACGATAATCAGTCAAGGGTCGCGGTCAAGCGATAATCAGCCCGACAAAATAAGGGGCAGGCACTATCATCAGGAAGTATCATGTACGTACGATCTGCGGAAGAATACTGACAAGCTAATCCCCTCGATTAAGAGCTAGCTACGCACTATTAGCTACCTCTGCCACACGGTGGCGAAGCTGCCTCGTGCTGCCTCTGTACCGACTGTCCCCCATAACTATAGGCGACGAAGAGAGATCAGGACATAATCTGTGTATGATGGTGGCGTCGTGACTGACCACCCCACCCGATCTCCGCCGGGGAAACGCGTCAACAAGTAGAAACCCCTTGCTACATTTCTGACCTTTCATTGTTAACTGCGACGGCTCTCGGTCCGCAAATAGCATCTCGGGTCCATTGAGAATGAGAAAGATTCCCGTGCCTCAAAATGTTTGTTTTTGGCAAGTGGGGATGATTTCAAGGGTACCATTCACGCCGCTTTAGGAAGATATTTCTGGGCTAGAGCCGCGGTCCTTCATCGCTTTCGATGCTAGGAGGAAATCTGGAAACGACCTGCTCATCGACATCAATTTGGACTCGGCATCTCTGAGCGAGAGACACGTAAGGTATCTAGGATACACATCCCTACCTCATAGCTTCCGTGCTGGGCGTCCTAAAGGAGGGTGTATTGATCAGATAAATGGGCACTCTTCAGATTTCCTTATAGGTGCAAGACATCTTAGTATCTGGAGATGACAGATCAACAGCTTTCCCCATGCGTTTGACAATAACATTGCCGCGAGAGCCTCAAAGAGCACGCCTAAAACGCATGTCAAGTTCAGCATGGAAGAAGACCGACGCGTGTGCCTCACCAAAATAAACCGGAGAGAAACAGGATTTCTTGAGTATCGGGGACCCAGTCGGGGTATCGCACATGCCCCGCTAGAACGGAAGGGCGGACGCAGTGCTCCCCCGAACCCCGAGCGCGCAGGAACTAGTACTGCCTATAAACGCCGACTACTGGAAGAACAACCATTAAGCGAGGCGTCATGCAGGCAAGTGGAAATAATATTTAAGGATCATCAAGGCGGCCAAACGAGCCATATCCCAGGAAAACCGCACGTCCGGTAAAAGCGTCTTCTCAGTCTTTGACAACTGAGGGTCAGAATATATTTTAAATATGTAGAGAAGACGGCGGCACATACCATGGCCCAAGCCACGCCTCCTGTGATCTTGAGATTATGATCGCGAGATGATCGACGGACGGCCTACCGAAATGATGATCTATCCTGTCACCGCAGTCTGTGCTGCCAAAAGTCGTGCACCAGACCTCCACGATGTTACAGAGTGATTCTTGGCAAAGGAATATTCTGCCGCAGACTGGTTCTCAGGTGGCTGAGATGGACGTCTGGTGACTGTGTTACCCAGTCCGTGAGTGAAAACGTGGAGCTCCCTCTTGGAAGAGCTTTCTCATGTTATCTCGAGCGTGTGCGCCAAGTTCCGGACTGAAGTTGTAGAGCACTCGAAGAACATCTGTCATTCACTGGGCATAGGCGACCTACCCGACAACACCTAGAAGGTTCGAGTGTCAGAAATATTAATATCTTGGACACAACCTGAGGACGTACGGCACTGACATGACTCACACGAGGGACACAGGAACATGGGTGAGCCGGTCTTCAAAGCGGTTACTTATCAAGGTGGACGCGCTGCGGACACGGTTACGCGCTGTCGGCTTGGGGAGTGGCGGTCTCAGATTGACTATGGAGAAGGGCGGCGCGTCAGGCACAATTTCCATATTGACCCTGGACTGAATCGCAATCTATGATTCACCAACGGCACTCTACAACCAGTACGTTCAAAACAATGACAGGACTCTAGAAGATCCAAGGGAAACTCTAACACGTATACGAACAGCAAATAAATTACGAAGGGTTCAAGAGGCGGTTGGCCATTTCGAACCCCAGAAATGTCGCACCATTTGCAAAGGGAGACCTACAGAGAGGTTAGAAACATTTCGCAGAGCACAAGCGATGTCACGAGCCTAATTAATGTGGGTCCCAAGCCTCGTGTGAATGCCCTGATCCCTTCCGTACGCCATATTGTGCGTACACAGTTAAGCGTTGATGAATACTTTTGACCAGTGGCGGGAGTGAAACCGTCTGTTTGCATCCGGGATTTTATCATGTCGATAGGATAGATGACAGCCCAAAGCTAGGAAGTAGGAGTAAGTACCCCAAAGAGCCTGCGCCACGATGTAATGCCTACCGCGTAACCTGCGGCAGCACCATACAGAACGGCGTTGGCTGGATTGATTTGGTCACGTTTGATACCCTTAGTGGCGATTTCGCGCTGAACGAGTTTCTCATACACAAGGAAATACATGCCATATCCAGTCGCTTCACGAAGAAGAGTGACAGCTTGACCCTTGTAGATTCCTTGTATTCCATGGGCAGAGTAAATCTTCTTGATCGCGTCCCAAGGCCCGAAATACAGCTTGTTTTTGTCCGGCTGTGTTTGTAAACCTGAAGAGGACATGATGCAAGGAACCTTTCAGTTGGGGAGATAACTTACGAATACGGATATGTTCGACAGGACCCGATACAACGCCGTTGGCCAATCCAGCAATGATACCAGATATAACAAGCTGGGATCCAGTCAAATTAGCACCACCGGCGCCGCCTATTCCTTTCAGAAGATTTTGTTCGGCATAGAATCGCTTCATATACTCGATAGCGCCGAATTGGATGGAAACGCACACCCCAATCCCCAGGAGTGGCGTAAGCGTACCCTACAATGGCATATTAACTCGACGGCACCGGTGATTAAAGTGGACTACCTTGTAAAACGCCAAAGGACCTTCATTTTTTAGAATGCCGCCTGCACAGTGCATCATTCCATTGTAGGTGCCTTTCGGCGCCGTTTGCATGCGCTGTGAGTATCCTTACATATCAGTCATTTTATTCTTTTGTCCCCGGATGGTGTAGCGACTGTGACTTACGACTTTCACAATGTCAAATGGCTGTCCCACCAAGACCTAGTCACGATCGAGTCATTTGTACCATCGGCAAGTTAAAGGTCGTCGTACCTGGGCAATTCCACCCGCTGTACCAGCAGTGAGATCCTTTATCGTCTTCAACATCGTGGTGGACCAGATCCAAGGGTAGGGAAGGGCACGACTTGAAGGTTATTGCGGTACTATCGCCATGGCTGTAAGTGTCAAAAAAACTATGGAGGCTCCGATTCAAGCATGTGCAAACAAAGGCGATTAGATAGCAAGTTTTGATCTGCGACCATGCGCAACTTATACCACCACTATGGCAGATATTGATAGCACAGAACCTCAGCTAGAGGATATAATGGACCCATTGGATGAGGATGGAGAGTGGGATGAGGATGAGAACTATGATGATGATGACCTCGATGGGGAGACAGAGGAAATGGCTCAGCGTCTGCGAGAGCAACTCATGGCTGATATTAACAGAGTCAATGCAGCTGCAGCTGCCGCGGGCCACACTCCTGACGTACCTTTGCCTGCGCCTCTACCTGCTTTTTCTCTATCTCGGAAGGAAGAGGCCATTCTCGGCACCATGAGATCAATCTTAGCATTTCTCGACAAAGATACGCTCGCACGCTCTACCCTGGAATCCACTGCCTTATCGGGAGTACAAGGGGATAATGTCTTTCGTATACTACAGGCAACAGTCACGAAAGGACGCGTTCCAAAGGAAATCGCAATGCCTCTTAACCACTCTCTGATGTCTCTCGCCCGGTCGGAGGCTTTGTTCGGAAAATTGCGCCATTCAGACGCTTCTTCTATTCAGCTCGACATAGGCAAACGGAAGCGAGCGGAGGAGGATGAAGGATCGCAGGTTGATGCTAGGCACCAGAAACGACCATTCGTCCAGTACGACCTGAATGCTCATGTAATCGAGGCCGTTGGCGTTGTCAGTCATGCCATAGCATCTTCTACCACGCCCACCCTTGAACCGGCTCTCATAGCTTCCGTCCAACTACAGCTCCATCACATATTCCTCTTTTCAGTAACATCAGCTCCACGCGGAGGAAATGGCATGAATGCCCTCCAGGAGATCGGCGGCTTGATTCAGGTGCTTGGAGTGCTCAGCGGTATCCAAATTGGTCAAAATTCACCTACCCAGTCCACTGGCTCTACGAGCTCTCAATTTCATGGCATCGGTACCGCCGTATATCCCTGTCCAGCATGTCCAAAGACATTTTCTCGGCTGTACAGTCTTCGCTCGCACCAGCGTATCCATGGTGTCGAGCGTCCTTTTAGATGCGAACACTGTCCCGCCTCATTTGCTCGTAACCACGACTTGAAACGGCACGTTAAATTGCACGACAAAAAGGCTTGGAAATGCTCCGGTTGCGATAAAATCTTCTCGCGTAGGGATGCAATTAAGCGACATCAAAATGTCAGCCGAAACCATGGTACCAAAGGCGAAGCGTGTATTGGGGCCTTGGTGATAGAGGTGGAAAACGAAGATGATGAAGACAGCGCCCGGGAGGAAAAACGAGCCAAATTATGGAACGGCATAGCCACTAGTCATTCTTCCGGAGCTGCTGGGGAAATGGAAGAGGGAGAGATTGAACCCCCCGTATTATCGGCGCTGCAAACGACAGTGCTGACCTTGCATCCGCTTTTACAGACGCACGTCTCCAATGCACTTGGAGCCAATGCATTGCAGACAACATCTCAGCCTATCGATGCCGCAGGTAGCCAAGCCACACTCGCGAGTGTCATTGCTCGAGCGCAACAGCAACATGGTGACTCGACCGCTCCGTCGGAAACCGCGAATCAATCGTCTGCTAAACCACCCACCATACCCTCTTCCACAACGACGCCTGCCTCTCCACCAGTCACTGTAAATGGGGACGGTGAAAATCCATCCACTACTGGCGCTCAGCCACATTCGCTCTCTATGTTCGGACTCTCAGATGCGCAAACTCAAATGCTAGAACAAGCAATCGCTGGAGCGGCCCTTGCAGCTCAGGCACAAGCAGAGGCAGAGGCAGCGCTAGAAGAAGACGACCACAAAGATTTTGATGATGACGGGGAATATGATGAAGATGATGGCGAAGACCTAGAACTCGTTTCCATTCCTCCGCCTCCTTGATTATCGGGCCTTCTACCATCGCCCTCGTGCAATTATATCTATGTACAAACTTTCATAATATCATAAATAACGCATTTCACGTTTCTGTTAGTGTCCAAAAGCAAGGACAAATATCTGGTGAATATCGAATGGAACATCGAGCGACAGAAGCCGAGTGACTTACCTCTGGACATACTCACTCAAAGCTTGGTTTTACGCTCCTTTTTGTGATGTGGATTTGTATAACGTCGTCTAGCATCTTCATCAATCCTCCGCCATCTTGCTTTACTCTCTTCTGTCTCTCGTTTCCATGCCTCTGCGATAGCCTCTGCAGGAGATAAAAATTTTGGGCTCGGTGGACTTTGCTCGGAAGCCTTCGATGGCGAGGATGCATTGGCTGTCATCTATGAAACTGTTGGGTATGATGTAGGAGACCAGTTGAAAAGAAAGCGTACGGCAAGTCGTGTGGACTCGTAGGTAGAGAAAAGCATAGTGAAATACTTGCATGCACCGTTCTTATACCGCCCCCATTCCAAGGGGTGAGCCTCAATGCTTCAATCAATGCTGGGGTCGAAGGCACAAACACCTCGACGAGGCTGCACCGTTCACACCTGTGGCCACAAAGGACAAACGAGGTCCTATAATAGGAAGGTTGAAAGCAACGAGTTCCAAGTTCGTGATCGGAACCTGCCATTTTGGGTGGAGCCTCTATGCATTCAATCAACATCCAGTGCGCCTAAAGGGACGACAATTTGACATATGACGGTTGACGATGGCTAGGAAAGGCAGGTCGAGACTGGCATAAGGGAAATAAAGTGTTTGTAGCAGCCGGTAATTCAGATAAAATATCTGCCACAATGCACATACGGAACTTGGAATCATTGGAGACCGCGGACGTGCGGCGTCTTCGTGGTGACAACCCGTTGCATCCTCGAGGATACGCTCTGCTATCGGCGTTTAACCCCGTGTAAATGGCTATTACCAGGCACAGTTATGTCTTGAAGACTAGATTTGATGTGCAATCCTTGCCTTGCGGCAAAATGACCCTCGGCCCAGTCCAATATTCCATAGAAAGCGTTAGTAGGTATCAGGGACACAGAAGGTACGAGTTCTATCGAAAGCTGCGCAGGTGACTTCGTTTCCGGGACTGCAAGAGCGTGTTGATAGCCCATCAGTGGCGAAATGATCGAAGGATGTGTTCAAAGCAGAGATTCCACCAAGATTCTCGACCCGGCTTTTGATCCGTGGCTTGCTTTAATAAATAGAGAAGGCTGCTTTCGCCAAGGACCTGCTTCCAATAACGCCCGTCATTTACTGGCGTGCGCCTCGTCTAACGGTGTCCGGACTCAACGAAAAACTGGATGGTCGGAAATGCTGATGGATATACATTGAACCCCAAAACCCTGTGCTGATTAAAACCTGGGAAACCGATTAAACACGCTTGAGCTGCATGTCCAGAAGGGACACTCGTGCACGGGATCTAATCAGACACCACGGTAAACCGACAGGTACATCAGCGAAGTTCAACACGATGTGAAAGGTTTACATGCGTCACTGGGAAACTGCAGGAGACAATGTTCAGCGTTTCGAGACACCATTTAATGTTGTATCACTGCTGTTGTGAATAGGCAAAGGTAACAGTAGTCCAAGAAGTCGAAAAATCCTCTGAGGATAGCACTCTATTCGCTGGGGTGTATTCGGAAATATCGGAACTCCGCGCATCTTCAGCAACCGTCGACAAGACTAACACGACGAAGCCATGAGCCACAGTAGATGACCAAGAGTCTAGACACACAAATGCGTTACGAAGATAATCCATCAAAGTCTGCTGACTTTACTCCCGGTACCGAAATCGCGAAACGTCTGAGGCCATTCAGTAGACTACATAGTAACTAGAGAAAATCGAGATTCTGTTCAATATAATCAGAAAGTGGAAATTTTTTCATTACCTTGGCAGCGTACGGCTCGTTATCTTGATACGAAGCCATTATTTGGGACACGCAACTATAGCGAGGTAAAGAGGATTAATTAAAAATTTTTCCTGAAACCAACGATCTCCAACCTACCCAATTAACTCGGCACTGTATCTGTAACCGAGGCAACTGGAAACAAATTGGTTGACTCTTCCTCCATGGGGCCTGAATGAAAAGTGTATGCATCCGAGGAGCTCTCCTTGCTAGTCGGCGCAAGTGGGAAACGTTACCGTTCCATTGAAAGCGCTCCTCGTAATTATTTTGATGAGGATATATTATTCGATCTACGGCGCAATCGATTTTATGTGCATTTTTCTGACTAAAGAGGAGGCGGCAACCCGAAGAGCAAATTATACTCGTATCCGATGGCATACCGACACTGTATCGGGAGTTAGCTACTGAGATCTAGGACTTTTTGAAGCGAAGACACACAGAACGACGATGCAGCCCAAAAGTTCGGCTAGCTCGCAGATGTCGGTGTACAGGATGGACCCCTCGTGGAATTCCAGACCTATGGCTACATACAGGATGGGAGTCTGGCAGTTATCTGATGACTTGGGTTAGCCCGCTGAGGAGATCGGATTAGCTCATAGAAAAAGTCAGATGGGCGACGCCTCATGCGCTCAGAATCAAGCCCATTTAATGGATATTCGGAAACAAGATACGATAGAGTATACGAGAGCAGTCCTATCCTCAACGGAATCGGGATCTGTCGAATACCACCGGCAACCGGGCGTCTATAGATAGGGTTGCCTTTACACAATGCAACCATGTCCACACCGCACATCCACATCGTGCCATGATGGTTAAAAGACGACGAAAAGTATCGCGCGCGGCGGATACAAATTGAATTCAAAGAATTGCTTTGATTTCTTTGCAGCTGTCCGGCCTCATTAGCATCATCAGCGTGGTATCAATAATAGCTCACTTACGCGAACGCGTATGTCAGATGAGCGTATCTCAGCCACCTGATTATTGTGGCTAGAGAGTTTCGGCGTGCCGTCCGGTGAAGCCGGCGAGAAGGTTATGTATGAGCACTTCACCACAGTGGTTCTGCGATTTCGACGCGTTCAGAAATATCGGGAAGTATACTGTAGTACGCCTGTTCGACGTGGGAAGTATTCATTCAACTGAATCGGACGTTTGGTTTTATGTGTACAGCTAGCAGAGTAAGGGAACTTGAAGCGAGGACTCCCTTGGGCCTTGGATCCGCGGACCTTTTGTGTGGCTACCCCCATATCGGCTGGTGTCAGCTGGTACAGAATTCAGCCTATTGTCTCCAGAAGCGCCTAGTGTGGGAATTGCTCACGTAGAGAATGGAAGAAGTAGATGGTCCAATGGGATAGATTGGGCGCCACCAGAAAATACACCGCGTAAGAAACAACAGTTGAAGATAGCTTCAAATAGACCGAAATAAGACCCATTTTTGCGGCGGACACGTTCCTATTCTCCAACGTCCGCGAGTCAAGTGAGGGCGGTGGAAGTTGGAAAAGATAGCGGCTCTGACGGTCCGGGATCGCTCATGAGGTGGCAGTGCATTCAAACTTTGTGTTCAGTGTCGTTACTGGTGAATTGATAAAGTTTGACTCGAAATGCCATGCCTTGCCATTTCACCTTCTTTCACGTCAGACTCGCGGAATTTGAACTGGGCTCACTCATGACACTGATGGCCTACTTATACAGTGAAAGGCTGCTTGAATGGTTGCGAGAAGGTTCTAATGCATTTTTAGACGTATCTTTTGTGAGTCTTCCACCTGGGTAACCCTCGTCGTATTTAAGGCTAGCTTTTCATGATCATGTTAGAAATTCTGATTGTCACGGCATGAACACTCTCTCGCTTGTCCCCTCAAACACCGATACAACCAAATTTAAGGTCGCCGCGGTCCAGGCTGAGCCGTACGATGTTTTGCCACGGTAGCGCCAGAGTCTGACGTGGAATTTGTAACACAGCGCTTGGTGCGACCTCCAGGGTGGCGTCGACAAAACTACGTATCATCCGTGAGGCCTCATCAGAGGGAGCAAAAATAATCGGTTTTCCCGAACTCTTCATTCCAGGTAGGCCGCGCTAGGATGCGTCTTGCAGAAGGGGCTCACAAAGGATTTCCAGGCTATCCATGGACACTATTAGCTAATGATTTCGTTACCGCTCAGCCCGTCCTCAAAGACTATCACGCCAACGCACTTTCGATCCATTCACCTGAAATGAACCGCATTCGAGAAGCAGTGCACGAAGCTGACGTAACTATTGTATTGGGGTTCGCAGAACACTCTGGTGGATCGCTTTATATCGCCCAAGTCACCATCACTCCAGACGGTAAGATCGCAAATCATCGACGCAAGCTCAAGGTGCGGGAGATCCGATGCCTTTCATCGAGAGATGCTATTTATGAAAGTATCTGTTTAGGCCACCCATTACGAGAAGACTATTTTTGGTGACGGAAACGGTAAGCCTACGTTTCCCGATGATGTAGCGCACAACCAATCGTTTCTACTAGACCAGTCCATCTACAATGTCGTTCAAACTCCATACGGTAGGCTGGCTTCTTTGAATTGCTGGGAACACATCCAATTTTGTCTCTTTCCTTGTCGTATTTCTCCGCACTAATTAGTTTATAAGCCGTGGCTGAAGACACATATGTATACTCAATATCCACAACTTTTCGTTGCGTCATGGCCAGCCGCGTTTCCTCCTTATACTGGCGGATCTCCGTACAGTTTCAGTTGCGAAGCTTGCAGTCGCATGAGTCAGTTCGTAGCCATAGAAGGCGGATGCTTCGGAATCGTTGCTTCTACTGTCATCAGTGAAAAGGGCGCTGAGAGGATGGAATTGACTGGATTTCCTTGGTTCAAATTCCCCGGCGGTGGCTTTTCTGTAGTATGTCCGAGCTTAATAATTCCAATTAAAGGCCGTCTAACTGTAATATCTGCAGATATACGGTCCGGATGGTTCATCGCTGACTGAACCTGTCGATCCGGATGCAGAGACCATCATCTACGCCGACATTTCTCTCGATAAAATTGCAGAAGCTAAAATTGTGACCGACATTATGGGAAATTAGTGAGCCATGAAATGTTTGTGATACGACATGCCTCAAGCTACCTTTAGCTCGCGATTTGATTTGTTATCCACCACAGTCCATAGTAGGAAGCAGGTACCTGTCACCTATGTTGCAGAAGGCCGCTTCTTGGAGAAGGAGTAAGTAAGTTTGCGTCTCTTCTTGAATCAAGCATTTGACCCTTGGGTACGGATGAACTTGAAAAGTTAACAATCCGGATCTCTATTCCTGTCCTGTCCGTAAATGTACGATGCGTTTGGCGACGTTAAGCGGTGGCGAACGGAAGAAAAATTGATGGCATATGTATATGTGAAACAAATGGCATTGGCAAAGGTACCTCCATTGGCATCTTGAAAGGAGTTTGAGAAGCTTTCGCTTAAGCGCTTGGATTATACGCGGCAAAGAAACACGTAGTAGTGTTCAGGACTAGACTGCTGCCAAGAAAGGTTCTGCCCAGCAAAGCGAAAGAACCACTGGTCGGAATTTAGGAGGGAAGGAGCTCTGGTGTGAGAAGCGCAAAGCTCAAAGTGGTGGAAATCCGAACAGGGTTTTACATCCGCATTGGAAAAATATGCTTCAGTATTGTACGTCCGGCATGACACTCGATAACAGATCGAAGACTTGCGAATATGTATAGAATATCTAAGGACATCTTTCTTTATACTTAGCGCGGAGTTAGGGGATCCTCCGGCTAGACGAGATGTAAGAAATGATAACACACCAGTCCAGAATCTAGGAACTTGAGCGGAGAGAAGGTAGGTACGCATTTAGAATCTCAAGCTGCCAGTCTCCAGAATGGGGACGATGGTCTGATAGCAGTTTTGTCGGGAGAGGGCGAGCCCAAACTTGGAAAATTGCAAGGTGTTAAATGGATGTCAAACGTCCCGCGAATACGGACTGGCCAGCGGATTCGGCGATCCGTTCGTCCGACTTCGACGTTCATTGCCACATTAGGAAGTGGCGGTGCAGCTGTCACGCGTAACAAACAGCGCAAGGATTTGCCACGGTGGCGTCGTCGACACTGACGATGCCAACGCCCCCTCTCGAATCATAGAGTCGATATCTGGTGCTTTAGGTATTCGTTGTATAGCGATTTATACCTTCGTCGGGTGTCGAAATGACGATAACACAGCGAAAGCCACTCCGACCCGACGACATAAGTGCGTACCGCTACCTCTTCATCGCTGCCCTTAATGACCATGGGTGGCAGTTAATGAGCCAGGAGACCAGTATTCATGTGATTCCTGTGGAATAGACCTCACACATAGTGTACGCATCAAGTGCGCGGACCCTGTCTGCGAACCCGGTGATGGCGTCGACATTTGTCCACCTTGTTTTTGTGCAGGAAGAGAATTTCGGCAGCATAAGCGGGGCCATGCATACCGTGTCATCGTACGTCGCTTCCCGATGATGAAGATTTTGCCGAGTATTGAGTTTGACATCATTAGGAAATAAATTCGTATCCTATATTTTCTGAGGACTGGGGTGCAGATGAGTTCGTTGCGTTTATCTCTTCTGACTTTTCCACTCTCATAGATTTGACTAGGGAACTGTTGTTGCTGAAGGGTATAGCCACTCAAGGCTTCGGGAATTGGAAAAAGATAGCCGAACATATAGGCACACGGTCGAAAGAAGAGGTTGAGAGACATTACAACGAAGTATACATTGACTCTCAGACATGGCCAATACCTGTGAGTACAGTGATGTCGCCTACATCTCACCGGTCTTACCTTGAATTATGTAGAAAATGGATTTGCAGTTTGATGTTGATCCGGCAGAATTCCAGGCGCGCAAACGACGGCGAATACAAGCATTAAACGACACGGCACCGCCTCCTCTTAAGCATGGACCTGTATCCTTACCCGGCATCCATGAAATCCAAGGTTTCTTTCCCGGACGTTTGGAGTTTGAACATGAAATAGACAATGAGGCTGAGGACCTGGTCAAAGATCTAGAGTTTGGTGTTTGTCTGGAATGGGATGGTGACCAGATCATTGAGGATGAGGAAGACCAGGATGTTCGTGCGAGGGCAAAATGGGAGGAGGAGCGGCGGAATCCTCCATCCATTGGGCGAATACCAGGTAAAGGGCCCCCTATACCGATGATGATAAACGGCATAAACGGATACCATCCGCCATCTGAGAATGGGAGTGTAACGAGGGAAAGTGTTCCGCCAAAATCTGACGATGTCCAGGCTAATGGCACGAGCTCTGGTGATGGTGACGAAGAGGTGGAAGAGGTCACACAACCACCGCCGATAGAAACGAAGGAATCCCTTGACTTTAAGCTCTCATTGCTTGAGATGTATAGCCAGCGCGTGGATAAGAGACTAGAGGGTAAGGAGGTTATGTTTGATCGTGGACTGCTGGATTACAAAAAGGCACGTTTTCTATTTTTCACACTCGATGGGTGCTTCATTATCATTTATAGATGCAAGCATCAGATAAAAAACGCTCACGAGAGGATAGAGATATTGTTCATCGCCTACGGCCCTTTGCAAAATTACAAACGGCTGCTGACTATGAAGTTTTTTCTGCCGATATTCTATGTAAGTGTAGTTTTATTTCTAGTCGACTATACAGCCTGACAAACTTGTTAGATGAAGCTCTTCTTCGTCAAAGAATACAGGAATTGCAGCAGTACAGACGGTTAGGTCTGGTAACTGCGGCTGATATCGACAAATACAAGTCCGATCTTCAGAAGCGAGTCAGTGTTGTCAGGGATGTTTTCACTGATAGCAATGTCTCACAGTGCATACATAGGCCCTCGCCAAAGTCAATCATCGCGATTACCCAAGCGACAAACACCAGTATCGGACGGCGGGACGCCAGTCCTCAGGTCCCGATTCTCGTCGTGCCAGTCTTCCGTCCTTTGGTGGTGACTCTGAAGGACGAAAGAGTAACGAACGAGAGGCTACCCCGCGTCTCCCCGGCTCATCCTCCGGCTCAGGCCCCACCGGCCGTCGAATACGTGAGTTCGCTTGATTCCATTTCCGCAGCATATGAACTAAAATGTTTGTATTTGCAGCTGCTCCTCTCAACCTTGCAAACAGTCCGTCGCTACATCTGCTCTCACCTGCAGAACAAGTGTTATGCGCCCAGCTCCGCATCCTTCCCAAGCCCTACCTGGTCGTGAAAGAGACCCTTGTACGGGAATATGCTCGGCGAGGTGGCAAGCTCCGTCGGCGCGAAGCTCGTGAGCTTGTCAAGATCGATGTGAACAAGACTAGTCGAGTATGGGATTTCCTCGTGCAGCAGGGATTTCTCAACATTGCTTCTGATGTTTCTTCTGCCCACGCTTCATCGTCACAAGACATCAGGTAATTCTTCCATTTCATTCTATCATGACGCTGCATTCTCACAGCCTTGCAGCGCTGCTAACGGATCGCAGGTAAATCGTTCACCTGTTAAAGATTCGCGACCAGGTTCTAGTCAGCAAAACGGCTCTGCCCCGGTACCGTCGACATCGGGTTCATGACACGATGTCTAGTTTTCTGTATCTTTATTAGGATCCCCCTGTATTTTATTGTATCATTCGCAGCTATTATCACAAGAGAGCGATGTAAGCGTATAACCCGAAAAGACCTAAAAGAATTATGACCGATGACGGCTTCATGAAAAATACGCGCCGGGACCTCGCGAAAAACCTTTTACAGCGTTGAGAGTGGCGATCAACCTGGAGATAGAATCAACCGGTGAAGTGGACACGAAGTACTATATACCCACCCATTGAACCTCTTGTTGTACGCTCGGAAGACACCTCTGTCCAAATCCTCTCGGGGAACCATGTAAAGTGGGCCATCGTGACGTATCAACCATGCTCGTCCATTGGCTTTCTTCGCTGGGTTGGTGGCGGAATAAAATATTGAACCAGCGATACGGATGATGGGTGATAGCTCAAGACCCTTTGTGGACGCTTCTGCAGGTGATAGGAACCCATCGCTATCTGATACACCGTAGGAAGGACTTATAACGGCTGTGCGGATATCTTTGTGTTCGAAATCAAGATATAAAGATCGTATGGCACCCAAAATCGCACACCCAGACGCGCTATATAGAGGAGCTTGAGGTAAACCATGCCATGACGCTGTGCAGGTAATATGGGTGGAATATAGGCAACTAAGGGCATATAATTACTTACCCATAGATCCAAGCACCACAAGGGCTTTCAAGTCGTCAGGCTGACGGTTCCGAGCGAGATAATACTGTGCCAGGTGTACAGCTGAGTTAACGGGATGCAATGAGGATATGTACTTGGAGGCATCAAGATGCATTTACCATAGAGGATACCAGCCAAGTCCACATCAATAGTAGTCAGGTCGGGTTTCACTGGCTTCCCATTACTGTCGAAGTTTACTTGCTTGAATTTTCCGACCTCGGGAACTCCGGTGTTGGCAACCTTGACGCCGACGATGACGAGCCTCAATCATGGGAACAAGCCGGACACGTACAATGATGTCAAGCCCGCCATAAGTCTTGACGGCCAAATCGAAAACCGTGACTACATCATCCCAAACAGTAGCATTACACCAAGTGCCCATTGCGACCCTGTTTACTGATTTTGTCAGGCAAAAGAATCTCCCGTTGCACTGGCGCTCGTACCCTCCGGCGGCTACAATTTTATGGGCAATGTCTTGGGCCTTCGATGCGTCTTGGTCCCCGATAACGACCTTTGCTCTGTATCGGGAAGCCCGTAAGTATGACCGCCATTCGCCAAGCAAAGGAAATGCGCACCCGTAAAATGCAAAGCGAATAGCGGTTTCCCTACCGATGTCTTTCGACGCCCCCACTATGAGTATCACCTTGTCTTTGACGCGTTGTCCATACCGAAAGAGCTCATCATCGGCAACGGCAACGAGGTCGGTATCGCTACTCAGCATGGTGCGTATGAAGAGAAGAACATAGCGCCCACTGGCAAATGATGGGCAGGCAGTATTGAACGGAAGCGGCGGTGACGCTTGCACGTGTTTACCTCCGACCCCTCCTGACAAACATCGCCAACAGGAAATGCTGTCTGCGCAGTACGACCATGGACGCGACTCCAACAGATCTTTTCGAGTCCTACCACCAGGACTTTGCCCACCTTATCCAGTCCGTGCGAGGGAAACTCGAGGTTGAGGTCAAGGAGCAGCAAGGAGGTTAGTGGCTACCGTGGACCCTTCGCGCTGACACGACCCTAACTGGCATACAGAGCAACGTAAAGCAACTCTTCGCAAGGTCGAGATAGACTTAGATGAAGCAGATGATATAGTCCGTTTCTCTGATTTCTGCCCACCCATCTCTCTAAAAGGAGACAGATATCTCAACTTGAAGTTGAAATTCAAGGCATCCCCCTTTCGATAAGATCTCAATATAGTGCCCAGCTCAAGCAGGCCAAGGTTGAATTGAACCGGTACAAAAAACTCTCCAAGGACCTACATTCACAGGCATCTCGCACGGACTTGCTAGGCAGCAGTCGTTTCAAGACTACCGCCACCTCGGACGATCCATATGGTGAGGGTAACAACCGGACCAGACTTCTGGCTGGCTCAGAAGCACTGTACGATGGGAACCGAAGAATCGCGGATTCTACTCGGATTGCACTGGAGACGGAAACACACGGCGCAGATATTTTAAGTAATCTGCGAGTCCAGAGGGAACAGATTGAGAACACGCGGGACACGGTCAGTCTACTCTTCGCTGTCTTTAAAGCATGACCTGTCTCATGTACTTGCAGCTACACACTGCAGATATTTCTATTGATCGTTCGTCTGGTACAATCAAAGGCATGATACGACAGTATGTCATGCTGCTGTTTACTCCACTCTACTGGCTGAACCCTCTTCCAGAATGTACAAGCAACGGGTTGTCCTTGGCGTCCTGATCGCGGTTCTTGTCCTCGTCGTCCTCCTAATCCTTTACTTCAAATTGATACGCTGAATTTCTCGCCCATGCATAACTATCCACCCTCGAACAATATATATATTTATTCATCTGGTATTTATCTTCCACTCATCTTAATTGTTTTGGATTATATGAACTGTTCGAGACATTGCGTTCTTGGCATACACTAAATATGTTAAATTTTAAACCCTCCAGCCAAAGCCATAACATTGTCAGGATCAACAGAAGCTTTTATCTGCTTCATCCTTGCCACATTGCTTCCGTAGAGGCTTTCCACGGGGGTGTCAAAAATGGCGTAATTGGGGTAGACGACGGCACCGACGATGTCAGACTGACCCTGGCCAACAGCAACATTGTATAAATGTGCTGCACTTTGCCGGATAGCATCTTGGAAGGTATCGTCTGATATTTCAAAGGCCCAAGCGTAATACAAGTTCAGCGGGAGAAGCCCAACTGAACGGGAAGGCGGGTATGCAGAATCGGTACGGGTGTCGCTGACCGAGAAGATGTTGGGACGGAATGGCTCAACGTCATAAGAGATGAAAAGCCCGGAGTCGAAGCCCAGCCTCGCGCCCCAGAACTATTGGGAAATTAGTGCATGCTACTATGATGCGCCTGCAGAAAAGGAGAATACAACTTGAACCAAAGCTCATCTAGCAATGGGTATGGCGTTTCTTAGCTTAGGTAGTGGTCAATCCTAAGCCCGAAAAAGACCAAGAGGAGGTTTTAGTGGGTACGCCCTAGCAAGTTCCACATCCCTAGGCCGATTCCTAGGGAATCCATAAAGGATTTCCTCTATAAAAAAAAACGAGGAGAATACATACCGTCGTCTCATTCACGATGGCGTCTATCAGGGTATCGGAGTATCTCAGGAGAGATACAGTGTTAAAAACTCCTCTATGATCCCATCGTCAGCGTTTTGGACGTGGCAAGCTTCAGAAAAAAATTACCTTAAATTAGCTGTTGCATTGGAAGGTGATGCGAGAACGAGGGACACAAAGTCTCTCGTTTTGACATCCATAGAAAAGTGAGGTATCGCAAGGAAATCATCGAAAATGCCATCGGGAGGAGTAGGCCCGTCGTAAAACAGTAGTTGAGAGACTCCAGGCTAAGAAGGAATTATTCACGATAGCCACATGATGCCAGAACGACCGAGGTTACCTGTCCAAGCAGAAAATTGTAGGTAGTGATTATCGCAGCTTTAGGATCCGTGACATCATTTGCGAATTTCACTGCGACGGCATTCACTTCAGAGAGATGATCTTGCGTGTAGGTTATTAGTCCACCCTGAACATTATCAGACAGATATGCGGCTATTTCTCTTCGGTTGACTCACCCATACTTGACCTTGAGGGAAAGTCCTCAGCGTGAATCTTGTCACAATGCCCTGTGGCGAAAGAATTAGAACCTCATAGAGATATGTAAAATGAGCCGGAGTTACGAACTCACAAAATTATTGAGTCCGCCCTGAATTAGTGAATAAAAACAATTAGACCAAATCACCCCGGATGCACCAAATTCTACACACCTTGAGAGCGAAAAAGAGATCAGCATCAGAATTTGCTGTCACTGTAGCTATCTCGCCATTGGGCTTCACGAGTTCATACGCCACAACAGTATCGATAGTTAAGCCGTACTGATTGGTCAACCATGAGAAGCCTGTACCATATGGTCAGCCTTAGACCATCGTTAATAATATGATGCATACCTCCACCGAGAATAAATCCCGCTACACCGACACCAGTAACTCTCCCACCTACAACGTTTACGCCATGTGGTGCAAGAGACTCGTACACGTCGTCCCATATCAAGCCAGAACCGATAACCACGGTTTCTGACGCAGGGTCGTATGTCACTTCTGAAAAAAGGTACATGGATATGTGCACTCCCGTCGTAGAAGAGAATCCTGGATTGGACGCGTGACCCCCACCTTTGACCTGATGAATAGTCCATCAACATACGACAAGGGGCCGAAAGACGTGCTGGGACTGACTGCGAACGGCGTCTGAGTAGACGAGAGTATTCGAAGCTACCAAAGTATTAGCTTCGAGAAAAAAAAGGCAAGTTGAATACTGACAATAATGCCAACGTCTTCTGCAGTACCAGGCTCAACGGTGCACGCAGAATATTGGGTGCTGGAGATAGCCCAGTGGTAGATATCCCTTAGGTAAGTCAGCTCTGGACGGGTATAAGACCGAGCATAGAGAGGGTAAAGAAAAACTTGCCTCCCGGATAATAAACATCGCTGGTAGACGAAATTGCACGGGAAATGGTTTCGCAGACGGCCAAGTTTCCTCGTCTCTCTTCTGGTCGAGAAACGACAGCCGTCAGGAGAGTCGCCCAGAGTAGTGTTATCCAAATCATTTAGGAAAATTCGGAAAAAAAAAAGGGATACTCTCCATAGCAAAATAGAGTGACTTTATACAAGTAGAAAATTCCAGGCATTTAAAACTGCCTCTGTCCGGTGTGGAATAAATGAGTCAAAGAATTCCCGAAGCTAAGACCGCGTAGTTACGTGGGTGGTGTACCTGATATCGATCCGAAGAATTGAAAATGAGAAAGAAATTTAAGAAAGGGGGGGAAGGATGACCAAACGTCTATGAAGAAGCGGGATACCCAGTTGTTCGGTTCTCAACTGGCCGACAGACAGACAAACGACCCGAACAACCATAAAAATATCGGATAGCGAAAAATACGAGTCCTACAAGATGAGGAGAGGGTGAGAATGGAGCAGAGCCGCGAAACACGGCGCGCTACTTACTGTGTGTAATCAGATCAAATTAGTTTGCCATAGTACCTCGGCTTGTAGCATCCAAGTTCAATCATAAGCCACTTGTATTTCGCGGCGAGCTTGCGTTCCAAAAACCCAGATGTGAAAGATATCATACATTCAGCCGAAAAACGAACAACATATCCGCATGAGTTGATATTTGTTGTCTCTGTTTTCGATCCCAGTAGCCAATTATCGTAGGGATGATGAAATAGATAGTATGTGCCACGACATGAGAGATAGATATCTCAATGACGGATGATGGATGGCATCACAGATCTCTTTTGAGAATGCCCTATGCATGATACCAGAGTCCCTAGGCGCATAATGAATGTAGAACCATGGCTGAGACACCCCGCGATGTCGCCGTTGTCGCCGTGTGGTCTTGGATCCACAGAACATTCATCTCGCATGAAGTGCCCCGGTGGAATTAGAACCGAATCAAAGGACTAGACCAAGAATGTTCTACGATTCACCATAGAGCAGGATTGTATGCACAGATCACATAAAATTTCACGCTTGCCTGCAGTATAAAGCACACTTGATATTCATAGATTTCTACAGATGCACAAGCTGTCGAATGCTGTTCTGTTGATGCCAAATAAGGCCACCCAAGAGTGTCAGCGTCAAAGGAGCCTTGAGGAGACGGATGACGTCTTTCACCAGCCGAGAGTAATAAACCAAACCCGTCACGCCCCTGACCACCGACACATCAGTCCCGTGGACAGAGAAAAAAATATTAGACCCACTTCTGTAGACTGTTGATTCGATCATCGAGAACCTTATACACGCCAAGCTTAAAGTCCTCTTTGGATACTTGGAATACAGGGCCATCGTCGAGTAACAACCAAGCGGAACCGTTAGAATCCGGGTCGGGATCAGTTGCGGAGTAGAAGATGGCGCCAACAATTCGTGTGACCGGAGTCAAAGGAATGCCAGCCAGGAGTAGTTTGATTGGCAAAGCAACAATGGGTGTATCTAGACCTGGCATCAGTCGAGAGCACTAAAGGAAATGGAAGAAATGACATCACCGGCGAAGAAAGGGCTGACGACTGAGATGCGAATGTCTTGTTCAGCGAAGTCGGGGTGTAAAGAGCGCATGGTTCCGAGTACGGCGTGTTTTGAGGCACTGTACATTGTTCCTCGTCGAATGGCCTTCCATGAGGCTTTCGGCCAATATATAAGATGACAGCTCGCACGTAGTACCTTAATGACGCATACCTATCGAACCAAGTAGTACCAGAGATTTCAGATCTCCTTCAGTTCGAGCTTGAGCAAGATAATGTTGGGCGAGATGGGCGACTAAGAAACCTGTAGTGAGACACCAATGCCCCAGTAAACCCAAGAGAACTCACTGTATAAAGTGCCAATCAGGTTGATGTCAATGGTAGCCAAAATTGGCTTGAGAGGCTTGCCATTCGTGTCGAATTTTACCACCCCAAATGCGCCTATTTCCGATACTCCCGCGCAAGCTACCTAGGAAGTGTATCAGGGTCAATGAAGAAGAGAAAAACACAGTCAAGCTGGTTTTATGCGGAAACCCAAAACTCCTGGGAAGCAATCCAGTACAGTACACCCAAAATGATCTCCGGCGGGAAACAATCCCTTCGGACCACTTTATCAAGGTAGGAAGATCCTTCGCTTCGAAAAGTGCTTCCCGACAGCCTAAATTTGCTTCTTCTCGGTTAAACAGGTTGGAAAAACAGGTTCGTCACTTTTCGCAACAGAGAAACTGAAGCATTCATCACTGCCAGATGCATGGGCATAGGACCAAACGTGTGCAGCAGAGCTAGAAGCTAGACGCAACAAGTCTTGTTCTCCGAATGCTGTGAGTAAAATCTGACCATAAAAAGATTGACAGAAAAAAACCGACACAAATTCAGTTCCCCATAATACAGGCGCTGAACAGCTCCTTTTCGCGCGAACACCAGCAGACGGAGAAAACAAGTTACTCACCACGATATCAATAGCCCCATATGCCTTCATGGCCAACTCGAATAACGCCACGACGTCGTCCCAAGCAGAAACATCGCAGGATATACATGTCGCTAGACTATTGCCGCCATCCGTAAGAGTACGACGCTTGGACAACAAGCAGCGCTCACCCTCCAGCTCGAACGATTTCGTCAACCGTTGCCTGTGCACCAGCTGCATCCTTGTCCCCAATGACGACCTTGGCCCTATCGAGAAGCCTTGACCATTCTGGATGCGATATATGTGCTCTGATACTCACCCATGGGCAGCAAACTGGAGAGCTGTCGCCTTTCCAATACCACTAGCACCGCCAGTAATCAAAAGGACCTTGTCTTTGACACGCGCCGAATGCGATAGGAGCTTTTCATCGGCAATTTTGGTGATATCTGAATCCGTCATGGCGGTCATGGACGATATAGTGCCCGTGCTGTATTCAAACACGGGACCCTGACCGAAACTGAACAGGTGAGAACGGTGTCCATCGCGGGCGTAACTAACGTCTGCATTGCGAAATAGGACAGTTGGGTAAGTATCAGGTAGTTGGATGCTGGTGGTCGCCAGTCAACACAAAACATAACCCGAACAAGGGCCCTGTCACCGAATTAGGCCGAAATTCCACAGAATCTTTCTTCTGACCATCATTTGCTGTCTACATTTTCGCATTTATTGCAACATTTTTGCTGCGGAATACTCGATACTCTGTCGAATGAGATACATCAAAGACCGTGCCATTTCAGATATTCGGTTGCATACGTCCTCAAGTATATCGCCGGAGCGCGCCAGGGCAAACAAGTAAATTCGGACGAAGAGATAGAATGTGCTGTTACCAGGTCGTTCTAGTCGATGAAAGACTGTCTACCCTCGTACCGCAAAAGGCCTATTGCCACGAAACGCTTGTTCCCCAAAAACATGATCTCCGCCTCTCCGCCCCATCTTTGTTTATTCGGTTGGGGATACTGCAGCAGATTAAAGGACCGGTAAAATTCACACAGGACGTTCAGAATGACATGTCGAGACAGCCTGATAGTTGTTGCAACGTTAACATCCTGCTACAACAGTAGCGGTACCAGTGGGCCGATACGTTACCTCAGGAGCCACGACCTACGACCTTCACGAGTTCGACGGAAATAATTGGATCATAATCTGTGCTTGATTTAGACCAAGAAATAGTGCAGCCGCTCGTTTTCGTTGGCGGACATGTCTCATATAGAGTAGGACAATGAACTGCAGCCCTCTGTCTGTAAACATGGTGTACGTAGCCAGGGGTGTACGCTTGCCATGAAACTCACCTTCCTGCTTTCCGCTTGTATTATGCTGAAGCTATAATGGTGTTAGGCCGCAAAAATGGTTCAGGAATGTACAAGCGAAAGATCGAGGCAAACGCGCTTACATACGATGCCGATTCCTTGTTGGCTTCTCTCTCTCATGCTTGACCCAAGTCCCCAGCTACCTCCTGAGCTTGTTCATGCAATCATCTCAGCGTTCTGGTACCGTGAACGTCCCTCAAGGGATAGGATTGTATTCATGACAACATGTCCCCTCATTAACAGCCTCTGGAAGGATGTCTTTGCCCACATTACTTCCCGGGACATTCACGTTCCAACGGCGAGATACCTCCTCTATCTTAGTTCTATCATACGCAACAACAATTCTCTGATCTACGAACTTCATCTTCCCAATTCCACTCGTACGATCACTTGTCACGTCGACCTTGTCAAATCAAACGACGCCGCCCAGGAATCATACACAATCTTATCCAATCTGCCCAACTACATTGGCTTTCGTAAATGTTTTCCAAATATCACACAGATAGTCCTAGAAATCAGGTGTCGCTTCCGACGTGGATGGTACCTTCTCATACTGTCTCGGCCACGAATGATCTGGACTCGAATATCCATAGCGCTTGATCAGGCGCCGACACAACTTAGTGTCCTACCTGTGGACTGGGAAATCATCACTTACAAACCGGCGCGCGATTTTATCTATAGAGAATGTTGCATTCCCACTTGGGTAACGTTTCTAGACCATGTCACTCGTTCTATGGCCCCTGACGCGTTGCTCGATTGCGTCAGAGCAGTCCCTTTCGAGGACATGATATCGCGTTCGGCATATTGGAATTCCTTCTGGCGGGTTTCTGGCCGTGGGGTCCATACTGAGACGAAGGGTGATGTGCGAGGCATAAATCGTCGCTTCGGAAAGACAGTACGAAGGCCATTCAGCAGTGAGAATAGTTTTTTCCTCCTCGAGCCAAAAGGTCTCATTTTCATTGAGGTTTATGGGCATTCTTTGCGGAAGCGTATGAAGATATTACATGGATGGACAATACTGTGCGCGAACGCTCAAATTGGCGCGACATCGTGTCACCATGAACAGAGTAGAATGAAGAGGTCCGAACCAGCTGCTTTCATGAGTTTCTATCAATTTCGGCTGGGCAAGATTGTACAAGGTTGGCTGAGACAGTTCACACATGGTTGATAGATCTGTGACATGCTATTCCCTTACCGCCTTTGCTGTTGATCTTCATTGATACTTGCGGAGAGAGATCATAGACAAATTTTGCGCTGTCCTATACGACAGGGTATGCTATCCATGGAAGGTGACTGGATGATGACTTCGCTTGATCTTATAACCCAGCTCCAAGGTTTTTCCGAGATTGCTCTGGGCGCCGGTGTTCTGAATCGCTCTCCTATTATATGCAACGATTCCCATAGTTTCGAAGGTCATTCTTGTCACAGGATCGCCCAGAAATTTCTCCAGCGACGACATCTGAGCTTCGCATGGTATCAGAAATCAGTAAGAGCTGTTGAAAGAGGACGTATTTCGTTCATTGCAGCTTTGGTTGCCTCCTCTTCCCCAACACACTCAGTGATGACTATGACGAGATACAGGACAGCCGCTGATAAGACTGCCCTCGACTCGAATGTCTTTCGGTCCTTACTGGCGAGACGGGGAAAATGCTTTTACACCAACAGTGGGGATTTTGTGAACCTTCTGGTTTCTACGAGGGGCGCTTCAAGGTGAATCATAGCGTCTTGAAGAATGGTAGGAAAATCTAATGACACGTAAAGAAAACGAGTAAAATGGAACCGCGTCATGATCTACTCTGATATATGACTGCACTAATGTCGCGCACGCTTTGTGCGCAATGCACAATCGTTCGCCAACAGTTTGTTGCGATGAAAACCACAAATATGGAAACAAACAAGATGACAAAATTCGAGACTTGACTCCTTATTCAACTAGCTGATTTCAGCACAAGCGATATATCCAAGGATGTATTCATCCTCTAACGTGCCGGTAGCCTCGCGGCCAACTCGTCCTTTCTTAAGAGATGCATAACCCTCGCACTCTCTTCACGACGCTGCTCCAAGGTGATCGGGGGAACAGTCGATGAATACCCCCATCTCTACGCAGTATCAAGCAAACGCGATAAGATAAGAACTACGGAATAACGAACTGAGTATCTTGTACTGTGCCGATACCCACCGCCTTATATAGGGATGTCGAAAGTCGACAGTATCAATGAGCAAGATCATATTCCTTACAACTAGTACCAAACCCACGATTTAGCATTTGATAGCATTCGGACCCAATTCAGACTCATGTAAGGATAGACTACGCTAGTATTCCTTGTTTCTGATCAACAGTGCAACGGCAGCTTTGAATTGGTAACAAAGGACATGGGTGTCTGGGCGGGAGGCATACAAGACGTCGAGGTGGTGTTTCAGCCATGGAAAGTTAAGTCAAGGGGTAAGGTGAGAGAAAAGATCAGAATGGAAGCATCGAACTGGGTTAGATATCATCGAAAGAAGGTGGACATTGCTGTTGCTATTAGGCCTTTGAGCTGACAATCTGCCTTTAAGTTCGATGTACGTTCTGAATGCTTAGAGGCTCCCAGAGAGGGGGGGATTTTTTCGTCACCTAACGAGCCTATTGCGCGCTTTATAATAAAAGGGCTCACATTGATTTGCCCATCCACCCACTAGTGCTCTCCTAGTCCGTGAAATGGACCTGCCTCTTCTAGAAGCAGAAATACGGTAGGAAGAGAGTTTACCAACATTTTCGTAGCGCTGATCAAAGCCAATAGATCTAGAGAATGGGAGTTCCTTCCGCCCATTTTCCAGGAACGGATGTCACCACAGTAAGGGCCAATGAAATCAAGTGAGAGGAAGGTTCATCATGTCCCTTCGCATTGCTGATAAGAGCCGACAAAGAATATCATTTCCGTGGGTAGCATTCTATCGCACAGACCGGCATTGCAGGCTCAGAACATGCTATAGATATTTAGTTCTACCAGACCAATGCAGCGGAGCACCGTGTTGCACTGGAGCTGCGTGGTCCGTCCTGCGTTGTGTCGAGACGACGCATTCGTGGCTGTCCCTCTGTACAGGGTAAACATTGACCAGACTGGTCCCATTCAGTTGGTCAGTGAAGTTGCCTGTTGATATCTGCGTCTCCTGCAAAGAATGACTTGGATTTTGGAGGGTTCCTACGAAATTTGCATCATCGTGGCTGAGCGCTAAAAAGTAGCAAGTCCCTCGCAGATTCTGCCGTTAGGTTGTAGAAGATTCACCCTGATAGAAACGGCTACATGTAGACTGCTAAAATCATTCTTCAATGCGCCGTGCAAGTTTTTTTTTCCAAAGCAGAGACGGAAGAGTTCTTTACTAGGATGATCGGTATTCAAATTGCTCCCCGTCGTGCCACATGGAGCTGACTAATGGCACAGCTGACTCCAACGTGCGGTATCCTTAAGATTCCCGTCACCCGCGCGTCCAGCCAAAATGTCTCTTCTACTCACTATCTTTGCCCTCGTACTTATCGCAGAGGTCATCTCTTGGATAGGCCAATCCGTCCTTCTTGATTTCGTATGTGGCCGGCTTCTACGCGACACTCGCGCCTGACACTTTCATTCTCAGTTCTACTCTCTCTATCTGAGAATATTTTACTCCTCCCGTGCTGAACAGCAGCGAAAACTCAAAGCAGAGATCCTAGCTACAAAAGCCGAGCTCTTAAAGACGAGTGCCCAAGACGAGTTCGCCAAGTGGGCTAGGCTGAAGAGAAGTGTGGATAAAGGGCTAACGGATTTGGAGAAGCTCAGTAAGTGCAGAAAAGTTGTGACTTTCAGTCCATCTGATAATGATTTCTATTAGATGGAGAACTGTCTTCCATAAAGTCATCCTTTTCCATGAAATTTACAGCTGCCATTTGGATGTCAACGACCGGTGCTCAATTCGTTGTAGGGTGGTGGTATCGCAAGGCTGCTGTATTCTATCTACCAGATGGGTGGTTTGGACCGGTGGGGTGGTGGATGTCATTTCCATTTGCGCCGAAAGGTACGTTTCTGGTGTCTTTGCATGTAGGATCGAATCTCACGTATAATTAGGTTCTGTAAGTGTAGGAATGTGGCAAATGGCGTGCAGAAGGGTTATCAAAGTAGGAGAAAGGGTTGTGAAGGACCTTTGTGGTGCGTTTATGTTTTCTATTGCCAACTGAACGGCTGTTAATTGAACCCATAGTGCCGACTGAGGTCAAGGCTGAAGCGGCGGAAAGCAAAGCCGAATGATCCTATATACACCTGTCGCTTAGGCGCTTTATTGAATATCCAGCAGGGCGAGGTGAAGATATGAACAGACGTCCTGCGCAAGCGCCAGAACTCGTAATGAGCGCCACTTGACGCTGAACATCTATTGATGCTATCAGCCATGCTTGCCATCAGGTAGTGTTCGGAACTGGAGTTCCTCTAGTATTTGGCAGCGCGCCAATGTTGAAGCATCCGGCGGCGTTTAGCGGTTTGGGTTTTCTACGATGCGAATGCCCGCCGCCTATCCGGTCTAATGGCCTTCTTTGGATGTTGACAAGGACAATTGAACGTCCGGTAAGGATTTGGGAAAGGTGCTACATGTCGTCCTCGCCGCTGTTCAGTTTGCCTGTTTCGGACGCGGAACACTGCGTGACTCCGGTGTCAACAAAAAATTGAGGACAGTTCAAGGTAACAGAATTACGTTTAGTGATAACAGACATGAGTGGACGACCATCGGAAACTGGTTCCTTCCTCAGTGGTGGTACGTTGGGAGATGTGAGAACTATTCGCGAGTAGCGAGATACCAGTTTGCTTATATCTCCAAATACGTAGACGGGAAGTCGACGGAATGATTTGATCCGGCCTGCATAACGCCCCGGGAAACCGACGGGTTAGGCATACCTTGGCTAACGTGTGTCGGGATACGATTTTCCCTCGTTCCGTAGATACTTGGGCGTGCAATATCTTTCTCCCGACAGAGGACTCGTTGCGGAACAGCATAGAAAGAATATTTGATCTTTGCACCTCCAGCCTTGGGAAAGACGATGGAGCAGATATGAATACACAGATTAGCGAGACACGACTCTCAGGCAAATAAATGTTAATAAGGCCTTCTTCGCCGAGAAAAGAAATCATGATTAACGGAACGGGCATATGATATAGCCGGCGTGACAAATGACGTCGTTCCGGCGGGGATCCGTTTCAACCACCACTTCATTAAAAAGCGAGTCAAGGTGAGCCATCCTTCTTTCACTTCAACCACCACCAACAAACGAAAATGGTCGCAGGCGTTCAGATTCATTCAAAGGTCGCCGATAAGGCCCAGTCCGTTATCCTCACCGAGGACGCCCTCCAGTTCCTCGCTGCTCTTCACCGTACCTTCGAGTCGACCAGGCAATCTCTCCTCGTCGCCCGCCAAGATGCCCAGCGCACGTATGACGCTGGTGTTTCTCTCGATTTCCCTCCAGAAACCGCGCATATTCGCAAGGAGCCTTCATGGCACTGCGCTCCTCCAGCGCCAGGTCTCGAAGACAGACGGGTAGAAATCACTGGCCCAACTGACCGTAAGATGGTCATCAACGCGCTCAATAGTGGTGCCAAAACGTTCATGGCCGATTTCGAAGGTCAGCCGACCTTGATACTTGCTTATCGCGTCGCCATGCTCACTTGTCTCGGAAGATTCGAGCTCCCCGACTTTCGCCAATATGGTCAATGGACAACTCAACTTGCGTGATGCTGTTAGGAGGCAGATTGACTTCGAGTCCAATGGAAAGGCATACAAGCTTGGTGAGAAACTGGCCACCCTCATTGTCCGGTATGTGTTACCCCCTATCTCTTCCTACCTGAGACTGACCACAATCTAGCCCGCGAGGATGGCACTTGGACGAACCTCGTGTGACAGTCGACAATTCTCCCGTCTCCGGTTCTCTCTTCGACTTCGCACTCTACTTTTTCCACAATGCTAAAGAGCTCGTCAAGCGTGGCTCGGGTCCCTATTTCTACCTACCCAAAATGGAGCACTACCTCGAGGCACGGGTCTGGAACGACGTCTTCCAGTTCTCCCAATCCTACATTGCCATCCCACACAGCACCATCCGTGCTACCGTTCTCATTGAAACTATCCCTGCCGCGTTCCAAATGGAGGAGATCCTTTTCGAATTGAGGAACCACTCTTCTGGACTTAACTGTGGCAGGTACGCGATTCGATTTCGATCTTTCTATTTCGGAGTAGCTCTGACCCACGAAACAGATGGGATTATATTTTCAGCTTCATCAAGAAGCGTCGTGCTGACCGCAAGGCCATCCTTCCCGACCGAAAGGACGTGACGATGACCGTCGGCTTCATGGATGCGTATGTCAGGCTACTGATCCAGACTTGTCACAAGTGCGTCAAACTTTCCATCCAGCTCGTAGTCAGACTGAATTTATCTTGAATAGGCGAAAGGTTGCTGCTATGGGTGGAATGTCTGCTCAGATCCCCATCAAAGATGACCCGAAGGCCAACGAAATTGCTATGGAGAAGGTCCGGGCTGATAAGTTGCGCGAAGTTACAGCTGGACACGATGGAACATGGATTGCCCACCCTCTGATTAACAAGATTGCCATGGAAGTTTTCAACAAGTACATGCTCGGTCCGAACCAGGTGAGATCTGTTAGCTTTATTGTCGCGCGCATATCCTAATTCTGTTGCTAGTATCACGTTCGCCGCGAGGAAGTTCGAGTTGCCGCCGCCGACCTCTTGAATACCAACGTTCCCGGGGAGATTACCACCGAAGGTGTCCGCTCCAACATTACTACCTCGCTGGCCTACACTGCCGCATGGATTGGCGGTAATGGCTGCATTCCTTTCAATTATCTCATGGAAGACGCTGCAACCGCCGAGATCACTCGTGTTCAATTGTGGCAATGGGTTAAATATCAATGTCGGCTGGACAGCGGTGAGCTGATTACCAAGGAGTTGATTGACGCTTGGGTGGATGAGCTTGCTCCTGGGATCAAGAAATTGGCTCCTGGGGTGAGGGACGGAGACGTTATCATCGCCAAGGATTACTTGAAGAACCAAGTTCGAGGAGAGTGGCCGAGTGAGTTTTTGACGAGCGACTTGATGCCATACCTTGCTACGAGGGATGGTGTCGAAGCCAGGTTCGTGAAGGCGGCGCTGTAATAAATGGGACTTTTTTTGTGGTTTTTTTTTCCTACGTGCACTTGTCAAGGTTCTTATCATAGCATTCTTTTCTCTTCTCAATTAGTTGTATCATCCGTGGTTACTTGTTCGATGAATCGATATGTACCATTAGCTTGAATCAAAGCGTTTTCCTTCCAGCTGTAGCGGCGCTTAAAATTCCGATTTGAAAGATACATGTTTTAGATATCTCAAAGTTCAACAGCGAAGTGTATGGCAAGCCAATCAACGCGCAAACCCAGAATGTCCGCACCTTGCTGCTGATATGGACTGTGATGGTCCAAGCCACAGGTGAGTGGGATGGCGAACAATATTGTCTGCGAAGTTGGTACGAACTCCTGATTACCGTCGTATCAGTTGCTTCCGGACATCTTTTCCTCGAGCGTCGAAAGGACGGAAGTGAGAACACCATGAGCATCGAGGACGTTCAAACAAGTCAGGGGGACATGTTCAGTGCACGCACGGTATGGCCTACGCGAAGCGTAACAAAGAGAATCAGTGCCAGAGAGGATACATAACAGTAATGGAATTCTATGACCCTGGTAAAAAGTACAAATGGTAGCATATCTATATCGATCGTCCTCCGAGTCAATTACTCTCCAAACTCTTCTTCTTCCGAGATTAATTTCTCCACTTCAAGAGCAGCCATGCATCCGCTACCAGCGCTGGTGATGGCCTGCCTGTATCGTTTGTCTTGCACGTCACCAGCAGCAAAGACACCCTTCACGGAGGTCTGTGTGGTTCCGGGCACGGTGATAATGTAGCCATCGTGGTCAGTTTGGAGCTGGGAACGAAAGATCGACGTGGCTGGTTCGTGGCCTGGGCAGGAGTTAGGCGACATACGTAATCAGAAGGTACCGCGGATGAAGACATACCAATGGCGTAGAACAGGCCGTTAACGGGCAGATCCTTCTCTTCGTTCGTCAAGACGTTCTTGATGCGCAGGTTGTTCAACAGGTCGCCATCACCTTGGCATTCAACGGCAACGGTGTTCCAGAGTACGGTCTACAGATGGTCGTTTGAAGGATAAATCCATGCAGAGAGCCGTGAAACGCACCACTTTTGGATTGTTCAAAAGACGTTTTGCCATTATCTTGGATGCACGGAGCTCATCGCGGCGGACAAGTACATACACATGAGACCCATACTTTGTAAGATCTGCACATTAATCAGTACATGGAAAGCAAACTGTTTGATGGACATACAAGTTGCTTCTTCTGCTGCTGAATCACCGCCGCCGATGACAGCAAGAGGTTTGTTCCTAGATTCCAAGCGGGGATTAGGCAGCGAAGTCCAAAACATCCAATAAACTGACCGGAATATAGGAACGGCACCATCGCAGACAGCGCAGGCACTGATACCACTTTGCCAGTATGTAGACTCGCCCCTGAGGCCAAGACGTTTCGCGCTGGCACCGGTAGCGATGATGACCGTGTCTGTCGTTTCAGGTTCCTCATCCTCCTGCATTTCTCTCCAGTACCGGAACGGCCGTGCAGACAAGTCAATCTTGGATACGGTCTCGGTGATGATGTTGGTACCAAATCTGACCGACTGCTCGCGGAATTTATCCATGAGCTCAGGACCTAATATGCCCGTTGGGAAACCGGGAAAGTTCTCCACTGCAGTTGTTGCGTTAGTTGACGGTACTGAGTGGTAAAAGAGAGTATATCGGTACCATCGGTCGTCGTGGTGAGCTGCCCTCCTGCAGCAAATCCGTTGGCCATGAAACCCTCGAATAACACCGGGCTCAGGTTGGCCCTGGCAAGGTAGATGGCGGCAGTATGCCCAGCTGGGCCGGAGCCGATGATGACCTTTTGCTGTCGTGAGTAAATAGAGACCGAATTCTGTAGACCCACGCACAACTTTTGAATGCATTTTCGAGCTCTTCCCGACCTTGCCGTTGGTTACTGGAGTCATTGTAGTCGTCAAAGTTCGCTTTTGCTGTAGTGAAATGGGTATGGCGGCAAAGTAGTAGCGCAACCTGGGTGTGAGTCTTGTGAACGTCGTCCTGATAAATAACGATACATGTCACTGGAGGCTTTTAAATGAATTTACCAGCAAGGCTGAGCAATGGTCACGCAGGGTCACGGGTATATTATTTGTCAGCCGACCGATCCCTTGGTAAGCCGTTCGGCCCGATTCGGAGCTCGGAGGCTTCAAATGTCATTGTTTAATCAAGTTTTTGAAGGTTCCTACTTTGATGAAAAGATTTTGACATCATAACTCGAGATATATCTGTTCTACAGGGTCTGGATAGCATTAGGAGACCGTGGAGGGAGCATGCACAGGAACAGAGTCCGTCGGAATCTGAATCGGCATCTTACCGATGGGCGGAGATGGTCCCTGCCGACATTGCCGAGGCCAAATCCGGCCACGTCCGTGACTCGGTGATCGCGAACCTTGGTGTTACCAGTGTGCGTGATGTGGAGTGCATAGTTTGGTCATGTACACTGAAGCTTACTATAACTTCCTTTACTCGGACACTCTTGGTCCAATGATGCACGTGCTCGCCTTCAGATCAGAATGCTCTATTGGTGGCTATATATTCGGCAACAAAAAATCTACACTGCGTGCGGAACTGGCTGTTGAGTATTCCAGCAATCCTATGTCTCCCCCAACTGGCTTGTTGGTAAAACAATACGCACTTTATTAATTTTCCAGTCGGATGGTTTACTCGCCGGCCTGCCGGTTCTCATCACTTCATCTTAGCGCCTACTAGTTGTAGTGTCGCGATACTTTGTTCTCCAGGTTCTGTTTCCCATCTCGCCCATCTACTTTTTTTTCGAAAATCAGGAATCGTTGCCTTATACTCTAGATATTTAACGAGCCTGGTGTTGTGCGCCAGGAGTGATTGTTGAGACGTCTACTAATAGATTCGCCACACGCAAAGATACCCGGGAACACTCCCCACAGTTCTTATCATCATACTGCAGATCTACAACGCACGTTGTGGACTGTTGTAGACGGTCACATGTAATGTAGAATCGCATCTCGCCAAGCTATCGAACTTTTCAAGGTTGTTACCTTACGTTTCACGTACACTCCTCCTATGCGACCTGGGGCAGCTGTCAAACAGCCGATACAGCATTGGATTCGCGACAAGTACTTGAAAGGTGATGGTAACAAGTATGTGTCGGACTTGAAATCGATGGTAATTAAGAGCAATCAAGGGGAGTAGCGGTGATGCCAGCACCGACGTACGGTAACGAATTATATAGCAGAGTATCGTGCGCTGCTTGCTTCCAGAATATAGGGAGTCTTCCTGGCTTCATTTCTAACTTCGACAGTCCCACTGGCGGATTCGACTATGCTGAATGGCCAGGCAGAAACGGATGTCTGCACCGCGTTTTAGTGTGGCGGACGGGCGTACGGGAAGGAGAGAGAACGTACGGTCACTGTCATCATGACAGCCGCAACTATGGCAAGGGTGTTGAATAGCATTGTCTAGTGAGAAGTGGTAGTCAGGAGGTAGAGTAGAAAGACGCGCGAACGTCCCACCCACCTGATATTGGTTGGCGAACACGATGAAGATCCAACAAACCCGGCTTGCTCGCTTTTTATACCTCCAACCGATTTTCAAAAAAAGCTTCCGTCTCTGGAAGGATTCATTTGTAAGCTCAAATTGGCAGGTGGTAAGACGGCGTAGACTAAATTGCCTCGCAGACATGAGAACAATACCGTTCTGCTGCCCTACATGTTAAGTATCATGCACTGAATACGTCTTGAACGGAGCGATCTTTGTATTGTAGACCGAAGGATGGCGTTTGTTAACCTCGTGGATTTGAAAGGAATGTATGAAGCAGGCACAGAACTTGTACATTCTGTTGACAAGCATCGCTTAGACTTTGCTACAAAAGATAAGAAATTTTTTTTTACCTCGGTGAAGAGGCTCCTCTTGAAAATTTGTGTTCAACTGAAGTGGATACCGGAGGACATTTGTAGTAGGTCATTACTCTCCAAGGGAGATAAAAACGAAGTCCAATCTCCAGGAGAATCATAAAACTCGTTTCAATATCCCGTCTCGCGGAGAACATGTGCCTACGCCGTCTTCTTTCTTCTTTGGAACAAAATGAAAACAATCGGAAACACAACCAGCGAAAAAGGCTGCGGGTTGCGAATTAGACATATTTTTCTGACTTGAACATATGCAGAACACGTACCCACCCTTTATGGCAGCTGGCGCAACGACTAAATTGAAATCTCGGCAGATAGATGGACGATGTTGGGAGAGAATGATACGCCAGGTACATGCCTGTGATGATCCGGGAAGAAGGCGACGGTGGAACGTCGGAGGACTATACTTAAGGCAGTTATTGTGCACCAGTTACTTATCGTGATTCTCCTCCAAGGAGGGGGACGCTATTGAGAAAACGACAACCGGTCCGCGGCACCGCTCGTTGGTCCGAGTTTGTAACCCCCTTTCATTTTACCAAAAATCTCTATGGCATTGAACATGGAGCAACCCGTCATCATCATAGCGATGGTCGGTCCAAATTTCTTCCTCGGAAAAGCTATATAACTCGTCCCACAGGGTGTGTCTGGAACAGGAAAATCCACGCTAGGTTCCGCGCTCGCCGAATCACTGGGGCTCCCGTTCATCGATGGAGACGATCTCCACCCTCCAACGAATGTAGTCAAGATGTCGTCAGGACAGCCATTGACTGATGCAGACCGAGAACCATGGCTGGCGTTGATCCGCAAGACGGGCACAGAGAAGGTGCCAGTGGTGATGGCGTGTTCTGCGTTGAAGAGACACTATCGGGATATTCTGCGGGGGAAGAATGGGACCGAGAAGGCACCAAGAACATATTTTGTGTATATCAAAGGGTCCCGCGAGGTCTTGTTGGACCGAATGCAGAAGCGACAGGGCCATTTTTTCAAGGTGGACATGTTGGACAGCCAATTTGAGGCATTGGAGAGTCCAGAGGGCGAAGAAGGCGTGGTTACGGTGCCGCTGGAAGATTCGACACAGGCACAGGTAGAAAAGGCGAAGGACGAGTTGGTAAAGATAGTAGCATAGATTATTAGATTAATATACAAAGGTAACCGGCAATTCCCGAAGGGGACGCGTATGCAGGACGCGTCTACGAAGCTCAGATCTCACCCTCACCACTTGTAAGCCATGGTATGTCCGTTCTTTGCTCACAATCTTTGAGATTTCCTAACAACGACTAGGCCAGACGTTACGATAGTAAGTCGCAAGATCCTTGAAGATGCAAGCCTCTCATACCATGAAACAGGTCGAACAACCATTTTCTCACCGGAAGGTCTGCGTCGTTACCATTCTCTCCTCTTGTTGCTCACCAAATTTATATACAGGCCGGTTATACCAGAGTGAGCTTCAGCAAGTCGTCTGGGCGACGTTGCCTACTGACACGAATTACCAGTTGAATATGCCATGGAAGCCATCTCTCGAGCAGGAACAGTTCTCGGTGTCCTCGCCAAGGATGGCGTGGTCCTCGCAGCAGAAAAGAAGGTGACCGGAAAGCTGCTCGATCTGTCTGGTGCAAAGGAAGGTGGTTACGGTGGAAGTGGAGAGAAGATATATCTCCTCAACTCGTGCGTTTACTATGGTCTTTTTCACTGCTCAGGTCCTCTCATCCTGGTGCAGAAACATAATCGGTGGTGTCGCAGGGATTACATCCGATGCCAACTCTCTCGTCAACTACGCGCGGTCAGCAGCCCAAAGGCATCTCCTGACGTATAACGAAGATATTCCTGTAGAGTTGCTCGCGCAGAGACTGTGTGACATGAAGCAGGGATACACGCAGTATGGAGGTCAGTTTGGCCAATCGAATTCGAGACCTTTTCTCTAATGAGCTATGTAGGTCTACGGCCTTTCGGCGTCTCGCTACTTTACGCTGGCTACGACCCGCACTACCAATTCCAGCTGTACCACTCTGATCCATCTGGCAACTACTCTGGCTGGAAAGCGACTTGCATCGGCGCGAACAACGGTACCGCTCAAAGTTTGTTGAAGCAGGAATACAAGGACGATTTGGAGGTGAAGGATGCTATTGGTTTAGTGTTGAGGACGATGAGTAAGACGATGGATAGCACTACGCTAGGAAGCGAGAAGCGTTCGTTGTTCCTTTTCAGCCAAAAACCTGACACTGATGTCTCTGCTAGTGGAGTTCGCTGTCTTGACGTTGGACCCTACGACAAAGGAGCCCAAGGCGAAGATATACAGGCCAGCTGAGATTGATGCGCTGCTAGAAAGCGAGGGGCTAGCGAAGAAGGATGAGGACACTGCTAAGAGATCTGCTTGAAAAGTGTATATCTAATAACACTCCTGCTAACTGCCAAGATCTGTCAACAACGATGATGGTGAAGGAACATTATAGTCAATACGTTCAGCGCACTCAAGGTTGTGTTTGCTGTGATTTTGCATCGATGATATACAAAAACAAGGATGTACAAGGTCATACGCTGCATTAGACAGCAAATACTTGTAGTTCATACATGTAAATGGGTCGTAGATCAGTGACACGCCATTCCCTTGTCCTCGCCTAATGAGGCGAGGCTCAATTCTCCTCCGAAAACATAGTGGCCGATAACAGCTCCCAAGACGACGGCAACGATAAGGTATGCCTAAAGTAGATGAAGTCAAGAACGAAGGAGAAAGGAGGCAACGTACATTATATGTCATGAAGACGAGCATCAGGAAGAAGGAGAGGAAGACCGTTACACCATACAAAGTCGCCCTTAGCGCACGGTAAAGCGGGGGTACGGCGACACTAAACAGAGATAAGAACAAAAAGGTACTCGAACCACGAAACATAGACACACCCAGTCAATGGCTTGGCCAAAACTCTTCCTGACAGCAACAAGGAGTCCTCCGCAAAGTCGCTTGCCCTGCTTGAGCTCCTGCTCCTGCGAGATCGCTTGTCCTTGCTCAACGAAGCAGCGATACGAGCATCGACCGTCTTCTGAAAGGCGCGGAGGTATTCGTAGAATAAGCCGAGAGCGACAATAGCGAGACATGAGAGGACAAATTGGGTGGTGGTCGTGATGTGCCAGCTGCGAAAGACGATGCAGGTGTGCTCGATTTGTGTATTCCTGCGGTTGTAAGTAAGTGTGAGGTGAATAGCATTAGTCTTTGGACGGACCAGAGCATATTCATTGAGCAACGAGGCAGGGCCATTCCTTCGCTGTAGTCACCGTGGTCCATGGTCAGAGCTCTTGTTTGGGTGATGGTCGTCGTTGATCGCAGCCTGAGTGTTCCAGGTTGTCGTATATCGTATACGTGTGAGCCGTTCCGGTTGTTGATCGGAACGAGATATCCGGTCACATGATAACGCTGTGGGCCTCCCCCCATGCTGTTCAAAAGTTTATAAACTTCCAACTGAGCCACGTCCAAGTCTTCTGCTCAGATTCTTTTGCCTTCGAAGGACCTTCGCTCTGAATACGAGGCCAATTGAGCTCTTCTTAGGTGCTATATTGACAATCACTGAATACTTGCAAGCATCCGCAAACGCACTTGCTCAGTACTGTGCGAATGTGTCTTTGTCAGACTGCATACTGCTCTGTCTGATCTCTAATCGGCACCGATATTCATCCTACCATGAGCTTGTGTGGCCTACGAAGACGAGGTCTTACTCAGCGAGTCGGAAAATTATAGGCCGCTCTCAGACTACGTCAACGCAACGGAAACCTTGTCCTTTCTGTTTTTAGGCCTGACGCACCTCTATGATTAGCCTTGGGTATCTTACAATAGTTACAGTGTCATAATTTCCTGACTGGACGCGAACACCATCGCCCCCCATTTAGCCTCAATGCGCCATTGAGGTACACTTGACGTACTCCTCCGAAGTCATCTGTCCTCAAAGATCCACTAAGGCCTTCTATTTTGATCTTCAACGCTGCCTTGTTACTATATGATAGACTACACGGATAATTCCCATGGCTCATTTGACTCTACGTACAATCCGAGTGTTATCCGACCACCCGATAATGTCCCCCCACGACGTCATGTTCTAGGGTGCTTTCACACGTTGGACCAAAATAACTGGCGACTGCTATAAAAACAGGTACCAGCAAGGCTCATGGCTAGCCATAACTGAAAATGTTCGTCTCTATTGTCTCTTTCGCTGTTGCTTTGACGCAAATCACCCAGGTACATGGAATTTTATTTCCATTGCTATGCCTTCTGAAGCCTCGCATCAGACTACAGCCCATGGTGGTGTCTTGAGCTACAAAATCGCCGATTCTTATTACAACGGGTACACGCTTCGTTATCACTGTATTTTTTTAATAGTTCTCATGTACTCCCGAAGCTTCGTACCATACAACACCCCGGTCGGCCAGAGCTCCATCCAGGTGAATTTCATCGTAAAAAATTCGCCTCCGATTAGACCTAACGCCTCTGACCAGCGAGAATGGGACACGTACAACCCTATTACCGACCCGGTTGACCCGTCCCTCTCGTGCAACATCAATGGGGCAGTCCTTGCGTTGCAAAAATCTGCCACGGTAGCTGGTATGCTAGTCGTTAAGATCCTATCCATTTCTCTCATCTTTCCTCTGCAGCGGGCTCGTCCGTCACTGGATACTGGAACCAATGGCCTCACAGCATCGGCGTCAGTGATTTCTATTTTTTTTGCTTTCCAGGCAGCTAATCATCTCTCCAGCCGGTCATGGTTTACATGGCCAAATGCCCCACGACCTGTAGTGCTGCGGATACTTCTACGCTCGAATGGGTGAGCGTCTTGAAGTCATCCATCGCTTTCGGGAATAACTGATTCTCTCCAGTTCAAAATCGATGAAGCTGGTCTCATCTCGGGTAACCTGACTACAGGCCTCTGGGGTATGGGAGAGCTTATCGCAAATAATAACTCCTGGTATGGATAACCACTGCTGAACGACAATGATCCCACTAACAAGCTACAGGACATCCACCATTCCGGAATCCTTGGCTCCGGGAGAGTACTTCGTCAGGCATGAAGTAGGCAACCACCGATAATAATCTCTGGATAAACCCTAACGTTCTCCCAAGCTGTTGGCAATCCATACCCCCGACCAGCCTCAGTTCTATCCCGAGTGCGCGCAACTCATCCTCACCGGCAGTGGCACTGCATCCCCATCAGGAAGCTATCTAGTCCAATTCCCTGGCGCTTATTCTGCGTACGTATCCTCGACAGTTTCGGCTGAGTAGATCGCTACACTTCTTGCTTTAGATCGGACCCCAGCGTCACTATTGACATCTACAGCAGCGCTAATGTAGGAGTGACTAACTATACCATCCCGGGACCTGAGGTCTGGTGTGGATGAAGCTCGACAAGTTTAAGGGGTCGAGAAAAAGACATATTTGTTCTTATATTCATGATTTCTATTATTATAATGAAATAGTTTTACGTCGCTTCCCAAATCATATGGCTTGCAATTCTTACATATGCTGGTCCGTAAGATAGCCTTTCAAGCCCTCTTCCTTCATCGCACACTCTAATGCCTCCGCGGACTTCGTCAATGGAAGGACCGCCGTGATCATAGGCTTCAAGCCGATCTGTCCATTTGCCAACAAGTTTCGATGACAGCCTTAGAGCACCCTGCCGAGTTCGGACGACGTTCATGTCCTTAGCCATGATCGTGAACGTAGGAACGGATTGATAGGCCGCCCAATTCCAGCTTGGACGTCTATAAAAAAACTGCGGGATGAGCCTCATCTGATTTCTTAGCGCGTTACTATCAAGCTGCATGCGGACGGCTGTCAGTGAAGGGGTTTCCAAGCTCGACATCCATGGGTGAGGGGACTCAATAACTGCGACTTCATCGCGGAAGGATCTCGAGAGGATGAATCTCAAACATACGCGTGTGTTCCCTATTGACGTTCGAAAAAAAAACGTTTCATTTCGTGACGGGCTGAGAGGAGCCGCAATCCGTATGTGCAACTTGCTTCGAGACCAGTTAACCTTAAGCCTCCCTACCTGCCCGCTAATTATGCGAGATTGATATGTTCCTATACTTGTTCCTTCTCGAAGGGACCAAAGTGGGTCCACTCGCCTTTTGGTTGAACAAGTCCAGTAACTTGTATACAATAATATTTACGTCTATAACTACAACAGTACGTATTGCGGCTACCTAGCGTGGCCCTGGAGCAGGTACTGTACAATACAAATACAACCACCATTCAAAAAGGCAAAAAAAAAATACCGAATAAAAACAAAGCTTTATGACATGCTGCAAGCGTGAACTAGTGTAACAACAGCCCAATGATAAAGGGAGTGAAAAGAAAGGAACGGAAAAGTAAACGAATCAGATCAACTCGAACACTCCGAATCTAATCTTTCCAGTAGCTTTTCAGCCAACATCGCCTCTTGAACAATAGCACCACCGCTGACGCTCGCACCACCTCGACGCGAACGCGATCGTGGCGGCGGTCTCTTAGGAGGTAACGTCTGAGATCCCCGTGCACCCAGTCGCGTCCCCGCAACGCCCTCTTCACTGACATTCATGGCTGACTGCCGCCGAGGATCATATGAGCATACCGCCCCTGGTGAAGGCGGAGCAAAAGGGTCGATAAGATTACAGATGTCGAGCGGCGGCAAACGCGGCGGTGACTGCGCTTGCGGGGGATACAAGTAACCTGACGAATGGGGTCTTCTCGGAATTGAAGGGACGGTGATGTGGAGTGAAGGGAATCTCCGCCTTCGTCTCTGCGGGTCTGAGCGCGGCTGGGACGTGAGAGTAGATTGGGGTCGGTTGGGCATGCTTGAACGATGTGAGTGAAAGCTGCTCCTGATTCCGTCTAAGATATTGGAATAAGCTCGTTGGGGTAACGGTGAAGGCGACGGGTTTCTATGAGCAGTGCTGGACTCTACTCGAGGCGAACGTGCGCGGGATGCAATCCGTGAAATTGTGGTGCTGCGCTTCAAGTTGGGTGAGCAGAACGATGATGATATGTTTGGCGGGCGAGGACGGAGGCGATGTTCTTGGGGAGCTTCAGGAGTCCACGACATGGGCGTGCTAGAATAGTCAACAGGCGATCTGAGGTGAGCTTTATAGCATTGTTAATAGCGCTTTATCGGTTTATTACGTGAAACTCACGGTGATCTAGCCAAGCAAACATAATGCACCCAACCCAAAATACGGTGAAAATGCATTTTAGGGACCGAAATACAATGGACGCCTTCCATACATCGAGGTTTATCTCGTTCAGTATCTCTGATGCGGTTCCGGTGCGTCCCTGATTATCCGAAAAACTTTGTACGATCACCACGACGCATATATCAAATGCAAATGACAGCAATGCTGATATCTGAGCCACCAAGAGGAATAGGGATACGGCGCGATGATATCCCTGTGCATCAATGCTACGTGGTGCTCGGGTTGTGTCTGTTCGGTCACGAGTAAGTCGCTCTAGGATGCGGACGTGGATGGGGAGAATGGTGTCATTGGCGTGCTTTTGACGGGTAATGCTCGGATGCGAATGCATAGGTTCGGGAATTTGAAGGACACCTGGATCCCCGGTCGAATCGAAAGAAAATCGTTTGAAGCTTGAAGGCGACGGCGGCGGAGTGTCAGGTGAAAACAAAAGTGCAGATGGTGGAGCTGGTGATATTTGAAGAGGCTGCGGCGTAGGTGGCCTCAAAGCAACAGGATGCGAAAGAGCCACGAGACATATATAAGTGAGAAGTGGAAGAGACAGCGTGGCGAAAAGAAGATAGAGAAACGGCGGGAGCAGAGGCGGGATCTTCGGCTGTATAAAAGGTGAAATAAATGAAACCAATGTGGCTGGAATATGATACAGTCAGCGATCTCTGCGATAAAAGAACGAGAATATTACCGACCGCATACAATTACAAGGGCTAGAATGGCATTGTATATACAAATCTGACGTCGTGGTATTGTCTCTGGCTTCACCGACGCGGATATTAGGTAAATGAGGCATATCGCGACTAAACGGTCTGTGTCAAAGACGCGTAACAAAGCGCGAAAAGATAAAAGACGCACGTTCCAGCCTCAGCAGCGTCAGAAATACGGCCTCAATGCTCTCCATTGCGTTACCCGACTGCTCTCTCAGCACTGCAAGACCAAATCCACCAACGAGAAGGGAGAACAAGGCGATTGTGAAGACGGGGATAAACGAGCACAAAGGAAGAGAAACAATGCGAAGACGAAAAGCAATAATAAGGACGATGGAGAGAAGCGGGACGAGGAATAATAGAGAAGGCGGGATCGCATAGAGATGAAGAAAACGAGGCATGGTAGTGGGTCAGAGTAAGTAGTGGGCGAAGAGCAAGGCAGCCATCCAGCAAAGACTCAAGACTTTATTTGGGATTCTCAATAATGACTGCCACTTCGCCGATCCGTCGTCACTTCCATCTTCGATTCCGCTCCCTGCAATTGGTGTCCACTCTCCAGCCCTTCTACTGCTGTCATCGTTCGACAGGGTAAAATTCCTTGTCGCGTCAGGTACAGTTAGCCTCCAGTGTAGTCACATAATCGCGTCGCTTCAATCAGATTCTTTGACGAGAGATAACGAAAGCCCTCGGAGGAAGTCGAGGCTTCAGCCAAACATGCACAACTTTTTGTGATTGCTTCGAATTCTTGTCAACTCGAAGTGCACGGGTCTGGACTGTTTCGTCCTTTTGCGAGAAGCCTTTCTCTGTCAGTCGTTGTCTAGTCTGTGTGTGCACTGGCCAGCTCAGGATGAAGTGACCACGCTCGCTGAGGCAACAACAATCTCTCTATCCCCATAGCAGTCAAGTTTCCAAGTCCCCCAAATGGCCCTTCCTTTCTCTTGGCCCAGTTTAAAGTATTGTTCGGGAGGTTACAAAGGTACGGCTGCTGTCAAGGCCTTTAATTCTATCCTTGCTTCATCCGCGGGGATGATAGTATCAGGTCAAGTTGTGTTTGTTTTCAAACGGCGAATTTTTCCGCCAACAATTCAAGTCACCGTATCGTTCCCATTTGACTCGAGGGTTCTCGGTGATCATCACTCTGGTGAATTCTATCATTTTCCATGATCTACTTCCCCCCCCTCCTGGACCCTTAGGTGGTAGGGCCGATATCTCTCATTGCTTATGGGGCAAAGTCGGGTCTCGACTCTACCCACTCTAATCTCGAAAATCGCTAGAAGCACTCTAGGTCACTGAAGTTTTGTGAGCTCCTTCTGGTCTAGGAACTCAGGTCATTAAATCGTGTTTCTCGGAAAGTCTCCATCGTAAGTTTCCCTACTCTCGGGCGCTTGTCAAAAGAGGTTTTTTTGCGTATTCACACTACTGGTCCAAGTTGTTAGGTCCTCAGAAATTCCTACTTAAAGCACCGGGACAACCTAATTGCCTATGTACTTGGCTTTGACGCCTGAGGAGCCCACTTTCACCTTGGCAAGAACCTTTTCTTCCTCACAAAGAGATTCGCTGCGACGCTAAACCTCCGCTTATCGCAGGCTCCAAGTATTGGATCAAGTGCGAAGCGCCCATAGCGGAGATTGGTCTATTTTGCCCTGGTAGAAAGGATCGACTGACAACTTCTACGCCCTCACTTTGCTGGACATAACATCGACTGGAACTGTGGAGCCTTCGCATCTTGCTTATCCGCCGGACATCGATTTGGTTGACTGGCGCGCCTATGCCCTGACTGATTACCATCGCAAGAGTTCTTTGCATTGAAGATGAATACGGAACAGTGTCGTCGAGCTTCAGCATGAGTCGATCACAGTGCAAACCACGTAAGATCGAACGGAAATTGGAAGAAACTCGTAAATGCCTTCGTTGAACTACCTTCGTTGAAATTTCATGAACATTCAATGAATGGTCAGAAGCCATTAGGACATCCATTTTACTGCCCTACGGATTACCAGGACGACGAGGGTTACAATGTAAATCACCAGATCATTAATACCGTGATCATAACAGCTTCACTGAATAAAAATCTGACCTGCCATCCTCTATCTTATCATTGAAGCGCGCAGATAATCAGCTGGAAACCAGCTGGGTCTTTCAGAATCGTGAAACTTGACGCTACTTAGTAGGCAAGCACCGCTGGCTTCTTCATTCATAGGATTGCTTCACAAAGAAGGGTCGAGGGCTCGATACCCTGAGCGGTTCTCTTCTATCTTGGGTGTTTTCCAGTCAGAAACGCGGCATATACTATACAGAGAGAATTAGAGACTTTGGGCCTGTACAGTGTAAGCTCCCCGTGGAGAAGCCAGGCCTAAAGACAAGGCCGTGCACTTTCTACGAAGGCAAGTCTGAAATTTTGCATGTTTTACTAAAGTGCCAGTTATAGAAGTCAAGATACGAAAGACCTGGATTACTGAGCCGTATTTGTGATCAGGGCCTTGGATGAGACGATGCTTGCGTGATTGTTCTTGGTGGAAGATTACCGGCCAAGGTGCGAATGGCTGATTGTAGCCTCTGAGAGAATGTGGTTTGCTCGGTCATTAGTAATGCTGTGCAGAAGTATAGGGGTATATTGACACCTATTTGGCAAAGGCGAGGTAGGGTACGCAAGGGAGTGCCACGTCAGCTCAGGGTTTCTTCACGACCTCCACGTAGCCGTCCTGCGATCGTTTGCAGTATCCCACCCCGAGTGTCTGTCACTCCTCAAATACCAACCGTCATCTCCCCTCCCTTCCACGTACTCAATCATGTCCGTTAATCCTTCTGCCATCTCATCATCTCCATCCCCTGCTTCAGAAGCGGGCCCTTCAAGAAAGCGCCCACGCTCTGAAATTTCCTCAGAAGAGCGTAAGGAAGCTAGGGCACATCGTAATCGTATCGCCGCCCAGAACTCTCGCGACCGCCGAAAGGCCCAGTTTTCTTACCTTGAGCGCCGAGTCGCTGAGCTCGAGGAGGAGAACCGCCAACTCCGTGTGGGAATGGCACCCGGCCACTCGTTAGCCGATGAGCAACGAGCAGCTGACAAAGCCCGGGAGCGGGAGAACGAAGAACTGAGAGAGCGTATTAAGACGCTGGAGAAGGGATGGGATGCTGTCGTAAAGGCACTCGCCGCTAATGGTAACTCTTTGCTCACGATCGCCATCCACATGCTAAACATTTTCCAGGTGTGCCGACGGGTCTCCCGTTACCATCATCAGAGCCGGCTACTGCACCGCAACAGCCAGCACAGACCCCTACTCAAACGAATTTGCCTCCGCAGACGGAGCCTATACTAACCCAAATAACACCACTTTCACCCGCTCCCTCACATTCCTCTTTGGAATTCGGTAGCCCCATGTTCTCCGCTTCTTCTCCCTCCTCTTCTGATGTGTCTGACATCGAGCCCACTCGCCACCTAGCACGGGTGGCGACCACCAGCGGACCAGTTAGCTCTGGTACCATGGTGTCCCTGCAGCGGGTGGACTCGATATCTTCACATTCAACACTCCCTTCCCTCCATCTCAGACACGTGAAGAGCAACCTCCCGTCGACGACGCTACTATGGAAACACTCTTCCGCGAAATCCTCGCTAGTTCCCCGGAGACGGCACTTCTACCTCTTGAGGCAGAGACGCCACTGTCAGCTCCCTCGACGGAAGTAGCGTCTCTTCCGAGGTTTGACGAGATGGCTAAGGGAAGTCTCTTGTTGAGTGGAGTCGAGGCCGAGATGGATCTGAATATCAACTGGGGTCATGAGGACCATGATGTCCAGAGGCTACTAGAATTGTTGCCTAGTGAGCAACCGGTCGAGTATCCGGGCTGGGAGTCGTTTAATTCGGCGACTGTCGGGGTGTTCTAAAACGTTTAATCGGCGGATTCCCCTTCTCTTGCTGGGCATGGATTCTATTTCTCTGTATATTCGGATTTCTTTTCGTCTTCATTTCATCTTATATTATGGCCTTCTCTTCTTTCTTGATTACTTTCCCATCTCTCGGATCTCATACCTGCACCCTCACTTGCCATACATCGTTTTCTCGGCGACTTTTAGCTACTACTTTCCCTTGTTTGTTTGTTTTTCTCCTCACCGTCATCTCGATGCCGCTCCCGCTGGTCTCGTGCAGGTTATTTCTCCCCTTTTGGGTCGATGAATTTTTCTTTGCTAGGATCTGCGGTGAGCGCTTGGGTTGCAGGTACGGGAGTAATGAGCGGATGAGGTTCTTTAGTGTAGTTTTGGATTGTAGTTTAGTACGACGTTAATGGATCGGTGTCCGTGCTATCGTTGAGATCCGTGAGGCCCTTTAGTTTTCTACCAGTTACCGATGTTTACTCTTCGATGTATCGATGGTCTTTAACTTGGACTGGTCAATATTAAGGTTTCCGCCATGTGCTGTAACTTTTATCTGTGGCAGCCTTATCTTTATCTTAGCTGTCTCAGGATGAAATATTAGTGCTCAGAAACGGTTTACAACTCTCCGGGACTATCGCTAAATCGAAAGAATTCTACGGCATTCCTAGTACGAAAATCATCCGCTTGGGGCGGCACTGCTATACTTTGTGAAAATACGGCATTCACAAAAGTTCCCTGCGCAAAATTCTATACTTCTTTGGGAATACCTTCATCAATTATACTCGTTGTGCTTGACCCGTGCTGCCCTATTTGTTGAAGTTGAATGCCGCTGCTGGAAATGCACTCTCGCCATAGGTGCTCATAGCTAACCCCCAAGTGTACAGACCTATATAGCTCCATAACCAAGGTGCGTTTCCCAGGAACTCTTAGATTCGTTATTTAAATAGAGCCACCGAATACGCCCTCTCTGCTGAACAATCAGTCTCCACGGTGCTAAAATGTATGGGCTATTCGCAGGTTGCTAAAAGTACTAGTCACTATGGATATGTAGACGTTATGACTACATCTCATGACCACAGCGGTCGTCAGGTCGCGCGCAGTCTGTTTCTGCGTCTCCAGCAACAAATTAGTGAGCCGGCATCGAGTGTCGTTGCAATCGCACTATTACTTACTGAATACTCGTTGAAGTTGAAGCCCCAAATGGCTTGGTCCCGTTCCATTCACCACGGTGCGAAAGTACGGCTTGAATTCCTTGAACGTCGCAATCGGTCGGATAACATTTTATATAGTTACTCAGAAGTAGTAGTAAATAACCGGGCTACTTTCCTATCACGACTACAGGCAATTTGGAAGTCCCCGTCGTCACATAGTCTTTCTCTTGTGCCATCATCAATACTACTCTGTAACATTTTTGTTTCATTAAGAGCAATACAATGGACGCTAGCCTCTTGTGTATTTCCGCTCTGGTGGAGACGAGCAAAGAACGTACAACAGGCCAACGGTATGTCATTTTCGCATCATCATCTTCTGCTTTCCCGCGGCTGACCGACGCTCTTGTCTTGAAACATACTGCAAGTCGTATCGTACGGGCTCCGTCTCAGGACCATTCATCCTTTTTTTCTTTTTTTTCAAGAATCAAAACGGAATCATCGCTTTTCTACATTGTGATGGGCACAGGAGGACGGTGCGACCATGTGGCCGGATCACTTGTTCATCTTCTGTGGCAAGAACCTATGATCGGGACGAATTGAAGAACCCAGGAATGGTCTGGCTTTGCGAGCCCATCAGTGCCTTGAAGAAAAAGGTCACGATCATCGATCGAGCAGGTCGATTCTCCCGCGGAACCTTTTTTTCTGCTGGGAATTCAAAGCAAAGGCCAGCGGGGGAACACTTGTTAGTATGCAGTAAGTGAATTGTGAGCTTGGGAGAAATTCCATGCGTCCTAATCAGCTTCTCGGAACCTTCTCTGTGATCATCACGGATGTTATTAACTATGTCTCGTTGATCCGCTATCCAAGGACGAACGAGGATGCTCGATTTCGCAATTCGGGGAGAAACCGCTGTAATGGTGCAACAAATTCATCAGAATTTCGGAAGAAAGCGAGGACAAGAAGTCTCGCTCACATATAGTTCCTGTTCTGAAAATAAGTCTGATTTGATGATAAGTGGAGTACTTCAACAGAAATTACACGAAAGATATACAATCATATATTTGTACGGTCATTAGTATTCGAATATGCACAATATGAAAAGAAAGACATAAAGAGAGATAGAACCCGTCTATCCCTACTAGATAATAGGCGCGGGGGGTAGTGGCCTCTGGCTAGGTTCCGCAGCTGCAAAGTCAATGGAACTATATGCAGGAGGTGGCAGCTCCATCATCGTGACCCTTGACCCAGAGGCCTGTGAGCCCATTAGCAGCCATCCCCCAAGTTCATCATGCGAGTCCTTTATCTGCGGATGCGCAGTTGTCGGAGTAGGAGGTAAGGATCGTAGAGACTGTCCCTGGGTCTGGGAATCGCGTCGCCCGGGGGGTATGGGTAAACGCCGAAAAGCATTTGAGCCTGGGAGGAACGATGTAGATGCGGCGCGACGCAGTTCGCCTGGTGGCGTGGATTGCGGTCGACGCGCTGACTGCTGTGGTGGCGCTGGGAGTCTGCGGAGATTATTGGAGGATCCACGACGAGAAAGGTTAGTCGATAAGTGAGCCGGCAGGGGCGGCACTGGAGGTGGGTCGGGGTCATGGTAAAACGAAGGATCCAAGTACGTGTGAGACGGTGCTGACACATTTCGCAATGGGTAGCACACGGATTCAGCCGAAGGACTTTGGGCGCGTGAGGTTGAAGGAACATCGACAGCGCTCGTCACAAAGTCGTTCTCCTCCTCCTCCTCCTCCTCGTCTGATTCCGACACGCTTGAATCAGGCGTGACTGGACTCAATGTGGGGTAAATGGGATCACCATAGACTATTTTTGCCATTTGTCCAACAGAAGCCGATGATGCAGGGGATAATGGCAGATGGTCCATGGAAGAAGTAATACTAGCCGAGCGCCTAGAAAAGAGCTGGTCACGACTTATTATTTTTCGCCAATGTAGCCCAGTGGTGGAGATTGAAAGGAGAGTAGGACAGCGGGTGTTGCTTGACCCTTCACCGCGGGAATGTTTCTCCCATTCCTGGGCGTCAGTTACGAGAAGCAACGCCGTCAGGACCAAGTAATCCAGAAGCAGCAAGGAAACACCGTGATGCATAATGGTCGGACGGGCGTCATATTTGTCATAAAGGGTCTCGAATATTTTCAGCCGTGGCGGAACCGACCCCACAGCGGGATCCAATGTCGCTACCGGACCTTCTACGGATGAACATGTACACTATAAGAGTTGCGGACGTCAAGAGTTGATAAATATAAAATTGTGACGAAGGGGGAACATACCCAATAACAGCTTCCAACGGCCTTCCATTTGAGTGTCTTGGAGTACCCTGGGATATTGAACTTGCGCGGCGAGGAGCTGAGCTAGAATAAGCATTGGGGAGAGCCAAGGAAATAAGCAACGTACCTCAGTATAGAGCCCTGCCTCAGAACGCGTTCCCCGTCTTCCCAACTGCCACCTTTGACTTGAACTTGCACACCGTCCCAATTGCGTCCCCTTCCCTTGGCCTTCACAAGAGGCCATCTTATATTCGATGTCTCAACAGGCCCTGCCCAGGGATCCGAGCGAGTGATGACCGTCGTTGTTCCCACCGTCTTGATAGCATATAGCGGTAGTCTCTCATGGTCACCCTGTATAACAGAGTCGAGAAACGAGGGTGAAGAAAGCTTGAGAGTAAGGAGACAATTCTTCTGGGGCGAGCGCATATCGCTGGGATGGCGCCGTGGGAGAAGAAAAAGATGGCTAGAACAAGGTTCAAACGTCGAGAGCAGCAAAGTACAGTAGTAGGTGTAGGAGAGAGACAGCCTATATAGCGCTGCGACGCTGGACGTTGTACAACGCTGTGAAGGGGGGGAAGGGAAGGTTGGCGTGACGGTGCCGTGAAGAGTCCGTGGATATGGGAAGACAAAAGGAGCAAGTGGACCGTGGTGCCTTCTATACCATGAGCTCCCTGATGGGCATGCTGACGTAATACCATCACGGCATCACTTCTTGATGATAATCTGTCGGTATCCGGCCGGCCACATGACGGCCAACGTCCCATCCTCCGTTCTATTTATTCTAACCGTGTTTACCTTGAGAAATTGAGTAAGGAATTGGGAAATCACTGTGTAGCTCCCACTGGAGCAACTACAGCTGAAAAAAAAAGAGTAGTAAACACGTACTAATGCACCCGACACAGCGATTCCGTACCAATGCTGTACGGGACCAATCCAATAACAGTAAATATCGGCGCTCTTGCTGCCAACAAGTATGCATTGCACGACAGTACTCCATCGTTATTCGAGCTCTTGTCCGGGCAATCCTTCATGCAAGTTATTGACGAAAATGGATATCGTGGGAGTTTTTTACCCCAACTGCCCCATTTTAGCCGGCCAGAGACAAACAAACACCAACACACCTTTTGCACTTTTACCACCACGTACATTGGACAAAATGTCGAGCAGCGCAACTGACCCCACTACCACGACGTGAGTGTAGCTGTCGTTGATTCTATCAGTCTTTAACGCGTTTTCGTCCCGTGTAGTGGCGCCGCTGATGCAACCGCAGGGACCGACGCGCCCGTCTCTCCTGCCGTCGATAAAGGCAAAGGCAAAGGCAAGGTGCCAACCAAATACGATGCGATGGAGGACGATGACGATGACGATGATGATGATGATGACGATGACGACGATCCCGAGGAAGAAGAAGATGAAGAGGAGGAGGTACGCGTCACGTCGCGTCCCATGAGTTTACCCGTAACTGACGCGTCTCTAGGATGATGACATGGAGGAGATCGATCCTGCTGCCATTCTCCCTTCGTCTCGTCGTACTCGCGGTGCCAGAGTCGACTACACTTCTGCTGAGGCCCTTTCTAAAGCCGGCTTGACCGAAAAGGATGAGGACGATGACGAGGATGACAAAATGAAGGACTAGGGCTCAGTTGCTTGAATTTGTCAAAAATGTGCCTTTTGCTTGCTTGTACATTCACCGATTGACGTAGCACGTTCCAACTCCCAACTGCACTGTTGTTATTAGTAACGCATTATCTACAACTTTTTTCTCGAATAAAGGATCCTCAACAATGTCTTTGTCCTTTCCCACTGTGATTTTTAGACCTCGAATTTGCCACCCGCAGGCCGCTTTGATGGATATCATGCCTCGAGGGGCATTGACTTTGCAAATCTCTAAGCTCACCCGGCGTCGAGGTTCACCGAATTGTTGCGGCTTATGCCTGCCTACCGCCAATGTTGTTCAAACAGGATCTGCCCCTCGGTGATAAGCATCCCAGAGCCGTTCCGATTTTTGTCTAGATGGAGGAGGAGTTTCCGCAATTCCCATTGCTCGCTTCCTCATCAGGTACATTCAATCACTCAGGGACCATCTTCTGATCCTCTGGGTGGACGGAAAGTAAATGAAGGGCGAAGGACGAGTCACCGTGCCGTGCCCTAGTCATTGGTGAAGGGTGTATTGCACTGCTTCTGAGTCAGTAACATCTCATACTTTTGCCGAGTCACCCATAGTCACCATGACAGCACGCCCGGTCCAGTTAAGCGCTTGTCTGTACCGTAAGCCAGGTTGTCAGATGCTTACCCATCGTTCATAACATTTCCCACCGGCGTACAGTCTGTTCGACGGATGTTAGGGTTCCAATTATATATCCAACATTCATTCATCATCAGCATCATATAACTTAGAAGATCCTTGGTGATTCCAGAGACGGTCTGTCAAGTTTCAGCCTCGCAACAATGTCCGAGGTCGAAGTAACCATGCGATGTGTATAAGGAAGGCGCGCCCTGATCTCAGTTGGTACCTGACTCCCTGTACATATGAAGCGGCGTACAATGCCAGTGATGATTCTGCGGCTGTTGTCGTTCTGGGACTGATGGTCTAGCCCAGCTGTACTAATCCGTGGGCGAACAGGGTGGGCACGGTTAGCTTTCCGTGATTACATAGTACGAAAACTTGGAAGGTGATTACCTTTTTGGAACAATGCTATGTTTGAAGGAGGATGATTATCATGTCGTCGTGAAGCCTCAGACAGAACTTCCGAAATATGGAAGCCAGCAGCAGATTCCAACGTACATGGCATACATTTCTCTTTATCACATCAAAGTTGCGTTCATGTGGACCTGCATCTCGCTGAATGACTTCTTGACAGGGAGAGACGCCACCTGGAATTCCACGATGCGTCCGGAGCGTTTTATGAACTTGGGGTCAGAACCTACTTGAGAGTGTGCTGGAATAGGCTCTGTCAAAGTCTTCAGGCATCGAGGAGCCTGATATTTGAAATTCTTCGTCGTTAAGGACCTTGGTAGCCTTTGTCGACGTTTCCTCGTCTCGACTGTGACTCTGTGAGTGCAAAAACCAGGATGTCATTACCAAGAAACCGAGACTCACTTGTTTGTGTCCACATTTGAAGTCGCAGTCTGTCTTCTTGAGTTGTTAGTAACCCTGCTTTATCAATAACATTGGTAGCTCATGTTCCCAGGTAATGAAAGGCCTTTCAAGATTGCAATGTCATGCATGACACCTAGAGAAAGCAATACCAATAGCAAGCGGGTCAAGGTGATAATACAGTACATGATACATATGAGTGTCTCGGTAATAAATAATGCGGGATCGAGAGTCTATAATGCATGAGTAAGCTACTAATGAACAACCTTCCTGAGCGCTTCGATAGCAGCTTCTTGTTTTTCGGCTCGAGCCATATCACCCCTTCTTCGGTGGATCTCTATGGTCCGTATTAGCCACGCAGTCTGAGAAAGAAATAGAAGGAAAGACTGACCCAAATTTCGCTCTGCGATCCATAACCGTAGAGGACCATTTCCAACGGTATCGGCTCCTGTCGTGTTTTTCGCGCCCTTCACAGTACCTGCGCCCATCCCCGACGCCAGTTGCTCGCATGTCACTAGCATGGTCATAGCGTGCTCCATGGCTGTATGCATGAAATGCGGCGTGAGCAGTGCCAAGGTTAATGCGCGCAAATGGTTGTCCTTCGAGTCCGTCGTGCTGCTCATGGCCGACCTCAACAAATTCCTGAAAGTAAAGAGTATTCGGTATAAGAAGACGAATGTATAAGAGTAAGAACTTACTTGGCCTTGAGGATTTCCGAGGACAGACACGCCTCGATAAGAGTACCTACACTCCTCAGAGTGCCACCCTGTCTTTGGCAGTCGTCGATGACGGACAATCCATCTTCCGTGATAGCCTCCCAGCTATCTTCGGCCTGTTCACCTCGAGCCCATACACCAACCCTCAAGGCAACCTCGCCAGCACGAGCAGACGTCCGTACATAATCGTCTCTAGCGGGGCCATCCTCTGCGAGGTAAGCCGCGGCTCGATAGGAATCGCCAGCCAACTGCATATCACCCTTTGTATGTGCAAGATGTGCATGATGCAACATGATGCGCGCAGCGAGGGCGTCAAAAAGTCCTTTCGTGCGAGCATGCGCCGTCAAAGCAGCGAGATGTTTTTCAGCAAACGGAATCTCAGACCGCATGATATGAACTGAGATAAGCTCGCAAAGCAAGTCACACTTCAGCCGCGCCATTGTCAGGTTCATCTGCTCCACATCATCAACGCTAGCCCAGGGAGGAACAACAAGCTCCTTGCGCATCTCCTTCTCCCATACTGCCAAACCTTCGACGGCAAAGGTTTTTCGCTTGGGTTTTCGGCCGACAGGGTCTTTCCTTGAGATGGCGCTGATGAGATAGGCAAGAATGAGAAGGACACGCGGATGAGTTGTTTGGATGAGTAGAGGAGGCGACGGTGGATTTGGAAAGGTAATCTCGACAACGCCGCTGCCTGACGTTATCAAGACCCCAGAATCCATCAGCATATGGAGGAGGGTCAGACGCATACTTGCTCTTGCAAAGTTACCAACGAAAGTGTGGAAGACAACGCCAATCATCAAGGTATGGATAGCCATGATTTCGGCCAGCTTGTCAACGAACTTTGGCATCGGTGGAGTAGGGGTAGATGGTTGTTTCGGTGAACCGGCTATAGGACCTTCTTGTGACCGAGGTGTGTTGGATATGGAGTTAAGGACCTGCTTCTCTGCAACCGTTGAGCCCTCCCCCGATGGACAATCTATTCCCAGGGCCTCCTCTGCAGAGCGCAGGGCATTGTCGACGCTTTCCCACAAATTCGACGACACTAGCGTCCTCAGCCTCAGAACGAGAGCATATAGTTTGACGCCCGAGTGCCTGTTCTTGTCGGCGAGGTCTGCCAGGGCTTGTATAGCAGATAGGGGTGCCTGCGTCTCTTTCGGACGAGATATTGAGGAAGAGGAATTCGATGTTGTAAGATGTGAAATGAGGGTAAGATGTACCGCATAAATCGTATGAGGTGGATCAGAGGGTAGGAACGAATTCAGCAGACGTCGAAGGAGGGTGAGGGAGAATTTGGACTTGTGTTGCCAGTGCAGCAGTCGTGCCGTCAAGCAAGTTACATGGGGTCGATACAGTCGAAGGGTCGGGTGCTGACGTCATGCGTTCAGTCAAATAATGACATTATCCGACGAGGAAACTCACTTTTTGAGCGATATTCAGCTACAAGCATACAATTCAGTACACGGAATAGACATGCGACATAGTACTCACTGCTTTATTCGCAGCTTTCTCCACCTAATACCCAAACAGTCAGCCCAGCTCGACAGGAAACAGGAAACATAGCACGTACCTCAATTTCGATGCCTTTCGCCCATAAATGGTCTTCGTTTTGACTAAAGCCCCCGGCTATTACAAGCATACCAATCTCCACCATCGCGGTCCATGCTCTGCATTCCACCTCTGGAGTCAAATTGGATAGGTTCAGACACCTTCGAAGGGCAAGAAGAGATAGGCATAGAGATTGTGCGTGATGCCGATGCGTCGGTGGATGTATCAGGATGCCTGGAAGCGAAACGAGCAGGAGAGAGGGGGGTAATGGTGTGAGACATGAAGGCGTAGGCACCATGGCCGTCGCTTTCAAGGGGGAAGGATAGTTGCCGTCGACAGCAGGGGAAACATTGGATGTACTGTCGCGACGCTGACGCTTCGTAGGTCGAGGATTGCAATCTGTCGGGCTCATCGTCCTGGTCGTCATCGGGAGAGGCGCGTGCCGTCACACTGTGACAAGTCGCGTTTTTGAACTCCGATTCCCGCCGGTGTCTCTTTCATCTGTATACCCAAAAGTTTCAAAGGTTGGTTATTCCACAGGGTGTGCAGATAATGCTAGATAATTGAATGACAGCATTTTAATCCAAAGCAGGTCTCTGTTATATCCCGTGCAGCAGGGACTCTAGCCTGTGATCAAAGTTGAAACTTCAGTTGCTCAGCGGCGCCCAATGCCCCCCTGGAGAATGGCCTACAAACGGTCAGGGGACGCAAACATGGGGCCCGAAACGTGTACCCTTGAGTTTGTACTTACGTGTATCCCCTTCACAAGAGGCATTATTTATCACTCCACTGTCAGAGAAGGGTAGGGACGCTCGGAAAATTGGTATTTGTGACCGTTTTCGGACTGTGGCTTGTAATTGTGACTACGCCTATACGACGGTCGATCATCAATCATGCCCTGTTTTAGTCCCACCGTCCGTCCTCCTATTACCCTAGGTCCGAATTATAAATGAGAAATATCATACTAGCTGTCCCGCAGCGCTGTTGCCTTACTTCCGCTCATCATGGTTAATCTCTCGTATACAATAGGTTCCCTGCTTCTTGGTGGCTTGTTTTCTGCAGTGTAAGTACTTTCTTCCTCGATACCTGATCTCTAACTCAATGTTCAACAGTCTTACCGGCATGATGTCCATCCAATCTCTCCTTTACTTCAAACTTTTCCCCGAGGACAAGCCCCGAATCAAAGCTCTGGTGAGGACTTCCTTGATTTTATCAAATACATCGTGTCCACAACACTACTATACAGGTTACTATTCTATGGTCGGTCTTCTCTGCCCACAAATTCATATGTCAGCTCACGCAGCGGTGTAAGGCTCCTCGACCTGGCTCACAGCGGGACCGTTTGGGCTGGGCTATGGAACTATTCGATCGTTCACTTTGACGACACAGCTTGGATAAACCAAATTCCCCAGTACGTTCTTGTTCTCTTTATCATCACCCTTTCTGACAATTGCCTCTAGAGCCATATCGGTAGGCCACTCACCCGCCACACTTAGCAACAACTCATTCCGCCGTCAAAGGTTACAATTATCCTTACAGTATGTCGTACCTCGGATCTCACGGTGACTGGCCTGATGTAACCGACGAAAGGCCATTTCCACTATTTGTGTCCATCTGTATGTACTGTCCGATACGACTCAAATGGATTCTTAAACCCCTGTACAGGTTTTTCGCTGAGCGAATATTTCGGTGTGCGCATCTTTCCAATTCGTAATATACCATCGCTTAACCAGCTCCTACAGTAAGCAGGAACAACTGGATGCTTGCAGCGTTGATTGTGATTATAGACTGTTTATCGCTTTACGGGGAGGAGCTCTTGACTTCTTTGTATCTCCTAGGCTATCCCTGCTTTCCTCCGTCTAAGTACGTACACCGAAAATCTTTCTCCTGCTCCGACCTGATTTTGACTCGTACAGCTTGTGCTTGTGGTACGCCTCCTTCCAATTTCTTCCGCTCTAATAATTCAAACGTTTATCTCAGTTACCGCTGGAGCAATGCACGTTTGACATCATTTATCAGCCCTCTACTGGACTAATCATGCCGACTTTCCAGGCTATTCATCGAAACATATTCCGGATTCAGAAACAAATTCGATGTACGATGAATCCCTTTCACCTCTTCTCCTTCCCTCATTCACCATACCCCTAGTGGGTATTCTCCGCCGGACTCGGACTCTCATCCGCAGTGGATATTCTCATTACCGGCTCACTATTGAAATTACTCCATGCCAACCGCAAAACTTCCTTGAGGTAGAGATTAATTCCGGTTGTCCTATGTGTTTTGACGTTCTGCGACAGCTTCGATCATATAATAGACTCGCTCATTTTATACACATTAGAATGTGGTGCTGTCACATGGTACTTATCTAGCTTCGTATCTGAGGGCTCTGACGCTCAATGTTATCAGCGCTGCTACCATCGCGTCGATGATCTGCGTAAGCCCAGAAACAGCTCATATCATGTCACTTTTATGCTAACTTACTGCCTGATTCCAGTGGCTTACGATGAACAACAACCTCGTCTTTCTAGGCCTACACTTCGTTATATCTAAACGTGCGTACCAAACGCCACTTCCTTCATGCCAAGACTCACGTTCTCATCGCAGTGTACTCAAACTCACTCCTAGCAACCCTCATCACCCGGTACGAACTGAGAAACAGCCGAGAACGCTCCACCTCTGACGGCGTCATGGATCTCGACATGTTCAATATGAGAAACCCGCGACGCGTGAATATCCTTGCCCCCGTGAGTGGTTTTTTGGACAATATATGCTGAAAGCTCAGCATTGTAGGGCACATCGTTCATCCAGCCCATGCAAGTCTCTGTCAAGCAAAGCGTTATCCAATACGGGCCCGAGGGAAGTGCAGAAGCAGAATTATAATTTTTGTACTCATTCTCACCGCACATGCTGTATCAGTGCATATTATAATTTCAACTTGGCTCTGTACCCACAATTGGGCACAGGTATTCTCAATGCCTCAGGCGGAAAACTCCCGTTCCGCTACTCTAAAGAAAAAACAGCAATGCTATCCCATCAGCATAGCTACTTGATAATATCAAGATAGGACCCTGCGTAACATACTGGGATTCAATTGTCAGCGACAGCAATTATACGTGATTCAAAACTGGATCCTCACCTTCTAGCGAGCAGCAAGCTGGACGACAGGTATGGGATTACTTGGCACGTTCGCCATAACGATTCTATAGCCCTCTCCCAAAATGCTGTCGTACAACATCTCTGGCGTGAGGTTGTCCGGAAGATCAAATATCGCCATCTCTTCCAAAGTGAGCATGACACACAAGACCCAAGTTGCGCAAGACCACCCATTTGGTCCCTGAATTCTCCAACCTTCGTCCGTCGCGGAATGAGACTCGATCACCCTCCTGACGGAGTCCATATCAAGATCTGTTTGGGCAAACTCCACGATGCCACGAAAGGCCCTGGAGTTCCCCCCGTTGCACTTTCTGAAGCTTCTTTGCCAACGTCCTGGTAGACCAGGGGCATCGAAAGTACGAATAATCTCGAAGGTATAGGTCGCGGAGAGCGAAGCTTGCCAAGATGTGGCTTCAGTAGCCACGAGGACCCAATGAAAGTATGGATGAGGGTCGGTCGCGTCGTTCCGGACGTAATATAGCGCAACGCCTAAGCGAATAGTCATCTGGAAAATCTATCCTGATAGGCTGGGGGACCCACAATACACTTGACAGCAATGAGAGACAAGAAACCGAGAATGATTATACAGGGTCAGTGTATCTGATTATCCGATTCCAGCTGAGTACCCATCGAGTAACTAAAGGGTACGAGAGAGTAAGCATGACGATGACGTAAATTCTAATTGTACGACTAGCCCAGGCTTACCTATATCCTAGGTAAAAAGGTCGTCAACGATCGGCTCACACGTATAAAAAACACGAAGCCATGCAATAAATATGAAGTGCTTTACACTTTGCAATACCCTAATGCTTCAAACTCGAACGGGGGGATGATCTTGGGGATATCTTTCTCCCAAGGCTCAAAAACCATGGCTCCAAACATTGCCTTCAAGTACTCCCAGTGGACAGGAAACCATCCTGTCGACTCCCAATCAATTATTCCCGTCACTCTATCGCCATCAACCATGATATTCCTGGGTACGATATCGCCATGGGTGAAGAGAATAGGATGGCGACGCCAATGTGATTCTATGACCTCAGGTCGACTTACTCTAGAAGAACACCTGAGCGGAGCTGGAGATTCATCTGATCCTCGTTGACGTATGGACCGTAAGAACCATCAGTACAGAGCCGTAAATTGTAGACAGGCCCACCAAGAACAGAACAGACCGCCGTCGATGATCCGACTGGACGAGGGATACTCCGAAGCTGGAGGACATAATCGCGGAGTTGGACGACCAGAACCGATCTTGTTCTATCTTTCAAGTCTTTCCACTCTGAGAATTCTAAGCTATGCCCTGGCATCCTCGTCATGATGAGATAATCTTGATCCCGGTATCGGAAACTTCCAAAGGCCTTGGGCACAGGTATTGTGGTGTGGCGCCGAACAAACTCCATAGATGCTGTTTCGATATCTGGGACGCAACAGGGCTTGATGAATGGCCATCTGCCAGCAGTTACTACAAACATAGATTAGAAAAAGCGAGCGAATTGAAGAAGAGAAACAGACCGCTCCACAAGTAGCCAATGCAGGTGAGAGACAGTCGTCGCATTGCGTTAAGCAATCTGTTCAGTAGGAGCTTCCACTACGGCTTCGGTGGAGGTATCAGGCTTCTGTAATATTCGATTTCAGCGGCACTCAAGACGCCCCCGCCAGGACCTCTTCTAGGTCGTAGGCGAGCATCTTAAATAAACAGAATTAGTCACTGCTTTGTGTGCTACAGGAGAATTTAGAACAGGAACGGACTTGTGTGATTTTGACATCAATTCCAGACACCTTTTTGAATCAAAGATTGAAGATCGTTGGAAGCCAAAAATAGCCCACCGTCACGACGACGAGCCACGTGGCACGCAGTTAGGCTCACGTGACAGAGCAGCTCAGATATGTTAACATATCTAAGTTAACTTTTGAAAGGGCAAGCAGCTATTCCCGTTGTTTATGGCTACGGCCAATTAGAGCATTTCGAGTACATAATTATGGAGATTTTCGGTCCAAACTTGCAGAGCAGCAGCAGGAGAACGGCCCTGGTGTGATGTCAAAGACCGTCATCCGAATGGTGGATCAAGTAGTGCGTAAATCACGAACTTAGACAGAAGAAACAACTGAACTATACGTGTAGCTGGCAGGACTAGAGCATATTCACTCACTCGGGATTGTGCATCGTGACACCAAGCCTGAGAACCTCCTCTGCGCTCTTGATGATTCGACAATCAAAATCGTTGACTTCGGCAGTAGATACAGGCTCGACACCACCCAGCCGCACCCTCTTTTCGCCCCATGTATGGATACAGCCCTTCGTCAAGCACATCGCGGTCATCTCGTCCAAGGCCAGCCCCCAGCTTTTGGCACCTCATTACGAAAAAGGTGGTAACGATAAGCGTACTAACGGCGAAAGATGCTGCCACGGTAGCTCAGTCGCGGTCAGAACGAGTTCTGGTCCGAATTAAGATATCAGTTTTTTTCCCTACTAACGGTGGTGGCGGATCATCTTTTGTATCTGAGGTTGCGTAAATATTTCTCGTCTCTTTCGTAACACACTGACGAGTTTCTATAGCTGAGGTTCATCAGCTATAATGCGATCGACATAAGCAAATTTAACGACTTGACGATGCTACTGTGACATTGGATTTGTGCTTTGGCACAAGACGGACTGATTAGGGTATCCTTGCGCCCGCGATATGGTATCGACGCAGCCCTTCGCAACATAGTGTCTCCAGACATATGAGGGAATGATACGGATGCCAGATGCTAATGTAACCCTAACCTTACTGGTGCTGCGGTCAAGGGCCAAGCCGACGCAGCCCAACGGTGCTGCTCTCGACGTCGACTATCACAGCCCTTCCATGCGCTGTCACTCTCGTTAAACTATATCAACGCCAGATCCTCCTGAGGTAATCCGTCGTCAACGTCCGTTAAGCGTCACTGATACAACGTTTATAGTATATAAGACAAGTACCCAGCTAGTGCCCCAAATAAATATCCCGACCGCCACATAGGAGAGACTTGCGTGGCCTCGCAACAAGTAGTTCCCATGTGTCGCTTCCTACAGCCTGGAGACCTATAAACCGTGTCTTTCCCCTCAAATACACAAGCCTGGAAATTATTTCTCGCTCCGCCCAATCTGACACGCTGCGACAGCTGGTGAAGGGCGCATCTTCCTTATTTTCGAGGAGCGGTGACAACGATGATATAAAGACTTCGGCAGCGGGACAGGTATCTGAAGAGCATGCCATAGCGTCTCGACCATGTCGGCAACTGTAACCCACTCTCGATGGCCGACCTATGAATGACTACTGGCCATGGAAGCATTGGGTGAACAACAGCCAATGACGGAAGAGGCGGGTTGGTCGCTGCCTTGTTCACACAGCTATGGTGACTAAACACGCGTACGCCCGACAGACTGCGAGCAAAGTCGAGCTCCATCATGATCTCTCCTCGGCTTAGTCGTAAGAGTGGATGTACCACTACCGGGATGTCACTCCCAGTTTGCGACGGTAGTGGGATGTGACGATAGCATGGTTTACGAAGGGCAGGCGGCGAGGACGATGCAATATATTCGCGTACAGATCTCGTATTAGACGCGCTGGGACAAGGTGCATGATGGTGGCAAACAGGGACCGTCGTGGTCAGCTGCGTGTCGCTATAGGCAGGAATAACAAGAGGCACCCTTGACGAGGCGTAGAACGCCATCGATGGTGATAAATGCAATTCTGGAAGCTTTCTACCCCGCTGTGTGTAGCCATGGCGGCCACGTTTTCCCGTCGGACGCGCATCGCATCGTCTTCGTGCCGCCGTTATTCATGTAACACCGGCAAACAACAGAAGAAAGGCTTATGGATGAATAGAGGCTTTGGTTTGCTTGAATGAGTGCGAGCGTAGAGGGGAGGATGCTAGGAAGGGTGAGAGTTGGTGATGGTGATGGTTTGAGGGAGAGGTATGAGAGCCTGGGGAAGGATGGGGCTGCTTTATATATAGTATGTCTCCCCTCCGGACATTGACTGTAAACCTAACCTTGCCCTCCTTAGGGTTACGGTTCCATACATTAAATGGCCAGCAGCAGGGACATATCAGTTTTGTACCTTTCAAAAGCTCTTCTTCCAACCTGATGTCTTAGGTAGAGAGTCTTTCCCTGAACTTTGTGATGCTTCAATGTTCCTTCCTTGCTACTTGCCGCTCACTATGGCACTCTTGAACCATGACTATGACTTGCGCTGAGATTCGCTGTCGTACGAAAATCGGTATTGGTACTTCCCAGAACACTTGTGTATTGTTCTTCCTTGTACCGTGAGACCAAAATGGTGCTCGCGCGTTCGTCTACGCCTCCCCCAATCGCCGTGATAAGGTTTTGAAACTATCAGATTCGACTTGCGACCGCTTTTTGGCTCAAAAAGGACCACCCCACTCTCTTTCCTTCACATATTGTGTCCACATGCTTGTACATGGCCGAGATTTCTCTTTACCACATCAAAGTTGGTACAGTGTGATATGTCGAGTAATTGGGTCCACACTCGAAATACGTGCGACCAACAGGTTTCGTCATCAGCCAGCTATCCATCTTTCCGTAGGCCCTACTATGCAAGGCTTAATTCACACGTTTGGAACGACGAAAGCGAAGCGCGAGCTCAATAACATTCGAAAGAGACTGCATCTAGATATTGAGCTTAGTCCTCCTCCAATGACGCCGCTTAGCATTGTACTACCAAGAAAAAGAATGAGCACCGTAATACAGGCAAAAACAGGACTCAAAACACACCTGAATTTTAGTATCAGTTTTCAGCCGGAACCATTGAGGGATTGGGCGGTTCTGACGTCCAGCCTTTGCCAGGATTCTTTTTGTGCGGAAAGTCTTTTGGGAGGGCTACAGCAGAAACAAGGGTTACCAGCATTCGAACCCGTTCAGAAGGTACTCACCATTCTTGGATGTCGTAGGTGTCGATGTCTGTCGCCGTGAGAAAATCTTTCGATAGCCTGTACAGCTGATGTAATCATTTTCCCCACGGGTGGCATTACGTCATTGTCCCCTAGAATTCCAATTCGACCACGACGACCATGCAACTAGGTTGGATAATCTGCCTCTTCTTCCTCTCTTTTGTACTGGCCGTCGAGCCACCAAAGGAGCTGGAGATTCTTACGACTTACACTCCTGAGGAGTGTACTGTCAAGGCTGCGAAGGGGGATTCTATTAGGGTTCACTATGTGCGTTATACTGTCCTATCAGGCAAATGCCCGACTGAAATACTCTGCAGACTGGAACCTTGCACGCCAATGGAAATAAATTTGATTCGAGGTTCGTGCTCGATCGACGCGAATGATAACGTTTCTCAACATCGAGCCTGTAGTCATGACCGCGGTTCACCGCTCCCTCTTACACGTGAGACCTTGTCTCATTGAACGAATGCTACATATCTGATGCAACGGTCTTCTTCCGCAGTGGGTGTAGGCCAGGTCATCTCAGGATGGGATGAAGGTCTCCAAGGCATGTGCGTCAACGAAAAGAGGACACTCATCATTCCCTCGGACAAGGCATACGGTAAGTTCCCAAGTCGGCTTTGCATAGTTCCTAGACTTATGTCTTTCGTAGGCTCTCGAGGATTCGGAAGCATCATCCCACCCAACTCTGCGCTCGTATTCGATGTCGAGTTGGTTGGCTTGGATTCCAAAGTTCGCGACGAGCTCTAGCTGTGAGGGTACCATTTCATAGTAGTTATGGGTTCCAGTCAGTATGGTCAATGGCTTTCAAAAATTGGTATAACCCTCCATCAGCATAGCGTGCCGTGAACTGCTCTGTAAGTTATTCATATAAGCAATTGTATTCTTTCGAAGCTGGCAGACCGGGAATATTACGAGACACGAGCACACTACCCCCTCGTCGGGTTACGACTTCCTATTCTTCGAGCGGCGCATTTTATGGTTAAGCGCGTCAGGGATAACTTTCCCAGTTTGGACATTACGTCACCTTTGCATGTTGCACGTGGTACACGTGGGCTAAATCGATTTCCCTTGTGAGAGACAAAGTAACCAATAGCGCCCTTTTCTTCATTTCTACAACTTAGATCTCAAAAATGCACGCCATACAGGTATCTCTGTTCCCTTTCCACACCGACTGTCCGTCTCATCAGAGATTTAGCAACAATTATTCGCTGTCCGAGAATATCTCAGTCCTGTGAGTGGCCTACCAAGTGTCTTGCTTGGTCCAGACCTGATAGGGCTATCCAGGTATTGAAAGAGAGTAAATTCAAGGAGCATGGTCGTATCACGCCTGGTCAGCCCTGATCTACCTATCCCTTTCGTCAACACAAAGGCTTATCGGAGTCATACAGAGGAGTTTGTGGCAGCAGGAGACTTTCTGGCGTACAAATTTCCAGTTTGGACTTGGTGAGTACGATCCAAGTGGCTAGGCGAACCCACCACATTTTCTTAGGGAGAAGGGTGATGCATCCAAGACTCGCGAATACCTCCCAGCTGAGAAGCAGTACCTCGTAACACGAGGCGTGCCCTGCCTCCGACGGGCGACCTCCCTTGCATACACCGACGCCGACGAAGACGCGGAACGATTGCTGTCATTTGGAGACTCTTTTGCCTCGGCTGACGAGAAGGACGAATGGGTAGAGACTCACGCGGGGAGGAAGCCCAACATGGACTCTGCTGCCAACCCAGGGGAGATCGACGATATCCCAGATCTGGAAGGCCCTGTAGCGGGACTGTCGCTGGACCCGTCGGCGCCAGGGGAGATACCTGATCTGGATGATATCCCAGATATGGAGGAGGAAGGGCTGGAGGAGGGCGACGAAGCTACTGCTCCTGCTCCTGCTCCTGCTCCTGCTCCCCCGGCAACCAAGGCACGTGTTACCGATGCCAGGTGTGTCACTGTGCCCGACTTTTGCTACGTTTATCTGACGGTATGCAAAGCCGAGTCGAAGCAGCCAACGGCAACCTGTTGCAGGTCCGGACATACGATGTGATGATCACCTACGACAAGTATTACCAAACACCCCGAATCTGGCTGCTTGGCTATGACGAGAACAGAACACCCCTGACCCCATCGCAGATATTCCAAGATGTCTCTGCGGACCACGCTCTTAAGACGGTGACCATCGAGGCCTTCCCACATTCGGCGACGTTGCAGGCTGCGTCGGTGCACCCATGCAAGCATGCCAGCGTCATGAAGAAGGTCATCGAGCGTATGAATAGCAGCGTCGTGGCACAGCAGTTGGCACAGCAGAAGTTGGTGCCAAAGGAAAAGAAGAAGTGGTTCGGGAGGAAGTCGAGTGGTGGCAAAGACGATAAGGTACTCAGTGGAGATGAAGAAGAGGTAGAAGGGATGCGGGTAGACTTCTATCTGGTGGTATTTTTGAAGTTCATCGCTTCGATTGTCCCCACGATTGAGGTGGACTCTACCACGTCGTTCTGAGTAGTTTTTGTAGCACATATAGATTGGATACCCTATGATCTGCGAGTATGTTCGTTATTCAGTGTCAGAAGTTTATGCCAATGTATCATATATTTACTTGTATAATTCGTACTGAACTTGGTATCTGAAGGTTGCGATTATAAGCTACAAGTCGAGTACGTAATGCATGGCTTATTTTTGCACCACGACGCGACGTTCATTGCCCAATCGGGGCGAGATGCTCTTTCCCGGACTCCAAAGAATGCTTCAAGTTCGTGCACCATCTTCACGGGGACTCGTCCCTGGATTTCGCCACTACTTACGCACTTCACAAGGAAATGTAGGTAGGACGGCCGTGCTCTTCATTCTTGAATCTCTCTTGAGGACACTTTAGATCTTCCCCCTCTCCTAGCAACAACAGCGCCAGCCGCCTGGCTATCTGAGGACGAACTCAGACAATATATCCCTCCTCTGATACGTGTAGGCTGGTGCCTACGATGGTCAACCAAGCTCAAATCCTGTCGACTCTCTTCCGAGTTTCCCGTCGCTGGATACAAGACTGCTATGCGGTTCATGAACGACGTATCTGAAATTGCCGATGAAGAGAATGTGAGCAAATTGAAATTGTTTGATCAAGTTGTTCTAACCCAATTTTTTTTTGGTCAGCATCATCCTGAGCAAATCAGTTTTGCCAACAAACGTCTCAGCATCTCAGTTCAAACGCATAGCGCGCTCTCACCGCCTATCTCTCCTCTGGGGCAAGATGCGGGTGAGCCTGTGCTGTATAAGTACCCCGGGGTCACACTTCGTGATGTGCGTTTCGCGATGCTCGTTCAAAGGCAATACATGGAAAACTATCAGCCCGAGCCTCGCAAGCCGCGTGATGCTCCTGAACCTCCGGAAGTGTTGACTGATGGATCACTTTTGAGGGGTATCTTGGAGTGTGCAGGTATTCCTTATGCTGCAGATTAAGCGAAGGTTCAGTGCTCAGGTCTTGTCGCTTGGATCTCATGCTGTTTCCTGGGAGTATAACAATATATTCTCGGTGTCAGTAGGTACAAGAACGCTAGCGCGATATTAAAATGTTCAAATTCTAATCTACATCTGTTGTGCGTGGATCGACGCCACGTTTACCACGTAGGTTCATGACACCGCCAACTACCGAGCTCATCGTATGGCCATAAAAATACGCCGCGCGTGACAAGACGACTTGTTCTACCAGCCCACGAAAGTCCGTAATCATCAATGCCCATGATATCTCTGGACCGTTCATCCGTCTATCTGAAATGGTAAGAAGGTCGTCCATGAGAATGGCTCCCTGGCTTCGAAACTCTTGTAGAACAGTGTCATTGCGCTCATCTGTCGCTACATAGAACCTATGGGCACTTTTTTAGTCGTATGCACAGATCATAATGGAACGAACGAACCGGTCGTCTGCCAGAGGTGGTTCCCGACTGTATATCTCATAGTCTGAACCCGGTATATCTGGAATGTCATACGACCGCAAAGCTTCTTCCCGTTCATGTATTGACTCTATCAGCCGTCTTCCGTCCTTCAGATGTTGCTTTACTCGGACTATATGTTTTTCTGGACTACTCTCCATGACAAAATTATACCTGACAACTACAAGAATGGGAATGTCACGTAATAAATGCTGCAAAGATGAAGAGGTCTTACAGTCACCGCGGCGCATATGCGCTGCCATCCATAATCGCCCTCCAACTAGATCGTACAGGCGTTGGACCATAAGATCAGCAAGCGAGATTATTGCATCGATCTGTCGGATATCATGGAGGACAAGATGAAGGTAGTCGTTCAATGCAAAGCGAGTTGTAAAGCGCATGCCGCCCTGTAGTTGCGATCAGATTCCAAAAAAAATTCGGCTTCCGCATATTTGAGAGACACCCACTGGCTTCCGGCGAATGTGCAATGGGCCAGAAAGCAGTAATACTTCTTCCTTCCGCCCAGAAAAATCATCCTGGAATCCACGGATAGCAGAACGGCGTGCGAATTGCTTCATTGGTTCTGTAACAGCTTTGCTCAACTCCATTCCCTTTCTTGGGATACCGTCAGTCTTGCCGTAGTATATGCCAAGCAAGGGAAGGTACTTACACAGGCCTGAATGTATGGAGGACTTCCCAACCATGTTCAACCATGATCTTCTCCAGCTCGTGATCATCCCAAATATTCAGAATTTCTTGGGTTCGGTTCCAGTCTAGGGCGACATTCTGAGGTAAATCACCCGCCAACGCATGAAGCGCTCCATGAGCTTCATCCTCCCGCATCCGGGCCTTGATTTCGTCCGATATTTTGTCGACCCTCACTATTTCACCTTCGTCATACCACTCATTTTGGATAATATACAACTCCGGCGTCTTCCCTGTAAAAACATTCTTGACGTCGCTGGCATGATATCGATCTCGCTGCCACTGTCCGTTGGAAGCTTCAGCCGTCGGGTCGACACCATGTAGCCGGAGGTAATCGGACACGGTGATGACGGGGTGCGTCTCGCGGAGGTGAGTGATATTCATCATGAGGTTTATTGGGATCACCCAGCCCATTTGCTCCTCGACGGGGAGCTCACGCCACTCGTTGCTTCCTAACGCATCCCTTGGAGAGGCGTTGCATGAGCGCTGTGACCGTCAAGGATTCAAAAATAGTGCCCACCCTCTGTTGACCATAGCAAAGTAGTCGCCACAAGTTTTGCTGCGCCATCAAGCCATCAGCAAAAGTGGGGTCAAGACGACAGCTCTCAAACTCACATGCCGTATTCACAGCCTCGCGCGTAGATGAATGAAGGCAGAATAAGTGTACGGTGGAGAAGTTTGGCTTGAAGCAGGGCTGCCTCTATAATATAACGTATCTGAAATTATGATAAGCACAGATGACTATTCATCACAAAGAGCCTATACTCACATTGTTCCATCCTAGGTTTAGGCTATAGTCTCTCGCTAAGAAGCCTTCCGTCGTCGAGACAAGCTCCCTTAATTCTTCCAAGCCCAAGTGCTCGGAATCTGGCAACGAAGAGGAATCCCCGGGGGAAGAAACAGTCTGACTTTCAAACTTAAGCTGTGATTCGTTGTGGGTAGAACACCCAGTATGATGATGGGTACGGTGATGATGGCCGAGAAGCTGCAACTTCGCAGTTTTCAGCGTGCCCCTACCATTCTTCGAGCAGAAAAGCGCGTTATGATAGAAGATACCAGCCCAAGAAGAAATCAAAATGAAGAGGCCCACGGTTCCGCAAAGACGTGGAACGAGGGAAAGTCGTAAAGACCGTCTGGGGGCCACCGCCGGCTCAGGAAGGAGAGTCATGGCAGATTAACGATAGGACTAGAGTAGGCTTTGCCAACAGGAAGCTCGGCATGCTGTTATATATAGCCTGCCAAATTCAAATGCATGAATGAAACAATCATCGAGTGTACGTTGATGGAGCTGCTTTGGTAAGGGAACTTGCAATTGCTTTCGGCACCATAGAAGCCGATCAAAGGATCGGTGTTTTCAGGCGAAGGATCAGTAGAGAGGAACATTCTGCGTTGAACCCGTGCAAGCTTGTGTTCATATGTATGCGTTTCCATGTAATTTGCGTTAGTTTGGAACGCATCATTTCAGATTTCGAATGTGACATTTCGAGAACGTGTGTGCTGTGTACTGCAAGACTTTCGGGCCTTTTCCTCCGCCATCAGCCTCACTGATCGCATTAGACGATAGAGTGCCTTACCCCAGAGCGAGAACTTGGTCTGCGATCCGTGCAATGGACCAATACTGCATCCTGCCAACTTTCGTCTTATCCTTGGGGCGATCACCGGTCTTCAAACAAGGTGACGATGAGTGTATGAATGAATACAGCATTCCAAGCTGTTGACTTACAGCTGCTTTGTATCCGGAAACAGATGTCAGTGTTAAAGGGTACAAGGAGGGGCGCATTAATTTGGTGATACAGCACTTTCTGCAAACCATTATCGTAGTACGTTATTAAGAGTGTCAGTTGCCGTTAGCGAGGTTCGCGCCGAACTGCGGAGTCACACGACCCACAATGTTACATTCATAAATATCAGACTGTACTTTGGTAAGTTTGATTGAGTTTTTGTCACAACAGATTAGTTGAATAATCCACGCCGAAGCTGAAGACCTGTTTAGCCCATAGCGGCAGATTAGTTGAATAATTTTATGGAGCAGTCTATGCAAGACCCCAAGAACGACATAGAACTCGAGCCATTCTTTGAATTCCTAGTGTCATATCATCTTTCTAGATGGTAGGTGAGAGAATGGTGAAACTTGAAATCATCGCACTTGCCGTGGTCATCGAAAAGGCCATCCGAAAGAAGATTACGCCGTGCTCTCTACCGGAGGATGCGATTGACGACTTCTCCTTGCCTTGCCACGGGCTGCAATGAATTGAGAATCAGCATGTAAGATGTAACGCTGCATCTCTCACGTGTAGTACGACCCTGGCGTGAGCAAAACCTTTTCAAAGCTGTAAGCGATATGCATTCACAAAGAAACGTTCACCAACCTTTTCGTGAGCCAGCTCCCGCCACAGTTTCTTTTCAAAAGCAGCTTCGGGATCCACGTCGCCGGCTTGGGCCTTAAGAGCCAGGAATTCCTTGTTTTCTTCCAGATACAACTTACACCACAAAAACATCCCGGCACGCGGAGGGACGAAACTGAACAGCCTGACCTTTGTGCCCTTGCCGTAGACCACTAGTCCTTCATCACTCGTCCCCGTTTTGACATCGAATGTCTCGCCAATGATATCGCATATCCAATTCCTACGTACTGCATACTCACGCTTTAACCCCGAAAGCCACTTCAAGTAGCCGCTGATGCCCCAAGACCGTAACAGCTCTGATAGGATTGCCTGACTCCATCCTGAGGGTGCCTGACTTACCACCTCAGTCGCTCGAAGCAACCGTTCCGAGAAAACAGGATTACATGTGAACCACCCGACGCGGTTTCCGGGTGCCAGCGTTTTACTAAAAGTGTCTAGGCGGATTACCCGTCCTTCAGTATCAAAACTGAGGAACGTGTGTTCCAGCGAGCTAAGGAACGTCGATTCATCGTAAGAAGGAGCGAAGGCGTGGCTATTTTGCTTTTCGGCTTTGATATTGTATTCGTCGAATTGGAGAAAATAATAGGGGTCATCTTCCACAATTATAATATCTGTTCCGCTTTTTGAGTATCTGCAAATAGAAGATAAGGGTGCTCGACTGGCATACCATATTTCACACAGAGAGCATAGATCTCCTGTTTACGACGAGCGGACATGGTACAACCTGTAGGGTTATGCCCCGTAGGAACAGTACTACCGAGGTTTTCAGAAAAGTAAAGAACTGTAAGACGAACACTCACTAAAGAACATGAGACCGTTTGACACCTGGATGATCCGAATCCCACGTGCAGAGCGCATTTTCCAATGCATCGGAGCGCATACCTTCAGCATCCATCTCGACTAGTACAGACATCAATGTCATTGATACGTGAAAGGGAAAACTTAGAATATCCATACTTGGAACACCATGGCATCCCATCGGTATCCACAGGGCCTGCGCCGAAGGGTATGTCTGCTTCTCTACGAATATGAAGTCTCCCATCTCGCTAAATCAGAGCATTAGAAAGACTACAGAACCATACGACAGAAGCGTTACCAGAGAAGGTTCACCACTTTATTCCAAGCAGCCGTACTGCCCTCGTTCAATAACACTTCAAAATTTTTGTAAGCAGGACGAAACACGGTTCGTGTCAACTCGCGCGTATAATTGAGTAGCCATGGAAGTCCAGTACACGAGGCTGACGAGATACTTCAAATTCTGAATTCGAGTTCGAAGATGATGGTATACGTACAATATTGCAGGCTAGTCGATAGGTCCAACACTTGGCCGTCATTCCTGTCATCTTTGCGGATAGTCAAGTGTATCAGTTCCCGCGAAGTGATAGAGTGCAAATCGACGTTAGAGGAATACACGTTGGCCTCCAGATCGACGAAAGGGAATAGAGAAGGGTGAGGAAGACCTCCCGCTAAGCTAACCATTCCATCGATAGCCATATACGACATGATATCTACACTGTCACGTCAGATATGGAAGAACGCATGAATAGCGGTGACGAACGCACCCTTCAAGGGACTGGGTGCTCGGGACACAGACAGAGTGTTCAAATGATGGCGCAAATCAATGGCTTCCATCGTGTATGTAGAGGGGTGGGTGAAACAACGGCGTCCTGTTTCGCTAAAGAGACTTTATGGTGACTTGGAAAGGACGTGAGTCAGAAGAAACAATCAGGTCGGGGAAATCGGGCGGGAAAATCAGTTATGAAATTGTCACATTCGGAGGCCCCTACGGGGGGCCCTTCTATCATGATCATTATCGTCATATTGTCTTGCAAAGGCCGCGGCCGTGATATGCGAACCAGTGTGATGTTGTAAGTGTGCATGTAACGACGTCGAGGTATATAGTTCGTCAATGACTCAGCCCTATATTGCACAGAAGAAATCAGGTACAACGCTGACTCCTCAAAAGTTTCTACCAGAAATATGTCAGCACGGATGCCCGGGGCCAAGAGCTTCATCTTAATGGCGATGAAGGTCATTGAAAAAAAAAAACATGCTAAGACAATCACCGACCTGCCGGAAGATCAATAGCTGCGCGAGATTCTGATCTGTGAGCGACTCCATATTGAAAGGCTCCACTGTTCCCTGTTCCTAGTAGCGCCCTAAAAAGTCCAGACAACTGAAGGACCAAGCGGGTCTCCACTCGGACGTGTTTCGACGAGGAGCTCCCCGACTTTCGGCGCCCATGTTAACAGGACACTGAACTAACGGCAGAAGATATATTCGGATTTCTCCAGGCAGATGTCAAAGACGAGCTAGTGACAGAATTAGTTGACAAGCACAGAGTATTCAACGTGAATATTTTTTGCCAACTTGAAGTTTGACTTGAGAAATGCTGGCCGGAAGGTAGACGAACTGCATATGCACAGCAAAACGAGGACCAACTTGTCCTCGTTTTGTCCTATAATTATTAATGAGTACGATGACAACGTGCAACCTTTAGATTCCTTGTCGACATCGTCAGGTAGAAGGTAAAGTAGTTACCGCATGTGTTTAATAAATGCAAGAGGCTGGGGCGTTCTTTGAAAAGGCATGCAGATGGACGGCGAACAAACAAGATCCAGCTGTAAGGCAATTCGTATTTGACGGTTCAACGACGTTGGTGCTGAGAATAAAAGCGACATCGAAAAAAAGGAGTACAATCAAATAGTCATTCCTCTGGTTGCTCAATATACCTGTCGTGCTTGTAGTTAGTGAAACGTTTAATAACCCTCCATTGATATGTACCTCTTTACGTCCGAAGCTTCTCCACTCTCAGCAAGCCTTCTATATACTTCGTTGAGAGTAGTATTCACGTCGTGAATCTTCCGTGCAATGGGCATGGGTGGCCCTGGAACTGAATTTTCGCTGAAAAGGGGAGGCAGTTGAACATGAAAGATAATGTCTCAAAAAAAGACCATTCACTTTTGGGTCATTTTCCTGTCAATGAAACGAACGGCAAAACCTTGGGTGGATTCCTTGGGTAGATGAGGACAATCGACTCTCCAGTGAGGTTCCCCGCACTCTGAACAAGGGTATCTCGGTGGTATTTCATGCCTTTGGGGACAACTGTCGAGCTTATGATCAGGGTTATAGCACGCCGAGCAAGCTGCAATATAACGAAGGTTCCCCTGCCCTCCATGCCAATGATAATGGATGGCTTTCCTCAGGAGACCAGACTTGATGTATTCTGTATGCTGTCGCACTTGTGGGTACCGCGCGTCAAGGTCTGCCGTCGTGACGCCAAATCTAGAGAGATAATGTCGTTGAACGCGGTATGCGAAGCGCATATCTTTGACCGTGAAGCACCGGCCGGTGAATTCATCAGAGGGATGACGGGTTACTTGTGTGGAATACAGCTCCAATTCAAGCGTGTTCTCTGTGCAGCTTAATGTTTTAGGGTGGTGCTGGACAGGTGTCAGTACGCCGAAAGAGAAAGACAACACCGTACACACACATTTTCATCCTTCGCGACACCACCCACCAGACCAACAAAAGAGATCATCGCTGCATAATCCGAAAACGGGTACGCCATGTGCAGAGTCCAGCCAAATTCGGTGTGTCTCGACAGGGAGCGAACGGTCCAACCAAAGCGCACAAGGTTGGGCATAAACTTTTCCAGCTCTTTCTGGGTCGGGACCATTTTGGCTCTTGCCTCAGTAGGCTCCGGAGGCAAGGTTCCTAAAGAATGGGCTAGAGGGCTATATAAGAGTTGAAACTTGCGGTAAATGCTGCCACACATACCTGTGATAGGCCTTATGGGTTTGACGTATGTTTCCGTGACCCATGACCGTAGCGGATCGTCGTCGTTTTGGTTCAGTTGAAGTCCAGGACCATTCAAGTACCGACGGAGTATTTGTTTCTGTAGCCGAGATACACAGAGAATTCGACGAGGGCAGTCCCTTATGGCAGCGGGAAATCGAACACGCAGCATAGAGGACGTATGCGTCACGTGGTGGTCGAAAAGAAGAAGGATCCGATACAGTTGGGCTGTTAACCGGTACATAAAGTTTATTTAGTCTGTGTCTAGGTCAAGTTATCTATGGATTAAACAATTCAACCCGGACGAATGCTACACGGGCCCCATTTTTTCTATCTCTCCATCCACATATTCCGCAGGACCCCAGGGCATCTCTTTCATCACTTCTTTCACTGCATCATCCAAAGACGGCGCATTCCCAGGTACCCATTCTAACTCGCCGCCGTACACTTTGGGAATATGCTCTCGATCTACAAATTCCTCTAGCTTCTCCATGTCCGTACCCTTTCCAAGGATGTATATCTTGTTCCGCGTCCCCTCATCAAACCATCCCTTGATCCATCCCCAGATCATCGGGAAGAATGCCGGGGCGTTGACGACGGCGATGATGTGGAGCGTCTCTGGATAGTTGGCCGTGGCGAGATGGGATGCTTCTTGTAGGTGCGAGCGTAGTGAGATTACAGTGCCGAGGGTGAGAGAAGAGAGGTCGATTATCGTCGTGCACGATGAGACTGTTCGCGTTGGATGAATATGGGTGCAGACGGGCAGCACTAATCGAGTCATTGCCTCGTACAAGACCACTCTGTATTGGTCCAAGTCAAGATTCGGTACAACGAATGACAAAGGTCTCGCGCTCACATTCTTTGGTATCTTCGTTCATGGGAAACAGCGTCCAGTTCCTTCTGGAGAGGCGCAAGAGACGCGATATGGTATACGTAGAGAGGATTGCCATCCTACTTTCTTAGGAGCTATAACAACCCACAATGGTCGTAAAAGACTCACCTTATCCCGTCGTCCCGTCCACTGAGGATAAAATCGTTTTGCCGATTCAAACTCGTCATCATCGAACGTAGCGAACAAGCCATCCACATCGTGTTTCTTTCTCCATGCCTCCGTATCAGAGAATTGTTTCTGAGCCTTGAAGATGTCGAATCGTCGCGCCCTAAGAAATCGGCTGGTCGAAGAATGAGCCTGATGGTGACATTTCAAAATTAAGCCTGGACTTACTTACAGGAGGGTTACATCACTGTGCGAAGCCTTTTCGGTTTCTGTCGCAGGCCTGTACAGCTTCGCCGTGGCTAAGGTATCTTTGAAAGCTTGCAGCTGCCGCCCGTGGTCGTCGTCGCCCATCAGATTATGATACAAGGACCTCCACTAAATTCTCCGGGTCAGGGTACGTCCGAGTCATATCTATTATGTATATCTTTCTACACCAATGACATTCAAGTAGTCGTAAACAAGAGCCCCCCACTAAAGGACGCTAAGGATTTGCAGCATTGATGCCAACAATTGGACTTAGCCACCTCTCATAGTCCCCATCGTCCGATGGATCACCAGCCACTCTTAGTGCGCTCATCAGAACACGATACTGCCCGTCGGGAATCTGCGAATTATTTGCAAAGGTACCAAGAATCGACAATGCATTGTATCCGTTGTCATCGGCATCCTGAACAAATCAATGAGTAAGCAGCAGCATTCAAAGCACGAAAAGTAACTAACATCAGCGTCAGAATTCCTCGCCACATAAGCCACCTCTGCCAGTGAACCGATAGTTCGAACTGTTTTATCTACCGATTCAAAGGGTCTGTTGAATGATAGCAGACCTCGTCTTGAGACGGGATTTGCGATCGTTGTATCCTTGTCTACCAGATCAAATGAAAGAGCAGGAGATCCAAATGCCATCCTAGATTCCGAGCGTTCATTTATACAATCTAAAAAGACATTGAACTAACCTGAACACCGCCGTCGGAAAATCACTCCCAACCAACGTATAGTTCGTCGGATTCGTCTGCACATTGCCCGCGCCGTCCAGGATTATTGGAAGAGTAACGCCAAAATACGAATCAGTATTATCGACAACGGTCTGGTCTTTCAAAGATGCAGCAGCACCCAAATAAGTGACGTGGACAGTCTCATTGGTGCCGACTACGTTGATGAAACCAGAAAAGACAGGGAGAGAGGACGCGTCGGCTGCAGGTGCAGTGAATGACAGTGAAACAGTTTTTGATTCACCAGGACCGACGGTAAGGCTTTTGGGGCTGATTTTTACTCTTGCAGTAGCATTGGTCAGTGGCACAGGTCCGAGAGAAGCAAAGATGGATGCCTGTTTTATCAGTCAGTTAAATTTCAGGACTCAAAAAGAACGGATCAACCTACATCTCGAATAGTCGCTGCGGTGCCAGCAGCGACATGTTCCAATTTGTATCTGACCTTCTTCGATCCAGTGTTAGTGATGGTAATGGTTTGGCTATGCGGAAGTGTTTAGCAGCGTAAAATTAAGGAAAATAACAACGTACTAGGAGTGGAAGTTCGCTGTATCATTCAACAAGAGTTGTGCGGGGGTTACTATCGTCCTTATATGGACAGCGCGATTCACCTGGATGAGACCAGCGCCTTGCTGCGTAGCTGTCTGCAGTAGAGAACCCTCTATGGTTTCTGAAAGGACCGGAGATGCAGTAGTTTGGAGCAAATCTCTGACCGCCAGCCCAACCTCTGTGCACTTTCCTCTGGATTGAAGGATGAGCGCAACAGCTCCGGCCACGAAAGGTGTTGCCATCGATGTACCCGATTCCACCGCATAGGAGCCTAGAGGCACGGGGATGGTAGAGAGGATATTTCCGCCCGGAGCTGCAACAGCCGGTTTGAAGTACATGTCGAACGTAGGTCCGTAGGAAGAGAAGCTGCTCACGAGACCTCCATGAGCGTCGGGCAAGTTGTACTGACCTCCGACTTGAGGGAAGTTTAAAGCGATAGAAGCATTGGCAGCGAACTGTTCCACAAGCTAATTCCACAAGTCAGTCCTTGTTGTCTTTCTGGCTCGATAATAGTGACGCACGAATTTTCCGTCTTCAGCCGAGATGAGGGCAGCGGTATAATTGCCGACTGCGATAGAATCCCAAGCGCCCGTGTCAGAGCTAAAGAATAGATTATAAAATCAAGAAAGAGGATTCAGACGTAAGGCGTACTTGTATATCAGGAAGGTCTTTCCACCTTTGGCAGCTGCATTGGCAAGTTTCTGGGTCTGCCGGATGTCAGTTTAGATGCTGCTAAGAAGGAAAATCCAGCATACGAAGGCGCATGTACCTCTATGCAAGATAACGACGTATCCAGACAAATCAGGCGTGTCCGAAGGAAGAGGACTACATGCATCGTCTGTGATGGAAGTATTTGTTGAAGTCGCGTAGATCGGTAGATCACCTGTGACATTAAAGGGAATAGCCTCAAGGTACGGCTATTATCACATTGAATCCTTCTTGTATTCAAACCATTCAAAGCAACACCTACGATTGGGTTGTGATCAACACCTTTGACTGTGACGTTCTGAATAGGAATGACAATATTGTCGACGCTAGCCACAGAAATGACACTGATGCCATTTCCGGGACCGGATGTGTACCATGACCCATAGGCGCCATCTACTCGCAATGTAGTTAGGTTTGCGCTCGAGAGAGGATAGGCAAGAAGTGGCCCATACCATTTCCGGCTGCAATGGTCACAACTATACCCTTCTGAGCAATTCGACTCGCGACAACTGAGCTCGTGCCTTCAGTCCATCCATCAACACCACCGAGAGATAATGTCAAGATGTCCATCCCGTCTTTGTATCCCCGAAGGAGTGCATCGATGATCACTAACCGAGAATCTGAAAGGACGACTCCGACATGAATGGATAACTTTTACCTTCGTCACTTGTGCTACCCGTACACCCAAAGACGCGATAAGCAGCAAGAGATGCACCGTTTGCGACTCCAATAATGCCGTAGCTATTGTTCGGATTCGCACCAATGATCCCAGCTACGTGAGTTCCATGACCAGCGCATCTAATCGCGCATAAGGATGGCTGAATGGAGAGCGAAAGAAACAGAGCTCAACTGGTCAAGAGGATCATTGTCAGGCTGCGGGGTATTTGTTCCATTGTACGCATCTCCAACAAAGTCATACCCTCCGATAATCTTGTTTCCCGGACCTATAGCACCTCCGAGAACAGGATGTGTGTAATCAACACCTAAAAGACGTGTTCTTATTACGTCTAGATAGGATATGTCTTAAATGGACCCACCTGTATCAATGCTGGCATAAGAAAGCGGAACTTAGTGCCATATGAACTAAGCGATGATTCACGAAAGCAACCCACATTCCAATCTTGACACCATCCCCATACAAACCCTCCTCGTGAAGCTTATCAACCCCCGTCATAATATGCGTGCTTAGTGAATCAGGAAGGTGAGGATCGTTTGGATCGTCGACAATGACCATGTCGATGGGTCTGCAAGAGCGCTTCGTTAAAATGTAATAGACAACTTTCTCAAGACAACTTACTGGGGGGACGGAATCATCAACACTGGTCTGATCGCTTCTACGCCAGGAATTTCATTCATACGAGCGACATCCTGTGGAAGAATCATGAGTTCCATAAAACTTATAGGAACATGAGCTTAACGCGTACTCCCGGTGTCTGTAACAATTAATGAGCATCAATACACAGACTGTGATTGCTTTACCGAAAGTGTCATAGATGCCCCTGTTAAAATGCCAGGTACATCGTACTCCTTCTTCACCTCAACGTTGACACCCCTTTTGCGCATTTCCTTGTACACATCCTGATGAAGCTGCTCACGCACGCATCACTACAATTCTCCAAACTCCGAAACAGTAAAGGGCCCACCGATCGTCGAGTCCTCCGTCCGAGGCTTTGAACGTCAGTCATTTCGACGATGTATTCATTAGGGACATAACGGCCCCAAATTGAATTCTTGTCAATGCTAGAAAGCGGCACGGCCGAATGCGCTGGGGAGAGTAAGACAGCAATGACCCAGGGATACAAGCGAAGAGTCTTCATGGTCAAGGGCACAACAAGTACACGAAGCCTTTAGCGGGGGAAGGAAGCGTCCAGCTTATATCCACTGCAGACCATTGGGGCGAATAGTAGATCACTGACAGAACCCATCAGAAGTCGATGTCAGAACTATGCAAGCCAGCAGGGACACAGAGATTGCGCTGGGCTTCTACGGGTAGCTCGGGCCAAGTAATGAATAATTCACGGTTCTGGTGTAATACACGCCGCCCATCAGATAGAACGGAAAGGAATGGCGCGACTGGGAGCAGCTACTAGGTACAGTTGATCATGCGAATCTGCCACGTTGGCGCGAATCCTTGACGTAAGTACATTGGAATTGATTTTGGATTGACCTGCGTCTTGGAAGGGATGATACACACTCACACGGTTCCATCCCGGCATGCTTTATATTCAAGTACGAATCAGGCCGCTAGGACACTGGGTGTATAAGATCAAGGTCACGAGGGTCTAAGCCTTCGAAACTTCTATCCTTGACATGACGACTCTCGATCTCATTCTTCTGTAACCACAGATGCAATTGTCGTAGCGCGTCCTTCAGCTAAGGTGCTGTAAGAATGAGTACCTCATTATGTAAACAAGCATCACGTACGAGCACGAAGACTCCAAGCCCGATGGTGTTCCGAAGCCTGAATTAGAAAGAATGAGAAGTCGGTCAGACTTTCTTAGTCGTCAAAAACTGCATGCAGCCTACCAGACAGGGTCGGTCTCTGACCATACCCAAGCAGAAAACTTTGTCCAGTAATAAGTGTTATTCAGGGTCTGGTCCCACATAATTTTGTTTGCGAACGATAGGGAAAGTCCAACGGTTGTTACAGTGGGCCGCATGCCAAGGACATGCTGAAGTGGGAAATAGCGTAGTGCCAACTCATGGAGCAGATATCCCATTCCCTTGGCAATTGAAGGCAGGAGTATTGCTTGTAGTATAGGACTGGATTGCGATTGCAAAATTCTGCGAGCCATCCAGAGTGGTAGGCGGTCTCCTACTTCTGGTGCAATTTGAGGCTCTTCCGGAGGCGCGCGGCCACCATTTTGAGGTGGCAGGTCAACTTCTTGAGGTGCATTAGGGTCTCCCCCATTTTCAAGACGTCGTGCTCGATTCCTCCGCCATCGGACGAAGACCATGATGTTGGCTACGAGATAAGGGCGTATGGGTAGCAGACAGGCCCAGACGGTATGGTCACGGAGATAGTCGTAGACAAAATGGGCGATGTAGATGTAGCATCCGAATTGGAACCGTGTGGGAGGCCATTGGAGCGATAAAGAGTCGTAGGGAAGGGAGAAAAAACCGAGATGCAGAGAGGCCTCCCTCATCAGGCGATTGCGCACCATCCGTGGAGGTTGGGATGGCAATACAAGAATATAGGCGAGCAGATGACGGAATCGGAAGGGCTCCCGAGAAAACAGGCATCTCAAAGCAAGGAACGGGACCAGAAGCCAAGTTGACCAAGGCCAGGAAGAGGTATCGCTGGTCAGTAATGTATCGAATAACCTGATAGAACAGATCATAAACGATAGTTGGACACGATCTACCAAGCACGTACGTGTCACCGAAAAGAAACTTGATGGAATACATGCCGTACGCGCGTAGAACCGACACAAGAGCTGGAATGATACTAGTTGTCAATGTTATTCATGAAGCAGAAGGACACAGACTCACAGTCCCCGATAAACACTACCACCCCACATAGCGTTGCCATACTGAACGTCATCCCGCAGAAATTGCAAAGTGAGTTTCCCAGCCGGAGAAGCTCCAAAGGTAATGACTTTGTCATGATAATCCGGTACTTGAAGCCGCATTGAGGACACGCTGCTCGTGTAGTCTTGGGCAGCGCCTCTATCATTCGTAGCAAATATGCCTGGTGTGCTACGAGAGTGCATTTGCAAGGATGGACCCACGACTCGACTGGTCCTGCATGGAATGAGTCGCTTCATTTATCGATGCTCAGGAATTTCACCGTTGTCCTGCTGGCAAATGAAGCATTCCTTGGTCTAGACCAGCTTTAGTAGGAAGAGGGAATACAGTAGACCCATGAACTGACCGCCAGGTCACGTATCGTTGGCGGAGACCCGGTCATCGTAGTAAGACAACGAGCCCAGAGCACGCGCTTGCCACGTTTCGACGTTACACCACGTCGCTTCTAAATACTCTTCGTATTCTTTTGGTGAGCGTTGTCCTCGATAATTGCAGGACCTACCAAATTCGATTCGGCGAAATGGTCGCGCGATGCACTGGCACGCAGGACGATGAACGCGCTTATCAGTATGCCTCTGCCACTTTTTGACATGTACGGGAGTCAAATATTTTCTGATTTAGATCTTCAGTTTCTGAATAGTCGCCTCGCTTTGAGACTTTTCATGAAAGTTTTCAATATGAGTCCTTGAATCAATCCATAGAGTTCTGGCATTTGTTGTACAGATTTAATTGCACATAGCTTGAATTGGTGGACCATTTATTTCATCGACTCGGATATGTCGTGACTTTACAAGTCGACTACGTGTTTTTCCAGGTACTCTCAGAGCTGACGTCCTAGGGCTTCGTGGGTTCTTGGTTGTGCAGGAGCAAAAGTTGGAGAATTTACTGTCGCAAGTCCAACTTGGCAAGGTCACGGTCTAACCTCGTAAACTCTGGACCGCAATGCTTGACAGGCTTCAAATCAGCGAAATCAGCCCATAGGAAGAGCCCCTCTCGTCCCGTTTCATTGCACAACTCGTCAGTTGAAGCACAGGCCTTCTCCGCACTGCGAGGAGAGCTTCGGCCGATAGGCGTGCCAATTCGGACCGCTAATCCGACTTTTTTCTTCTTGCACTACTTATTGGTATCTCCTTTGTAGCGGGCAAATATGCTTGCGTTATGACATCTTTACGCACATATGAATAATTGCAGCCTGTGATTCATTTTTTGTCGACAGTCGACTTCCAACCTTCAAAAATATGTCGGGAACCGCTATGGAAAGGAAACTTGTCTGGAAAATTGACCTTATTTGTGAGTAACAGTGCAGCTTAGAGGTTTTTGTCATGTTCGCTTACACATTTTCCAGTAATGCCAGTTCTAACTGTAGCATATGGACTTCGTGAGTCTTATCACATGGTCGCGCTTCGATTACTAAATGATTGCATTTGCGCAGAATTTTACGATAAAGCCGTTCTGGGTTCAGCATCAGTTTTTGGAATCATTGAAGACTTGGTGAGTAGGTTCCCATCGTTCCGTTTTCTTTATGGAAGGTCACGGACCCCATGGCAGCACCTGTCCACAAAGCACAACGGAGTCACTTCTACCCAACGGTATTCTACTGCTAATGCTGCTTTTTATTGTAAATTTTCATGTCGTCACACGCATCCATGTCTGTCTTAACCGCCTTACGTTTTAGACGGATATATTGTGGGAGTCCTTCCAATTGCACTCATCCTGCAGCGGGTTCCCCTTGTAAAGATTCTATCCGCATTCATCTTCCTTTGGGGAGTCATCTGTATGCTCACCGTCGTCGTGACGAGCTATACCGGCTTGGTCGTACAAAGGACTTTCCTAGGTATAGTCGAGGTGAGCATGCCGTTTTTCTTTTGCACGAAGTGTTACTTTACTTAGTCAAGCTCGGAACAGTCTGCAGTATCCCCGGGATTCATCGCGATAACGGCACTGTGGTATACGAAGAAAGAACGTAAGATTGATTCTCTCCGGCTTCGCTTTTAAGGCTCACGAGCTCGTAGAAACGGCGAGGCTTGGTATATGGTACAGCGCTACGGGGATATTCAGCATGTTCTCAGGGCTAATTAACTACGGCCTTGGGCACGCTTCAGGAAAGCTGGCAACATGGAAATACATGTATGTACTCCATAACGTCTCTCGCTGTGCCCCTCACTCCTGCTCAGGTACCTATTTGCCGGCTCTTGGACTATCCTATGGTCGCTCGTCGTCCTTCTAGTAATACCGACCTCACCAAACGAACCCGGCCGATGGTTCACGGAAGAAGAAAAATATCTGTTAAAGCAGCGTTTGGCTTCCAATATGACAGGAAAAGATCAGACACGGTGGAAATGGGATCAATTCATGGAATCCATCAAAGATATCAAGCTCTGGATATTCCTGCTCTGCGCCTCAGCTATATACGTGTGTAACGGTGGCGTCACTGCGGTAGGCGTTGTCCTATCTGTACTATTTGATCCTGAAATTCACAATCCATTCGGAAGTTCGGAGCGCGAATCATCACCTCGTTTGGTTACAGCTCATTGAATGCCATACTTCTCCAGATACCTGGCATGTCCGTTTACACCATAGGCGAGCAGCTGAATCATAATCCTTGAAGGTGGCGCAATGACTTGTCTCACTATCTGGATATCTGGATGGTTTGCTGGGCGTTACAAGAACATCCGCACCTATCTTTTGCCGATCACCTGTTGGCCAATAATCACCGGCGCCATCATGGTATGGAAAGGATCTTGGATACACAGGGCTCTGCCACTGTGGGGATATTACCTCGTAGCGTCCTTTGGTGCCCCTTATGTCCTGATTCTGTCTTTAGCTGCTGCAAATGTTGCAGGGGGGACGAAGAAAGCTGCCTGCAGTGGTATGATTTTCATTGGTTATAATGGTCGGTCTGCTGTTTATACCGTCCGTCCTAATACCGATTCATTTGTCGGCATGTAGTTGGTAACATCATAGGAGGATACAGTAAGTCATTCCTACATTATTTTCGAAGGCTAATTCCCATATCCCGCTTGCCTGCAGTTGTTTTGACTCCCGAAGCCCACGTCCACTATAAATCCACTTGGATAGCTATCATCGTATGCATGTGCTGTACGAATCAGTCTCTTTTCATTACATGTGTGATCTTACATCGATTTTCAGTTGTGTCTGTCTCATCACTCGTGCTGCGATACATTTTGAATGCCGAGAATAGAAGGCGGGATGATCTCCTCACGTCGTCCTACATTCCATCAGCCTCACAGAAGAACGACAACAAGACTTCAAAGGCGGAGGGTCAGGAAAAGAAAGATGACAAGTTCGCTTTTGCAGACCTGACGGACTTCCAGCAGAAGGACTTCAGATATGTTCTTTGAACATACTTTCACATATTAATTGCTCTACAAGTATGTTTGTAGAATCATCTATATTTTCTTCATTTCCAGGGATTAGGAATATTGTTCCATATACCGGTTTTCCATATTCTCAACTTTTATTTCCTGAGGAATATTGAATCTATGCCGCCCGGTAGAACAAAACAGCACGGCAAATTACAATCGATAGGACATATAGGTGCCGAAGGCGTATTAATATAAGCATATGTTACTCGAACAGCAGTCATATGCTGAGTAATGATATCCGCTGACGACCCATCTTCAGCAATCTACCGAAGGCAAGGCTTGTCTGGCACGAGAAATCTCCTCTTGCAATGGTAATGGCGAGTTTCCTGAGGGCTTTGGCGTATTTATATGTTATGGGAATGATTGATATCTGTACGTCCTCGTCCTCGTCTACGCCATGCACTGCCCTAGACGCTGAGCCTTGAATCGAGCATCAATGAATATAAATGGAGCCTGATAGGGGAGTTATTTCTCAAGCCCATCGACGGAGCGCGTTCCGATACACGATGGGGGTGACTGGGAAGATCTTCAACGGAGAATTCTGCAAAATCAGAGCGAGATACCTGTTATTTTGGTCCTATATCAGTGTATGAATAATGATGACAATGGCATTGCACGGACACGTGATCCATACGCGCATATATACAGCCGGCCAAAAGGAGCGCGCCTCTTATCCTTCTACCCCCAACATCGCCCAGTTCCTACCGCATCACGGCTTTCCTAGCATCCATCCACTCCCTCTATGCGGTCCCAGTGACTACACATATCTTTCTTCTACTCACCTTTTCCCAGCAAGATGTATTTCGCCATAATTGCCTTTCTCATGCTCGCCATTGCACACGCCGAGCCTCTAGATGGCGCCTCGTCTGGCAACACCTTGACAAGCGGTGTCGGACGTGATCCTACCTCGAAATATCCACAAAATCACATCTCAGATATAGGTGCTCGGACGACGGTGATTGCAGAGACGAGAGAGAGAGAGAGAGACTCGATTAAAGAGGGAATACAATGATGATCTACCATGCAATAAGTACGGGTATATATGATATCGTAGCGATGGTCCTAGTGAGACATATCTAGATGGTCTTTTAGTACCTACAAAAGAGTTATAATGGGAGAATAAGACTAGAACTATGACCTATGGTCTTCGTTTGATGGTCTATGCGTGTAGAGGTCCTAAATCCTCTACACAGACGTATCCAACCCTTCAGCTGCGTATGGTGCCAAGTCAGCTTGCTTTATCCTGATGCTGATGCAAGCTTGTGAGCCTGAGACGCTCTTACACGACCAGATTGAGAAGATACGCAGGTCGATGATTGATAGGGACGAGAAGATTACCGAAGGCGAGTCCGAGTCTGCTCGCGTACAAGAGGGACGAGTCAACGCAAGTGACGGAAACGATCAGGGACCGGTCACTAGCAGGACAGAACGATGTTCTAGGGTCGCTGTCTCGACAAGACGTTACCCCATCCGTCAACGGCGTGACAGACAAAGCAACGAGAGCGATCAAGGACCAATCGACCCCAGGCATTGCGCCAGTAGGACAAACAGGCGTTCCAGGATCATCGGCTAGACGAGAGGTTCCCTTATTTTCCAAGCGCGCTCCAAGGGATGCTGCATCATTTGCACCTTCGGATATCTCTTTGCGTTAGACTAACGCCCTGAATGACGACTCGCCAACTGTCTCTCCACGCCAACTTCACGCTCCAGATTATAGTTCTGCTGGTTCACAATCCAGTTCGACCACGGAGAATGGCTCGGACTCAAGCAAAGATCAGGAGGCAAAAGAGAAACACGCGGTTGTTACAGCTACGAAGAGGGGTGTGGAGCCTGTTGAGTGATCGAAGACGCCGACCATGAACGCGAGAGGGTTTGAGAGGGGTTTGACTTTCACTTTTGAGCTGAGCGATGCAAGATATCTATTGGTCGCGAGGATGGGCAACAGCATCAAGACGTTTCGGCTCGAGTGGGTGGGGTGGATTATATGGTTTTTTGGGGATTTGGGTTCATTACTATCTTGGTTGTATATTCTGGGAATTCATGCAACGTGTCTAGTACAAGCGTTACGCTTCGTCATCGTAAGGAGGCAGTCCCCATTCTTCCGGAACGAAGTCTTGTAATGATTTGAGCATTGCGTCAGCTTTCTCCTCGCCGACATATTCCACATCTAAGAGATTGGCATCTGGTATCCATACGACTTGGGCGTTCGTCAGCACAACAAGTGAAAGTAAAGCAAGGTGCCGCACCATTCATCCCAGCCCGCTTCCCAGCCTGCATCCCGGGCAAGCCGTCTTCAAAAACAAGTCCTTTTCGACGTTCTGCTTCGTGCACTTCGGAAGTCTCGCTCCGAGCTTCACCTACATCTCGGTGTAATAGCTCCCTGGCAGCAACCAAGAAGATATCCGGCTCGGGTTTCCCTTTCATGATCCATCTTTCATCATCAGCGCACACCACACGTCCCTCGAAGCACCCAAATACTTCCTGGAGGTGTCCTGTCTTGAGTTCATAGTTCCTCCGTCTCGATCCTGTGGCGACAGCAATAGGTATCCCGTATTTCTGAAGGTGCAAAACAAGCTTGGCGACCCCCGGCAGAAGGGGAACTGAAGGCCACATAGCATCTTGCAGGTCGTTCCGTTGTGTGAGGTACGACTCGAGCGTGAGTGAGATTCCGGGGAAATGCGATAATAAATATTCGGCAGCTGTCCTTTCGGCTGAAGACGAGGTGAGCAAATGTTCAAATTGAGGGATTGTGGGACGTACGTTTGCCCATACATCCAGCTTTGATATCCCAGGTCATCTCGCAGCCGTAGGGCGCCAGGATAGCGTCTGCATCGCGCTCGTGTCAATATCGTTCCGGAAAAGTCTTGCTATGAGAGACTTGAGCGTACTGGTAACATCGGTGTAGATCTTCTCAGAGTCAATCATTAGGCCTGCCTTGAGAACTGCAGCGACCGAAAACGGGGAGCGATGAGTAGGAGACTCACCATCCATGTCGAAGAGAACGTATTCGATTTTGACCATCTTGATTCACTTGTGATTAGAGATACAATTCGGTCTCGAGGTTAGGAAATCAAGAGTCCTGTATCCGTAATTTGAATTTGAAATTTGGGACTGAGTACTTGTAGGCACATGGCCCTCAAGCTCTTTGTCTCGTACATTTCCAAGTTTCTGCGCCTTGCGCATCCGTATCCATACTTCGGATTCTCTTGTATCCACGGTCATTGCTTTGCCAACTTCCAGCTTCACGAGCCGCAAATCTCAAGTTTGTAGCCTGAGAAGGGAGCGGCGACGAAGACCTGAAAAAAATCACTAGTTGTGCACTCCCCCAAGAAGATTAGACCTTGATTACAGCCCGCCGCTGCGTATATTTGTATAAATGCGCCACTGGCTTCCAGTCGCAGCTCTCTATCCATCTCACCGACGTTTCTCACTCAATGTCGGCGCATATAGTCAGGCCTTCTGTGACTTAACACTTGGAAACACTCCATCTTCCGGCTGACAGGGAAGGCCTTCGAAATTAACAGTCTGTATTAAAGGCAAAAGGAACTGGCGGAGAAGGCGAAGTACGACAACATAATAGTCTTCAGGGTTACTTGATTGAACCTCGTAGAGACAAGTTGACGCCGAGCGTCAGTGAATTCTAGATCCTAACTTGGTGCTTATTCTAAAGAGCGCGTCCTACTCAAATTGCTGACATCTGTGTACAGTGTATCGTGTCGCTCAGGAGGGGCGATGGTCTGAAACAGATGCATAGAGCTCCCTGGTAAATGGTCATGCACGTGCTGCAAACGACTCTGGTGAACTCCGCGCACTGTATCAGTGTATTTTTGAAGATGGGTGAACTAACGAAGGAAGCTTGGGTTTTTCTCCATACCGCCATCAGCGCGACGATGTCCAGACCCGGCAAAGTCGCTCCTCAGATGTCAGCCAGAAAGCCATCTTGCACTATTTCCGCAGTCAAGAAATACGCCACTTCGGGTTTTCTGCTTGGGAGAGCGTCTCGAAAACCACGTACGTCGAAGCATACGAGAAGGCATGGTTCATCTAGCGTCGATGTCATGCTGGAATCCATCCATCCATTGACAGGTGTGGCGGTCGATAAATAGTGGTTGAATGTTGACGTCCAACCGAAAGCAACAGAAAAAACGCGAATGCTCTATGTCAACAACTGAGTTGACATGAGGAAGCGCGTCATTGCCCAGGATCATTGCCTTCCATTGAATATGCGAAAATGTGGATCGAGGCCAATGAACGTGAGTGCATTAGATGTACCATTGTTACTTGCGAAAATAATGAGAATTTCTAGACCGTTTTCGTGGACCGTGTCAATTTATGTCGAATCGTCGGATAACGTGCACTGGGAATCGTCCACTGTCTACAGCGCACAATGTCAATGCCGGTAGCGAGTTTCTATAACCCATTTGATCAAAGCTAATGCAAGTGCCCATTTCTAGTATAATACCATCATGTGGAATATAGGGTGTATATAAAGGACACTCCAGCCGGATTAACGTGTGAACCAGGTGTCGCCGAACCTTATTTGTAGACATTTGCGGAGCAGAAGGGCCATGACATTTGGCTTGGGATGAGAAACGGCGCTGTTACTATTCTTCTGCTTCTGTGTGAGTATTGTTTTCACTCGGTGGGAGCAGCAATAGTTAACCGATTACCCTAGTTACAGAGAGAACGCAAAAAATAGGTAGTTTCGACTTTGATTGATCACTACGATAATGGTACGTGGTTGTCCGCCGCTTGGAAGAATCGATAGTGGACACTTGGTGACGATGGCTAGCATGTGCTGTGACAAAGCCATAAAGCATCATCATTGATGCCAACACGCAAGCGTCTTCTACATGTGTGCGAAAACCTTCCAGCATGCGACGCAGTCTTCATCGAGAGAGACTATTGAAAGAGCGAGTGATGAAGGAATCGTGATGCCATTGAAGGACCCTGATGAAGCTGGGGTAGCTTTGATCCTCTTCGTCGGCGGAGGTTCATTATTGGTGGTTACATCCGCTAAATCTGATCAACGGCGACCGTGACACGTTTGTGGTTAAACCAGGACCACGCGCAAAAGTTCCCAGAACCCTGTGCCCTCGCTATCCTAAAAGTGGTCCGTAAACGGGGGAGTGAATAAGCTTTCAATGTCGACTTGTAAGGGAGACAGAATTGGAATATGACGTGCACACATGGTGGCTCATTTCCGAAACACGGAAGAAGAGCATTCACGTAGGCCTGGGATCGTGTTTTAGGCACGACAATAGGATACTCTGGAGGGAGGGAAGTGGGAGTGAATGAGAATTGGGTTCTGATTGCTGCGCTTGCCTTATAGTGCGTGGCGTGGACTCGGGTGCGCTGGGCGCGAGCGTAGCCCAAGAAACGGCACCATTTATGGTGATGGATTTAATCCACCGACATCTTCATCGATCTTGCTCCGGATACTTCCTTCGGTCCCGTCCTTGGAGGTTTTTTTTATTGTCGGTCGGCAGAATGGCTCCTACTTCAGGCCTCAGGACGAAGCGTCCCAGTCCAATGCATCCTCCACCTCCCGAGACACTCCTATTTTCCATCGTTACGGCATCATTTCTATATCACCTGGCGGCTTTCCCTAGGACCCTTCTTTTGAGATCAAGAAACAATGGCAGGTGGTTGTCAGGTTCCCGTTCGCAGCTATTCTTGAACCGGCTCGTGATCTCCATTCTTTTCTACTTGATGTCCATTTAAGACCCAAAGGAATCGAATGGATCGATTCTATACTATTCCTTCCGGGCCACCATGAACCGTCTAATGTCAAGATTCTGGATAGGGCAGGGACAGTCTAGTACGCTTTCTATCTCCTTTCTCTACGGTTTCAATCTAACTGACGCATTCAGACTCTCTACCAGAACTTCCTCAAGAGTTAATCGACCTTATCATCGATCAACTTCAAGCAGACGTGCACTCTCTCCGAGTCAGTGCCCTCGCAGGTCGCGTTTTCCTTCATCGTGCGCGCACGCATCTCTTTCGACAGCTTGTTCTAGCACCGCCCTTGCCCGCCTCTTCGTTGAAGAAGTGCCGTCCACTCTTCTCATCACCACCGCCATCCGTCTTGCGATATGTTAGAAAGCTGAGATTGATCGGTCTAGGCAATCGTGGCAAGGAACAATGGGTCCCGACGGAGCTCCACGGCATTCTCGATGCTCTCACTAATCTACGAGAATTGTCCATTGTCAACGTTGATGCTCTGGTACTTAAACTGGTGCAATCGGCACTATCTTCGAAACCTTTGGATACCTTATTCCTCAATGTACTGAGGTTCGAGGACAGGGATGGATTCTACAACCTCATACGGAGTTTCTCCCGGTTGAAGCATTTCAGTTTACATCAGTTTCAATGCGACTCGCCATCTTCACCGCTTTCGTCATCGATAACTCCGAATAACCTCGACACGCTTGAGTTGGTGTATCATAGCTACGGGTCGGACGTGACGGAAATGCTCGTGGACTTGAAGTCATTACGTGGTCTGACGACGCTTGTTGTAAGGCCCGCGAGCACGGATGACCTGGAGAGTATCGGGACCATCCTGGAAGCGACTAAAGATACATTGGAGAGGCTGGACGTTGGGACGATGCGGATGATCAACCGGCCAGGTACGTTATGTATTGATAAACAATGCTTATTCCGAATGCTCATCAATTACAGATGGTCTCCCGCGCCTCAACCTGTACCATCTCCAGTCACTCTCCCTCTCGATTTCGGACAATCCTGTTCATCGGCCGTTGCTTCGATGGTGGACTGATACGCTCAGGTCTTCGGGCGGAACGTATCAGCTGGAGGAGCTTGCCATCAATGTTGGAGTGCACTTTTATGATGCGGATGTTGAAGAGAGCGATGTGGTCTCTCATTTCTTCGCTGAACCTTCTCAGTGGGAAGAGCTGGACAAGGTACTTACTCAGCCGGAAATGAGGGAACTGAGGAAAGTTTTGGTACGGGTGCAGTTGAGAGAGGGTGCGGAAGGTGCGGCGTCGATGATGCAGGCATTAGAAGATGTCATTCGCAAGAGCCTTTCGCGTCTCGGCAGGCAGAGCCTTCTTGAGGTTGAGGTCACTGGTGCGTAGCTCCTCGCAGCGTATGTATTCACCATCGCTTATTGCTTTTCTTTTCTTTTCTTTTCAGACTGTTTACATCGACAGGGGTGCGCCAAGCGTGAATAATGATAATCACTGCATGTATCAATGTATTTCTGTAGAGCTGGCATTTGTTTGCTATTTCTGTGCGCGGTAAAATCCTGTCACAGTCGGGTTTCATCACCTCCGAGAATTATAGTGGGTTTAAGTTGGGCGTTAGGCGCGCCTGGTTCGTCCATCTATTCTCCGTAGTTTATTTCATTTGCACAGGAACAAGTGCATTCCCGCGAATCTTTACATTCCACAGACTTGCGGTGAGTGTCCATAGAGGGCTCCATGTTCGTCCATTTTCATTGGATTCCATTCTCTCAGTCTTGGCATGCAGGCCATTGAATGTTCGGCAGCAGCTGGAACGGCAGTCCACTATCGTAAGACCGAACATGGATGGACAGCGATGTACGCCGCGCCCTCGTGCTTGAACGTACTCAGGACCGACCTTCCGGCTGACCTCCGCACCAGGACTTTTCTGTTCGCTCCACTCAAACACGACGAACGCGTCGTTCACTTGTGGCATCATGTATGTGTGATCTGTCAAGATATAGATACGGGGTCCAAATCAGAGAAAAGATCACCCATGCTGCTCTCCGCACCAGAACAAAAAAAAACTGGGGTTTCTGTTGTCAATAACGCCATCGATGGTGGCTAATTGTCAGAATGAGTGGAGTATTCTCAGAGTTGGCAGGGAAGCAGAAATACCCGTACCAAAAATTGCTGAATCGCGTTATCGATGTATTCCATGTTGCCTGCAAACCGTAACGCAACCCCAAAGATAATTAAGAATAATGCTACAACAGGACGCCGTTTACTGATGACAACCCATTCTATTAAATAAGGAAGAACGGTGATCAAATCAAGGCACCGTTGCGCCAGTCGCTGGAGGTAATACGGAGAACTTGCGTGATATCCTCTTCAGCTTTTACACAGCCACAGCAGTAAAGTTGAATGATATATCAGTTCCCTACTTATTGTAGAGAAATATCGCCCTGAACTCTTGATTTTGATCCACAAGCCATCAAGGCGGCGATATCGATGCGCGCCTAAACCTCCTCGGCACCCTTTCTGCGATATTGGTAGTACGGTCTGGGTTGCGATAGCTGATTCCGCAAGTGCTCACGAGCAGCGTAATACCCGTGAACAAGATGAGAGGACCCTAAAAACGGATGTCAATTACCCAAAACTTGTGGCATGGATGGATGAACACCTACATAACCCTCCAAACTATAGGGGAATATCGATTTCCCCGTAAACGCCCAAGGATGTAACAAACCCGACGAGATAGGTGTCGAAAGGGCGTTGCCTACTCCTCGTCCAGCCATGAAGATCCCCATCATGATGGATGCCTGGTGGGGGTCGTCGCCTGCTACTGTGGATATGAAACGAGGCCACATTGCTGACCAGCTTGGGGCAAGAAAACCGTAGATGCAGGCGAAAACGAGTAATGGTGCAATGTGGATAGTAAACCCCCAGATGAAGAGAACGGCGAGGGACGAACCGAGGGCAGAGATGAAGATTGATATGCGCAAATCAAAGCGGTCGGAGAGATAGCCTATGAAGATCAGGCCAGGAGCAGAGGCACCTGCAGAGTGAATTCAGGCCAAAACAGTTAACCGAGTAAAATTAAACATACCATTCATTAGAGACAGGGACCAAGTTCCGACAGAGGTCGCATTGTTCAGCCCTAGGTCCGTTGCAAAGGCTACGAAAATATGAGAATTAACCTACGTAGAAGTATAAAGTGAACATACTCGGCAGGTACAAAGTGGGCAAGAACGTTCCTAGTCCTTGGACTAAATTTGCAATGAACAGGACCCAGAAAGGATGGTACTTGAGGAACTGCGTATCTATCGGCCTTTGATGGACGATATGGGATATCGGGACACGAGGCTTGATGTACGGGAAGGCGGGGAGTACAAGGAGGGCAAAGCTGGTTGCCAATGCAAGCATTGTCACCTTGCGTCCGTACTTGTTAAGCAGTGCTTCAGTGATAATTGGCATGACGACACCACCAACACCTGAGTTATACTCGCATTAGCTGGTGCGAGGCATGTCAAAGACATGAACATACCAGTGCCTGAAAAGATAAGTCCGTTTGCCTGCATAGATTTTTTTTAAAAAAAAGTTCGTTTGCCTTGCATCAAAATAACGGACGTACCAATCCTTTTTTGTCCGAGAACCACTCAAACAGATATGTCATGACAGGAAAGTAGAGGAAACCTGAGTGAGATCAGGCATGGTCCACTACAACCCGCTCAACGATGCTTACTTCCACCAATCGAATACATAACACCCTGAGTGAGTACGAGCATTTCCGGGGTGTTCGAAAATGCAGCCCCAATCAGCCCCGCGACACTCAAACACAAGCCAACATACATCATTTGCTTCTTTCGCGCTGGGTATCGTGCAATTACGGGAAGAATCACTATGGATGAGAGGTAGATCAATCCCGTTGAAAGGGACCCAACAAGCGCAAGGAGCGTAGACGACGAGTCTTTGAACTCGTGTGAGGCATAGTAGTTGAGGAAAACACCATAGGAGAAAGGATAAGACCAGACAAGGAGTTCGACGAGCCATGCGCTGACCAAGTAAGCCCAGGCATCGAAACCGTGGTCCTGTTGGACGGTGAGTTGATAGTCAGACGTAATAAGGGTGGATACCAACCATAGGTGGCAAAGAAGTTGCATTGAGGGGTGCATTGTCAGTATGTTCAGCACTATCCTGTGTGAAATTCGACTGGGACGTTGAAGGCGTAGGGCGGAAATCTTCGAGCTCAATTATCTCAGGTCCTTCACTGTAGTGCTGGTCAGCAAAGTCTACATGGAGCGAATGTATATGCACCTTGCAACTACGGAGCCAGATATCATAGACATGGTAGTATTTGAGCGAGAACCCCCCGTCCCGGCGAGTCATTTTTTTTTTCTCTGCCGGAGCATTTCCGAATACCGCTCGGATGATCGCTCTTCCGCAATACGATGAAACGATCATGCACAGGATGAGATATATGTCTAAATTTGTTGCGGAAAAATGTGAATGTTAGGATAGTTTGGAGGTCATGACGGTTTGAGAACAGAATTCACTGAGAAGAGCAGACAACGTGTTAATTTCAAATTTCCAACTGAACTGGACCGAAATAACGCGACCATTATTATTGTAACGTTAACGACCTCCTCTCCTTTGCCATGTTACAGCTTTCGATATCGATAATGCAATGACGGGATGACTGCGGCGCATATATGGAGCTCATATCTACAAAGATCTTGTCCATCGGACCAGGGACAGTGACAGCCTCGTGTACTCTCTTTCCGCATCGAAGTCCACAAAAATCATGGCCACCACAGTAGAATATGTGATTTTCGATTTGGATGGCAAGTCATCCTCGACAAGGGATACACCGAAATCTCACTGGGCTGTTTACAGGACTGTTGGTTGATACAGAAAGGATTCATACTCACGTAACCAGTCCGTTCAAGAATTTCTTAGGTTGCATCCCCTTATTCACAACATACTGGCAGATCAGATCCTTGCACATCATGGCGAGGAGATGACCTGGGACATCAAATCAGGATGCATGGGTAAACGTGCGTCTAGCAAATCTTTTGCTATCGAACCTGACAACCATTGAGTAGCCGAAAGAGCTTCTGCTGAGCACCTTCTCTCCTTCTTTCCCTCAATCTCGCTATCTGTCGATTCTTACATCGAACAGAAGAATATCCTTCAAGACAAACTCCTACCCTCCGTCCCTCTTCTCCCCGGTGTACGCAAGCTCGTGCGGCACCTCCGAAAGCACAGGATTCCGATCGCAGTGGCGACTAGTTCCGGGCGATTGAGGTATGAGAAAAAGACGGGTCACCTAGGCGACGTATTTGAGTGTTTCGAAGGGAACGTCGTATGCGCCGATGACGAGAAGTGGAGAGGACAGGCTATGAGAGGAAAGCCGGCGCCTGATATTTTCTTGGTCGCAGCTAGAGAGTTACTGGGAAGGGATGTAGGTGAGCCCGGCGCAGTCTCGGGAGACCAGATATCGGAGAGGAAGAAAGGTCTAGTGTTTGAGGATGGATTCGCTGGCGTGCAAGCTGGCAAGCGAGCTGGGATGAACGGTTTGTTGATACGTTATCTCTACCGACATCAATGCTGATGGAATCCCAGTGGTGTGGGTCCCGGATAGCAACCTTCTGGGTGTGAAATATACTGGAGAAGAAAAGGCAGATGTTACTCTCAGATCCATTGAAGATTTCATTCCAGAGAAATGGGGTCTTCCGCTCTATGATGAGGAGTCGTAGTCTTGCGTTCATTAGATTGCTATGTATGCGTCTTTTTCATATGCTATAAGCACTTGCTAGTGAATCCCTGTTTAGACATAGATCTTTCTATCGGTGCTGTACATGACCATCAAAAAATTCCATTTCAAGGAGCTATGACACGAGTAGCCTTCTTCGCCAACTCGTCGGCCTTGTTCATCTCTCGAGGAATTATCCAAAATCCCACATTAATATCCTCATTTTCCACACCTGACAGCTTCGTTCAATTTCAAATATAGATCAAGATTCGCGAGTCACTTTCCTTGGCACGTGCGCATTCCCTTTGTCTGATACTAGCCAGTTCGCTGCGGGTTGGGAATTTGAAAGACTACACTTGGGCAACCACTTTGTCATTTCCAGCACAAAGTCGGATACGATGATCCATTGAGGACGAGTCACAGGACCCAGAGTTTTTTCTCGTGTTATGGGTCTTGAATGTCTGGAGTTCATGCCTCTTGTCACCCTGGTATTTCTCCCCGTCTGTCTCAAATCGCTGCATACGTATCTTCTCTAGTCCTTGAAGGGCAGCCGACAGCTCCGTACGTTGACTAGTCTTTTCCGCGCCCGGATCTAATGTATGTCAACGGGAATACCGCAGGGAAATAAATTCTCTTTGAAAGTCTGGTAGTAGCAGCACGCTGCAGGATATGCGCCACAGTAGGTGCATTGAGCGGTCAATTCGTTGAGGGTCCAGTCCGTGACGAGTCGTTCGCAAAAGAGGGACCTGCGGTCAAATATTCCTTCGCGGTTATAAGGAAAAAGGGGGCTCACATTTAGCAGTTGACGCTGCAATTTGTGCATTGTTTTTGTTAGCTTGATTCAGATTCAACGATCCATATGAAGATAAATTGTTCAATTAAATAAGCTTGATACAGTGGAAGAAATATTAAGATGGATTAAAATACACATGAACAGATATGGCGAAGATTTCTACGGCCCGTCATGCCCAATAGGTAGATCGTCCGGTTTGAGATAAACGTGGAGACTCGGGCGAGATGACGGGGAAGGGCATTAGCGGAGGGCGATCGGTGTAGAATGGGGCGGCCCGTCTCTCGCCGACATGTAGCTGGATCACACCAGTGCAAACGGTGGATGTGGTGCACCCAAAAAAGCCCATATCCTATCCCGGTATGCTCGCAGAGCAGCTGCGTCATGCAGACTCTGCTGAATCTCCCACACAAACTCGTCAAACCGGAGGTGAAAGTCTACATCTTCCGTCCCACGGCCCCGTCGGAGAATCCACCGCGCTACTTCGTGGTTCCACTCTTGCGAAACCCGACGGAGAGCGAGGCGAAGCTGGTCCCTGCCATCCAACATCTGATCACGGAGTGCTACTAGACGGGATAGGCACCCTCCGAATCGCTGCTCTGGGAGATCGCCACCCTGGATAGAGAGGGATATCAGAGTTCCCCGATTCGAAATCGTGGTCCCGCCACGCTCGATGCCAACTAGACAGTCATGTATCAGTGCAGAAGCGATCTCGACAAAACTGTTCGTGGGGTCTTCAAGTGGTGTTACAGAACTGTATCCGGCCATGCCAGATTTGCCGCAGGTTGTCGTCTTTTTAAGGGACCCATAACAAAAGCGCGTTATATACTACAAGGCGACCGACACAACAAGGGATGTACGTCAACGATCACAGACAACACATAGTTGTAACCATCAAAAGCTGGTGAGAGGTGTGGCTGATGATCGGCACCGAAGCGCAAGGTGAATTCACCTTCTCCTTGGAGATATACCGTGGACAGCGTACCGTGCGGTACTCCGGACAGTATGTAAATGGTACACAGTAGATACTCTGGTCATCGTCTAGCGTATCTTCAACGCACCCGCCATTTGGAACAGGGTGGTGCCCGTATTGGAAGGCATTGAAATGTCATCGAAATTGGGCCTTACGTGGAGAAAGACAAAAGGTCGTGCGATCCTCCATCCCCTGCTAAGACCTTTATGTCCTCTACATCTTGGAATAATTGTTCCATGACCTCCCCTGCCCTGAGAAATGTCCAACCTTGGTGCAAGTATCATGGAGTTGGAAATAACGACGGCTGGGAAGAAGAATTTGCCCGCCCGTCGTATCAGTGAGTGACACTTAGGGAGGAAGTCCATATTCAACATTTTGACACGGAGGATATGTATGGATTTTATATGTATTATTGTCATCCTATACAAATCTCGCGTTCAAAAGGAAGAGGAAGAAAACTAATTCACTTACGTCCCTAATTGGATGAAGAAAGATGCGGAGCCCGTCAAACTCAACGTGATAGTCAGCTGCTATCGTGAACGTATTCGCCGGTCTGTGAACGTTATCTTGATTGGGCTCTTTGACAACTGAAGTTTCAGCAAATCATTGAACAACGACGCCCATTCCAACTGACAAGCAAAATTGAGGTTAGATGGAACTACAGACAAATGTAAGGGGAAGATAGACAAACTTTTCTCTGCGCGGCATCAGTCGTCCCGTCTATACGGCCCGTCATCGATTCACTTAATATGTGACCCAGCTGTGTATGTGTTATCCTCCCCCCGGCTGTTACATCGACCGTTGTCAAGCTACTTTTCAAGCTGACCGTGTCCACCTTCCCCGACACTATACACCGATAATTGTCTCGCACCAAAGCCTGAGAAGCTTCAACGGAGAACAACACTCTAAAATTCTACCTACCAGCTTTGTGGCATTACTTGAACTGACAGTAGGCTGCGCCAAAAGGGCTGCGATGTTGGCTGTCGTTGCGTCGAATGATGGTCGGGAACTGAGACTGACGTAGGCCTCGGTATTGCACCCTTCGGATTTTTAACTTGTTGCAATGAACATCATTCTTGCACGGCGTAGACGAGGACGAGAACGTCCAGATCCTAATCATAACATATATATATGCCAAGCCGGCAAGAAATTCGCCATTATCGTTGCAAAAGGAGATTTCTCGTGCCAGAAAAGCCTTGCCTTGGTTATAAGGAGCGTGACTAAGTTCAGAAGCCCAGGACTCGCGCCACAACTTCTGGGCTGAATTTGAACATGACGGCAGAAGACTCTTTCTCAAGGCCATCCAAGAGCAGGTGCCAGCTAGTACCGCCAGTAGCTTCGAGGTTCAGACAAGATTGATATGCTTCGTGTTCATCAGAGAATGAGTCAAAAGGGTTTCGAGGCATAATAGTTGTCAGAGGTGGGTTGTCGAGGTTTGAAAATTGAAGCTTGGTGGCTGGTGGCTGAGCCGGCAGATATCACGGCAGGTCCAAATTAGAAACATGGTTTAGTTTAAAGTGACGAACTGTTGAACAACCTGATGGACATTTGGCGGGGCATTCAGTGGGGGGGGGGGGGGCGTTTGCTACGGCTGCACTAAGCGGTGGAAGTTTGGTCGGTGCACGATGTGAACCGTATTTCTTCCTTCGGCGATCATGTCTAAAAATTGCCGCAACAAAAATAGATGTGGGTACGAACACAGCCACCGCTCGTTCCTCAAATACCCCACCTGTGCTGGCAACGAGACTTGACCGCACCAAGCCATGAACGTTTCCAAACATTCAACCGGCGCGTCTCCCATCCGTCGGCGTCGCCTCATCATCTTCCTCGCCATCCTGACTGCCTTCGTCCTCTACTTTCGCTCATCTCTGTCCCTACCCGAGTCCCTCAAGGATGTGGGGGATTCCGTCCTTTCACGAGCATCGGTCGCCAAGCTGGCCTTGACCAAACAACGTAAACGGCCGGTGGATGAGATATATGGGTTGATACACCTGGTGACGGGTGACGTCGAGCATGAGCATATCCTTAGTCATAGCATGACGATGCTCGACCCAACTAAGCCGCTTGACATGCGTATTTATGCTGCAGATGAGGGCGACGACGTAGATTGGGAAGTAGAAAGGAAGATGCTGGATAAGCGGTTCCCAGTGGTCGTGTTCAGTAAGAGTTACTGCCAGTGAGTATGTCGGCCATCTTGATATCCATTATATTGAGACGTCTTGAACAGATTCTCCAAGCGAGCCAAGACGCTATTAGAGTCGTACGACCTCGATCCACCCGTGAAGATTATCGAGGTCGATTTGAGAGGTGTGCCATGTCTGTTTCTGTGCTTTATTTTATTTTTTACTTATTCTTCCTTGACAGATGACTCGGTCCAGTTAAAATCACTTCTCACGCGTCTAACATCCCATAGTACATTCCCCAACATTGTTGTCCGAGGAAATTCTATCGGAGGTAGTGATGACTTGGCGAAGCTGCATGCTGAGGGCAAATTGAAGGGCATCCTCCAGGGGGCCGGAGTGAAAGTAAAGGGGTAAATATATTGGAATGGCTGTACAATATCAAGGCGCATATGGGCGGACTGGTTTGTAATCTTGTAACTCGCTTTATGTGTAGGGACTGATCTGTATTCCTGGGAAAAACCTGATGTATCACGAACGGTATTTGTTGTAGTATCAAGGAGATTTTTCTGCTTGACGATGCTTCCGTCGACGTCCTGACTACAAATGACAGCGTTTATGCACTAGAACACCAGAATTATTTAAGGGCGCGGCAATCAACATCATTCATTGCGAAACGGGCTTGCAACGCCGTGAAAGGAAACAAGCAGTCCTAAAACGCAATGAATATGAAACATCCCGTCCCTTATGGAACGATATTACTATGGTAGATAGTTACTGTGTAAACTGAAATCCCGTATTTTTTTGGTTCTGTCATGGCGACATACCTACAGATCAGTTCGTTGCCGAGGGTCATGCGTAGAAGGTTGGTTGTACATGGAAGACCATATACGAAGGACCACTAATGTTATACAGAATTAAAACTAATAGAAATGCGCTCACCCGCGATGCAGTTGAAGCGAAGCGAGAACTAAATTATTTGAATACATACGTCAAGGCTACCCTCACTCCTCTATACTGAATGAAACGCCTCGTTGCAAATTCTGCACAACTCTAATATATTAGACTATATAAGCCAAGTGTTTATCAGTATAACAGTAGATCCATCAATTCCCAAACGCTGAGCATGCTCGCTCTCTCCTCCTGAGTGGTCCGAAATTTCTGTGAGTCTAACTCCAGCGGCAAAATCGACGTCACTTTCCTGATGTTCAAGACGATTGTGTTCTGGAGCCTGTCGAGCGACAATTGCGGGCCTTGAGAGTGACAGTTTGAATCACCCTTCCTGACTTCAACAACAGCTTGATGGTTAGCTGGTTTCTGGTTCGTCGCAGCCCGGCTGCCACCAGCGTTCTCGTCTTTCTGTCCAGATAGTGCTAGATAACGAAGCCATCCGGTAGCAGCGTCATCTGCTGGGCGATACTTTTGTGATGCAGAAGAGTAGATGAGATTATCAAGAGAGACAGAGTCTTTCGAGACATAGCAGATTGAGGTAGCTGTGGATGGGCACACAGCTGTCGAACGGAGAAGGCGAGCAGGCCGGTTCTTGCGTGAACGATGGAGCAGTATGAGCGGCATTATAATGGCGAGATTCATGGTTCAGGTAGAAATGAAGGGCTGACTGATAGAAAGAATGTGAAGGGACGCAAAGATGCTCAAATGTTGCGGAGTATGTGTGTGTTGTTTCCTTTTTAGGGTTTATACTCGCGTGATTTCGCGTGACGTCACGCGTCTGATCCGCCAAATCAGTGCTGGGGTCGGTTGCTTTTTTGGACCTAAAAACTGATCTTAAAACTGTCGTGCTTTTTTAATCATCTTCTTTCATTCATAAAACAGGATCTAGAAAACATAATGAAAAAGCCTTTTGTAATGGTTTTATGCACCAAAAAGACCAAGTTTTTAACAAAGAAAATGCCATTTCCATTGTTCAGAAACAATGGAAAGCTTTTTTTGATCTGTTTTTCTTGTTGTTTTTCTTATATTAAAAAAGGACAAAAGGGAGCTCTTTTTATCTTGTTCTTAGGATGTCCTTTTTTTCTGTCAAGATTGCATGGAAAGTCACAACATACTGCCTTTTCAAACCTAAAAATATACCTGCCCCAGTACTGAATCAGGCCTTACTTGCAAAGGGAACCACTTTCTTTACATGAATCTCATCTCCCATGCCTCCTCAAAAGTGCAGCAAACTGGATTTTTCTGAGGATATTGGCACGGATGAGAAAAAATTCGGAAAGCAAAGCTCGAGGGGAGGACTTGCCCAATTGGCAGAGAGATGCCTCTGGACGTGTGGTTCGAGGTGCGCCATGTCAAGTGGAACCATGTCGCTCTGTTTCTTATGAGTGTCTAGATTTTTGGGTGGCTAGGTCCAGCTGACTTATTGCAATTGGCAAGGTCAACAGAGGATATTCGCAAAGTCTTGATGAGACTAGGAAGAATCTGCTGGTCATAATTATCCGTGACTACACCACCGCTTCTTCTCGATATCCCTGTACCAAAGTTCTTCCTGGACTAGCCGACTTCTATACCTTCCAGTCCATCAAAGAGATTCTTGAACGCCCTGCGGATGTGATGGTTGATGCCGACACTTTTTCTTCCCTCTTCTCCGAGCTCCCAGATTTATGCGATGAATGGAGATTATCTCTAGATGACCAATTATTAGCGCGTTTTTCAGATCTGGAGCATTGTCTCAGCATGAGTACGAACGCCTTGAACATCATGGATGTCACATGGGACCGTAGGACCACTTTGCAAGAAATACTTGATACATACACACTCGGAGCAGCCACCTACTACACCTTCACTCCGGACTCGATTTCTTAGGCGTTTACATAGACCCTAGTGCCTGAACACCACCAGCGTGCTTGAGAGAGGCCGTTATAACACCCCTGACGTGATCAACTCCACAAAACACCTTAGTCTCGCTGCTCAGAGTGTCCTCTTCTGCAGTACATGCAACACTCCGCAGTTTTACTCTCAGGTACTCGCTCATCGCTGTCTTACCGAGGTCAGCATTCAGAAGAATAAAAAGACAATTCTTCTAAATTGGACCCTACAATATCCTTTTTCCATATATCCGGAGCGGTTTCGCAAGCCATGGAGTGTGTCGGGTTTGCTGCTAGATGAGCAGTTGACGAAGATAGTGAAGGACATCATCCGTGTTCTTGGTTTCGCTTGTTTGGTTGGAACAAGTCTCAAGTTCAAGGAAGAAGGACGCCGAGAACGGGTAGATGAGGCCGAATGAGGAAGTTGCGGCACCCTTGATGATGCACATTGCATTGTGACACCATGTCCTCTCTGATTTATCTTTAATACTGCCCTCACTTTCGCTTCATTCTCTTTTCTTCTCTTCTTAATATCTACATGGACCCTATCCACAATGGTAGCCAGACGCGTCGTAGGATGTTCTCGACGACACAGCGACGTGAGGAATCATCCGACTCGGACCAAGACCCTTTCGACAGCGAACAGCCAGCTAACAAGCTTTTTGACCCGCTGCACCGTCTGTATTCCCATATATCCTCGACTGGACTCTTCGTCGCCCTGGCAGCAGTAAGATTGCGCTCTGTCGCTCTCCTTGACTCTGCTTTCCCCGAAGTGTCGGCCTCCCCTCATGTGGTTCATGTTGGGGACAGCATGGAGCGAGCAACGGAGGACGTAGCTAAAGCGATCAAGAGCTCATTCCAGGGAGTGCACTTGATCCATTACTCTGACCTTCCTGATAAATGGCGTAACAACCCGTTTGTTACCCAAGGTTATAGGTGAGCACTGCCCACCGCAGTGATTGTTTATGTATGCACTGATAATCTCGCAAGGTTTATACCCATAGAGAGATGGCCTCTCATCATATTATCCTTATTCGCATTCCATAATGAAACGCGTACGCGCTGACTTTTTTGCACACTACCCTTTGTGCTAACAACTCTGCCTAGTTAATATACACACTCACCTAATACCATTCCTCATTTTGGGAATTAATTCGATACCACTTTTCGATTCCGAATTCATCAACGCACCAGCACCGGAGAAGTTCTTCATGGCGTTTGTCCTGCTCTGTTTGTTTTGCAGTTCGGTATGGCACACCATGTCGGGGTGTGCACATCATGGTAGTATGCAGTTTTGTGCCAAGGTGGACTACATCGGGATTGGATGGTACGCCTTGACATGTCCACCATGACGAGTTACCACTAACTTGGGATCGACAGGCTGATCAGTGCAAGCGTCGCTTCGGTCGTGTACTACGGATTCCAGTGCCATCCTAGCATCAACCAGATCTTCCTCGCCCTGTGCGTTACAACGGGACTGGCAGGAAACGTCTTTCCTTTCATGGAATGGTTCAACCGTCAAGAAAACCGCGTAGGTCCCCATTTCTCGTTCGCTCTCCTTCTGACCGCCTTCGAACAGATATGGCGCGTCCTATTCTTTGTCGCACTCGCTCTTTCGTCCATCGCACCCCTAGCAACATACTCGATGTTATACTCACCGCTTCAGACGTTTTACTTTGTCTGTGAGTGGTCTGCGCATATGTTCTGACTCCGAGTCCTTGTGACCCCCCCCCCCTCCCAGCTCCCGTCATACCTTCCCTTCTATCCTATGTCGTTGGACTGATATTCTACGTGAGCCACGTACCGGAGCGGTTCCTTTCTAATAAATGGCATCAGCGATTAGATGCCTTTGGAGGAGGTCAGTTCATTGTGTTTGACTCAACGTATGTCCTGATCCAACCTCAGGGTCCCACTGCATATGGCATTGCTTCATTGTCCTCGCGGTGATACTCCATAGGTCTGCTATACGTGATATGAATAATGATGGCCTCGTATGCACGGCATAACTCACATCCATAGGACCACCTTAGGAACGAACTGAACGCGATGCTTTCCTCATATATCACTTACATAAAACAATACTAGCACCAGTGTGAACGTACAACAACAATTCAAATAAATCAAAGATCCATCCCCTCTAAACAAACTCGGCCATCTTCAAATGTTCCCTCAATATCCCATCACGAACTGCACCACGGTTGTCACTCATCACACTAAACCTCAGAGATTGAGACGTACCACTCTTCAACGTAACCGCCGTAGCTTTAGTGTCAGTGACACTTGTCGGATACACATATATCGTCCGACCCTTGGCAGCAGGCGGACTTTTCGTACGCGCGATCTCTCGAAACCGGTCTCGCATCCCTAGGATCGCTCAGCGGAGGAAAGCAAACGGAGAAAGCAAATTGGACATACATCTCACGACCGCCCCTACCTCCTCTTCCCCTTTATACCCGCGGACCCAGTCCGTCCATCGAACACCGGATTTTAGTTTGCTAGAGGGATTAGGCGGAGGGAGGGGAAAAGAAGTGCGGAAAGAACTGTACCATTTGAGCAAGTCGCACTTGTTGAGGAACACAATCAGCGTCGTGCGTGCAAGAAGGGGCGTAGAGGTGATAGCGTGCCAGAGGGCTAGCGTGTCGCCGAGATGTGTTACGCTAAATATGGTCAGAAGGGTGCAGGGTGCCAGTCAGGCAACGAGCCAAACCTGGGATCCTCAGGGAGTGGTGTATCGAACGGCGAGAGGGCTAGCGCAGAATATTAGAGAACATAAAGGGCGAAAATAGAACCACTCACGGGCCAAGAATATGATGGCATTCACACCATCGAAAAAAGGAAGCCAGGCGCGTCGCTGGGTGCGAGCACCACCGACGTCATACAGTGCCCAAGGCTGCGAAAAGGTAGGATGTTGACCTGGGGCTACCAAGACCTTAGTTGGAGCGCAGACGTTCAAACGAGGATAATCACCTGGAGGAAATGGAATTCGCCATTCTTGTACGCCCATCGTACGCAGTCGAGCACGTAAGACGTCATCATCAGAAGGTGTATAGGACGAGATGGCTATTCGGTCGAGATCATTTAGAAAACTGTTTAGCATGGATCAATTGGCATCATCGTCAGGGTTGCTAAAAATACGCACAATCCAGCCCCTTCCTCTACGCGAATGCCCTTCTGTCGGAGTGCAGTACGCACGCGTTCATCGAGCCACAGATGTCGAATATCTTCGCGGAGGGACGTGATGACATCCTGGGCCTCGGCCGTTTCTCGTAAGAGAGACGCCGGGTTAGGGCTATGTGAGAGCTGAGCAAGCGAACGAACTGATAGCTCTGGTGTAACTGGGACAGTAGAATCTGAGAGTCGATGACGGAGATCTGTCTCGACGCGTCTGAGTGGGATGAGGCGCAGGCGAAGAAGGCGCAGGTCGGGTGGTAGCTGTTCGATGTCGTCTAAGGCATCGAGTATGATTCCTACAGAGCGTATCAAGTTGAGCTGAATGACAGACCGCCATGAGGCCCGCTCGGCGCGAAACGCGGCAGCATCGTGGGCGAGACGAAAATCTGAATTAGTTAGAACAATGTTGAGCAACCTGCGACTGATGAGCATACTCTTTATTACGGTACTTTTCCCGCTCTCGCTCTGCCCCAGCAAAAGAACCTTGACCACTGGGTTGTCCTTCAGACGTTTCCTCTCAAGGCGGATGCTCTCATCGATGGCCAGTGACTCTGGTGTCGGTTTCGTGGACACAGCGAAGGGATCTACCGTCATCTTGAAAGGAGAGAGGGAACCTAGATTGCAGAAACCTCGCCCTGAAAAGTGGGAACCGTCAGCTGATAAGTAGGTAATTTGAGAATGACGCGAAGGTACTGATGGAACGGGAGAAGTCCGGTTTTCGTGTGATAGATGGATATCGATATTGTGGGTTATCGCCGTTTTCTCCTTGGCGGTCGTCGTGGTCGTCGCTGCCTGAACAACGACGGCCACCGACAATGCCTCGGATGGTGGTCGCTGACAAGAACTGTCAGCAGGAAATCCACCGAAATACGTCACCACGTGGCCTCGCTCCCGGCGGGAAAGGGCCGCGTTACCGGCGCAAGCAATATTGAAGCAGAAGTCCAAATTCGCACTTTGCCTTGTTCGATACTCTGTATCACCACATGCTTCTCTTCAGGATGCAGAAGCGCCCTGGTGTCCTATGTTCGAATGCTCACATGTCATATTCATGCATTCTTGAATCTTTGTTACTCGAAAAAGTCAATGGACTCCGACTCTCTTCTTGAACGCAGCAGCACTTCTGCTATATAGCATATTCCCGCCACTCCGCATGATATATCTTTCAGAGAAACATACTTATACGCCACCTACGCGTGAATTCCAACCGCCGAAACGAAGTCGGTGCTTCGTATGTAACTTCAGTTAAACTATGCCCTCCGGGGAAGCGATGAAACGCGAATGTCTTCTGCTAACGTACTGCGTAACTTAATGAATACATAAAGATAATGGCAGATTTGTACGCCAAACCCCCTTTCCAAGAACCGACGAGCTGGTGTGTGCACTAGAATAGTAACGTGATTTACCGGAGAAAACGAGCTAGAACCGGTGATTCCAAAATGTCGGGATGGTACAGAAAGAAAGTAGTGTGAGAACAATTTTCAAAAGAGACTGAAAAGGCAGAAGATAGATAATGCAATAAAGAATAGGAACCGCAAGGCCCGAAAGGAAGGTCAAGGATTCATCCATGATAAACATATATCCAAGATGAGGGAGACGACAGCATTCGAGACTCACCTGACCTTGACGGAAACAAAGTGATTGAAATTTACCAGAGCCACGGCTCATTAACTCTCCACAGAAGCAATACTGTTTAAGCTCCACAACCCAAGATTCTGTGGCCGAATATGACAGGAAAAGCCTTCGGACTGGCCAGGCAGACGTATACTCCCTATGTGGAACACCCCCACAACAGACGATATACTAAAACACACAAGGGTCGTAGTATGTGAAGTCAGAGCGAGTTTTAAGTAAGAAATCTGTCAGGATAGATGCGCCGTCCTGTGTGCATGAATCAGAAAGCGCAAATGAACTAAACTATTAGCAGCCATACTCAGACAAATGAAATAGTATTCGGGTCGCGAGGGCCTCCGGCTTTAACGTCCGGAGCGTCCATGTAACGCCCGCGAAGATAAGCCATGGGTCTAGGTACATGGTTTCGTCGTGCGATCGTCAAGAAAATCACCTGAAATTTTCATGGAAAGAGGCCCCAGTCTTTCCACGATTTCTAGCGTACTGATTAGTATCTTTCGAGATAAAGGACCCTTCGTAAACCTAGAAAAAACAGATAAAACGAGAAACACAATCAATGGCTACTCACATTCATTTTTCATCAGACGATGGGGAACCCCGAGCAGCTATCTGTTCAAGGTATATCATCCATTCGCACTCCTATCGAAAAGCGCCAGCCACCGTAGCTTACTCCCATCGAAGAGTCTCCTTGACAATGCATACAATATAGGGCACTGGCAAGGAAGCGTGGTCAGCAAAAATAAGAAGACCATCATTTCCAACTATCCGCGAAGTTCCTCATACTCTTTCTTCTGAACATCCGGGGCATAGAGCATTGCAAGGAAGAAATTGAGAACAGAGACCAAAATAGTATCAGCGCCAGCTAGGAGCAAAGCTCTAGATATGTTCATCGTCTTCACATCATCGAAGCACTCACATATATATATTAGTGTGGATGCTTTCTTGATCAGCTGCTCTTCTTCCCCAGGATCGCTTCTATGATTGATGTGAAGAAACTTTCACCTTGCCTTCACCGAATCGTTTTCTAGCCCATGCGTAAGGTTTGTTCTGAGGCCTTCGACGAATTCTCGGCCTTCTCGAGCAGAAGTGGCCAGGAAAACTATCCTACTGTAAACCATAAGCGTCAAGAACTTCTTGAACACGAGCCACGGAGCTTACCATTCGGGGACATATTTGAGGAACGGGATAAGCCCCGGTCGAGCGGCAGATATCATAATGTATTGAGCCTCTTCCGCTATACGCACGAATTCGTCATCCTCGACCGTGTGGTACCCGAATGCTGTTTTAGCAGTAAGAATCCCGTTAACGATTGAAACCTCCAAGATCAGGTCACCACATACCGGCGACGACGACGACGATAGATCCAGTGGTACTGCGACAGCAAGCATTAAGCGTGACATTGGGGAATTCGAAGGATTTACTCTCGCAGAAGGTCTTCGAATTACTCCGTACACCGTAAGTCTCTCCCGAGGAGCAAAGTTATGTTCCTCTGTTCATGATCACGTTCAAAAAAAAGTAAAACCCAAAACGCGAAAACTAGCGGTTTGGGTTGGCCGATAAGCGTCCGATGCTCTGAGATTAAAACCGTGATGGAATAGTTTACCACTCTTGTATTTGGGACGACGATTTTGAAATTCTACATTGAACTGCCAGCCCATCCTACAAAAATTCAGTCCTTGCTTCACCATATGCACATACCACTGTGACACAATCAATCCGTCTGTCTGCGTGTAGTCCATGAGCGAATGACAATCTTGTATCGACCACCACCCACAGAAAAGAGGATTTAGGTCTGCTACGACCCCATTTCTTTGAAATGAATAGCCCGACGTCTCGGTACTGATCCTCGTTTGATGTACAGAATCGCGAACACGATCTGAGGAGTATTTGCTGCAGATCGCCGTACGCAGTATAAATCTGATGTCAGTTCGCGTCTGGCAAGTGATTAGTGAAAATGAAGACCGAATCGCGGATGGGGTAACGAAGGCCTTGCAATCCCATCAGGTTCCAGAATTCGCTCGAATGTATAAGCCAACCTGGTTCCTAGTCTATCCATCCTAAAGTCGCATCATACACAGCTTTAAGAACCACATCTAAGCTGATAGACAGTCAATGGGTAATATGCAGCGTTCGTCGCCGGTTCAGACATTGCATGTGAAACCGAAAATTATAGAGATACGAGTTCCGCAAGTATCTATATAGTCGGACAAGTTGCCAGCCACCGCCGGAATCTCGATCTGCTACTTGTGGGTGTACGGCGCTGTTCCACTGCATTCAAAAAATCTGGAAATTCGATTTCACGATAAGCATCAGATCAACGACGCAATCCTTTTCACAAACCTCAGACCCTGGAAGATACGGTACCAGACGCATATGAGCCCATCAGCGCAAACGCGAGGCCAATCTCTGAAAATCATAAAAGGTCAAATCCCATATATCAAACAAAAGAAAACGAAACGCACTAGAAACAAATTCTGGCGCATTTCTATCGTTTCTGAACTAGAAGGTCAATGATGGCGTCACCCTCATTCTGGCGCTTTCCTCGTGCTACGATGATACTCCCTACATTCCCTATCTCCCCGCCTGCGGTCACCTGTGTCTCTCGATGTGCCTAAAGTTATAAATGTATGTCTCTTTGATAAACAACGGTGGACATCATCCGAGTCCCGACAACGGACAGCTAGTTTGAACCATCACCCATGACAAGCCGCCCTTCATCTCTTCTGGCTTGCGTCTCTGCCCGAACCGAATTATAACGCCACAGGACCTCAACCCAAATCGACCGCACCAGCAGCAATTGAGTGATACATGAGAAAGAGAAGCAGACGCCTGTTCGGGACGACATATCTATGGACGACGGCGCCAGCAGAGTGATGGAGGACGAATAGATCCCAGCATCAACTAAACGTTATCACTCGAGATGTCCACCAAACCCAGACAGGTCGTCAGCAAACGATCATCTCAATTTAAGGCTTCTTCAACCTCTTATAGATTTGTGAGAGCATAGCATTGGTTGTAGTTCGTTACTCACCAGGAGCTATAGGTTCCTAAGGGGAGTTATTCAAAGATTTGATATGACTATGGCGTCCGTTGTGACTATCCAAACGCCCAGCATTACTGTACTATATGTTGGAATATATAGTCACCACCTCGCTTGTATGACCTAACTGTCACCCAGGACGTGACACGCTTTGTCCTACAAAAGAATTAGATAACCGACAGTCTTGAATGGAAGGCAAGCTGACAGTAATCCCATGAATGTAACAGGGAATCTTGACATTAGGAAGGAATGGACTTTGCCTCGTGTAGAGCACCCAAAGCCTGTTTTCCGAGCTTGGCCCAGTCATGTAGAATGTTTGGATCAGTGTACCACTGCAACACCTCAGCAATCTTGCCTGATGACAGGCCCCCTCCTTTCACCCACTCAGCAACATCGTCCTCACCCTTGATGCAGTCAAGGATTCCAATAACGGCAAGAAGAGTCTCATCATCACCATCTACCCCCAAAGATAGACCGTCCAACTTGGCCACCAGGTCATCCTCCTTCTCCGCGGCTCCTCTAGCAGAGTTGACGTATTCCTCCACACATATATGGTTATACGGCTGCAGACGCGCCTTTGACGGGGAGTCGTCCAACAGAATTGTAGTCTTTCCATTGAAACTAGAACCCAACGCCTCCCAAATACGAGAAAGATCTTTCGTGGTCCGCGTTTTACGTGCATAGTCGACTTTGGACAGACCCATTTGCTCGCGTGTCCATACTAATGTGAGTTTATTAACGTGTTGTCCGAATGTTCGTTCTACCATCCATCCAACATTCTTTGGCTGAGCAGAACTCCAGACCATCGTATCAAGCCATTGTCGGGTGGTAGGATGGAAGAGAAAGGAAGTGAATGAAGAGAGGTACGGGCGGGGATGACAGGTCCTGGTCTTTCGATGTTTTGGTCGGAAGAGAAGAGTACCATTCAAATCGAGGACGAGCAGTTTGCGCTTGATGGTCATGAAGGAAGGGAGTATCGCGGGAGGAGACCGTGGGAGAGACGGGCTGGTGCGGGGGCCTCGCAGGCCACCTGTCGCTTTCTCGGTCTGGAGATCATTATCGGCACTCCATCGGCACGTAACTTGGGTTATCGGAAAATAAACCCTATTTCTAATTTGGGCCAGCCGTGATATCTGCCGGCTAAGCCACCGCTACAGAGCTGAGTCACATATTAAGTGAATCGATGACGGGCCGTACAATCGGGCCGACAGATGCCGCGCAGAGAAAAGTTTGTCTATCTTCCCCTTACATTTGTCTGTAGTTCCATCTGAACTCAATTTGCTTGTCAGTTGGAATGGGCATCTTCTGCCGCTGCCGTTGTTCAACGATTTGCTGAAACTTCAGTTGTCAAAGAGCCCAATCAAGATAACGTTCACAGACCGGCGAATACGTTCACGATAGCAGCTGGGTATCACGTTGAGTGTGACGGGCACAACATATCTCTTCATCCAATTGGGGGCGTAAGTGAATTAGTTCCTTCTGAACGCGAGATTTGTATAGGATAACAGCAATACATATGAAATTTATACCCATCCTCCAGGTCAAAATGCTGAGTATGGATTTCTGGCCCAGGTGACATTCACTGATGCGACAGGTGGGCAAATTCTTCTTCCCAGCCGTCGATATTTCCAACTCCATGATCCTTGTGCCAAGGTTGGACATTTCTCAGGGGCAGGGGAGGTCATGGAACAATTATTCCAAGATGTAGAGGACATAAAGGTCTTAGCAGGGGATGGAGGATCGCACGACCTTTTGTCTTTCTCCACGTAAGGTCCAATTTCGATGACATTTCAATGCCTTCCAATACGGGCACCACCCTGTTCCAAATGGCGGGTGCGTTGAAGATACGCTAGACGATGACCAGAGTATCTACTGTGTACCATTTACATACTGTCCGGAGTACCGCACGGTATGCTGTCCACGGTATATCTCCAAGGAGAAGGTGAATCCACCTTGCGCTTCGGTGCTGATCATCAGCTACACCTCTCACCAGCTTTTGATGGTTACGACGATGTGTTGTCTGTGGTCTTTGACTTAGATCCCTTGTTGTGTCGGTCGCCTTGTTGTAGTATAACGCGCTTTTTGTTATGGGTCCCTTAAAAAGGCGACAACCTGCGGCAAATCTGGCATGGCCGGATACAGTTCTGTAACACCGCTTGAAGACCCTACGAACAGTTTTGTCGAGATCGCTTCTGCACTGATACATGACTGTCTAGTTGGCATCGAGCGTGGCGGGACCACGATTTCGAATCGGGGAACTCTGATATCCCTCTCTATCCAGGGTGGCGATCTCCCAGAGCAGCGATTCGGAGGGTGCCTATCCCGTCTAGTAGCACTCCGTGATCAGATGTTGGATGGCAGGGACCAGCTTCGCCACGCTCTCCGTCGGGTCTCGCAAGAGTGGAACTACGAAGTGGCAGGGTGGATTCTCCGACGGGGCCGTGGGATGGAAGGTATAGACTTTCACCTCCGGTTTGGCGAGTTTGTGTGGGAGATTCAGCAGAGTCTGCATGACGCAGCTGCTCTGCGAGCATACCGGGATAGGATACAGGCTTTTCTGGGTGTTCGCTTGCGAGAGCCAGGTGTTCGTTGTGAAAGGACTCGCGTAGCGGCGGTCTTGTATGATACACTGCAGGGTCTTGACGCGTTGGTTCATGGACGGCTCAATCACGGCAATATCCTTCCACGACTGGTATCGCTGGACGAGGACCCGCGGCACTATGAGGAGCTTGTCATGGCACGAGATGTCATATGTGGGATCCTCCCTGGTCCGTCGATTCTGACATTTGAGACTGCAGTGATGGCGTTTTTTGTCCCGCTCCTTGCGACAGGGCCCGTGGTCAGATTCTGTGAGTAGCCCTCAGTTTTCCAGCTGGGATAAAAAAAATTGATGGTGTCCAAGTTCGGCAACGACCGGAGCTAGGGCGGCTCTGCGAACAAGTTGCATTTGGTGAACGACAAGCCTTGGATGCGGCGCGGCGGGCTTTACGGCACATTATGCAAGAGCCGTTTTCAACTCCGCGGATCCGCCGTCGCCACGATCACGCGCCTTACAGGACTCGGCACCACATCCACCATTTGCACTGGTGTGATCCAGCTACATGTCGGCGAGAGGCGGGCCGCCCCAATCCTCACCCGCTACCCCCGCCACCTTTCTTCTATCCCCTACCTGTCACCCGATTCTACACCGACCACCCTCCACCAATGCCTTCTCCCGTCATCCCACCCGATTCTCCACCACTGCAATCATCTCCTCCACGTTCATCTCAAACCGGACGATTTACGTATTGGGCGTGATGGGCTGTAGAAATCTTCCCCATATCTGTCCATGTGTATTTTAATCCATCCTAATCTTTCTTCTATTATATCAAGCTTATTTAAATAATTAAACAACTTATCTACATATAGATCATTAACTTCAAGCTTGTCTTTATCGACGGCGCGTGCTCCAATACCGTAAGAGTGGGCGCTGTGGCGGAGATCGGGATCGCTATGGGAAGCGGCCAGAGGGACCAGTAGAATATTTCCATTGACGACCCATTACATCCAGGTGCTAAGAGGACCAGTCAATGCGCAGAGCTATTGGCTGCCCTTCAAGGCCTCGAAAGGATGCGTCTGCAGCGCTTTGAGCCGAATATGGAGAATCATCCCAATAACAAGAGGGACATCAATTACAGGCATTCAAGAGCCATAACAGGAAAACCTGCTGTGGTCCTGTCACTCATCCCCAATGGATCATCGTATCCGACTCGGAGTATGTTGTGCTGGGCATGACAGAGTGTTGCCCAAGTGGAACGTGTGCATGAGTTTTTTCAGCTTCCCGACCCCAACTGACCGGCTGTTAGACGAATGAGATGCGCTCCTCTAAAGGGAATTGCACTGCGAATCTTGACCTCCATTTAAAGTTGGGATGACGCTGTCAGCTAGGAGCAATGACTTTCCTTTTACATGGAGGCGAGACCGTGTCATACCAAGTACGGAGCCAAGCTAAAAATGCCCAAGAATTTATAGTAGATATCGGGATTATATTACACTCGAGGAAGATGCTACAGTGGTGAGTGCGCGTGAATACGTATGTGCAAAGTCCAGCTCAATACCTAGAAATACAGAGTAATGCAGACCCTAATTAAGTGCAATAGTAACATCGACCGGGTATTAGATATATCAAGTCCTTGTCCTTGTAACGTGAAGGTCATAGATGCGCTCTGAATGGGTTCTAAAACTGTCCTAAACAGCAACCCCAGCAAACGGATTCGTCGGGATACTCTTCCGTGTATCACCAGCATGGCTTATCGTAACACGATGCTCGTCATCAAAGGGTGTCGTGAAAGGGTTCTCTTCCTTCCGCGCGTTCAGGATACTCGATGGGTCCGCAGAATCAGAATATGAATGACGGAGGCTGTCGGCGAATCCATGATGCAGAGGGGGGGCGAGAGAATCGGGTTCGTACACGGATCCGACATCGGAGGGTACGTTGCGCTGGCGGGGACTCAGCTTGAAGGGCGGAGAGAGTAACTTGGCCCAAGGAGCGGGTCGGACCAGCTCGGGTGAGGCGGACCAGTGGGAGTGAAGCGTATCGCGAGGGTTGTCTGCGATGGGAAGAGACGGAGGTGTGGCATTGGCTGCACGACCAACAGAAATGCGCAAGTTCGGACGAACCCGGGTTGAAGATCTCTCAGAGACGGGCTCCTCAGTACGCTTCTTGCTCAGTAACCCTGCAAAGCGACCGTACCACGGGGTAGCCTCGTCCTCCTGCTCCTGAGATCGTTCCCTTCCCAAAACTTTCTTCCCAATGGCCATCAAGCGCTGCGGCCTGTTGATGCTCTCTGCATCGGGCCTCTGTCCAAAGAAGCCATCCCAACTTTTCTCCTGAGACTGCAGGAAAGGCGCGCGCGAACGAGTCCGAACAAAAGGGAAGTTGAATCCCCGCTTCGGTGAAGGAGGTGAGTCGTTCTGGGCCTGAGCCTTCTCATCCGCAACAGGCTGGCCGATTCGGAAAGGAACGACGAATCCTTGGTTCCCGCTTCTCTGTTCCCTCTCCCACTTGCGCCGCTTCCTCGCTTCCACCCATCCTTTCCCGTGAGTGTACCAAAGGAGGATGCAGGTAGCCATCAAGACTACCACACCCCACAGAGCCAGGAAGATCGCGAACATGACTCGTTCCTTCTTCAGAGACGAGGCGTATGCCCTCACGAGCTTCCCCACCAGTCCGTCGTTGTCATCGCCTGACCCACTGCCAAGGGCAGCAGCAGCAATAGGCTGAGTGGCCTCATCAACCGAACTCTTCGATAGTACCAAAGCGCTGTCATTCATCAAAGGCAGGTCAACCTGGAGGTTCTCATTCAAAAATGTCAGGACTTTCTCGATCGCATCGACCTTTGACCCGATCAAACACGCGACGAAATCCAGTGCAGGCGTCTCGAGGATGGTACCGTTGAAAACTGCGTTCACAGCACTTTGAACTTCATTGTAGAATTCCACGACGGTGTCGTTCAGAGTGGTGGTGGTGACATTTACCCATCCGAAGATGCCATCGTTGATGGTGGACTGCATGGTGGAAATCTGGCTATTGACATCATTGGCGTACGCCGCTGATTGATTGTACATGCTGTTGTTGATCGAAGTGGCAATGGTATTCGTGAAGTCGGCAGTGGACACTGCGGCCTGTGCGTCGTACTTGGCGACGAGTGGGCCCAGGGCGAGGAGTTGGAGCTGAACACTCAGAATTCCAAAGAAGCCAATGAGGAAGCACACCAGTGCCGGCGGGTGGAAAATGTAGTGAAAGAACCACGTCATATTTGTGTGCTGTGGTGGAGAGAGTCGTAGACGAGAAGAGATTTGGTTGATGATGCGCGTGAGGAGGGGATGCGATGAAGAGGCCTGAAGCATCAGCAGATTGTGGTCCGTGAGGCTGACCCGCGGGGTTCCTGCAGCACCACGGACATGATACATCGTGGGGTCAGTCATCCAAGCCTCGCGGGTGTATTCAAAGTGTCGTTGTTGGCAGCGCCACTTGTACCATTCCAAAAGACAATTGAGCGCAACGAGCAGTAGCGCCAAGGCGATCAAAACAACAATCGAAATCTTGGTGAATTTGATTATGTCACGGCCCAAGTCATCCACTATGGACGTGTCCATCTCGTCGCAAAATGTGAGGGTATTTTGCTGAGGTACTGTAACCAAAGACGAATTGAAACTTAACCCATCGAAAGTATCATTAATCTCCTTTTTCAAGAGCTCAAAAGGAGTATCAATGCTGCCAAGTCAAAATCAGCTTTTGGTCAAAGTTGCAGAAGGGTGTACATACATAGCTTCAACCTTTTGTTTGAGTTCTTGAACCGATGGTAAGGAGCTGTTCAAGCTGTCGATCGAGTCAGTGAAAGACGATGGCAAAGAGACATTGGACAAAGCACTGAGATCTGGAGTGCTGATAGTGGGTGCAGTGATGTCGTCGAAGGGATTGACAGCATTGATGGCTTTCACTGCCGTTTCGATGACACCATTAGCAGCAGAGATAGTACTGTTGAGTGCCGTCTCAATGTCACTGGCTGCAGCATTGACCAACTTGTTCAACTACGAAAAATAAGCGATGAGAAGTGAAAGAGATCAAAGTCAGCACACCTCATCCACTGCAGCAGACAGGATCGCCAATCCTCCACGAATAACCAGCTCGACGAAACACAGGAGCGTCGATTGGTAGATATCGACGATGAAATTGATGATAGCTTCCATGATAGTAAGGGCTGCAACCAAAGTCGCGCGAGCCAGATCGATGGTGTCGTTGACCGCATCTGCATACTGCTCGTTCGTCACCACAGCGAGGTAGCGGGGCATGCTCGCTGTCGCCGTGGCAGCTTTCTCTGCGGCCTTGCAGCTAGCCAACAGAGTAGACTTGGCGCTCTCGATGGATTCCTGCGACGACTCCAAGGAAGAATACAACCGGAACGCAATGAAGAAAAGAGAAAGAATTGGATATGCCAGCCATGTGAGAGAATAAAGATGGGGAAGCTCAAGGTAGGGCTTGAGGGAAGTCGTGACGATGGCGTCGTACGTCGGGGGAGGTGCGAGGGACATGCCAGGAGTCGGCCAGCGACGTCGAAAAAATTAACGAGGGACGTGGAAGGTGGGAAAAGGAAAGAAAGAAAGATTTTTGAGGTTGCCGATGCCATTGTACTCGTTAAGTCCTCCGCCACGCGAACAATACGTCAAGGACAATAACAGCAAAAGGCCACTTCCCTATTCGGCCTTTTGCTTTTGTCTGGGTCACAGTCACCATATCACGTGCCTGTGACCCGACCGAATCGTGACAGCGCAATGTGGTTCTTGTGGGGCGCTCCATTCTTCAACGATATGGCTTATTGTCTGTGAAGCGTCGTTCTGACCATGTAGACCTAGACACAACCAAAGTTGCCCTCATATGCTCATGTCGTCAAGCCGATATTTCCCCTCCAAAGTACGTATCTACGCCACCTTCGACACCGGTTGCTACGTATCCTTATTATCTTGTATTATGCATCTCATTTCGTTGGAAGATGCTACAGCAGTCCCTTGTCGATTCTTGTCATGGAGATACGTGCATCCCCGATTCCAAGACTCCCAAGCACTCGGATCCTTGACGGAGAGTTCCCGTAACTCACGGACTTTTAACGCTTTTTACAGGCATATTACGTCGTTATTGTAGACGCCAAGTCTACGCGACGCGTGGTATATCATGATCAACTAGGCAAACAGCGTTCATTTTTGGTCTAAAATCCGAGATCATCCCCTTACTTTCTAATCGGTTCAAAGCATTCAATAATTCAATGATAGTCGAGTCAAAAACGTTAAATCATTACCTATTCCTTCGCCTAGGTACATTCAGTTTTGAAACGTTTGATTGAGAAGACTGCGCTCCGTAGTACGGTAGCCTGTGCTGATGTTTCTTAGAGGTACGTGGCCCTGCGCATCTTGGCCTTGGAGATTCTCAGCGGAAATCGCCCGGCGGAACAGGATAAAAATCCGGAAGCTTAGAAGGTAGATAAGTAACATGTGCACCTGCTCAGTTTGTGAAGCCAAGCGTCGAAGTCATGGCTAGGCGGTGTGCTTCCTCAATTGATCTTGACCAATGATTTCCTACTACACCGCACCTTGACAAAGCACACCTAAGCGATCACGGTATCTCCTAAGTGGCAGATTTTCTCGCGACGGCCGCTCCTTCGTGGTTTTCCCCCAAGATCGATTTCGCCAGTAGAAACCGGCATTTGTAGTACGGATTTATCTTTTCTTGCACCGCCGATTTTTTTTCTGCGCGGAGAGGATTGAATAAGATCGTGTGGCCAGACAGCGCTATGACATGTAATGACGCGTCGGATTCGCATTGGGCGGTGTGCACGCGGATCAGAGCAGTGGACGGAAATAGCCACTGTGGCTGTTTGCCGACGCTGCCGACTTATCTTCTTCACTTCCTTAGTGGCTCCAGTCGTTTAAAGTCGTCCTTGGATTCAGTCCGTATGACCTTGTATTTCCTATATTTTCATAAAGAAACAAACGCGCGGTTATACAGGCCAAATATAACCCCCAAGTACAGGCTTCCCTACCTCACAACAAAACTTCCTCTTCCATATTTGTAAAAGTGGATCGACGTTTCCCTGGAATTGGTATTCTGTATTAATATGAATACAAGGTTTCCAAACATATAAGCGCACACACGAGGATCTCACGTCCACCATCTCCAACCCAACATGTGCTCTAGCAACGACGAGCACCAGAACGATGTCGAAGACGCCTCTCCTGTAGTCAAACGGAGGAAGATGCAGAGAGCGTGCGACATCTGCAGACGCAAGAAAAGTACGTTCTTCATGCTATGCCTTGACAGATGTAAGTGAATTGACTGTTGATTCTCATAGTAAAATGTAAGGTCCTAGCTAGACCATCCGATCGTCGATCTTGATGTGCTCATCCTCTTCTATAGGTGAAGGCGGGTGCGTGCCCGGTGTCAAGTGTATCAACTGTAGCTCGTACAACTTAGACTGCACCTACGTTGAAGCCTCCAAGGTATGTGTCTCAAATCATGTTTATTTCTCTACTTACCGTACGTATCTAGAAACGTAGGCACCCGAAAGGTTACATCGAGACCCTAGAAAATAAACTGGCGAAGATGGAATCGTTGTTGCATAAGGTTTTTCCCCCCCGCTTCTACTAGGCATTCCTCCCCTCATAATTCTGCTAGTTCATGCCCAATGCTGACATCGATGAAGAGCTTACACATACTGAAGGTGATGCCAAAGACAGTCCGTCCGCTGATGCTTCAATTTCCAAGCGCAACCCCGCGCAGAGCATGTCTGCCCTTTCCAGTCCCTCGCTATCGGCCGTCATGCCGCCGCGCTTGGAGCCTAGTAACCTCTCTGACGATCCCATAATAGACGATGAGGACATTGAGCACGTCGCCCTTTCGGACAGGCTAAGAGCCATGGATATGGACGATTCCGAAGTACGATTCTTTGGCAAGTCGAGCGGTCCTGCACTGGCCCACAAAGCCTTTGAATTTAGGCGGGAAATGGAAGAAGAAGACGTCGCCGACTTTATCGAAAAATTTAAAGTCATGAGCAGCAGGCGTGCCGAATTTTGGTCTAATAGTATACGTTCGGTACGCTTCTTCATTCCTCGCCGTTCTGGTTCTCATCTGCTTCAGATGGATTATGACGATATCGATCTCCAACCTGCCAATTACTCTTTCCCAGAGCCTGACCTCCTTAATTATCTCGTTCAGTTATATTTTCTTCAACATAACCTATTCTGGCCTCTACTTCACCGACCTATGTTTGAGCGATCTCTGGCCAACGGGTTACATCATATAGACAGCGACTTTGGAGCACTTGTTCTCCTGGTGTGCGCTGTCGGTTCACGCTACACTGACGATCCTCGCGTCAAGGCCGATGACACTCACACTCAGTCACAAACACGGCATTTCAACGGTTGGAAATGGTTCATTCAAGTGCATCGGGTCCATATGTCATTGCTGCGACCACCAAATCTGTGTGACCTGCAAAAATGCGCAGTGAGTGGTGCCTTCATCGGAAGAGAAACCTGTTCTTTATTGGCTGCCAGCTTTCCGTGTTCTACGTGCAAGGATGCGCTGCGCCACACGCTTCTTGGACGTTGGTAGGGACCGGTATTCGCATGGCCCAAGACCTTGGGGCACATAGAAGGCGTGGCAGGCCGGGACAACCGCGCAACCCCGAGGAAGAGCTACTGAAACGGGCTTTCTGGTAAGTTCTTGCGTACACTTTTCACGCTGGACCCATCTCACATGAGGGGCAGGGTTATCGTCTCCCAGGACAGAATGATTAGTCTAACATTAGGTCGTCCGTGTGCTATACAAGACGAGGAGTGAGTATACCACACTTACGTACTACCCACTTCCCCGTCTAATCTCGACTTCCATAGCATCGACGCGGAATTTCCCGTTGATTGCGACGACGAATACTGGGAACACCCTGACCCAGAACAAGCATTCGTACAACCTCAAGATAAACCGTCCTTATTGTCCTTCTTCATATCCTATCTGGCTTTGAACAGAATCCTTGCCTTGTGTCTTCGTACAATTGTGTGTCCCATGTCATTCCCCGCTATCATCTATTCACGCCACTGCCCAGTATTCACTCAACAGATCGAAAACTCTATTTGTGCCCGTAGGGAAATGGAAGCAAGACCTTGTTACCGAATTAGATTCGTTCCTTAACAAATGGATTGATTCTGTACCTGACCATAGTACGTTTTGTCCGTGTTTCCAGGATTCGGCGTTGACTGACCGTTTTCCTTAGTTCGTTGGGATCCTCATCGCGAAAATCAGATTTTTTTCAACCAATCTATTTTCCTCTATTGTTCGTATTACCACCTTCAGATTCTCATTCATAGACCCTTCATTCCTTCTCCGGGAAAATCATCGCCTCTTGCTTTTCCTTCTCTCGCCATCTGCACTAATGCGGCTCGCTCAATCAGCCACATTCTGGACAGTCAGTATCGCCATCCGGAGAATCCAATGAATCATTGCACTGTAAGCTCTACATCTGACTACGGTATCTCCATCAAATTAATGTCTCGTAGATGTCTATCTTCAGTGCTGCAATTGTTCTACTCCTAAATATCTGGAGTGGAAGACGTTCAGGGATATCATTCGACGAAAATAAAGATTTGATTGACGTTCATAAGTGCATGAAGACCTTGCACGAACTTGAGAAACAGTATTTCTTTTTTTTCTGCCCTTGCTATGCTAGCGAGTTAACGTATGGTGTAGATGGCCCTTCGCAGGTCGACTATGGTACGCTTACCCTGGAAACGTGACCGCACAGATGCTTATTGAAATACAGGGACATACTTCACGAGCTAGCTTTTGTTGGCGAACTGCCTCTTCTTCGCCAAGGTATCTCTCCCTCAAACAAGCGACAGCGCGATTCTGATAATCCGATGTCCATGGCATCTCCACCGACTAACTATTCCGACATTGATGCGACCAATCCCGGGAGTCGGGCCATCAAAAGTAACCGACGCGTATCGGCGACATATCAGCAAGACTTTGCTATGCCAGCCGATGATGTTTATTCAACGCATTTATCTACCTTCACTCAGGTTGAACAGTACCCGAACGACATCTCTACGCCTTTTACTATGGGCGAACCTTCCTCCTCGTCCTCTAGCCTATCCGCCGCGGCTCAGTCTTTCTCAGATAACTATTGGTTTGCTCCGCATCCAACATCGAGTAGCCATCACCAACCCGTACATGGTCAGGATCCATCGTCTTCCCAGCACATGTTTGGTGGATATTCAAATGAGATTCCGCCTCTCAATAATGGTTTCTATGACCAAGCACAATATCCTCAACCCTTCCATCCGCCTGTAGATAGTCTCCCAGATCCGATGGTGATGACGAATGACGGGCAGCCACTTATGGCTATGATGGATAATTTTTCGCAGCCTCTCGTCGATGCCGAAACTGTGGCTATGTGGCCAACTGGATTTGAGTGCGTAATAACTTATCGAGATAGGTTTTGGCTGGTGGTGCTCATAATTATCAGGCTGGAAGAGTGGAGCAAGTACCTGACCAACGTCAGCGAATTGACTCACAACGGATCTGGATATTGAAATGCTAATGTAAGTGGGGGCGGGATTACCTTATGTGCTTTACGAACGATATATTTTGACTAGTCGCTTCAAATTGTACAACACAGAGGCCACGGAATGCTAGAGTAGTGACGTTTCAGGCTATTTCTCAAGCTTGATCTCTTTATTTTTCGACCCATCCTCTGAATCAATATTGTCATCAAACATCCTCTTATTTCCTGACGCGGGCAAAAGGTTGGAAGGAAAACCTTCGATGGGCAGCGGATCCGGGGATCCTGGACTTCATCATGGACCCATGAGTAGTGCTCGCCAAGGATGACTTTCTGGGTTTTCTCGTCGCAGCTCGACACCGCGTCGACTGTTGATTTCCCAAGCTGGGTACAGCGATATACTGTTGGGTTTCGTTATCTAAATCCCACGTTCGATCAGCACAAGAGAGTACCCACAACTGACAAGTAAGGGGAACCCGTCTTCATGGTGTGCCATCTGACACCAGCTGCCTCATTGCGGTCTCGTTGAGTTTTGAGCTGTTCCTCTACATGAGCGCGAACTTTTCCCGCAGCGCAAACATGGTGCGTGAGCCGGACGTTGTTCTGGCTTTGACATCATTACAATAATTGCACCACAGCCAAAGTTTGTGAGCACGCTGGGGTGTTATGCGGCGGTTTCTTCCCTACTATGATGGAGATACAGTCGACTCTCTCATAACCCATAGCAGTCGGTGGACCTTCAGAGCTATGGGTTATGAGAGAGTATGGGGTTGGAGAGAGGATGTTGTAGGTCAACTTCGAGGCCCTCATAGGAGCTTATATTTTGTTAATAGGCAGATAATATAACATACTTGCTATTTAGAAGTGAAGTAGCTTGTAATCTGGCTGTCCTGAAGTGAATTAGTCTCTTCAAGCCTTGTTTTTCATCTGAATGAAGCCAACATGCTTTCCAAGTTCCAAGCCATCATCCATGATCTTGATGTACTTTTGAAGAGTTCTGACAGCTCAAAGAGTCTCACAGCACTTATGACAAGGATCCAACACTGAATCATCATCACCATCAACATCACCTCTGAATCCATTCTCATTAATGTCTTCTTCTGCACTCTGCGATGCCATCATTGCATTGAAGATGTTTTTGTCTGTTGTCTCTTCCATGTCCACATTCTCTATCTCCAGATTCAGCAAGGATTCAATATCCATATGGTTACGGTTCAATACACCTGTGATGGCTTACCTTTCTTCTTTAGAGATGGCTTATTAAATTTTTGATTTGACTCTCAAGTCAGTCATATGCATACCTCTGGCTCATATTGAAATTCTTGAATGCGGCTCCAAAATCTGATGCTGACTCGAGCTTCTCGATGATGATGTGTATACTGTTGTGTTACCATAGAGCAGAGCCTCTTACATGGCTGTCCTATCAGGAGATGCCATGGTCAGTCAGGATAGATCAAAGATGTATGATCATTGGAACGAGAACATCCTTGAAATATGTATTCCTTCCGGATCATTCACCGCGCCTTCAACAAGGATTTGATCCAGAACAAGCGGATAGGCCTGCCTTCCAATTCCCACGCTAAAACAGAATTTCAGTAACTTCTCGACTTTTTTGACAGTGGAGATGGAAGTATTTTCAATGATGGCCTGTACGCAGGAAAAAATGATACGGGCGAAGCTCTGGCGGGATACGGGAGCTGACGGGGCTGGTAGTAGGTTTGTGTATAGATGAACCACGAGTTCTTTGAAGGAAGGCAGATCCTTCTTTGTCAAATCAGCGACGACTTGTGGAGTCAGTCTGAATATCTGCATTAGGATAAAAGACATTGGGTGACTGAAGATGACATACATTGCTTCTAACGTCATGACACCGCCTGCTCGTGTGATGGTTGTAGAGAGTAGCTTCAAATCTGAATCCGCCATCAGAGGACTATGACAAACCAGTATCTGTGCTGCGGCTTGGAAGAAAGAAGTCCATAGATCGTTGCAAGCATCCACATCTGGTTTCGAAGTCAAGAGAACGTCGATTTCCGGAGCGAGACTCCGATAAAAGTGCCACGGAGGGAATGTTTGCCCGCTACTCTCCGCATCACGCGAAGCGCGATAAAGTGCATTGAAGTAAGTACCGCAATGCTTGGGGTTATTCGACTGGATGCATATTCTGATAATGTCCCTGATGAGATCAATGTCCATCTCTGACTCGGGTGCTACTTTATGCACGTTCATTACTATCATTATCATCAGAATTCTCGTATACATGTTTATCGGTAGGAGGAGAGCTGCCTTTTCCTTGAGGGTAAATGCAGGCAGGCTTTGAACAACTAAGGCGGTAAGCTCTGATATGAGGGCATCGAAGGTTTCTTATGCAAGCGGCCCATCGAACACATGTTGAGTTTATACAAGATTCTGTGATAAGGATAGTCAAAAGCGCACCGAGAGATTTTCATTCTGTTTGAGGTTTTCGGACAAACTGCATTTTGTTGGCTATATATCGTGCGTTCAAGGTCAAGCTTACCGATCCGTGAAAAATGATACGCCACGTTCTTTGATTAGCTCTACGAGATAGCCGACTTTTGTTTCGACTGTTTCCCCGATTTTTTGGCACCATTTGACGACTTCGGGATCTGGTTTAGCCTCGGCAGCCTGCCTTAATGCTCTAACGATATTGGTACGACAGGTACGGCAGGGATTATATTCCCCTTGGGTGATGGCGTCACTGAAGCTAGGGACCGAATATCAATACTCGCAATTCTCAAGGAGGAAAGGTACATACAAAGCCTTTACGCTCAGCCAAGGAAATGTATGGTATGCGGTTACGAATCCTTCATTTCCAATTCGATCGATTTTTCTCCTGATATCACATGCCTCAGCGGCTTTGTAGCAGAGATCAACGTCATTCTATCTGGAGGCGGCATTCACAAGCGAAATTCCGCTCGTTTAAGCTTCGCCTCCTTGTCCGCCGCAGGTCTCTTGCGAGGCTGAGATTTTTTACTACACTTTAGCAGTGCTTTGACCAATTTGTTTTCATTCGTGCCGGCTGTGGGGCTCTGCGACGACTCCAGATGGTCGCAAGCGTAATCGAAGACTTCTCCAGCATTGACCGTCCATAAAGGACCTCATCAGAGCACGAGTAGAATGTCCTCCCAGACTGGGGCACCGTCATCATCAGAAGTCCCTACTAAGTACTGGATGGCGTACCTTCAAGATAATCTCCGGTCTGCCAAAACAGCAACGAGCCCTGAGAACCTGGGATCTAACAGAATAAAATCTGCCCACCACCCTGTCTTTGTCGTTCTGGAAATGAGATTAGTAATTGCGAGTGACTACAGCTAGTACAAGGATATTAGGCGCACACAATCAACATCAGTCTTTGATGTCAGGCCTTCCTCACATGTCGTCCTCTAATGGAACTGATCTTCTTCCCCGAGTCATAAACATCGTGGATTATCCTTTGAGAAGGAAAATCCAGATTGTGAACGGTTACTGGCATACCTTCCATATCAACAACCTGTTTGATCATTATTCCTCCAGAACTGTATTCAGCACTATCCAATTCGTTGCAATCATTTTCGTTACCATACAGCTCCAGAAATCTCATAAGTTCGTTCTGTGAACTATAATATTTCTGTGTTTGATGAGGCTTATCTTCCTCATCTTCGATATCAGAGTGGTTTCCTTGGATACTGACAAAAGACGTCCTATGATGTTCGACATGGACGATAACTGTAGCAGATGGAGGTCCACAGTGAGGGATTGAAGACATGACAACAAGACATCGTCTGGATGGCGTAAAGACATGGAATTGAAGAAAGAACCTGCAGTGTACTTGCGAGCGAGTTTTATGGGTATCACATCAGGGGACAGAGCGTCTGTTTCCCATGTACTGAGAATACTGCGAAGTTTTTCCTTCGCGACAGCGAGGTCAACAGGTGTTTGCAGCTGGGAGTCATTGACAAGTTGCACCAGATTGTATGTCAGAGATAATTAGTAGCCAGACTGTAGAGGCACAATTGTCTGGACAGAGCCTGCTCGGAAGCCTAGAACGAGGGTGCTAAAGCAGCCTTCCTCTGGCCATGTAGTCGACCGTTCATATGGAATGGCACGATACGAGATGGAAACATCTCCACCTATATACCAGAACGGCAAGAGTTATCTCAATCGTACCAAAGACTGGCCGACCTTCATATGATTTCAATGGCCTATGTCGGTGATCAGTAATAGGCGGAAATAGCTGGTGACCTGGAAACTTGCAAAGGTTGTGCTCTATAGAAAGGAATTTGCATTGGTCGTAAGTAGCAGGAAATGATGGGATCACTTACACTGACGCGGCTGATCGCAACAACATTTTGCCAAATTCACATTCACATTGTGGAGGAAACCCTAAGAGGCTATGGGCATCTCTGGCTACCGTGTTCTTCACCCATTTATCCCACTGGGGATTCATAAAGTGAACTTTCAAAAAGATTAGTACAGCTGACCATGACACGAAATTGAATTCAACTTGCGTCGCAGTTCGAAAACTCGCGCGAGTTCGCTGCCTGAGACGCGTGTTTCTCGCGGAAGGAGATCAAGGCTTGGGTGTCTCTTTCGCTCAAAAGTAGGCCGATTTTTCCGAAATCTTGTATATGGACAAATGGATTTGGTGTATCCATGCTGTACTCGTGTACAATTGACAGTCGAGGTGGATATCCAAGTTATCATCTAGCATATCCTCAATGTCGACTAAAATACACCTGTCATTTGAAACAGAGGGGATAAGGTAGAAAGTCTAGTTACGCGAGAGGGAACGCAAGTTGCGTGTGCTGTGGAGTGTCTTCCCGAAATGCTGCGGTGATGTAATAATGAGTAGCACTCAAATACTGAGATGTATTTGAGTGGTGTGTCTAAAGACGAGGGCCTGGAGGGGCTCGAGTTTTGGGTTGTTGTCAGAGCAAGTCGGTGGGTAAGAGCACAATCCGACAAGACAGGAAACCCAAATACAACGCGGGGGCCCCAAGTCTTGAGCGCCTGGGAACCAGAAGGAAGCCGAATCTGGTATACCAAACACTGTAGGGAGTAGGTGGGTGGGGCGAGAAAACGAAGGAGGATGGCCGTGAGCTGGCTAGAGAGGGAGTCAGTCGAGCAGAGTACTGGGAGATGCGACGGGAGAGGGAGGTTCTGCGCAGAGAATGGTATTGTTTGCATCAGTGTGTAACTAAAGGCTACACTACCGACTGCTACCTTATCCTCCGATAGGCCAGAAGCGAGGTACGAGCGGATGGCTTATCTCGGATTTATGCATCTTTTAGAAGACATGTCGAAATATCATCTTCAGACATCAAGTGATAACTAAGATACTAATCTGATATTAATCCGACCTCAATAATCGTCACAATTCACTTGCAAGGCTATGTACCTTCCATCATTCGTTAGAATATCGTCGAAAATGGACTTTACATGGAATCGAAACAAAGCAGTTTCAAATGTTCCTCTAGAATCATGTTTCAATCAGTGTACACTCTATGTCTGTAGGCTTGATAAAAGTGCCAAAGACAAAAGATGGGATCCTCTGTCCTCTGCTAAGATCCTTGCGTCTTTTACATCTTGGAATATCTGTTCCATGATCTTCCCCACTCCTGAGAGATAGGCAATCTTGGCATCATGGATTTGGAAATAACGACGGCTAGGAAGAGGAACTTGCCCGCCCGTCGCATCAGTGAGTGTTACTCGGGCCGGAAGTCCATACTCAGCATCTTTATTTGGAGGATAGATATGAATTTCATATGTATTACTGTTATCCTATACAAATCTCGCGTTCAGAAGGAAGAGGAAGAAAACTAATTCACTTACGTCCCCAATTGGATGAAGAGAGATGCGGAGCGCGTCAAACGAAACGTGATACCCAGCTGATATCGTGAACATATTCGCCGGTCTGTGAACGTTATCTTGATTAGGCTCTTCGACAACTGAATTTCAGCAAACAACGGCAGCGGCAGAAGACGCCCATTCCAACTGACAAGCAAAATTGAGTTTAGATGGAACTACAGACAAATGTAAGGGGAAGATAGACAAACTTTTCTCTGCGCGGCATCAGTCGTCCCGTCTATACGGTCCGTCATCGATTCACTTAATATGTGACCCAGCTGTGTATGTGTTATCCTCCCCCCGGCTGTTACATCGACCGTTGTCAAGCTATTTTTCAAGCTGACCGTGTCCACCTTCCCCGACACTATACACCGATAATTGTCTCGCACCAAAGCCTGAGAAGCTTCAACCGAGAACAACACTCTAAAATTCTACCTACCAGCTTTGTGGCATTACTTGAACTGACAGTAGGCTGCGCCAAAAGGGCTGCGATGTTGGCTGAATGATGGTCGGGAACTGAGACCTGACATAGGCGTCGGTACTTTACCCTTCGGATTTTTAACTAGTTGCAATGAACATCATTCTCGCACGGCGTAGGACGAAGACGAGAACGTACAGATCCTAATCATCCCCATAACATATATATATGCCAAGCCGGCAAGAAATTCGCCATTATCATTGCAAGAGGAGATTTCTCGTGCTAGACAAGCCTTGCCTTCGGTAGAAGGAGAGTAAATAAGTCAGAAGCCTAAGACGCGAGCCGCAACTTCTGGGCTGAATTTGAACATGACGGCAGAAGACTCTTTCTCAAGGCCATCCAAGAGCAGGTGCCAGCTAGTACCGCCAGCAGTTTCGAGGTTCAGACAAGATTGATACGCTACGTGTTCATCAGAGAATGAATCAAAAGGATTTAGTGGCAGAGCCTGAGACATAATAGTTGTCAAAGGCGGTGGTCGGGGTTTGAAGATTGGAACGGCCTAACTCCAGGCTTGTGACTTGAAAACACCCGGCTTATCCGGCAGCTGTCCCAGACTCACGGCACTGCGGCCCGATAGAGTCATAAATGTAGAAATTGGTGCAGGAAAATACAAGACGTGCTTAAATTTACATGGCTTGACAATGGCCATGACAATGGCCAGTTCAGGTCGTGCTGCACTCATCCACGAACCTCGAACCTGAAAGTGAGTTCCGAGTTAGACCATCCACTGTCCCGTCATCACGTGATGATATATATATATGGTATGCACCGTTATCCCTTTCAGACTGCCACCATCGCCAACAGTCTCACAATCGGAATATCACCCTTTCAGCCTTGAATTCGCTTACAAGGCTACCTTCCATCACTTTCGCTTCGTATAATTTTAATGCCCCTCAAGAATAATCGACATGCACGCAGGAACAATATTTCTCACCAATCTAACGACCAAGACACCGTCGATACCGTCGACGACGCCCGCTACGATATTCCGAATACCGGCCACACCAGGTCACCAGTATTCTCGCGAGAGCTTACAATGCTCGAATCGTTCTCTAGAACCGTGCGCAACTACGTTCCTTCTTCCATCCCAATCCCGGCTGCAGTCCCTTCCCCACCTCTCGTGTCTCGTCCGGTCATCACGTCCACCAGCCAGGTATCAAGTATATCTGACGAGCCGCTGGCGTCAGGGCTAGCCCAGGCAATGCAGAAGAACACAACCGGCGCAGATACTATTCTTTGGTCCAGGTGGGATTCGCTAGGGTCCCGCCGCCTTCTCTTTCTTGGCTATTCGTCGGGGTTTCAGATATGGGATTGCACAAGGCTTAATTCCGTTGATGAAGTACTCAATCTTAATGATTTTGACGATGTGGTTACCTACGCAGCGGTTTTACCCGGACAATTTGCTATCGGTGTCCTCACCAAAGACTCTGACTTTCTTGTATACTCGCTTTCTTCCCACCAAATTGTTAAACGGATTCCATTGGCAACTTCTGCCTATAGCTTCTCTGCCAGTCATGAGTATATTGTAATAGTGAGTCATACTCTTTCGCTTTCCATGTACCAAGGTTCACCGTATTTAAGGCCATAACAAATCCTCCTGCATTGCAAGTCCTCACTTCTTCCACGTTTTCTACTGTAGACACCATTCCTTCTTCTTCACTCGTTTCATTCACTCATACCACCTCCGCGCCGCACCCTATATATACCTTGTCACGCCGTCTCCTCGCGTATGCCTCTCTACCACCTTCACCCACAACCGCAATCAACAATGCGCCTGCTACTCCCCCCAAGCCAATCGCGACCACTGCCAAGTCTGTCATCAATGGCATGAAGTCATTTGGTGGCCTAGCCTATTCGGCTGCATTGAACAAGCTCGGTGGGGACGCTAAACCTGTCTCTCGAAATGTGCCAGGCGCTTTAGGAGGCGGAGAAGCCGATACGTTGCACCAGGATGACCAGCTTTGTACAGAAACAGGCTACTACGTTACGGTATTGGACCTACAGACTGGTGCACCACTAGCGCGATTTCCCGCATTTAAGCATTCGTCGATCTCTTGTCTATCATTTTCCCCTGATGGCTGTTCTTTGCTGTCAGTTTCGAAAGATGGGCAGGTGAGCCGTGTTCACCAGCTTAGACTTACTCCGAGCGGTGTATGCTCTGCGTCCAATCTCAGTGCTCCTCACCATGTTTATGACCTCCGTCGTGGACGGACATCAGCGATTGTGGAAAATGTGGAATGGTCTACCGACGGGCGCTGGATAGCTATCGGCACTCGCAAACGCACTATTCATGTATTCGCTGTTAATCCATATGGAGGTGCGCCTGATGTGGAGAGTCATATGTGTGGTCGCGTTAGAAACGCAGAGAGTTTGGTATGTCGTCGTACACTTCCAAACCTTGACTCATTTCGTTTTCATTTTCTCGTCTTAGCAACCTCTCTCTATTGAGCTAGCGCCAATCATCCGAATAAGACTAACATCGAATGGTCATGTCAGTGGTACATCAAGCGCCAATGGACCCTCTTCACCGCCTATACCGCCTCCAGTGTTCCAGTTTCCGGCGTTTCCCAATCAAACTCTTCCTCCATCGCTCCTACCTATTTCATCCCCTCAACTAGCGTTATTATCTATTCCATCTTCGTCTCCATCGGACTCTGGTTCCCCTCGACATGCTCAAGGATATCCACAACAGCCCATAAAGAACTTTCAAGACTTGCTTGTATTTGATGCCGCTGATGGACTGCTACAGCTGAAGCGATGGTTGCTTGGGTCTGGCGGCGTTCGCGATATTATGGATTTGGGATCAATAGGAGGAATGACAAGCGTCTCACTACCTTTGAGTCTTGCTATCGGTGGAAATCGTGTTTCGCCGAGACAACGCGGAAGACGGCTTTCCAGTGGCGCGGGAGGCGGCATCTCTCCGGACATGACCATCAGTAAACCAGAAGGGAAGAGTGAGAGCGAGCTCGTTGCGAATAAAGATACTGTTGTAGCTACATGGGATCTAAAGAGACGAAAGGATTGGGCCGAAGTCAAGAAGATCTTTGAGGATGAAGAAGCTACGACCAGGGTCCAATCCGAGTATGTTTTACGCTTGTCAGTGTTAGCTGATGCTAATGGTCTGCAGTTTTTTGTCCCAGGCCGAACTTTCGACTAACTCGAAGTCGCGTCACATTCTTCCGAGATCTATATATTTATCACATCAGTTTACTTTTCATACGCTGGGCGAGGACTATCACGCCCTCATCCGCCGTTATCAGCTGGATATACCTGGTGTCAACATTGAAGTGCGTAAACAAGTGCAGGTTAGCGCCTATTCGACGTTAAATATGGGCGGCGAAGCATTCATCGAGGCTTCCTCGTCAATTTCAAGGCGGTCACTCTTTTTTGACGAACCTCTGGCATCGGCGCTTCTCCAGAGCGATGGGTTCAGTGATCGATTGAGGGGCGTCGGAACAGTTCTGCCTATGCTACCCAACGGGGATGGGCATGGGTCGAGCCGCATGACCTCCATCCCAATTCGCGGTGTAAGTGAAAGTTTTGGGAGACTGAGGAGGGAGATGATAGTAGCGCGGCGAAGGAGTGGTAAGAGACGATCAAGGAAGAGTGGTGAAGATGAGGGGTTGAGCATGTCGGTGCCCTTAGAATTTGATGAAGCAGAGGAAGATTTTGTTTTCCGGGTGCTGAGCGACGACGGAGCGCTTGACGATAGTAGTGCATCTCGTGGAGACGAGGATTCCAATGCTCTTTCTCTATCCACCGCAGCGACAAGCGAGTATCCTGTGGATGCTGACCAGGAGGATATCGAGAACGGTGGTGGTGGCGTACCAATTTCTGATGACGCTTGGAATGACGGCTGGGGCGTGGAAGACAAGAATGCTGTCGAAGAGGTTGAGATGTATGATCATATCTCTGCTGTGGGGCTCTTGGATGAGGAGCAGGAAGAGATAGATCGGAGGATCAGGGAGGAGAAAGAGAAGGTAGCTAGTGTTGCGAAGGGTAGAGGTGCAAAGACTGAGCGGAGGAGCAAGAGAAAGGGTTGAGAGGATATAAATTTATAAATTTAGAATGAATGTACAGTACAATACATGTATTTTAAATGAGGACTATCATTTGTAGGTACTGAAGAAAAAACTATAGTACACCTAAGCATAACGCGAAGAGATACTTTCCGTATCAATGGATAGAAGCCTTCCCATTTCATGTATAGATTCATCATCTCGTCCTGACTGACTGCTCTCTGCGCCTTGGTTTGCGGGGCCGGTCCATCCCCGCGGTGATGGTGAACGTCCACGACCGGCACGACCGATCCTCCCAAATAACACCGAATCAGGTCGAGTTACCAGAAGAAGAAAGACGTTCATCGTACGACTCAGGCCCTAAATCGAGATCACTATCATGTTGGCTACAGTGTGAGGCTGATTCTTACCACTGAAAGTGATCCAGCGGACCACGCTCAAAGGTTGAGTAGCTACGGGGTCCCTGAGAGAGGGTAAGCTGGAAAGTTCAAGGGGAGAAATGATAAAAGACTGACGCAATCAGGTTGAGAGAGTTTCGCCTGCGAAACTTGTCTTCCTCGCTCTCAGGTTCGTCGGATCGACTATGGAAAGTGAACTTCCACCAGGACTTGTCGTCAAATGCGATGTTGCCTCTGCTCCAAAGAGATAGAGGGATGTATACCAGGGATGACATCCCCAAGGTTAGCCAGAACCAGACGTATTCGCCTATGATTCGGAGAGCTGTGTGGTCTTGACCTATCCAGCACCAGTACTAGCAAGAGTCGCGCGTGAGCTTAAAAATGAGGGATACAGAAGAGAGAAAAGGATTTACGAGAGTTGGTTCCTCATATTGTCGGCCTTGAATTGTGTTTCCAATGATTTCATGATAATAGTGAACGCCCAAACGGTGAGAATAACAAGCTTGAAGGTGATGATCGCGTCCATGCCTTTACGCCACTATACGGCGATAAAGATGTAGAGCGCAATGACCCATTCCGAATAAGTTAGTTCCATATACTGAAGCGTGATGTCCTAGTTTACGAGAGTGGTGATAGTGACGCCCGTGTCTCCCAATTGTTGTATGACGCCTAGAATAGGTATCAACTACGTGTAAAGTGCTGTCGGTACTCAATCACTGACCTTGAGCAGTACAGAAGTGCCCGTTTCCACCTTTCCTCGTTTATCCATTTGATGTCGAGGACGGCACCAAGGGCTTGTATAAGATCCGCAAAAAATAAAGCTGTTTATTCCGTCAAGTCTGTTCCTTTGTTGGTGCTAAAAACCCACCACAGATGCACCCATAGCTTCCTGGAGAAAATTCCAGTCTTCCACGCCTCTCTTTCGTACATACTGGAGCGCATTTCGCTGTAAAAATAAGCATCTCGAAATATCAGAGGCAATAACAAAGAGGATAGCAAAAAGTGAGACAAAGCCGCTTTCTGCGGCAAACTGTGTGAGGCAGTGGCTGAGGTTTCTTCTCGAAGGCGAAAAGGGAGCGTGTCTCACTGTCAATCCGATGCTTTGTCCGCGAGTCAAACAGCGGAGCGAAGTATCGGAAGCCTGTCTTGAATATTCCTCGGGAGTACAGATTATGCCTTGGGACTGCAAAAACATTATGGGGGGAATCGGTGCTCAGGTAGGGATCAAGAAATGCGAATAAAACATTCTATAGCAGCTCGGAATTACACCGCCTTTCATCTTTCCGCCCCTGGCAAAGGGCGAGATTGACGGCTGTCTGTCTCTCATGCATCGCACTTCGCTTCTGACTCAGAACTTGCACCGACTCGATCAAAATCAGAATACTTCCTCGGAAACAACCCTGCTCATACACATATAGTCGTTAATCTGATGCCTATGTCGGACCGACATCCAGTAAATTGCAAGGTATACGGAAGCCAAGGTACGATATTTCCATGTATCCTAGAACCTGCTGAAGGATGGATATGGATGGTTCAGTAGGCCAATTCATGCAATGCACAGCCAGTGCACTCCCGTTAACGATCATCTATTCTCATCTATTTATTCATATGATCTCTGACCCTCAGACAAAAAACGGCTTGTACATCCCGATATTCGTCCTTAAAACATTGAGAGCGCGAATTGTTCCTACCCTTTACTTTTACCTACGTCTCTATCATACCCTACTCCCCCACTCCAGAAGCAATGGGATTGGACTGTGCGGCTCTTCTCTCTGTCCTCTCAGTGCTTGTCGATGTTGCTCTTTCGCAAAGTACTGCAACAGCTCCTGGACAGCCTCTCCAAACCGGACCTGTGGGCCAGTTCCAGATTGTCGGCGAAAGTTTAGTTAGCGCTCAGCAGGTTGGTCTTTTTACGAGCATCGAATCCAAGTTATGAAATAACCGAATCGTCAGCTTTTCTTGGGAACGGAGGACAAGGTGTACATTGTAGACAAGGTGGAAAGTAATCCTGGTCAAGTCAACGGGCATCCAGCATGGGCTGTTGGTGAACCATTATTTGCGGCATTTTAACTAGTCGACTTGCCTCTGACATCGTGTTCAGAGTATAGTGTTTCCGCTAATAACGCGAAACCAATGGACATCGTGACAAACACATTCTGTGCAGCAAGTCATGAATTACTTCGGTGCCAAAATTAACTCACATCGTTTCGAGTAGGGTGGTAACGTCATGGGCGATGGAACATGGCTCAACGTTGGTGGAAACCAGGCCGTTACTTATGGTGGCCTCACCGCCACAAGTCAGAAAGGAGGTAAACCGTATAACGACCCAGATGGCAGACAATCGTACCCTTCATTTTTTGCTGGTAAACCTATCTCTAAATCTGTTATGTTTCTAGTCTCCGAGTACTGAATCCCTGCGACGACGGTTCTTGCGATTGGCGTGTATTTGGAGATATGTCGACACAAAGATGGTATCCTACAGTGTATATCTCTTTCTATGCTTTATTGACGGCATCTGACTGTATCCATACAGAGAAACCTTAGAAGATGGATCGCTTATCATCGTACTACGTCGCATCTTTTACTACCTGTATTGGTCTGATCAAATCGGCTTACAGCTCGGCGGGTGTGAAAATGGAGGATACGTCAATGATGCAGGGCAAGACAATCCTACTTACGAGTTCTTCCCCAGTCAAGGAGACCCTATCCCTTCACACATTCTTCAAAACACTCTGCCCACGAATTTGTACCCTCTAACCTGGCTCCTACCTTCCGGAAGGATCCTATTGCAATCGAATTGGAACACTTCGCTTTTGGATTACCACACTTATGAGGAGACGGCTCTTGACCCCATACCAGATGCCGTACGAACATACCCTGCCAGTGCCGGCACTGTCATGCTGCCTTTGACACCCACCAATAACTGGACTGCCAGAGTTTTGTTCTGCGGTGGATCTAATCTTCAACCCAACGAGTATCAGATATTCTTAGTTTTGCCTTGCTTATTTATCCCTGAATACCTCACCTAGATGGGTCACGACTTGGAACATTGCAGCTAACCCGACGTCCACGTCTTGCGTGACAATCAGTCCAGACGTTTCTGGATCGTACTCTCAAGATGATCCTCTTCCAGAGGGACGTTCAATGGCGAATTTCATTTTCTTGCCGGATGGGCGGATCCTGTGCCTCAACGGCGCAAACCTCGGTAAGGCTATCCAAAATCCGTTTAGTAGAACTCATTTCCACGCATCACCTGCCAGGCACCGCTGGATACGGTAATAATTCTTGGGCTATAGGCCAGTCATACGCGGACAAGCCAGTTCTGCAGCCAATCATCTACGATCCCTCTGCGCCGCAGGGACAACGCTGGTCAAGCAAAGGTATGTCTCCCAGTACGATCCCGCGGATGTACCATTCGTCTGCGACTCTCCTTCCTGATGGTATGTTGCCTGTGCTCAACATTCAACTTTAATTGATGTTCGTTGATCAGGTTCTATATTCGTTGCGGGATCGAATCCTAACGCCGATTACAACGTGGGCGTGATCATTACGTACCCTACGGAGTATCGGGTGGAGAAGTTCTACCCGTCATACTACAACCAACGTCGTCCGGAGCCCTATGGTATCCTGAAGCAATTGTCATATGGTGGACCATACTTTAATATCACCCTGGACTCAAAGGATCTTTACGGCGATGTCCAGAATGTGCAGTCAGCCAAGGTCGTAATAATCCGTACTGGATTCTCAACGCATGCGATGGTGAGTTTAGTTTGATGCAACAAATATCCAGATACTCAATGTTTCCAAACAGAACATGGGTCAACGTTATGTTGAGCTTCAGTCCAGTTACACTGGATATGCAAACAACACTGCTACTCTGCACGTTAGCCAACTCCCTCCCAACCCTGCCGTTCTCGTACCTGGACCTGCTCTGCTGTTTGTTGTCATCAGTGGCATCCCCTCCGTTGGTGTTCAAGTCATGGTTGGCTCTGGTAAAGTTGAGAAGCAAACCATCAACTCATCTGCCAGTCTTCCGGGATCGAGTGTCCTTCGGGCTTCGGACGGTAACGGTTCTTCGGGCGGGGGTAGCTCGAACAGTAACAACACCAAGAGTGCCGGTTTCTCAAGCAGAACTTATTCTTCGTGGACTGTTCTGTTCGTTATCTTCGCGTCATTTGTTTTTGCATCGCGATCGTGAAGTTCTCACTTCATGGCTTACTTGGTTATTTTTGGCTATGCCGTCTCGAATGGACTACTTATTGACTACCTTATTCGTTACATAGTATAAACATATTGCTCCTTAGTACAAATCAAGCAGGATCTCAAACGCCGTTAACGCCGATATAGGGGGTGGATTCGCCCTCCATAAACGGCAATCACCGCCTTGAGGAAACGTTCGTCACGACACCCATCACCACAACTGACTCCTACCATACGTTGTAGCAATGCAACAAAATCTGCGTCCAACCATGAAGAGGGCTCTTAGTATATCGGACACATTGCAGCCACGACTGTTGGGTCCACCGTCAACGATGCATGTCAAGCGTGTTACTCTGACGTCAAAGAAAAATTGGTGGATGGGTGCGTTGCCTTACCTTTACCAAAGAGAATTCTTCTAACATTGGTTGTCGCCTCTTAGTGGAGCTGAACAACCAGGAAGACGATAACACAAGTCCGTCTATCAACTCATTCTCGTCGGAGGAGACAGTGGTCGACGGCCTTGATTACCAGCAGCTTGATCCATCAGAGCCTCATAGAGCCCCGACGCCGCCGCCTTCACCGCCCATCTACAACCCTCCCCGCCATCCAACGTCCATCTTCTCGTTCCCGACGCCGACAGCATATTCGGCTCCACCCAACCCCACCGTCAACCTTTCGCCAGTTGCCCAGGGCTCAGCCTCAGTGCTCTTCAAGTGTGTCGTCAAGAAACCCGACGTTATCCAGCTAGAGATTAATGGAGAGATGCACTCCAACGCGTCTGACGTCACAGTACAGTTCTTGGCGGAGCTGCGTGTGTACACCACGGTAACGCGACATCGGAATATATGTGCTTTCCTGGGGGCGCTCGAGAACGTGGGCATGGTGCTGGAGTATATTGATGGGCGGACACTATACGACGTTGTCACTGCTCGCCCAGAGCTGACGAGGGAGGCCAAGGTCGATTACCATGACCAGCTGCTTGACGGCTTGACACATCTCCACTCGTTTGGTCTCAGCCACGGTGACCTCTCGCTACTTAACGTTCAAGTGACGGTTCCAGCGAACACAGTCAAGCTCCTCGATTTCGGTCGCTCTGTGTCTGCAGACTCGATATACAAATCCCCGGATGATGAACCTGTCGATCCATTTGATCTTGTGCGCCGGCAGTCCGGTCAAACCACAATACTTTCTTCTAGAAATATAGAGCAGATACATCCCGGTACGCGTCCGTTCTGTGCACCGGAGATCCTTAGAGGCGAGTGTCAAGACGCACTGCTGGCCGACGCATATAGTTTTGGGATCATACTCGTATGCTTGGACCGCTGCGAGCATGTTGACATCAAACCTTGGGAACAGAGAAAGGATTTCATTCCCAAAGACTTCTTCCAAGGCTGTGAAGTTTTCGAAGAGAGGGCGAGAGAATATCTTCGCAAGTGGAACGATTCCCGGCGAAGATTGGTGAAGACAGATATGTTCGAATGCTATCAGAATCAACCAAGTGTTTGAGGTCTGGGCTTTGGTATAAAAGTACGTTTTAATCTGGACTCTGGACTTGGCGCAGCCAATTGATACCCTCGAGGATGTACTACATCATACTGCCGTGTATTTGACATTATCTTTGACTTTTTCCACATTACCATAGCACATACATGCAAAGATATCGTAATAATTCGGGTTCCATTTGTATTCCTACAAGATGATTGTACAGTAGTTTCATTTAACGCTGAACGCCTCTCAGATGTCAAAGCGGTGATTTCCATTTAGAGAAGTTTGTCACTCTACAAAGTATCATCATGAGCGGGGCCGGTACCCAATCTCTCTTGTCTGACAATGGGTCTGCCCAAGTTACCCAAAATGATTGGGACTTAACGTTCTGAGGAAGGATCTTCTGGCTTCGATGGTGGGAACCGTGTCTTGGATCAAGTCAGATATTTTAGATGAAAACTTCAATCTTCCAGGCGTCATGGTTTATTTCCAAAGTTACGGAATGGATGCACCCAATTCATGCGTAACCATCAAAGGGTTTGGTCCAGTTGGATTTCCTCCGAGAACGAAAATGCTCAGGCTTTAATGACGTTTCGCCATTCCAACGACAGCCGCTCGGCATGCAAGGACTTTGACAAAGGATTAGTAGGTAGATCCTTGCTACAATATTCGAAGGTTTGATGCTGTCTAGGTTGAACTTCACAGCCCTGTCTGGGACCAGTGGATCCAGAAGACGTTTGCTAATTCAAGCGTGCGAGCGCCTGGGGCTCGACTCGTGCAAATGCGAACTCGACAAGATGACCATGCAATCATGGAGCTCCTCGTATGTCGCCGTAGAATCTAACAAGAAACCGCTGCTAATGAGCTCGCTCTTGTCAGCACGGCTGAGAACACCAATTGTTGCAGCTCATTGCAATCAAAGGGCAGTCAACTCTGTCATTTATTTTTTCTTCCAAGTCTACACAAATGACACAGCTGGAGTCCGTTGAAATAATACTCCCTTCTCAACTCACTGGTGGCGATGTGACTGTTGCGTATCCTACAATCCCCGAGACCTGCTCCGCTGCCCTTTTTCGACCCCAAAAAGGCCGTAGCGAGGCTTTGAGACACGCTAAGCCCCCAAAACGATCCTTCCGGAGTCATAGCCATCAACCTGTCCCGCAAGTACCAACCGTCGAGCTCGTTCAGTGGTTCATCATTAATAGGCCCCGACGATGCTCTCTTGTCCTGCATACGGTCTGTTGCTGATATCCTAGGGCTGAGGTTGCTCATTGCGAATGCTGTGCATGAAAGAAGCGAGTATAACTTCATTCAAGGGTGTGACGATTGGGAGAATGATGAGAGTGACGATGATGGCGCAGATGAAGATGACGAGGAAGACAAAGATGAAGATGAAGCTGACCGGGAAGCGACTGGAATTCGGAGCAGACGGGATATCTCATACCAGAAACCACGCTTCAATTCCGTCGCTGAGCTATTCAGCTTCATTGAACGACACCAGAATGACAACGAAACAGACTTTGGCGATGATGCTTACTTTTACCGTGGAATCGAAATAAAGCAAATGATTGACGTAGAGGGTATGCCTGCCACCATCGAAGATTTCGAGTTCCAAGCATCGGATATCATTCACGGCGCAGGATATGGACAAGGCTATCCCGAGTGTTGATCATGGTTATAGAAATGATCATTTCTAGGAGAACGAACATCGCGGTGAACCAGATATCAAAGAGTTTGGCGAACACGCGGTAAGTCCTCTAATTGATAAATGGTACTACATATCCTCATGCTTATCCAGATGGATGATAATTGCTTGTAAGCCGTTACTCAAAGTAAGTACTGGAAAGTCCTATTGAATGACCTCCCCCCCCCTCCCCCCGATTCTTTCTTCGCTACAACAGCAAAATCTGTGTGTCAGGTTTTGGCTGGATCTTGGGAGAATGCTATGGTCTACCGAGCATATGTTGTCATCCTCAGAAGCCTTCCTGGCATTCATTTCTGATATCACGAAGTTCACTGTCCAAAATTCTCAGCTTTCGGCCCTACGACATTTGATCACTGTTGCTCTAGTACCACGAAAATGCATGCCAGCCTTCTCATGGATGTCCTGACTCTTTGTGTTCAAACTGGACACACGCAACACTGTAGCATGGTTCTTGAGCAGATGATGTCTTGGGCAAATAGAAGCGATTCGAAAGAACTTCCATCTTGGCAGTATTGCAGAGATCTGGCCGCGCAGCTGGACGAGTTCTTTCGTTCACAACCGGTTAGTAGTATCGCCATCGATGATCCTTGGGCACCATTCTTTCGAGCCACTGCAGAGATAATCATCAAGAACAGTCGCCTCGATGACGTTAATTTGGGTATTATAACAGCCTCTCTCACGTGCGCTGGTGGTGTTCAGGCACTAATGCCTATGTAAGGCAATGCCCTTCCATTTACTATGTCTCGACTAATGTGCATCTTCGTAGTATGGACGCTGAAGGTATTGCTTATATGGCTGCAAAAAAGAAAGCCTCGGTGAAGAGGCTAGTCCTCCACATGCACGCCGAACTACTTTCTCCGGAGGCCATCGCTCAGGCCAAACAAGATCTTGACGAACTTTTCATGACATGCGTAAGCACGGTCATCGAACGCTTTGATTTCGCAGGCCTGTCGGACCTCACGGGCGATGGGGCAGTCAATAAAGTTATCGCGTTACTGAAATTTTCCTTTGACGCCGGAGTTGGCATACATTCCTACCATATCGTCTTGAATCAGCTTTTTTCCTGTGCCGGCATCACTCGAGGTCAGCTTCTTGAAACCTATCTCACAGACATCCTCGTTCCCTTTGTCGATCTTCTTCGTACTTTGTTCGCTGTTCTCGGCGTCTCTATAAAAGAAGGACCAATCAAGTTCTTCTGTTCTGTGGTTACACGCTTATTTGTCTCAAAGAGTTGTTGGAAAAAGGCCTGCAGGGATAAAATTTACAGATGCTACGACTTTTGGCTGTGGCTGCTCCGAGTGTGGATGTATCAAGTATTTCTTGCAAAGTGGTCCTACGGTCCCATGTGACATCTATGATGTTCAGGGCGTTCGCACTCATGCTGAGACAATGCTCCAAACCATCGAAGCCAAGAAGTGGGGTGTCGAATGGCGGACAATGAGGCACGAGGCCCCCAATACTACATGTAAGTGGTTTCGTTCTTTAACGTGTTCATATTCGATACTCAATAGATATCAGATATCCAAGCCAGAATGGCCGGCGTATAGGCAACAAGGCTTGAATTTGCTCGACAGCTTGGGAGATGTCAAGACTCAAAATACCATACTTGGGGAGGGTCACCCGTGGATTCTTGGTACTCTCAATGGCTCCGTAGGCCCCAAGGATGTGTTGTTGCCCATGGTGGGAGCCGTATCGCATTCATCCAATAGCTTGCTAGGTGTAAAAGACCTCTCGATGACTCGGGGGAAGGCGACGGACAGTCAACATCCAAAAAACAGAGGCCCAGTACCATTTCTCTTTAATGGTAAAAATTGCTTAAGGCTCAACCCCACAAAATGCTGTTCTGACTAGTGGTCTACTTGTCTTCCTGTTTCTTTCGATATTCTCTGAATCTCATATGCTCTGTCGTATTTAATGCTCAATCCCATGTTTTTCACAAGCACGAACCTCTGGATATTTTATTTCGCGGGACCTTCGCGTGAAGTTGTAAACCATAACCGCCAGAAGAAATAAGTACGTTGATCCTGTTGGGCTGACTTCGTGAAAACGAAGCCTTTATGTTTATAACAACCATCTCCCAAGCTCCCCCATTTTTGCTAGTGACATGGACCAACGCAGCTGAACCATCGTCCTTAGAATCTTCGGTCAATTTCACAGTTCTGAGTACAATCCGTCAATTGACGCTATTCAAACTAATGTACAAATAATCATTCGGTAGTGAAACATTCAGTGCTTGCATTCAGTACATTTGCAATTGTCTGGCGTGCAGTCGCAGCTATTAAATCGAGTTATTTCAATACCTACAGAATTGAAGGACGGTTTTACTCACGCAGTGCAACCGCACGACGGATTCGAGCAGGCCTGAGAGACAGGAACTTGGGTGGTCTACATGGGAGAGTGGACTCAGAACGTGAAAGAAATAAAGAGAAGATTTACATACGGTGTACATGTTGTTTGGAAGAAAGTTTCAAGTTTACTGAGCTTTCCTCCTTGGTGGGCCCTCTTTATATATCGTTTGACACCGTGGGTCTGTGGCGGTGACGCGGTCATGAAAACGTCATAGATTCCTCATGAGCCAAATATCTGTATTCATATATTCATACATGGTCACGCTTACAATACAAAAAAATTGGATGAGCTCATCGTTGTGAAACATCGGGTAAACGGAATTGCGAGTGGTAAGCCAAGATGCTCAGCGTTCAAACTGGAAACCAAGTTTGCATCCGAGACTTGACAGCTCCGCCACATCAAATTTCTCTTGCGAGCTCTCACCCGTCCGTGTGCGCCCTTTCTAGTCTGTCCGTCGACTGCATTTCTGAATATATATCCACTGTCGTCTTTGACCTCTCAGAGCACCAGATTGGTCCAGACACCTCTACTGTTTCTATGGAATGAATCATTGTCTGTAGTAGGCGGGAGTATTCTTGATCCTCCGTACAAGATTCTGAAAAGTCATGGTGACCTTCTCAATCTAGAGTATCCCCCCCCCCTGTGATTATAACATACAGCTGAGGGGGACCTCGAATAGTACCTTCTACGAGCCCTGATCCCAGTTTGGGCCAAAATTGAGCATTTTGACCTCGGCGGTCTTATCCGTGCTTTGTGATTCTTGAAACTTGAACAAAATGATAACGTTAAGTCATAGACAGTCAGTATCAACGGTACCTAGTCTACATAGACAGAATAAAAAATTCCGGCTTGGCAAGATAATAAGTCCTTCACTGTTGGCAGGTCTTATTAAATCGACTTTGTATGGGGCCAAGGGCAGGCCGACGGTCCTCTGACCTCCAATTTGGATCAAAATGGCAAAGGCTCGTCTAGGCTCAACGTTGTAACTTTGGTAATGTCCGAGCAAAATGAAAATTTTCGAATCAAGGTTTAAACGTTCATAAGTACAACATTCATAGAGCATTATCGTAGTGTTAGCTGAGCGGCGGCTTGGCAAGTTCCTGCTTCACCCTGTGGACGAAAACTAATCGCGTCGCTCGTTTAGGACTCCGATTTGATGACGGAACGAAATTTAGGGTGGTGGACCAATTCACTTTCGATCAGACGATCGGTCTGCAACATACCAGCTTCTCGAGCGTACCTTATTAGGACGGGAATTAAGTCTCCCCTGATGGACTGTTACTCTATGCAATAATATATCCTGGGAAAGAAAGATCTCCTGCAAACTCTACGTTTCGCTTCTACGCTCTTTACTCATCATCCTTCGCTGTGCCTGGGAAGCCCTGGCAATCGCAACTGCTAAAGAATGTCTGACTCCCAGACTATCAACATTGGCTTCAAAACAGAGAAGCCGTACGCGCCTCTAATCTCCGTTCTATAGCTCGGATCCAAGTTTATCCCCTAGGTTTGTACCGCTGTACGTGAGCAGAAGAGATACGATCCTTGGTTCTATCGTCTTTGGTTTTTTCGTCAGTTCGAGCTTAGATCCTATATTATGTTTTATTTGACTCTTTGTTTTAGCTGGGCTTTGTTATCGAAGTTACATGGCGTGCTGTGTTAGAGACTAAACGAGCGAGCAGAGTATGATTTTTATTAGTCCGTTTTTGAGCTGGCCTTAACGTTCTGAATTTACAGGTCTCGGGATATATTGTCATGCTCTGGCTTGCAATTACTGCGTATGTCTTCTCTATCCCGCAGTCATGGAATTCTGACATTCGGAAACCAGGAACACAACCTATGCGGTGAGCTTTTATCGCGCCTTAACATTGACAGGTGCTCAAAGCTCTTTGCCGAAAGGTCATAGCTTGGTGTTATCTGTAAGCATTCCCTTTCAACCACTGCTCTACTCCATGCAAACTCACTCAATTCGTAGGCAGAAGTTTATCCCCCCTAATATTGGGGTTTTTCTTACTTGCATTATTTGTTGGATTTTCCAAGCAAGTGTCGTTGTACGGTATTAGCGTCGCGCTAACGTGCTGTTCTGAAGGTTCAATGTCTGATGCTCATCATTGTCAACCGATTGTGCATCATAATTCAGAAACCGTCTGAGAGAGTGAGCCTTTTCTTTTCATCCGGTTGGCGGAGCTCACAGTGTCGGTCCTTTAGCTCAAGCTGAAGCTTGTGGTTGTCGGCATTGTCTCTTTGATATCAATATCTACGTCTTGCATATGTGAGTAGATTCCTCATCCTTAAAAAGCACCGTACGATTGAGTGCTATTACACAGGGATACCCGCTCAGTTACAGATTAATTCCCACTATATGAGTGTACTTTCTTTCTCCCTTTCGCCTTTCGAATGACGCTGACCGGGTATCTTGCAGTTGAATCACTGGTGAGTGTCATACCCGCGGCCTGACCGCCGGATACTCATGTGTCTCTTCAGGTGGGACAAGTTTGAAAAGGCTATCTATCTTCGTAGGTGCCCGAGAGCTTCTTGTGCACAGAGATTCACCGTACTTTACAATTTAGTGCTGGATCTTTCGTTGAACGTTCTCTTCATTCGCATGGTAAAAAGCCGCCTTGTCGACCACGGTTTGACAAAATACGATAGAGTCATGCGGTACGTTACACTTTGAACGTCGTATATCTACGTTTGATGATTTCTCGGAAAACAGCTTCAACCAGCGTATCATCGTCGTTTCCATTGGGATGGATATTCTTCTCATGATCGCCACGACTCTTAAGAATCCCTTTGTGTATACCCAGGTATGGTAGAAGTTGTTGTGAATGAGGAGCTCTCTAACTATCATTCGTCAGTTTCATCCTGTCACGTACATCGTCAAACTCCAGATCGAGATATCCATGTCGCGTCTTCTCATCAAGGTCGCGCGTTCAACCGGTATCAACGTATACAACGAAGAGAAAGGCTACTCGGATAGCATCGGTACAACTAGCCAAACCCAAACACAGAGGACACAGGGAACGATGTACGTGTGTTTTTCTCTGTAATTCATTGTCTAAGCCTGATGTCGAGTTTGGCAGCGCTGTCAATATCACGACCCAAGTTCACACCCAGCATGACCCCGAAATACAGGAGGAGTATGGTCAAGCTCCTTTAATTATTTTCGATTGACTTCTCTCTAATCTTGAGCTAGAAATGTCTGACACTCATCACAAGGACGATCAGAGAGATGAAGCATTCCTTAGTTTGTCATCTGTAGACAAGATAGCTGGTGACGAGAGGTGTGCAAATGATAGTGATTCACTGTAAAACGTTCAATATATATTACCCTCGCATTAATACGTAGAATAACCAATAATCCCGTATATTGATCCTGGATTGTGATGCCCTCAGTAAGACACTGACAGAGATACCGGCTAATGTACCTCCTACGCGGAGCCAAATCGTGAGAATATGCACGAAGTGTCAGCATCGTATCCATCGCGGCCGTTGATATATAGGACCTTGTCACGTTCAGCATACGAACGTGCTGCACCTCGTGTGTAGAAAGTGGACCGGAGTGAGCGATCATCTGAGGCTTGCGACCCACCTCCTTTAGTGTCGGACAAGAACACAAAAAGGGACTCACCAGGATCACTTCTGTTGCGAAACTACTTTTTCAATTTCTTTCAAGACCTTGTCAAGACCCTCGTTCTCCCAGAACGAACGTTCACTCGATGATAGTTTTCGCAGTACATAGTCAGCTGTCTCAGACTCGTCACGTCCGATTCCTGCTCGGAACTGCCAAAACCTGTTTTCGCCGCCCAGAGCTGCCATGATACTTTTGAGGCCGTTGTGTCCGTTTGCTGAACCTCCGAGGCGCGCCGAGAGGGTTTGTGGTTTGTGAGAAAGCGAGTCAGAAATGACAATCATGGATGAAGGTGAAGACACGGTTGCGCGATAGGCCTCGACGATTGACGGTCCGGATATATTCATGAGTTTTTCTGTGCAAAGTGCGATGGGTCACATTGTCGGAATGCAAAGTAACAAACAACACGTACTTGACTTGAAGAGCGTCAGTGCGATGGGTCTTCCTGCAAGCAAAACAGTCCCTTGGCCGGATATTCCACGACGGTTGGAGGATAGATGTATGCCGAGCCTGCTAGCCAGCGCATCTACCACGAGCTGGCCAACGCTAACAAACGTGCCGCGGTCAGACAAACGTGTGGGGATCACATTGGACATGTAACGCACCTATGCCGGGTAAGAGGCATCGGAAGGTTTCCCAATCCGACGATAATAAGCTGAGGTGCCCCGAATGTCATTTTGGCTAAGCAGGAGAGTGGCGCAAATTCCAGTTCTGCAGCCGTCCGTCCCCTCTTATACGAATCAGAATGCACAGGAATCACACTGCCATTGTTAAGCAGGTCCAAGTAAAAGGATACGAGAGTGACTAAAGTTGGTAAGATTCATTTTTTTTTTGGTTGACGGGCGCTGATAAGGTGTCACGCAAGGAACATGTCACAATGACGGCATGTTGGAATTTTTATTCCGAAACGAGAGGCGTGGGATCTTTTTGTGTCCAGAGGTGTTCCGGTATTTATGGCCATGTCTTGTCCAGCCATGCTGGGTTAATCATTTACTACGACTACAGCGCACCGACTTCTCTTTTTCTCCCGCATTTCATTCCATGAACCCTACTTTCGATGACAGCCAGCTAAGGCATCGGCGACCGTCAATGTCGTATGTTCCGACTTGCAGACCTTTGCCGTATTCGTTGGACGCGCTGGACGTCTCGCCCAACTCACCTACTCAAGCTATGGCATCTTTGCGTTTTCTCGTCCTGTCATATTTGGCCGAGCTTGAAACCAGGTTATCACAGCTGGAATCCCCAGATTTGGAGGCTTGGATGGTCAAGGGAGAGGTCGCCATGGAGGATGCCAACCAATGGGTTAGTAACACGCTGGAACTCCTAGATTCTATTCGGGCAGATGTCTCGTTCCACCTGCCTGCGCTGTCTGTCGACAGCTTTACGTCCCACCTCCCCGATGTACCGAGCATCCGTTCACATCTTCCTGACATGTCTGATATGCACATGCATCTACCCGACTTTAGCCTTGCGGACATGCGTGCCAGGCTCGAGGATATCCGCGCCCGGTTTCACGACATAGACTTTGATAGACCCGTCAATTATCTTCCCATACTCTTAGAGCATTTACATGGCCTGACTTTGCGCCTCTCATCAAAAGAGCTACCGTCCGGCTTCGATATTGGCTTGGCCGCGCTTAGTTCGCGTCTTACAGACTTTCTCGACTTCATATTATCTTCGGATCTTGTCCCTTCAGTTCCACATATGATGGATGGTGAGGATTTGATGGGTCGGGCAGCGATGGAAGTGGTAGAAGTTGCGAGAGCCATTAAGCATTCCTTCGAGGGCGTCCACCTCATCCAGTACTCTGACCTTCCCAGTAAATGGCGTAATAATCCATTCGTTACCCGAGGTTATAGGTGGGTGTTGTTTATTCCAGATTTCGGCGTGTGCTGATCTTCCTTAGATTTATACCTATAGAAAGATGGCCTCTGCTCGTCTTGTCTCTATTCACATTTCATAACGAAACATGTACGTTGCTTCGCAAGTTAGACCTCTTCTGTGCTTATGATTCTGCTTCAGTAAATATACACACGCATTTAGTTCCCTTCCTTCTCTGGTTGATCAGTTCCATACCATTCTTCAGTACTGAAATCATTGACACCCCTGAGCGATGTTTCATGGCGTTCGCTCTCCTCTGTTTGTTCTGCAGCTCGGTGTGGCACACAATGGCGGGTTGTGCTCACCACGGCAGTATGGAGTTCTGTGCCAGAGTGGACTATGTCGGGATCGGATGGTTCGCATTTTCTTTATTGTATCAGTGGAGTACCGCTCACTTTGGCGATCAGGCTCATCAGTGCGAGTGTGGGGACAGTCGTCTGGTATGGCTTCCAGTGCCATCCAGAATTAGGTCGATTTTTCTTGTCACTATGCGCCGTTACAGGGTTGGCTGGAAACGTGTTTCCGTTCATGGACTGGTTTAATCAATACGAGAATCGGGTATGTTATATTACATTCCGCAATTAATCGCTTCCTGACGCGTTTTGTAGGGTTGGCGCATAGCCTTCTTCTTGTCCCTTGCATTTTCCTCGCTCGCGCCTTTGGCTGCACTCGCAGTGTTACATTCACCACGTCAAATGATGGATTTTATATGTGAGGGTTCTACATATTGCCTGCCCTAAGTCGCTAACGACATGACAGCGCCTGTTGTGCCTTCATTAGTATCATACGTTGCAGGATTGGTATTCTATGCGACGCATGTACCGGAGCGGTTCCTTACTGAGAAATGGCGTCAACGCCTTGATGTTGTTGGTGGAGGTCGGTTGGCTTTCGTATCCAATCAGGAGAAGGTGCTTACATTCATTCAGGATCTCATTGTATCTGGCACTGTTTCATCGTGCTTGCCGTAAGTCAGCATAAATCGGCAATACGTGTTATGAAAGACGGGATCCTATGTACTCCGTAGATAATCACTGCTCCTTTTGAGGCTGAATACATCACTATGGGTGACCTTTGGACCCACAAGTCGCAAACGGGAGTGAACCATTGAACAAAGAGACGCATCATTGCTTCTGCTCTACCTTGCGTCTGGACGACCCTTGACCAGGCAAATGCGGTTTTCTCTCCTTCGTCGGTGAGCCGGCTCGCCCCTCTGCCTTAGATTCCTTTATTCCCAACTGGCAGCATTCCATTTGATACGTCCTTCCTTACCTCGGAATCGCCAGCCCAATTTTTGCCAACTAATTCCCAAACCAAACCTATTCCGACATCTCAGAAGCTTGCTGTAGTCAACCGGCGCATCCTTGAACTGGAATCTGAAATCGCCTGGCTCAGCTCAGAAAATGACCACGTCAAAGCCGCAAACAATACCCTCAAGTTCGACATAGAGCTTCTCGAAGAGCAACTTGGGTTTTTTGAGAATGCTGAAAGGCCTCTCCCCTCTGACGTGCGGCTCATCACAAAGGAGGCGTTGAACGTGCTGAAAAATGAGGCGATAAAGTGTGTTGAAATGGAGAAGCTGGTGAAGAGCCTGATTGATCTCGGTCTGCAAACGGAGGAGCCTGTGTTTCCTCGAGTGTATCGGGCGGTGTTGGCTGGTGAATCACACAACGAGGCCGTCGTAGAGGCTATCCGAGACGCTGCCTCCAAGCCCCCGAGTCCCTGGTCGAGCATCATTCCTGCAGTTATAGGCCCGCACACCAATGATCAGTATATCTCTGCCCTTAACATGACGCTCCAATGTCGACGGGAGAACCGCGAGCTCCAGGCAGTCAAGAAGTTCTGGAAGGGCGTGGCGAAGGAGGATGAAGCCAATGCGGACCTCGTTACCCCCTCTGCGCCGACGCTTTCTGCTGTCCAGGTGGCGCTTAGCAAGGAACGCCAGTATGCTGTAGATAATCTCCTCACCAAGTTACGGGATGGTACTATTCCCGTTCGCAATCAGGTCCTGCGCCAGGCGGGGGTGCAGTCAGAGCGAACTACGTCAAATGTTACTGCGAACGAATCTGGCGTGGCCACTGGTCTACTGTTCTTGCATTCTGAGCCTTCGTCGTCCTTGGATAACTCTGTCTCTCAGTCTTCTTCGTCTGGTCCTATTTTGGCTCCTCTGGCGAGCCAGAAGTTCAAAGAAGGGCTCATTGCTTCTCACTTGTTGGAAATCCTGGGTGTTGCGCAGGGTAGACTCCAGGCTGGTAAGGCCAGATAGAATGAACTTTGTTCTTCTACAGCTCCTACAGAGCTTGTATTTATACTCTCCAGGCTTATATCTAGAATTTACTACAACTTTCTCTTTCTCTTGAGCTTACTTATCAACTCTCAGCATGATGCCGGATTGCCCTTCCTAGAACTTTCCGGCAAAATCCCAACATCACTCTAGTGAATGATTCTCTATTAGTTCTATTACCACCTCGTACAAGCAAGTGTGCCCTGTATTGGCGAGCCGCGATCTGAACCGTCCAAACGCCTCAGCTACAAGACCATCAAAGAAGGCACTTGGAAAGCGGAAGGTAGCGGAAATCATTCAGGTCACTCCTGTCAGTGTCTCATATTCGTGTTGCGAGTATATTGACAGTTTCCATGCAGATGGATGCAACACTGGAGCCTGCTCCCATTGATGACACAGCCGAGTCGACTAGCAAGTTTCAGTACACTCTACCTGATTTTCCACACAACTTCTCCTCTGGTTCCTCCAAGCTGGACGTATTTGGTTCATATACACGTTCTTCAACTCATACCAGTCCTATTAGGGAAGGAGGCACCTCAAGCAATTGTGGTGGAACGACGTTCCGAAATGCTACACCAGATACGACACTCATTAGTCTCGCAAATTCTTCGTCTACTCGCGATGACGCAGATACCACATTAGTGGAAGATACCAACAACAGTACTGCCAATATCAAATTATCAACAACACCCTCACCTAAGAAATTACTCCTACCTGTGCTGAAGAAAGCATCGCGGCGTCTGTCGGTCACACTATTTCCTACGAAGCCCCAGAGTCCCGCTCGTCCTAGTTCGCCCTCTTCCTTGTGCAAACCAACGATATCGTCGATGCAAAAGACAGTATCCCCGGTCTCGAAGCCAATTCCCAGACCCATGAAGCCCACCTTTCCCTTACGCATCAAGAAAAAGGTCAATCGTGCCGGCGCTGCGCCACCAGTTCCTGAGCTGCCGAAAGATGGGAGGTTGAGGAAGTCGGTGAAATGGCTGAGTAGGATGATGACTGGTTCATAATTTTTTTGTGTTCGTGGAGTAGACAGACTAATAATCATAAGAGGTACATTACATTACATTGAGCCCGATTACGAATCATTCAGAGTTCACATGAATGAGCATATCAGACTCCTTGATGTCGGCAACCTGTGCCGGGAACTTGCTTAACACCAGGCCAGAGGGTGCTGCATCGTTATACTTTGGCGCCTACGTCCTAGTCCCAGCCATCATCAGTACCATGCATCGCAATACGAGAGCAGAGCTGCCTAACCCGAAAACCTGTCAACCCTTCTTGCGTGGCAGCTGCAGATTTGGCGATTCATGTCGACTCTCTCATCAGGAGAGAGGGACAGGATCATTACCCGCGACGAGCAGCAAACCAACCTTGTCCCCATCTTCACCGTGTATCTTTTTCGTTCAGGGTATGTGCAAGAATGGTGGATCTTGCACTTTCCTCCACGTTGGTCCCAGCGTGGATCCGCGGCCGATCGTCAGAGGTGGTGAGCCTGCCAAAGCACCGTCTGTCTTTGCGCCATGCAGGTTTTTCCTTCAAGGGAAGTGCACGAAAGGCCAGGAATGTCCTTTCCCTCATCCAGAGGGGCATAATCCGGTATGCGCGTTCCATGCACAGGGACAATGTCGCTTTGGGTCCAACTGCTCGTTCAGTCACGACTTGATGGATAAACGTCGGGTGCCTATCGTACTGGCCCAAAGAACCATCGCGCCGATCCCAATCGTGATTGGCCCCGGCGTTACCACGGAGAAGACTACGACCTTGGGCGATGTGGCTGTCCGAGAAGATCAAGAGATTGAAAGCGAAGTTGTTGAAGAGGCGAGTACTGGATCTCAGAAAAAAAAATCGCTGACGGTAAACATTTAGGCAGCTGAAGAAGACGACGATGAACTAGCCATGGGAACAGAAATGCAGCGCAGCTTTTTCCATTGCAAAGCACTGTTTGGTCCTGGTGCGAACATCCAAAGTATCACTACTTCCTTCGAGTCACGTACAGTCGTGATATCCACCATCCCAGACGATCAGACCCAAGGCACGCTTATCGCCTTGCTGGAACCGTTCGGTCGACTTAGCAATATAGCAGTCACAAAGGACGCGGAGGCCGCCACCGCGCGCGCAACTTTCTTTACCGTCGCGGAAGCTTCCGCGGCAGTGCGTGGACTCGCAGGCTCTGGTATGCAGCTGAAGATGGATTTGAAAGCGGTAGAGAGCGGGGCGGCAACTTTGCGGAGCACAAAGGTCAAAGTAGCGTGGTTCGCTCCTCGTCGCATAGGATGGGCACATTATACAAGGATCACGGATGCAAAGAAAAACGCAGAGAGACTGAACGGATCTACATTCAACGGTTACAAGCTGGAGGCCAAATTCCAAACGCCATCCATACATCAGACGACGTCCTTCTCGGTCGAGATCAAGGGTCTTCCTATGAACACGATAGACTTTCATCTGCGAGAGTACTGCGGGAATCAATGCAAGTCTGTTATGTTGAAGGAAGCCGCGTATGATCGGCAGAGTTCCCTTTTGGATGTCGAGGAACAGCTCAAGCAGTTCGGGACTTTGGACAGCTTTGATGTGTTGCCGGAGGACAAACAAAAGTCAAAGATAACTGCATTCGCTCAGTTCATCAACCCCGACGATGCGGCGAAGGCTGTGGAGCAGCTTCAGAAAAAGCCGCAGTCATTCCTGAATCGTTCTCCCATGTGGCTGGAACTCATTCATGCCGTCAAGTACAACATTCCCTATCTATTATTCGTAGTCATCAAGGCGTCATTGGAGGAACAGAAAGAGGACCACCCCAACTGCAATCTCAAATTTTACGATCGGAACGCAGCGGGGGAGACCCTCAACATCGTTTGTGTCAGGCTCTTCAGCTCGGATCCTAAGTCACTAGGACAGCTCAAGGATAAAATTGAGAAGATCCTTGATGGTAGAAAGCTGATGGACCGAGATGGAAAGATTATGTGGGACGACTTCTTCATGAATGAGGAAGGGAAGCAATATTTGGAGGAGTTCAACGATGCACATATTTTGTGTGATTCTAGGAAACGGGAAATCCACGTTTACGGAGATGCTGCGGAGTCGGTGATTAATAGTTTAAGGATTAAATGCCAGGGGTTGAAGTCCGCTCCGAATATCATCTCCCTTGACCGCGCCATGCTGAGTCATTTGATCAAGGGTGGCTTGGAGATCATGCAGGAGAGATTTGGTCGGGGAAACTGTTTCATCGACTTCGCGAAGCGATCCTTAATGGTCAAAAAAAGCGTGGATATCGATCAAGTACGAAAGGCTTTGGCAACTTTAGACCACAGAGACGGGGAAAAGGCAAGTGACGATGCTTGTCCGGTTTGCTGGTGCGAAATTACGAATCCAATCACGCTCAAATGCGGGCATTCGTATTGCAAGGAGTGCTTGCAACATATGCTCCTCACTAATGACTCAGCTTGCCCATCTCCGCGTTGTGTGAAGGAAGTCGATGGACACTTATGCGACGAATATGTTGATGTTGGCATCATACGGAAACTGCTTTCGCCTGAACAAGAAAACCGCTTGCTCGAGGTGGCCTTCCTTGCACACATCCACGTAAGACCCGAAGAATTCAGGTATTGTCCAACACCTGATTGCCAAGTCGTATATCGACCTGCGAACGAAGGGACAGTCCTCGTTTGTCCGTCATGCTGGGGCAAAATATGCGCCTTTTGTCATGTCCAGTTTCATGAGGGATTGTCATGCAAACAACATCGTGAAAACATGGAGGGCGGATATGAAGCATTTCAGAGGTGGAAGGCTGAACATGGAGCCAAAGAATGTCCGAACTGCAAGGCTGTGATAGAGAAGAACGGAGGTTGCAATCATGTGACCTGCGCACGGTGCCACACTCATATCTGCTGGGTCTGTATGAAGACTTTTAGGGAGTCTGATGGATCAAGCGGAGTGTATTCGCATCTCAGAAAGGAGCACGGAAGTATATCCTGAAGGTTTGATATCCTTTGTATGAGAGAACGACATCACGAATAACTATTGATGAATGATATTGATAATACTAAGAGGATCTGATACACATACAACAAAAACATTATGCGGGTCTCGTTGGCCGGACATCTGGACCCTTCAACCGCTCCTCAACGAGTTCGCTGAATTCCTCCCGCAAAATTGCTTCTCGCCTCTCCCTTTCTTCTCTCTGCAGCTTGAGAATGCCTCTCTTTTCTTCGGCACTGATGACCTGATTTTCCTTCCGCATACGAACGGCATTCATGCGTCGATGACGACTACCGCTCATCACATAACCAACATCCTCGTACTTGGCAATTTCGTCGGACGTAAGACCAATTTCACCACGACGAGGGATACGGGCATCTGTTCCACCCTCCTGTAAGAAAGCAGCCATAGCGCTACCTTCACCCCGAAGCAGTGCACCCCCGTAGGAACGCTCGTCGAATTTCTTGGACGAATTGGGTTTGGCAATCGGATGAGGTCCGACTTCTACATCGGAATCGTCATCTCCCACCTGTGGTCCACTGATGTCCTTTGGTGCTGAGGCGCTCGTGTCTCGCACCGTGACGGTAGGAACGACGGGAGACTTGACGACCCATTCCTCTTCGTCAGATACGTTTCGGTCAGGGCTTGGACCACGACTTCCGCTGCGTCGTCGGCGTTCTACACTAAAACTCCTACTCTCAGAGTGCCTTCTCCTATGCCGCTTGCGATCTTTTTCGTCGTCATCCTCGACCTCCTTCGACCGTCGAGAGCGGGAACGATGTCGTCTACTCTCTTTTTTCTTCTCTCGCTCCTTCTCTCTTTTTCTTTTCCTCTCGCGTCTGTTTCTGTCTTCTTCCTCAGACGAATTGTCTGTAACAGAGGGTGACCTCGCGCGCTTCGACTTTCTACCGGATTTTTTGCGTTTCGGCGACCTATCCAAGTTTATGGGACATTGTTGACTTATACTATGAAAGTGGAACTTACAGTGAGCGTGCGGGGGCCTTCGGCGATGGGGGCCATACATTAATAGCCATACTCTCCCTCTGCAACCTACGACTGTAACATACTCGTCAGCCGCAAAACTAGTGAAGGATCCAGAGGAGACCGACCTTTCCATAAAATCAGCGCCTCCGATTTTTGAGCCGCCAAAGAACTTATTGTCTCCTCCACCTCGACGAGAAGGATACATATTTTCGGGTTGCCTCCATGGCGCCTCACGAGTCGATTCTGGTCGCCTGTAGTCATCATATTCTGGGCTTTCTCTTCGCTCCGCGTTTCTTCTTCTATTGCCGCGATGTTCATATTCGTCTCTTTTAGATCTGTCTTCGTACCTTCCTCTGTCTTTGCGATCCCGGCTTCGGCTTCGTGTGGGTGTCGGACTACGGCGATAACGATGAGGGGACGGTGTGCGACCTCGACGACGGTCGTTAAGAGACGGTTCAGGGTCTTTGGGAACGAGTCCCATCCGTGAGGGATGTACCATTGCCATTGCAGCAGTACTGGTGGTAACAGTTTGATGGTGAAAGGGCGTGAGAAAAATGAAGGTCTCGGTCCCGGCCAGGTCGCCCGTTTTAGCAAGCTCCTTGCCGCCAGCTCTCCCTCGCGCTGCCTCTCGTCTATTAATGGTCTGTCGCCAGTCTCGACAGCCTGCTTTGAAACTCTGGAAATGGTCGATCTGCCTCTCTGTATTACAATTTAAGCTACTTGAAATTCTTCCGTCTATAAAGCTTCTGGGACTGCGCAATCATCGATATCTCAAAGTGGCTTACTAGTTGCTGCACAAAAATCTTCCTATGTTGACAGCTTCGCAAAATTTAACAATAGATGACAACGAATTTTAAGCGAGCCTTCACCCGCTCGGCTGATATAGGACGCTATGCCGTTGTGCTGTCCTCGCGTCTCCGCCTGAGTACAGCCAGAAGGGATCATCTCCAAGGATTCTGAGGCTTTTTTTGCGGCGCCAATTCAGCGATTCACAGATGATACGGGACGCCACGGTAGAGCTCAGTAGTCGTGCTATTTTGGGGTGCTTTGGTAACAGTTTCTCATCTAAAATCTTATTCTCCTTTGCGCGGCCTCTCGGGAAAGCAAGCGCAAGAATACGCCCCGTTACCTTGATCTTGACTGTGATCACGCGATACCTAGGTGATCTGCACCGTAACACGTTCCATATGCTGCAGGGCATCGGTACAGAGAGTTTTCCTTCTTCAAGGCATCTGGTGTTCCCGGGAGTCAATTCAGCAAAGCTTCCTCTATCTGATCCTCTGGGCGGATTTCTTTTGGTTTCGTCTCTTGTGGTCTACCGGACAGTACCTTTGCGGATCCTCTAAAATAATCTAATGCCACCTCTCTGGAGCCGCTGGCGCCGCTTCTTTTATCGGCTGCTCATCCCCGTGAGCGCTTGGACCATCCAGGACCATGAAATGGAAGATTAAATAGGTCACAAACAGATACCCCTTCTGAAGCCTCTTCAGTTTTAATAGCTGCTCTGCTGGCTTCCGCGCAATGACTGCATTCGATTAATCGATTCGGCTGCTAGGGCGAGCGGTAGAAGCCATCTGGATCGCTCACGATTTGCGACTGGTGTGGCGCATAAGGCGGTCACAATTCACTTTACCCTTTTATGTACCCCATCGTGCTCATGCTGCTTCAGCTTCATTAAAAGCCTGTCTGCATTAACTGGACTGGCAACGCACCCATGGCTCTGCCCATCGTTCTCAGTTTATGTTTCTTGGTCTTCGTCAAGGGACAGCCGTCGCCCAATGTACAGGCAAGAATTTCACAAGCTATCGCCAATGCAGCCTCCTCCTCCTCAAAGCCGGACTACGCATCGTTCGTGAATCCTTTCATTGGTACAGGTAATGCTATCCCTCAGGCTGGCGTGTGTCAAATGCTCATAGACATACACAGACAATGAAGGCGATGTTTGGTAAATTCTCGGTAACCAGAGGTCGTAATTAGAACTGATAGTTTCCTCTAGTCCAGGAGCGTCTATTCCCTTTGGCGTGGTATGAATGAACAGTTCTGATGCAAATCCTTCCCATGTAATTCCGCCAACTAGGCCAAAATCACGACCGATATGACAGGCTATGCCCCTGCTGGTAAGGCCTTATTCTGCTGAATGAAATCTGCGTAGCACTAATGTAACTTCAGGCTATATTACGGATGTTACCCAACAAATTAAAGGCTTTAGTCCTCTTCACGACAGTGGTACCGGTGCATCTGGTGGGTATCTTTTTTAATCATCCTCCGTGACGACACCAACCAGTGATTAGGTGACTATGGCTTATTCGAAGTTATGCCGTTGCTCTGTCCCGATGGTTTCCAGACCTGTACAACTCACTTCGATAAACGGTTACGTTCGCGTTTACCTAATACCGACGGTTAGTATATTGAATACACGTTCATCGAGTTCTGATACTGATGGTTTCCAGAGGCTACTCCCGGTTACTTTGCTTTGACGTTGGATAATAATATCACTATGGAAGCAACAGCCACCCGACGTGCTGGATTGGAGAGGTTCACATTCCCGTCTGGGTCTAAGCCATACTTTGTTATTGACCTAGCGAACGACAATGCTGGAACGTTTGCGGGTGGGTCTATGAATATCGATCCTGAGAAAGGACGCATCACGATTGGCGGTCATTGGGGTCCAAGGTCTTTAAAAACTTTTCTGTTAGGCATGCATGTATACTAAGTCCAAACATTTTCATACAGTTTTGGCCCTTCAAGCTTCCACTACCAAGCGTTTGGCTGTTATGACATACTTAACGGCGGTCAACAGAAGCTAGACGAGTATGGGATCTGGACAGCGGATGAGTGGGTATAATCTTATATGTTGGTGGTACCATGCTGAAATAGCCTTCCTAGTTACGGTATGGATGCCAAAGGCCTCGGTCAAACCCACCTCAACCTCTCTGTGAATCTGATTGGCGGATCTATTTACCAATCCGGCGCATTGTTCTCGTTTGCCGATACCCCAGAGACTGTACATTTCCGCGTAGGCGTGTCGTTCGTATCTGCGGAACAAGCGTGCGCCAATGCCGAATCCGAGATCGGTTCAGCCTCCTTTGACGACATCCTTGCCCGGGCAAAAGCGTTGTGGAATGAGAAGTTGAGCAAAGTCGAGATCGACATTGCGAACACCCCGGCGAATATCACTGAAATGCTGTATACATCACTCTATCGGGCTTCTTTGACTCCGGTGGGCTCAATTCTAGTTCAATTCTAAGTTTCTTTTGCCCATCTAAATTCTTCGATAGAACAATGCAACCGGAGAAGGACAAGGCTTGTTTACCGATACCTCATCCTACTACTTCGATTCTTTGTACTGCAGGTGAGCCGCATCTGGTCCACTTCCTTCTCTGCTGCATTTTGATGATCAAATATCTTAGCTGGGATACTGTAGGTCCCCGTCGTGTCGAAATGACGAGAGGTTTTGATGTCTTACTTAGTTCCGAACATTTTACCCCCTCATGGCGCTTCATTCACCCGTGGAATACGCACAAATCGTAGACGCCTACATCGACGGTTGGCGCAAGAATGGATGGATGCCCGAATGTCGCACAAATAACGTCCCAGGATACACTCAAGGCGGTCAGTCTATTGTCGTCTTGTAACTTTTAATGCTCACGCTCCGAACGTTTCAGGCTCTAGTGGGGACATCATTGTCTCTCACTTTGCCATGAGCTACCACAACGAGGCAGAAAAGCTAGGCATCGATTTGAATGAGCTATTCTCCGCCATGCTTACAGACGGTGACCTTAATCCTCCGGAGTGGAATATCCAAGGGCGACAAGTGAATGTCTACAAGTAAGTCCCATCAGAGCTGTTTGAAGGGAGATGTTGACATTATATAAGGCAGTATGGATACGTTCCTTTCGGTGTCCTTGATCCATCAAGTACCGGCCGGCAAACAAGGGAGGCAAGCAGGACACTCGAGGCGAGTTGTATAACATATCATTGTTATTGATCGCAGCTGATTCCCTTTCTTAGTACGTATTCGAAGATTTCGGTATACGTCAAGTAGCTCTCCTATTAGGAAATTCCGAGGAAGAAGAACGATACTACAACCGGTCATTGGTACAACTTCTGCTTTTGCCTCAAAGCCTGTCGCTTATTATTCCCAGTTCTACCGCAATGTTTGGGACCCTACGGTTACAAGCGATGGCTACACAGGATTCATGCAGAAGCGTGCAATGAATGGAACTTTCATCTACACTGATCCCACCAACTGTTCGCCGAAGGATACGAGCGGGCGATCGTGCTCCTTCCAAGAGGACAATATCAACGGTTTTTACGAATCTTCTTCTTGGGAGTACAGTTGGTTTGTCCCCCATGACACTGCCTATCTAGTTAGCCTTATGGGCGGAAACGTGACCCTTTTCTCTTTCTTTGAGGTAGTTGCATTATACTAATGCTTTGGCCTGCAGGAAACCTTCCTAAGCCGTCTTGATCACTTCTTCAATGTGAGATTTCATTTTGTCGTATCGCTTGGAGCACTGGAATAACGTACCTTTCTCTAGACTGGATATTACCTTGCGGGCAACGAACCATCATTCCAGGTCTGTTGACTCACCATTGCGCCTCTTCGTGAAAGTGACCGTTTCCTCTCCAGACACCTATTGGCTACCACTACGCTGATAAACCAGCACAATCCGTCGACCGAGTGCGACAAATCGTATTCCAAAACTTTGGGATAAGTATGTCATTCGTCGCGCCTAAACGTTCATTGATTTATTGTATTATAGCTCCCGCCGGTTTACCTGGCAATGACGACCAAGCGGCTATGGCCTCCTTATTGACATTCCATCTTCTGGGCCTTTACCCGGGTTAGTTGCACCTCATGGATCATCTTTTTCCAGCTAACAATGCCAAATTTTCAGTTCCATCCACGACTGAATTCCTGGTCCTCTCACCCTTCATTCCCAAATACACCATTCACAACTCCTACCTCAACACCAGCACCACGGTTACTGTGGTCAACTATGACGCAAACTCTGTGCAGCAGACCATCCCCTCTGGCACCTCTGCGTATGTGGCGAATGTCACTGTTAACGGAGAAGCAACCACGAGGTGCCACTTCGACTTCTACGACACGTTTAGAGTTGGTGGCGACATAGTCATCACTCTAACAGCGGATAAGGATAGCGCAAACAGTTGCGAGGGTTCGCTGCCCGCTAGTCTTTCTGCTGAAGGTTTCCTTAAGCCGAGATAATCCCCTTGTTTTCAGGGTTGGTATGTATCTCCATTTGTCAATTTCTTTCATACGAATCTGAACGAGCGAAGATTGAATTTACAGTTGGTAGCAGTAATGTATGTATATCACGACGTATCCATGTCTTGAATAATAGGTCAATAAGATGATCCTTTGGTTGTATGGAGACACCCACCTATGTCCACATCTGTGAGGAATAATAGTCTTTCACTTTCTGGAAGCGCCTTCCAAAAGCTGTCAAGTACGTTGGGTGTCAAGATGAGCTGTCTCAACACATGGGGCATTCTTTCGCCTTTGTCCATCATTAACCCCACCAAAAAGATGATATCTTCGAGATCCGATGCTAATTTGACACCGTTCCAACGGTCTCCATATGTTCTTATCTTGTCGGCCAGCAGAAGATTACAAGCAGTATAACGAACGTGGCCAAGTTGTCGCGTGTAAGGCATCAAGGAAGGAAGCATCGTAGCGTGATTGGTGGACATGTCGCAACGGATAGCTTCTAGAGGGTGCATGTAGGTAACATTTAGACGTTTAGCTGAAACTTGGCGCACTGAAAATTCTTTAGGTAGAGCAGGAGGTCCAAAGTGTGATCTTCGGGTGAGGAAGTGAAAAGACGTGACGTTTACATCCAAATCCTAACGAGCTATATTCTTCGGCAACAGATAGGAAAAAAGAAAACATAAACCACCTTTGTAAATCGATTCGAACCATTCAGCGACACTGCTGCCCCCCAACGACAATGGTAAGTACCTTCGCTCTTACAGCGGCCTGGAATATGAGCCTCGCCACCATCATGAGACTCTCAGGACGCTCCATCTCCCCGACCTTCTACAGAGCTTCCCATAAGAAATTTAAAGGAAATTTGGCGGGCAAGAGGTGGATCAATTCGAATCCAAATTTGGATAGATGGAATTGTTGGACACGGTCACGACAGCTGAGAAGCTCGATCGGCCACCCCAAACCCACCATTTTCTCTTTTTGACTTCAACATCGACGACAAGCCAGGCGCTGTACATGTCTCTGAGCAGGTTCTCCCCATCCAATCATGTCGACAGAGGCCACATTTCGAGGCGCAATATCCATTTTTCATCGTCTGGGAACGAACGAAGTGCGAATGAACCAAGCGGGAGTCCGCGCGCTACAACGGTAAGCTTCGGGTAGATGTATGCTTATTTTTTATGTTGATATGTGTACAGCTAGGTGTAGAGTCGTCTGTGATGCGTCTATTCGCGTCTACAAAGAAGTTGCTGGTGGCATTGACACAGTGGAGTTTAATGAAAGTGAACGAGGACTATGTCAGCGATGTATACGTTCGGGTGGGAAACGACTTCCATGCTGCAATTGCAGCGTTCTCTCAGTTCAACGTCGATATGAGGTGAGTCCTTCGTTCATTGGTGCAGCGAAGTCTGACCGTGGATAGTGAGTTTAATTCGTTTCCAGTCGACTTGCGGAAGGTCCTGGAGCAGTGTCTTGCTGAGGACCCCACACCCGAGAATCTCGAAGTATACCTTCCAACTGTGAAGAAAATCACCAATCTGCTCTCTGGATTGCACGCGAAGCAATCTGCTTGCCGTCGGCAGCTCTCCGACCAACGGCGGGGTTCCCAACATGACAGCCGAAATGACAGTCGCTCGCCGCGCCAGCAGAATTCTCACCTGAGCCCACTCTCGAGGAACACTGCAGAGGATGGTCAAAGTCGGGGAGCTCCCCCATCCAGTAGGAGGAATACCGAGAAAACGCCCCGTGGCCCGCTCAGTCCCGTAGGGGAGGTTTCCTTTGAAAGCTTATCATATCCCGAACAAACATCCAACATGGATCATAAATCATCATCGCGTCGCCCGCCCGTCCCTTCTAAACCTTCTCCAATTACCGGCTCTTCCCTCTCAAAGACTTCTTCACAACGAACCTCTACAACGGAGACGAGGCGCCACGCATATGTATGCTTACCACGGCCGCCATCGCCAGATGTTATTGTTGAGTCTCCGAGTCCAGAAAGCCAAGAAGAGTCATCAAATAACAGCCCTCTTTCGTCGACCGATACCGCAACTCCCGACGTGGTGGATTCGCTTGTTGCCCTAAATAAAAGCGACATCCTCGAACGTCGGGCTTCAAAACGATACTCGTCATATAATATCTCTAAAATGATTGACTCTACACGAGAAAAGTTTATGGGCAAGACGCGGTCCATGTTGGTCTCGCCTGCGTTGACGCCGAGGGAGCTGGCAGCTCTTGTTGACTTAGAAGATGACAGAACTTCTCCTCCTTCTTCCGCTCCGTCCATGGGCCGAGGGTCCGTTTTGTCTTCTCTTTCCCCTTCGCTTGGTGCACTTTTACAGTCACCAGGACGCCCAATATCCCCGTCGACCACTCGCAAGCCCACCCACACACCTAGTCGTACACCGGAACCGCCAGAACGACCTCCATCCCCGAAGAAACCATCAGCTTCAGTTCTCGGTAGAGGATGTCCACCCGTTTCATCAAAGATGACTGTGTTCCTGCAAGTCGACAAAGAAGTCAAGAAAACCGTAATAGAATCCGGTCTTTCACTACCTTCAATTAGGATGTTATTCGTAGACCGTTTCTCATACAATCCCGCTGCTGATAATTTCCCTGCCATCTATATTCGTGATCCTTCCAGCGGCGTACGGTACCAGCTGGAGAATGTGAACGAAATTCAAGAAAAATGTTTACTTTCCTTGAACATCGAACGTGAGCACTCACCATATTTTGAAATTTGAATGTCTTCTAACGCGCTGCATGTAGCTCTTGACCAGGTTAAACAGCACATGGATACCCAGATTTCGACCTTATCTGAGGATATGAAAGAGCTGAAATCTGCTGTCAACAGAATTAGTACACAATCCCTCATATACAGCCCCATAGCTGAGAGTGCCCCCTCGACTCCCCCGCCGGTTTCTGCGCGCCTTTCGAGGTTCACCGGCTCAAACTTCTTCCCCGCGACCCCGCCTCAAACGCCTTCCACCACCAGTCAATCGTTGAAACTGCAATTGACGTCTGCCGAGTGTCCGCCGCGCACCATGGCCGAACTCAGGACACAGTTTGACGAGGTGCAATGCCTACGGAGGGATCTGGGTGTCATGCGACAACTCTACACCGACTTTATGAAGCAAACCAAGGACTCTCTGAATACCCTCCGTACGCAAACTCAAACAGTGAAGCAACTAGCCAATGCAGACATCGGCGGTGACCGTGCTATCGTCGACGCTGGGAAGAAGACCCTCGATACTCGGAGCCAGAATATCTTGACGGAGGTGGAGAGGTTGCAGGATGCGATTGACGCCGTGAAGGCGGACGTTTTGAAGAGACATATAACACCCAAGCCTCAGTATATGAAGTCGATCCGCAAGGATGCCGACGCTGCGGCATCTGAGCTGGAGAACCTCAAAGAGCACCTCGCGACGATCAAGCCCATGTGGAAAAAGACGTGGCGAGAGGAGCTACAGAATATTGTTGAGGAGCAAGAGTTTCTTAATCATAACGAGGAGCTCCTCAGTGATCTTCTGGAAGATCATAAAGCGTTAGGGGAAGTCCTGGGGCATCTGGAACAAGTTGTTACCATGGGATCGCACAGGGGCAGAGGACGCCTTCCTGCGGTCCGCACGGAGGGTAAGGGTGATCTGGGTACTGTTTTGCAGCAGATTCGAGGTGCTGCTGTAGACCCAGAGAAGCGTCTGAAAGCGATAGAGGAGAGTCAGAAGAATAGAGAGAAGGAGATGGCTAAGAACCGGCCTGACGATGATCTACAAACCAAGCTGACAGAGTTTGTTGGTGGAAAGAAGCTTAAACTGACCGGTGGGGTGGAGGAAGTGGAGCGGCTGAGGCAAAAGCGGAGTGATCAGGCGTTGAAGACCATGTTCAACGGTGCTCGCGCGGGTATGAACAGCCCTTGAATTCTCGTATTTCTTCTGTGCGTCATCAAAACGCTTGTAGCTATTTCTTGGTTATACCAGTACATATGTAGATTTGCTTATTTAGTAGGACTTTGTATATTCTAGGATACTCTCCTATGTAACCACTAATATCGTAGTGTTTTCAGTAGCTAGGGTCGGTAGCAAGTCGGTAGTCAGCATGTTGTATTCTGAACAAATTGTAGTGAAAGGGCGGCAGTGTTGCTTCTAAAATAGAGCAAAATCCGTCGGCTGTGACCAAAACCCGTCGGTTTCGTCAAAACCCGTCGGAAATCGCGACTCATTTTGCTGTGCTATTTCGATAGGCCCCTTGTCCTATTTAGCATGCAGATGATGGTTTCATATCTTGTCCCTCGTTTCACTTTCTCCCACAACATCAATGTCGAAAACTCCTCCTCCGGTCTATGCTTCCTCTAGCGTCTCCACTGGAATTCAGCTCGCCCGCGACGCAGAGCTTCTCATCAACGACTTCTTACCTGACTCAAGGTCATCTGCCGACTATGCTGGACCTTCACAAGGCATTCCACTACCTCTCTGTATCCCACAAATCGCCACTAAATTCGATTCTTCCTTCGCTCGTGGCTATAATGACGTCTTAGCCGAGGCTGTGGACATCCCCCAGGCTGAGCTTCTGTCCTTTATTGATGGTCTGAATCTTGCTATGACAGCGAGCCCGCCTCTTCGTGTCGTGGATACGGCGGGTATGATCATTGGTCTCATGTGGGTCCCTTGAATCATTTGCGTCCCCTTACAATATTAATCTCTACTTCCTAGACCATATCACTGGACCATAATAGCTAGTGCTGCAATGCAGACCGCCGCCCAGACAGGAATGCGCGTCCTATCAAAGTCCCTTACGGACCGTTATCTGCGTGCAGCCAATCAGCGCATATTCAAACCGCGAGGCCTCTCCGCTCGCTTGTGCACCACGAATGCCATGATGAAGCTCATCTCCGGCGAAGGCGGTGAAGCGCCCAAGATATCTAAAATGAACAAAATCGGTCGAACGGTGGGGACAGGCCTGCTCTATCTCCCACTCCCTCTCGCCAGCCGTATCGTGCGCCTCATCGCTGATAAGCCCGAAAAGATTGCTCCTTCTGAGGGTTCTGAAAAGAATCTCGTGCTCAAACGACGACTTCAACTCGTCGAGGGCCTGGCTCTTCCACTGCAGCTAGATGACATACCTCCCCCTCAGAAGCCGGAGGGCATGATGGATAAGATGAACGATTATGGAGTGAGGTTCGACAAGTATAGGAACAATAAGAAGGAGAAGAAAAACGAGACCCGTCGTAGGGAACTTGCCCGCTTAGAATCAGGTGGCCCTGATTTGAGCCGGAGAGAAAGGTTGCAGCGGATGAGGATTGAGCACAACAAGAGACGACCCGGTCTGATAGGTAGCATTACCGGGCCGAAGGAGACTAGACTAGAAACGCGAGTTGCGAATGCTGACCTTCTCGAGCACTGGGGTACTGAGAAGATTGTCTGGATCGTCATAATGAACGAGGAGAAAGGCAAGTACGTTCTTTACTACAAAACACCAGTTTTAACATTCAATAGATGGAGAAATTGAAGGAGTTCAAATCGCGGATAGTCTTGACGATGAGGAACGCATCGATGACAGGGTATGGAATGATATAATGGTTTTGGAACGGGAGGAATTGGACGAGGAACTGTTGATGGAGGCAGAAACAAAGAAGAATTAGAAAACAAATACGAGACTTTTGGGGCTTAGTCTGACTGCTCGGTGAACAAGATGGAGTTTCCACACTACCTTTGCAGATGTGGTCTCTTGGCCAACGTTCCACGCTTCTGTATGACAATGTAATGCAATGCGAGTTATCACACCAAAGTCCGTTTATACTACGACTATATTTTGCTTCTAAGTTCCGTGCAAGGTAACTATTACTGATATACTCCGGAACTTGCAAATTTCAGAAAAACTCGGGAGGGGCCAAAAGAGGCGCTCTGTTTGCGAAGGTTCTTGGGTGAACGACCGGATTCTTCAAAGACAATATGGCCCGAAATTTTAGATTTTCAAACAACGGGATTTATGGGAAATGCAGAGAGATTCTGAGAGAAAAAAGTCACAAAACACATATAGCCACAAGAAAGTCGTGAAGTAGTAAGGACACGAAATGAAAAATAAAGTGCCCCTTGAAAGGTTCGAACTTTCGACCTCCAGATTATTCCTTAAGTTTAAGGATCAAACCTAACTAAGGTATGAGACTGGCGCTCTAACCAACTGAGCCAAAGAGGCATGTACTTTCGTGGTGACATTTCTCTATGTATTAATTTATTTATTTTAATGGATATATATATAACCTAAGATTGGGGTTGAAAGTTGACAGTGCGCCACCTTCCCTTCTTTTTTTCTTTCTGTGAATGACGCACTTTTATTCTTCTTAACGATCCTATATCTCCTTCAGTGATCAATGTTCACCCTTTCACGACTCCTGGCTGTATAAACTGGTAACAAACTGCGGCTGCATACCACTGTATGGCTGACTTGGACGTCGACTTTTTGGTTAGCGACGGTGTTTGTCAGCAGAAAGTCACGCTTCCTGAGCCATCTTATCCTATTTATTACGTGCAGTGATAAGCACACGCTCACATCATGTCTTCGAAACTCTTCCATTCGACTCAAGTGGGAGCTGTATCACTCGAACATCGTGTCGTCTTGGCCCCCATGACTCGCCTAAAGGCTACGGAAAGCCATGTTCCTCATATACCCCTCGTTAGAGTGTACTACGAGCAACGGTCCCATACACCTGGAACCCTACTGATAACAGAGGCTACAGTCATCGCTGCAAAGGCCGGGGGGATTGCCCACACACCCGGTATATGGAGTCAAGAGCAAATTGGTGCTTGGAGACAGGTAAGAACTCCAACTTGGCGCGACTGAAAGGGCTTACTAATTACTCGGCGTTGTAGATTACGGATGGTGTTCACGCGAAGGGTTCGTTTATCTTTTGTCAGCTATGGGCTTTGGGACGCGCAGCTGATCCCAAAGTTCTCGTGGGAGAAGACCCTACTTTCCCATACATCTCCGCATCCGACATTCCCGTTCCCGGTCGCTCCGATGTTCCCCGACCAATGAGAGTAGATGAGATTAAAGAATACATAGAGCTACACGTCCAGGCTGCGTTGAACGCAGTGGCAGCTGGGTTTGATGGTGTTGAGATACATGGGGCTAATGGTTACCTACTCGACCAATTCATACAGGACGTGACGAATCAACGGACTGATGCATACGGCGGCGGTATTGAAAACCGGGCAAGGTTTCCCTTGGAGATCGTCGATGGAGTGGTAAAAGCCATTGGTGCAGAGCGGACTGGATACCGTGCCAGTCCCTGGAGTTATATCGAAGGTATACGCCTGCGTAAGATTGTAATACGGTGCTAACCAACGTTCTCCAAGGTATGGGCATGAAAGACCCCAAACCAACTTTCGCGTATCTTGTGTCTGAGATCAAAGCACGTCATCCGAACTTTGCTTACATCCACGTTATTGAACCGCGTGTGAATGGAACAAGGCTTCGGAGGGAGGGGGAGCTCACTTCGCGGATGAAGAATGATTTCATACGGGACATCTGGGCCCCGCTGCCTCTCATATCGGCTGGCGGGTATGAACGCGTCACCGCTATTACAACCGCCGATGAGAAGAATGATATAATTGCTTTCGGAAAGCATTTCCTTGCCAATGTGAGCAGTCTTCCTTGTGTCTAAGACTTAAATGCTGATAGGAAATTTCAGCCTGACCTGGTATACCGGCTAAAGAAGGATATACCTCTTAATGCATATGATAGATCGACTTTCTATGTACCAGGGAACGTTGCCAAGGGATACACGGACTACACTTTTGCGGGGGAAGCGCCCAAGTCCCCGTTGTAAAGAACGGAGACGATTCACATGCTCTTCCGCATGGTTGGTCGCAAATGGTGTCGGGAAGACCGCGCAGGTGGTAGTTCTGTTGGCCCGAACTGTATGCATCGACGTTCAACTTTCCGCGCCTTACAGCTCGATAAGATGGTGAGCTTAGAATATAGAAAATTCCAGAGGAATGATGGGATATTGTCTACTTGCTATCTGCTTTGCGTCAGCTACAACGATTCAGCCAAGTTTCAATATAACTCTTCATTTTCATATAATTTTGAAATGTACGCTTGAAGTCGTGGGAGAAATACGTATTATGCGGAACCATAATGTTATATTCATGCTCCAACGGAATCAACCGTTGCTGGATTCATTTGGGAGCCAAGGCCAAGGAAAATTTGAAACGTTTTCTCGATGACTGTCGCAATTGCCCCCACCGAACAGCTGAGTGGAAGATGGTCACTGCCGATCGACGAAAGGTGAGTTCGAAAGTGAGTAGCAGCCAGCTACATAAGACCTGTCGACATTTCCGCTCAAATTTAAGAGCGCCAGTACGGAATATTGCTCGAAACGCCATCAAAATGGCGGGGAGCCGGGCATTGGGGATTTCCGGCTCCACTGGGAAATTTGCCAAGTTAATTTGAAACTCTGAAGGGAGGACTTGGATTTTTTTACCCGGTTCAAGTTTATTTATAGAGAAAGAATAAGTTTCGAGAGGACGCGTCGACATCGCCTGTCTTATGAGAGTATTTGATGTAATATAATTTGAGAGGCCTCAGACACAGGATTACGCGGTGATACCAGCATTGGTAAAGTGGAGCGAGTATAAATGACGCGAATGAAACTCAGATAAGAGTGGAGCAAGAATGACATAACACACCGTACATTTCGCCTTGACATAGATATGTACACCACAAAAAGTCGATCTCTGAACAAGTAGCGGTCATATGATCAGCCCCACGTCTGAAGGAAAAGCTTACGGAAAAACCACGGAAAAATCTACGAAATGCTGGGGAAAATATCTCACTTTGAATTGTCGGGAAGCCAAGGGGATGTCTCAACGTCACTCTGATGGGAACTTACGTTCACCCCATCGGGTTGCGGGGTACCGCGCAATCAGCGTTACATATGATGACGACGCGCAAATCCCCCGGTCGCCGTGCCTACGAATTAGGCCTGGCAGAACATGAAGAAATGTGTGCGGTCGGAAGTCGTCATAGCAGGTGCATATGCATGGTAACATTCATGAAAAACAATAAAATGATAGGAAGGGATAGTATTTAGTCCGATCGTATGATACGTGAGTAAATGAGAGGTATACTAGAATAGTACTGTATAGATATGAATGATGATAAACGATTAACGAGGCAAGGAAAACGAAAACACGTTAATTCGACCAGATGCCCCCGCTTCCAGGCGCTCTTCTGGGCACGATGACTCGGAGCATTTCACCGTCGAATTCGGCACGGACCTGGACGAGGTCGGCGTCATAACCGAATGAAATACGCCTTTCGAAATGACCTCCACCAGCGTCCCATGAGTCTGCGACGACATGTAATATACGCCTCCGTTTCGTAGCTAGTGTTCTGTGGCGGAATTGATTGGTTAATTGCAAAAATGAAAAGAGCGAGGTACGCACATGGCATCACGTTTGAAACCCGGTAAGCACACGTTGAGACGGTACTCATGGGGAGTGGTCTCGACTTCGATCCACGAGTCTGGAGGCGGGGGTGCGTTCGATAGGAATGGTTCATGGGGGGCTATCGGTGGCTCCGAATGGGCCGGAGGTTGTTGTGAAGGAAGGATTGTTGGAGGTTCGGGCGGTGGGTATGAAGAGGAAGATGCAGAAGAAGAGGGCCTGGTCCTTGATATAGAGGGAGGTCTAGGAATAGGTGTCGGGACTGGGAGAGACGTCGACTGTTGAGTCTGGGACTGTGGCTCAGGCAGGGGAGGTGAAGGAAGGGGTCCTGGGTGTTCATCCTCTTCAATAACCGGCGCTGCTTTTGGAAGGGTATGGAAAGGAATCTGGGGTGGTATTGGCAGGGAAGCAGACGACGTCCGATCAATTTGAGACGGAACAGCAGCGGCGAGAATTGGGGCGGCGGGTGAACTCTGCGATGGCAGCGAGTAAGGCCTTGGATACGGCAGAATCTGCTGGCCCGTCGAGGCACCCGACGTCGTTGTTATATTCGTCCAGTCCGACTCGACTTGTTCTTCGCTGTACGGGGATGGGTCCGCCGACTGCAGAGGCACCTCCCTGGGCGGGTCGAAGGATGCATGACGCTTGCTGAACGAAGAATTGCGTGGCGGATGTCGAGGACGTTGTTTTGTCAAGACGGACGGTGGCGGCGACGTCGACATCGAAGGACTGAAATTGAAGTAAGGATGATTCTCCGCGTTGCCTACTATATTTCACTTTTCGCAACTGTTGGCTTTGTTTGGTCGTGGCGTGTGAATTATGATGTCATTCGTGCCTTTCAAATTCGACCGCGGGTTCTGGCCGCGCCCCTTCTCCACCGCCACCGTTGTAAGCCCACTTCATTGCTGGTACCGACTACCGGAACACTACTAACTTCGCCTCGGTCTAGCGCTCTGCCCTTTGTAAATTACTTTTACTCCAGTTTTCTCCAGCTTCTGGGTGTATCCACATTGATTTTGGCAATTCTGCGTTGCATTCGCGTCCCAATACAGCATATCCATGATGGCTGCTGTCGCCATCAGTGTTATTATGCTGCCGGCGCCTTTGTTTTCTACTGCGGTTATGTTGGCTGTCGTGGTGTCGGTTAGCATTCTACTGCTTATACAAACGTGCGATATCATAGGCTTCTTGCTATCACCAACAGCATCAAACTTTTCCCTCACTGGAAACGGACAAATCAGGACCGTCGTGACGCATGTACAGTATTTGTCTTCGACCATCGCGTGGCTCCCACATCGTGCTGCGACATGGACGCGATGCGCGTCGATCCTCTTATCTGCTATCCTTCGCGCTCATGCTCAGGCCTCAGAGATTCAAATCAAATATCGGTCGGATGACTTCGGGGCCCGAGTCTATCAATGCTGTCCGTTTGTTCGACTACATATCACTTTCTTGCATGCGTCACAATTTGTAGCACTGGTGGCTCAGTCTGTCGGACCTTCATTTCACGTCCTCGAGAACATTATTTCCATGATCGAAGTTCTTACATCGGAACCGGAACTGTGAACGGTAATGGTACGATGTCTGGCTCCAGTACAGAATGCAGCGATTCGGCTTTCGCACGACTTCCAGCTCCGGTGCCGTTGAAGAAGCTCTTCCATTCCTGATGGCAGGTCTCCGTCGTTTCGTATTTGGACGGATATGAGCCTCCGCGAAATATTTTCTCAAGATGCTTCACAGATCAGCCACTTGGCAAGTCTCGCACGAAAGCTAGCTGTCCCTACTTGTCCCACGTCTCGTGGATCAAAATGACACACAGATATCAACGCTGCCGATGCTCCAACGCTCAGCGTATAGACCGTTCAGGACAGTTCAGGACTCAAGCCCGCTGTCCCCGAATCTCTTAGCCCCTGCCTGGAGGGGCCTGGGGTTACTACTTATCAATAGACAGTGCCTGGGCCTTGATTTACGGGGTTGTCTTGGTTTATCCGTAATAGTAACTCTGGTGGATGTCGCCGGTGAGAAACATCTGCTGAAACTCGCCAGAGGCTTCTCGATCAAAAAGAGGCACTATCTGTCAAGTTTCGGTTCCTCGGTTGGATACTGTAAACCTTTCCTTTGACGACGGAGTGTGATAAATCACGGTCAAGTGTGGCTGCTGGACGACGAGAGGAGAAAAACATGATCTTGCTCTGTTTCTTGGCTTGATGACGCAATTTTGGCTTTAGGCATGCACCGCCTTAAATAAATTAGAATGTTTGATTCAGCCTCGGCGCGTAGGACAACCGTTGTCGGCTCTTGGGGACTTAGAAGAGACAGCGTTCGTCGGCCACCGCTGCGTATTCTATGTGCTCGTGGACAACGGAAGCGATACGAATGCTACGCCGTTGATCTCTCTACTTCTCTAGTCCTTCATCGGAGTTTCTGTAGACTGTGACTACCGTTTCTCACTGAAGGAACCCAGACAATACTTTAAGATAGCGAGGAGATCATGCGGCGCGGGCCGCGTCTTTCGCGGACTCGCTTCGTAATTTTCCTATCGTCCGATCTTCCAAAAACCTTTTTGGGTCTCTGTGTATTCCAAGGGTCGTGTTAGGAGAGGTTAGGAGATCTAACCTCCGGAATAAATCGAGATTGGTGGGGCGCTTTTCCGCTGGACCTTCCAACTATGAATTGTTCAAGTCGCTTTCAGACAATCATAAATGAAGAGGTGGTGTCACATACCTTCCATCGAGGGAGCCACGTCGTCATACGCACAACTACATAATTGGAGTCTGTGACAATAACAAACTGGGGCCTATCCAAAGGATAGGCATGGAAGGTTAAGTTAACATCTGTCTTGTACAGGAATTGACGATGCTTCCCATCTCGTAGGGTCATCTCTATTTCCTCCTTGTGGATTTCAGTTAGCCCGTGAATCGATTCCAACTCTGCCCGTTGACTCGTCCTAGGGCAACCGGGATCGATAGAATCATCAATTGGGATCCGCCCTCGATCTTTAGAAATGCGGCTCACGACTATGCCTATTTCATAGGTCGCACTGGGCCGACCATTGTTTGAGTAGGCGCCATCTGTGAATACCAGCTTGTCGGTAAGACAAGGGTCCACAATTAGTTTGAACGACCCGTTCATGACGGAGGAAGCGAAGTACCGGCGTATGCAGTAGGAATATTAAATGATGAGGGCATGGGTGCTTTTTTAGTTCGAGTCTAAGATGAATCTGCGATGGAGAATCCTGTGGTCGTCCATGGGCAAGAGCCAGGTATACAAAGTCGACAGGTAAAATAGCGAAAGTGGCTCATTTGCCAGAGTATGATGACGAGGTATCTTGGCGATTGTGAGGGGTCAATGAAGGGTGACTGTAGTCAATTCCATGGAGAAAATCCCTTCCTGTGCCTGGTTGCTGATAAGGGTTCCATGCTTATCTCGAAGTTAATCATTTTTATAATTCAACTTGTGCCCTTAGTTCAAACCTACCGCATGGACTGTTTGAACCATCGTACTCATCCAACATTGGAGTTCGGGGAATATTATATTTTGATTATATTCCGTTCAATACGTCATTGGAGGCGCAGAGGGATGCCGACGGAGTATCTCTATTGACGACGATATCGACTCCGATGTTCCCAGGGCCAGTCAGCGGGCCGAGCTTTTGCGGCATTGGAATGCTTAGAAAGGCTACGCGAAGAAGAGACATACATTGACGAATGGCCACCAACCTAGTAGTAGGAGACACAAAAAGGTCAAGTTCAAGACCCACAAACCAGTTGACCCAAAGGACCCTAACACCTGGATAATCGTCACCGACTCTGAGTACGTCGTCCTCAGTATGATTGAATATATCTACAAGCGGCGGGTGCGTAGGCTCGATATATGCGGCAAATTCATCTGTTAATTGCAGCCCAGAGCAATGGATGGCGAAATTCCCAAGGCAAGAGGGTAGCAAATTTGGATCTTGTCATCAAATTGGACGATGCTTTCAAGCGTATACAGCTAGAGAGAATTCAAGTAAGATTCTGGTACATACCCCAAGACTCAACAGCGAAGTCGACGGACTCACCAAGGCTGCTGCTCGCTGCAGGGCCTTGTAGATTGTGCGTTGTCCCCATTCTTTCCTAAATTTTAAACATCTGATTGCATGCTACCTTCTAGTACTGTTGTACACATATGCTCACGTGAAGAGGAAACGCCAATCGTGGATTGTTTTCTTTCTCTTTCAATTTGGTAATTATAGAATAGTGACCATGCGTCGACCAGGTCCTCAAACATTCCATGTGCTGACTACAAGTTTGCTTTCATCTCAAGGTATGCAGCATCTGTAAAATACGATGAAGAATCATATCGAGCCAGTAACGTGTCTTGGCAATGACCTTTCGGAGGACTTCTTTTCTTGCACGCTTCTTCAAATAGGTGAACACGCATCTCTTTGATCATTAAACATTCACAACACCGAAGGCGCTCCACGTCTTATTTTGGCTTCCAATCACGGACTTTCTGTATTCATGTATCCGATGGGTTCAGGGTACCCTTTGTCTTGCTAATCAGAGTCTTTCAAAGACGAATAATTATACCCTGTCAAGTTTTCTGTAACTCGTGACGACGGCCCGGGAGTGTCTGTCATCAACTCTTCTATCATGGCCTGAACTTCTTGATAATAATAGGACCTGGACTTCAACGTCTTGTGGTCAACGTCGGTTCCGAGCTCCCACTTCGTTCTTAGATAAGCGAGCGTCATGCGAGGTCGAAAACAGGTGAACTCCTTCTCCGTTTCCAGCCTCGAGACGATGAAAACTTTCATTTTCCTCTCTCTCTTCCTTCTTTTAATTGCTAGTGACCGTGCGCTAGGGCACTTTTCCATCAAACCTGCGCGTACATGTCCAAAGATAACACGTACTGCGTTTGTTCGTATTCTCCTATCTCCAGTAAAACTACACACCGATGTCTTATCGCTTCACAGGAAGTGACGCATCATCTAATGAACAAATACTATAACTCGACTTCTGGTCGGCTAAACGGTGGTTCTGTCTGGACCGACGCCGTGAGTGTCTTCGCAATTGTTCAATCTTTCCTATCATAGCTTAATAATTACAGAACGCGCTTGAAACAGTGCACATGCTCATGTTGCAAAACAGACGGTCGGACTGGGACGGCGTTGCCGACAACTCTTATCTAGGCCGACACGCTTTGAACACATCGTCCGACTGGCAAGCCTTTACGGGCGGTTACAATGACGATGCCGGTGTAAATTTAAATGTTTTTCGTGGATTATTGCTTCTCAAGATTTTTTCAGTGGTGTATCCTTGATATATGGGCCATGGCCGACTACAAGATATTCAGAGGCGAGGACGGCGTGGAAGACTACTTCGTAAATATTTTTAAGAACTCGCTTCCGTATTGTTCTAATGCGCTACAGATAAGCGCTGGTCAGCTCTACGACAAGATGGCGGAGAACTGGGACGATACCTGTGGGGGTGGAGGTAACGAAGCTCCGCAATGCTGTGTTTATCCACCTGAATTTGGACAGTGTGGTGGACAACTGATCACGGCTACAAGAATGCGATCACGAACGAACTTTTCTTGACCGTTTCTGCACAAGGTCAGTCGGATACGATGAATTGGAGGAACCAAGAAGTCATCAAGTCTGGCCCAGGATATCTTAGGTTCGGCAATGAAACATACCTGGAGAATGCGAAAAAGGTAAGATGGCCGAAAATCCTATCATATTGGACGCAGCATTCATCGAACAATTCATGCAGACATGGACTTGGTGTACTTCTATAACAGATGAAATGACCTAGTTGTTGATGGTTTTATGCAGTAGAAGCCTCGGGCATGCGCAACGCAGAGGGTCTCTACAATGATGGTTTGGATGATTCTTGTGTTAACAACGGCGAAGTACGTGGAGAACTCTGTGAATTCAGTGGGGCTCTCTGATTCCTATTGCAGACTACATGGACTTACAATCAGGTGCGCTCAATGTCTCATGAACATTTACTGACGCAGGTTTATTTACGACGGTTGGCTCGCCTCCCCAGGGCGTTTTGGCGTCGGGTCTCGGCGCACTCTGGAAAGCCACAGGAAATAGAACTCTCTTGGACGAGGCTGAGATAACTCTGGACGCGACGATCAAGGATATGACCGTGAACGGGGTGTTGAAAGAATCATGCGATAGCGCCATCGAAACTGATGATCCTTGTGACACTGACCAGGTTGGCTCGTTCATCTCACCATTGACGTGGATGTAACACTAAGGCTAATTTACCTCTTCGAGCAAACGTTCAAGGGATGTCTGTGCTTCACCCCATGCGCCTGTCGTCTGACTGCTGTACATTATAGGGAGTCTGGACCAAGCATTTACAGTACTACCTCATTCTTACGAATGAGAAAGAGAAGATAGCCAAATATGGTCCTTTTTTGGGAGCACAGAGCCATGCAGTGACCAAGTACGCAACGAACGTGACAAACGATATTAGTAACTTGTGGTATGCACCAGATGAGGTGGGTAGTGTTCCTGCTTTAGTCATGTCTTTTACTGTAACTGATTGAGCAAAACTAAAGGGTGGTGCGATATATAACGTTAAGAGTTTACCTAGTGGCCTTATGGCACATATAGCTGCAGCTCAATTCGCTAGTTGTTACTGAGCCAATACAGGTGCTGTCATTATATTTCCAGTGAAGCTTGCAGTGATATCAAGGCCAAGGTACCTAAGGCTACTTGGCACCACAATACGCCGGCAGCTATAAGCACGTAAATAGTTCAAGTCGAGTAGAATGATTAATTGAATTTCAATAATAGGACATGAGTCAATACATATAGCAACAACCCAAAGCTCTGTAAATTCATTCCAGAAGATAGATATTTATGTACATAGCGTTTTGTTGGAGGCACTTGATCACAACGTTCACCATTTATCTGTCTTGCGCGTTGCTTAGAAGGCGTAGAATGTTGAGGACTGCATGAAGGCGAGCGATCAGGACAGAGAAAAACAACCAACAGTTCACACTTGCATAGATTGATGAAGCTGTGAAAGAAAATGATTCGTCAGCATGGCCAACATGGCTCACATATTCGAAAAGCTTACTCCAGGTAAAGGCTGATGGATCCCATGATGTACTCGTCTGGTGATAATTTCGCATTGATCAGGTAAGTGTCGTAGACGACATATCCGCTGAAAAGCAGGCATCCGAAGATAGCGTAGATGAGGTCCATAGTGCGTCCGAAGGGGATGAAGATACCGACAAAGCCGGTCATGCCTGTGGCACACGTTACTAAGGGAGAGAAAATCGATGTTGCATACATACACAATGCGATGAGACCACCGAAAAGGAAAGGACCCATCCCTTCAAAGTCATACTAAGGCACACGAGGCGTTAGAGAGCGAACCACGTTACAAGATCTGACCCATACCTTTGATTGGAAGGTGAACAGGGTTAGACCGATGAACACTCCCAGAGTGATGAGCCTAGATAAATAATCAGCTCAATTCTTTCAATAGGTTAACAGAAAACTGACAAGGCTTGAATTACAATGTCAGTTCGATAGAAAGCAACTACGACTCCAAGTGTGAAAGCCTCCAAAACAGTAAAGGTCGAAAGTAATAGGAGATTAAGGGGGTGATCATGGCGCTTCCAGTATAAGAATCCGAGGTTGACGAGTGTCCCGAAGAGAGGTACATAGAAGGACCAGGAGCTAGAGGACGAATCAAAACAAGAACAGGTTGCTAACGTGTTGCAACTTACTGCGAAACAACCCAACCAATTGCGGAGGGAGACTGAGACATGACCCCGGAGACGATACATGTTGCAAGCTTAAACAGTCATTGAAAGACGAAACAAAGCAAGGCGGCTCAAGGCTTACTATTTGACAGACTGAATGGATCTCAGCACTGCGGTGCCTTAAAGGGAGCTGTGATGCACTCACTAAGGATAGTGTACACTTTGCGAACGAATGCTCTTCGGATCTCCGGTGCGCTTTCAGCTACACTGACGCCGTACTATTAAATGCCAAGGATTCATGAAAACGCCCATAAATGCTGTAAATGGCGGCTTACCTTGAAGTCGTCGGGGAGGTCGCCGCTCTCAGGCTGGTCGTAGAAAGCACCGCCTGAGCTGCTGCCAACGAGGGGCTCGCGAGGATCGTTGCTGCGATTGGGCTTGGAAGTAGAACCGTAAGAAGGAGGAGGAACTGGATATTGACTCATGATGGTTGTATAGTACGATCGTTTACAGCGCCCCTGGAACTTGCCCTGTTCGTATGTAAGCGAACCACGTGCAATGCCGTCACACTGCCGGCAAGAAATTGAAATTCCCTAAAAAATTTGCCCTTCCATTCAGCGACCGCGTTGGTCGATGTTCACCTTGCGACAATGTCCAAGCATCGTTCGTGGATACGCGTCTGTCGCTAAAAGGCTTCAGAAAATCGCTTATAAGCTCCAGCCACCTCCACCTCTACTACCGTGGCAGGAAAACGCGATCGCATCCTTCAAGGAGGTCGTGGATAATGGCGAAGAAAGGAAGCTGTTGTTCAATATTCAAACTCAAATGGAAATGACGCACATTTTGAGAGAACTGCCCCAACACATTCCTCGGACCGATGAGAAGAATACCATCCTGGTATTATCTATCGCGGAGAAGCGGATGTTTGAAGTATTCAAAATGCTGGAAACACGATATCCGGACTGGAAGGTTGTATGGGAAGGTCCACACGGGAGACCGATGGCCCCTGCGAATGCAGACTTGTAAGTTCGGCTTCCTTCAATAATGATACAACTGACAGGTTTATCTACTATCAGGATGTTAACGACAGTAAGGGGATTTACCAAGGAGGAGTGTTTCAAGAAACTTCTAAATTCGCGTGTACAAGCTATCATTCTCGACGAAGCCCAGCATGGCGCGAAATCATTGTCGGTACTCCAATGGTTATGTGGATTGTAAACCTTCTTACATGTTTTCGAAAAAGTTGGGACCGGCTTTCATGGCGATTCAGTGCCAACGATCCCTTCCCCTGGGTCATTGGTCTGACATCCTTGCATCCCAAGCAACTTCAAGCCCCCATGGAAATGAACGCGCACTTCAAATCCCCCTTTTTCAGACACGATCTACTCGACGAATGCAAGGAAAAATGGTCTGTGATCATGTTCTTGATACAAAACCGTTGGCCTGAAGTTGCCTCTAATAATGCAGGACGCCCGAAGTGCGATTTAGTACCGTACCGACGCACATAGGTTTGACGGGGCTTGAATCCTGGAGATCAAAGTTCAGAACAGAGGAACTCTCCCCACTGATGTCGGCGCCCGGCGTCATCTCGACCATTGTGAACGCATGGGCAGAACGCTCTGCTTCGAGGAAGTCGACCATCGTACAATGTGTGGACTCGTCTCATTCGCAGGCGCTGGTGGATACTTTCAAAGAGCACCAAGTCGACGCTAGGGTCCTCGGAGAACAGGGTGAAAACTTGGAAGCTTTTAGATCAGGCGAATTTCCTGTCCTTCTTGTTGAAGGTTCGTTGAATATATCTCCGTTTTGAATATGTCAATCTCATTTCTTTCATAGATGCACAGACAGTTACAAATGCTAATCATGTTGACATGGTAATTCTCGCTAACCCAGTCACTGCCCCAACTAGCTTTCACCGGATGGTAAGAGATTCATCTCACCCGTCTTACTGTAACTCATTGACCTAGTATTCAATGGGCACAATGGCATCTCCCGAATCAGGCAAAACGGACTGTCATGTGGTGGAGATTGTCGACACAGCACGTAAACAAACTGGTGGCCTACAGTGGGTCCCAAGCCCTATAGCATATACACTGCATACCTGGACAAGATTGGACCCAGACCAGCAGTTAACTAGTGCGCCAAAAAATGCTTAATTTTCATCCCATTTACTCTTTATTTCACAGATGCCTCTATCGATGATATCAGGGACCTTATAGGAGGACCCTCCTACGCCACATTGCCGAAGCCCAAAACTCTGCTTCAGAGAAGACGAGAACGAGCACAGAAAATTCAGGAGCTCCAACAAGATATTTCCGTAACGGAAAGCGGCGAGCGTTCTCCACCGGATGACTTAACCCCCGTATCAGACGACGACATTACTGAAACTGATCTGCAACGAGACCTCAGAGTTCTTAACTCTATGAAGGAGGTTACGTGGTTCCACTGCGGTAGATTTGTGTATGTTTCTGATTTGGGCGAACGGGGCTATATCGTAATCGCTGCAATCAACCCGAACGGTAGGTAGAATCTTCCTTTCAGATGCCTGGTGACTGATGGCTTTGTAGATAATCTTCTGCAGCGTCGATATCGTGCTATCCATGATCCTCATCCCCTCGACGGTGGCGCCATTCTCCAAATTGCTAGCAAACGGGCAGATATTCTCCTCAATCTAGTCAATTTAACACCTGAAGAAGGCGTTTCACTCACCAAAGTAAAGAGCGTCGCTTGGAACTACATTACCGTGGCCATGAAGATAAGGTGAGCACTCACATCTTTTGCAAGTCGAGCTATATGTTGACACTCGATCAAGATCGACCACTCTGAGATCATGGCAACGGATGGGCCTTTCCTCTCGACAAACGACAGCTATCAAGCGCCTTTGGCCGGTGGAAAGGATTGATAATGTCCGCTTCCGGGGAGAAGGGATACCCAGGGATGAATTTCTGACTTGGATGTCTCGCCTCAACGGGTCATCTCTGTTGGCTTGTCTACGAAGCGGTATTCCTGATGAGGTATGCATATGCTCCATATGATCCCATGCAAAGAATATAACCGCTATCTTCAGGAGTATGCCTTTTTATCCGAGCAAACGATTTTACAGGTTGCAAACAGGATGCGAAAGGGATCGAGGGTAATATCTATCGCTAATCTAACAAAGGGCCTTTTATTGATTATCCTGATACAACAGAAGTGGGACATCGTTCGAACCGTGAGGGTTCTCAAAAGAGAGACTAAACGGAGAAGGAAGGAAATGAAGAAGAAACGTCTGAAAGAGAAGAGAGAAGCTCAAAGAGAACGTGCTTCGAAGGCAAAAAAGTAGCTGCTCATCTTACTAGTTGTTCTTCGCCTTGAAGAGGTAGTGACCAACGCCCCATCTGCGGATAGGGCTTTGGAACTAAGTCAGAAAGGATGGTGAGGAAACGACGTACTGTTGTCCATTGTCCATATTGAACAGCTCGGAGCACGCCATGTAGAACACGCGGAACCTGTACAGCCTTGCGTTTAGCTGGGATTTGTGTATTCACGCCAAAGTTTAGACCTATAAAAAGCCTTGACTCCTTCAATTGGATCTTTGCCTTTGGATATAGCATCTTCTCGGAGTTCCTTTAAACAAGCTGAGGAGGTTACTCTCTTGCTCTGGAGAAGAACACGCAGGGCACCTGTTGCATTCTTGTCTTGCAGTCCTAACCAATCTTCTAGCGTTCTCGAGTAGTTGGTTCCTGATAAGTACCAACTTCGAATCAGGCTGAGATCAGACTGGAAGTATAGCTAAAAGAGTCATGCAGTTGTTATCACTCCCGTAGGACGTCAGGAACTTACCAAAAGGTCGTGAGATGGCATTGTTCCGCCTGGAACAGGTCAGCTCAGAAGGTATTTAAGGCTGAATCTTACCGGAGAAGAAATTGCGCGCCATCCAACCATCACCTTCCTCGAAGTGGTACGGCGTGATACGATGGCAGAAGATATGGACGAACAACAATGCCTCGTCCGGATGGTCGACATCAGAAGGCCGCAACCAGCTTGACACTTTCTTGAGCAGCACTTCATAATTCTTCATGTGCTCAAACATCTGAGACTCATGTCAGGAAAGAAATGTAATCAAAATCAAGCCTTTAACCTCGATGGAGATAATTCTGTCAAACCTACGGCGAGAGATTCAGACCCATCAGCGATATATTATGCTCGATACGTACTGCCTCGACTTGGAGAAATCGAATGTATTGATGTCCGCCGTAATGATCTGTTGACGTGTTCGTTACTACGCAACCTTCATGTTCGGTTGGAACTGAAAAATCCCTACCTCTACGTTGGAGAAACCACGCTCCTTTGCCGTTGCATCTATATGTGCCTTCTGAGTAGCAGAATTAGAAACACCGGTGATCTTTGCGTTGGGATATTTCTACATTCGAAGTGGAATCTCAAAGTCAAATCAACGGGACGCTGAACATTCGTACCTTTGCTAAGAAGAGACTCAAGCTACCCCAACCTGTTTCATATAATTAGCTTGCTCATATGTTAATGATTTTTTCTTGGCAGTATACCGCATCCCAGGTCCAAAATTTCCAGCCCATTGCGCAACTCGGCCTTTTGGCAGTAGCTTTCAAACATGAGAATTTCAGCTTCTTCAAGGGTCTCCCTTCCGGTTGGATATAAACACGAGGAGTATTTTCCACATGGACCCAGCGTTGATAAAATAAACCTGGTCGAGACCTATCGATGTTAGTAGCAAATAGACATAAGAAACATGAATTATGGAGATACCTCATAGTGCTGTTCGTTCGCCTTTTCTGGAACGTCCGCAATCGTCGTCCTCGCGCGAACATCCTCTATCCACTTCATCTTGGCGGCATGATTAGCTTCGAACGACCCCAGATCTATTTCACACAGCCTTTGGCGACAAAGAGCGCGTATGACGTGTCGCAGGATGAAGTCTGGGATCCAACCCTAGCCTAGAGTTGCAGCAACTCTTGATGCGGTGCTAAATGTGAAGATATGTATACCTTGTCAAGGAGGTTGTAACCTACGTCAAGGATAGCATTCAACATTGCTTCCCTAAATTTGAATTGGTGGTCGAAGTTCGTGGACAAATCGTGATTCGTGATCTGGAAATAGTCCTGATCGATTCACTAATCGGTGATGGTTACGGTTCGCTATTCCGCGGAAAATCAGCAAGCCTCCTAAGTAGATGATACATTTCCGGGATAATATTACATGGAAGCATTACTATCGTACATCTCATGTGCGTCCAGGTAAGCCCGCAGCATAGTGGGATGGACACCATCATATATCTTCGCATCCAAGTACGACTGCTTGAAATGCGCAGACACAGGATCAAACGCATTCCTCAATGCAGACAGGACGGCACTGGCAGTTTTTTGCAAGCTCCAAATGGTTACGGTCTTTAGGCGTCGATTCATATTGGCTTCAGTGACATGATAAGCCAAGGCGTCATACATCTACGATTGGAAGTGATCAATACATATTTTAAAGCTGTAAGGTGGGAAATTAATTCCACCTTTAAAGAAATTTCATCCATGAGACCGGCTGAACAAGTACGTCAATCTCGCATATTGTGGAGTCAAATATTATGCTTACAGTCCCAGAGCTGTAGAAATAATGGTCAAATGGATGCTACGCAGATAGATTAATCAGCTACTCACAGTCCATGAACCATCAAAATCGTCAAGGCTTTTAACGACTCGACAGTGTATTGGAACTAGGGTTCTGTTTGCACTGCATTCGACAAGTGAATAAACTATTAAGTCAGGCACCAAAGAATCTTACTTCATGAATGCAACAATGGGTCTGACCAGAGCATTGTTGACATAAGATAGATCTCCTGTAAATATTGGGATAGCAGCTTTGACATCCCTAAATCGTAAATCGATATCCACTATAACGCTTGGCATATTCCGTCCCTCGTCCTCACTCGGCAAAATGTCTTCCGGGGCGGTAAGCGGAGGCTTGACAAGCTCTCTTTGACCAGGTATCAGATCCAATGCTGGGTTTGAAAATGATGTGGTAATAGCGTCGGCAATTTCTCCTAGAAGAGCGTTAAACTGTAGACTATCGTTCGGATCTCGAGGGAACTTGATATCAAGCACAGCATCCACTTTGCCAGACGTTATCCATGAGATTGGACCCTCCATTGAGGTTGAATGTTGCAGATGATCGACATTCACACCATCAATCCTAATGCGGGACTGCGGGAAGATGATCATTATAAATATGCGGTGAAGCGGTCAATGAAAGGACCTGACCATGAGTGCCCAGTCACCGTCTTTGAGATCCCTCTCAGTAGTCCGACCGATACTCTGCGGTTTGTGCAAGCTGAAAAGACAATTGTCAAATTGACCAACAACATTCTCGGCGCAGAGGAAGTCATAGAATAGCCATCGCTTCCTAAAACAGCGGATATCGGCGCGGAATATGGATGCTGTATATGGGCGAAAACCTCCCGGTTGATACACAGTAATGAGAAGATCCTCAATCTGCAGAGATTTCAATTCAAAATCTCCTGGTTGATATTTGTGTCGATAGTCTGCAGGGTTCCATGGATTATCTGGGTCCCACGTAATGGATCTGCGATCTAGAAAAGGTTGTCAGCGCAAATATAAAGATTCTCTGAAGTGAGCACACCAAGGACCCCACGGACGCCTTTCACAACCGCATCTTCCACCAAGCCCTTGCCGTCAAGCCATCTCCAAAGCGATAACGTCACGTCGATAGAATCAACATTAAGATCAAACATGGCCCAATTAACATCATCTTCAGAAATGCTGAAGGCTTCCTCCTCCTCCACTCCGTGATTAGCCGGATGATCACTGACATCGTAACCGAGTGCAGCTGTATGTCCAATGCTTTTGCGTGAAGGAGTGGAAGTCGTCGGCCGTCGAGAAATGTAGACATTCTTAAACGATATACGTGAATCCTTCCACTTCGGTACTATGGCAGACTCAAATATGATGGTGACGCCAGTTTCTGATGTGAGATAATCACTAATGGCGCGAGCAACGAAGTCTAGAGAGAAGATTCAAATCGGGTCAAGGACGATGCTTGCCCACTTACTTTGCAACCTCAGACTATTGGCAATGGCAAAGATTACGGAGAAAAAGGTCGTGCTGCAGATGATAAGTTGGAGGTAGAACAAGAATAAGAAGGAAGACAACATACGTTCCGATCAGTATCCAGATTGTCTGGCTCATTACGAACCAAGTCACGAAGGCCGAGATGTCATCGGCGTTAAACTTTCGAAACGACTTGATTGTAAACCATTTGAAGCGGACATTCATCCGCTGCCAGAACCCATTAGCCACCTTCAGAAAATCGTCTCGTGTAGGTCGATGAAGGTGAGGAAGAGAAGCCGCTAGACGCCGAAAGAGTCGCGAATAGTCCTCTACGTCATATGCAGGAGAGTATGATCCTTGTGTTTCCGCGTGAAGGGGGTCTGACTCGTCCTGAGGGGGGAGGGTACGTGATAGCGGAGGGTACGAGGGTGGTACTTTGGATTGAGAAGAAGATGGGTGGCGAATCCCGGAAGAAGACTCTGAAATTTCTTTGTCAACCTGTCCGGAAGTTTCAACATTTCTCCCTGTAACAGCATGTTCATCATCCAATAAATCGCTCGCGACGGTGGATGAAGATTTCCCAGATATGTGGGAAGGCTGCGTGTCCTTGGACGGCGGTGGACTAGGAGTAGAAGAAGCCGAAGACTTGTCAGGTTCCCTCTGAGCCCGTTCTGCCTCAGTCTCACCACTGGAATTGCTTTCTTCCCGCCCTGCATCCGAATTGTGATTTTTGGATTGAGGAGAGGAAGACAACAGCGGCTCTTCAGAGTTTGTCTTGGTAGATGAAAAGGGGTCTTGCTCTGCAATATTTGTCTTCTCGTGTAAAGCTTCACTGGACCTCTGGGTATGTCTGTTCCCAGATCTAGGGGGTTCGTCACCACCCACTAACGTAGACATTATCGACGATGCCTGAAAAGAAGGCGAAGACGGCCCAGGAAGTTCAGGAGGTCGAGGAGCATGATTCTTGAAATCTGAGATAGGCAAGGGATCCTGAGGGTTCTCTGGAGACCCATCATTGACCATACCCCATGATTGGTTACGAGATGTCCGTGACCGTGATACTACACATGTAGAATGAAAATAATGAACTTGTCCTAGGGCGCAGGTCAGTGACAATGTGCTTCCAAAAGATCCTCTCCGCGACAACGGTGAGTTCCTGCGTGGCTTTGGAATGAATGATTCTTTCGAGGACGCCCAACGAGAAGCAATGTGGACTTGGAAAAATTCACGAATAATGCCATACCGGTCGCAGTTCGCCTGATTTGACCGTCCTAATGGCGTGGAAAGGGTCCGTCCTATAAGTCGTCCGCTTGTGAAAGAGGTGAGAGACATCGCGTCTCTCGACAGGAGTGGTCGAACGACCGAGATAGAGGTTCATAGCGAAAACGGAGAAACTTCCGTCGTCTGCCGGAATTGGCAAGCACGACCATACAGATTCGGGCCAGACACCGGTACCTCTGAGAGAACGTCATCAGAGGAACTTAGTGTTGAGAAACTCAAAAGGAGCAATTGTCATTTGTTTCCTTCGCAGCAAGACTGCTTAGGGTCATTCAGATATCATCACCAGAAAGTGCACTCTGAAGAATACTCAAGTAATTATTAATAAAGGCTCGGACATAATACATCAGTACGTCGTGTCTGTCCAGCTCTTCCAATCCGAGCCCAAAACAGACGACTTGGAAATAGCCGCAGAGGTAGGTGTGTAGTAAAGGCGTTCAGAAGTATCTGAACCAGCACCCGTGTTGCCGTACTCGGAAAATATCCTACGAGATCGTCATGGAATCAGAAGTGCTACATCCCAATAAAATCGTGTGCGTACGGCGTTGCGTTGGCTGCCAAAGTGGTATAGCCTTGTGGATTGATCAAATCTGGCAATTCGCTATTCTGGAACACAACCCGTGCTAGGGCTCTCCAGGGGCGTCCTAGATACACCTTTTCCGTTAAGTCGCTCGTAGTGGAATTGGCTTGGACGACCACGGAGCTATCGATGACATAGTAGCTAGAGTCCGATGCTTCCTCGCGAGAATTTGCTGTAATTGCCCCACCACCATTGCTTGCAAGTGTACACTCGCCAAACCACGCTGAAGAATCTCCATAGATGTAGTCAACTGCGCCTTCAATATAGCAGTTGCTATAGTATTGATAGCCACCGTCTGCCAAAAGTGTGTCCTGACACAATATGAGAACCCACATTGGAACGGAAGAGGACGAACATATAACCTGGTAGCCCGTGAAATTAGAACCGTAAAAACCTTGCTTATTACCTCGAGCGGCAACTGCGGTCGCCTGCTTGCCTTTCCCGTAGGTATTCTACACGAAAGACGACGATTAAAAGGCACAAGACGGCAAATAGGAATGAACTTACCTCAACGATACAATTGTAAAGGTTGAAACCATCTTTTTCGGCTCGAAGCGTTGCACATGCATCATTACCGCCATTATCCTGAGCATTCAAGTTGTTTGTAATGGTCACAACATTCGACTTGTAGGTGCTGGTGCTGTCAAATCAAAAGTCAAACGGGATTGGGCAATTTCTCTTAAATGACAAAGGCACACTCTTCCGTGTAGCACAGCATAGTGACATTCGCAACACCAATGCTCACTTGCTCATTATATGTGCCTGGATATATAAAGATTGTCTCACCACCGGAGAGCGTGGTCACGGCTGCACTAATTGTACTGCAACGAGATGTAAGCGTACGTCAGATAACCTTCTAAGTCCTACGAACCTGTATTCTCCGCTCTCTGTATCGGACTGTCGCACGACAACAGCGCCATCTGGGGGGGAGGTCCTGGACGCCGCAAACGTGAGAGAAACCCACAAAAGAAGGTAGCAAGGTAGTAGACAGCTGGCGTTAATCATCTCGAAAACTCCTGACCTGCCTGAAAAAGCCTTAAATCTGGTAGAGTCTAAGCCACATTGTCAGCTTCTGTTTATGAGGAATACACAAAGCATCCGCGTTGTCTCGAGCATCATGCGATTGCATGTAACGCCGAAGAGATTCAAAAGTCAAGGCAAAGCATAATTTTCCGCGAACACGTGAAGAGGAGCGGTCCGTCCTTCCGGCCGAGGTCTAACCGCACATTTTCCCAGCATTGTCCTGTTTTTCACTTTTCACGCGTCTTCGTCCATGTACTGCGTACAATTGACGCTGATACACAAAGTATTCGTTTCTCATACGCTAAAAATACTTAATTTCTGTTGTCAGGAAGCACTCGCCCAGGAGAACAAAGGCATTTCATTCTCGCACGGAAGAAACCTGGTTTCCAGCACTGCGAATAGAAGAACTCTCTCTCTTGGAGAGCTCAAAGTCCATGTGCTCAGGTCCATTTCTAGATTAATGACGGCCCGCCTCACTATGAAACCCGTTCTAGGCATTCCTTTAAAGACTGACACGGCCCGTTTAACTGCAAAAATGCTGACCCTCCTTATTCTGTTATTCTCACTCTCTTTGTCTCGTGCCTTTGCCTCCCTAGGGCCAACGCCGTCTCTAGCCAAACGCGCTACTTGCACGCCTGCTAGTGCGCAGTCATCTTCCACAGACGATGTTCCCGCTATCCAGTCCGCCTTCGCTACGTGTGGGGATGGGGGAGTGATCGTCATTGCGGCCGACACGACCTATGCTATTCGTAGCACTTTGTCCTTTGGTACGATTCTTCTTTTTCTTACTTGCGTGTGTGCCATGGTCGAAAAATTTGCACTCTAGCCGGTTGTAAGGGATGCGAGTTCCGTGTCGAAGGAACCATGAAAGTCTCCTCTGACACCGATTATTGGAATGGTGTAACAGCTGTTATCCTACTTGATGGTATAAGCGGTGCGACTATCCATTCGACTACGGGCTCCGGGTTAGTCGACGGTAATGGCCAGGTAAGCAAGATCACACCATTACGCGATCGAAGAACAGATCTATCGGTTAAATATTTTTTCCCAGCCATTCTGGGACGTGTTCGCGAACAACAGCGATTTCGACAGGCCTACCTTGATGTATATCGATGGCTCCAGCGATATAACAGTTGAAAATCTCCGTTTCAAAAACGCTCCCAATGTGTTCCATTCTGTCGTTGGCGGATCCACAAATATCCTGTATTCGGGCTTGACTCTCACGGCGGCCAAGGCTGAAGATGACGGTGCCGATCCTAAAAATACGGATGGATTCGATGTTGGCAAGTCGACATATGTCGAAATCACCAACATCACCGTTAGCAATCAGGATGATTGCGTTGCTTTCAAGTCTGGGGCAAATTATGTTACAGTCACTGACATCACTTGCAAAGGGTCAGTAAATCGAAGTGAGATACGAGAAAGAGGACTCATATTTTCTCGTAGGTCTCATGGTCTGTCTGTTGGAAGTTTAGCCGGCGGCGAAGGCTCAACGGACACCGTAACAAACGTCTATGTCAATCACGCAACCATGACAGATTCAACGAAAGCAGTTGGAATCAAACTATACCAAGGTGAACATATCTGACTTTAATTGCCTCACCGACGTTAACCCACATTCGCTTAGGCGGCTCATCTCACGGAACGGCCACTGTAAAAAATGTTACTTACAACGACATCACTGTTGATGGATGCGACTACGCCGCCCAAATCCAATCTTGCTATGGCTCTGATACCACCGCAGAATGCACTGCTGCGCCATCAACGGCTACGCTGACTGATATCTATTTCACTAATTTTAAAGGCACAACTTCAGACACGGTATGGTTCTAGTAATCTCGCATTCCTACGTTGGAATTTTGACGATGTCTATGTAGTACGACCCCGTCATTGCCAATCTTAATTGTCCCGGTGCCGGTACTTGTGATATCTACTTCAGCAACTTCAGTGTCTTGGCTCCTTCAGGCGGTGCTGAAGTTTTGTGCTCCAACATCGACAACAGTGATTTCGGCCTGTCATGTTCAGGTAGCGCATCTGGATAGATATATGTAGTATCGCAGATGAATTGTTATAAGACTATCCTGTCAGCAATAAATAAATGCCCATCAGGAATGTGAAGGTAGAACAAGACCGATTACCGACGCATACGCGAAAGAACCAAGCTCGTAGTGTGTCTTCTTGTTCGAATTGCTCCTTACAATGAGACTGCTCGACGACGTTGCTCTTTATTGATCCAGTGAATAGCAAAGACCTAGCATGCAGACATATTCGATATCTATTGCATTTCTTATCCACCTTAGCCTACGTCAAATGGGTATAAATCCTACGACTCAAAGGCAATCTGTTATAGATGAGGATAAGCTAGTGAAATCTCAAAGAGAAAGGATTGTTACTCCAGCCCCAGCCGAAGAAAACGTATTACCCGGACTGACAAAAACCACGGAAGTCCTCCTTGTTACTGCTCCATGCAGCACGCGACAAAGCGAGTCCCCAATCTTTCAGACTACCAACATCAGAATACATCAGAATAAAAGGGTGAGCTGGTGTGCAATTCAGATGATCATCTTGTCGTCATCAGAATCTTCTCCATCTTTCTCTCCAGCGTGTGGTTTCGAGCCAGGCTGTTCCCTACAATGTACGCATAGCTTCATCTTCGACCAGACCTCCCTTGCCGACTCGGAAGCAACGTTTCTTGCCTGTACCAAGTTTTTCTCATCAAACCCACCTGAAAATGACCGCCAATTGGTCCAAACGCACTTGACGCGCTCTTCAAGTCCGTCAGCAAAGAGGAACGCGAAGCATCCGCCCGCATCTAAAAGTGCTGCCTCTTCGCTGGATGGATCGATGACGAATTGCTTCGACGAAGCCAACCGGCCAACGGTGACAGCGCAAACTATGCCTTTCATCGGTATAGAAGCAGCATTGAGAAAGGCGAGCGTGCTGGCATTGATCATCGTTGCTGTCAGACCGTCTTTCCAGGATTTCGACGGTGAGCTGAGGGCCTGGACAACCAGCTGGATGAGCGTCCTAGGGTTTTGGGTGAGGAGTAAGGATGGTGTTAAAGCAGAAGCGATGGCGGATGCTAGTGATTTGGATTCCGTCGCTGAAACGTTGGAAAGTGGACGCAAATGAACGTCCAGCGTAGCTTTTGAGGGATTTTCGGCAGATAGGCGAGCTTCAATGGGTCCTGAGAGCGTCGCCAGTGCTAGATATTCGGGTCCTAAAAATGATGTTGAGCAATGGTCTTACCAGTGTTTTTGAAGGAGACCTACCGAAGCCAAACCGTGCAGACCCATCCACGCGAGCTAAATTGTCAAAATCGACAATCAAATCGCGCAAGTCATTTCTTTTTCGTCCGTCGCGTCGGGACATGAGATCTTCAAAGGCGGAGATGGACGAGAAAGCGGTGCCGTTTGTTGTTTGTTGCCTTCGTCGGGAAGTCGGGCCGGGGTGTCCTCAGCTAGCGCTCGGTTTTCAACGTTTCAACGGATATATGTATTGGGGCCAAAACAAAATACAATACACATTTCGTATTCGTGATCGTAATCATTAGGATAAAACACAAAGAGTCTAAGTAGAAGGACAATAATGCGATCATTCAAAGAAGGTCAAGTCGATAGTGGCTGTTACAGTCAACATCTTGACAACGCCGTCAATAGCAATACCTACGGACTGTCGGTCAATATGATGTTTAGAGTGAATTGACAATTTACGCACCGTGATTAATGCCTTCCGATCCAGCCTGCAACAGTCCGGTAAGGTTGGTCACTTCCGTCACGTACTTCTGGCCCAAGTAACTGGGTTCTCCAGCAGCAGCGGCAACGAGTTCATCACTGAGTTGAGCCAAGTATTAGCACAAGAAAAATCAAGAACTGACTAATGACAAACCGGCCGATGTCGTATCCATCGGGAACGATGTTATGACTTTCACTCAGGTCCTAGAAGGACGGATTTCAATTATATGCTTCCTTGAGTTTCCCAAAAATCTTACCTCCTCTTTGGAGACACTGAAGAACATCAGGTCAGCTCATACGCCTACTGGCGAAGGTGACGACACTCACGCGAGGAACAGCGCGCCACTATCTGCATCCGGGCCAGTTTGAGGGAAAACACTGCTCCAGATTTAATTAAAAAAAACTCGATGCCAGAGTACTCGATGACGTACCGGAAATGATTTCCACCGGTTAAACTCTCTATGCATGTACCAAGGATGGGGATATCGAAATCCTGCCGGATGACAGCCTGATAGCAGGTTAATCGAAAGTGTTAGACAAACAAAAAGACAGCCCACCGTTTCGTTGACATCTCCTCGACCATCACCCAAGTTGGCGGACTGTGGTGTTCCAAGATGTTGGCCGAAGCATTCAATTGAGCTAGGAAACCGTAAGAACATGAAGGGCTCGAATCCATAAACACTGAGTCACAAGCCAAGGGCGCGGAAATAGTTGATAGCACCCAGGGGAGAATTAATGTCCAGGACGGAGGGCGTGCTCTTGGCGGATATAATGACCTGCAAGGAATTGAGAACAACGTTCCTGCAGATAACCAAGTGGCAACGTACATTGAGAGGCTCACCAAGTCCTGCAGAATTGTCAAGCATTGAGCCACCACTCAAGAGTGGATTATAAAAGTCCACATCGGCGGAGCGATGGGAGATGGGACCCGCGGAAACAGTGGGCAAGAAGAACGATAAAAAGAAAGACAACATCGTAGAGAACGAAAGAGGAAGAGAGACAAGACGAACGTGGGGGAAGAAACGGCGAGATATAGCTAGCCTGTGGGAAAAGCTTTTATAAATACTTCTATCCTATATGATCGTGGTTACTATTTTCGTGCATCACGGTAAATGAGCGGGATTGCCGGTACATCGTAAAGCTTGGATCGCTGTGTGAATGTCCCAAGGGAAAGTACCACATGGAAGATAGAATACAGATCACAGGCTTACGCATTCCTGCATTTCATGTGGTCTTGATCAGCTCGAAGGAGGTTCGTTCGGTACATCAGGAGCGACGCGTCAAACGTTCGTTGAGTTAACACATGTCGGCATCCGAGAGAAAAGATCGGTTTCTGGAGCATCATTATTCCTTCCGGTGCTAGGAAAGAGTGCGAGACTGGTAGCCCAGAGACCTGGAAACGTTTGTCTTAGGAACATGGAAGGCCCGGAAGGATAGTACAAGCTGATCGGCCCACAGAGAGTCCGCAGCGGAGATAAAGACAGAATGCTGAATGTTTATGCGACGCCAAATTTTCTCAGGACAAGATCCAGTCATCAGCAAGGAGTGAAGAAATCGAAGTAGTGGTCATGGTGGAGAGTAAGAAGGGTCACGTGCTCCCCATTATTGCGGCCGTAACCCTTTCGACGGAACAAAGACCAGTACCACGACCTATCTTATTCTTATATCTGTATCAGTTTATCACTGCAAGAGCCGTCCTACCAGTGGGTATTTCCTATTCTATACTTTCTGTCCATCTTATCTTTTCCCTTCCAGCACTTGCGTTTCCCTCCTTCAATTGAAGCGACTTTCCTTCATGGAGAATTCGACATTACCTGCTCCCACATTTACGGAATTCAAGTTCAGAGACATCGGGCGGGCTCCTGCGCTGCTTCATCGCTTTACTTCTACTCACTTGGGTGGGATTGAGCATTCTCCATCCCCAAGTCCACCACCTGAGGAGCATGCTGGTGCACCCAGCCCGTCCGTTTCCATATCTCGGCCGACTTTAATGCAAGTCCTTGGAACTTGCTCCAGCGACGTCGATGTTGCTGGAGTGGCGGCATCCACTTCGGGTGATACCATTCCGGGGCTCGCACTGCAACCGTCGCCCAGCATCACCCCTGAAGCTGTACCTTCTGTACCAACCTCCTCCATTGACAATGCTTTATTAAATACATCTGAATGGCAGCTCCGATATCCATCCTCTGAGCCACCGAAGTCTGACCCGCATACTACCCATCCCTCTTCCACACCGCTGCCTGCCCCCACTACAGATGCCGTCCGTGCCACTTCACATGATTCGGAATCGCAAGCAGAGAATTCTTTGGCGACTTTGATCAAGCTCAAAGACCAGCTCTTGTCTTCGTTGGCCTTCTACACCCCTCCAAACCCATCCACTGTGTTTCTTCTTGCCAAAGCATCCTGCGAACAGTCTTCTGCCGCCCTCGATGCCGCACAACGTGCTCATACATTGGCACAGCAGTTGTTGAGTTCTGTTCAAGAATCTGTCAATGTTGCTCAAGAGGCACTTTGCGCCGCTGAACGGGCCCATTCGCTAGCAGAGGATGCAACAGTTGCCATGGAAAAGCTCAAAACTGACAATGAGCCATGGAAGGTCCTGGAAGAAACCATTAGAAGTGAGATTGCGTCTTTGGATCAGTGGATAATGTCGGAGAAGTCTAGGTTATTAGCCGAGACGAGAAGACTTGCCAATAGTGCACGGAATTTGGACTCCGGCAATAACGCCTCGCGTAAGACACTGTTCGCCCCTAGGGCTACCCAACTATCGCGAGACTTCGTAAACAGTTTCGAACCGCTCCCTGACAGCGACGTTGTTATGGGCTCTCCCGACGATCATAATGTACAACTCCATCATGATGAACCAGTGGCGCCAGACGATGGCTTACGTCGCCGGCAGGAGATACAATGCAGGCTTGATGAAGAAATGGCCGCCGCCGAGGCCAAACGCGTGGAAGACGAAGTGCGAGATGTGGCATTGCGTAAGGACGAAGAGGAACGGCTTAAGAGGGTGAAGGACGCCGAACTTGCAGCTAGGCGGGCCCGAGAAGAGGAAGAGGCTGAAATCTTGCGGGCGAGAGAACAGCGAGACAAGGAAAAGAAACAACAGGCTGAAGATACAGAGGCTCGAAGGGCTGCACAGAAAAAAGAACGACGCGAGGCTGAGGAAGCGCTGGCTAACAGAAGCAGAGAGGTTGAGAGGAGACGGGCGCTCGAGTTGAAAAGACACCAGGATTTACTAGCTGAGCAGAAGAAGCAGCGTGAAGAGGTGCAGCGCGCCAAGATGCAATATAATCGGGTACAGGCCGCTCGGATAAATGCAGAGAGAGCGAAGGGACCGTCTACAGACAATGTGACCAGCTCTCCTCCGCCTCCTCATACTAGCTCGGCAATTCAGCAGTCGAATGGGCTTCCTCATCCTTCTGCTTCGGAAGCAATATCTATGAATGCAGCACCGATAATACTTTCCTCCCAACCTCAGGTGTCTTCTATACCATCATCTTCGCTTCCTATGCGTCGGCCTGCTACATCACCGGCGCCTGCTAGCACGCAAATTGGAAGTACTGGAGTCCAACAGATTGTAGATGTTGCCTTACCTGTGCAGGCAGTCAAGGAGCTTCCCGAGAAAGGGAACCGTCAGGCGCACTCAGGCGACGTGAAGTTGGGAACAATCTCTACACCTAGCACCGACCCGCCGCCGTCTTTAATCCACACTACCTCTCTTGGACTACGACCACGTGTGCCTGCGACGTCGCCGGTGCCTTCGACTCTGCCGCCAACGGATGCCATCAGAATGACGCATACCTTCCCGAGCATGCCCAACTCAAAAGTCTTATCAACAGCTTCCACCATTATCGATTCGCACACAGGCACCTTTGCATCCCAAAAGCCTACATCCGCTGACAAGCACAGTGTTCCCCCCATTGACCATCTTCCTCAAACTCCTCTCAGCCCACCAGATTCTGAGACCATGGTGCCATGTTTCTCCTCAGACAATGGCAATGTTCCCATTGTCAAGATGGAAGACATGGATGAGCTTTTTCATGTACAAGAGGCCAATATTCGGCATATCCGAGAGCGGAGTCGCGTCGACGCGTCGCAGATGGCGAGAATAGAGGAAGTCAGCCGTCAGAGTATTAACACCGTCTCTCAGCCTCCAAAGATTGCAGATGCTGTTTCTGTTTTCTCACCGCCTGTCCAAAATTCTCTTCCTCTCAATGCTGTGCCTGTCTCTACTCTACCTCCTTCTTTTGGCTCCATACGGACCCCAGATGTTCTTGCCTCTCAGAAGATTGCTGCCCAAATGCCCGTGAATCCTGTTGAATCAATGCCTGCTGCTGCACCAAACCCCCCTACTTTGTTCCGGAAGCCCCAAAAAGGCAAGGCTTCTAAAGCTTCTCCAGCGGATCAAATAAGCTCTCAGCCTTCCCGAGGGGACCAAAAAGCATCCTCAAAAAATGAATCAATGCCTCCGACCAACCCAAAGGTAGCATCGGCCCCAATCAATCAGAAGGCACCAGCAAAGGAACAAGCACCCGTTGCGGCCGCTTCTTGTCCTTCTCCCAACGCCGCTCCGGCAGCGAAGCCTTCCACTCAGAAGAAAACGCCCACAAAGCCACGATCAGCATCGCCACTGACAGTTCAGACAGACCACGGACGCGCCACTCATATCCAATCTTCATACCAATCAGGCCCTTCGACGTCTCGCGCACCCGAACCACGTGGACCATCGCCGATGGGACCGGCAGGTTTTCCTAGTGACAGCGGATGGCACAGTGCTCGCCCTGTCGACGAAAATGCCGCTCACGAGCGTCGTTCGTATGAATCTGACCGATATCCGTCTTCATCCCACAGACGCGGATGTTTCTCTCCCGCTCAGGATTATCCCAACGAGTCCAGTTCCAACTCTTACGATAGGCGTTATGATCATTACTCTCCCCCACCTCCACCGAGTCCCCGAGGCGGGTTCATGTCTCCGATGCCTCGCTCTCTTTCGCCAACTCCTGGTATGAAGCGGAGGCGAGAAGATTCTGCCTTTATTCGCAATCGTCGTCAGAGACAAGACGTTGATCCTTACAGCCGTGAACCAAGGTTAAGAGCAAGAGGCGTACCTCCACGACCCCAGACACCCCCTGCTGCTTGGAACCGGGACATCTCTCCACCCTCTCCACCTCCGACATTAGTTTCAAGACTAGGAGTAAACGCTGGTGATCCTGCTGTCGCAGATTACGACTACTCTGCCGTTACCACTTATCCATCTACATATTCCTACAAGACCAGCCGTCGACCTGACAGTCTACCTCCTCGGAGCAGCAACGACAGCAAGAATCCTCAGCTACTTGGACGACTTAGTAATGTATTCGGGAAACCCCCTCCTTCTCAACCAATGCGCGGTCGTAGAGGTCGAGGTGGAAATCCTAAACCCTGTTTGGCTGCTCGTATAGGTAACGCTGGTATCAATGACTCTTATTGATGAAGTGAGTTCGATATGTTGTAACCATGCCGGCGATTCGAATATATTTAACTGATTCAGACAATTAGATGTATATAAGTATAATTCTCTTTCATATTTCTTTGTCCTTTTGCTGCGGGTTCTGACTTGTGAAGCACAACGAACGTTCGACTTTTTCGACGGAATGCATTATCGACTTTTTTTGTTAACCCGATGTCATTGTATCATGGGAAATACACATTTCTGCCATACGATGCGAAGAGAGCAGAAACTGTCATACCAAAATGCAAATGAAGGGCTCTCCCCCCCCTACCAGCCCTTACCCTCCCCAACCCATGACAACTTCCATTGATCGGAGTTCGGTCGTCGCAAAGTATACATAAGCCTGTTGCGCGCAAGAAAAATATCTGAGGCTTGAGTTCTGCCAAGGCTCACTATTAGTGTAGTCGGTCCCCGGTCAGTCCCGATGGAAATCAGCTATGCGGATCGGTCCGCAGGTGGCGTTGAAGCGCCTCGTACGCATCAAAAAGCAACCAACGAAGTTTCACTCACCTCCATTTCTCTGATCTCAAAGGCTGGGTAAAGAGTTTGATTGTACTAATTCTGTCTGGTTGCAACGGACAAAACTAAGTCGTGTGGCTACCGCCGAGCCCTCGGACCAAGCCTGGTCTGCGGCCCTTACACAGACAAAGTCTAATGTCGTAACTATACCTGGTGCGTGCCTGCAATCGACCGTATTATTCAATATACTTATTTCTTTCTCGCAAATTAGGACGACACCTTTTTTGACTCTTGACACAGGGCTGCCGGGATCACTGATATTATTATCTGGAGCCGGGGCTCGTCTGGAGAAAAAAAAAGGAAAATATGCTGCGCAAAGTATTAGCGCCATCGGTCGATTGTTTTGATGGCAATCGAGCTCATGTGCGGAAGGCTGCCACCTTGTTTCGGCCTCAGGCTGCGGACCTATCGATATCATATTCACACGAAGGCTGCCACCCCCGTTCAGGATATAAAAGCATCCTCCTACCCCTTCTTTTTTTTTCTCACTCCTGTACACCCACTCCCAACACTCTTTACTATCCCCTCACACTCCCTCATCATGTTCAAAGGTGCAGCAATCGTTCTCCTCCTCACCTTGACATCCTTTGTCACGGCTGCAATCAGCCTCCCCCATGGTGAACGTCCTCTGCACCGCCGTAGTGGCTGGGTCCGTCGTGCCCAGGAAGAGCGTCAATTGTCCCATGGTCATCAAGACCACTCCTCCGCCGGAGGCTTCTCGCCAGCCATTGGTGCAGTTGTGCAGACTACTACCACCAGCACATCTGGTCAGTTCTTGTCTTATTCTTTTCCTGAACGCCAGGCATTTACGACTTTCATGTAGATGCCACTGCGGACACTACGGACACTACGCAGACTACGGAAACTACTCAGGCCACCACGACTACGACCACTTCAGCGTCATCGTCCACTAACTCCGCTTCCAGTATCGTCGCGGCCACGTCGTCGAGCCCAAACACCGGAGAGAGTACGTTCGCCGCCACTTTTGTCACTCTTTTTTTTGCTCATTGATCTCCTCCCTAGTCACCTACTACAGCAGTATGTCGTTTTGGTCATAGGTATAGTCGTGGAAGGTCTAACATGTCTTTTCAGCTGGTTTAGGTGCTTGCGGTGAAACAAGCAGTGACACTGACCGCATTGTTGCGCTCTCCGAAGATCTCTTTGACGCCTACACGTATGGCTAACTTGCAAGTTATTTTATTTCTAGCCTCTGATGCAGTTTTGGTCTTAGCACGGATGGCAACACGAACGACAACACCTTGTGTGGCAAAACTATCCACATCGAATGTACGTTGTTTCTACAAGTTTCTCTTTGAGCAATCTCTGACCGCATTGCAGATGGCTCAAGCTCCACTGACGTGACCGTGGTGGACCGATGCACTGGATGCTCAATCACAGACCTGGATCTATCCCCCACCGCGTTTACCGACTTGGCCGATGAGAGTGAAGGTCGTCTAACCGGCGCCACATGGTATTTCTCGTCTTAAAACTATACCCCTCGTTACAGTTCTAGAAGATTAAAGTAGCTTATCGGATTGGTCTACTGGATAGGTCACCACTGTTATTTAGGGCCTGGCGCCGTTGGTATTATCCGACCTGTTGTACTACTTGTACTGGTTTAAATGTTATCGTTTCTCTTGATGGGAGTTATAATTGCAGTCTTTCATACTTCTTTCCTCCCTTCATACCGATTCATTAAATAATCCCAGCGTTCTTCTACTTTCGATATTCACAAAGAATACATTGGTTACAGTACAATTTCATTCATCTTTGCTCTATGCACCGCATATTGACAGCTCCCGCATTTCTTGGAGCACACCTTCAACCTGGGCATCCAGTTGGCCGGCTGCGTAGTCATCTCTGACGTTATCCGCGAAATAGCTAGAGGCGGGCTCAGTACAGCATGAATGATCGTAGATAAAAAAAAAAAAGACAAACCGTTGGACACCGCTCAGCTTTTCGTAACCTTCTTCCGCGAATTTGGATTGCATTCGTATCATGGCTTCGAAACTAGGGTCAAAGTAGGGCACGCGCAGGTCAAGTAACTGCGGAAGTTCGGCAATCAACTGGTCATTGAGCATGTCGAAAACTTCCTTCGCTTCGTCATGCTCTTGTTGTGCCTATGAGTGGATATGAGAAAAGGACAGCAGATAGTTGAAAAAATCAACCTTGGGCATTTTTGTAGGGTCTTCACTGGGCTTGTCGATTAGTTTCCTAAGTTTACTCCTGGCAGCATCGTAATCTAAGAGCTAGACGCCACTAAGCAAAAGATTTCTTAGAAACTAGACCAGCATACCTTCTTATTACGCTTCGCAATATGCTCGTTCACGACGGGAAAGTATGCGCACATTTTCCCCAAGGGTTCTGAAATTGCTGTTCGATACGGAGCGTCCTAAACGGTATTAGACTTCGGAAAGCCGAACCCGGTCTGACTGATACTTACGAGTTCCCGACCAAAGCTTCCGTCCAGATCCTCAACCGACCGTTTGTAAGCATGACCAGCCATTGCACCGTCTGATGTACGGTCAGCCGCTCCGTAGAACGTCTCTAGCGTTTCCGCTATACGAGCCTGCGCAGCCGTCATCGCTAAAATAAGTATCCGTCAATATTCTGTAGATAGCTCGATGCTAGGGTCCTTGCCTCGCATGGCATCCCAATAGCCTTTGCTGTCTTTCTGAAGGACCTGGCATTCCTTTTCAAAGCTATTACACGTCAATGTATACGGAATAAATAGGGATCCAAAGCACGACGTACGTCCGGTACTTGGCCTCCTCGTCAGCGAACTCTCTGTCAACGGTTCTTTCTATCTGACCTGTCTTTTGAAGGAGCTGTGACGATATGGCAGCGTTCCATGAGGAGAGGTGACAACAAGAGGCAATGCACCTACCGTCGTGCCAGCTCGATTCACTGATTTCTTGAATCTAAGCAAAGGCGATTAATGAGGGTACAGTCGAAAAAGAGGAGGTATCAATGTCGTACCCTGACCAGCTCATTGTGAAAGGGTATTAGGAACGTTGGGTTAGCCTGGGTAAACTCAAGGTGATGGACAAAGCGATGTCGCTTAGTCATCGTCTTCGGCGAATTGCCGCTTTCGGTCCTCGGATCTTCCGTTACCTCGTTCAAGTTAACAAGGCAAGATCTTGTTCACTCCAAGTGCACTCAGAACGCAACCATGGGTCGTCCTCTGTTACTTGGACGTTGTCGCGACCCTTTGATATCCCCAGATTGTAGCCTTGTTCCTTCATTCGATGTTGAACCCCTCAAATTGTGCTTCTGGAGCCCACATTTCCTTCTGCATTGCGCCTGGACAGCACGCCCAAGGTGACATTGATCGCTCAATTAATTCTCAATGGTCGTTCCATTTTGCTGGTCATCGCCTAGCTATGATTCTGATGATCACGATTCCTTCTTTTTCACTGCCACCTCGACCTGAGAACTTTTCTAGAACCTTGGGCTCCACTGGATGCTTGAGCAGTGATGCTTGTTGGAATGCGTATCAACAGACTGGCGGCTACATTCCCGCCGTTTTCTCGGCGGGTTCTTGTCTGAATTGTGCGCGTCATCTCGACTTTCAAACGACACAAGCTCCTTATCTAACGACCCCCTCCGGTTCCTTAATAATTATCACGCATAATCCATCACGGTCGCCGGTGTAGCTAGCAACCTTTTGTGATGATTTGACCCGCTCCCGAGTCCCAACGACGGCCGCGATTGCACGATGATACAGTGCTTGGTACGTGTCCGTCTTCATACTTCTTTTTTAACCTGAAAAATCAGCCATTTTCTAGTAAGACAGTCAAGTACTCGACACCTGTCCTCAGCAGCTTTGGACGAGTCGGTTGATCATCGGTGATCATCGTTTTGATTTGATCTTGGCGCACGTGGAGGAGGAATCTTCTAGGCACCCAGGGGGACGAATGCTCAGAAATGCCTCTCAGTACCGTCGCAAAAGTGTCGCCGGTCGTCAAAGGAATGACGTTCTGTTGCCAGTCCCAAGCCAGTTCCCTTCAAGCCAAGCCTAATTCTCCTTCCAATGTGGAATATGCATATCAGCAGGATGCGGCCGGCTAAGGACCTTTACATTATAAAAGAGCCAGCTGCTCAGATGCGTAACCCAATACTTCTTCCTTCTTTTCCCCAAAACGTACACACGCCTGACTGGCTTCCTCACCGTCATTTACCTCTTCACGTTCACTATATCAGGCTTAGAACTGGGTTCCAGTCATAGAACATTGCCAATGAAGTCTTCTACTGTTTCTCTCATTCTTTTCAGTGCGACCTTCTTCGCAGTCGCCAATGCTCACAGTCGTGTTTGGAGTGACTGGGTTGACGGCGTTGACCAGGGTAATCTTTAACTACTCATTTGGTTGACAAGGGCATGCTCATCGCTCCCTCATGAAGGCGCGGGTGCTGGCATTTATATTCGTCAACCTCCAAGCAACAGCCCCGTCAAAGATTTGACTTCGTGAGAGTTTCGCTTCTTATTGCTCTGTTACTGCTGACCTGTGAATTTAGAGACGACGTCTTTTGCAATGTGGATGGTACAACTGCAGTGTCTAGTACCATCTCTATTGAAGCTGGTGGTACCCTTACTTCAGGTGAGCACGCTCCTTTTTGAGTCAACGTCGATCTTACTTCGGTCACAGAGTGATACCACGATACCCGGTACGTTTTCCTATCCTAGATGCAAATCGTTTTATGCTGACAGGGAGCGCACAGTGGTGACGACATTATCGCGTCCAGCCATGTTGGTCCCATTGTGGCTTACATTGCGCCCGCTGTAAGTTTCTTGCTGCCAGTGCTTTTTCCATCTCAACTTGATGTATAGGACGCTACACCCGGAGAGGATGATTGGGTTAAGATATACGAGGATGGTTATGACGGTAGCGAGTGGGCTGTGACCAAACTGATCGCTAACGAAGGTACTGTTTTCATGATTTAAAAAATCCTTAGTGTCAACACCTGTTTAGGAAAGGTCAATATTACCATTCCTTCAACTCTCGCTGCAGGCGATTATCTGTATCGTATCGAGATTCTTGCCTTGCATGAGGCGGACACTTTGTATTCCGAAAACTCTGCCCGTGGTATCCAGCTCTGTATGTATCGCTTGGGGTCTATGTATCGCGTGCTGATTCATTTTGTACTAGACCCTTCTTGCCACCAGCTCACCGTCACTGGATCTGGCAGCACAAGCCTCCCAAGTGGTGTCCCTTTCCCTAGGTATGTGTTTCCCTTCTAAATTCTTGCAGTTTTTCACCCGCCCTTCAGTACATACACCGACGCTGAGCCTGGGTATGTCCATACCCCAGGTATTTGACCTTTTTTCCCCATGGACTAAGCAACTCTGTAGCATTTACTTCAATGTTTACAGCGAAGATGCTTCCACCTACGTTATTCCAGGTCAGTCGTCCCCGCATACCATTGAATGTCACGTTTTCAGACGGTGTAGGACCCGATGTTTGGGACGGAACCGCTTCTTATGATACCTCTGGATACACCGATGGCTCCTCCTCCTCTTCAAAAGCCATCACCTCCACCGGTATATCTTATTATTAAATGTGGTAATTTTTAACATCATATATAAGCCTACAGTATTGTCCACCGCCGTCGCTATTTCTTCAACAACTGCTGTCACCTCTTCCAGCTCCATGGCAGCTGTCTCTAGTAATGCAACCAGTGCTGCTACTCTCGTTGCGACATCTGCATCTGCGTCTGCGACCTCCACTGTCATGTCTACAAGCAACAGCGTCGTGTCTTCGTCTGTTTCTCCTGCTATTTCCTCTTCTACTGCTGCCCTCGCCACCATAATATCTACCACTTCTGTAGCCACCACTGCAACAGCTACCACGACGACTGCAACAACAACCTCAACCTCCGGTGTTGTTGATGCTAACGTCTGCTACGACAGTGAGTTCATTTCTCGTTATCTATGATCCGTTAGCTGATTAAAGTTCAGACTGGAACACTTGCGTTGCCAAAAATCGCCCAAGCACTGACACCATGGCGTGCGACACCGAAAGGACCTCGTGCTTGTCGAACGCGACGATCAACTACAACATGGTTACCCGCGCTAAGCGAGATGGCAAATTCGGGAGACTGCTCATCTAAGTGGTATGGCCTCGTTTGCTTTAGTCATGGCCATTGGAATGACTTCTGCACGTAGGAACTTCTTGCACAATGGTTCTTGTGGTTACCCACTTGTTCATGACTAGATGTCGTGGATAGGCACTTCTAAAACCTTTCCAGCCATGACATCGGACTCTTGACGATGACGATGCTTTGTGGTTCCTTCATCATACTCGCTTTGACAGTCATTTTGTCTTTATTGTACAGTACTACACGGAATATGTTGTCGGCTTGCCTGCCAACGAAAGTGAAATCAGTCCTTAGTTCAAACTAAGTGTTTGACAGGAGACTTCAGCCCAGCTTTATAAATGAACTGGTTAGGCCTACTACTCTACTTGGCCCGGCGGTGCAGCAGGTCTGCTACAAACAAGTACTTAAAGAAAGTCGACCATATAGCAGTCCCTCAGGTGTTGGTCCGTCTCGTTTGTTGAAGATCCATAGTTGACATTATCACTAGACCGTAATTGTATAAAAATCCGATGAAACGTTGATTAAATAAATATAAGATGAATGCGAAGGGGGGGGATATTGCTCTCAAAGAGGCTTTTCTTTATTTACTGAGGCTCTGCCCGGCGAGCACGGTCCTCTTCCTCAGGAGGTTGGGTCCGCACCGGTTGGGCGACGACCGGTTCCGAGAAATGTTCGCGGAGGCGGGTGGTTGCCTGCCGTTGAATCTAGTGAGGATGAGATGTCAGGATCCGCTTACAATCAAAAGTTCAGACATACCTCGCCCCCAACAGTCCGAGAGATTTGAATGAGTGGACCTGTAAGTCCAAGTTGGAAGATCAGGTACCTGGATGAAATCAACCATTCGTTCAACAGTGGACAAGATGAAACACAACAACTTACGCAGCCGTCAAGCCGAAAAGTAAGAAGGTGAAGTATAGGGGGTTGAATAGTATGGCCATTGCTTCGTTCCAGCCTAGGACAACAAGCATTCCGTACATCCAGTAGGGTATCTGGGCCACGCTTGAGACGGTACTCCGTTTCGCCTCCACGTAGTAGGCATCGGCATCACGACGGAACTTATTCGTCAAATTAATGGCTTTAGTCTCCGTGAAAATAACCAGGGACGAAGCGAAGTCGTATTCTTCGGTGGCCGAGAGGGGGTCTGCCGTAGTAGCATCAAAGGGGAGCGTGTACTCCAGCGTAGAATCTTCGGGAGAAATCTTTGAATAGATTGGAACCAATTCCAGAGTCTGTAGGAGTGACAGTTAATAAATTTAAAGAGCGTGCAGACGCAGTGGCGTACTTGATCCTTCGCCTTCTTGAAGGCTCCATCAATGTCGTCTTCTGGCTTCCATACCCTGGGCACTCCGTTGTCGTCGTAGCGGAAACGCTCTTCGAAATGGGCACGCAGCTTTCCAAGTATGACGGCATCGGCAGTTTGCTCGTCGATCTTTGAACGAAGGATTTGCCATGCGCGCCGTCGTAGAGTAGCAAGAGCATTGACATTCTCTTCGTCGGTACAATTGAAGCCTAAACCAAAATATTAACTAAAGCTACAGCGGAAAATCATTGAACACATACTCTTGGCTTTGGACAGATAGCTACTCTCAGCCTTGTCCAAAGTTTGCTTAAAGGCCTTCAGCACCCTGTCCCACATGTCAGGCGACGGCTTATTCAAAGCCAGTTCTACGGGTTCGGAAATCTGCTTTTTGAAGTTTCGCTGCGTTTCAAAAATGTGAGCACAGTTCGACGAGAATGTGTAATGAGACATCATGCATTACCTCTATCATGTTCACCATTTTCTTCGTTTCATCCTTCCTACATTGATCACCTACTATTCCCATCTCTTCTTTCAGGAGTTCCATTTCCTCCTGCCAGTTCCAATCTGCACTATCTTCTACAACGGCTTCTTTGGCACGTTGCACAAATGCCTTCTCCCAAGTACTACGAGACTTTTTGACTACGTCGGCGAAGCTGTAGTCATCGCCTTTTAGACCCTCAAGAAGCTCTTTCTTGAAGGAAACGAGACAGTATTTGTGAAGGTTCTTAAGCTGACCAAGGAACAGTGGCGACAACGTTGAATCGAGCGAACTGGTGAGATCTGTGCGTTTACGTTGGTAGACACCTTGGTGATACCGTGAGGCATCACGGTCATAACGATCTTCATATGTTGCTTTAGTTTCAGTACTAACTAAAAATGAAAGAAACATACTAAGAGCGTCTGTCCTCCACTGCCTCATCATCTTTCCCAAACCTTCCACTACTTTCCCAGCTTCGATAGGCCTCTTCTGAGACTTGGATTGCTCATTGAACTCAGCTAGAGCTACACTAGAAATCTCGTCACAGCGGAATTGAGCCAGTAATTCTTGCTGTGTGGGCAAATCAAGATCCTTGTTCGTTTGTACTTGTTCCTTAGCACGCGGATCAGCTATAAGAGCCATGAAGACTGGGCATGACCTACCCAGATATTCTCCATATAGAAAGAAACACCATCTGCAGGGATTCGTTTGTGGTAGGCTGGTTTGAAAACATAGTCTGCGTTGTCCCTGTCCACAAACCGGCCCCTTAGATTCCTGACCTCGGAGTCAAACTTATCCGCTGCCAATATCTTGTGAGGGAGAGCTGTAAAAGCCAAGTCAAAGTAGTCGGAGAGCTGACGGTCACTCAGTTCCGTCGGTTTGGAAAGCGACTCCCATATGCGTTTGAGGTCGGCCGTCAGCGTTGCCTGAAGGTTGGCAAGAGGAGTAGTGCCAATGTGATCTCGTATGACAAAGAGCAGTAATGTGCGACCACTTGTCCCGTCCTGAGCCTTCTTCCCGAACAGGCCTAGGTTTACTTCAAAAACGGTCTTGAGCAATGCCATGTTGGCACCTTGGTAGAGTCCGACTTGGTGTTCCCAGATATTGATGATGAGGACTTCTGACGACGCTAGCGAAAATAAAGCAGATTTGCGTTCAAAATCCTTAAGGATGTCAGTCAACAGCTAACAGGTTATTGATGACGTCAAACGAACTTGGTCTTCCCCGCGCTCTCTGCCGTCAGTGCCTTCGACATCCATGACCATCACGCTCATATCCTGGCCTTTGCACATCCAGATACCTGAAAGCCTTCAGTACATATCGCAGTCAGACAACATGCATAGCTGACCTTTTGTAGTCTGTTGTCGTTTCGTCTCGTCCATTACGTCGAAGTTCGTGCCGAATAGTCTGTTCAGTAAGGTACCTGCAAACATAAGTACCGATAGCTAAGCGTGTCGAGAATCACAAACTTTTCCCAGTGGACTGAGATCCGAAAACTGCTACAATGTTGTAGCTGAAGCCTACATCCCTGAGGCCCCAACGTGCAATTTCAGTGTTTAACTCAGTCCTTCTAGGTATTCAGAGGAGGAAAGCAAGTAAACGGGGAGCTTCATACGTGAATTTCTTCTCGTCGTTGATGATTTGTATTCGTTGTGAGCTCGTGGTTGGGAATGCGGTATGTCCGTTCATAGTTGATCGTGAACCTGCTGTTTAGGCGCGTCAACCACGACCAGTAACAGTGAGAGAGACAAGAACCTTCCATAGCAGTCGGCAGCAGCGTCTAGAGAAATGCGAGAAGAATGGTGGGAATGCAGGGTGCCAGGACGTCAGCCTCCAGTCCAACCTGCGCGGTTGTGGGGATCGGCCACGTGGTTTTGTTGTTATTTGCCATCAGCTTTATTCTGCACTGCCACTCATGACACTGTACCTGTGAATCCTTGTTCAATCTTTGACAGAATCATTTCAGCTTCAGCTTCACAAGGCATCATATCAGTACTTCTGTTATTCAAACGGGAATTTGTGCATCAGATGGCATCTCGCTACCACCTATAGTCCTCGTGTCATACTTGTGTGTTCCCATGACTGATTCCGCGGCATCTCGGACGGGCCCGTAAGTACGTATTGAGTAGTTAATACTTACGGAGATGGTCTAAAAGTATTTTAGGTGATCTCATGTGAACTGTAACTTTTCTTAGCCCTTCATGTCCTCCTACTTCGATCAGTCGCGTTTGATTTGGAAACCCTTGCCTCGAAACTGCACAGCAGTCGACGCCTTTAGAAGATTCATCAACCACAAGCACGGCTTCCATTTACGTGCGTTCTTCATTCCATATTTGCCTGATATCATCTCAATCTGCTGTTCCTTAATGAACAGAGAACTATCACGACCTGCACCAATATTCTGTTGAGGACTATACGTTCTGGCTAGACTTATGGGAGTATTTACATATCGTTTCGTCCGTGCCCCCGAATAAATTACAAGTACATCCATTTCTTTATATCTGACATCGAAACAGCTCATAGCGGGATCTTACAGATTACAAGTCCAGGACGCACACCCGAGGTTCCCGTCTGGTTCCCGGGCGCTCGTCTGAACTATGCTGAGAATCTTCTCATACGGAACGATGACAGCCTAGCGATCAGTGCTAGCGGAGAGTCCGGAAAAGTCGTAGATTATACTTGGAAGCAACTCCGGGGCATGGTTAGAGAGATGGCAGCTGCCTTGAGGGTGAATGGCTTGGTTGTTGGTGATAGAGTAGCAGGTAAATCACTAACAACCTCTAGTGTTTTGCGTAGATGTCTCACGCGTCTTAGCTGTCGTCAGAAATTCCGCAACAGCCATCGTCCTTGCTATCGCGACTGCGAGTATAGGCGGTATTTTCTCGTCTACGGCCACCGATATGGGCGCTGAGGTAGGTCTTGGCCTGAAAATATGACATGCAAACTCAAACTAGCACAACCTTTATAGGGAGTGTTGGGTCGATATCGACAAATCCAACCCAAGTTCTTCTTTTCGGAATCAGAAGTATTATATGCCGGGAAAGTTGTCAATCTCATGTCGAAAGCTTACGCTGTCATTGAAGACCTGCAAGCACACGGCCTACAACATGCAATCTTACTCCCGAGTGGGATCACAGGAAGAGAGCTGACTCCGAGACCCGGATCGAAGTTGTAAGCATAATATTGATAAGTTTTGCGTTTTCTCCATTTACATCTCCGCGATTGAAGGACGGCACTCTCGGCCTTCCTTGCAACAGGTGATAACAGAGAACTAACGTTCGAGCAGCTTCCATTCAGCCAGCCTCTGTTCATTGTGTATAGTTCGGGTACTTCGGGGCCTCCGAAGTGTATCGTGCATTCGGCCGGTGTTCGTTTTCTCCCCCCCATCGAGCTTCTTGATCTCGTTGAAATGTCGTTTTTCCCCTTAGGGTGTCCTTATGACTGCCAAGAAAGATGTCCATCTCGGAGCTGATCTCCACTATGGTCAAACTTTGTTTCAGTATACATCTGTACGTCTTTGGTCCGGTAAATGAGATGGCGCTGAATCTTACACGTAGACGGGATGGATAATGTGGACTCTCATGCTTACTGCGCTAAGCTGTGGCGCGCACGTTATCTGTTACGACGGATCTCCTTTGCATCCTGATCTACGAACCTTCCTCAAGTTTATCAATGACCAGAAGTACCTATTTTAGCGTACTTTTCTTAGACGGAGATGCTCACTAATTTCCGCTCCAGTGTTACTCTATTCGGAACCAGTCCGCGTTTCCTGTCGGAGATACAAAGCCAGGGAATAAAGCCTTGTCAGTTTCAACCGTGGACGTGATAGATTATCGTTCATCTGTACTTTGATAGTGGAGCTAGCGCCTTTCGAAGCCCTTGCATCAATTCTAGTCACTGGTGCCCCTCTCACTCCCTCGCTATTCGCATGGACTCAGGAAGTTTTCGGGGACACTGTTCATCTCTTCTCCACTTCGGGCGGTACTGACGTTTGTGGTGGATGTAAGTATTCTATTTGACTCATGTACAGTGCCCTCATGCGACTGCAGTCTTGACAGGAACTCCCTGCCTGCCATCATACGCTGGGGGTATGTGCCTGTCTAATCCCGACTATGGCTATCAGAATTTTGGTTTTTGCAGAATTGAAGGTCAAAGCTTTGGGAATGAAAGTTGAGGTTTTTGACCCTGAGGGAAACAACATCGAGCATACCTCTGAGCCAGGCGAACTCGTTTGTACGCGACCCCATCCGACGATTCCTTTGTTCTTTTGGGGAGATACTCCTGATGGAAAGAAGTTACGAGAAACATACTTTAGCACGTACCCAGGCAAGTAAATTCTACTCGAGGCCCTGTTGGACTCTCTTGACATATCTCATTCAGGTTTCTGGCGGCAGGGTGATTTCATGGTCATTAATCCTAAAACTAAGGGAGCTATAATTCTTGGCCGCAGGTCAGCCTCAATCTGCTCTTCATATACGCCTAATCTCAGAGTCTTTTGACAGTGACGGTGTTTTAAATCCAAGTGGGGTGCGGTTTGGCTCCGGCGAGATATACAACGTCATGGGAAGGTTTTCCTCTACCGTGGAGGACTCTTTATGTATCGGTCAACGCCGTTTGAAGGACCTTAATGAGCGAGTTCTTCTCTTCGTAAAAATGCGACCAGGAAACAGTTTGTCTTCGACTTTGATCAATGACATCAAAGACTCCATACGTACATGTCTGAGTTCACGGCACGTTCCTGCATACATATTCGAGGTGGATGACATTCCATATACAGTCAATGGGAAAAAGGTACCTTTTCACTGTCTTCCGTTCCAGAGACTTCTAACGGTCGTTCAGATTGAAATCGCAGTGAAGCAGATTGTATCTGGGTCCAGTTTGAAGCCGAGCGGTACTGTAGCAAATCCTGAATCGCTCAGATTGTACCAAAAGTACGTGAATCTGGAGGATTTGGTCAACGCAACGTCGAAATTATAATGTTGTCATTAGTCCATAAATTTCATTCCATGAATATACTCGTCGGGGTAACGTGGAAATAGATTAGCTTCAAATTGATTTGAATTTCTTACCAACCTTTCTCTCCCCCTACCTTTTTGCTCACAACGCTTGTCTGTGCGAACCCAGTATTCTTGAAGTGGGTGAAAGGTACACGTCTCAATACAGCTCTTTTTTTGTATCTTACCCAATGGTATATGTTCATACAAAAAAGAAACACGGTGGTCCTCCTCGTGCCACGGGTTATGAAAATGCGATAAGAGGTATCGAAGCGTGTACGACAACAATCGAACATCCAAGCGAGCTTAAGGGAGTCCCTAGTGTAGGCCCGACGTACATCGAGCGATACGCCACGTCCTTTACATCTTGTGATTGTGACCAACTCTCCTTGGATGGCTTGACCGAAAAATTAGACGAGCACTGTTCGCCCAGTGGAATGGACGTGCCTCATCCCAAGGAATACTTAGGTTACATCCATCTTCATGCTGACGCGCCTCAAGTTGAATGCAGGGCGCCCTAAGGAAAAATCTGAGTCTTTGGGACTTTCACAGCGTTTGCGAGATCTGGAAGGCAGGAGTCGAATGCAAAACGACAAGGACAAGGACGAGAATTCCGAAAACGAAGGTGTATCATCAGATTGTGCGAACCCTCTTTTCCTCCAATGGGTTCAAGGTTTGCTCTGGCTCTGTTTCCTCGCAAGCGGTGATTTTATCCGGTTTCTATCTCATAGAATTTCATGACGAGAAGGATTACCCGCAAGCGCGGCGGTCCACCTCGCGCGACTGGGTATGAGAACGCTCTGCGCAGCATTGAGGCGTGCACTACGAAATACGAACACCCGATGGAACTTGCGGTTTTAACAGGTGTAGGCGCAACGTGTATCGATAGGTGTGTATGCATCTGACGTGTCGGATCTGGAGCACTTGGGTGTTATAGGTTGACAGAGAAGTTGGAAGCGTACGACACAGAAATGCCAAAGTATGAGCCTAAGAACAAGGCAAAGAGGTAAGACTGACTCTACCCATGGGCAGCCCCTGTAAAAAAGGAGGAATACAAGTAGACGCTCCAAGCGGACCAAGCAGAAAGGTGAAATATTTGTCTTTTCATGTTTTTTGATCTTTTCGGTGACACTTCCTCGTCTTATTACAACGATCTCTTGGCCTGAGAGCTCCGACTCGCTATAAAAATATATCGGTTAGATGTATGTTGGTTAGATGCGTCTATACTCACTACGCACCTTCTGCAAAGGCCGGTATTCCTCATCACTGTCATTGGCATCGCTTTTGCGTTTCTTAAGAGTAAGAAAATCTCTTCCAAATTTAGCATTCACGTCACGACCGGACGTGGGGGGCTTTTTTTACGGGAACAAGATACTGCTGCTTTATCGACACGATATTTACGGAATAAAAATAAGGAATCGGCTTGCATGGGTGCACAATGAACACGGAAGGAGAAAGCCAGACCCAGAGGCTCATATGGGCAGGCTTGAAGTTTCCAAGGCCTCTGCTTATCTTCAGCTGATACACGGGATCAGATAAGGGCCTAGAAAAGGATTGGAACGCCGTGGCATACTGGATTGCCATGTGAGGTACAAATTATGTTTCAATTTCATCTTGCCAAGACCCGTGACAAGCCGTGACCGGCGTGTGCGCTTGTCAAAGCATCTTATCTGGGACCTCTTTTCTTTTTTTAATCCAGCACTATCTCAAAGCAAGTATCATTTCACTTTCCCCACTGTTCCCTTGTCGAATTTTCGGAAGGTCAGAGTACCTCCCTTGTACGCAGGCAGAATCAACGCTTGTAATACCCCGGATCAAATTTGTTCCATATCGATACCCGTTCCAGCGGGTAGCGTCGATCATCAAATGTAGAATTCCAAAGCTGCTCTTGTGACGCGCCGCTACAGGCGCCTCAAACGCTCAGAACATGCATTCAAGGCGTTGACAATGTCTAAATGCTCTGGGTCTTTCGGGGCCATAGTGACGAATGTCTTGGGGCGCTATGCTCGACCAGGTGCTCTCGGCTCCCCGAGATTTCTACTGCCTTTCCCAGTACTGCGACATGACGCTCTGCCCGCGGGGGTTAGCTTTGGATTTCCGATGTGACCATATGGCTCGTGCGTTTCAAGTCTGACAGCCATATAAAATTGCCATACCAGTACTCTTCTACCCCCCGCATCTTACAAAAATGGGTTCTAACGAAGAAAAGGGAACGAAAACAAAGCCTGATGTCTCCACCGATGTAGAACCTGCTAGCGATGCTGCCGGACAGCCTACACTGGCACGTCAGCTGAAGAACCGACATGTTGCGATGATTAGGTGCGTGAAGTGAAGACTTCCGTTTTACGTCTTTGGACTGATTTTGGTTGCGTCATAGTATTGGAGGTGGGTTTCGTTCCCTTCCTTTTCTATTAACGCTGAGATCGCATCTTTGTAGGCGTTATCGGTACCGGATTGTTTTTGGGTACGTTCAAGTTAGACTTAAGAGACACCAGCTAACGGAACGCCTCAGGAACTGCTACATCCCTGAAAAATGGTGGTCCAATTGGTACTTAGCCCTCATCAAAAACAGTCATTCAATCATCTCACGTTCTTGAAGGCCTTCTACTGGGTTATCTGACCCTTGGAACAATATGTTGGAGTGTCATGGTACCTTTTCGTTCACTTGCACCTCATGAATTTCTTTTCATCTGCTGATAGGTTTCTCTGGGAGAGATGGTCGCCTACCTACCCATCCCCGGTGGTCACATTAAGCTGGCCGAACGATTTGTGGACCGTGCATTGAGTTTTGCCATGGGTTGGAATTACTGGTGTGTCTGGTGTTTATCTGACAATGGAAACACGCTAACGTGTTCCGTCCAACAGGTATAACTGGGTCATCTTCATGCCTACTGAACTCAGTGCGGCATCCATCATTGTCGGGTACTGGAATAATAATGTCAACACTGCCGTGTGGATAACAATTGGATTGGTTCTTGTCATCACCATTAACATGATGGGTGCTGGGGCTTACGGCGAAGCAGAATTTATCTTTGCGTAAGTCACAAAAATGTCGGTTGCGTATATTCCTTCTAATCCCAGATGTCACAGATCCATCAAGATCATTACGATTACCGGATTGATCATCCTCGGAATCGTACTTGATCTTGGAGGTGAGATTTCTTCTGATCATAAAAGAGGTGTTAAATGATCTATGTCGTCCTAGGTGGTCCGAACCACGATCGACTTGGGTTCAGATACTGGAAGAAACCGGGACCATTTGTTCACTATGATAACATATCTGGCTCTACAGGCCAGTTCTTAGGATGGTACGCCAGTGCTTGCATTTTCAGCGCCTGTCCCGGTGATCGCAAATTTATTCAGGTGGTCTGTGATGTCACAAGCAGCCTTCGCATTTGTTGGCACGGAAATCGTCGCTGTAAGTGTGGTCAGTGTTTTTTGTAGACTTCTTTGATCCAGAACTCTTCAGATCGCTGCTGGAGAAGCAAAAAACCCAAGGTTTGACTTCGTTCTCTGTCATCGTCCCTGAACCAACTCGTAAATTTTTTCAGACGCAATTTACCTAAAGCCATTAAGAGGGTATACATCCGTATTCTTTTGTTCTACATCGGAGGTAAGGTCCACCGATGTTCATTTGACTATCAAGCTAAGGTTGAGTAGGTACAACCGTCATCGGACTTCTCGTCCCTTCGAATGACTCGCGACTTGACTTGAGTGACGGTACTGCCGCTTCTTCGCCTTTCGTCATCGCCATAAAGAACGCTGGCATTGGAGGGCTTCCATCTGTATGCTGTCCGTTTAATGCTCCAGGGTTCTTCTTGTATATTGTTGTAGGTCATCAACGCTGCACTTCTGACGTCGGCTTGGTCTGCAGCTTCTAGCGACCTTTACACTAGCTCGCGAGCTCTTTGTAAGCCTCTCACTTGTTCAAGTCATCGCGTTGTTAATCTGATAGCTTTTCAGTCGGTCTGGCTGTTGCCGGGAATGCTCCTAAAATCTTCATGCGTACCACCCGCACAGGCTTGCCTTACATTTCGGTCATTTTCTGTTCTTTGTTTGGAGCTCTAGCCTATATGGCTTCCAGCAATGGGGCAGGCGATGTATTTACGTGGTTCTCCAACATGACTTCGGTACGATAGACGCCTTCTTTATCTTGAGATCTGGCGATGAACCCACCGACAGGTCGCAGGTTTATTGACTTGGCTTGGAATCTGTGTAACCTATATTCGGTTCTACAGTGGCCTCAAAGCCCAGGGTTATGACAGAAGCAAATTGCCGTTCACCGCAAAGTTCCAACCCATACCTGCGTGGTACGGCCTAATCGGCTCCTTTGTAATCTGTTTCGTGAGTTTGTATATTTCACTTTATTTATCCTGTTAATCTTATCTATGTACACAGTTTAGTGGGTGGAGCGTTTTCCTCAAGGGCCACTGGGCGCAGGATACTTTCGTGACAAACTACTTCCCCTTGATGCTCTTCCCCGTCATGTATCTCGGCGCTAAGTTCTACTATAAGCGACCTTGGGTCAGAGCCAAGGATATGGACTTCGTTACCAATATCGCTGAAATCGAAGCTGATACGTATGTCGATCGGACGCATCGAAATTGGTACAGCTCTAATTTTGTTTACAGATATGACGAACCTCCACCTAAGAACAAAATCGAAGCCTTCTGGAAATGGCTTGTAAGTCATCTCATGCCTCTTCTTTCCCACAGAATGCTTGCTAATCTGTTTTGTGAAGATGTAATGTCACAGGTTTCGAGTGCGTTCTGTGACCGTGCATATATTTACGTGACCCCAATTTCGGTTTTCACCCACAAAATTGTTCACCATCTGTAGGCGGAGGTCTAAGGGTAGGAGGAAACGCAGGCCCAGTCAGATACGAGAAATAAATTTTGTGCTTCCAATTTTGGACATGCAACTATACTATAATGTCAAATATAATATTGTAAATCTCTGACAAAATGAACGATGTGATGGGTTTCAATACCTTCTTCATGATGATTTAATAGCGCAAAGCCAAAAAAATAGTGTGTCGTGACGGCTTTTAACATTCATCGCAGGCGACAGTAGCGAGGCCTCAGACTGGCGCGCCACTTATCCATATAGAGGAATTAGCCGCCATACCTGGCTCGACCCGACTGAAAATTTGTTTCGCCAATGATTGATGGAGAATTTTGCAGTGCGAACGACTACTGCAGCTTCTAACCAGCTTCTAACACTTCGATGTTTTAACTGACGGAGAAACTCAGAAGCAAATGCTGCGGCCTGCGGAGATATTCACGTATCGGCGTCATGATTCATCGTCAAGAATGATAATGTAAAGTCATCCATTTTTGTTTTGTCGGTCTCTTGCGCTCGTGCCCCGTTCAAGAAGGCAGAGGGCTCCACTTTCAAATCCGTGTTAGCCGGTTCCGACTATCAAAAAAAAACTGTCCTTCGATACTCGTGACACGATGTCGTCGAGGAATGCAAAGCCATGATGATACGACCTGTACATGCTTCGTCGTTTTAAAGGCGTCATCGTCAAGGCGAGGGTATTTGGACGGCTCATGCGCGCAAAGGTATCAAAACATGGAATAGAAGCTAATAGGTCGCGATTCCACCCCGCAATTTTCTAGCCAATGCCTATCGTACCTACTGCTGTATTCCTCGCTGTGCAATTCGACTATCTCATTGTCGGCGGTGGAACAAGCGGTCTCTGTGTTGCCGCCAGGTCGGTGTTCTCTTCTCTGTCTATCTCTAGAATGGAGGCTCCATACCTAATGTAGATTGAGCGAAGACAAAAGTGTCCTAGTTGGCGTCCTTGAAGCGGGAAGCTATGACTCCGATCTGCCCGAGATTGCAGTCCCAGGTCAGTGATGTATCTGTATCCCACATCAGTTGTACTGAAGTATCTGTCAGGGCTGGTAGGGCGTACAATGGCTCATCCTGTTTATGACTGGACATTTTTTAGCGAACCACAAGTTCACGCGAACGGCAGGTCAATATTGCAGTCTCGCGGCAAAGGACTAGGTGGATCTTCGCAGGCGAGATTTTTGGCATCATGGGCGAGGTCCTCATCTCACCTCTCCGATTTTTGCAGAATAACTTCCTAGGGACACTTCGCCCATCAAAAGAGGAGCTTAACGCTCTCGAAGAACTTGGAAACAAGGGATGGAACTGGAATTCTCTTCTAGAATCGATGAAAAAGGTACGCGAATTTCTTTTACGTCTTAGACGCGACTGAAAATAGTTTTGTTGATCGTCTTTTAGAGCGAGCACACCCTTCAGGATGATTTCCGCTCGGATAACGATAAAATGTTTTCCATTCCTCCAGATCCAGAATTCCACGGACACGGCGGTATGGAACCTGAAATCTTGCTTGACAATAATTCGCCAATTTTTCATAGGGCCTATCATAAAGTCACTATTCCCAGCATCCATCCCTCCTATACATGCGGCCTTGTTTGATGCAGCAGAAAATCTAGGTGTGGCAAGATGTGCCGAAACAGTAAGAAAGATAGTAATTGCTACAGCTTTATGCATAATTCCAATATCTTTAGGGTCATGGTGTTGTGCTTGGTTCGATGCCTGTATTTACGACTATCGACACTCGTACCGCCACTCGGTCGTACGCAGCATCAGGATATTACAAACCCAACGCTGGCCGTTCAAACTTATTGATCCTTACTGAAGCCCAGGCAACAAAGGTAAGCCTAGCAGCTGTCAGTTGTATTGGATGTGTCATTACGTATTTCCAAGGTCATCCTGGAAGACCAAGAAGACGGCAGGAAAAAAGCTGTTGGTGTTGAATTCATAAAGAATGGCAATTGGCTATCAAGCTCAGTCCGGAAGGAAGTGATACTATCTGCTGGTATGTTCTGGTATCTTTTAATTGGTCCAAGTTAGCACATGTGCTGCAGGATCATTCCAAAGTCCCCAACTTCTCGAGGTTCGCTCCACGGATTTAACACCTTCGTCATCTGCTGATTACGTCGAGCTATTAGCTCTCTGGCATTGGCAATCCGGAGATTTTAAACACGCATGGTATCAAAACGTTAATAAACCTTCCAGAGGTTGGCGAAAATCTGCGTATGTATTAGCGCCCGACTATCTGCAAAGTATCTTCCTGACTGAGTTGATGTAGAAGATCATACCATGGTCTTCACCATCGCAGAGGTTGACGAGACCATGGATACGATGGAGCTCTTACTTGATCCACAACAGCAGCGAAAGCATGCCGAACTTTAGTAATATTTTATGCCATCGCATCACGTATCGCACTATATTACTAACAACCTTTCGTAGCAGCAAAAACCAGCGAGGCATGTTGGCATCCGTACCTACATCGGGGTCCATATTTCTCGAACCGTCAAAGCTAGGCAATGCAGAGGAGCTGCATGCCTGGAGGGACCTAGCTGAAAGCCAATGCAGCTCCTACTTGTCGAGTATCAGATCTCCTGGTCTCAAGAGGGGGATTCAAAAACAATACAAGTTACAGAGGGAATGGTTCTCCTGCAACAGACAGGCTGAGGGTGAGTAAGTACCATCGTTCCTCTTGGAGCATGACAACGTTGCTCATATTTACTGTAGAATTATATTCTTCAATGGACATTACCCTTCTGCAGAATTACAACCCAAGTTGGGAAAGCGATATCTCTCCCTCAGCGCTGCCCTCATGCACCCTTTTTCTCGTGGCACCGTTCACATAAAATCCGCTAATCCGTTGGATCCACCCGCGATTGATCCAAATTATTTTGCGAATGATGCTGACGTAGAGATGACGCTACGCATCCTTAAACTCGCGTTCAAACTCCAAGAGACTGCACCGCTGTGTGATGTGATCAAGGAGCGCGTGAGTCCTTCAAAAAGGGTTCTTGAAGGTAATAACAAGGACGAAAACTTGAAGGGATACATCAAGAACATGTTCAGTTCCGTTTTCCACCCTGTTGGTACGGCTGCCATGATGTCCCGCGAGCTTGGGGGCGTGGTAGACGATAAACTCATAGTGTACGGGACGTCAAATCTTCGCGTGGTCTGTCTTTGTTGGACTGTGTCAAGTGCCTTCCGTTGATATCGTTGTCTACAGGTTGACCTTTCCATACTCCCCATGGTATAACATTCAACATTCCTTTTGAAGTTCGTAACTTAGAGTCTTCTAGGAACTAGCATGCCACACACAGTCTATTGCCTACGCAATAGGTGAAAAGGTAAGTATTTTCAATCTGGAAATAGTCTTATCGGACGATGATACGTATTTTAATAGGCAGCAGATATAATTCGCGGAGTACAGACACGGCCTGCTTATGCACAACGAAGTGCGTTATCTTTACTCTGAAGTTTGCTTCAGCAACGACACGCGTCAATGAAGCCTATATTCATCAATTTGCCTACGTATAACGGACCCTAATAATTACAGTATATCACCATGCAGATAAGGAGTAATGTGTCGATTCATCTATCATATATTCTACGTCCTTTAGTGGGCAAGGGGCAATTCTGTGCCACGGGAAATACTGCTGGGGTTCGGGAAAGAAAGTTCGTCCCTTATCTACGACTTGATGCCTCCATTCGGCTGTCTCCTTGGTTAGGTACTTCGAGTCAAGCGATGTCCATGTACAATTCAATGAATACAAATCTACAACCAGGGCAATTCCCCCGGCACAGTTAGAAGTTAAGGCCAGCTCATACCGCCCGAGTTCCGTGAGTATCTAACACGGTGAGATGTGCTTTACCCGGATAAAACAGTGCCTGATCTGTCTAGCAACATGGTCAACATCATCCCTAGAACTTCGGGGGGAATGCCTTGACAAAACCGGGCGGTCCCGTATAAGCGAGGAAAGAGAAATGCAGAATGTTGCGACTGGTGCCGTGCGCTGATCTGGCATATCGTCCGGAGATATTCTTGTTCCTCATGCTCTACTCTCTACTTTCGGCAAAAAAGGAGCTTATTGAAACTCGGACCCCAGGACCTGGGTTTCGAAACATGATAAGTAGCTAAAATTTGTCTCGTGTTTGTGGGGATGAATCACATGGGATACCTGAACTGCCCAACTCCACCTCGGTTGCAGAGCTATTAACCTCAAGTGCTCATGATCCGGCATTATTGGAACCCTTCGGCGGTTCCCTAGCAGAATGACATGAGTAAAACACGCTGCTACGCTTAACCCCGGCGTACCTTCGACTGTTTTGCACCCGCAAAAAGAGCCAGTCGACAGCATTCCTTACGCCGGTTCTGATATCAAGTTATGAAAGCCCCAAAAGAGGATGAAAGGCAAAGACACTTGCCCTTGAATAGCGGAGATACCCATGACTTCTAGACTTGCAATACGTTCTCTTCGTGCGGACATCTCATCGCCTTCTCCATATCTAACGCTCCGGCGCGCATTCTCCACCTTTCTCTGATACCAATCTTCATAGTCATGTCGTATCTCTTCGACAGACAAACTATGCGGGGAATCTTGCTTATTCGCAAGGAGGAGCAGAGGCAATCCAAGAATTTGGGGCGCGGAAAGGACGGCATCTAGATCGCTTGCACATATTCAAACGGGAAGTTCAGATGACACGCACTTTATGAACATACCGAAGACTTCCCAGCCCTCGCTCAACCGCTCCCGGTCATCTGCATCAATGACATAGGCTACAGCATGACAATCGTCGTAATATTTTGGCCATATATTTCTGATACCACGTTGACCGCCAAGGTCCCAGAACTGTAAGATAGTTGACGGTAACGCGATTTTCCCGGCTAACCGTGATAAGTTTAACGAAGTTGCCTTAAAACGGTCGCGCTCACTGTTCTGTCCGACGGTAGGCGCGATTTTGTCAGGAGATAGACCAGGAGTATCGGTATACAGTGTCTTAATTTGCTCCAATAGTGTCTTCAGGAATTTTGGGCATCGCAGTGTTGCCGTCATGGAATAGAAACTTACGGTTTTTCCCGCACCGTCCAGACCGATGATGATCACTGAGAATTCTTCTTTTCTTCAAGATGCAATTAGTCGAACGTCAGTCATCCAGGCCCAGTCATTGCTGCTTACCGCGTCAGATATTCATGAAATCCTTTGAGCAAGTGGTACATGGAAGAGTAGCAACAGCCTTAGATCCAAACACAGCACAATGACGAGACCGCTGATTTCGACGTTCCACCCTTCATTCATCATGGGGTACTTTTCTTACGGTCTACCCTCGTTTCTTGTTCTTGTAATTGCTCTGTATATTCTACTTACTGGTGCGACTTGTCTGGAAAATGCTGGACAAACGACTGATGGCACAACTACAGGCTCGGGAGAGGCATTCAACGTTGGTCGATTTTTGGAGGAAACAAGTCCCTATGCCTGGGCAGCGACTGGCATTGGCCTTGATATAGGCTTGAGCGTATTGGGTGCAGGATGGTGCGTGTAACTCTCCTTGATCGTTGTTTGTTGCTCATCGAGGCGTAGGGGTATATTCGTCACTGGTGCATCTATCCTCGGTGGAGGTGTCAGGGCGCCTCGTATCAGCACAAAGAACCTCATTAGGTGTGCCGTACCATTGCTTGACTAGTTCTTCAATAGCTTAACCAGCTCCCAGCATCATATTCTGCGAAGTCGTCGCGATATACGGCGTCGTACGTAACTACGTGCAAGCATCGTGTTCCCTCATTCAAATCCTGCTCTAGATCATTGGAATTGTATACTCAGCTAAAATCACCTCAGTTGCAGACTCAGTTCTGTATACGCGAGACAACTACTACACCGGTACAACCCTTCACCTCTGGCTGTGTCATTAACTTATTCCTCACAGGTTTTGCTCTCTTCTGGGGCGGCCTGACGGTCGGCGCATGTAACCTTCTTTGCGGTATCTGTGTAGGAATTACCGGGTCTACCGCTGCACTATCAGATGCCGCGGACCCCAATCTATTCGTCAAAATCTTGGTTGTCGAGGTTTTTGGCAGTATCATGGGGCTTTTTGGTTTGATTAGTACGTGAAACAACACTGCCTCCACTCTCATTATTGCTAAGCCCTTCCCCAGCCGGTCTGCTTATGGTCAGTGCTGCCAATGATTTCGCAGCACCTGCAGCTGCTGCGGAAGCCATAGTCTCACCCTTTGTACATTGATTTTCGACGGAACTAGATACCGATATATCCAATGCATAATAATTCGCTGCTGCTTCCAATCCTTTAATCGTGAATATACTGAGATCATGATATACAACGTAACAAAGTCAAAAGAATACTTAAACACATATGACGTCCACCGCTCCCCGTTATAATTATTTCCTTCCATCCTCGAAAGGATTCTCGACGTATTCAAGGTCATGGTCGTTATCTGACTCTATCTTTGTAGGAGGTCCAAGCTGACCGTCTACTGGCGGAGTTGAAGTTCGAAACAGAGAGACGGGCCGCTTAGGCAGAAGACCCAGTTTCCCTATGATACTATCAGAATTGTCATACAGAGTAGAATGGTTACAACAACATACCTCCATCGATAGGCATACCCTGACCAGCGGAAGGGGGTCTAGGAACTGTTTCTGTGCATAAGCACAAATCAGATCGATGTCATGGAAATGCTGTGGCGATGCTAACCCTCTTTCGGACTTGGTGTCAAGTCGTAGCCTCTAACTTGGGCAGGTACAGGCGAAGGAGAAGCGGGCTTGTTAGTGTCATTAATCGGAGGAGGGTTAGGATCGTAGTATGATGCTTGCTGTCCAGATCCGTGGCTGTCATCGTACGAATAGGCATTCCCACCTGCAGTCCAAGACTGCTGAGAAGCCGATGAGGATGCTGCATTGTTATTCTGCCTGATGAAGAATCAGATATCAGCACGAATTTATCCAGCACAACATATAGCTACCGCGATTGATCCATCTCCGATATCTTAGCCTTAACCTTAGAGAACAAACTTCCAAGAGTCTTCTTTCCAGCTACATGCGCAGTTAGCATCTCCGCAGCAAGCCAATGACGAGGACGTACATTCGGCAAACTTATTGAACTGTTCCCCCAGCTCAGCCATAGTGTCTTTCTCGGGAACGGGCTGCGACTGACGTCGCACGGGAATAGGCTGTTGCCATTGGGGTTGCTGCGACTGCCACGCAGCTTGTTGCTGCTGCTGGTCCTCAAGTAAGAGTCTGCGAGCCAATTGTTCATCTAGTTCAGTTTGGGTCTGTAAATTAGCTGTCATGATCTTCAGTCTTCGCAATAAGATACCTTAAAACGCACCATGACACGCTCGACAGATCGAGGTTCATCCTTGTATTCGGGATCGCTCATACCGAGCAACGCGTCTATTGCGCGACCTTGATCACCGTAGACAGAGTCCAATACTGACTGCCTGTGTGCCCATAAGCAAGAGGAATAAAAGAATATTTTCGCAACGTACAGAACAGTGTCATCAAAGTCAGGAAACATAGCCCGGAGCTCGACGACCTGGGGGTTCACAGGCGCGTCTCTCATTGATGGTGTCAACTGTGCAGCAGCCTCAGTGGCAAGTGGTAGCTGCTCAGTGGCCGTCGGGTGCGCATCGTTGGGTGGAGACGCCGTACCATGGTTAGTTGGCGAGTCCATTGAAGCTGGTGATAACGTCGTCGTCGTGGATGATGAAGGTCAAGAGGTCAAGGTATTTCACATGCACTGCCACCCAAGCCCATTTCATCACCATCACCATCTAGTCTCGGCTTGATTTTGGTGCGTTGTGTTCCACTTGTTGCTCTGTAGAGTATTAATTTTTTGGAATATAGCTGCACGTCTTCAATATCTTGATCCATCGTACTTGAACGCGCCTGTCGCGCATACAGCATGATCTTCTACGAGTCGTTGCCCGTAGAAATAATCCTTGAAATTTTGGCATACCTCCAGCTCAGTTCGTTGGCCTCGTTTGTGGCCGTATCTCGGAGCACAAAGCTCTTGGTAGATGCCAATGAATCCACAGTATTCCGAAATGCTGCAGTGGTTCACGGCCTGATATCCTCAGATGGTACCCAGCCGGCGGATCTGCGAGCAAAATATACTCCCAGGTCGTTACAGGGCGTGGATGGTTGGAAGTCCTTCTGCAGGCGTCAGATCGGTATCAAGTTTGCGTGGAAAGGGAAATCGCCATCATCTGCGAGAAGACTTGCATACGCATCCCTGCACAGGCAGGACGTCCACCGCCTAAAGGTTGACGAGCGGGCCGGAATCATCATGACCACATACCGCAACGGTGGACTTGCTGTAGCGGATATTGCTACCAATCGTATACTATGGTCTTTGCCATCGTCGCATGTCGTACCACACGCTCATTGTGAATACGACAACGGGTTTCTGATCTTCAATCGAGCAGGTCGACGGAAGGAGGTTTGGCGTCTGGTTGAAGGTCAGAACCAGACTATTATGCCACCATCGACTTCGCCCCCGGACCAAACTCAGCTGGCAGCGTCTACTGAGGCTGCGACAGAACATCACAACTCGTACCCCAAAGGGCATTTCGTACCTTGGAGCCTCATCGTAACACCCACCATCACCTATGCGTTTCGATTTGTCTATCCCACACTGTTCGCCGCCACAGAAACCAACTTTTTCGTATACGACATTCCCGGCGGCAAGCTTCTCCAAAGCATTATTGTCAACCCTCCGGATTCCCTTACTCATTTGCACTATGTCGACATATCAGAACGCCACCTCTTCCTTTGTGGCTGGCCCAATGTCGTTGTCTTCTCCCGCGAAACGGGTAAAAGTATTCTCAAAATCCCCTCCTACCAATTGAACTATGCCAATAAGATCTATGCTATCGCCAAACAGGCCCATCCCGTTGCCGGGTCCGCATTGCTTCACCATGACGTTGTCAGTCGGCCGGCGGAAAGCACGCTTCCACCCCAGGTAGTCCATATCGCCGACACCTTCACTGCAGTGCATGTGTCGGCTTGCGGTCGGCACCTCACGGTCCTCCTCTCCTCTTCCCGCCTGCTCATTATACCTTACTTCGAGCGGCTCATTACAGGAGAAGTAGAGCTCCAAAACATCACCCTTGACATCGAGCTAGGGTCAAGGTCACGCATCTCGAGGTATCTAGCATTTGAAAATGAGCGAGTCGCTGTGGTAACCGACACTGGATTGTTCGTTGTTCACTGGGACTTGGAGAAGCCTCTAGTTATTTGCAGAGCTCCGATTTTTGGAGTGATGTCCGCACTTCCGGAGGTGACATGTCTACAAATGACGGATACGGGGATGTATCTCACATGGAAGCACCCGATCACGACCGAGGTCAACGAAGAGGACTTTGAGCGGTTACTGGATGAGGAGGTCTCGTACACGATAAGAGATACGTTCGCTCAGCTTCTCGTTCAGCCTACTGTTGAGCCAAACGAGACCGTCGAATCACACGACTCTGCCGTATGTATGATCGATTTCGTTGTACCATAAGATTCTACGTGCCAATCTGGTTTTTTTTTCTTTTATTTGCAATCTTTACATCGACGGTGGTCCCTGATCGGTGGTTGTACTTACACTTGTCCTACTATCAGATGTTCAGAAATGAAATTCGGTCAAGTTCAAAATACAGTTGCACTTGTAAGGTTTCTATGGGATGTTTCTCAACTGACCTTGCATTCCATCCCCATTTTCCAGGGGATTACGCGGGCACTTTGACCTATCAGATGATTTTCATGGGAACCAAAATGGACAACTCGGACAACGAGGCGGCCACTGCTCCTTCCCTGCTAGCACGTTTATCATCATGTTTTGCCAACAGAAATCAGTTTTCGTAACACAATTCAGCCCAACTATCGCCTACAAGTCCCTTGCTGGAACAAATTTTCTCCCGCGCCTCGAACATCAACAAATTTCAGACAAGCCTCGGGGGTAATGAACAGAATCTAGGTTCGAAATGCTACCGCGAACCTTGATTCATTCCTACGTGGCGGAGAAGGTCAGGACTGAGGTTCGCGGGATGCAGAGTTCTCCGCCACTCCCTGTGACGCTGATAAGTAGTAGGTTACGTCCATGTCTCAGGACAAACAGGACGATCTAGACATTCAAGAGTTTCACCCTTCATCTTCCCTGCAAACCGCGGGGCCTCGGTCTGCACAATAATTGCCGAAAGTACCTCTGGCTGCAGGGAGATAGATCGAACTTGAAGGAAAAGAAAGGGACAATGGTCCGTGTGTGGATACGACGGAACTCCAGATCTACTTCTCTTCGCCGTTTTTGTCATTCCCATTTTCTACAGCGACGATTCCGGAGTGTTTGCTTAAAGGGACATGATCACAGGTCAGTACTCCGCAACGGTCACTTTATTTGTCAAGAATAAATATAATTTGGGACAGGATACAGCAGTTATTCCATTATGGTAGCGATTCCAGCGCTGAATGGAGGTCTTCAATCCGATATGGGGCTAATCTCTTGCCTGAGATATCCAAGAGGAGCTGAGAGAAGCTCATCCGGGCAACGAAATGCATTCTACATTCATTTACGTCGAAGAAATTGGAAGAATTGGTCAGCGTCTCGATTCTGGATGATAAGTATAAGGAAAAGAAAATTTAAATTTAAAAAAAAGAATCGCAAGCTGTAGCCGTCGCGTACATTTGGCGCGCTTCACGTTAGTAGCCAAAGTAGAAAACACGATCATTATGATCTCGGCTATCAGTTTATATACTCGGCCAGCGCTCGGCAACTTGGAGATTCAACCGTCGGATCTGGATCTACCTCCTCTCCCAACCCTCTCTTTCTCTACCACTACCTCTGAGTTGGAAAACACAAAGATACGTTGATCCCTATTATCTCGGAGTTGACAACGCTTCCAAGTTTACTGCTTCGTTTCATTTTGCATCAAAATTCCACTTCGTCGGTGACTCGGGCAATCCACAATATACTACGTCGAATTTTTATATAAGTACTTTGAGTGATGTATGAGTAAGCTATATTTTTGTGATTACTCCTTGAGGTCCCTAGATACATAACGGATATGAAGCTTTGAAGGCCTGTCATGCGCTTGCTACTCAGCAGAGCTGCAAGTAACGTTTGAAATGTCGGGAAACATATATACGTTGCATGATAACCCCGATCATAACGGAATGCAGTTGGACAATATGCTGAGAAGCGACGTCCGTACACTAAACCCGATATGATTCCCAAACATGTTTGACGTTCCCGGTCAGACTAGAGCGTATTGGGGTCGCCGCTACTCACTTTGGATTCTTGGAACTTCCCTTGCTCAATCTCCGCAGACCGTCCAACTCATGCACCCTTGGAATATGTCCTATTACATCTCTGCGCGACGCCCGCTTCTAAGGATCGCAGCTGAAGTGAAAATATAGTCAAGCGCCTGTATACTGCTGTTGCTCTTTAATAGTATTAATGTTCTAGGACGATATCCCCGGCTCCAGCTCCGTGCATCGGCCTCATTATTTGGCAAGTTGAAATTTCCTCCAGTCACCTGTACGTGTATTTGGCAGACGCGGACTTTCTAAGTACGTTACAGTTTTCTTCTGCAACTACCGTGGCTTGCGTCAATTTCAACGGAGAGTAGTCAATTATTAACAGAGCAGTTGCAATAATTGAAAACTTGCAATTTGTACTTTAAAAAATTGACGTGACATCGGGCAAGGGTCAGTGCAACCTTACAGGTCGACGGTTAGTACAGTGTGAGTGGGCGTGAGGACCTTCGCAGTGATTTTCAAGGCATACTGACACTTGCGTTTTCCGACGTGTCATGTCTCATGTCAATTGACGGATTCCATGTTTTACGTGAAAATGCCGGATCTCGGAAGATGTATGGTGTAAACATATAATATTCATCGAAAGATACGTCGGCTAAAAGTTGTTTGGGAACGTGATGAATGATGCGATTGTCTTCCATGACTGTACTTCATCATGTCGCAACCAGCAATTAGGCCTTCCAAGCTCTGCAGCTCCAAGTCTCGGTAAGGCGGATCGAGTTGTTATTAAGTTCAGAGGTTCTGATGTGCTCTAAAAGTACCGCTATGTTTTAATACATCGCAAGTCGAGAGGAGGATTTGCCACAAATAGATGGGAGCAGCGAATAAGGACACGACTTGCCGGCCCCCGGTGCAATTAAGGACCAATTAGGTGGCGCAGGGACACAGATAGAGAGATACTGCCTCAGCCTAGTTTTTGATTGGCACCAGGAGGAGAACCAATCGGATGTGGACACCAATCAGGAGCTAGGAACTCGTTATACAGCCAGTTAATGAACTTATCGAACCACGTACCGCTTCTCCTGTTCTTAGTACTTCACCTCAGGTCGCTTCATTTCGTAATCAATTAATCACCCTAAATATGTACCGCCAGAAGTCGAAAATGTACATGTAAGCCAAAAGGAAAATATTATTCGTTCGTTATGGGTGTGAGCGAATATATGGAGCAATAGTTTATGTTCGATCCAATGAATTGATTGAACCTGTAGGTCACGGCGTTCCGCTATTGCTGTCGAGCCTTCTTATTCGTCTTTGCGCTTGACACCATCGCGTCTCGTTTTCTCTTCGGGTTCTCGAAGTGGACCTCTTGCATCGCCTGCAGGGCGCCATGTAGGATTCTCTTCTCTCCCAACCTGACCATGGTCGCGTTTCGTAGATTCAGCGAAAGCTCCCCCGAAAGAGCCATCTCGTCATCCTATTGAACACAAATTATCAGGATTAAGGATATTATTTGAAACAGGATGGCATCCCGTTAGATCACATGCGACAAATTACCTGCAGACTTGTGGGGTATTGCTGTAATCGTCGGACCAGCACATCTTTGATGATGTCTACCGTAGCAGAGTCTAATTTGGGTTTAGGCGGTTTGCCCTTTCCCCGCACCTTTCGCCACTCGTCCGAAGAGAACGACAAGAGCTTGATCAATGAGATCAAAGCCGGCGGTATCTCAAGGTCTGCCTCTATAACGACTATACTGTCCGAGTCGAAGAATTCAGAAGCGTGAACAACCGAAAAGGTGTGTGAACGTGAACTTACTCATCACCGCCCTCTTCCAACCACCATTCTATTCGTTCGTCCGCGACAACGGATGAATGATCGTATCGCTTCGACACGACGTCCACTACCAGGTCCGCTCCAACTTCGACGATGTCGCCCGGATTGCCCTGTTCCCCTGTCGATAAAGGGACTAAGTCTACATGACCATAGCGACGAAGTAATTCCGCGTTTGGCAAATCGCCATATGTGTTCCACTGACATACACACACGTCAAGAACCCGAATTCTGGGGACTCTACGAAAAACCCACGATCTGTTCTCCCTTCATTATGCGCTTCGTGGCAACCATTTTCAGTTCATTTTCTTCATAAAATAATTTGGCCTGTAATTTGCGTAAATTCGTGACAGAATAATCGATGAAGGAACTTACGTTCTCTGCTTCGTATCTCGCATTCAAGAGATCAGCTACAGGAACCATGGAGATATCAGACGCGTCTTCTCCCTCTTCTTCTTCGTCCTCCTCCGCCACCTCCTCCCCATGTGCCCTTTCCGGTGAATCACTGTTAGCCGACACTAGCGGAGCCGGGTCGTCAACGTCCATGCAGCTGTTTTGCGCAGCGGGCTCGTCATCCCCAACCTCATCTTCCCATTTCTCGACATTGAAGCTCCTTGACAGAATTCGGCTGCCCATAACATGATACTGATATAAGGAATAGTGCACAGGAATTAACTCTGGTTGGAATAAATCGGGTCGACTCTGAGAGATATTATTAATAATCGATTGTTCCCAAAGAGCCAGTACTAACTTGGATGGCAGGCAGCACCTTCCCCGCATAGTCTTGTTCAGCATCTGCTTTTCCCAGTTTGTCTTAACGGGCATAGTCAGAGAGGCGAATTGGAAACGAATGACCAGACAGACCTACCACTGAAGTCCCCTTCAATGCATTCAAGTCCGATTCAGTCCAAAACATGGGAGTATCAAATTCAGTGGGCAGGGTGTCTAGTAACACATTCTTTCAGATTTTTTTAAAAAGCATCATGAATGAGGACGAACCGAGATAGGGTGCCCACTTGCCTTGGGTAGCTTCCCACATCATACAGAGAATTAATCCAGCCCAACCTTGGTTCAACTGTCTATTTTTCCATTCATCTGGTCCAAAACGTTCAGGCAGAAGTGATGTTCGTGTTGATATTACTAGTGATCTTGGTATGGTGAATAAAGTATGCCCCTCCTGCATAGAAAAAAATTTGAGCCAGAAATTGTTTTTGGAAACTGGTACTCCAAACCGGAATATCTTGTAGCGCTATGGCTCCACGCCCCCCTTCAGCGGGCGGAAATACATGGAATCCCACGCGCTCGTTGTCAATGTATCCACCATTGTGTTCGAACCAAAAAACGAACGCGTCCAAGTTGGGCGTCGACATTGAAAAGGGCCCAGGATTACGTCATCTCAATCACATGCAAACTGTCGCAACAACCCTGTAGTCAAACTTGACCCCAGGAATTCGACTGCTCTGCTGTCGCCGTCGCTGACAGTTGGCTCCCCTTTCGCTACCGCCGTTGCTGAGGTCTGCTTGGAAATGTCATGGATACGTATGCTCTACTCAAGGTCAACTGCGACAAGCTCCTGGAACAGTACCACGCCAATTTACGTGATGTCCGCGCGCTACAACAGACGCTGATCAACGATATACTACCTTCTGTATCCGATGAACTCCACCTAAGCGACTTGGAAACTAATTGGGCAAAGGAATGGCTAAACGATACCTGTCAGTCAAGCTGATTCCGCGCATTGCGATAAAAATGCTGATTCACTCCTAGTTTCTATCTTTCATCTATTCAGAGTGAGAATGCAGATACTTTCCGGAAATAAATACAACCGGAACTTACAACTTACTAGAGAAACAACTATACGAAATCCTTCGCGCTAGAAGCAGTTCGCAAAAACCTTGTGTGGCGGTTGGGCCATGTGTGGCCACCGGATCCAGAGATATCGACGCGAATTGCTGCCAGCGTTCATTTCCTTCCGGACGATATCACAGATCCTTTGGGAAGACCAATCATCGTCCTCAAAGTCGCGCCGTTCAACTACGGCTCGGACGACTACAAAGGAGTCGTCTATCGCGCACTAGAGTGTCTTCGATGTCACTTGAGGGAAGTCAACAGAAACGAAGTAGAAGGGCGTCCTGCTCTACAGTACGTCCTACTTCTTGACCTCAAGGGTCTTTCCATGCAAAGCATCGTGAGTATTTCGAACCTCCGGTGACGCAAAAGTTATTTATCAACTCATGTATAGAGCTTTGACCTTGTTTCTTGGTTGTTATCCGACGTCATACCACGGTTTCCAGGAATGCTGTCAGCAGGTACCGCAACCGAATCGTTCTTACGGACTCGGTGATTAACATCGATTGCAGTTTTCATGATAAACTTCTCATGGACACACTCGGGCATCTGGAGCATAGCAAAGTATGTAGCAAACAAAGTTTACGCCTTCAGTATGGTTCATCTGACAACCTACACAGACGCCTTCTCCCGGCCAGTGCACTTTCTCGAGTCTTCTTCCCTAAGCAGGAAGAGCTAATCAGCTACTTCACACCGTCGGCTTTACCACAAGGCATTTCATGTGGTTAACTTGTGTCCCATCCACGTGCTAAACCGTGTTAATAGATTATGGTGGAGTCCTGGAGCCCTTGTCGACTATCTGTGATTCTTTACAAGGAAGACAAATATTCCCTTCTACATCTCAGGCAGCGCCTACTCCGAAATATGACCTGTCTTCTATACCCGATCCATCATCTCTTTCACCGACATCCATGTTTAACCCTTTCTTCGGCTATCCAGTATCTGTGACGGGGACATCCGCAACCTTGCACTATGGGCGTCGCCGTAAGCGAGATCTAGCAAAGACCTTGCTGTTGCTCTTATGGCTCCGATGGGGACGGCGAATCATGGCTTGTTTTTGGTTTGGGATGTTCGCGTTAACGATGAGGTTATGGTCTCGCCGATGGCTATTGTGTTCCCCCAAGGGTCTCGCTCTATTGCAGGCGTTCTGGTCCTCAAGTGGTAGTCGGTAACTGTCATAGTCTATCTTGGCATGCCAAAAGCCCGTTCATCCTGCCATCATCTATTTTCGTCTTTATTCCGTATGACTCCGCAATGAGACTTGGGCAATCAACGTCGGGGGAGAAATTATAGTGTTATATTCGTAAGATCCCATTCCCCGACCCCGAGTAGTGAGTGGTACGTACAACTCGTATCGTCAGATCCGAAGATTACAGAAAAGCGCAATGTATGATACCGCGTGGGTGCTGAGCGTTTACAAGAAATATTCCGGAGGCTTGGGTGTCATAAAAATAAAATCAGTTTCCGGAACGACAGACAGACATGAGGATGGGATTCACGTACTTTACCACCTGCATTCTGAGCTGCCTGCTGACTCGGCCCGTCTCTTTCGTTCTCGGGTGCGGCTTCGAACACGTTAAAATACATGGATCCCCCCGGCCCGACTTCCAATATACTTGCGGAATTCCCGCATCGGTAGCAGTAATTAGGCGCAGACCATACCGTCGACAGATGCTTATCGAACAGAGAGGAATAGCCCTCCATGCATAGTTGGTGGGCGCGGAGGATATGAGACATGTTGTTGATCTCAAGAAACTTGTGGACAACGCCGGATCCAAATGTGTATCCAGCCCCTCTAGCGGCCCTTGATTAAGGAATTGAGTCGGAAACGGAAGCATGTTACGCACCTTGGAGAGATGGCGAAATCCTCTTTCTCAGGATCGGGATCTGACCAGACGAGGTCTGCCATAGGACCTTCATGGGGTATCTCTATTGCGAAGCGTCAGAGCACGGATTAGGTGCCGAAGGCTAGCCGCGCACCTCGAAAACGGTCATAGACCTTAATTTGATCTATTGAATGTATGGAGGGCGATAGACCTGGAAGAACAGAATTAGCCCTTGGTGCCCATGTGCAAAGGATAATGAATGATGGGAGGTTTCTCACCGCCGTGTACACAGAATATCCGGTCGTCAATGACCACGGAGAGTGTCAGAAAGTCGAACATGTCTGTGAAGTATGTCCAGACGTGCGAATTGCCATACTTCCGGATGCATTCTGCGTAGAATCCATACGTCTGGGAGACCGCTGTGAGAAGGGCGCTTAGGAAAGTCAACAAGGCCACCGACCTGAGTGACAGCGCGTGATTCGTGGTTTCCTCTTATGAGCTGAACTCGATCGGGGTACCGTAACTTCAAGCATGTCAATAGAGATATTGTTTCAACGCTGAAGAGGCCCCGGTCGACGTAGTCCCCTGGAAGAAATGTGAACGGCGACGCGAGCGAGTATGCAAAGCAAGACATACCGAGGAAAAGATAGTTTGTGTTGGGTGCATATCCACCTATCCGGAATATTTCTACAAGATCATAGAACTGACTTGCATAACCGATCAAAGGTCGCAATCGGGGAAAGACAATGCAATAACTCACCCATGGATATCTCCCACTACAGTTACGGGTGCACTGACATGGACTACATTGGATTCCCGCATCAGGACCTCCTTTGTTTTCTCACATATTTCTCTCAGCAGCGCCTCGTGCAGGGGCTGCTTTCGCAACAGCTGTTCTACGCACGCATCCAGGTCAAAGGGTGCCATGAAATGAAAATGACTTTTCTCCAAATGCGGTAGTCGATGAGATGACTGCGGTATTTGCTCATGCTTGCCAGCAGCCTCCCCCTTCTCTTCGAACTTGCCCACCCTGACCGACCGGTGCTAGGACGGCGTTGCAATTGACCGTTGTTCGCAGAAAAATCAAAGAATGGGTCGAATCTCCAAGGGATGCCTTGGCATGGCTTCAAATTCGTTTCGCCTTTTTTTGTTTCGACGTATTCGGTATATTGGTGTCTGGGAACAAGTTTCGCGCGCCTCATTGCTGGACGCAAGTAGTACTGAACTGGGTACTTTTTTCAGGCGTTGCCGGCCGAGGCTGTTGGGGAGGGGAGGGGGGGGGAAGGAGGTGGAATTCTATCCTGCTACCTGCCATTTCCTGGAGTGCTTCGATCTTTGAAGCGACGGAGAAATGATCGCGATTTTTTCGGGTGCAATCGGCAACCTCGTTGAACTGCGTTATGTATGATGGCCCTTGGACTTGCTCTGAAGGAGAACCAGACTGCATTCTCAATGCCTTTCTCACCTTTTTGTGCTTCGATGAGGTAATGTTCTGCTTTCACGGTTCAATTTGTAGGAAACAGATCTTTCGGGTGTAATTAATTCTCGCCCTTGCTGTGAATCCTCGAGTCGTGACAACAGGATTCTCCATCATTTTTATAGTATTTCATCCGCGAAACGTTGTTTTTTTGTGGGCAGGAACAACATGGAGGCCGGATCCACGCGATTGTACCTACCCTTGTGCCGGATTGTCGTCACTCGTCTTCTAAGGACTCGAAAATATCTGCACTGCATCCGAGCAAGGCTGCTCTATGAATCTTGGTCTATGTGACATCGAATCTCGCATCTGCGGAAGACGTCTGGCCTCACCTTCTTGTCTTCTCAGATGCTGGTTATTTTGGTGGACCACCATGCTCTTACGGCGCGTGTTTAGTCTCATTTCGCCTCGACATACATAATCTTCCACGATAATCGGGAGTCTCGAGCTGTGAAGCACTGTATTCTGCCAGGGTTCGTACACATTTTCAACTCAGATCCTTCTCATTTTATATGTCTTTGTATCCACCGCAGGCCATCATTCGGCCATCTATGCATCGGCGAGCGGGTTAAGGACCCTCATTTGTCTATTATGGGAATGGGGTACTGAGCCGCTTCCTCGGTGCCTGTTCCCACAGCCGTCATTTGCATCGTACTGCCAAGGTAAATGACAACAGGTAGGGTAGACCTTTATCTGTGTTATAAATCGACAGCGTACGGGAACTACTATATCGGCTATCAAGTGACACGTTATTCGAATTAACAAGGCACAGTTCCGAAATAGCGCGTTCAGTGATTCCATATGGGGTCGTCGAGGACACTCTGTAGCTACGGATAATGAAGTATAACCCTTGTGTATTATCTTATGCCAGATTTCAGGCGATATTCTCTCTCTAACAGACATGTCGTTCACTAACCACCTTCTTTTTTCATTTAGGGTGTCCTGGTAAGTTCCGGGTACTTGACTACCACGGATGCACGTATCCGAAATTCATCGTCTCCGTTCGGTACCATAGGTATCAACCAATTATTTGGTAACTCTAATTCGACACAGAATCCCAAAGCGGAAATAACCCTTGCCTCCCTCCGGCCTATTAAACCTCGGTGTGTGGGATCGACCGTCCACGCTTAAGTACCTTCACGCCTCCGCCACTCACTTGCACTTGTCGTCATCGTCGCAAAAATGTACAGCCAACCGCGTACTCACTCTTCAGACACCCGCTACACCCTCAGCGACTATTCCTCCACTGACCACGACGTCAACGTCGACAGCAATCCCGCCTACTCCATCCACGGCTCCTACTACGACCACCAGAACGGCGTTGGCCAGTATTCTGCCTCGTCCTCCGTCCCCCTGGGTATGTTGCTCCTTCCCTCGTCCATCCCCCGAAGCCAATCCCTTTCTAGATAGCCAGGAGCCGTATATGTCATCCGGGGTAATGTCCGGACATCGCTATGCGCGTGATGCGTCCTATTCCCCCACAACGGGCGGGTACATGTCGCAAGAATACGACGGCGCGACCAACTACAACTACTCTCAGCAGTCGCTCCCCCCATCCTCACAGTTTATTCCGACGCCCTCTGAAATGGCCCACTACTCCCAACCCGGGAGCCCCACACACCCCCGGAGCCCCGACAGCGTCTATTCCAGCACCCCTTACTCGCGACACGCCCACTACCAGTCTCGCGCCCCTGCCAACCCCAGTCGGTCCCGTTCCGGCTCCAACTCGCTCGCTCACTATCGTCACGCTCACCACAGCCCCAACCTCTCCCCTCATGTACCGCATCGGACTCCCGCCGCTGCCGCGGGGATCGTGGCTCCCGAACGTTTTGTCTGCCAGATTTGCAAAAAGTCTTTCTCCCGGTCCCATGACAGGAAGAGGCACCACGTTGGACAGCATCTTGATTCCCATGCCCGGCCAGTCTGTCCCAACTGCCACAAGGATTTCAGTCGGTATGTGTGGTGATTAGCCTCTCTATAAAGTTTCCGCGTCTCATCGACCCTTCACAGACCCGACTCTTTGAAAAGACACAGAGACAATGGCTGCGACGAGTCTGTCACTTCATGATGAATGATTATGATCTAGGCTTCATCTTGTTGTATTATTTTTTCTTGCATCGTGTCGATTTCTGCGAACTCGACTCTGTCTCTCGTCCTTACTTACTATATCGTACTTACTCCTTTTACTTACACGTATCTTTTAGAAACTATCGCGGAGTTGGAAATTGTTGTCATATATCGCATTTGCTTTCCGTCATTGAAATCACAAATACATTATACAAGGTTTCAGTGGAGTCAGATCCGAAAACGTGTAGGACATCCACATTTGCATTCCACACTGATCCCCGTGTATGCTCCCTTGGCGTATGATCAATGATGTATGGCTTCGAGGGAGAGCGTTGTCATTCTACAATTTACCTCTTAGTACGGTGCCGATTTTGGTTTGGCTTCTCCTCCGATCGCATCAAACACGTTCACAATTTTGTCGATACAGTCGGTCCACTGCCAGGGTTGGGGGGCAGAACTCACTTCACTGGTCAATCTGTCAACAGGTGCACGCAAGAAAAGTCGACGTATAGCCGCAATTCGTGTTGACGCATTGACGCGCCTTAAGAACACACATGGAGCTATAACGAAAATATAGGGACTTAGGCGCCCGCAACACCTTGGTGCCATTCGATGAGATCCTTCCTACGGAAAGACAGGGCCACGGCTTTTTCTAGGCACGCACAAAATCAAATGATCTACACAAGGACTAAATTTTGGTAGCACAGTCTGCCGCCTGTTAACGTTGGCAGTAGAAGAAAAGTAAGTTTCCGTGGATCAGGGCGAGGAGATGGCCGATGTCAGTCCCAGAGGTATATCTTCCCGACAATAGGGATTCAATGATTACTGGTCAATGGTCGTCACCGCCCTGGGATTCGCTGGTCCCTCGAGAACCTGGACAATGAAACCAAATGAAACCTTGTACGAGGCGAGAAGGGTAGGTCGGAGACGGTTAACGTTGTGACGCGCCGTGATTCTCTGGTCTTGAACACGGGAACACAATTTGATTTGGTGAACTGATGAAATCTAAAATGCAAGTGAGTAAAGTTCGTGAACATGAATGCTAAGTCGTGTTATTTCCAACACAGTTACATACCCCGCTTCCTCGGCTAGTAGGGGGGGGGATCTCAATCCTCATCGGAGTCCTCGTCGGAATCACTATTAGATCCATCATGACCTTTCTTGTCACTCCCGCTCTCGTCACCTAGTCCCTCAATTTCAACACCTTCTCCTTCATCATTCTCGCCGTCAGATTGATCCCCCTTCTCCTGCCTTTTCTTGTTCATCTTCGCTATGACCTTATCTGCTCGGTTAAACATTCCACCTGTAGGCGCACCGCATGCGGCACACTTGGGAGTCTTTGCGAAACGTTTGATCGCACAGGCCGAACAGAAGTAGTGTCCGCAACGAGTAACTATAGGATCTGTATAATGTTTCCGGCAAATTAAGCAGGCAAAAGGGATATCTTCATCATCCGAATCGGATCCAGAGGAGTCGTCCTCAACTTTCTTTTTAGGATTTTCAGCTAATTGGTCCAGCTGCCAGCCAGCGAGATCTGAGAAAAAAAAAACCAAAAAACGTGTCAAGTCAGTTCATAATTACGACCTTGGAGACTTACAGGTTCCGCGATCGTGGAGAAACTTGCAAGTATCACCGAAACCACAGTAACCAGTTTCTGTCCACTGACGTTAGCATTGTGCAAGACAGAGCAAACTGTTTTTGGAAACGTACCTTTGTAATCCTTGCATACGTCCGGCTGATAATCCACGATTGTGACCGTCCGGATCGTGTTTGTGCTGCGTTGCGGTCCAACCCTCATGGCTTTGGGTACCTCTTTGTTCTTCTTCAGGTGGCTCTTGTACGCACTTTGTCCCCGATACTGTCCGTCATCTGGTATCTCGTCGTCGCTCCCAGCAGCCGCCTTTTCCTTTATCCGCCTCTTCTCCTCTTGCTCCTCGAGTTCATCTCCAGCTATAATGTCCAGCGCAGCATTGACATGAGAGCCCGACGACGACCACTTGACATCAGGACCTTCTCTTTCTGGTGCATCCAAGTCATCGTCTCTGTCTGATATTTTGCGCTTCGTGCCTGCACTAAGAAGGTTTGATGCCGCCTTTTTGCTTGGTAATACTACTTGGGATTTCGATGACGACGACGCTTCTGCACGCGCAACAGGAGATGCAGAACGTCTACGCCCAGTCGTCGGTCGAGCCTTGCCTTTCTTCTTGAAGAAGGGGACCGTCGGTGTCGGTGTCGATGTCATGGTGGTTCTTAATAAGGACTAACACTGGAACTTTCGCGGAGGTGGCGGCGGTATGTGGCTGTGCAAGCGGTGTACCGATTTTGGCTCTGCTTGGTAAAGCGCTCCTTCGCTGACTAATGATCATCGTTCGCCGTCGGCCCTTGCTTCCATCCCTGCTTCCATTTAGGTCCGTCCATCGCTATGTTGCAAGCCTTCTCGAACACGTCAGTAATATATCTCTGCATATTTTTAGGGTCAGTTGGTTCTCTCTGTCGCCTGTAGGCTGCAGGGCTGCCAGATTTCAACTTGTTAGAGTTTGTCTGATGGCTTCTTCGACGAATTTCTGAGTACCTCTCTTTGGACAGTACAATTCATGTGCTTCATTCTGACACTCATATATAAACAGTTGTAGTAACCTTGGGACTTTGAATTGACAACGAACGACAGAGAAACCTGCCCTTCTTGCTGCTTTTCTCATTCTCGGCCGCTTCAAATTCAAGCTGAGTTCCTGCGCTACGTGGTCGCTGATGGCCATTTTAGTCTTCCAGGTTGCAGCATTTTCCCCTTTTTGGCGGTATATGGACAGTAACCTCGGCGTACCCTTAAAATACCCAACCTATCGAACCTTTGGCTTCTCCGCGTCCGTAATTCTACAAAGCATACCGTGGTCTTCGTTTAACCAGGGGAGGGGGGAACATCTTTGTCCCGGTCGGCTCGTTGTACTACCTGTTGCTCTCCATAACGATGTATATCCGGTCCATCGATTGTTTCACCGACCAGATGATGCGACGTATCGCTCTGCTCTAGCGCACTCTCCACAGCCTCGGTGATCTTGTGCTCGTTTTCTCAGATGCGGCCGAAATTCAGTATACCGTCGATGTCGAACGACGTCGTAACTCTGACTAAGATAACACAGATAACAGTCTATTCGTGCCGCGTGATTGATTCGCTCTTCGATTACTCTGTGCTGACGAAGTGCATGATGATGTATGGAGCTGAGCGCTGATTCGTTTAGCCCGACCGCATTCAAATGGATTTGCAGCCGTACACGAGGAGGGGTGGGTCACGAGCCGTATTGCGCCATCGGAAGAACCACAAACGCATATGCCATTGGACGCAGACCTGGATGCGCATACAGTGATTGACACCAATTTTTCTCATCTGGTTCATTTCTCTGAGATTCCTCTTTCATTTTTTTCCATCGACTACAACGTAGAGTCAGTCTGACTGAGACAACGAATAAAACCTGTTTTGACTTAGGGGCATTCGGACTGAACTAATTGGACCGGCAAGCTCGGCACACGTGCCTCGGTCCGTGCGAATTCCTAACTCCGTCACTGAGCAGATGGGAACTGTCGGATTTGTAAATTTTGAATGGACGGATTTGATTTCCGGCACCTTGCTTTGCCAGGGCCCAAGCATTCCTTTCCTTCCTTGCTCCTAGCACTCATCCCTGTAACGACGGCAAACCGCATCGACGAGGAGGTGACCCCTTCTTGTACCTATTTATCACGTTCGGCCGTCTATTTGACTCAGAGATGGTCGCACCCAACCTGCAAGGCCTAAACATTGTACACCCAGTGCAGAATTTAGATTCACAGGACCTCCTACCCGTACACCCGTACCCCGACCTTTCTGCTCAGTTGGAGTTGTGGACCAATCTGCCGTTTGACTCAGAGGAAAGCCCGGTTCTGTCGGGCAGCGAGTCCAAATATGCCAAGAAGATGGTGGGAGAAGATGAGGAGGAGGATAGGCTACGGGATGGACCCAAGAGCGCCGCCATCCATGACGGTCACATTAATGTTGTGACCGGTACCACCGTCGCCAATAGCCAACAGCACCAGCAAGTTCCAGGACCTGCGTTTGACTTGAACTCATTCTTAGCCGGATTCCATGTCGATCCATTCAGTGCTACCCAGCCTGTACAGAACCAACTCCCTCATACGAACGCTATCGCTCCTTCTCTCGCCCAGCTGCTACTCTTTCATTCGGCTGCAAGTGGATCCCAGTCTCCTCCTAAAGCCCCTGTTGCCAGCGAGAAGTTGGCCGCTGAGGACATGGCTCAGCCGCCGGCCAAGCGTGCACGTACCCGTAGGACCTCTGTCTCGACAGTAGACTCGCCTGTGGAGAGCACTCCGCTCTCTGCCTCTGAGGATAAGCGCCGTCGCAACACCGCTGCTAGTGCGCGGTTCCGATTGAAGAAGAAGGAGCGGGAGGCGGCGTTAGAGGGTAAAGCGAAGGAACTTGAGGCGAGAGTTAATGAATTGGAGCGGGAGTGCGAAGGTTTGAGGCGCGAAAATGGCTGGCTAAAGGGACTTGTAGTGGGCGTAACAGGCGCCGCGCAAGGAACTACGGTTGCAGGTGCTCCATCGGCAGTCACTGGTAAGCGATCCAGAGACGGAGCATAGCGTTTTTTGAAGGTTTTTTTTTTTCTTGATAACGCCATTTTCCTTCACAATTACTCATCAGTCACCGTTTGGAGAGCCAGGTCTACTGTGACTAAATTTATCGCCTTCATTTCGTCAGCTTTCCATTTCTTGATTATGCTCTTGATTATGAAGATTCACGTATTGCTTACTTTTCCATGAGATATTTCTCTTCTTCCCCTTCACCTCCAATGTAGCACAATCATCTAAGCGAGCAGAGGTAGTAGACAAAAAAAGGTAAAATGTATTAATCGCGGTATTGATAAGAACTTTCCCATATTTTCTAGTGTTCTACGACTACGTCAATCAATCATACTAGCTCTAAGGTGACATAGCGCGTATTGATGTACGTACTCCGAGTCGTCGGGTTTTGATGGACGTTTGCCGTGGAGCGCTTCAGCGATAAATAGCCGCGTCGTGTATGGCGGCGTGTTGGCCTGTGATACCCGGGGGGAAATCTCTATCGCCACTCTGATTGTTATGTACTCTTGTAGATCCATGCTACTACCTTTCAAGTGCAACTTGAGCTTGAATGTCAGTCGATTCAATTGGATTCCGTTCTCCATGATGGAAATTGAAACAATATGCAGCCATCGAACACTTTTTTTCTTTTCGCTTTGAAACTCTACGCCTTTCAGTTATATCTACCGCTTAGCTACGGGAATAGTCTGACGTCACCGGCCAGACAGCCCCTAACTCTTGAAAGCCGGAATCTTCGCTATCAAATACAAACATACACCCTTCCCCTCCAGCGATCTGCCTGAATTGGGATCTTCCTGTCGCCCTGCTGCCTCCGACATGCAAGTACCATTCGACAATGGTACGGACAGCAGTGAGATTACTTTTAACCCTTTCGCTGAGGCCCACTCACCCGGGATGACGACGCTTATTGACGGAAATTTCACTTCACCAGACCTCAGGCCGAAATTGCGACGCGGTTCCCATTCAGACTACACGACGGCGAGTACTAGCACTAGTGCCTCTGTCGTATTTACCGACAATAGACGGAATGGACATGTACGAGCACAGACCGAAGTCCCTACCACACAACATCCGCTGAGATACAGTGGTTCAATGCCAGGGTCCAGCGACGGCAACATTACTCGGCCCACGTTGACGCGCAGAGTGAATGTTGGACCGTTGGTAGACGTCTCGGTGAATGGTTCACAGAAAAACGTCCAGAGCGAGGTTGAGGAACCGGACCAGAAGGTGGTATTGGTTCATGAGGTTCGTTCGTTCCGATATCACATAGAAGGGGTAATTAATTCGCCAAATACCAGGTTTCTGCTGAGGACTCATTAGCAGGCGTATCCCTAAAATACGGGATTAGTCTGGCGGATTTACGGCGCTCAAATCACTTGTGGACGTCTGATTCGATACATCTGAGAAAGGTGCTCTACATACCCCTTGATAAATGCTCTCGGCCTCAGGACTTCATCACGAGCGGCGAACCGTCGGACACTCCGTTGATGTCTGCTGCTTCGGATGCCACTGATACGAATGGCTACAGACTAGACCTTACAACCCTAAATCGTCACGCAACTGCCAATGGTCATGATCCAAATCCGAAACACCATACCATTACTGGTAGGTCACCCTCGCTGAAACTTCGCCGAGTTCCAATTTCCCAATTATCATTTTTCCCATCTTCCGCCTCGAAACCAAATCCCCCGAGCCGATCAACGAAACTCCCTTCCAGATCGATTCCGTCTGGTACATCTATCCATACCCGCTATACCTCCTCTCCTTCTAATTCCTTGGGTACACTACTAACGGCCCTCCCTATTCCTGCATCCACACGTGATACCATTATTGCCAGGCTGTCTTCAGACAGCAGTACTAGTTCCAGCTACTCTGGTCGTGACGGAGAGGCTGAGGATGGCGAGAGACTCGAATTGGACGATGTCCCCATCGAGCGTAGACGATATGCCTCTGAAGACGGAATTTCATCATATTCACAAATGACGCCTAGACCACCATACCGAGCGACCGATGGTATCAACTCGTCGTCATCCCCTTCTTCTTCCTCTATGAGAACCAGAGGCGGAATACCGATGGAGGGCGTTAACGCCCGCAGCTACCATCCGTTGCACAGTTCTACTGTTCATGTCCGTAACGTTCAACTGGAGCCTTCGCCTGGAATGCAGCTTCCCTTACATGACGCAAATTACCAACCAAAGTCTTCAGGCAGACCGAACAGTCGAGGGAAAGTCAGACGTCGTTTAGCTTCCGTAGACTTTGACGCCGAACCAGACGCATTGATAGATATATGATCATTTGGGGTGTAAGTGAGCTTCTTGCTATCGGAGGATCTAAACTATTTGCATATTTGCATCTATGTAATACTAGCACATTTGCAACCGGTGAGTTCTACGGTCACTTTCATTGAGCGGATCTTTTCTGAAAGCCGGTATGTCGTTAGGAATCTTATGGCGTTAAACGCTAGCACATTTGATGAACTTCACCACCCTCGTTTTGACCAAGGGGAATCAAACTAGCATTCCTGACTTATTTGCCTGCGTGCACGTCGGCGCCGGCATTTACTGGAGAACGTGGTGTTGCAAAATTGTCCCTGGCAATGTGGTGGCGTAGGCCACTGAATAACCGACCGCTATCTTCAGCCTTAGAGACTCCTCGTTTCAAAGGTTTGGAACATGTTCCCGGTTGTCCGGTAACTAAACTAACTCCCACGGCGATGTTCGAATCTCTAGGTATCCGGACAATCAGTCCTGCCTGACCTTACTTACCTTCAACAGTTACATGGTATCCTAAAATACTATGCATTGCCAACCGATAAGCAACGTATGTCGTTTTTACATCCTAAATCATTGAGATTTAGTCCGTCGCCTAAGCGGTCCAGTCACTACATTCGATACTGCATCCACTCTTCCTCCTCTTGAGGCGAAAAGGGAATCATCTCGCGTTTCGTAATAGCGCGATCCGACGATGGACTTAAACGCCGTATCACTATCAGATAGAGCGACGAGTGGGTGAATATACTCGGTTCAACGAGGTGTCCAGGCTGGTGACGGTGGCGAGGTGTGGATATGAATGCACATATTCCCACTCTTCCCGTCCCACTGGTGGTACGCAGAGTCGGGAAAGGTGGTCCCAGGAGAGTGAGTCGAAAGCATATCAGCTTCTTCGCATCTTGAAGATCGTTCTGTCTTTTCCACGTCGAAGCCAGAAAGGTGCACGGTGACACCGTTGGCTGTCTTCGTCGAGATCATTCGCGGCAGTGGCTTGAATACCCCACTGGGTATGTTCGAGCCAGGTCTGTGATTTCGAAAGAGAGGGCTGACCACTGATCGCACGACCTCCAAGTCGAGCCTTCTTTCGTAACAGGTAACAAACAGCGTGTTGTAATATTTTGAAAAGCCCAGTCCCCTTGATCGCTCAGGAGCAAACACCGTCACTTATTTTTGACTATCCTTAATGTCTTGGGCCATTGACATTTCACGCCCCTGGGTAGGCGGACCGCATCGGAAGTAGAGCCTCTCTTTCGTCTGCTCACCGCCCTGGGCGTATCGTAATGGATCAGCTCGTGCCACAGTAGCAATCATCTTTGGTGGCGCCTGTACATTGGAGCACTCTTGTTTGCCGTTGTTCTGTTGTTCCAGAAGTGTATCAACAGCCGACAATGATGAGGCGGTTCTGATTTGTTTTCCTTGGCCCATCCACTGAAGGGCCTTTATCTATAGGTATCGAGGAGAACAGAAACCGCCTCCGTCAATGATCAACCGAAACCGATGACCGAAGTATAGAGATGTGTACGACATGTCTTCCGCCGACGAAGGCGATGATTCTGTGCGAGAGAAACAGATGAGACGCCATTTTTATCTCAGGGAGCACAAAAATTGTTTAGTTGAGGCTTTCTCAGGCCGAAAATTGTCGTTCAAAAGTCTCGGTGTTAGTCTCGATGAATGTCAGTCGAGGCGCACGGATGGCTCGCCTTAGCCGGCGTGTTAGAGTCGGATGCATTTGGCCCAGCCTTCCTTTGCCCAAAAGATCTTGTTTTTTTCTTTGACAGAAATAAATAAATCTGATGAGGTTAGGAACCGCAGCTTTGGCTCGTGGGTCTTTTTTGTCAGGCCGTTTCCGAGTCAGCGGGTTTGTATTACCCTCAGGTATGTCTCGAAGTAATCGTACGCGATATTCTCTGACAGGCTAAGAAAGGTACATCGAAACAAGTTATCCCCTTTGCCCTAAGGATTTGGCTGAGATGCCGTCAGAAGTGATGGTAAGATCTCCGCATGTTACAGGTGTGGTCAAGCTGTGGTAAATTTATGCTGCTTCAGGTCTTGATGACACGCTTAGACGCCACCATCATTATGATTGTAACCGAGACCTGCACAACGTTCGCGCGTCTTGATATCTGATTAGGGTCTGCTTGTTGCGGTAATTCAGCGCTGGGTAAAGTCTCTCAGGGAGGCCCGGTCCGAAGAGGCGCTTTCCCCTTAGCGGCTAATGCTAGTATAGGACTGGAGAACTGGAACGGCCTATGCATAAGAATCCTCCGTATAACCGAACAATCCATCGAACTGATTGACAGACCACGAGTATCTGCTACAAAATCTGTACTCGTATATGCTTCACCTAGTCAATTGACCATCAGATGAGCTGTGAATCAGAAAAATACACTATTAGAATCCTTTGTTATGACCGCCCTGCTCGTAGAAGGCCTGTATTCTCGTGACAATATCGCTTAGCGCGGCGAGCCATTTGTCTAGTTCTTCGTTGAGAACATCTTGCGATGCCGAACATTTCCCATCGGGGTCCGCAGCAAGCTTCCCGTAGAAATCAACGCGATAGGGGCATGCTTTCATTGCGACCTTGAAATGGTTAGCTCTCGTTCGTTTTGAAACAGGATGGCACCATACCGAGAAAATGCCTTTAACAACAAAGTTATGGTACTTCTTCAACGTAACTTCGTACGACTTGGAGAATGCAACCGAGAGCTCTTCCTCTTTATTGAGCTGGGCATTCTGAAGAGCCTTGCCGGTGAACAAGAGACCTCGTAACAACCACATCAATCCCTCGGTAGCAGTCCTTTTCTTCTCCCCTTTTTCATTTTCGACCAGCTGTTCCAGGGTCGTAGACCGAGATGGGGTCGTGTCATATCGAGCGCGGACTTTCTAACGTGATAGCAGTCTGCAAGGGGGTGGAAGAGGAAGAAACATTATGCCTTACTGCAATGTTCCCCTTAAGGTCCGACTGTACGACACTGAATGCACTGGATCCGAGAAGATCTGAAGCATCGAGGGACTTAGGCAGATGATATGATTTTATAGAAAGGTTCTGCGCACCGAAAATCCCTACCAGTCCTTGAGATGCTTCCAAGAAAGCCAGAGTATCCACGCCGGCGTCAGTTACGGGCACATCTGCAAAAGACTGTGATCTAATGGTCAATAATTATGAAATAAAACACAGAATATTCGTACTTTGACTGTTTCAAGATAGGGCGCCATTCTGAATGACAGTGTGCAGTAAGGATGAGAGTAGGAAAAGGACAACGGTCCTGACCGCGACCGTGTATCTAATCTCGATCGCCCTTCGATCTAATCTAATCAAGACATAATTTCGCCATTAATTCGACGAGATTCGTAATCGCAATCATAAACCTTGCAATTGCCACATAGCTTTTCTCTATATACTACCACCAATGCCTCACGCCGATACGTCTTTGGTCCCGGAAAGGTGAGCAGATTTTATGATTTCCTAAACTCGGTCGCGGTGATCAAACTGTAAAAATGAAGCATCACAACAAAATCTGAGTTTTGGGCTCATGTTCACATCCAACTCGAAGTTCTCCTTGAAGGGCAGACCAGCTGGGTAAATACGTTAGCTCCATAAAAATGCTTAATACACTTATCTGACACCACAATCATGATCCCTGTGTCCAGGTATCTAATTTAGCCAACACTTCGTCCCTTGTGTTCAATTCACTCCTTGCGTTCCCCGCGCACTTTGGCAAAGATGATGATAGAGCAGTGAATTGGTGTGGTGAGTTATAAGTGCCGTTTGTTCCACATCTTTATGTAGGCGCTGAAGTAACTATCAACTCATGATTATATTGTTGCAAGGGTTTTACTTGGATTCGCCACTATTCCCTCCGTCGGTCAATCAGGCCTCGAAACCAACAAGCAGCAGACTTCTTCTGGGCCCCTTCTGCGGGAAGCCTGCCTGTCAATTCATCAATGTCTCTCCAGGCAAGACACGCGGCGTCTGCGCAGACGCCTTCCTCAAACAAAAAACCGTACTCGTCCCAAACGTTGACGAGTACCCAGGCCATATTGCTTGTGACGGTGAAACCAAAAGCGAGATCGTATGTCCTTTGATCATCAGAAAAGAAGACGGAGAGGAGAAAGTTATTGGCGTATTTGATCTTGACTGTCTAGCTTTGAATGGCTTTGACGAGGACGATAGAGTGGGTTTGGAAAAGATCGTTACCCTCGTTATTAATAACTGCCAATGGTGATTATGGTACGGTTTCAATGTGTGTAAAGTACCAGATACAACGGCCATTATTATTCCTCCGGACATCGGCAGGCTCATGAAGCGGCCGCGTCTTTCTGCCACGCCAGAAATTCTTCGTGAAGTTTCTTCTGGGTGTTCCAATCCTTTTGGACTTTCTTGGCCTGATTCTTGCTAAGCTCCTTGCCCTCACCGTCCGTAAGTGGTATCCCATCGTCATTCCAAGAACCATATGCCCCTTCCGCCACATTCGGAGGTCTAAACATGTGTTCTGGAGCCACACGGCCCCTTTCTAGCTTCTGTAGTCGTTTTTGTCGTTCCGCTGCCACGGCTTCTGCTTTCTTCGCAGCTTTGGCCTCTTGTGCCGCCCGCTTCTCGTCCCTGGCTTTAATTAAGTCCGCTGGCGGAACAAGTTTGACTAGTGCTTTCCCATCTGTAAAGAGACACAATGAATATCAACATCAAATACAGGGTAAAAAGAAGGCGCTAACCCTCTTGATCATCCAAGGCAACTCCCAAGGGAACGAGATCCATGTCTCGTAACTTGTCGCAAAGGGCCAATATATCCTTCAGGGCCGTCTCGCTCTTCTGCATGGCAAGTTGACGAACACCATCACGGAAGGACGACAGAGTCCGAAGATAGGGCATCAGGACCTCTTCCCGCTGGGTAGACAGATAAATCAGCAGAAGCTAAACGCATCATTGCGAAGAAACACCGACGTTTACGTTCCCTTCCACAGCGTCCTGGCCCCAGCCTAGCTCCGTGTTCTCTCCCTCTCCGAGACCGAACATTCGTAGCATCTTACCCACCCAAATAGCTATATTTTCTACCACGCTGACATTTAAATTTTTCCCTCTCGAATTTATGTAGACATTTGTCTGAGAAACGAGATCACGAAGAACGTCCATCGCTATAGGCGTATTAAATGAGTCGCAAAGAGCGGTCCGGAACGCAGATCGATGCTCGTAGAAACTTATCGTGGGCCACAGGTGTGAGTGGAGAGGATTAAAGTAACAATTTGAACGCACCTTGACGTCAATTCCTTTTCAGGAGCATCGTAATGGTGGCTGCCATCCGATGATGGACCATTGGCCCAGGCCTGGCTCACGAGGGCCTTGACGGTGACGAAGAAATTCTAAACGGACCAGAATCAGTAAACTCAAAATACAAAAAGAAGGAAATAAGATTAACATTCAGGGTTGTCTCAATGTTTCTTACTTCTCCTGTCATTAAGGATTCGGAAAAGTCGACTTTGGCGTTCCAAAGTTGAGTCAAGAACGCCAGCCTCAGCTGGCGAGCAGAGTGCCTCTGTAGAATTTCCTGCAGAACTGTGAGCGCGAGTACTGTGAAGTAAAACTGTCAAGCTTACATCGATGGTAATAAAGTTTTTGAGCGATTTGCTCATCTTCAGTCCTTCGATATGTAGATGGCCCGTGTGAAGGAAGTAATTCACCCATGCACCGCACTCATGGTACGCCTAGGGCCTCGGAATGAAAAAGCTGGAATGGAGGCTTAATTATGCTTAAGGCTCACCTCTGATTGAGCGATTTCATTATCGTGATGAGGGAAGGCAAGATCAATCCCCCCGGAGTGAATATCCATATTGTCCCCAAGAATCTCACTTGCCATCACCGAGCATTCAATGTGCCACCCCGGACGCCCAGGACCCCATTTTGAAGGCCAAGAAGGCTCTCCCTCTTTCGAAGCCTTCCACAGAGCAAAGTCAGAGAGCGAGCGACGTCCAACCCTATTCTTCGACGACAAGCCTGGGTAGTTCCATGAGACTCCTTCCTGGGTAGATTCTAACAGCGAGGACTTACCTCCTTCGCCATCTTCCAGTAATTCCCGATTCCCTTTGCTCCACGGCTCTAGCTTAGCATACGCATGGTAGTCTGCACTGTCAAAGGCCTGGGTGTCGAAGTAGACACTTCCCTCCGCCACATAGCCATACCCATTCGATATGATTCTTTCGACGAATTGAACGATCTCAGGAACGTATTCCGTGACTCGGGTGATCGTGTCCGGGTCGCGGACTCTCAGACGGGCCATGTCATCAAAAAACCGGCCTTCCCAGTACGTAGCCAACGAACGCGAAACAGCGGGATCGGTCACAGTAGAACCAAACTGTAAGCAATAAATTTCAGTCTCGGCTTCATGAGGACCAATCCTAAAACGAACTTGAGCATCCAACGCTTCGGCAAGCACGTCCTGCGAATCGTCAATCAACCTCTGTGCAGCCTCGGCGCTCGTATTCCCAGCATCTAACTGCGTTTGGGCAGTTTCCACAGCGGCGAAAGTACGATTCTATGATAGACGTGAGATTTAGGGTCTACGAGTTTATTGACTATGTGGACGTACCGCGGAGGAGAGATGCATGTCAAATTTTTCGTCCCGTCGCAGACACTCTTGCTTCCACTGTGCGTTCTGGGACAAGACTCCAATTTGGGACCACTTGGTGTCTTCCTCGCCTGGGGAGGGTACCTCGATGTCGGGTAGGCCTTTGCCTACTTTTTCACGTACGTAGGTGCGCCATGCGACGCGTATCCGATCAATCAGGTTGGACGATACACTGGTGGTCTCGGCGCGGAATTTGTCGAGTAGGTGGTTTTGACGTGCACGTTTGATAATCTTGACGAGGACGACGTGTCAGCATGGAAGAGAGGAAAAGAAGCATTTATTTACCTTGTCATCGATGTCGGTAATATTCATGACAAAGTGTATGTCATATCCAAAGTAGTCGGACATAATCCTGCGGAGAATATCCTGTGTCACGTAGTTCCTGCAGTAAATTGAGTATCCAGCTAGTAGGAGCGACAGTTTGAATGTACCGAGCATGACCCATGTGTGAAGCATCGTAGACGGTAGGACCACAGTTGTACCACTTGACCTTGCGTCCATTTTTTGGAACGAACACTTCCTAATCTCCCATTGGTTACCGAGCCAAAGGAAGCGGGGAAATCCAGTCTAGCTCACTTTCGATTTCGTTAGAGAATTGTATACTTTCAATAGAGGCTCCTTTTTTATAGGTTCTGGGATCGCCCAGGGAGGTTGCTGGACAGACATCTTGGTATCCACTCTGGGTAATGAAGGGTATGAAGGAGAGGTAGAGTATCGATATCGCAGACGGAGTAGAGTCACGAGAGGTCGAATACTGCGAACGGTGTGAATCATGTAGTGATTTCCTTTTCCATCGATAGATCAGCGTCACGATGGGTGACAGTAACGTCACACAGTTTATTGCTAAGTATGAGACTGAGTTATTTCGCTTTTTGCCTGCCGGCTATACTACTCGTAGCTCGTCACTTAGTGTTCCTACAGTGTTATCTTTACTATGACCAGCGGCGGCATTGGCCACCCCCGGTGTAACCTTACGCGACCTTGCCTTAAAATAAATACTCAGAGTCCTTCAATCACAAAACCTATCTTGTCGCGCTTAGTTGCATAGATAACAACATATCTTGTTTCATGTCCAACGATCTTCGCGCAATCAGCAACGGTGAATCCCCTGTCCTTGGCAGCAGAAGAGACGCCGGCGCAGAGTTATCCACATGGCCGTCTGGGCCGTATCAAAACTTTATGAAGTAGGGGACCATCATGATCTCCCGTGTAACTTGTAATTGGGTTCGCCTGGGTAGCCGCCCGAGTTATCGCTTCTGCAGCAGGAAAACTCTCTCTACAAGCCGCGGTGCGATTTCCAAGGATTTGCGTACAAGCATGACATCGCTTAATGGAACTTTTAATTCAGACGCATAACGACGTCAGTGCCGTAAGGCGCCCATTCCACAGTTCATCAAATACATCCACTGTATTGTTGTACTGGCTTCGATCTGTTCTGCCTCCTTCCAATCAGTTGTTCCCCTTTACATGGTAAATCACGACCGTGTCCCCGTACAACTTCACATGGCTACATCAGTGATGGAAGTAAACCTTTTCTCAAAAACTCGTGTCAACTGATGCCTCGGCGCTGTAAATAGCACCTTGGGAGGCATCGTGTCTCTGAAAATTTCGTTACCCGGCGCAGTGTTGGCAATCTGTACCGTTGCAAAGGATTTTGTAGCACTCGAGGTTAGAATGCGTCTACCGCAACGGGTACACCCAACCTCCCACATGATTCTAGCTCCTCCGAGCTCATCTAGAATTCGGCAAAGGGGACGGCGCGAACTCTACCTACGGTTAACTCTGGTGAAGCATTTGCGTCTAATTTTAGTAACGGATACCGGTCCCCCCATTAATTTAAACGAATTCTTGAGAATCTACATCCATCCCCATCGGGTAATTGACCCCTCAGCCTGCGGATTATACTTTCGCAGTCATCGTACAGTGTTGTGTCCGAGGTTCGAAGCCTTCCATGCTCTCCAGGATTTTTGTCTTCGACGACGTAAGGTACACATGACTCCTTGATAGACTCCCGGCTTTTGCGGACGTGTAGGCTGATTTGATCAATAGGTATGCAGCGGTCACGGCTCGGAGGATATGATGCATGGCTTTAACAGGCAAGGTGCGAAGGTATGTTGTATACAGTCAGTCCTGTTTCAAATATCACATCTGGAATTTTGCAATAGAATTTTCCCGCCGGTCGGTGAACAAGTTACCTTGTTCCTTGGACCCTATTCCTCTTTGTTCAGGATTTTCTCATCCGGCCGTCTGGTGCAGGAGATTATGCATCAGCTGCTGATGAATCGATTCCTACTAAGTTCTCGCCTTGATTGGCTATTTCCTGCTGCGTGACGTTGTTCGTTCGCGCCTATGCATCGCTTATGAGTTAACATCTTTGATCCTGATCATCACAGCATTCAAAGCAGTTGTACTTCTTTCCCCACCCACCTGTTTACAAGTATAAAAGACGTGCACTCCGTTCTTCCCTTCAAGCGTCCTCTCCACCTTCTTCAGCAACATTCGACGTTCACGGATCATGCAGCGACCAACTATCACGGGCATCCGTGTGCGCACCCCTTCAGACGCTCATGCCATATTCCATGCTGTTTCCCTCAAAATGCTTCCCATCGTGTCCCGACGGCTGGACACCGAGGAGCGTCGATTGATTGCGTCGGGTTGTGTGTTTGTCTGGGAAGAACGGGGACCTAACGCAGAGTCTTCATGTGTAAGACGCTCTCCCCCTCTCTCCCGCTGCGACCACCGCCCATTCACTCACTTGTACAGCAGCTAGGAATTGAGCGGTGGACCGACTCTATACGCTGGGGACCAAGCAGAGTGAAAGATGTGCGTTCAGCGAACTCTGGTTAACATTCTCTTGGGTGCATTAATTGACTTGCGGTTGTTGCCTTAGGAATTTCTATACTATCAAGAGAAGGGCCCCGAGTCCACGGAGATGGAGATGACGTCCGACTCTGATACACCGTGAATATTGCATTCCCTATCCAGCAAGTCACTATTCGACTGATCTATTCCTCGCAGAGTCTATTCACCTACGGACTCGAACCGCGCCGTCTTCCGGGACAACCTGATCAAACAGACATACTCCGTGTTCGTCGAGACCAATAGAGGCCGACGGAAATGGCATCTCAGTAAGTCTGTTTGAATTACTCTTTACCCGTGACGTCGAGTATAACGGAATCAATCGCTGTCAGTCGCGTACTTCACCCAAGAATCGCTCAACTACTTACGAACGATTGACAACATCCCTATGCTGTCGAGTCTGTACGTTCCGCCGGGGAAGTACACGAGCGCTCGATCGGCGAAAGGGAGGCCACGGGATGGCACAGCGTGCGATCCCTATGTTCTGAGAAACTACCACCGATCTGGGGGTGCCCAGCCGAGTCCGAGTCAGTGGCAGGGTACCGGTATGATTCGCCCGTATGGTGCTAGTGATTCGGTCAGGCCTCGGGCTGGGTCGGGATGTCTAGCCCCGTTGGCCTATCTCGAGAATATACCGCCGCCGCGAAGGCACCCAGCGGATGAGGAAGCGTTGAATGCGCTGGGGTTTCGATGATTGAATGTTATTTAATCTGGACTCGGACTTTGTTGCTCTATTTTTACTTTTTTTTTTTTTTTTTTCTCGTCGCACTTTTTGCTTTTTTAGTTGTAGACTTTGATCATAGTACATATATCCAGCACTTGTCCTGTCTTTCTACATGTATTGTAAAGCAAATAAATCTTTTCTTCTGCATCAAGATATGATAAACAGTTCGGAGCCGTTGATGATGCACCTAAAATCTTCAAGATCATGACTCTCACCATCAGCTCGCCCTGTTCTTCTTTTAATTTAAAATAAACATAGTTGTAGATGACTCCGTTCTTTTTTCGGAGACGCCGATGTATGATGTGGGACAACACGAAATCGACATCTCATCATATAAAAGGGGGAAACCTAGGCCCGATGCCAAGTATCCTGTACGCAATTACGGGATCATTGCATGCAAGACCGGCGGTGAGTCATTCAAGCCCCAGGCAAACCCCACAGGACGTACCATGGAACGCAGCCCAGGTCAAAGAAGAGCAATGTAACATGTCTGGTCTGTATAGTAGAATAACGTACTTTTCAGGGTAGGGGAGGAATTTGTTTTTGTGATGAAATGGTTACCGGTACAACCAGCGCTGTCAAAGCGTAATATTAAAAAGGGCTAACCTTATGACTGACCTGTTTAGGAGGGATGGTAGGGTCGCTTGGCGCGAAAGCACCCAGGCAAGGGGTTGGGGGGTCGGGGTTGGGAGGTGGGGGGGGGGTGAAGGAAGGGTGATGTTACCAGAGAACTGGGGGATGCCGTTTTCCGAGGCCAAGTAGGTTGAGCACTTGACAAGCATGGGATCAGACTGTCCAAATATATAGGCAGCATTCTTGGTTCGCTCGGAGTCATGTATCCTAAACGAAACTAGCAGCAACGGCACGGGATGATATGTATTGTATTCAAGTTGCCACACGACAGGACGAGTCGCAGAGGGGGCGCGTGATAGATCGTGATCTCGGCGGCGCCAACCTTCGGAATGATGGTGAGAATTCTGTAGACATGGACGAGGAGAGCGGTAGTGGATCGACGACATGGATCACATAAAAATGGAGGCCGCACCAACACCATCGGGAAAGAAGAACGGGTACAGTGTGCCAGAGAGGCACATGTTACGAGCCGAGTGCCGAGAGGGAAGAGAGGCTGAGAAGGAGGATAGAAGAGAGAGTGTGTTGTAGGGGCAGAAGAGGGTGGAGAAAAGGAAAGGAAAGGAGGGTGTTGGAGGGGGGAGGAGGGTTGGAAAAACGAGGGACGGGGGTGTGTGTCATGAAGAATAATAAAGAGTTAAGGTGTTTAGAGTTGAAGATTGGAGCATGATAGGCCACCAGATACCGATCGATGGCGCCATGTGTCCGGGCTGTTCCTGCCATTTGATGACATAGTTTGATGGGATACCAATGTCGGACGGTATGAACCTTGTATGAACCAGGTCAAAAAAGAGACTAATTAAACAAATGTCCGTCCCAGGGTCATCTTGCTTTGCCGCTACCATATAATAGGAACCGACTACAACGAGGGCCCCGTCTTCCCTCTTCCTTCTCCTGCTCTCCCCCTCATCTCGCTGCACACATGCAGCGTCCGACTTGCTCCAACATCCGCATCCGCTCTGCCCGCGATGCACACAAGATATTCGTCGCAATACAGCAAGGCAAACTCCAGATGGTCAACCGCCGCCTCGACGCTGATGAGAGGCTCGCCCTGCGCCCTGGCTGCGTCTATGCCTGGGAGGAACGTGGCCCGAACGCCGAGGTGACGGGCCTCGGCATCGAGCGCTTCACAGAAGGGCGGCACTGGAGCCCAAGTCGCGTCCGTGATGTGAGTCTGTCTCCCGATTTCTCTCCTCTGTCCTTCCTTTTCCTTCTTTTGCTCACGCACGGGCCAGGAGTTTCTCTTCTACCATGAAAAATATGTCGCGCCAGACTCAACCAGGTTCGATCTCGCTTTCACCGTACCGAGCGCGGAGTGATTGAGCCTCCTGCAGTGATGCCGCCGGAAATCAACCACCACGAGGCTGGGATCGACTGGTGAAGCAGACGTATTCTGTTTGGGTGCAGACCCAGAACGGCAAACGAAAGTGGCATCTCAGTACGCTTCCGAGCCTTCCATCACGTCCGATTTCGCTGACATTTCCCAGCATCCTATTACACCGAAGGTACTGTTGACAACCTCGGTACCGTCGACGACATCGACAGTCTCCAGAACATTACCATTCCAGACGGCATGTTCACCAAGAGCACCCGCTCCACCAAGAATCGCAAGGCCCGTCAAGGCCGTACCAAAGACACAGAACCGGCCCCCGTGTCGAGGACATACGCGCCGTACCCGTCAGAGGCGGCGAGCAGCCACCCGCCGCCACCCGCCTCGCCACCCCAGTCCCAGTCTGTGCAGATGTACCACCCCTATCCCAGATCCAACCAGCAATTTCCCGAATATGACCCCCAGCCCGTCCCGTCGTCCTCCGGGCGCCCCGCCGTGCCAAACAGTGGGCTATCCTACTCCCAGACTCAGCCCTCGTACCCAGTCTCCTCCATGCCTGGTCCCTCTCGACCACCGCCCCCTCCTATAGCCTCCGGCCCACGGCCCGCCGTGAATTACGCCCTCCCGCCCAGCCACCCGTCGCCTTCATCCTCACACAGCTCGCGGTCGAGTCAGGAAAGTCCCTACCTCGAACGAGGCCCGTCACACTGGTATACCGGCCCGCCCCAGCAGCCTTACGTCGAGAACCAGCCACTAGTCTATTCGTACCCCGAACAATCCCCAGCATCATTCAACACCACCTCCACCGGCTTTCCCCCGCAACACGCCCACCTATACGCCATGGTCAAATCCCACCACCTCCCTCTCACGGGCAGCACCGTCCAGAACCTCGTTGCGCCTATCCCCCTCTCCTCTTCGTCATCGCTGCTTATCCACGATCAGTATGATCCCGGGGCCGATTCGGACGGGACCCCGTCTTCTTCCAGCATGTCCAGCGTGGATGAGTCACGCAGGGGGGATATTGGTCCTAGTAGGGCCCTGGCGCCTCTCCATACGCTCAAGCGGCGACACCCCTACCGCCGCGATCCCGCCGACGACAAGGCCCTGAGGCTGCTTGACCCCAGTCTAGCTACTGGTACCTCTCCCGAAACTCAGTAGTGCTTGCACTGCCCAACTGACACACTTTTTTAAACAATCGATTGCTTGATTATAATAAAAATCAAACAACATCCTACGTATGTATCCCTGGACCTCATCGTGTTCTTAAGCACCGGCCTACTCCTCCTCACTCTTGTACAACTTTTCAAGTTCTGACCAATGCGTATAAAAGTTAGCGTCCCTACATACCCCCCCGTTATATTTCATTAGTAGCGCACCCCCCCTGTATTAATTAGAGCATTCTCGGAGAACGTTACACGGTTACAATCCTGGATTAATAACATGAAAACCCTGGGATCCGGAATAGTGCATTGGTAAGTGAACTGGTGCACTCCTGAGAGCCATATGGGAGAAGCGAGATCCATATCGAGAATAACGCGATAGTTTAACCGACCAATCCTTTTGATGCTGCGAAATCGGGGGAAAAAAAAATAATCATTACTGTGGACACCTGTGTATCCTAAATGTCCATCAGAAAGATCTCTGAAGGAATCATTTCTCTCACCGGTCGATTTCTGTCTCCGGCGTTTGGTCTTCAACAGGTGAGAAACTTATACAGCTGAGGCGGGTGCTTAGATTCATCCCACTACGAGCGTCACGAGTTCAGCGGAGATAAGAATGAAAGGAGATAGCCAGGAACAAGCAGACAGCACCATAACCACATGTTGAATTCTTCCCTCCTCGTTAAGCAATTAGGAACCGGCACTATTGCGGAGTGAAATCGCGTCCTCCCAGGTATCTAAAACAGATTTGATTGCGCTGATGATGCATATGTGTGTATACAGTGTGTGTGCTGTGACGATATAATAAAATGGTAATGCGATTTATACCTGGGCAATAAATTTTTGGGTGGCACGCGGGGAATGAGAAGATCACCTATAGAGCAGGGACGTGGAATTGGCCGGAACTCGGTCACTCAGAACTACTACCACTCAAACTCTCTATATGATTGCGTAAGATATCAAGGTTTTGATCGTCAAAATAGATATCGGTAACTTACCCGGTACACTTCTGAAAAAGATAATCTTTACCGTTAATGTGGATCATGCCGTCTTTGAGGATGCACTTCCACTTGTTCTTCACCCGTGCAACCTATAACATCCGTGAGCGACAACGGGATACAAGGAAAGGGACAGTCGAACCTTATCGTACGTGCAAAACACAATATCCGTATCGCCCACGTTTCCATCCTCCGTATCATCTTCCGCTTCCGTGTCTGAGTCATCTAGATCACTATTGATAGCCTCAGATTCGTTTGGTGCGGACGAAGTAGAGGACTGGGACTGCGGCTGCGGTAACGACGGGTGCTGGGAACGTGGAGCAAACGGAGGCGGCGACGCCGAATCGTCCGAATCGTCAGAGGGGCCGTCTACTTGAGGAATTTTGCGGGGCGTCGTAGAAGCTGAAGCAGGTTGGCCTGAAGAAGAAGTAGGAACGGCTGGTGGCGGTACATATAATCTTCCTAGTGGCGTACCTGAGGAAGGAGTGCCGTTCGTTGGCTGAATGGAAGGCGGACCGGGAGGAAAAGAGAGAATGCTCGTTTGGCCTCCAAGACCCGTTCGAAGTCCGCCCAGCGTGGGTCCCGGTAAGGGGGGGAGAGCGTACGCAGGAGTGCCAGCGAGGATGTACCTGCTGGTATCAACAGGCTCTGTCTTAACACTGGGAACGCCACCGTAAGGAGCTGCGGCATAGTGGGGGTGGCCTTGTACGATATGCATAGGGTGTTGAACGTTATAGTGAGGTTGCTGCTGCTGCTGCTGCATCTGTTGCTGAGGCGGCTGGTGTCCTGACTCAAATTCTGCGACGTGTGACGCAATGACTTTGTCTTCCCATTTCTGTGACCACCCAAAATTGACAGAATGAATGCACAACGAAGAAGACGAAACTCACCCTCTGCAATTCTGCCAGAACGTCTTCTGGGACGCCGTACTCTTCAAATTCGGGCTTAATGGCATCGATGACATCGTCAATGACCGCTCGGTACACGTTGGGCTCAAGAAGCGAGAGCGTCACTTGGGATTCTACTACCCACAGCAATTGGTGCATAGCTCACCACTATCTTATTTGACATCTCGACGCTGGGCTAGGGCACGACTGGGTGTCGGGAGACACGGCGACGAGCACTGCGGGGGCGTTGGTGGTAGGAGGCAGAGCAGAGGGCTTTTATACTTGATGCGCATTAGTCCATGACCTGTGATTCAAACTCCGACTTGCCACGCTGGCAGCGCACGGACCATGTTCACGTGAGCTTGCTGCGCCAATTCAGCTCGCATGGCCAGTAACGGCGTACCCTCGCTGAACGCCTCAGAGGCGCTTGTGGGGAAGCGCAAGGAACAAGAGTCCAAATCTAACATGTCCCTCCACGATCCCTTTCGAGCGAGGGAGAAAGGCCGCCTGACGCTTCTTCTCACTTGACCGTTCCATATCTGCCGACAACACTGGCAACAGGCATGGAGGATTCTCGAATCCTCCCCGGGGAGAGGGGGGGGGCGTAATTCCCATTCCAACTCGCGTAGAAGTAACCCTAGCATATTGGCGGCGCGTCAGAAAGTGACAGACGCGAAGAACGCAGAGCGCAATGCTGACAGGACGCTTTCTCGGGCGAGCAATTCCGTCAGAAAAGCTCGGGAGCATGTAAAAATCTAATGATAGAGGCCCAGGAGGAGTAAGCCGCGCATGATTTTTTTTTTGTTTCAAAATCGAGCTGAACTTTCCAGCACTAAAGGCTAAATAGGCTGAATCAGAAGTTGTTAGCAAGACGGCCCGTGCGCTCGGAAGGCCTTGAGGTTCATGTGCGCGCCGTTCGTTTATTCTTTTCTGCTACTACCATTTGTGCCTTCCTTACACGCCGACAGGATTTATTATCACATTATTTTACGTTTTTGAAGTTAACATTTTACAAAACTTGCCTTTAACATTCGAGGCACATGGATGACATCATCCGTCAATGCATGCGATCGTGTCGTAGCTCCAATCGATCATACGCTAAAGTGGCCCCTTTTCACCAGTTCGCTATCTTACAGCATTTTCGTGGCATCAGGATATCACCGGCAGTAATGTCAGCGCCAATCCGACTTCGTCGCAGCCCCCGCGTGAGGTCAGCGATGGCTGTGCACAGTACGAGTGTCAAGGCCAAGCGAAAACTAGAATCATCAGCAGACGAGTCTAGCCAGGACGACTTGGACCTAACGTCTTTCGAAGACGAAATGTCTGCTACCGTGGAAAAATCAAAGATCACGGAAGGTTCAGGGCGTCACCGTCTTAAAGGGAATGGAAGCAGTGGAAAAGAAAAAGCCACGGAAACTGAGATCTCCAATGTCCGAGCCTGTCTACATCATTTTAGATGTCGAACGGAAGGAAACAACGTTCATGGAACATTTAGGCAAGTTGTTACCCCCAACTGGTTTGTCCGACACAGTCTGTCCAGCTTTCCCCTAGGTTACGCCTGTTTGAACACTGTATTGCGGAATAAACGACCGGCAGCCGAATCAGTCTTTTGCTCTCGAACTTGCAGGTTCGTCGGCTGATTCACAACTTAAAATTCGGACTACATGTCTACTTTAGAATCGATACCATCAAGAAAAAAGGCATGGAGTGGGTAAAGGACCTAGAACGGAAAAACTGCCAGGACCTTACGGTTATTCAATGGAACGAGGAAAACGTTAGTTAATCCCTTCCGTATTTTCTTTCAAGTTCACGTTACTCTTTATCAGAACATCCGATTCGTGCGTATTTCATCAGAAATGTTCCCGTTTCGCCTCTCACGCAATATACAGCTATTCTCTGGACTACTGCGCCCCTTTGCTCTCGCAGGTGGGAGCTTTGGCCTCGCGACTCGGGCATCGGCAGTCCCCGGGCTGAGTGATCCAGTCTTCTGTGAGGGAATTGCAGTTATCATGCGGAGATGATGGATCGAATGGGGCTGGGCGTGGATGGAGTAATGATTGTTCATGTAAGTGCAATGTGTCGCTTTTTTAGTTGATCGCCCTGCTGAGTTGTCGGTCAGGGCGGTGGCGTGTATGAGGACAAAGGTGCCACGATCGAGAGAATTAAGGAAACAATTACTCGTGTGTTGCCGAAGAACGTTAGGGAGAGGTTGGCGCTAGACAATGACCAGGTATTTCGGCCCGTCTTGGTATCTATGACAATTATTCATCGGTTTAGTTATGTTACAATGCTCAAGATCTGCTCCCACTCTGCGAGGAGCTTGATGTCCCTCTTGTCTTCGGCAAGTCGCGCAACTTTGCTCCCGTTCAATGTATCTTATCTGGTGCTGCGCGGATTACCATCATGATGCACTCCATCCTTCGTTAATCTCGCACCATGAAATTATCGAGCGTGCAAATGCCATTTGGATACGACGCGGGATAAAACTGAAACAACACCTCAGCGAGCCGCGACCTGGAGCGGAGACTGTCATGGAGCGTCGTGCACATGCTGATCGTTGTCAAAGCTTGCCCGAGGAGTTACCCGATGATATGGGTCAGTGTTTTATTTTATCGGTGTCGAGCGGGCTGACTTATATGCATATTGTATAGATCTGATGATTGAGGTAAGTTTTTCTGCCGTGTTTCCGGATTGCTTACAGACATGTCGGGGTCAAGGCGAATGACAAGGAACAGGCCGTGCTGCACCTGTACCGCATGTACGGGCTGCAACCTGTCAAACAGGGTAAGCAACACTTTGGTAGTTCTTGGTTTGATTCGCATTTGTGACAAATCTTTTACAGAATCTTTACGGCCACCTGATGAAAATCAGAGTAAGGAGACCAAGGGTCGCAAATCTAACAAGAAGGGTAAGAAAAGAGGGCAAGGAGAGGAGGAGGAAGAGGAAAAGGCAGGGGCAGGTGACCTGGAGGAGGACGTTTATCTGACAGCTGCAGTGGCGCTTGAATCTGAACCCTAGCCGCCAGCATCCAAGAGGAGAAAGTGAGGACTGGTGGAGATATAACATCACTAACTGTACTTTGATAATCTAGGTCGCGACATAGGTATTCATAAGTAGAAGGGGAGTCGTTGGAAATTCAATCTTTCCTTGTTGTCTGCGGTCAGGTCTTAGCTGCGTTCCGATGAGCCTTGGGAAGAACATGGGAAGAGCGGCGGAGATGTGTTTCATCCATTGCCTAATAATCACTCAGGGAGGTTGGCCACCATCCTTTTGGAGTCACCGACCTCTGCCACCCTCCCGCCGCCGCATGCTCCTGGCCACCAGCACTGCCTACCAGTAAGCATCACAAATCGTGTAGCCAAGATAGGTTAGGTTACCTGGATTTTTGCATCTGGACTTTTACAGCAATACAGTGCCTTGTTTTGCACTCTCTTCCAGGAACCTTCGACATTCCTCGGGTATGGTTCATTAACAATCTTCGTCACAAGTAATTCCAGAATATCAGTGATATCTGGCAATGCACCATAATACCGCGGACAATCTGATAAGTTGATTTCACCTTAGCAGAGTTGCTTGCCACCATGACTTCGGGAACTTCCAGTGCCAGTAGTACTTTGTTTGAACTACTACTACTTTTATTTGGTAATGCTGTTCATTAAGCGGGCACCTCTTGTGTCCCGTGTTTTACTAGGCTTCCATACAAATATGTAGCATCAAAAATTTAACCCTCTTACAGGAATTCCGGCTCCATGATAAGTTCTAGTGACTCCATAAATCGAAGAACATGTATGGTGAGAACCTGGATTGCTTTACTGATTACTGTTTTTAACGGTATCCGGGATTGCACCGTGTATGAGATCGACAAATTCCAACTATCGTGCTTATTCCAAGGGGGAAAAAGTAAAATTCGCCATACTGTTTGTGGTAAATACGGGCTTTACTTTATGTCCACGGCAATAAAGCTGTGCATCATGAAGTACCGTCCATAGATCTGAATCATGGGGTGGAAATGGAGTGGTAGGGAGATTGGAGTCGGAGTTAGAGTCCTGCGAACAGACAACCGTATTGTATTACTATTGCAAGGAAATTAAATTGATTAGTACCATTCAAGATGTCCCTTCATGTTAATGTTGCAGGCAGGTTATTTGTGTGCAGTGAATAACGGCCAGGCTGAGTACAATGGTCAATTGCTTAAAGGCAGTTGACCGTCGACTCAGGACAAAACTGTCTATGCTTATATAAGGTTGACATCAGATACTTGTGTCGTCCCGTAACAGTTAAGGCTAGAAAATCAAAATCATACAGGAAAAGTTGGATCGATGAGTAGTAACACTGCCGCCAGGCTACAATTGTTCTATTAAATGATAAGAAGTCATCTTATAAAGAGATAAAGATAGGTGTCCTAAGGGTGGAAATGAGCGCGCATCTGCAAGTTGCGGCGCAAGAGCGCAACAAGTGTCCCACCCGCCGACGGGTTTTTCGGCCCGGTTTACATCTGATAAAGTGAAAGAAGAAGAAAGGCCGGCAGTTCAAGATCCAGTACTGTACGTGTCTGCCACGGGAGCTCAAAGAACAAATTGCCGACTTCAATCAGCCTCTATTTCTGCTGTTGCCAAAGAAGTGAAGGAAGGAAATTAAAGCATCAAAGCAACGGCCATGTAAGATCATGAAAGCGCAATGATAATGGTATCGGGGAGACGCTTCGGCTGGGATAAGTTAAGTGTTCCCATAATCTGTGGCCTTCGTAGCAGGGTGATGAGCGTAGGCGCAACAGAGGAGATGGCGAAAGGACGATATTCCCTAAACGATGTACAATTGGTTATAAGGGCAGGATTACAGCAAAAAAAAAAAGGGGGGGGGGCATGTACAGACTGCCTTTAAGGGAGTAAAAGGCATGTTTCCCCTTACACTATACGTGAAATCAACGATTTGAATTGCTTTACCTGTCTTTAAATTTGTCAGCTACCAGGCTCTGGAAATGGTTCAGGTGGTGCTGTCGAAACGGTGAAAGGTGACGCAAAAGCTCGCGCAGCTTCTTATGGCATTTCATGCGCTTCAAGGGCAGAGTCAATGGTCGAACAAATAGCTTTTTAGCGAAGGAGGGATCCCAGGGCAAAGTGCCGACCGATTGTGATACGCCACAATGAACCATGTACATATGTAGCTTCAGCGCTGTATATGGTTGATAGCATCATTCTTTACTGACTCAAAAGCCAAGAAAGCCGAGGGGAATGTAAAGGAATGAACGAAGCTCCGGGGGGAACGGTGTTGGCATGTTTTCGGAACCGGAAGTTTTTCTATGTGATCCCAGAAAGTTAGCAGACAGTGTACGGCAGAGGAACACGTGTAGGGGATCCGAGAAAATCGTCCAGTAAGGTAGGAATGCGAGAAATGACACAAGATGTCAAGAGCAAGCAGTGATTGATCGACTCGGAAACGTGGAAGTGCAGGGTTGCGCCTCGATTAAGTACAAAGTCTTCGAGTCCAGTGACAGAACAAGGAAACCATCGATAGCAGTAATTACGGTGAAGCGGCGAGCGAGGTAAGGAACCCGTAAAGAAAACAAGGAGCTCCCGGGTATCCGTATCGAGAATAAGGTAGCGAGGCACGTGCCTTTTTTCTCGAGTCCGCCACCAAATTGCTTCTTCTCACTTACTTTCATTGTTGATTTATCTCTCTTTTCCTTTCTCTGCCTGTGGCCTCGCTGGGGGTCGTCTGCCGATGACCTGGTCGTACAAGCGCCCGTACCAGCCTATTACCATTAAGAACGCCTTTCGTGACGCTGCATTACACTCCAGTACAACTCCAATACATCTGTTAGGTTCCCACTGAAGCCATCCATCTGCTTCTGAAGAAGATCCGTCAGTAATCCGGTCCGAATACATACCAAGAATATCGAGGTGAGCTCACGGTGTACATGCGCAGGAGGCCGTTCGAATCTGAATCTGTAAACCAGGTGAGCGGCGGAGATTGTACGCGTAGGAGCCTGCGACGGACTAAGTCAGATAGAAGAATCCAGCGTCAGCTTTTTGCCTAAACTGAACCGAATCAAACGCCAGCCGAGCGCGTTCCTTTACTTCACCCTTCACCCATGAGCGACACTCGCCGCCCACCTACCTATGTATCCCGACCAGACCTCTACACAGTCAATGCGCTCAATTCGTTTTCGTTTGGGAATGTCCAGACTTCTATCCCAGCTCCGTCTCCTTCTATTGGCCCGCTTGATGACCCCGACGACGATGCCCCCGGCACAATTGATGTTACTCCCCGCCCGTCAGTCATAGACCACGGTACTTACCGCCCTAGTCAGTATCGTGGCAGTCCCTACCGCAGTCATTCATCGCAGAACTATGATCCAGGTCATGATCCCGGGCCACCACTGCCCTCCCGCCGAGATCCCTCACGGAATCACTCCTCGGATACCGCGTCGAGGCGGACATTTGGAACTTCCTCTGCCTCTGCCTCTGCCTCTGTTACGAGTCTGTCTAGCATGGGTCCCGCCTCTAGCCACCTGACCTCAGCTACGACCACTGATGATGAGCGCGAAGAGCGCGGCGTAGAGTTTGATGATGACTATAACGACTATCACGACGACGATATCGAGATCAGCTCGGTGATGTACGAAGGGAGCAGTGTCGAAGGCCCTGCGGTAAGTGGAAGGTGGATGGGAAGTCTGTCGAGTTTTGCCAGTGGCTACGGCGAGCGGAGAGTTAGCCTCCCTATCGCTGTACCAGGGAGTAGCAGTGCTAGCACAAGCAATGATGGAAGGCGCACTGATATCCTTACACTACGGCGGCCAAGTAAGAGCTTGGACGAGGACTCGATGCTGTTCAATATCCATTCTTCCGCGGATTGTCAGACCTCCTCGTTGCCGGAGAGCGATGGTGATTGGCGAAGTCTGAATGCGAAGGGCAAGGGCAAAACTAGAGAAGATTCTCTACCACCACCACCAGCTAAAGTGACTGTAGAAGCACAAGATTTTGATCTCGACTGGAACGCATTTGGACGAGGAATCACTTCATTTGATCAGCCAATATCTGACATTGTCAGCACGGTGGACTCCCGGCGTGGTTCTACGAGCCGATCGTTGATGAACTGGGGACGTAGGCCGAGTACAGCGACCACGGGAAGTTCGTTTAGCCATGATGACATCTTTACGCGTCATGTTGCAAAGGGGGATCCAAATTATAAGGATCAGAGAAAGGTGTGGACCTTCCGTCGGGATCAGTCGGAGGGGAGTGGAGGACCATCAGCCTCGAAGAAAGGTGGTTTGCTGAGTCCCCGTGGGAGCGTGAACGAGAGGGAGTCGTCGGAAAGGGAGAGGCGTGAGAAGGAGGCACGATCTTCTGCCAACTGGAACGGTATGCGCCCGAATTCCTATGAAGTTTGGAGGAACCCCATGGTTGGCAGGTTCAAAGTCGAGCGCAGGACCACCCCGAGAAGGGAAGAATGTCTGTACATTTTCTTTCTTTAATACCTCTATCTTTCTGATTTGTCACAGCGTCAGACGTGACGGTTCGAGGACCTGTTCAACGTCTACTGATCGATCACTTCCGTGACGGTTCGACACAACTGGTAAAACAGGACGATCCCTGTGTTACTGTTCACAAACATTCCAAGACAGTGGCATTTTCGATTTCTCGGGCGTACAGATCTAGGAGGCGGAGGTCCTATGCGACTAGGCCAACGTCCTCGACGACTTCGTCGAGCATGATTCTACTGGCTCCGAGGAGCGTGCAGGAAGCATATACGAGCACTACGACGACAAGAAAGCTGGAAAGCCATGGACTGTTGGATGAACGACGAGATAAGAGCCTTGGGAGAAAGGAGAAGGAGAAGGACCGCAGGCGAAAGGTGTCCGGCACCGATGAAAGCTCGAAAAAGGGTAAGAAGAAGAACGAGCAGTCGAGTGTTGGCAGCGTGACAACGAGACCTGTTTCGACTACAGACGCGGCGTCGTACCCACCGTCCAGTGCATCGTCTTCGACCGCAGATCATTCAGTATCGTCGTCTACACGCCCTCTTCGACGACGCAGACGTGATGCATTGGATTCTGATGATGATATACCTCCTCGTACGCCCCATAGCGAGACGTATGGTACCATCGATGCCGCTGAGCTCAATCAGCTTCGTGCACGCCAGCACCAGTCCTACCACAACACCGACGATCTAGGTGGTAGCTTTTGGAACCGTTTCAGACGGGGTCGATCAACACGCGCAGTGAACGGGCAGCTGCCTGCTCAGCGGGACGTATCATACCAACCACCCTGGGTGACCCTCGAGTCGCGTAACCGGCAAGAGCAGACGCAGCGCGTGGTGGATAATCTAAATCATTCATTCCAGGAGGTGGGGTTGCTGCAAGTAAACACGAAACCCAAGCCTGGAGTGACTCGCAGCAAGACCAAAGCGCGTGTGGAGAAAGCGGTGTGGACGGAGATTTTCAAGGAGATCCCGCAGGAGTCATTATACATGCTTATCCCTCTGTGGCCTTCTGATACGGATCCACTATCGGCGCAGATACCGTATGAGAGACCTGTGGTGGATCGGCAGTATCTGCTCGTGTGCTACAAGGCGCCTGAGACTGGCGCGCCTGCCAGCCACAGCAAGAAGCGTTCGGTGGAGAGCAAGAACAAGTCACCGACCTCTTCCTGGGACTCGTCGACGCAGAAGCGGGACGAGCGCAATATTTTATTGAACGAGTTCCGGATAACCGGGAGGCTGGTGTCGCATACCGATATCCAAGGATCCGGGATGCGTGTATCTGAAGGGATCATTGTGAATGGGTCGCTGAAGGAGGCCTACGATACGAGGCCGCCGCTGGCGAATCCGGGGACGAGACTTATTGGGCAGTGTCGGAGTCGGGAGCAGGGTGTGGAGTTTGATTCGGATGGACTCTTGTCGTTAGGGTTGTGCTTGACGAGGAATCCATACCCTCCTGGGACGATCGCTGAGGAAGTTGAGCCGTCGCAGCCCAAGCCGGAGCAGGTCCTAACACCAATTGGGAGGGCTGTGGTGGAGATGGTGTGGATTGGTGCATTGGCGTTGACGAGCTTTGGGTCAGTTGCTTCGTGACTTTTTTCATTTTTTTTTTTTCAATTTTCGATTTCGATGAGAATAGTTTTGGTGTTTTGCTCATACCATCTATGCACACGCTTTTTCGCATTGCTATCTTGATGCTCCTTCTGTAGGAGGATACGGAACGATCACACACACACGCGCGTCTCGAATGACAGGTTGCGCATGGTCGGAATGTTCTAGAGGTAAGGTACATTATTTAACGGCGGTCAGTCAGGTCCTCCACGAAGTCAGGGACTAAATCGACCAAGGCCGTAAAATCGTGATTTTGACGTAATCGACTGATCCGTTCCGGAGCACCTGTGGCAAATATTTTCATTGCGAGTCGGCTGAGTTTCTGATATGTGTGACTACAGCATGGAAATTACGTTCTGATTTTACGCTATCTTCCTGCTTTTATCACTGTTTTCCGCCGACGTATCGCTTCTCTGTCGGACTATGAAATGGGTCGCTCTCTTCGAGACACTGGTAGGGCCCGCAATGCCTTTACGCTGGACCAACTTTAGTGTAATGTGAGTCGACTCGACCTCTGTTGTCCTACGCCTACATACAACACCTTGAGATAGGCAACCAAAAACGATTACTTCACGTCAAATTTGCCCAAGCTCAGAATGTCCCAATTCTCGGCACAGTTAGAAAGTAACATCTCAAATGATATTGAAATACAGATAAAGAGCAGTACTTAGAAAAAAAGAGATGAGAAACATAAAGGGTATAGAGAAGGTATAAAGGTCCGACAGTTCTTAAGTATCGACTTCAGTATGGAGCCAACGGAGAGTTGGGAGAGCTTGCCGCAGCAAGACGACTTTCCAGGTTTCTGACAGACAAAATACATCAGCGAATAAATGGGTAACAAGGTTCCGACACGACTAACCGAAGGGACTCCTCTTTTGCCAGAAGTTGTTGCCTCCTCTCGTTGATCTCACGTTGCACACGGAGCTCGACTTCACGCAACTGGAGGCACTGTATAAGTGGGAGACATAGCAAAAAGTCTTAAAAGGGCACCTTCTCTTCTTCACGGCGAAGCTGTTCCTCCTTTAGACGTACACTCTGGCTAGCAAGATCCTCAGGAAGTAGGCTCGAATCGCTGCAAGTGTTCACTGGTTAGTACGAGATATCGATGGGGGGCCGAATAGCATACCGGGCGTCCGAGTTAACACCGCGAGACAGTTTCTCTGTTCGGTAAGTCTCGTAGAGGACATCTTCGGTAAGCGCCTTTAAGTCGCCGAGGTGAGAGCTTGACCGAATCAATGTCAGGCGAAGCGAAATAGGGTAAATGAGACAAAAGACCTCAAGATCGCGCTCCTCAGTCGTGAAAAGTCTGAGTGCTGAGGGTTATCGACCTCAGCGATGCCCCATGGGTACACCCTGGCGCGCACGGGTTCCCCGTCAAGTTCGATTTCCTCTTCTGACCCAATCACCGCGAAAGGAAGCATGGCCTTCGGTAGGATTAGAAAGGATCTTGTGGCGGCTAAATGAAATACAAATTACTCGCAGCTCCATGTTTTCTTGGATGGTATCTTCATCGTCTTCCTCAACATCATAGGGGAAGTTGTATATTGGAATATCGTAATGCTCGATGTCTTCCATGGTCTGTTAACCCAATAAAAAAGAGAGAGCTCAGGAGCAGAAAGCACCTCACCCTCTTCTTGAAGGCCCTTAGTTCGCTCATTGTTAAAGAGTCCGCACGTCCAATGACGGGAATAACGTTGACACGGGGAGAGAGTCTTTGCATAAGCATTACGTCCATTTCCCTCAATCTGAAGGAAACACGTAAGAAAAATGTCGCTGGGGTCGGGACGATACACACGCATGGCCGGTGGGTGGGATGAAATACAGCAAGGCGTGAACTCGACTGTCTTTGAACCTTGGGTTACGCTTGATACGAGACTGCTCTGCCAGAATGTCATCATATTGACGCTCAAGATAATTGACGATTTCTTGAAACCTGAATGTGCAGTGTGAGTAGACCGAGCACATACTATAAGGGATATTTGCTCACGCAGACTCATTGTCAATGTTATCGCCGAATCCTGGCGTATCAACGACGGTGAGGGCAATTCGTATGCCATCTTCTTCGAGTTCTACAAAGCAAAATAAATACTTTTTCAATGAAGCCGACTGAACTCCACATACCGACGTTGTGAGGCTTGATTCGGATGGGCTCCTCGACGTGGGCATTGTGAGGATCGTCGCATATTTTGTGAGACAGGACTCCAGATTCGCAAAGGGTGTTAACAAAAGTCGTTCTGCCCGTTCCGGAGGCGCCTGAAAGGATAAAATCTTAACAAATATAACTTGCCGCCACCGAGGACGACGTACCAACGACCATGATGGTGAACTGGACGCCCTTGATTTTGTTTCCTCGTCGTCTGTAAGCCATGATGCTCCTGTTTGGCAGTAGAAGATGATGATGGTCGTAGCGAACGAGCGAGGCAACGGTCAAGGGCTATAATTGGACCGGGGTTTGCCGAAACGCACGCGAGCGCCAGTGGTAATTTTTTGCTGAATAGCACACTTATTCACTCTGCCAATATGGGAGAAGGGCAGCACCACCAGCACCACCACAGGTCAACGCTGAAGCAGGTACGATAGACATTGAATTAATATCTCGGAATATCCTAATCGTTTTCAGCAAAACAAATCGTTTAAATCTAAACACGCAACAAAATCATCGCTCAAGGACGCTGCAAAAGGTGAGTATCGCTTGCGTCTCTCTGCCAATGGTATCAAGAATTTCACAGGTCGTGTGGCTCGTCAGTCACCAAAGACCGTGGTGTCATCGAACACAGCCGCGCAAGCACGTCTGAACCGGAAAAATAACGCAAAGCAACAGCAACTGAAGAAAAGAAATGCCCTCATCTCAGCAACTCGTGTATTCAATGGCGTCGATGGTGCACCTCGGATAGTCGCAGTCATTCCCCTTTCAGAGGATGTGAATGTCCATACCATCGTTTCTTCCCTTGCAGAATCCCTGGACGTATCGACCGACAACTTTGTAGAAGAGGGACTCTGGAAAATGAGGTGCGTCAGACTGACTTGCTCTTCAACCCGTATTTGACTTTATTTGAAGGGCCGACCGCTTTAAAACATCGTTACAGTTCGTAAACGTGCCATACAGACACATATATGCCGCCCTGGACGCCTGCAAAGTGGCCGACTACGTTGTCTTTGCATTGTCGACCACCGTTGAAGTCGACGCTTGGGGTGACACCCTCCTTCGTGCCCTTCAAGCCCAGGGATTACCGGACGTCGTAACTGTAGTCTCCCCTGACTCCTTGATTGACGTCAAAACTCGTCCAGGCATCATCAAGTCTTTGCTCTCTTTTATTCAATATTTTGTCCCTGTTCAATCAAGAGTGTTCGACTTGGAATCTGGCTCTGACCGTCTGAATGCCCTGAGAGCCTTGTCAGAGGGCAAGCCTGCTGACGTTCGGTGGCGAGAAGGTCGGTCTTGGGTGCTCGGTGAAAACCTAGCCTGGAACGAAGGCACTCTACAGGTCACTGGTATAGTTCGTGGCAGCAGCATGTCTCCTAACAGGCTCGTGCACATACCGAACTTCGGAGATTTTCAAATTTCTAAGGTGCGTATAACTTTCACTGTGTTGTACACTTGTGAGAAGTTCTATTCAGATCATGTCGGCACCGCTATCTCGACATTCAAAATCAAATCATGCTTCTATGGATATTGGGCCAGTCCATCTTGCCGAACCCGAACCCTCATCAGCAGATTCATTAGTATCTTGCAATGACCCCGATGATATGGCCAACGAACAAACCTGGCCAACCGAAGAAGAAATGAGTGGCGCTTACAATAATGAGGACGGGGAGTACAACCTGCCTGATGCCAAATTAGGTACAACACCAAAGGTTGTCAAGCGCATACCGAAAGGCATGAGCGAGTACCAAGCATCGTGGATCGTGGATGAGAGCGATAATGAAGAGAATGAAGGCGACGACGATGGCAAAGAAGACGATGAGATGGAAATGGCAGGTGCCGAAGAGGAGATGGTCGACATGCCCATAGATGAAGATAATGATATAGAGACTGATGCTCGACGGAGTGTCACTTTTCAAGATCTAGATCATGAGGAGGAATCAAAACAGTATGTTCTATCTCTCATCTACTTTACAAGGTATTGATTATCTCTTTTAATAGGTTGCAGTCTTGGAGGAACCGAGAGCGAGAAGAAGAGAATGACCTCTCGTTTCCAGATGAACTTGACACCCCCCAAGACGTGTCTGCCCAAACACGTTTCCAGAGGTTTCGCGGTATGCGGTCTTTCCGAACGAGTCCCTGGGATCCATTTGAAAACCTTCCTCGGGACTACGCGCGGATCTTTCAATTTGAAGACTATAAACGGACGGAACGGAACGTCAGACGACGCGCAGAGCAGGAAACTACGGTCGTGGAGGTACGTTTACTGTATAGTTCATGCGGTCTTCTTACTGATCTTACACTTGCAGCCGGGTACCAGGATTACGCTTTACATTAACGGAGTGCCAGAGGAAGCAGCGAAGTGCTCTCCATTGACTCTTTTCTCTCTTTTGCAGCACGAGCACAAGGTTTCAGTGCTTAATTTTACTGTCCAACGGAATACCGAGTACGATAGAAGCGTTCGGTCTAAGGTATGATGTCGTCAATGACCTATATCTTGAACTTACCACGGGCAATTTATAGGACCCTTTGATTCTGTGTGTGGGACCGCGGCGACTAAATGTAAACCCTATCTATAGCCAACACACACGAGGTGGTGGTAAAGGCTCTAACAACGTGCATAAATTTGAGCGATTCTTCCGGCATGGCATTACAGTGGTCGCCACCATTTATGGGCCAGTGGTATTTGGGAAGCAGCCCTGCGTCCTCCTGAGGGAGACTTCGGATCCGCAGGGTACGGATAGATTATCGGGCTCTCGTCCTGTGAAAAAGTCATTTAACGACCTGTCTTAGCTCCACACCTTGTGGCCATGGGTACCTTCCTTAATCCAGATACGACGCGTGTCATCGCGAAGCGTGCCATTCTAACGGGGCATCCATTTAAAGTACACAAAAAGACGGCAACGGTCCGGTATATGTTCTTCAATTCTGGTCGGTCTCACTTGTCCATCTGGAGACCGCTTCGTGTTTAATCGATTTTCTTGTGTAGATGACATCCACTATTTCAAACCGATACAGCTACATACCAAGCACGGCCGTATAGGTCATATACGGGAATCTCTCGGAACCCATGGTTATTTCAAAGCGCACTTCGATGGACCTATCAATCAGATGGACACTGTATGTATGTCTCTTTACAAGCGCGTTTTTCCCAAGTGGGCGACGATGTGGGAAGAGCCAGAGATTGGACAGGATAAACTATCAGATGCTATGGAAGAATAATAGTAGGTCTAATACGCGTTCTTGTTCTTGTACCCCATTTGTCCTATAGTTCTACTCACTAGGTTGGCTCGGAGCACCCAAAATTCACTCCGTGCGTCGATTATAGAACTCAATTTGATTCGTCGCAAATGTGATAACCTTGTGACCAAAATATGCAGCAGGATGCATGTCAACGGCAAAATCACTACTGCATAGAATTGCTGCGGATCCGCGAGAACGATCTGGTGAACGAAAAGCCGAGTATAGGCATCAATAGCAATACCAGAGACAGACGGATGCGGCAGCCCGAAGGACTAGTATCGGAGCTTCATCAAGATCCTGTAGCAGGATTGAAAACGGACTTGTGAAACAACCGTGCGCGACAGGCTCAGGGTAAGTTCTAAAATGTCTGTAATCAAAGTTCGATCTGAATGGACTGGAGTCATGTATGGCAACGCTTCTCTTTGAAATTGGAGAGCCGGACGTTGCGGTAGAACCCCATATTTAGAATGCCGTGGGGCGGAGAGCGTCTTTGTTGGTCAGTCGGAGCTTGGGGGCTGGGCTATGGTCTTCGGCGACCTTGGAAATACTTACCTGGTTCATTGGGGGTGCCCTTTTACCAGCACATCGCCATCAATGACGCCAGTTCTGAGATCCAAAGAATACAAACAGCTGCGAATCTTGGTACGTAGATGTTTATCCTTCTTATCATTTAAAAAATGCATGTAATCACACCGGGAAGATGAACATTTTCGAAAAACCTGAATTTGAGCACAATTGTTACGTTTTGGGAGCATCGTTTGGAGGTCAACGGACTTCGCATTTTGGAGGAGTCTAGGTCCCATGCCGCCCGTCAGGGATACATGTCGGGAGCACACGAATTTTATGTAAAATCTGTGCTAAGATCTATCTCCCAAAACATAACCTTGTTGCACAGATTGTGCTTGCCCTCAAATTCTCATCTTTCCATGTGAGTAGTCTGTTTTCCTATAGTCGTCTCGTCTTGTCCTTGAATTTTGTACTCATCACCCGTTGGTTGATAATGTAGGACTGAAGATACGATATGGATAACCATGTTCCACTCTCAAATACAGTGGTTCAAGGCCAGCAGCAAGAAATTGTTTCGCGGGATGCTAGACGGAGGCGAGGAGAAAACGTCTAATGACCTTATCTAATTTCTTCGACGAAACTTAAAGGCTGAACCGTCAGCACCCTAAACTGCAAGGACCCACTCTATTACAGTCTTTCTCCTCCTTGCAAGGCCAGTCCATATCAAGCAGCTTTCTATAAGCTCTGCACCTAAAGGTCCAAAGAATGTTGGACAAATTCGAAATTTAAGACTGATCATCCCACTTGAAGGCCGCTGGCAGCCAGCATGACAAGATAAATTGCACGACTCCACAATGCATGTTCGACGTCTTCGCGTCACCATCAAGCTTCAATCTTCAATCTTGGTTAAGCTTGGGTTTCTCCAGCAGGATTATCAGGCTCTCGGAATGGAACCTACATTTATGTCTGCCATTGCACATCAAGAATGAAAATAACCATCCCCGCCCGAGTGACCGAGGCGCATCCGGCTGGAAAGACTTTGGAAGGCGGATAGCGTCATCATACCGGCTTTGGTCCTCTCAACGGATCGAAATCATTACATCTCCTTCGTCAGGCCGACGAACAATGTTCTTCCTGTCGAAACCGGGAATAGCCTGTCATTTGATGTTAAGGCGGCGGTCTCCTTCACGTCGCTCCACTGAAAACGTGGCCGTACAGACACTTATCACCGTGCAGCGACGTCGCCGTTAACATAATACTAGTGCACAGAATCTTGAACAGGGCAATAAAGCATGTTCTGTTCCCCGTTATTTCACAATTTTCGCTAAACACAGTCACGACCTAGCATCATCTCGACGGCTTTGCGAATAAATCCAACTCCGGATCGGGATCCTATTTCCGAGTCGCTAATCAATAATATCAGTAGATCTTTGTCTTCATGGCGCAGATAATCACCGTCAGTAATCTCCGACTCGCTCACCGACACCGGGTTGTTTTGTCTTAAGAATTACTCAGGATGCACCATACAATATAATTTATAAAGGGTATAATCTCAACAGCACTTCCTAACATTTATCATCCTCCCCCAATACTTCTATAAGATGTCTCCGACTCTTTACACCTTTGGCGGCTCCGTATGGTCCGCGGCTCCCGAGCTTGCCATGTAATATTTACTTCTGTTTTCATGAAATCGCGTCTTGACCATTTTACAGTGCTGAACTCTACCCTGCAAATACTATCGCTACCAAGACTGTCAATCTTGTGAATGGCGAAAACTTTGATCCCTCATTCATTGACGTCAACCCTTCTGCCACCCTTCCAACCCTCACCGCCAACGGAAAGTCCTACCTAAGCACCACAGACGTGATCTCATACCTCGTCGCCAATGCTCCAAAACCGCTCTCTACCCCCATCTCCCACAAAGCAATCATCAAACAGGTCCATGAAGGCCAATACGATCCCAACTTTGCGCTGCTCCTTGTTCGTGATGATGCTGAGCTTGTTGCCAAAGCTGGCGCGTTGCCCAAAACCTTTGTAGAGAACCGTCGGTCAACGTCTCTTTCTTTGCATTCACCTACTGAAGTATTTGCATTCCAGGCCAAGCTGCCCTTGTCAAGCACTCCCAAAATCCTGCTAATTCCCGACATGCAGTTTTCTACGCCGAAAAGCTTGCAGAGAACGGGGCGCTCCTTGACATATACACGGGTACAAATAAAGATCCCTCTATATTTTACGCCCAGTCCCAGGAACATTTTGCCAACGTCAGATCCTATCTCTATACTACCCTCCCTACTGTTCTTCCTGCTGACGGATTTATCGCTGGAGCGACTCCAGGCGAAGCCGATTTCCATGTCGTTGCATGGCTAACCCGTATTTCTGCTACGTCCGGAGCGATCAGTGCTACCGATGCTCTTGCGGCCTTGGAGAAGAGCTTTGGTGAGCCTCTTCCGGAGATCGTGAGGAAATACGCCAGGAGTTGGATAGTGAGGGACAGTTGGAAGAAAGTGTATGCTGAAGGATTACATTAGAGAATGGCCCCCATAATTCCCAAGACAATAAAGCTGTAATCTATCTATTCACTATCTCTACAGTAACGGGTCGATGTCGGTCCACGTTTCTGTGCCAATATTAATTTTCATTGGCTAGCAGATAAATAACGTTCATCAGGGACTTCAAAATGCCGTTCAGCACGTACAAATCCCCCCTCTCGCGTACATCATGATGGCTCCCTCCAAGGCTTAAGAGTAGGAAGAGTGCGTACGGAATTCAAATTCGCCATGGAATTTGTCTATCATGCTTCTTGTGTATTTGGCTTAGTTGCTGTCGCGTTATCAAGTAGTGGGTCCTGGCTAGAAATAGAGAAACTATTCGATCTGTAAAATCGAAGTTCAAGCTTGTTCACGGTACTTAACCTCCTCCATCAGTCCAAATACCTGTATTTTGCATAAACCAGTGGGAGCTCCAAAATATTCTCTATATTTTTTTAATGTATTTTCAGGTAAAAATATATTAACTTTTGTCTAGTGAATATGACTGCTTCAGATATTATCCCAGAGCAATCATTCTTTTGGGGATAAGTGTTTGAAACGTGCCGTGGACAACATGGACTTGAGGAACTACTACTAGATAGACATCGAAGAATGGAGGATCCGTGCGCAATGATCGCATTGATGAGCAGGACGTGATTTAAGCGATACCTATCTATTTGAGTAATTTGATTTCGTCGCTGTCCAGTTGAAGTTTTTGAGTGTTTGAAAGCTGCGACTTAATGAGTACATCTTCGTTGTTATAGCATGAGGTTAAATGAAACTCCGTGCTGCCAACTCCACTTTCTGATGGAAGAGTCCGACATGTGCCTACCTCGAAATGTAATTTTAAATCCACACTCAAGAACGACTCTTTGTCATCGAAATCCGCCATCCGAAGATAATGTCCTGACTGGCTACAATAGAGAAGCTGGGGCTCCAAAAAAAGACGGAGATGCTCGTGATCACGAGGGTAGCATACCTTGAGAAAGGTGAGATCATGTATGATGCAACAGCCGCCTGGATCGACGACAATTTGGTAGCCGAGACCAAGAAAATCATATACAGGGTTTACAGTACCAATATACGACAAAGATAATGGGAATATTATATAGTCGGCAGCCGTGGACTTCATGTAACGGAAGGGGTTTTCCCATGAATATCTACGCTGGCAGGGAAATGGTCGTCAGCGATGTCGATGAGCCAGCGCATCCTCGGTCAACTCACAGCACGATATCAAGACGATACAAATCATCAATGCAGATGCTATACGACCACTGAGCTTGGCTTCTGCTGCTCGGAAAATTTAGCGGATGTTTGGACTGAGAAAACCCATTCATGAGACTGCTGAGCAACGGGTGAATGCGACAACGAGATGACAGAGAAACGTACATATTCTCTGCAGTCTCGCAGAAATTTCAGGTGGTATTTTGGCTGCAACGACCTTATCAGGCGAAAGGTGTGCGGTATATGCAGAAAATTGACGAAGGGTGTAGGCCGCCAGCTCTCGGGAATAACGCAGTTTATCTGCTTCAGAGGATGCTGAGGGAGCCATGGTTGACGAATAATAAGAAAAATACGAGGAGCACGCCCCTCGTATATGCGCACCCAATTAGAACAGCTGGAAATTTCAAAAGGTGCCTTTATACTGCCTGACATACAATGACGTCACAATAATCGGAAAATATAATAATTAAAAAATTGAATACAAATATTCACCGACGGAGAAGACTAGGACTCCACGATACGATTCGTCGAACAATATCAGAAGACCAAGTCCATAATTCCTCTAGTAGCCCATCTAGGCCTCCGCGTTCGTCGAAAGATAGTTGACGGTCGGGCTTTTCAGTTGCAATGAATCGAAGGACGTCTTTCACGGTCACCAGCCCGGTGAGCATTCCATGATCCTCGACTAATATGACTCGAGGCCTGCATGTCGGGGATCAATCTATGCAAAATCTGAATATTAATCGAGTCATACCCCATTTTTTTGAAAAGTTGCATCACAATCTCTAAGGAAAGTTGCCGTGAGACCGTCATGGGCGTCTGTGGAGCAGGGGATGAGATATAAATAAATTCTCCGAGCCATCAATGAACGTACTTGATTAACCCAGGGCCAGAACTTCAGACCTTCGTTGAATGTCGCCGTCTGTAATATTATTTCCGAGAAGTCCTCCTCAATACCCACGGATCCAGCTGGCATATTCAGACGCTCCCAATCACGGTCGTCAGACATAAAAGAACATGGGGTGTCCGAGTCAACATCCCTGATCTTCCTGAAACGATCTAATACTCGAGATTAAGCAAAAGCGTGATGCATGGGCTGCGTACACACCAAGGATGAACTGTAATTCCGCTCGTCCGATGTAGCCTATCAGAGTCCGGAAACCGTCGGGAGACACTATGGGAAACCCTTTCACATCCGTAGCAGCGAGGATCGCCTCTGGTGTTTCAATGGCATCAGCAATCACTGTCCTGGAACTTCGGAGGCACATACCGATGTCCTTGACCTGCATACCAGTCTCAGTCAAAACATGCAATTCATTTCGCATCACGGCAGATACTATGAAAACATCAAACTTGAAAAGAAGTCCGTAATAATATGACGCACTAGAAACATTGTACGCATGGTCTTCTTTTTCTAGGAAAGGGAAGCCGTTGAACCTGATCATTTCGTCGGCGATTCCGTTGGTACCTAATAAGTCACCGACGGCTTTGGTCACTAAGAGAACGATCTATGGACCATACCAAACCATTCAGATTGACATCAGAAAACTACAAAAATCTTACCATCGTTGGCAAGATGTATGTCAGGGCGCCTGTCAGCTCAAACATGATTACAACGACAGTGACCGTTATTCTCATGACACCGCTACGAACCGTTGTCAAGATAAGTTTGAAACTGACCGGAAGATTTACCTGAGAGCCGCGGCTGCACCTAAAAACGCGTATGTCCCAGGGGTGATACATGGGACATCACGGTCGCACCAAGCGAAGATGCCCGATTGAGGATAAGCTCTGTCGTTGAGGTACAGTTAAAAAAAACAATGTAGCTTTAGCGAATGGCACTAACAGATACATTGCCCGGACAATGATACCAACCATCCTTCCAAAAGTAGCACCGATCGCCATTGAGGGCACAAATATACCAGCAGGAACTTTACAGCCATACGATATCACGACCAAGGCAGTCCGAATCAAAGTCGCTAGTATGAGCGAGTTCGCTATTCGCCATTGAGTGGCCGTTCTGAATCTATATGGACATCATTGATGCGAAAGATTGTAGAATGGCTTACTGGCAGATGTTATCAACATCTCCTTCGCATTCACGAAATAGAATTGCCATGCTTTCGGTCATATCTATACGCAGAAAGCGATTAGGGTACCCTATGATGGCAGTCAAGGTCGCCAAAGTGACGGCCTCGGCCACACCATGCTTAGCGAGAAACTTTCGACGAAAGGCGGCCGCTTGAAGATTGAATTTGACAACAAAGGCCCCATACAAGCCCTGAAGTATGATGAGACAAAGAACTGATACGAAATTCGTGCTCACACCAAATATTCCAAGCACAACGAAAAATATGATTTCAAAAAAATGCCAATCGCGATCATATGTCACCTGGAACAGTACCAGTTTACCTGTACGAAAAGGGTTCATGGCCTATGCGCCAGATGAGCGATGAATTTCTACCTGTCTAAGTGCAACAACTCACCGACAAGGTGACCGTGGCCATCAGTGCGCAAAAAAAACTCCGCCACATAGTCCGGATACTGAAAGCATGGCTCATTTCCTGGAAAACAAGATCAGGAAAACGGCACAGAATGGTAATGGGTATGATAGACACCTCAATGGAAAATAGCACGCCACCAATGGGTGAACCAAAGGCTACTGCTACACCGGCCGCACTGGCTGCGGTTATAATTTCACGCATTTTCCCTGCAAGTCACCGGCGTTCAGCTGTCATGAAACATGGGAGCTGTTAAGGAGGGGCGGACCTTCGCTACGAGAAAACCGCTGGAATAGTCCGGCGACCAGATAGCCTATACAGCAAGCCACATGGACAGATGGTCCTTCTTTACCGACAGACAACCCCGATGCAATTACTAGAGGCTGCACAAGGTAAGACGCGTCATTGAACCTATTCAAAGACTCACTAGAGTTATGCTCTTAATGAAAAACGTCGCGAAACCAAGGAAGCCTTGCATAATAAATCCGGCTAGAATGCATTTGATTTCCGAAATGCCAGATCCCGCAGCGTACTTAGCTAGAGAGCGGACGAGGTGGGCAGCCGTGAATGAGAACGTGGCCTCCCGGAGAGTCAGTAAGTTACAATAAGCAGAGAGCAGATCATACCGCAAACAAAACATAGATAAAATATCGCGCCGGGGTGACTGTACTCCAAGGATGCCACGAATCACAGGCATCCGTCTCCTCCTCTTCGATTTCCCAACAGCAGAACTGCTGATTTAGCCACCACCCATTAGAACAATACCCCATCTTTATGTCGGAGAGCCATTCCGTGATGATTGAAATGATAGCGGCATTCAAGCCAATGCAAACTCCTGTGAAGTAGTATTAACATTTCACTGCAAGCTGTGTGTAGTGCGAACAACGCACCAACGAGACTGACGACAAACCAACTCTGTCCTGTCCTCATCGCCCTTTTGACTTGGGCCCATAACCATGAAAAGGTTACGTGTCGTCCACGTAGTGCAATATATTCATTCCTCGCGTTCCGAATGCGTCTGTTCCGTTCCAAGATAGCATCCTGGATCCAGTCTATTTTGATTCACTTTAGAACCTTCGAGGATTACATCGTCAATCTCTTCCACAAACCTATCGTAGTGAAGTCTTCATATCGTCTAGACGGACATTTCTTCAGCGAACATTAACTGCGGAGGGACATACGTACCCACCTGATCTGTTCGAGCTCTTCGTCGGCTTCTGCATTCATCTGTGACCATTCACGTCACTTGTCAGCAAGTAAGAGGCGTAGAATGAGCCAGAGACAGCGAGTACTGTGCTGTACAGTGTATACTTGGCGGTACGAATGCACAACAGAGCAAGTGGCTGTGCGGTAGTAACTCTCGGCCAAACACCCTCGATGAAAACACCGTCGACTGTTCCCCTCGGTCTCGTCTTTTCAGCGTTGGTCGCGTCGCGGCTGCTGATTTCGTGCACCTCTATCCATGAATATCTCATTCATGACCACCAGCTGTCTTCGCCCCTTACCTCATTTCTCAATTGTACGTTCGACCCTCCAGCATATGGTCACCTAGTTGACATGTTCTGCAGTGAAGGAGGGCATATATCTCTTCAATAATGGTGTGGATCCGTACTCTGGGGGTGTATTTCGACACGTATGTGCTTCGGAAATAGTGGTTATGTATACTGATGCTCAGACAGTCTCCACTATACCTCTCTCTTTTCACGACCATTTTGTCTCCGTCGCGAATTATTGCGTCCTTGCTATGGACACTGTGCGACTCAATAGGTGCTTGGTCAATGGTACGCATATGGAGGGCCAGGAATAATATCGTGCAGAGCAGTAGAGATGTTTTGGTTGCCGCCCTGTAGTTCTGCAACCTTTTTGCTTTAGTGTTCTACACTGACTTCTGCTCCTAGGTATTTCTTAAATCCCTATCTGTTCCTTCCAAGTCTGGCTTTCTCCACATCGTCCATTGAGAATGCTGTAAGTTTGCTAGCTATAATGTTTGCGTGCGAAAGTGAGTCCATTCACTTCTACGCCGCGTTTCGGTGCTCAGTTTTTTTTTTACCAGGACGGACATCTGCATCTTTGCTTGCTTTGGCTTTTCTTGTGCAACTATCTCTTTCCTCCGTTGTCCTCATAGTACCAATTATTCTCCTGTTGATAACCAGTCCAATCTCACAACTTGTATCTCCGAGACCGTTCTCCGGGAAATGGACTCAATCATTGGGACATGTTTTCGAGTTGGCCATATACGTTCTTGTTCTCACGCTTGCGTCAACTCTTGTCTCAGGCGACTTCCTTTGGATATCGCAGACATGGGGTGCAAGGTTATTCAATATCTTGCTCGGTGAACTTCGCTAACCTAAGCAACCAGTCTTACCCTTCCCGACTTAACGCCTAACCCTGGGCTTTGGTGGTATTTCTTCACCGAAATGTTTGATCATTTCCGCCCGTTCTTCTTGATGGTGTTCTCGGTGAGGAGACGCCATTCTGCTTCTAAGCGATATCTTGACAGGTGATATAGGTACATCTCTTGATTTACATAGCGCCTATATGCATCAAATTTCAGTATGCTTAACTCACTTTCCCCCTCTATTATAACTCATGCATGTATCTAGGTATGATAGTCTATATGCCACATTCCTGCTCGTCGGAGTACTTGGCATATTCAAAGCATATCTAACTCTATCTGATCCAGGGCTGTTCTTGTCGATGATTTCTCTCTTCCCGGAGATATACCCTTGTAATGTCATAGTGTTTTGTATGCTGCGGACTTCACTAATGGCGTGGCAGACTTCCGACACCCCATCGTTACCTCATTACTTCATTTACACGCTACAATGCTTCTGCCTTTGTTCCATAGGCTGTGGCTGACGCAGGGCACAGGGAACGCCAATTTCTTCTATGCATCAACATTGGTCTTTGCCTGTGCCAATGGTGCCGCTCTTGTGGATTGCGTATGGGCCGGTCTGAGAATTGCGATTGGAGAACAGGTTGATGGGTACGCCGTTACTCAAGAATAGAGGGAGGTGCCCATCAGACATTGTCCAGTGTCTGAGGCGAAGGAAATATTTCAACGCTGTGTCACTCTTGGTCGTCAGCGCCTTCACAGGAGGAAGGGCGATATTGTAGTCATCAAATCCCGGCCTTCTTGTGGTGCCAGGACTATATCTAATCTCAGATGGTCATGGGCACAAATGATGCTGCTAGACTTGAACTGTAAATTTGACCATAGAATACAAGGGAAATCTGGTACGGAAAACTTAGACTGGCATGGTACAAGCTATGGGTCTGTTTTGAGTCTGCAATCCTGATGCAATCCCGGCCATTCATTACTGGATACATGATAGCTAATACGGCTGAAATTTATATGCTTTTACGCGGTAGAGATGTTGACGACAGCTCCGTGTTTGAGTGCACGACTGTAAGGGCAGAACTAGTTTGTATCAAGTCAGTCCAGGGCCTGAGTGCATACACGCAACGCACCGCATGACCAGCTCGCAAAAGTTCATCATCAATACCCTCCACTTTGATGTCGACCCCAATTCCGAACCCTTCCATGTCCTTAGGCTCTCCAAGATGTACGCTGACGTGCACTTTGGCATTCTTTGCCATCTCTGTCTTGCCCATACCACGTGCTACGAGCTGAATGGCACCCAAGAGGCACGCTACAAGAGAACATCGTGAATAGCTCGACAAGACAAGGGAAGTGCACACAGGAATATCCCATCGCGAACAACTGTTCGGGGTTCTCGCCTTGTCCAGTGCCGCCTAACTCCTTCGGTGTCGCGAGATTGAGTTCAAGGTCATTGGACTTGGTCGTGCCATTGCGTCCAGCACCTTGAGCAGTAGCATGAGCGGTGTACTAAACATGAAATTGTGAATTCGATGCTCGAGTTGTACAAAGTAATAGATGACCTTGAGGCTCTGCAAGGTCACAAGCGTCCTCGATGGGACTTTTCGTACCAGGTGGGGCCGAATTAAAGAGCGCGAAACGTGGCGGGCAACATTCATGCTCATCGTTCTGGTTCAAGGGGTTTTGATGACGTCGGCAAGATACTCAGGACCTGCAACAGTAGTCTGACCAAAATGCCTCAAGGCCGGTACCACTAAGTTAGCGAAGGCGATATAACGGACCAACATTGCAGGAAAATTATATTATACGACACTAATACAGATCCAAGTGATTAAGCATACTACATCCAAATTAGCATACGTAGCTACCGATGTAAAAAGAGCACACTCACCCGTGTAAAGGTCCCCATCGTTGTGAACGTTTCCTTCCTCTTCGGCCTACCCTCGGAGTACAGGGATTTGACTGCTTCACTCATGTTTGCCTTCCGCTTCGCCTCCTCCATCGCCAAACCACTCACGACTGCACGACTGGCCGCTGCTATTCCCGAATTCATGCTCGGCGCTACAACTTGTTTCTTACTCGCCGGAGCCTCATTTGCAGGGGAGACATTCTTTCTCTTCTTAGATTTCTTCGGCGGCTCAGAAAGTCGTTTGCGTTCCATAGCTTCCCGCATACGTTCCTCTTCCTCAGGCTGGGGATTGAGCGGAATGATGTCGTTTGCCCTAGAAAACTTTTTGGCGCATTGGGGACACACATCAAGCTGTTCGCCGTTTTCCTCTTTGGGTGTCGTAGAAACATTCTTCAAGCCTGCCTGAGAGAGTACACAGCCGCAAGTGGCAATGTATACGAACGGTAGGAGACCGTTCATTTCCTTGAGAGTAATGGGACAGATGAACTGGGCGTGGTTAGTGATTGAACCAGGAGAAGGAGGTGTTGGATTGGGAGTTAAGGATAGCGTTTTAATGTCCTTGTCACAGGTAAGTCAAGCATCTGAATTAGTTAATCAAGTAATACGCACTTTAAGTGAACGTATATGACCGCAAATGTCTTCCCCATCGCCATACGCAGACTTGTCAAGTAAGTATTCCAATATTGAATCCTTGTTATACAATTTCCCAAGAGCGCAGGCCACTATGGGCTCCTGAAGTATTCGCTGTATAACGCAATCGTTTAGAAAAAGACCTTGACAAATCCACAAACATACCAACCTTGGATAATGCGCAAAAGAACCATCGGGCGCGGGTCTGGTTCGCTTTGTCGGCTTGTTCTGCCTGCATCTCTGTTAGAGACAGTGCTGAAGATAGGCAATATATACCTTTGGCTTGTTTCGAACTAGGTCGCGGCGGTCTGGGATACTTCCTCCGTCATTACCCATCGCGCTCGACGAGGTTTGGGGAGTGACTGGTGGTAAGGGTGGAAGTGTTGGGCGGCACAGGTAAATAGATGTCAACAGAAGCTTTTTCTAAACCAACCACGACCTTTTCTTTCCTCAGTGTTCCGTTGCGTTCTTCATTGAACCGTGGCGGCCATTGACCACACGCAACCGCCATGCATCTGTACAATTTTACACTACAACCCCCAACGGCAATTACCCAGGCCATCGTTGGCAATTTTTCTGGAGCCAGACAGCAGGAAATCATCGTTTCTCATGGTACACGTCTAGAGTTACTACGGCCAGATCCTCAGACAGGAAAGGTCTCGACTGTCATTGCTACGGATGTCTTTGGTTCAATTAGATCATTGGCTGCCTTTCGACTAACGGGAGGGACGAAGGGTGAGCCCTTGTACGTATCCTTTCTGCGATTATGCATTTACACCTCATTTCTCAGACTACGCAATCGTAGGGTCTGATTCAGGCCGTATCGTTATTTTGGACTATGATCCCAAGACCAGTAATTTCGTCAAGCTTCATCAAGAGACATTTGGGAAATCCGGCGCGCGTCGTATCGTGCCTGGTCAGTATCTGGCTACCGATCCCAAAGGACGAAGTGTCATGATATCTGCTATGGAAAAGAGCAAATTGGTCTACATTCTCAATCGAGATGCTGCCGCCAACTTGACGATCTCTTCGCCCCTCGAAGCGCACAAAAACTCGGCGATTATTCATCATATCGTTGGACTGGATGTCGGCTTCGAGAATCCGTGCGTATAAATGTCAAGTTTTCATGTCCCAGTACTCATGTTCGTACAGAATGTATGCTGCTTTAGAAGTCGATTATTCAGAGTCTGACCAAGACCCAACGGGTGAAGCTTTCAACCGCGCTGAAAAGGCGAGTCATATTTATACCCCTCTCATGATATTACTAACTCTATCTAGATGCTCACATTCTATGAGCTGGACTTGGGACTAAATCATGTTGTTCGCAAGTGGAGTGAACCCACTGATCCTCGCGCAAATATGCTCTTACAAGTGCCGGGAGGGCAGCTGGCATCTTCCGATCGTTTTGATGGACCATCCGGTGTTCTGGTGTGCTGTGAAGATCACATCATCTACCGTCATATGGATGCGCCTCAGCATAGAGTTCCTATTCCCCGGCGAAATGGTCCTTTGGAAGATCCTAATCGTGGCTTAATCATTACTGCTGCAGTCATGCACAAGATGAAGGTGACTGTCAACCTCTGCTATTGTGTGAGTTACTCAATGTAAAACTAGGGCGCGTTCTTCTTTTTGCTTCAGAGCGAAGATGGCGATCTATTCAAGGTCACAATTGAACATGAAGATGAAACAGTCAAGTCCCTTAGAATCAAGTACTTTGACACAGTTCCAGTCGCTGCCAGCCTCTGTATTCTCAAATCCGGTTTTCTTTTCGTGACCTCGGAATTCGGCAACCAGTACGTTATGAATACATTGGTCTACTTAAGCTTACTGTTTTTGAAAGCTATCTTTATCAATTTCAGAAGCTCGGTGATGATGATGACGAGCCTGAATTTAGTTCCACCTCGTACTCTTCATTTGGGATGGCAGACCCAACTGTACCGCTACCGCATGCTCATTTCCGCCCTCGCCCGTTGGATAACCTCGTCGTGGCTGACGAACTTGAATCTTTGGATCCTATTCTCGATTCCAAAGTCTTATCCAGACTCCCAAACTCAGATACACCGCAGATTTTCACAGCTTGCGGCCGAGGACCCCGTAGTACCCTACGAATCTTGCGTCATGGTCTTGAGGTGGAAGAATCTGTAAGCTCCGATCTGCCCGGTATACCAAATGCTGTATGGACAACGAAACGAGCTGAAGACGGTGAGTAACCTATGTTGCTTGCGAGTCTTTGCTCATGTTTTCCCCCGCCAGACCCCTTCGACTCTTATATCATCCTGTCATTCGTTAACGGAACACTGGTCCTCTCCATTGGAGAAACAATTGAGGAAGTGCAGGATACAGGATTCTTGTCTTCTGCACCTACGCTTGCCGTTCAACAGATAGGTTCCGATGGTCTGCTACAAGTCCATCCTGGTGGCATTCGCCATGTTCTTGTTGACACTCGTGTAAACGAGTGGAAAGTTCCTCACGGCAAGACTATCGTCTGCGCTACAACAAACAAACGACAGGTGGTAGTTGCATTGAGTTCTGCCGAGCTCGTGTATTTCGAATTGGACTTGGATGGTCAGCTGAACGAGTATCAAGACCGCAAAGCTATGGGCAGTACGGTCCTGGCGCTGAGTATAGGTGAAGTTCCTGAAGGTCGTCAAAGAACTCCTTTCTTGGTATGCGCATCCTTGTCTTTTTCAGGTCATTTTTTGACAAGTTATCTAGGCAGTGGGATGTGAGGACCAGACTGTTCGCGTGATTTCATTGGATCCCGAAACCACACTGGAAACGATCAGTTTGCAAGCTCTTACCGCTCCGCCTTCATCCATTTGCATTGCAGATATGCTTGATGCCAGCATCAACAAGACGCAACCGACAATGTTCGTTAATATTGGTTTACAAAACGGAGTCCTCCTTCGAACTGTATTGGACCCAACTAACGGTCAGCTTACTGATACCCGTACCCGGTATGTGTGTTACTGGAACGATCTATCTCTGAGCTGACGGAACTTGCCATTAGTTTCTTAGGAACGAGGCCTATTCGTCTCATTCGCGTTCAAATTCAGCAGAATCCGGCAATTTTAGCACTATCATCACGTTCATGGCTCAATTACACACATCAAAACCTTATGCATTTTACTCCTTTGATTTTCGAAAACTTCGATTATGCCTGGGGCTTTTCTGCAGAGCTAAGTCCGGAGGGTCTGATCGGGATCACTGGAAGCACGTTACGGTGAGTTATGGCGTCCTTTCTCTCTGGCTGTCGATGGAGGCACCAAGATGACCTTAGAGATCCTGAAAGTGTCTCGAAACACTTTATGAAATTTACTTTTTTTATCAATTGTTCCTACTGAGCATCCTCCTTCGTCATGATTTCTGTCTCCGCATCCTGCTGACGCATCTCTCTTGTTTACAGGATTTTCCAGATTCCCAAGCTAGGCACGAAACTGAAAGCAGATTCAATCCCGCTATCCTATACTCCACGAAAGTTTATTACCCATCCACATAACGAGTACTTCTATCTCATCGAAGGAGACCACCGTACGCTGGGTGACGATGCAGCTGCCAATAAATTGGCAGAATTGGTACGTCTGTTCGATTAGAGATATCCCTAGATTCTGACATGCTACTGCAGCGGAAACAAGGGAAAAAGATTGATGAAGAGGTGGTTAACTTGCCTGTGACGGACTTTGGTCGGCCAAAAGCGGCGGCAGGCAATTGGGGGTCCTGCATACGAATTGTGGACCCGGTTGAGGTGCGTTTCCGTTCCCAATTTCTAGAGGGCACAACTGAATGAGAATGAACAGGCCAAAACGGTTGCAGTGGTGCAGCTGGATGGCAATGAAGCTGCGTTCTCTCTTGCCATTGTTCCGTTCTCTGCAAGAGGCGGAGAACTACACCTGGTTGTAGGAACGGCGGCTGACACCATCGTTTCACCGAGATCCTGCACTAGTGGATACTTCCGCACCTACAAGTTCACTAATGATGGTGCTGGCTTACAGCTATTGCACAAGGTGCGTCTTCCGCCTATATGGCGAGACATAAACTGACCTGTCACTAGACGGAAACAGATGATGTTCCCTTGGCTCTAATGGCTTTCCAAGGACGTCTGGTTGCTGGCGTCGGGAACGCGCTACGGATATACGATATTGGGAAGAAGAAGCTGCTGCGCAAGGTCGAAAACAAGGTAAGACTGTCATAAATGAGAAACGTCTGTATGTTCATCGTTTCTGTAGACCTTTGCTTCGCCCATCATCAGTCTCAATACTCAGGGTTCTAGAATTATTGTTGGCGAAATGCAGGAATCAGTATCATTCGCTGTATATAAGGCACCTGAAAATCGCCTGCTCGTGTTCGCCGACGATAGCCAGCCGCGGTGGATATCCGCTGTCACTATGGTCGACTATAACACTGTGGCATGCGGTGATCGTTTTGGCAACGTCTTTGTTAACCGCCTCGATTCTAAAATGTCCGACCAAGTCGATGATGATCCGTCGGGTGCCGGAATATTGCATGAAAAAGGTCAGCTAATGGGCGCTCCTCACAAGACAAAAATGCTCTGTCATTTCCACATTGGCGACCTTGTGACTTCGATACACAAAGTGTCCCTGGTCGCTGGTGGTCGTGAGGTTCTGCTGTACACAGGCCTGCATGGAACTATAGGTGTTCTCGTGCCCTTTGTATCGAAGGAGGACGTAGATTTCATATCAACATTGGAGCAGCATATGCGAACGGAGCAACCGAGCTTGGTCGGGAGAGATCAGTTGAGTTGGCGCGGATATTACACGCCAGTGAAAGCTGTCGTGGATGGGGATCTTTGCGAGACATTCGCTACGCTACCAGGACCTAAGCAGAGTTCTATTGCTGGAGAGTTGGATCGATCTGTTGGTGAAGTGCTCAAAAAGCTAGAGCAGTTACGGGTGACCACGAGTGGGTTTTAGGATATTTAATTTTTTCGTTGATAACTGCTATAACTATTTGCTCCGACTGTATTTTCATTGTATCATGTATTCACGATGCTGCAGCTTGAAGCTTGAAGGTGGCCACGTCAGAGAACACCAGACACCAGGCAAGCGCCGGTTTATTTTGGATATGGTGATGACCAGCGAGGAACTGCCAGGTAACCCAAAGAACAGTGGAATAGGATGACCTTATGGAACTAAAAACGCAGACATGCTGTTCGCTCACACCAATTTTTACAGGTAAGCTGACCTCCGACCCTACTGCAGAAAGCGAGGCGCCTCCATAGAATGAACCGTAAACGATGACAATGTCCCCTTGGACAACAAGTCGTATAATACAGCTAGATGGACCTGATAAGCTCACTGGCACCTTCAGTGCCAGCTATTCTCTCAAGTTTGAACCAATCGTATCTAGAATACAGAACACGAGAAGTAACATCCGAACTCTCGACACCATCGTCCAAAAAAGGATAAGACAGTAGTTCAGCATAGAACTGATGGTGGTCAGGGGGCCCGTAGAATATGAGGTTACGGATTCCTCGGATTTTGTATCTGGGAGCAACGGTCAGATAATTAGTCCTCACCAAAACACGATTGATCGACACGCCTTTTGAAGAAATGGAAACGTTCACTAATGAGGAGGAACGACTTCTGGCCAGTGAAGAATGCCTGGCGAGCTCGTGAGATGTCCTGGTTCGACGAGTATCTTTATGTCCAAAATGTTACGATGCGTCAATATCACTGGAGCAAGGACAACGTACTCAGACAAAACAGTGAACGTCACACCCTTCTGCTTTCGCAAATGATTGTGAACTCGGATAAAATCAAAATATGACGGAATAAAGATAACGGTGTTGGCACTTTGCACGGCCGATTTAAGTATTGACGGAAATAGCTGTTTGCTCATTGTCAACATGGCAAGAAAGGAGAACGAAACGCTTTACCTGGGTCGTGAAATGGTTGAAGCGTTTGTCGGCTTCATCATTTGGGTTACCACAATCAAAGTGAACGAAATCCTGCGGTGCAATCGACGATCAGAAGACTCGGGTCCAAACAGCGCAGTATACTCACCTGGTGAATGCCATCCGGGACCTCAGTAGGAGCCCATCGCTTGTCGAGTCTGACTTTTCCGGCTACATTTTTGAGGTTTGCATTGAACACGGAACGTATTTCAGGCGTCTCAAAAGCGGAGAGTAATACTGATTGTCGGAGGTACGCGGCGCTTGGGAGAACTTGTAGCCACATTAAAGGCCCCAATAAAAGAACTTACTGTCCATCTAGATACCAAGGCTTGATCCGTGAAAAATCGGTATCATGGGATTCTTTAGGGAGTGCATTGAGATGTGAGAGGACGAACTGACAAGGATAAGAATTTGAACAACTTTAAATACGGAAAGCTCACTTTGACATGTTCCCAATTTTGCATAGCCAGTGCGTCAAGTTGATCAATGATGACTATCTCAATAGACGACAGATAGTCAGCATTTCTACAAATTTATAAGACTAAATTGGAACCCAGCACATAAGTCAGGACCTACTTTTCCTTTTCAATGGACTGACGAAGACCAATAGGACTCGCCATGATGATATCACATCCATAGAATTCGGCAAACATTTTGATAGTCTTCCTCGTCAACTTTATGCCTACCCGGAAGCTATCGTCTACATTTCCTTTGAAAGTCTCGACATGGTCACGAGGGTAGGTCCCTGGTTCTGCGTTTACCAGCTTGTCTACCGCGCCTGGAGGTAGACCATACTCGGATAGGAATCGAGATTGGTTTTCAATCTGATATGCGGGAGAAGGTGTATGTGATCTGAGAGCATTGAACCAATCAAAGGCATACGATCTGAAAGGAAGGAGAACAAGCACTGAAGGTCGAGTAAAACCCTGATCTTGCGCATCCTCGGGAAGTGGTGCATCTGGATTTGTTTTTGACGCATGAGACAGTCGCTCGTTATTTTTAAGAACCCGTCGACGCTTCCTAACAATTCCGTCACCTAACTGGATGGGGGACGGTCTTGTAAACTCACTTTGTTACATGATTCAGTGCATGCAACGTTATCGCTTCACGAATGCACTTTTTGGTTTTCCAGGTACTTGGAGAGAGGTAGACATCTTGATATGAAGAAAGGGTTTCCAGAAAGTCATTTTGTATCTCCACCTCGTCTGTAAAACTTAAGTTGAGGTTCAAAGTGTAGACTAGGTAAGTACCTTGCAATAGCTTCTTTTGGCGAGCTTTGAATGGAGCATCAATGCGGTCCAGAATCTGTGGTCTCATTCAGGTGACGATTACACTGAGTCTCGAGGACGTACTCCATTATTTTTGGGATGGAAAGAAGGTTCCTTCGAAGCGTCGGGAGTAAATTCAATGATAGACCCCAGCTTTCCGCGCGATTTCTTCTCCATTTTCCATTGCCGAGCTTCTACAGCTGCTCTTGAACTCTCGGATAGAGCAGATGGTTTGCAACCAAAATGGTATTCATATGGGTCATGATCATCTGGTGTAATTTATTCATGAAATAAAATACACGATAATAATAACATAAACGCGCCTTCTATGGAGAACTCTTCTTCCTCCTCGACAGGTACTGTTGTATCCCCCAGTTGGCTGGCATCGTTGGCGTATTCTTGCTCATTTGTCTCTGGACCTATTTTGACGGAAACTCTCTTGTCCGATTTCTTGGATACGGACGTGTCTTCGCTCCATTTTTGTTTGTCGTATCTGGTTGCAGAAACGTTCAAGAGAGTGAGAAGACGGGTGGTGGTGGAATTGTCCATTGCAAACCGGAAAAGGCAGTCGAATTTTTCTGTACTGTTCCACGTGATTTGACGCGTTCACGTCCGGCCCGTGACCTTACCCTTACCCTCATCGCGACCGTCAGCGTCAGCGTAGGCTCGCCTTCCTGGACCTTGGATCAGTTCTTTCTCCCTTTCTTGTGTTAGAACGACATTATGCACGTCCTTTGCGTTGCGGAGAAACCGTCAATTTCGAAATCCATCACCCAAATCCTTTCAGGTGGCCAGTTTTCAACCGTGAATGCCGCCTTGTACGACGTTGGGTCTTTTGCTTACTGAATATTACGTTACAGCGAAGCACCGCTAACAAGTTTGTTAAGAACTATGATTTTGAATACTACTTTACCAATGATTACTACACTGTGACCTGCGTATCGGGCCACTTAACGACTCCCGACTTCTTCGATACCCACCGCAAATGGAACTCATGCGATCCTTTCGATTTGTTTGAGGCCCCCGTACAGGCTACTATCCCAGAAACTTCCAAGAGTATCGAAAGAAACATCTTCAACGAAGCCAAGAATGCCGACATGCTCATGATATGGACTGACTGCGATCGAGAGGGCGAGCACATCGGGTCTGAGATAGAAAAAGTCTGCAAAAGGGCGAAACGTACCATTAACGTGAAGAGGGCCAGATTCAGTGCTATTATTGCACAGTAAGTCACCCTTGTGTCTGACACATATATCATCGGGACCTTCTTTGTAGACAAATCCACAATGCTGCCCAGCATCCTGTGAACCTTGACAGGGCTCAGGCCGATGCGGTGGAAGCCAGAACAATACTGGACCTCAAAGTAGGAGCTGCCTTTACCCGGATGCAGACTCTGGCTCTTCAACGGCAAGTTAAAAAAATCGAGGATGAAAAGAATGTAGTATCCTATGGTGCTTTTCAACTGTTCTGTAGCACTCCTTCTACTAACTTACCATTCTTTCAGGGCCATGTCAGTTCCCCACCTTAGGTTTCGTCGTCGCCAGGTACAAAGACGTTCAAACGTTCAGACCGGAGACCTTCTGGTTCATATATCTCACCCTGTCACAACCATCATCTTCTCCTGGAGACGCCAGAGAGACGCGGTTCACCTGGAGAAGAGGTCATCTATTCGAGTATGATGCAGCTCTCGTCATTTATGAGATGATGATCACTTCTGGGTCTCTTGCGCGGGTCGCGAAAGTCACCAAGAAGGAGACTAAGAAATGGTATCTCATCATGCCCAGTTGTCAGTGCTCAAGGAACTCATAATGTATAGGAAGCCGCTGCCTCTGACAACCGTCGAGCTCCAGAAAGCGGGCTCAAGATTGCTAAAACTGGCACCGAAGAAGATTCTAGATGCACGTCTTTACGTCCTTGCTGTCGCGCTTGCGTTGTTTATGTCGTATAGATTGCAGAAAAACTTTATCAGCAAGGTTATCTCTCTTACCCTCGAACAGAGACGGATCAATTCGATCCTCAGTTCGACTTCGCGTCACTAATTGACAAGCAGAAAGACGATCCTGCCTGGGGGGGTTTTGCTGTGTCGTAAGCGATTTCATTTCATCTGCTTATCTTTGCTTAATTTTTCGTAGTTTGTCAGACGGCGATTTTTCGCGACCTCGTAACGGAAAGAATAATGACAAAGCGCATCCTCCGATTCACCCAACGGGACATGTCTCGAACCTCATAGGAGACGACAAACGAGTTTACGAGTTTATCACAAGGCGATTTTTGGCATCTTGCTCTAAGGACGCCCTTGGATGGCAGACAACTGTTGAAATAGATTATGAAGGCGAAGAATTCTATGCCACAGGTAATGGAAGCAGTACCGTCGCCGAATTTAGCTAACTGGTTCTTCCACAGGGCTGACTGTCCTGGAGAAGAACTACTTGCTTGTTTTTCCGTATGACAAATGGGTAGACAACAACATTCCTGATTTTGAGAAAGGGGAAGAATTTCAACCCTCTGTATGCGAACTGAGAGACGGACAAACAACTAGACCGAACTTGTTGACTGAAGCTGATTTGGTCGCTCTTATGGATAAAAATGGCATTGGTAAGCATCCCCTGCCTCCTCGTCTTACCTTAAGCTGTACTTTACATTATAGGAACGGATGCAACTATCGCCCAGCACATTGACACGATTGTAACCCGCAACTATGTCATTGAACGATACGAAGGAGCGACGAAATATCTTCTTCCATCCACCTTAGGTATTGGGCTAGTCGAAGGATACAATCAAATGGGTCTAGAGAAGAGTTTAGACAAGCCTATCTTACGACGAGAGGTAAACACTGATCTGAGGGAATGCCCTGCAATAAACTTATCTGTGCTTACAGACAGAACGTCGGATGGTGCAAGTGTGCAATGGCCAGAAGTCCAAGCAAGAAATGATTAATCAAAGCTTAGAGCAATACAAGGAGATGTTCATGATCGCCAAAGGGAATTTTGACAAAGTGGTCACCGTGGGTTTTGTGACAAACGTTTCGCGTCTTCTGAGCTGACAGCTGCTGAATAGAGTGTTAGAAATTACCTAGAGCGCCACGGAGACGCCGAGCAAGGCAGACCTGGTGATGGGCAAGGTGGTGGTGGTAATAACGGGGAAGGCTATCATGGAAGCGGTACCGCTGGTCGCGGCGGTCGCGCTCCTGAAGGACGAAGCACGGATCCAGCCTCACGTGCAGCGGTACCGATCATCGATATTATTATTCCCGACGACTCTGATGACGGTATGTAAAATCAGCAATGTATGTCACTCTCACTGATATCAGAACAGACTCCCAGCCCCCTCCACGCACATCGAAGCCACCATCCGCTCGGCAACCTCCCAAGCGCCCCACCCCACCACCCAAACTTCCCGCATCACGAAACCATGACTCTGGACAAATACATTGTAATTGTGGACCAGCTGTCCAGAGAACCGTCGTCAAGGAGTCAGCGAGCAAAGGCAGACTGTTCTGGACATGCCCGAACAAGCCTGGTTGTGGCTTTTTCAAGTGGGATGATGATGTAACAGAACTCTGTAACAAAGCCATTCCTGCAAAGCGCCCTTTTTCATATGTGAGTCGCATTGAGTGGTCATACCAGTGGATGCTGAATTATATCTCAAGCGACAAGAGCCTAGCGCTAATGACAGCGAAAGTTGCCGCTGTCGGTGTAATTTGACGGCCGTTAGAAAAACTGTACAGAAGGAGGGCCAGAATAAGGGCAGGATGTTCTGGATATGTCCGAACTCAGATGCGGCTCGCTGTAGCTTTTTTGAATGGGATGACGAGCCTCCGCGAGCTGAACCAGCACATGACAGACCACCGGCTGCCTCGGGTAGTGGGGGTAATAAGCCAGGGACTTGCTTCAAGGTGAGTGGCTTCGATTTCTCTACCGCCGTTCTAAGATATAATCCTTCATAGTGCAATGAAGAAGGGCATTGGGCGAATGGTACAGTTTTTATTCCATCTAGACATCAAACTTACTCTCATGAGGCTGAACAGAGTGCCCAAATGAAGGTGGTCCAAATCAGAAGCGATCTCGAAACTTTGGATCAGAAAAAGCGAACTTTCCGAGATCAAACTCAGGCAAGAGTGGTTCGTGCTTCAAGTGTAATCAAGAAGGACACTGGAGTAGTGGTTCGTTATCTCTTATTTTACAATCTGGTACTCAAATATCTGACCTCATTCATACAGAATGCCCGAATGATGGAGCGCCTTCCCGTTCAAGCAGAGGTGGCCGTGGATCTAGAAGTAGAGGACTGGGCTCACGAGGTGGTAGTACGCGTGGGAAGAGGGGAAGAGGTGCTTCCAAGTCTAAGTCTGGAGGCTATAGTGCTCCAGATGAGCTTTAAACCGCATCCTATCCTTCAGGAACCCTTATATCATAGACTTTTGTATCGTAGGTGTATTATATTTTTCAGGTCACTCGTCATTTACGACAGTTTCCTTGTGTGATGCATGTATACTATAAAAAACTAGCACCGACAGCCGCATCTGTCTAGCCGCCATAGGTATGTACTCCACAATTATGGTTCAGCCCGTGTGGACAGCCGGTAGAATGGTTCGAGTCTAGGCAGGCGGTGATATAAGAAAGGTCACAGTATGATAGTTGCAGTGAGTTGGTGATCTCTGGTCTTTATAGTGATCGGTAGGTGTGGTAATGATCATGATTCTTCGTTCATCTACATATAAGAATTCTGAGGGATATGGAATAATCACGGAGTTCAGCCCTTCGTGAGTATCTGGTAAGTACTTGGTCTGAGATGGAAATGGCCTCGATGTATGACGCATTATCTCCTGGTTTGCTGGCGATGTGGGTGGGGCTTGGTAGTCGCATCAACAAGCTGAAAGCTCAATGCACGGGGAAAGAAATTTATGGAAGTCAGTTCGAGGAATTCGAAGACATGAGCAGTGAAAGTCCACTGTTTTGCGAGCCGAGACGAACGGTTCACGCATCAAGCATTCAAACCACATGCAATACTTACCGACTCGATCGAAAAAAACATAGCAAGGTTTCCTAACTTCTACACACAGAAAATCGTACAATTGTATGATACATTACATACTATGGTATTCAGCACAGAAACCTTATAGCTAACACGGTGCCTATTATTCAGAAGTAGGATCCGGCGCCTGCGTATGCTGGGCTCGTTGCGACCGACGCCTCAGCCAAACCATCATCCACGGGCGTCAACGACTTCCTTTTCCGTTCGCCCAGAGCCAAGTCGAGCTCTTCGGTCCGTCGTTGGACGAATTCCGTAGAACCGGGCCCAAAAATAGGCGAAGGCTGTGTATATGCCTTCGCCGCAACAGCCAATCGACCAGCCGGTATGCGTGCTTGTAGATCTGCCTGAGGAGGTACCAGTTGGAAATGAAGCTGTACCAGATCGTGTGAGATTAGCCAGTTCCTTACACGATGGACAACGATGATACTTACTGTATCATTCACTTTCTTGTAATTCTTCAGCCAAATGCTGACGCGCTCTAGTTCTTCCGCAACTTTCCCTTTCCTTAAGGTCCGACCGATCTTCTCCTTCTCACCCCGCGTGATACCAATGCCTTTGCTGCCATCTTTCAGGTCCTCTAGTTCCTTCTTCGCCCAGGTCAGAAACCCCACAGCATCTCCACCCTTGGATGTGCCACCAAACTCGCCTGCGTCCACGCCAATCCATTTATGTGCCAGAGCAGAGTGAAACGCATATTCATCAGCAAGGTATCGACGCAGAGCCACGGAGACTTCTCCAGTATCACCAGTGGAACCGGGGATCTTGGCTAGTGATCGGGTAGACGAGTACAGTGATGCACATTCCAAGTGGAGTTTGGCTATGAGAGCCGGAGATGGATGGGACTTCGGAAGTGGAGGTCCTGGCGTAATATTACTGTCATATGCGGACTTTGAAAGGAGTTTGCGAATGGCAAGACTTTGAGCGTCTGCTAGGGATAATCTGTGGGGGAGAATGAGTACCTTGTCTGTATGGCGCCAAAGGGGAGGACTTACTTGGACAATGAGCCGTTAACTTCGGTGCTTAAATCTGGTGGAAGGTTGAGGCCTGAAAGACCACCATCACGACTGTCTCTCCATCCAGGAATTACTGTTTCGCTGATGAACGAGAATATACCGCTAGCTCTGCAAAGAAAAGTGATGGCATGGCTCAGCTTCTCGTCCTTTTCCTTCCTTTCAACGTCTGATGTAGCGCGATCATGTTCATATGGTCCCAGTGATGAAACAATAAACCTAGCCATATTCGACAAGGCAAATGCATAGGTCAGCAATGCGTAGGCGTATTCGGCGTGCAAGGACGGCAGAGATACACGAGGCGATGAACTAAATACATGCGCAGAGAGCGTACTTCGCCAGCTGAATACTGTCAGTACATGGATAAGCTGAGCAGTGAGAGCCGAAAAAAAACCGCGAACCTGGCTCAAACTGCAGGCTTATTTCATCGTGTGCTACACAACCAATTACTGAGTAGATTTGAGGTATGTATTCATCGAGAATCTGTCAGTATATGAGGTGAATTGGGAACATCAGTATTGAAACACTGTTTTACCTTAACGATCTTCAAGTAGTCCTTTTCGCCGTCGGTTCGTTTGTTTTCCTTCAATGCCCCGCGAAGATTGGCCCGACTCTGAGTAGTATTCGCGATGTGTGTCGTATATACCTTTCCAAGGCTGCGATCTATGCAAAAATCGGCAAATGACATAGCGCCTGTCGTCGGTAATTCATACAGAAAAGTCGTCATGGACGTACGGAATAGGAAGAGATCCGGTCCGATCCTCTTCCACGTTCACGACTGGCCACTACTCTGACTATGGATCGCCCGACCCACGACGAAATCAACTTGGTGCGTCTCATAAGGCGACTGGAAAAGTCTACACTTGATGCAAGCTGGTCCAATGATGGTGACGATGTGTGGCTCAAGGCGTTGGGCACGTTGCAGGTTGGTCCGTGTCAGGCTCCGTCGACAGGCGCTGATTCAACACATTCAGACGGTCAAATATGCCAGAAAGCTGCTCAAGAACGTCGAACTGAATGATTATGATCCTACTCTGTATGTTGGATAGCTCCAGATGCAAAGACGAGGCTGACTATTTGAAGGAAAAATGTGCGACGATATAATGAACTACGAATGACCCTTGACCGTATTGATACGTTTGGAAAAGACGTGGAAAAGGTGTCGTATCGACTTGTATTTCAACTAGAGCCACCTTAACATGACTTTGTTAGCGAGTAACACCTATGCCAAAACGCCCCGAACCATTGCTACCACACCTACCAATACCAGAGGCCCCACAAAGCCTAGAGCCTTCACCGCCTGACACGGTGACCTCTTTGCCCAAGGGAGACGAGCATGTCACATCACCTATGCCATTGCCAGCTACTGACAGTCTCCTACTGTCGCCCTCTGACCCACCCTCCACAACAATATCACCTTTACCTACTCTCTTGCCTGCATCAGCCACGTCAAAAGCCACCGGTGCTTCTCCTCACTTCCTCCAAAACACGAATGCACTCCACAACGAATTATCTGAGCAGCTCGCGCAAATGGCTACCCAGCTCCAACGCAATGCCTTGCATTTCTCTGATTCGCTGTCTGCGGACAAGATCCTTGTTGAGGAGGCCCAACAGAAGATAGAGAGCAATCTCGATGTCATGAAGAAGGAGAGGTTGCGTTTAAGGGACCATCGTGGAAAGAGCGGGTCCACAACATGTCTGGTGGTTATGTCCGTTATCGTGGTGACGATATTGTTCATCTTCATGGTGATGCTTATACGTCTAACTCGGTAGGAAAGAATTGGACTTCACATCTGTGCTGAATGTAATGCACTTTCTTACCTGCTTTAGAACGAATACTACGCTTCTCTCATATAAGGAATGAGTTCTACCGTATACCTTTTGAAAAGTATTCTCTTCGTCTACCATCTGCCAGTCATACTACACTTTGTCGACCACCGGGGCAGAAGGGAAAACGCCGCTGAGACTTCCGCGATATTTCTGAGAAACAGACATATAGTGTGTAATGCAGCCAGAAGATGTGTTCTTTGGAGTCGTTGAATCGCGGTATACCGATGTCACCAATCCAAGCCGGCAGGGCTATCTGAAAGTATTGGGTTGATAGGAAGCTGGAAGGTGTTCTTATCAGACGCCAACTCGAGAGCAGGATCTCGGAGACTTCAGATAAGAATATCTATTCTCAGTCTACTGATAAACATGGAATTTCCTCCTACCAGTGTACGCATTAAGATGGTGATCCAAACAGTACTAGCATTACATATATAACATGCACTTGAGTAAGATTTTTTTTTTCAATCTAATTATACCTACAACACATGTATATCTCTGGTGGAAGTTATAGGGCCCCTTTGGCTTGCCAGAAAACCCCATAACGCAAGACAAACCAAGAACCCACAAAACAGTATCATCCGCATCTCCTCACCAGCAGATGAATTCTCTGTGATCAATCCGAGAAATCCTTCTATGCCATGTTTTCTCTTTCCAGGGAATCCCGATGGTCTAAGATCGCTGGTGTATTGTCGTGTACGAATGGTATATCCCATTCCCCACGGCCATACCAGCCTCCGCCGCTCCCGCGCATGGAGGCTCCTTGGGAGTCCATGTTGGTCACATGTAAGGTAGAAGGATCCACGAGCGGTGGATTGTCCAGCAAATGGGAGAAGAGTAAACGAAAACGGGAGTTGGAGAGGGTACGGAAGAGGAAGGAACGTGAGCGTGAATGATTTGAGGCGGGGGTTTGACATAGCGATGCGTTCGGCACCGGTAGACAGGGTATCATCTCCGGGGTATCGCACAATAGCCAGGTCGAGGCTACGAAGACGAAGGAATCCTTTAATGGCTTTAGAGAATGAATCTAGCTGGAAAGAAGGTTTTTGGGTGCATGTAAGTTGAAGATGTTCGAGGCGTGGGCATGATGCTACGAGGGAACGAAGAAGATTGCCACTATCGTACATTGAGTGAAGATGGAACGCAACTTTGAGATTCAGCAGGGACGGCAGGTTGTGTAGAACCGACGCAATTGCGACAGCCGTTATGTCTCTTGTATGCATGGGTTCGGTAAACGTGACCAACTCAATAGATGAATAGTGTGTATCTGGAAGAGCCTGGAGCTGTTGCATGGTCCCAGAGAATGATAGAAGCTTCAAGTTCGGAGCATCAAGAGTAGATAGATGAGCAGAATGGATGTTGTGTTTAGAGAGTTTCAGGCTCTGAAGGTCAGGATGTTCCTCGAGGAAAGATATGAACGGACGTTTCCCCGCCGGTGTCGATGGTAGAGACCAATCCAAGACGACGTCTCCGAGGGAAAGCTTCCGCAACTTAGGCCAATGACCATCAAGAAGCCTATGTACGTCAACAGGGAACGGGGAAGATCCCTCGATCTCAAGCTCCTCTAAGTCAGGGCTCCACTTGATGAGCATATCCCAGAGCCTACTTGCCAGCGGATGCGCCTCTGAAAGTTTCCGGATGAGTCAATGAGCAAATAAAGCAGATGTGATTACTCGCCGTCGATAATAAATCCGTCCGCTCGGAACTCATAGAAGGAGCGGGTTAAAGTGAGGGAGAATCCACGAAGGTTCAGAAAATCGAAAACCTGAAAAGAGATTAGCCCCGGCTACGATGTGGCGTAAAGACCGTACATGAGCATTGGTATTTGGGAGGAAGGATCCTATCGACGTCTTAATGTATTTCAACTGTAAACAACTACACCGACGCGCCGGTTAGTGAGAAAAAAAAAACAGGCTCTGGAAGGACGTACCATATTCGCAGTGCAAACCACATGTCATCATGGTACGGCAGCTCTTCGTCCTCCCAACAGAAGGTCGTGAGTGCGTCCAGCCGCTGACATGATACGACATCACGGACTGCAGCGGAAACAAGGGCGCTGTCCTTGAAGCTGAATCCGTAAAAGCCCTTCCTGCGAGGTCGCACAACAAGCTTGCGGACATGACGTGCAACGTCGGGCCGGCGACGGAGCATTGCAAGGGTAGCTACACATTGGTCGACACTGTTCAAGACGACGTCGGTGTAAAGGACCGATGAAACATTTATAAAAATTCGACTAGACTGCATAAACAGTGAATAAACGGTCGCCTGTCGAAACGAACAGCACTTGCAGTCAAGCACAGGTTGAACAAGTCAAGTCTGCAGTCGAGATGGGATGCGATTTCTAGCAAAAGGTCGCCTGGAGTAGAAGACAGATAATCCAAAGCCATGCTGGCAAATTTGGGGAAAGAATGGACAATCATTGAAAGGATAGCGGTCAATTTAGAGAAAATGCTGGCGACAGCGGCCCATCACAATGATGATGACAGCTAATGTCATTCGCCGCTGTGAGTGGTCATCTTATCTGATAAGATCAGTATCACGTGATAAAGCAGCACGACACGGCATTTCAGCGGATAATTCGACAGTGCGTTTATCTCTTCTCCGTGAGTGTCGTTCCCGGTACGACAGGTAGCTCAAAGCGCCGAATAGCTCGAATCTTTGCTAACCCATGTCCGACACTGCGCTATACTTCCACCATGGATGCATTGACGCCACTGAATCAAATTTTAGCGAGTCCATGTGAAATGATATCCGTTGGCCAATCCCTTATTAGTTCCAGATATCCTAGAATTGAATTCAGCAGCACGTATTTGGAATACTTAGGCTTTTGGCATAGTCTACACGTCTGCAGCACGAGGTGCATCTCGGGAACCTTCTGAATCTGGTTGTGACATCCGAAATACCTGGTGCAAATGGACGCCCTTTCTTTCTGTGCTTATACCGTCGTCAACTGTTTGATTAAGTCTTCAAGCATTAATAGTGCGTCTCAAAGTATGCGTATCATCTTCACAAGAAACGAACCGATGCTGAAGCTAACCAATACGTATGCTCATATTGGCAATTGTTTTCGTAACCGACCTCTTGGTTTGGGCCCTCGTCTCTCTCGTCGTACTATCGACTCTGACTGTATCAACGTCGGTTTGTCCAAGTCACTGCAAGCGCCCCGCGGTCAGAAAGGAATGGTGCACGCTGTCACTACGAGAAAGGAAGGAATGGATCACTGCTGTCAACGTAGGTGACTATCCCTTTCGACATTACGGTGGCTTGACGTCTTTAGTGTCTGGCAACCCTACCTCACGATGAAACTTTGACTCCTATGGTTAAGCCAAGCAACATAGTCGGTGTGAATGCTTCTGGTTCATACTACGATGGTAATAGTATTTGTCTTATTCATTTCATGCTGCTAGTTTACTTCCAGGCAGACATTGTGCACATGCACATGGATATGAACCACAAGGTATTTCCGACTGGGTGTCACATTTCTTCATTCATTTTGATTCTTAGCATAGATTCATTTCACTGGTTTATTTTTGCCGTGGCATCGATGATATGTTCAAATGTACGAGAACGCTCTAAAAGACAAATGCGGTTACAAGAGGACCTCTCCCTATTGGAATTGGGCGTCCGGTCAACAGCTCTCCCCCCCTATTGAGTAATTTGGTGGCTCATGTCGTCAAACAGATTCAAGCGACGTAAACAGGTCTACCATCTTTGATCCTGACCCAGAAAACGGTCTTGTGGATGGGGCCTTTCATCTCAGCACATCGGTGTCTATACTACGTTCCGACTCTCGTATCCGTCTTACCATCCTTTGCGACGAAACTTCACGATACAGCCATATCTAGGGTTATCCTCAGACTTTTTCCCTAATCAAGAGCTCTTGGCCAATAGCAGTTTCACGCCGGAAGTGGTCCACGATCTAGTATACGGATATGTGGGCGATTTCAAGGGGTTTCAAACGAGTTTCGAGTCTTTCACCGTGAGTTAACTTTCTTTCAGTATGGGAGGTTCCCACAAATTGAAAGGGAGCACACGGGAGCGTACACTTGATCCTGGGCGGACGAGATCTTGTCTAGGGCCGATCATGAAGTGCAACTCACGTAACTTCCAGCAACCTCGGAGGCGTCTGTCCATCAGATTCTACCGTCTGTCAACCCGGTCCGACGTTGTCTGCGAGTGGTATGCTTCTCCACCGACTGCGTATTTCAGTATTTTCTGATCCATGGATAAAAAGAACCGATATTTTGGCTACATCATGCGGCAGGTCATTTTTCTTGGTCTTTGCCATCTGGCTGACCATGCCTAGACGGTCGACAAAGTTTGGTATGATTGGCAGAATGCGAATGAGGCCAATGCACGAGCGTTTGAAGGTGGAAGCGTTCAAATGATAACGATACATGTATAAAGAGTTTCCCCAATGGTGGCCCTCCGAATCTTCATGTGAGTCTTCCTCATATCCTTTGTCGTACCACTCAATCATGTCGATCAGATGGATTCGATCACCACTGGTGAAGGCTTATTTGATAAGTTTATTATAAGTGATGTTATCAGCACCACAGACGGGATTCTGTGTTATTCATATGAGTAACTGTTGCTGTTATACTTGTTAAATGTAAACTCCGAGACCTTTGAAATTTGGGAGGTAATCTAGCGCACCACTGGATGCGCCTGGAGGCCTCGTAAGATATGTCAAGTCCTCACCCCGCAGAGACTAGAATAGGACGAGGGCGCTGGCGATGATCAAATCTTCAACCAGTCATATCGCGGCCGGCATTATTTACCATACTTGGTGTGACAGCTTCAAGCCCCTTCATTACTCTGTTCCTTGCCAGCTAACACTGACGAATAACGGTTGAGCATGGATGTCCCCACAAAGGTCAAGCTTCTACCTCCCAAACCCGACCTCACCTTCACCAGACCTCCCAAATCGAAGATTGCTCTGTTTTTCTGGCGTTGGCGCATATGGTTTGAATCCACCTTCGTGTTGTCAATGTTGGAACCTTGGGAAAAGATCATGCTCCTCACCATGTTGTTCATATGCTCTTCATTCGTCCTCTCGGCGCTCTTCAGACACATATACCAAGATATTGGCGGGCTGCAACAGCGCGTCGTGTATTACTTGCTTGGACCGGAAGCAGACAAAACAGTTATATGTGATCAGGTGAACGACTGTGTTGGTGGAGGAAACAGCGAACTTTAGGTATGATACAGCGGCTGCTCGACATGTTGACGTTGGGCTGACGGTACGATTTTCATTGTTCAAGTTACCTTACATACAGTACGCGACTTGTTGTCATATTAAAGTATTTCGGGTTTGCATTGCAGGGAATAATATTTACGGTACGTGTCTAGCACATGCATTTATTGTACAGAGATACTTAAGAAAGTGATTAGACATCCATTAGATCATGACCTACAACGAGCTAGAGGCTCAGGGGCTTGGGGGGAAGGTCGTTCATCCGCACAAGCTATCATTGATCACTGTCCCACATCTACTACACCATACACGTCGGTCGAGTAGACAGAGACCGATACCTAGAGGGAACCAGAACACCGCAGCGAGTATACCTATGGGGCACCGTCAAATTGAGTTCAAGATGCTTATCAAAGGTAACGTACCAAGCAACCCGTACTTCGTTTGAGGGACATGTTCGCCTGATTGAAGACATATCATCTCAGGATGATTAGGCGGTAAGAGCGAGGCAACCCGATCGCCTGTGGCGGGGTTGACGTAGTGGTAAACAACGGGGTTTTGTGGACCAGTTTGAGGAACATGGGATGGTCCAACCGTCATGTAAGGCTGGTTCGGCGGTTGCATGTGGGTCTGAGGAGGCTTTACGTCCTCCTCAGGCTGGCCTTTCCCTATTCCTAGAATATCAGTCCCATTTGAAAATGGAAAAAGAAATCTGACGCGCCTGTGTCGTACTCAACAGCGTCGTAAGAGGGAGGATTATCTAGAAGTGTAGTGTCATTGGACTACGAAAGTCCTGTCAGATAGACGGATTGGAAAGGAAGCAGTCGAATTGCACACCATATTGTCGTCGTGGAGGGAAGGAAAGGTCTCTTCTGTGCTCCGGATTTATATCTGCCTGTTGACGATGACGACGTCTAGGCGGTGCTCGGCATCGCGGGTCAGAACTGCGCAAATGATCACACGTGGAGTGGCTGTGCTGCTTACGTGATATGATCGATTTTTTTGAGCTTCCCTTTTCTTGCTTGTCCCATTTCGTTCTTTGATACCGCTTTCTTCATCTTCGCACTAATCACCAAATCAGCCATGGAGAACGGTGTGGCAACCTCGGGGCAAGATGCAGCTCTCTTTGACATGACATCAAAGGACTAGTTGCGTATTTCGCGCTTGTACGATGGAGCGCTCAGTGTAATCTGAACCTGTGTATTCTACAGCTATGCCGATTCTTATGCTCACTTCGGTATGCAGCTTCTCAGTAGTTCTTTAACTTTGATATCTGATGAAATATGCTAGGTATACACGAAGAAATGCTGAAAGATTCTGTACGGACAGGTTCGTATCGGGACGCCATAATAGACAATCGCCACCTCTTCGAAGGGAAGACTGTACTAGATGTTGGCTGTGGGACAGGAATTCTCAGTATGTTTGCTGCAAAGGCTGGTGCTAAGCACGTTGTTGGTGTAAGCATTTATTTTCTCGCGTTTCGTCAGCGTCCATCAGTCGTTGACTATTTCACAGATCGACATGTCCAACATTATTGATCAAGCCCAAAAAATTGTTGAGGCTAATGGCTTTAAAGACAGTATGTCTTTCAAACATAATCTCATTTTGTTGCTTAGCAGGCCCAATAGCCATTACCCTTGTCAAAGGAAAACTTGAAGAAGCGTCCCTGCCCATCGAACAATTTGATATCATAATATCAGAATGGATGGGCTATTTTCTTCTCTATGAATCGATGCTTGACACGGTTCTTCTGGCTCGGGATAAGTATCTCAAAAGGGGTGGCCTCATATTCCCGGACAATGCGACTCTTTTCCTTGCCGCCATCGAGGACAAGGACTACAAGGACGAGAAGATCAACTGTGCGTGCGCACATTGCAGTGTATTTTCCATCTCGGGGTTGAATGAAGTGTGACAGTCTGGGACAACGTCTACGGATTCGACTACTCGTGCATTAAAGACATCGCTTTACGCGAACCTTTGGTGGATACGGTGGATGTCAAATCTGTTGTCACAAAACCTTGCTCGATCAAGGTTCGCCGTCTGTTCTGTGTCTAGATTATTGTTATAGCTGATACATCAACAGCACATCGACCTTCGCACCGCGAAGAAGGAAGATCTCACATTTGTCACTTCCTTCTCATTATCCGCCACTCGTAATGATTGTATGTGTTGTATATGCGCCGCCGTGTCACAAAGTCTGATATCCACTCCCTCAAGATGTCCACGCATTTTTGGCCTGGTTTGACATCATGTTCGACTGTACGCACACAAAGGTCAAGTTTTCTACGGGGCCTCAAGCTCATTATACCCACTGGAAGTGTGTTTATTACGTCTTTCTTGGTGCCATGCACACATTGATCTTCTTGCAGGCAAACTGTTTTCTACACTCCGTCGACCCTGACCGTATCGCAAGGCGAACCGATTACTGGTACACTTTCCTGTGCCCCCAACGCCAGGAATAATCGTGACCTAGACATCAAAATAACCTACAAAACACCCCGAGAGCAAGATACTACTATCAACTACAAAATGTACGTCCTGTTTAACGCATTTCTTTCTCACTGTAATCTTCTTTGGGCCTTTGGCGAGTCTTCCCACTTGGGTTTGTCGGTGTGAATCAACGCTGATGGATTGCCAGGTCATGATTCACGCCATGTCTCCTTCATCCCGTTTGCACCATGCTTATACTTTGGCAGGTATTAATCATGTCGTCGTGTTTTGTTTTTTACGTGTAAACTGGTGCTGCTGTGATCTTGTTGCGTTCGTACATCTATGCTGTTGCATCTTGGGTGTATACCTGCAAACCCGTGGACGCGTTGTGACTGCGATTGTGACTAAACCCATCAACTGCCGACGTCTATATACCATTGTTGCGTTGCCATGTTATTGCACGTTTCAACTGGTTGAAATATCTCGAAGCAGAAGGCACCTGATCCCCGTGTTTCTTAAGTACGTATGAGCACTGATAAAAGTGCCAAGGTTGTCTTATTTCTGTCCGTCAGGGAAGAAGCCCTACTTGTCTGCTCTAGTTGAAATTGGACAAACTCCATTGCAATGTATGGATAGTTTTGTTACCGCCTCCGCACACGATCCTTTCGTACCCTCCTCTAAGGTGTCTTTACCGTCCTTCAGTCCTACCGACTGCCGTATTTCACGACCAGCACACTTTAGTTCTTGAAATATGATGTGTCAGAACAGGCTCTATCATTTATTCATCCGACTTACGAACCGTGCTATATCTTGCGTAACATTGTTTCGGATAATAACATTGCGCCGCGGTTGAGCAGATTGCGCACTGGCGGCCCCTCCTGGCCCCACAGATAGTACACAGAGCGTCGTTCCGTCTGCTCGATCTGCCGAGGCAAATATTTGAACACTGCGGTGAGGAAGAAGGCCACACTTAGAAAGGTGACAACAAGGAAGACTATTTTCTCCCAGGGCTCCATTACGGTGAGCGCAAAAGTAGCCTCAAACCATATCCTCCAGCGCCAGAAGAAGAACGAGACTTTAGATTTCGGAGGGCGAGCAAAGGAGAAATCAGGTCTTGGTGGAGGCAGAGCTTGTTTTGCTTGCATGATGTCGTACTTTTGGGAGGAGGGCTCAATTACGCTTTAAGTACCTTCTGAGCCCTCCGGAATAAAAGTGACGCATTATCCGATTTTTGGTCTGTCCTATTTTTGGAATTTGCATTGCTGATCTTTGCTTAGTCACCACGTCGCGTTTTCCCCGTGGACTCCCATGTTCACTTTACACGCTCTCCCACCGGTGGAAGATGGGGATTTTCTACAGGATACATTGCCACCTGTATTTCCCGGTTTCTTCATCCCTCGACTCGCAGACAAGCCGCAGAATCCGATACTGGATACCTTAAAAAGGGAACATGACGATGTCGTAATAAGGAATGAACATTTGCCTCAAGCCGCTATCTTGGCGGCAGATTTTAGTGCGCTTCGTTGGGTGTCGGAACCTTTGGTAGCGTTCAGGGACGATGACTCGCTGTGGGCCAAAACTTTGACCCAAGCTGCCGGTACAACGGTGAGTGTGCTCGATGCTTTCATGAAAGTACCTTCATAATTATCTAATTAGACTCATATCTTATCTTGGGATAATTTGAGACCCTCGCAGAGTAAACGAGCTGTGAAAACCGGCTTTCTATCTGAGGAGGGTAGCGGGACTTTTGCATCTGTTCGATATCAGTGTGTGCTCAGCCTCCTGGATGTCGTGGTGTTCTAAGCGCGATTATCAGTGTACAACCTCGTCTCCATGACCCTAATACCGAAGTCTTACATGTCCCAGTTAATGTGCTCTGGCGAAACCTCAAGCTGACTGTCTGTGGAATTTCGTCGCAGCTACATATATGGGACCCCATTTCCGAAAGATTCGTCCAGTCAGGCGTGAAGAACGGAAGAAGTGGTGTGATAATCGTCGACGGAAAAGACGAGCAGATTTGTGAAAGGTGTGTGTTATTGGTGCATATCCTGTCTTGGTTGAGAATGCGCCTGTACAGCATCTGTGCTTCTTTTTTACATATTGGAACCCTGTTGCGACGGCTTGAAACCTTTCTCGTCGCGTTAAGATCAAAGTAAATTCATCTACAATGTCCCTCTCCGTCTACATACTAACAGAGTAGATCTCCGGCGGCGGGGCCCACCATCCATGCATTCGCCCACACAATGTCGAATGTCCTGTTGTTCTTACGTAAATCCCTAGCTGAGCATCCATTGATGCAGGAGTTTGTAGAAAGAGGTGGGCTTTCGACGAAAGTCGCCTTTTCCACATACTACGAAGATATTATGGTTTCTTTGGCGAAATTATGCGGAAGAGTGCGCTTTTCTTTTCCGATTAGCTGCTGATTCTGATCCTGCTTCAGGATGAAGACATTGTTCCTACGGACTATGTGCCGATCGAGTCACGTCCACAATCTCTACTTTCTCGCATATACGACCACCTAAATACCCACATTGAGGGGCAATCTCATAAGGATGTCATCGCTATTCTAGCCTACATCCTCACTAACACGTCTCCGGAATATCTTCTTCAAGTTTCCCGTTCTGTTGGCTTTGGCACGCGCCGACGGCCACCTCGGACCTTACATGTCATTGGTGATCGTTCTTATGAACATGCTAGCGAACTGGTGGATGACGCCGACGCCACAAAACAACCAGATGGCCCGGAATCAGAGGCTGTGGATGCTTTCCCTGCTTTTTTCGCGGATTTATCCGATGCCTTACTGGCAGCTCGGAAATCACTCGTGTTACTCATGGTGGCGCAGCCCGATCATCCAATGCTCAAGGCGCACTCGGCTGAAGACGATATTCGGTGGTTCTGGTCATCCTCCGAGATCGATGCTGCTTTCAATGTTCGTTCCGTTCGCCCTTCATCTGACCAGACAGACGTGCAAAAGCAGAATGATAATGAACGGCCTTTCTCGCGTCCGCCAGAACTTGCCCAGTTCGATCTATTTGATCTTGAACCGGGCGCGCGCATTGGTCAATCGTGTTTTGATCATTCCTCGACCACATCGTCGACCACAAATTTAAATGCGTTCATCAACAGTTTCCCAGAGACACTGCCTTTGATAACGCCAACCCTCGCCCATCTCACTACTCTTGTCCTCCGGCCGCTGCATGTTCATGCATCCAAGCTGTCTGGAGAACTTCTCTCCTTCTTCTTACAGCCGTCTACGCCTCTCGACATAAGAACACACATGAGGCTACTGCAATCCTACCTCTTGCTTGGTTCCCATCAATTTAAATCCCGTCTAGCCGCAGCTTTATTTTCAGATAATGATAACTATGATGCACAGTCTCGTAATCCCATATCCCTACAGGCTCTCCGAGTTCGTCGTCGTAACCGTGGTAGCCGTGTTGACGTGCAGAGCACTGCTTGGGCTGTTGGTCTTACTCCCAGTCTTTTGGATCGAGAGACGTGGCCCCCTGTTGGCGCCGACTTAAGCTTCTTCCTGCGGACTGTAATCGTGGACTCATTCGAATCAGTCGTTCAAGAAAATAAGCTTGCGAGAACGGGAACTACACGACAGGGATTGTTGGAAGAAGTGGATAACCGGCTAGGTTTTGCAATTCGTGATCTTCCTACTGGTCGGGGACGAGATAAGTGGCTTAATCCGCTTTGTGCGTTTGTTCTACTCCGATATTCAGATCACTTCTGACTTGCTTTGTGTCTTAGCAATAGAGTGGGTTGGTACGCAGGCTAAGCGGATCTGTTCACTGACAAGAAGTGTACCAGGTCTCTCGACTTCCTTTACATGGAGTACAAGCCTCCCCGCCCTCTGCAAGTGTTGATTACACCTGAAATTTTAGCAAAGTACCAGAGGATGTTTACATTTCTTCTTCGCCTGATGAGAGGTAATCTTGCCACCTCATCATTGCCATGTTCCTAACTTTCTGATTAGTTGAGCATGCGATTACTGCTGTATTTCGCATGACGCGGTCAACTGATGCTTCTCTTTTCCCAACATTGTCAGCATCGAGAAAGAGATTACTACATCTCCGATTTATATCGCATTCCCTGGTGTCTACGTTATGTCAATACGTTTGCGACACTGCGATTGGTGGTAACTTTGACACATTCCTGGGGCGATTATTACCCCATGCTCCTCCTTTCCTTCACAATGGCGAGCCTTCGGGTTTTTCCGACGTCTTCGCATTAGCACGCGCTCATTCAGCGTTGCTGGATGATATCCTGAGTGCTTGCCTCATGCGCTCAAGTCAGAGACAGGCTGGTGACTTGCTACGTGATTCTCTTGAGCTGGTCCTGGAGTTTTCCATTCTCGCCGGACAACTGAGACGGAATATCTTAGAGGAATACGAAGCCGCTTCATTACTCGACGACCTGTACACAAGGCTTCGAAAGAAAATGTCAACCTTTGTAAGCATCCGTTTTGAGTTGTACGTCGGCCGCTAAACACGATTCGCTTATCAGACAAATGTGGTCAAGTCAATGGTCGATGACAACATCTCCATTGTCATGCAGGCTGCTTATTCCGAAGGTGATAGTTACATGCACAAACCACCCGGAGGAACGCAGGCATTGTCAACTTTGCTACTCCGCCTGGACATGGCAGGAGATTGGTGGTCATAAGGATGTCGCGCAATGCATGCGACACTGTTTATCTCCTAGACAGACCCATTCCCAGTATGCTCATACAGCTTCGTCATAGTATCTAAATGGCGCAAGGTCTCCATATATCCATCCTCACCGATATTTCTCTCTGCAAAGTCTCGGAAAACCTTGACTACAGTCTTCCAAACATCTTCATGTGGACGAATTCGGCAGAGTTGAACCAGTGCTGGCATCCAATGGCCGCTCACCTTCGATAGACAGATGAGTGCTGCTATCAATTAAGGCACAGAGCGTCCTTAGACTGTCGATTTGGAGCTGACGGCTATCCACCAACCCAACTTTTGCTGCGCGAAGAACAGCATTTATTCCATTGTTGTCAGTGAACGCTTGCAAAACGTCGATTAAACATGGATGCAGCAAGATTTCTAACAATCTAATTGACCAACTGGTGATGTCAGGATGGGAAGTTATTTCCAATGTTTCAACTAAGGTGGTAACAAACAGAGGCCTCCTGGCATCGGAAACACGGAATGGTGGGTATAACAGTCTCAGCACGTCAGAAAGCACAGAATCTGGAATGATTCCCACTCCGATTTTACCGTCAATGAAGAGTTGCGATAGACTGGATCTGGCGATTTCTCTTGACGGCTGTGGGAACCTTTCGGACTGAGCAACGACGGATGCGGCTAAGTGACATAATTCTTGTGAAGTTATGTCCATCAAAGTATCCCGAACACCAAACCGTTCTGGTGTTTCGACGAGCGCTGAAAGGGACTCGAGGGTGAACTCGCAGTAATCAGCCCTCCGTTTGTCTTCATTCCTATAATCTGTTAAATTTACTGGGCCGCGAGTGAAGATATAGAGGGCCAGTGCAGCCGCACTTCAAAGGTTAGAAGTAGGCAAGTCTCCAGTGAGATGCAGGATTTGCAGCAAGGTGGGGATCGCCCGAACCGTTGTCTCTTCAATAACAGCTGCAGGCATCTCCCAAAGAACCATGCATTCAATGACACTGTCCAATAAACAACACTGAGTTGTTTGAGACAGCTGTAGTTCTCCCGATATGCATTTGGAGAGATATGCTAACGGATCCCACTGTGATACTTGAGATTCAAATGAGGAAAGTGCGACCGCGCAAGATGCTATAGCAGCGGCATCAGGATGCAGTTTGGAGTCTTGAAGTAGCCAGAGAGGCTCGATGATCTCCAAAGGCCACTGCTCAGAGGTTCCTCGAGTCAAATGTATCCATGCCCTGCAGTACAACTCTGCCACCTCGGCATCGATCAAGTGCCATTGCAAATCCACAGTAGTGTCTTTATGAAAATAGTCTTGAAAACCTTGTTCCACCAGAGCTAATGCATCGGCTTCACGGAGGTCATCTAGGGCAGAGAAATATCGGGGCAATCCCGCAAGAGCTTGCAAGGCGGCGGAAATGACATCGGTGTCGGCCGATTTAGAGAAGAGCCATATTAAGGCTGAAGCGTCCAGCATATCTTCGAACACGGCATCTGAGGACTTTACTAGGTCATGGCTAGAAAATGTATGTTATTGGTATGGGCAAGCAGAATTTGCAGACATGCGAACCTCGCGTTACGGGCACCATCTCCTGGATTTTTCTTCGCATGTAGGAGAGTTTTGGTTTGCGTGACTGGATGTCTGGTGGTCCATGATCCTATTGCCTGACGAAGGTAATCGGTGACAGAGTGAAAGTACGGACAATCATCGTACATCAAAGGGAGGCAGACAGAGATGAGATAGAAAATGTAAGCAAACGCGACTATTACCCATGTCGCGATGGTGATAACGAGGTCCGCGGTCCACATGAGAACTATTAAGCCCGCGAAGAATAGCAGCAACGCGACGTGTAAAAGCAGTGGTAGTGCATCTATAATGGCGGGGACGTGCCACGCTTCCAGCTGCATGTAGCGTGATTGTCGTTGGCGTGAGCGATATCGGAGAGTACCGGAGACATGCGGGACATAGACCTGCAGCCACTGCTTTGCGAGCATCGAAATGAGAGCAGTAGAGAGGCTGCATGCCAACGCCGCGAACCAAAGTCCGTTGACCCAGTGAGTTTGGGGTCCAGAGGACGTAGCGGTTAAGTTGGCGAGGGACGTATTTCCAGACTGCAGCGAGATGAGTCGGACAAGAAGGGTGTTGGTGGTGTCAGTGTCGTTGGGGACCATCATCTGGTATGTTTGAATGATAAACGTTGTCTGGACGGCGGAGAATAATCCAGTCTAGCAACATACAGTTAGTTGAGGGGCAATGCAGAGAAAGAGACACGCACGAAAACGAGCAGTATGTCTATGCCTCGATTCCAGCCCTCTGTCATCCGTGCGTCGGCTTTGCGCGCCTCATCCGTATATATACGCCATATGCGTGCGTTCTTATCCAATTCCTTGCCCCGTTGGTCTTTGGGATAGATTTCGATGGCATCTTTGGTATGAATTGCTGCCAGAAGGATAAGGGCAGGAAAGAATACTAAGCACTTACTATCTGTCTCAACTTTTTCAAACGATTGCTGTTTGTGGTGGACTGGAGAAGCAAATCTCTGTGAAGGGTAAGTTGAAGGGTATACCACAATGTTAAACATACCGCTGTCGGTCTTCCACGAGTTGTCGAGGCGCGATCTTCTCCGTCTACATCAAGGGCAAAGTGTCGGCCAGGTCGGGCCCTGGACCGAAAACGAGATTGCAGACTGTCAGTTGGCACAGTATACACAAAACGACGCTGATAATGTCAATTGAACAGAGGGGTAGGTGTCCTAGAATGCACTGGAGTTATGCCTGGACTGGGATTCGAACTTTGCCGGGGAATACTCGGCATGCCTTGCGTTTGTATCGGAAACAAAATGATATTAAACAATTACAATAAGAATTTTAACGAATAAAACCAAATGGAAACGTCGATAATAATCACAGCGTCGATGATAGACTCGCAGATACAAAAAAAAGTGATGGTATGAGCCATCAGCGGAGCCCGTTCCTCACGGAGGTGACCGCTTTTCTCTAGCCAGGGGAACAAGAACGAGATGTATGTCGGTTACGGCGCTAATAAGTGACATGACTTCCAAGTTTGCCTATTGTCCCAAGGCCCACACAATTGATGATGCCAATGTCTTGTCACCGGGTACCAGGCGGCGGCGGGCGGTACCAACAATGAAATCACTGGCATCAAAGGTGGACCTCCGTCGTTGCAGCCCTACATCAGAGGGTCCCGCTCATGATTGAACGCGTAAGGGAGCTTATATCCTACGCTGAATGTGCATCTTGGAGATTATTTGTTTCGCGTAACGAGTAGCAAGGATTATGATAGCGAATCCTCCTCGTGATTGAATATTGAATCTCCGCCATCAACAGGCTGCGCGACAGCGACGTGCCCAAGGCTCGGGGCCGACAGCCGCACAAATTCCAGGTCTTTAGCGCCCAGCACCGAAAATTTGGCCGCCATATTTGCCAGTGCAACATCAGAAGATTCCGTCTCTGGGTCTAATCTGGGTCGTTCACCAGGATTCTGAACCGCCAGTCTGATGCTTCTACCGGGTGTGGATCCTTGAGCTTGAGGGACCGGGTACTCGAACGTGAACTCTTGGGGAAGTTGCCTCTTCACACTCCCGCTCTCTGCGTTGTAATGGCAGTGTTGTTCTTTTTACGGCCAGACTCTTTCTGAAGGCAATTGAGTCCCGAACTGCCATCCAGGATGTGACAGATCCACAGTTCAAGTTTGTAACAGTAACAAAAGTATGCAAGCACTGCATAGTGCTCAATCTTGTCATGTTGAATCTGGTGTCAGTTCACTCTATGACTCAATCCTACTATCCTTCACCTTGTCTATGTATGTCCGTCAGTTTCAGAGCTCTCATTCAATCACACAGTGATGGAGAAGGTGAACAGGATGCTGATTAGTACTCCCGATTGAAGGCTTCTCCCGAAGTTCGAACTGCGCGTCGTTTCCTTCTCCTTCATAATCAGCGCATTAGGACTCAGTCGAGCGTCGAAATATCCGGTATCCAATCTGTGCACCGACCTACTCAAGTTCCCTCTCCAAGTATTCATTACATAGAACCTGATAGATGTACTTGGTCTCCATGTGGGCCCAGGCTTCTCTCCCTGTATTCCTCGTGCGATACCGTTGCAAGGAGACCTATTCTATATACCCACCGAGAGAAGCAGGTGATCCATGCAACCCTCCCCCTCAACACATCGATGCTTGTCATGATAAGATTCTGTATATTTTATTAGATGGTCCTAATTTTACATGGATGGTACTCAGTGAACGTGCGATGTCGTGGTATAATACTCTAAAGGTGGATTTTCATAGTCCGATATTACAATTTATGGTAATAACATGGGCAGGGAATAATGCGAGACGACCATTACACCCCCGTTGTAGGGGAGGTAGAATTAAGTTTACCTTTATCCAAAGAATCCTGTATCGCCTTCAAGGAAAAATCTGCTTGATCTATAGTACTGAGCGGACGATATCCGAGTTGGGGGGTGGGGGAAAGGATTGTAGATTGCGCTGCTGAAGGCGGCTCACCACTTTCATCTGTGTATGGAGACGGATAGTGGTCATGGCCGAGCCATGAAGGGTCAGACGTCGAGATATCTTCGTCACGCTCATGTTCTATCGAAGCACGAGGAGTCGAAGAAGATGATGCTGCGTATACGTTTGAATCACCCACATGAGATGCATCATCATCATGGCGATTCAGAGGAAGAAGTGGGGTCGAGGACGTCCTCATACTATCTGTCTGCCGATGTGATCTGCCTCTGTCGACCTTAGCGCTAGGTGCCAAGAAACCTTTCAACTGTGACTGAGTCATAGAGAGATCGGCTTCAGATGATTTGTGAGGAGGTACGAAGAATTTTGGATCGTAAAGTGACGCCCGGGGTCTCTTTCTTGCGATGTGTCTTCGTTTCCGGATAGAGGAAAAGAGGATTGAAGCCAAGCTGGCCGCTACCACTGTAAAGCCAGTGTCAGTACTTAAAATAATATGAAAAGAAAATCACGTACAGACACCTGCCGAAATACCAATAATGGCGCCAATTCCAAGGCCTGAGCCTGAAGACGCAGCGGCAGATTCTGTTGCAGAGGCACTGGCTGTTGTGGAAGACGCGATAGTGCTGCTAGACTGAACAACGGTACTGCTCGCAACGGTGCTTGACCCACTTCCGCTTCCACTTGCACTAGTACTTGCACTTGAACTAATGCTCGAACCGCTACTCGAGCTGGAGCTTGTACCAGTGGAAGAGGATGAAGAAGACGAGGATGACGAGGATGAAGAACTCGTCGTAGAAGTTGAAGATGTCGTGGTTGTCTGCGATGTCGACGATGATGTGGTGGACGTAGTTGTGGTACTATCTGACGTCGTTGTATCCTGTCGGGCACTGCGAAAAGACCTCATTAGCACGATAAAAAGCACAAACACGACCAACTTACTCAAGAACCAAGGCCTGGGTGGCAGATGGTCCAGCAACGAGAATTAGGGCCAGGAACCAAAGATAACGTAGGGGGACCATATTAGATGGTAAAGAATGAGGGAAGATGCTCGAGGGCGATTGGGAAGTCTTAAAGGCTGCGGGGGTTGCGTGCGCAAGGGTTATTATGGTTTTTTCATTTGAAACGGATTTTAAAGCGGTGCGTCATTCCCAGCGCAGCATACTGCATGAAATTAGCTTGCCTGGATTTCTTTCGGCTGATCGTGTCACGGCCACAACAAAACCCCATATAGTAATGCGATCCTGATCATTGGTAGGCGTGATCGCTGCTGGTAGGTCAGCAAAGGCTTTCAGAGGTGAACAGTGTCGGTACTTGTTTGTGAAAAATGAAGCCATAACGCACGTAAATCAGGGGATCCATAAAGGCCAAAGCGTAACAACAGCCTCTGCCCGGGGTAGCAGTGCCACAAATGATCGGAAGAAAGTCAAAGTAGACGCAGTCCGAGATTGTCCACGATACTCGCTGCGGTACAGGAAGGAAAACAACTAGGCGCTACACGGGGCATCAACATGGCGTTAAAGAGTGAACAAGTGGTACAATGGGAAACAACTACATAATGTCCAAAAATAATCAAATAAATTAGACGAGTGTTTTTCGTAAGGGATGACGAGATCACTCATCCCTACTGCGAGCATCATCACCGGACTCTGAAGCTGTTTGAGCCTCGGGCATAACATGATGTACGATGCGACCATGACGACGCATGTTGCTGCGAACGCTGAATGCACGACCGCAGCCCTCTTCAGGGCAAATATACGCTAGATAAGTATTTCATGAGAAGCAGCAGCAAGGAACAAGGGAAGTCACGGACGTTTATCCCCCGTGTGAGTGGTTAGGTGGATTTTGAGCCCGCTGGGACGGCTGAATCGTTTCCCGCAGTAATTGCACACGTGCTTACTGGAAGACGATGGCGAGGAGGACGTTTTATCGAACACTTGTCTCCTATAAAGGGTGGGACTCGGCGTGCGGGAATGTTGGATCTCAGAGTAGGAAAATGCGCGGCGATGGGTTGCGATGGGATCATATCTTCGTGCTTGCTGTTCGGAAGGATAATCGTAAGGCGATGGCGACCTCATTTTTTGCCAGCCAGTGCCTGAAGGGCTGTAATATTCAAGTTTTTGCGATTTACTTCCAGAGGAGTAAGACCTAGCCTCCTGCACAGCCCTGTCAGTTTCGTATGCAGAAACATACGGGTAGGGGGGAGAGCGTGTCCCCCTTGTCTGTAGATAATAGGACTGCGTGGCCGTTCTGGAAGGATAATCCTAAGAAGGTAGATGCCTTTATCAGAACATTATCATGATATAAAAGAGTAGAAACATACATGAACGCCGTACTGTGTATATTGAGACCATGTGTCCGAACGAGAAGATCTCTGAGAGTCTCTCAGGGGCGGCAATGTCAGCTCAGGGGGACCACGCCTTGGCACACCATCTATATACAGAGTGAGTGCCGTGGTTGTGTTTCCCTGCCATGAGACATAAACTGACCAAAAATCCGACCGATGGAGGGAAGAACCACAGGTCGTTCATTGTTGTTGGAAGTATTTCCAGTGCAAACGGGGCGATCGTAGTACATTGTAGCAGAAGGGGAAGTCGGGCTGAGCAGATCCAACTCGCAACTGTACATATATAGCTGTGAAATTCAGTGAACATCAAAAGAGCACATGAAACAGAGGTTCGTCTACTAGGTATAGGATTTAAGATACAGAGACATCAAAGCGTTGGCATGGGTATCCGGTCTGAATAGCCTCCTGAAGCGCAAACTTTTTAAAGCAGCACCGCGTTTTGAAATCCCGTAGGAATAACTTCACTGACATTGTTGGACCGTGAATGCCTCAAAGGTTTCGCACGCTGGGCACGTGTAAACCATGCGAGGTCCACGCGAGCGAATTCTGGGGGAGTTGGGCACAAAGTATGATGTTGGTATCCAGGAGAGATGTTTTGTCAAGATCAAAGTAACTGTTGCTTGCCTCTATTTTCCTTTGTTGCATCAAACTGAAAAAAAATGCTACATATCAAAAAATCTTTCGTGCAATTAAATTTGGGTACTTCGTGAGTTAACCCGAAGCTCCGCCGCCAACGGGCCACTCTTACTGCAGTAATGGTTCTGCATTAGTGCAATATGGTTCTCTGATGTGATTGACTGGCCATCACCGGTGCTATTATAGCCACAATAACTCCTTCGAGATGGTTTGCCGTAATGCGATGAGTCCGTCATGACGAACGACTCTTCCAAGACGTTCAATGAAGACGACCTAGCATGCGGATAGTAACTGATACATTAGTAACGTATCTAAATGATTAGATGTGTTTGTCTAATTATGGTAAGGAACACATGTGTATCATAGGTATATGGCGTGGAGTTCATTATCTACAATTCGTCTAGTTTCCTGACCTTGAACTTGAAGCGCTGTATTGACAGATCTTGATTAACCTCTCTGTTGGCATCAAGATGTTCCACCGGGGGTTCGTCCATCACGATCATTCCGTCCCATCGAACTCACTCGGGGTATGCATGTTTTGGTGGACAAGTCGTATGTGTCGTAACATATTACTTCGAATACCGAATCTTCGTCGACATGTATCCTCCGGACAGACGAAATCTGCAGAGATGGATCAGATAGAGCGTATTCGTTAGTTATACAAACACCAACCTTTGTCCCCTGTGTGAGAAATAACATGGATCTGGTGGTGAAGCTATTCATCAAATTGGACATCAACGTTGCGACGTTACGAACTCACCTTTAAAGCACTCGGACGACTGAATCCCTTTCCACAGTAGCTGCATTCGTATCTCGTCTTATTTGTGGAGTCATCTGCACACCCTTCACGAGAGCGCGAGGTGGAGTCTCCTCCTTCGGCCCGACCATTCCACGACGAAAAATTGTTGATCCGTGAAACTGGGTAGGCTGACTGGCCAGAATAGGTGGCCAGGGGAGCCGCCTGACTAGGAATAGCGTAGTGGGGATTGGTCGCTACTATTGGCCCTTGACCCCTGTAGTCCGACCTTCCAGGCGGATAGCTACCCGAGGAATAATTGCCGAATGAATCGCGGTATGAGGGGTTTCCCGCGGGCGTTGTTTCAGCTTGTGTAGTGTACGAGCTGCCATAGTAAGGTCCGCCTGGCACAGAGTGCACTGATGATCGGCTAGCCGAGCCTGGATCGTAGTATGAAGAACTCCCTGAGTTTGGGAGTGTGTACGGCTGGGGTCCGCCGTGACTATGAGCTGCATAAGAGTGCCTCCGAGACTGTTGCCGAAGAAAACAAGACAAGCAGTCAGTCACCATCGAATTTTGAGAGGGCAAAAACGTGCCTGGGATTCAGGTAGTCCGTGGGGAGTATATGCTCCATATCCATTGCCAGGGACATGCGACAGTAACGTAGAGCTCTGAGGCTGACCTGAAGGCATATCTGTATCTAAAAGTTGGCGCAAGCACATTTCTTTGGAAGATGAGACGCACTGAGTATCTGGGAAATCGGAGGCAGTGATACATTATCCTTCGAAGGAGGGACGCGGCGAGACATTTGTAACGAGTAAAAGCTTTGGAATGTGAGTCTATATAGCGGCACCGAGTTTAAAGCATGGACTAAGAGAGTAACAACACAGGGATGTCAGGACAGTGAACCACTAGGCCGCGCAGGCCCTTTCATTTAAAGGAATGGTTGATAAGGTCATCCAACGTAGTCGTCTCCGGTCCTGCACAGAAGTCGAGAAGACATCATTTTAATTATGGATCACAGTAGTTGAAATCGTTGGTTGATGAGAGGGAGAACGGCACTTGAGACGATGTGTAAATCCGTGAAACGGTGACAGCGCTAGAGGAATAGTACGCCCAAAGACATTAGTCCACGATTTAGACATATGTTGACGCTTGCTACTGGGTAACCATGCTTAGATCAGGAACACGACGAACAGATGTAACACGTACGAGTGTGGTACTACATCAAACTGATACTTCGCTCTTGTGAAGGAGCGCGCATCGCCTTCCAAGCCGCCCTGATCAATGATCACAAGCGACTATCGAGAGCACACAATCAGGCTAGATCTGATATCACACATATACAAGAACACACCGAAGTCGATGAAAGCAGTAAAATGCAACTGGTATTAAGCTGAAAGTACAGGATACATCGTCAGTCCCAAGAAGGTACATCAATACCAAACCACTCCGGTAGCAAGCGCCAAAACTCCGTCCTAGCCCCTTTAACTATAGAACTGAACTCTGACCTACAATATTTACAAGGGCGAAGGCCGGTGTTCTGTTTGTCGTAAGTTGTCTGTATCAGCTCTGCATCCATGATGGCGAATAATGGGTCGGAACTGCGATGACAAACGACACCATTGGCACCACGGAGAATCTCAAAGGTAATCGCCTCGAAAGCCGCTTGACAGGCGCGCTGGTGTGTGGTGTCTAACTGTTGCCGATGGATGCATTTGGAAGCCGGCGCTCTTCTTTCCAGCTGCTTGACGATAAAAGTCGATAGGAATCGAGATGCGCGTTCTTTTCCCTTCAGCAAGCTCATCAGACAGTCACTTGATAGTCCGATACCAGAGGTTTTGAAACCTTCGACGATAGAACTTGGAGGAGAGCGAGAGAGATCGTAGAAGGCAGATGGCAAAATCTCCTGTGCGCTTATGTCGCAAGACAAGTTGATGACAAGACTACACTGGTTGTCAGCGATGATTGAAACAACATGGCAACGGAAATTAACATAGGGTGTGGGTACTTCTCACGCGACTCATATAGTCCTGCCACATTCGTTGCATCCGCTTCGCGAGCGTCCCAACCTTCAAGCGTTGTGGGCCACGTAGCTGATAATCCTCGAAGCAAATCTTGGCGAAGATGACCAACTTGGTAATGCGTACAAAGGCGAAGCAGTGATGCAACCTTCGAAAATGACTTGTTGGTATACTTGATATGAGATCTACGGAGTTTGGTTAGATGACCGTGCAGGATGCGATTGCAGTAAGACTGACACTCCATCATACAGAGCGGACAAGAAGTGATACATCTCGTCTGGGCCATCGTTGAGGTGAAGGACCGGGCGGCCTTCTAGATGGGCCGGCGAACAGGTAGAATCAAGAGCCTTGATAGCAGAGTCCAAAGCCGGAGAATGGCGACAAAGCAATACTTGATGTACAAGGAAGTAGTATTGACCGGCGAGGACAGCGATATTTCCATCGTTGAAGCACATACCAGGGTATCGGGAAGGAGTGGACTTTGTAGGGATGTACTGGTTCACACTGAAGTCATTATTATCGGCAAACATGTTGAATAAAATGGTGTAGGTGTGTCGAAAAGAAGGTGGTGGTGAATCGCCTAGTTGAATAATAGCGCAGCCTCTTGCACAAGATACTAGCGGGGCGATATTGAGCGTCGAGGTCCTGGCAGATGACGACGGCGGACGCGACAGATAGTGACAAGAGGTAAGGGGATCGTGAGAAAGACGCGTCTCCGACTTTCTCAAAAAAAAAAAGGCTTTCGTCAGCGCTCAACAGCCATCTTTGCTTACTCGGTACCTCCTAGATTTATCTTTCCTTGCTTCAACTTTTCCATTGCTCACCATGGTCGAAGCATCACCTCAACGCATCGTTCCAGGTGCTCCTCCACCACCTCCACTGACAAAATCCCAGATCAAAAAAAAACGAAAGGCTAAGGCCAAGGCCAACGAATCTAACCCGAATTCCCCTGTCGCTACTCCTGAACCTAATACTGTCGTTGAGCAAGAGGGGGAAAATGTTGATGTACAGAACGGCGCAGGTGTGCAAGAGGCAATAGTTCAGGAGGAGGCACCAGTTGCAGCGGCTGAGCCTGAGCCTGAGGTACCCCTCAAGACAAGCCCCATCGTAGAGCTCATCAATAAACGTCTCAAAGCTGCCAACAAAAAAATTGTACGTCCTTTTGTTAATTGAGCACTGGAAGTACTTACAGAGGTATCGTAGTTGCGGATATCATCGTACGCTACAACGGACCCCGAAAAGCTGAACGATGATCAGAAGCGTATTTTGAAGACGCTTCCGACATTGGAAGCCATCCAGAAAGAACTAGCCGATGTCAAGAAGGCAGTCGAGGTATCGTATTTCTTGCGTTTCTGTTCTTTTCATTTACAAACACTAAAAAGGTACACGAGTCTGAGCTGGCCGTAGAAATAGTGCAAAAAGTGGCAGAAGCCAAGAAAATACAGGAGATACGGGTCAATCAGGCCATTACTACGACTGAGGTGAGAATAACGATTAAATCCAATCCCAGCTTTTCTTAAATAACGCTTTTATAGCAAGAAATGACATTAAAAACGTCCCAAATCCTTCTCTTCCTTCGTTTCCGGTCACTTTTGGCGTCTGGCGATCTCCCTCTGCAATTGAGTCAAGAAGAACTAAACCTTGTGTTCTCGGCATGCGATGTTCTAATGGGAGAAGATGGAGAGTCGAGGAATGTTGTAGTGAACGGCCTGTTGACAGGCTCGGGCGAGTATGAAGGAACCTCTTGTACGCGCTTTATTACCTTGGTCGATCTCCGGACTAATGTCACATCAGATTCACATTTGCTGGAGATCGCGAACAATGGCCTGCATCCCCGCCCACTCACGCCCGCCCCAGAAGAACCTGAGGCGAACGCCCAGGACCGTCCTGACTCCCCCGCTTCTACAGCTACTGAACCTGTTCCTGTTTCTGGTATTTCTGCTCTGCCAGCATCTTCAAGTAGTTTCCATTTCATGCAGGCCAGTGAACTTGAGTCGCCATCCTTTGAAAGTAGTGCAGAGTGGGTTGAACGGGCCGACGCCATCGAGCCTATCGCTGAGGAACCAATTCAAAGTGTGGTTCCTGAGCCCGTCGCAGCCAACGGGAATGTAGAGGTGCAGCCTGAAGAACAGGTATGTATTTTTATGCTTGCCTTTATTATTCTCCATGCTCATAAATATAAATCTTAGGCACCCGGTACTGCCGGCGGGGCCATTGACTGGGCAGATGAAGAGGATGGTCTTCCTTCCATTGATGGGCTACACGCCAAGTTCGGCACTTCCGGTTCCGCCACACCTGTCGGTGGACCAGCTGATGAGGATCAACCTCAGCCCCAGCCCCAGCCTCAGCCTCAGCCTCAGCCCCAGCTTCAGGTGAATGGACATGTCGAAGAGACTGTCGCACCCATGCCAGCACAGGAAGATGATGGTTTCACACAGGCCCGGAGCATTCGAGGCGGTAGAGGCAGGGGAAATGGCTTCCGCGGTGGTGATCGTGGTGGATACAGAGGTAACGGTTTCCGTGGTGGGGATCGCGGCTTCCGGGGTGGTGATCGTGGACGGGGCGGCTACAGAGGCGGTGAACGAGGGGGCGGTTCGTGTTTTCACCCTGATCTTGCCCAGCGGCTGACGTTTTTGGTAGGGGGTCATCGAGGCAGAGGCGATGGCGAGAATCGTGGTCGTAGCGGAAGGGGCCGAGGCCGAGGAGGTTAGTGATTTCCTGTTTCTCGATACCCATACTCAATACATAATGTCTGTTCCACAAGGCTCTCAAGCGGCGGCAACATCCACATGATGATCCCATCTACTAAAAGAACTCTCCGCCGAAGGTCAAAGAATATTGTCGCTTTGGATTTTACCTATCCTTGCCCTTCTAACCGACTTATGGTTGTGCTACATGTCTGCTCATTCATCCTATTGTTGACAAGCTGTGTTGCTGCAACCTCGTAATCATATTTTTGTTCATACCTCTCTATGGACCAGGCCCGTGTCAACCGTGAGATACTATCATGCTTGCTCTTTGAAAGCAACGCGATGATATGCGTGAAACTCGATCTGAGAAGTTACACTGTCAGGGTAATCAAGGGACCATCTTGAAGGCAGGATTCAAAACTGGCGGTCTTGTTCATAGCGACCCCTTGCATCTCTCAATGTTGGCGCTGTTAATTTACATCCTTACTCGTCGCTCAGATCTATCGAATACTGCGTTTCGTTGAGTGGTATATTTAGCGGACAGTTTGTTATTAAAATGCAAGTCATCTTTTGGCGCTATGGGGGATCAAAGACCTGCTCACAATGCTACATCCTGTTCATAGCCAAGTAGTAGAGAGATGCCTGTGACAAGAAAAATTTTACAGATATCAATCTCTTATCTTCCTTGTTAGTCGCAAGCTCGCCTATTGGCTGGCCTAGAACTCGGACGCATAACCGGTGCACTTATAGATCGATGTCCTGGGGCCCATTGAGAAGCCGCCCTTGAAACCCGACCAACCATTAGATCACATGCTTCGTCTGAGTTGAAATGAGCAGCTTACCTTCCATGCCGCCTGCAACCATGAGGACTTGACCAGATACATGACCTGATATCCTGGTTGAGGACATTACGACTATTTGTGTAGCTACATCTGCCGGCACTGCAACCTTCTTCAAAGGGGTCCTTGAAACGGTCAATACGTTAGCATTTCTCCTCGTAATTGTACTATGAAACGCCCTACGTGGCCATTGCCCTGTACACCACATTTGGGTCCTTGAGACTCTCTTCTGCCATAGGCGTCCTTGTCCACCCGGGGGCGACGCAGTTGACCCGCGCCTTAGGTGCGATCTTAACAATCTCATTCTTAAGGGTCCTGGTGAGACCATACATCATCGCTAAAGATTTGAAATGATCTGTCAGAACGTTGTCGGTAAACTGGGAAGTTGGCATTAACACACCACTCTTTGAGGCCGAATAGTCAGCATGGTTCGCTTCACCAAATTCGGCAGCTGAGGACCCTACAAACAAAAGGGATGCCTTGGCTTTTTCCGAGTCGGAAGCATGCTCCAGCTGTTTCAGGTAACCTCGTGCCACGAGAAATGTGGAGGTGAGGTTGACGTCCAAAGTGGTCTTCCACTGCTCGAGCGACATGTCTTTCACGGGTATGTCTTCAGCAACGTATATAGCGTGATTGATAACGGCAACTTGTACTACGCCATATGCTGCAGACGCATCATGGAACAAAGAATCCACTTCTTTCTCTGAAATCAGGTTTGCCTGGACTGCCTGAATGCGCCCGGGGCCATAACCGGAAAGAAGACCGAGCAATGGTTCACGTTTCGTGTTGTAATGCGCTGTGACCCTGGCACCTTGCTCTGAAGCATGTCAAGGGTTGTAAGTACGGATATAGTTGTAAGAGGAAACTGGACATGCTCAGAAATTCAGAAGCCGTCTCTAGGCCAATGCCCCCGCTAGCCCCTGTTTAGACGACTGAGACGATGTGATATCCGCCATGTCTGTGAGCGCGTACCGGTGACGAGAATGTGCACATCTTTCAGTTCGAGATCCATTGATTGACGATAAGAAATCAAGGTTCAGTCAGTCAACTGCCGCCGGCTACTCGAAATAGTTGTCTAGACTGAAAATTATATGTACAACCAAAGTAGGGAGCGGCGATAGTGGTGTAAATCTACGGGCACCATCAGTACTCATGTCGATGAGCCTGAGAGGGCCAGTGTAATCTTACATAACGAATACCAGAACATCAACTTTGCTCAGCAATAACCGCCTTCCTCTTTTCGGCCTTGGGCTTACTTTCTCCTTCTCTGGTATGCTTGCGCCGACGTTCATCCTTGACCCTCCGGGCCTCAAGCATCGTTCTTTTGAGTTTCGAGGCTTGATAAACAGGTTTCGGCAAGTGTCGCGTTCTGAAATAGCTCTCAGAAACCTAAAGATTAAAAAATGACAATGCATACCTGGCAACCTTGCTAACCTCCTTGTCCATCTTCCACCGCTCCACAAGCTTCCCGCGATATTCAATAGCTGCCCGTTCTCGGGCATTGACTACTCCAAGCTTCTCGGACGCGTTTGCTTTCCAGACACGAACGTTCCCATCGTCCGAGCCCGAGATCACAAACCTAGCGTCGTTGGTGAAGATTGTCGACGATACTCGTCCCATGCGCTTGCCATGGAAGACATCCTCGCCGCTGCCCTTGTCTTTTTTCCATATCCTCACGGTCCGGTCCCACCCACCACTGACGAATTCTAATCCTGTTGGTGCCCATTCGCAGCTCATAACTGCTGCAACATGTGCCTTGTATATTTGTGTTGGCGTTGATAGATAACGAATGTCAAATGTGTATAAATTATGGTCTTCGGAGGCTAGCAACAACGTAGTTGGATGGGTTGGACACCATGAGAGAGCGTTGGAGCTGAACTGCATCACGACCCGCCGCTCTGCTTTGCCTGTTCGAATGTCGTACAAGGTGCATGTCCGATCAGACCCTACACTTGCCAATACGCTCGGTTCGCTTTGATTAAACCGGACCGACGTTATTGTTTCGGTTGATGTAGGAAATGTCAGGTTGGATATTGCGGAAGTTCTGTGTAATGATGGTCAAAACGGACTCAAGCCAACGACGACACTATGGAACTACTTTGATTCGTCCCATACTTGAATGAAATTTGAGGCAGTGGCAAACACGGGATCGGAGCGATGATGATCTATCGAGCTATAACCCTGTTATAATGTGCACCCAAACCAGAATAATGATATGGTACTTACTTGAACGCGTTTTTGCCCGGAAATACCATCACAGGCTGGTCCTGGGCACACGATTCGTGGATTTAGAAGCAAGATAGTAACGTAATGCTCACCGAGCCAGATTCCGTATCCCACATCTTAATATTACGATCCACTCCGCAACTAAGCAGCCTCGAGCTTTCTGTGAAACACAGTCCGGATACTTTGCCTTTATGAGCTCGAGGCAGTCGGAGTAGATGGGTTCTCATGGAGATATTATGGATAATTATTCCTGTGATATCCTTTCTTTAAAGGCAGATTCACCGTTACGGGGTGAGAGCGTACCTCCATCCCAACTACCACTTGCGACTGTACTAAGGTCACCTGGTTTCCGCATCAGTACCTCCACCGCGTCAACGTGGCCTTCAAGACTAGCGACAAAGGGTTTCGCAAACATCCTTTCCATTTTTGCGGCATTCAGAGCCCTGGTTCGTTCTCTGGCTCGAGAAAAGGGATGCATAAGAGGATCCAAATTACGGGACACGGGTGTGGGATCCCCTAGTCGAGTAGGGAGATGCAACGATGGTGCATGTTGCAAAACGGATATTTTCTATAAGGACATGAGTGGATGCACGGTAGCGTTACCAAAATTAACTTACAACCATGGTGGTGGTCCTTAATTTAAATTGAAAATTCGAAAAAGAAATTTCAAGCACGTGGTCCAACGTCATAAAAATGTGGCTATGCACCTGGGCCCTTAGCAATCAACAACAGCAAACTCATTGCTGAAGATGACGTCAAGGCACTGTCGAGTTCTTCCAGTGCCATTCATTATGACTAGCAATGGGGATGACATTGACTATTCTCTGTATCTTGTAACAGGACGAGATATGCTTCCTCATGGGATGGTATGTACATTTTTTTGAAGCGCATATACGGCTAATCGTTTCCTTTACAGGACTACCTTCGTTCGTTGGAAGAAGTGAGTTATATCCTCTGCTTCATCTTCATTTATTTAACCACCTTGATTACAGTCTTTGATTGGTGGCGTAACAGTCGTTCAAATAAGAGAAAAGACCGCTGATACAGTAGAGGTACTTCCAACGATAGCCTGCCAATTTATTCTGAACCCCTTAGTTCCTCTCGGTTGCTACAGCATCGAAGACTCTCTGTGACAAATATAACGTGCCACTGTTTGTCAATGACCGTATTGATGTTGCATTGGCTGTCGGAGCACGAGGTGTTCACCTAGGCCAGACGGACATGCCGATAGACATCGCCCGAAAGCTCCTACCTCCAGAGGCCATAATCGGAGTATCATGCAATACCCTCGAGCACGTGGAACAAGCTGTTCGAAGCGGCGCAGATTATATCGGTATTGGAGCCGTGTACGGAACACAGACGAAAAAGTTGACCGATCCAGAAGTCGGTGTTAGAGGCGTTGGACGATTGCTAGAAGCATTAGATGGGACAAAAGTGAAAGCTGTTGCTATTGGTGAATAGAATTTCTTAGTGCTCTGAGTTGCTGACCGGAATCTTAGGTGGGATCAAACAATCCAACCTAATGCGAATTCTTCATGGCTCAGTCTCATGTACGGGTCATTCTTTGGATGGCGTCGCCGTTGTTTCTGAAATCGTGGCCTCTCGGGATCCCAGGACTGTTTCTGAAGAATTGAGGAGTGTCCTTCACATGTTCAAGGATAACACAGCCTCCTTTAAGTGCATGTCCATTTTACAACCGGACTCCATCATAGAAGAGGTTATCAGAGTCATGAGCGGTGTGAGGGAGTCGAACCCTTTGATACACCAGGTTTGTCTAATCAGTTCCGTGTCATCAATCTCTCACCTTTTCCAAAGATCACCAACAATGTAGTGTCAACACAATCTGCCAACATCACCCTCGCACTTGGAGCCAGTCCCATTATGGCTTTCGACGCCCAAGAAATGGAAGATATAGCCAAAGTGTGCGGTGCGTGCTTGATCAACATCGGCACCCTTACAAATGCGACACTAGAAGGGATGCTCAAAGCCGGTGTGTATTCTACTACACTTTGGATGACGACCTGTTACTCACAGATGTGATACAAAGGCTACTATGCCAATAGAAATCATAAGCCGGTGGTTCTTGATCCGGTAGGAGTCGGTGCATCGGGTTTCAGGAAAGGCTCTGTTCAAGGTAATCGTGCATATCGCCTTCTTTCGTGTTATCCTGACCGAAATCTCGAAGCACTTTTAAATGTGTGGCAACCGAGTGTCATCAAGGGAAATGCTGGCGAGTTGGCCACCATTGCTGGGTCAACTGAAGTCCTATCGAAAGGTGTTGACAGCGTTGGCCCTGGATTCCGAGATCCAATATCTTTCGTGCGAAATTTGGCACGGAAAGAACGTACGGTTATAGCCTCCATATCGTCTTGGCATCAATTAACGAAATAGCCGCTGATAGGCTGCGTCGTCGTTCTCACGGGAACCGTCGATTACATCTCGGACGGGTTCTACGTAGTCGCATTATCGAACGGCGATGAGATGCTAGGTAAGATAACAGGATCGGGCTGTATTGTTGGCTCGTGTGTGGCCACATACTGCTCTGTTACTAGTTCTGGTTCGAGTTTGATTAGTCCCGAAACATTATGGGGCGCTGTTGGAGGGTAAGTGATTGGCCTCTATGTCTTGGAGCTTCCTGATAGGATTATATGGCAGGGTCTTGGTTGTGACAATCGCAGCCGAAGTGGCAGCAAAGAGAAAGGATGTCCAAGGGAGAGGGACGTTTCTACCCGCATTAATAGATGAACTTGGAGCATTGACCCCTGATAAAATACGGGAGATGGCCAAGATCCAAGTGTATCCAGCATAGATAATATGCATAAATTGTTAATAAACTAATTGTAACCTTGTTCTTCCGCTGTGTCACGTTTGTGTCGAATCGCCTTTCGGCCCGAATTGCCGACTGACGCCTACTTAAAACGTGGCCTTCTTACACACCTACTTCCAACAGACAATTTTGTTGCAGTGTTTTATCCTTTTCAACACAGATATCTCGCCAGCTAAATCACTGAAATAAATGATAATCATCATTTTATAGCGTCTGGTGCGGATCCACGTCACAGCTCAAGCATTCCAGGATAATTCTTTCGCTAGATTTTCTTGAACGTCACTTCTTGTTTTATGTATGGCTCGTAAATCCAAAGTCAAATCAGATCAATGGAATCCATCCCTCCGCCGTCGTCCAGCGTCGCTTGATCATTTGCCACACATTCCACAAGATAGCGTTCTTGCATATGCATCGCTGCCACCCACTCCCATTTCCCCTTCTCCGTCCTCATCTACGCCAGTGTCACCCACGCCTGCCATTTTCAATAAAATACCTTCACCGCCATTCTCACTTTGGGATTACCTACGGGAAGAGCTTCTGGCAACGGACTTTGATTCACACCAGGAGTTGAAATGGGAGCGTGTTAGCAATTTCCTCAATATTCCTATAGCGATTGAGCATGTGAGTCAAGTTCACTCATAAGTTTAAATGATATTGACATCTTTCAGATTATTGGTTTTGGGTATCTGCTTTGCCTGGACTCGTTTCTATACACATTCACCATCCTCCCGATTCGCTTTGCCATCGCACTGTGGCGTTTGATATCCTTCAAGCGGCTCCCGCCTTCTCAGAAGGCGGACTTGCTACGAGCGCTGCTGCTTGTGGTTACAACCCTCATCTGTATCCCGCTGACGGACGCAAGCAAGATATACCACACCATACGCGGTCAGGATACGATAAAGTTGTATGTAATATTTAACGCGCTCGAGATGGCGGACCGTTTGTGTGCTTCCATTGGCCAGGATATTCTCGATTGCCTCTTCTCCCGTTCCAGTCTAGTCCAGTTGTCTTTCCGTCCCATCATCTACTTCTTCCTCGCTGCCCTTTACACCATCTCACATACATTCGTGATGTTGTATCAACTTCTCTCGCTCAATGTCGCCATCAATGCGTACGATCATACCCTCTTAACTCTCCTCGTTTCCAACCAGTTTGTTGAGATCAAAGCTTCCGTATTCAAAAAGTTTGAAAAAGACAATCTCTTCCAACTCACATGCGCAGACATTGTAGAGCGTTTTACACTTTCCCTCATGCTTTTGGCCGTAGCCTTTCGGAATCTCATCGATCTTACAGGAAGCGCAGCACTTTTTGATGACGCGCTTCTCCCGCTTAGTTTTGGGTGGTCGCAAGCCGGGGTTCTCTGGACCATAGGATACCCTGTGTTGTTAGTTATGCTATCTGAATTTCTCGTGGACTCTCTCAAGCACGCCTTTATTACAAAGTTCAACCATATACGGCCGACAGTTTATGCTCGGTATATGGACGTTTTATGTCGGGACCTCGCCTGTGGCAGCGCTGTTGGTCGGAGGAAGCATACATATGTAGACCAATCTCCGCTAGTTGCGCGCCGTTTGGGGTTCGCCCCACTTCCCCTTGCTATCCTCTCCATCCTTATTTGCGGACAGAATATTCGTGAGCTGGACTTGAAATGGAGTGCTATGGCGCTCCTTTTCTGGCTATGCTTCTTGGGCGTGAAGATCATCCTAGGTGTAAACTTAGTTGGATACGCGACGTCAAGGCAGGAGAGCATTGAAGCCGCAAAGCGGGCAGAGGATAAGGAAAACGATTTTGGGAGACCGGCAATCGGAGAAGGCAACGAAGAAAGGGCGTATAACAGCGAGCTAAAAGGGATGTTGGATGATCCTAGAGACGATGTTGTGAGAGTCGCAGAGATGGGGGAGGGCACGCATCGTGGGAGACAAAGAGTTAAGCTGGAAGATCTTACACGATTTACGATGGTCAAAAGGATTTGGTAAAGAATTGTTTGTCAAACAGCGGAATCCTCTATTTTCTATCACACGGCGGTAAAGCCTGCCTCCTTTAGTTTCGTCACCAACTCGTCCACAGACTCGACCTTTCCGCCACCAATACGCTTAGGAGGCTCTGCAACCTTTACAGTCTCAAGAATAGGCGTCAAGTCTACACCCAGATCTTCCGCTTTTAGTTTTTCTACTGGTTTCTTCTTGGCCTTCATGATGTTGGGTAGCGAAGCGTAACGCGGTTCTGTACGACTGCGTTAGAATACGCAGGAGAAGATGAGAGAAGGGTCTAACCATTCAACCTATGGAATTATTAGAAAACAACGTATTTGCATTTTAGGATCACTGACCGTAGATCCGTCGTAATGACGAGTGGTAGCCGACATTTCAGCTCTTCAGAACCGCCATCAATTTCGCGGAGTACTGTTGCGATCTTGCCTTCAGCATCGATGTCGACCTTGCTCGCGTATGTCGCCTGGCCCCAGCCTAAAAGACCGGCCAACATCTGCCCGGTTTGTCCGGAATCATCATCAATGGCCTGTTTCCCCAGGATGACCAGGTCAACGCCTCCAGCCTCCTTCTGCCTTTCAATGATAGCCCGAAGGGTCTTGGCTACTCCAAGGGGTTCAGGTGACGGTGCAGACTCGGGGATCTCGACGTGAATTGCGGAGTCGGCACCCATAGCGAGGGCTGTACGAAGGGTATCAATGGATTTCGGTGGGCCAATTGTTACCGCCTTTATGGATTTCACTGTTTCTTTTAGTCGTTCACGTATCCGAATGGCCTCTTCCACCGCTAACACCGACGGACACAATTTTAAGTTCACAATCAATAGGTAAAGGCAGAAAATGAGGAACCTATTTCGTCGAATGGATTCTGGATGAACAACACAATTCAGCTAAGGTATATTTTTCTTTTGCTTTCAACGAACACACCATGGAATGTTTGACGTTCAAATCCACACCCGTCTGTTGAGGATTGACCCGGATCTTGACGGCATAGTCAACGGCACTGGAATCCGGAATCTTAACGGTCGCGTCAATCAGCGAAGCAAAACATACCGCTTTACAGGAATGAGAATATTGAGCAAACGAGCGGCAGAAGGATGCATGTTTGGCGGTAAGAAGGTAAGCCGTTACCCGGGGGGTTAGTGGGGTAGATTGAAATAAATAAATAATTGAATCGGACTGACAGTCCGAAGTCCGATGGCAATCCGATTGAGGCGCTCTGCCCTTCCGCAACGTGGCTCCCGGGGTCTACCACAACTGTAGCTTCTTTCGCTGTGCCCTTTCGTCGTCTACGAAATAATCTCGTGAATAATTCTTTGTTTCGGTTTGGTTCCATCAGCTGCGGCATTCAGAATATGCAAGATTTTGATTTAAAGTAGTCGTAAACCAACCTGAAGCAATTGGCGTTAAGTGCACCACGTACACAGATGGTACGATTACATAACAGAAGTCACAGCGCGGCCCGTCACGGTCGCGTATGTCACGGGATTCCTTATTCGGCGCTTACTGTGATAAGCGACGGCGTTTGAAATTGAACTGCAACCTTCACGACTCTGATCTCAGACGCGACGAACCGCGAACATTGGTCTCTCTTCTTTACTCAGCTACAGGATTCTGAGGGCACTGCAGCTGACTTGGACCAACTGAAGGAGATGTATATCAAGACCTTGACCATCCAAGGGTTCAAATCATGTAATGTAATTCGTCGGGCAAACAGTGGATTCTAATGTGTTTTCAGATCGTGATCAAACACAAATCGAACCATTCTCTCCAGGACATAATGTTGTTGTTGGAAGAAATGGCTCAGGGAAAAGTAATTTCTTCGCAGGTGCGTTAAGCTGCCATCGCCACTATAATCACTATTCATTATTGTGAAGCCATCCGTTTTGTGCTCTCTGACGCATACTCGTCCATGACGCGTGAGGAGCGCCAGAGCCTTATGCATGAAGGAGTTTCGGCGACGACTACGCTTTCGGCGTACGGTTCGTCTTCTCTCGTTTTCTTCATGTTGATCTCCTCAATGTTATACAGTTGAAATTATCTTCGACAACTCCGACAACCGATTCCCGACAGGCCATGATGAAGTTATTCTACGCAGAACCATTGGTTTGAAGAAGGATGAATACAGTCTGGATAAGAAGAGCGCGAGTAAAGCCGACGTTATGAATCTGCTGGAGAGTGCGGGATTCAGTAAATCGAATCCATATTACATCGTTCCACAGGGTCGGGTGAGTGGTATCATTCTGGCCCATGAGGTGCTAGCTAACCATGAGTAGATTACTGCGTTAACAAATGCGAAGGATCATGAGCGCCTCGCACTTTTGAAAGAAGTGGCCGGAACCAAGGTGTACGAGCAGCGTCGGACAGAGTCGCTGAGAATCATGGCTGAGACAGACGCGAAGCGGTCAAAGATCAACGAGCTTTTGGAATACATCGAGTCGCGCCTAGCGGAGCTGGAAGAGGAGAAGGAAGAGCTAAAGGAGTTCCAAGACAAAGACAAAGAACGGCGTTGTCTGGAATACGCGTTGTATCAACGTGAGTTAGAGGAAGTAGGAGAGGCACTGACAAATATTGAGGAAGAGCGGAAAAGAGAGGTTCATGGAGCGAACGTCCGACGGGAGAATTACAATGATAGAGAGAAAGAGATCCAGGTACGGGAATCATTGGTCTTTGTGTTTCTACCGCTCACAGTCACAATAAAAGGACATGGAGAAAGAGTTGTCTGAGGTCAAACATTCGCTTCAATCGCATTCGGCTCTCCGCAAAGACGCACAAACGGAACTTACTGAACTGATCCGGAGCCGTACAGAGCTGACATGCACCGTGGAAGACCTTCAAATGGCTGGAGCTCGTGCCGGCGGGAAAAGGGCAGAATTTGAAGCCGACCTCGAGGATATCGTGACGCGAATTACAGAGAAAGAAGGATCGCTGCAAAAACTCCTACCCGACTGGGACGCTAGAAAGAATGCAGAGACTATCGAGAAGCGACGGCTTGATGAAGCTAACGCAAGGCTTTCAGCTCTTTTCGCCAAGCAGGGTCGTGTGACGAAGTTCAAGAATAAAACAGATCGGGACGGGTATCTGAAGCAGCAGATTGCATCGATGCAGGCGTACCAGACAAGCCAGATCGAAGCCCTACAAATTTCCAGAACGGAGCTGGAGACTGCTCGACGATCGCAGGCAGAGGTCGACGAGAAAATCACCTCTGTCCAAAGTAAAATTGAAGATGGCAGAGAGAAAGTGTCAGAGATGGTAGATGAAATCCGAATATTGAAGGAGCAACAGAGTGAATTGACAGAGGCGAGGAAGGATAAGTGGAGGGAAGATACCAAACTGGAAAGTTTAGTCGGTCGTGCTGCAGATGAGCTGAGAACGGCTGAACGGCTGCTCGCTGGCATGATGGACAAGGTATATAATATTCTTCTCTGAGACGCATGATCTTGACATTCTATGTAGGATACCGGAGCGGGACTTCGTGCTGTAGATAAGATCGCGGAACGCTACAGGCTTGAAGGTGTATATGGCCCCCTATACCGTCTTTTCGAAGTCGCCGACACAAAGTTCAGTACCGCAGTGGAGCTTACAGCTGGAAATAGGTTAGAAATTCTTCTTTTCAATTGAGAATCATCCTAAAGTCCCTATAAGTCTCTTCCACGTAGTTGTCGATAACGACGAAACAGCGTCCAAGGTCCTCGATGTCATGATCAAGGAAAAAACAGGTCGGGTGACATTTATGCCCCTCAATCGACTCAAACCCAAAAATCCGGCACTTCCGCATACGCCAGAGGCTATTCCTCTTATTGAAAAATTGCGATACAATCCTGAACATGAGACTGCGTTCCAACAGGTCTTCGGAAAGACTTGTGTCTGCCGAGATCTGACTATTGCGGCAGCCTATGTCAAGAGTCATAATATCAACACTATCACTCTCGATGGTGACAGAGTCGACCGCAAGGGTGCTCTTACTGGTGGTTTTCACGACATTCGCCGTTCAAGAATTGATGCTGTAAAGAATGTCTCGCAATGGCGGACCAAGCATGACGAGGATGGCCGGAAGTCTAAGGCCATCAAGGCGGATATATTGGAACTTGACCAGAGGATCACACAAGTGACGGGAAGAATCACCGTATTGAATGCGCAGCAGATGCAGATAAGGGAATCCAGGGAACGACTCGTGCAGGAAGGTATTTCGTTGACGAGAGAGAAAGAACGGTTGAAGGAACGAGTTACGAAGCTGGAGACCGATATCGACGAGCTGGAAACAGAGCTCAACGGTATGGATTCGAAATTCGAAGGGTTGAAGAGTGAATTGAAGACTCCTCTCATGGCTGGATTGACCGCCGAGGAAGAAGGACTGATCGAAAGCCTGGGGCGAGAGGTCGAGAAGCGGCGAAGAGATTTAGTCGAGCTGACCAAACAGAAGAACGTTGTAGGTGCCGTTTCCGATGAAGATTAGTTTTCAGCTGATCTTTGTCTCCATAGTTGGAAAGCAAAAAGAATATCATCGAGATCGAATTGAATGAAAGATTGTACCGTCGCCGGGACGAGCTACGGTTGAAGATGGAATCTGTACAAGAATCAGATGGCGGTGAAACGTCAGCTGCTGATGACCTCGAAACGCGGAAGCGCGAGCTTAACAGCTTAAATGCATCTATTCAGAGCTTGACCCGGCGCACGCAAACCATGGAGAGGGAGAGCGACGAGTTTACCAATCGGATACAAGAATTGCAGCGGTCGCTAGAGAGAGTTCAAGCCCAACAGACTGAGGACAGCCGGAACATTTCGAGGCAGCAGAAAAATACCGAACGGTACATCGCCAAGCGGCAGATGTTGGCTAATCGCAAAGACGAGTGTAGTCGCAACATCCGTGATCTAGGTGTCCTTCCGGAGGAGGCTTTCGAAAAGTATACGAGTGAAAAACTGGACCGAGTAGGCATCCACGTCATCGTAGTACACAGAGAACTCATATCCAATTTCCTTAGCTCGTCAAGAAGCTCCATACAGTCAACGAAGGCCTCAAGAAATTTGCGCATGTCAACAAGAAGGCGTTTGAACAGTATAGCAATTTCACGAGACAAAGGGACCAATTACTAGAGCGAAGAGAAGATTTAGATAAGTCTGCGCAGTCCATTGAAGAACTAGTCGAAGTTCTGGATCGAAGGAAGGATGAAGCAATCGAGAGGACATTTAAACAAGTTGCTCTCAACTTTGAGGAGGTGTTCTCCAAGTTGGTGCCTGCTGGAAGGGGTCGGTTAATTATTCAGAGGCGAATGGATCAGGTACGTTGATTCTCATCGGTTTGAAATCTAGTGTGACAAAACCGCCAGGATGAGGAGGCGGACGAAGACGCGGAAGAGACACAGCAGAGCACTATCGATAACTATACCGGGGTATCAATAAAGGTACGCATATACAACCAATATCTGTGCCATACGACTGAACACGATACAGGTCTCTTTTAATTCCCAAGTAGATGAGGGTTTGCGAATCCAGCAATTATCTGGCGGTCAGAAGTCATTGGTTGCACTTGCCACCGGTCAGTTCCCTGTCCCTGCCTCAATGACGTCGGCTTACGGGGCTTCATAGTATTTGCTATCCAGAAATGTGATCCTGCGCCCTTTTATCTTTTTGATGAGGTACGAATATAATGACTTGTATCTACAATTCTTATCAATATCTCAACAGATCGACGCCAATTTGGATGCTCAGTATCGTACTGCCGTTGCTTGTGAGCTATTAGTCTTCATGCTTCTGGAAAGCACTTTGCTAACAAGCTGATTTCTAGCAATGATCCAATCATTGTCCGATAGTGCACAGTTTATTACGACAACTTTCCGTCCCGAGATGTTGGTGACGGCGGACAAGTTTTACGGAGTCTTGTTCAATAACCAGAAAGTATCCTCTATTCGAGCTATCAAGCGTGAAGAGGCACAGGAGTTTGTTGATCAGGTTAGTAGGAATAATTGAGGCCGTCTCTTTCTGACCATTCCTTTATCTTCGCAGGAGGCACAAGCTCAATAGGGAGCTGCCTTCCTTCGATTTGTCGAGCTTTTCTTATCAAGTATCTCCCTGTTGTCTGTAATTGGTAGTGTAATTTTAATCTCTCTCTGTTGTGAAACCATTTATATGAAGGTGGAAAGAGACAGCTTTCCAGTTTCTCTAGATCCCGGATTCGATGTAAATGTATGGAGTGGGACAACTAAATTATTCTGATCGCGAGATCTTTATCTTTATAACCTCTTCCTTGCCCTGATCTTTCTTATCGAGCTGACCGGTCAGGAGCTACTACTATTTCCGTTAAATTTAACTAGATATTTTCCATCGACGCGTCAATCGTCGGTGAAGGTCAGTAGTAAGCTATTCAAGCGACCTGCAAGCTTCTGGAGATGCCTTCAAGGAGTACGTTTTATCTCCGAAAATTGTTCTAATCTCTCAATCCGGGAATGTTTGGACTTTAGGTACCTTCAGTGGTGACAGTTGCGTCTGCCACTGTAATATATTTTCAGTGCCTCTCTATTCAGGGCGGCCATCACGAGTATTGATCAATTCATCGGTGAATTCATCATGCCAAGACTCATGCCGGAAAATGCCCTTTCATGCGCCTCCTTCTTCGTGTTGCGGCTGTAGGCGTCTTCGTGCTCGTTCTGAGCACCTTGTATGCATATCTCAGCTATCGACCATCGTACGAACTATATGCAGACCTGATCGGCGCAGAAATCCAGCACTCCCTGTTTGTGTCAGGATCCTCTACGAAGCACTACGTGATTTTTCAGCAGCTTCAAGGCGCAGGATTCAACAATGAAGCCCAGGAAATACTCCATTTCCACCATCTTGCCTTCTTGACAGATAGGGTTTACATTTACCAGCCCTTTTTCTGGCGCCCGCGCAATGAGCCCCTACCATTGTCGGCGTTTCTGCTGGGGCCCACTGAAGGGTCAGTTTCTGATACTGTCTGTCCTACAGAACAGATCACTCACATAACTATCGATGCCCCTCATCGTGAGCTTTGGCAGACCGCTTTGGATGTACTTTCCTCAGATGATAAATGCCTCGCTGTGGATAACTGGGTCCTAACCCGGAGGTAAGCGCGGCTGTAAGTCGACTTGAAATCTCTGCCCATTCTTATATATTGTGTCTAGTTTCCTCGAGTCTGTATCGGTAGCAGAAATATTCCCCTTATTTTCCGTCTGCCTCTCCACCCAGTTCCTATGGTCTATTCCTATACAGCACCTTGCAGCTCGAACACATGCAGCTCTCAATCTACGCTCTTCCTCGTACCCCGTGGCGGACCCTTATATTGCACTCCACCTTCGTCGCGGTGATTTCTCATCGCACTGTCTTGACCTTGCGGAATCACAAAAGAATTTTACGACATGGGCAACCTTGCCCAACCTTAACATTCTCCCACCAGCCCTGGATGTACAGAATTCTTCATCCATTATGGAACATTGTTATCCGATTCTTCCCCGAGTGATAGACGCTATACGCACAGGCCTCGACCGCGCACCGCACGCGCGCATCCTACATATCCTACATGACGCTAAATGGGATCACCCCCTTGTATATGCACATATGTGGAAGATCGAAAAAGCTGTCAAAACATGGGGATGGGTGGACAGGGTGACACACAGTGGACAGATCCCAGCCGGCTGGGGGGAAGGCGATTTTACTGTCGGAGTTGATATGGAAGTAGCGAGCAAGGCCGCATTTTTTATTGGTGTAGGTTATTCAAGTTTAACGAGTCAAGTGGTGGCTTTGAGGCTTGCAGGGGGACAAAGCGAAGATAGTATTTTGTTAATGTGATATATTTATTACTCTTTATCTGAATACCGTATTTATTATGAACGATACCACATCCTATATATTCTGCTTGGTACTTTGAGTTGCTAAGAGCCTTGTGCAAAGTTTATTTTCGTGTGCTTATAAGCGAAGAAGCGGCCAACAACCTAAATGCACGGGCTTCCGGCCCGACGGTCCGATACCACGTCTGAATTTTTTTTTGGTCAGTGACCGTCATCATGCCTCGAGCGACAACAGATCGATTTTCAAGAGCGCACCAGCCATCAGCAAGGGCTTCAAAGGAGAAAAGAAATGGAGAATCCTCTTCGTCTGCTGTCCGCAACCCGATATTCAACACAGAACGATTTGGCCAGCACATCTTGAAAAATCCGGCTATTGCCCAAAAGTCTGTTACCGTGTCTCTTCTTTCGGAAGACGTGCTGACCGACGTGTCTCGCTAGGATTGTAGATACCGTGAATCTCTAATGACTTTATTACTTTATCCATGAGTTGACGATCATTAGGCCAATCTCAGACCTACGGATAAAGTACTGGAAGTCGGTCCAGGTACCGGTAATCTGACAATGCGAATACTAGAGAAGGCCAAGCTCGTCACTGCAGTAGAGATGGATCCACGGATGGCGGCTGAACTGACGAAGCGAGTTCAGGGAAAGTACGCTCAATGTTCAATCGTCTCAGTATGCCAGGCTTACCATACATAGACCTGAACAGCGGAAACTAGAAGTTATCATTGGCGACTTCGTCAAAGCGGATCTGCCCTATTTTGACGTCTGCATATCCAACACCCCGTATCAAATTTCCTCACCACTCATTTTTCGGTTACTCTCGCACCGCCCTCTGCCTCGAGTATGTGTCTTAATGTTCCAGCGCGAATTTGCGCTGCGGCTTCTAGCACGACCAGGTAGTAACCTATGGTCAAGATTGTCTGCGAATGTTCAGCTGTTCGCGAAAGTAGACCATGTTATGGCCGTTGGGAAGAACAACTTCCGACCAGCGCCTATGGTAGAAAGCAGTGTCATCCGTATGGTGCCATTGGACCCACCTCCTCCCGTGAAGTTCGAAGAATATGATGGTCTGGGAAGGATCATTTTCAGTCGGAGGAATAAGACCATACATGGAAATTTCATGGCGAAGGGTGTCGTCGATATGCTGGAGAAAAACTGGCGGACGTGGTGTTCAGAAACCGACCGGGTATGTGTCTGTTCCTTTGGCATCCAACGCGTATGTCTTTGATATCTGAATCGTACAGATTATTGAGGACAATGTGGATATGAAAGCCAAGATTGACACCGTGCTCGAGGAGACTGGAAACACGGAAAATCGTGCAGCTAAAATGGATGTTGATGATCTACTAAAGTAAATGTTGTTAAATCTGCTGTTCACTGTTCCTACTCACCTTTCATACCAGACTGCTGTCTGCTTTTCATGACATCGGTGTACATTTTGCGTGATTTATGTATTGATTTGTCTATGTACTATATACCATATTACTTTATTCTGAATTTTATGCTACCTACTTTTTCAGTAAGGCTTATCTTTCTACGTGTCGCGTTTTGATTCACATCTCATAGCAGATCTTTACATTCTCCTGTTGTTCCTTCTTCCTCTTCTTCGGGACTTTACGCGTAACGAGAAGCTCGTCCCTTCTGTCATCGCAGTAACTTGATAGAAAGGTGCGGCAGGAGATTGTCTCATGGATTGTGAACCAGGCTAACATGTCCCAGGAACGGTCCTAATTCAAGCATAGCGAGAAGGTCTGGTGGTGCGCGAACGCACAGAATCACAAGCATCGGCTGATTACAAGCAAATAACCATACTAATAAGGCTTATGGAAATACGCAACGATACTGGTTCTCTGAAGAAATTTGAATCCACATTCCGCGGTCAGATAGACGTCGATGAAACATAAATTCAACCCTTTGGATGACGGTTCAGGTGTCGCAAAATGACAGATGTGATGTGATGTGATGTCCAGTCCGTGTCACAGACATTGGAAACGCTCTGCCCAAACGCTCATTTGCTGTTCCAGAACAAGGATGCCCGCTAGGGAAATCAGGCGGCCTTGTGCTACTTTTATTGGACACAAATCAATGTAGTAATTTTGTGGTACCTTGGTTCTCGAAACTAACTCCACGGCGGACCGGCATCAACGTTATCTCAACCACCATCTCATGCCAGAATTTCTTATGCAAGAGCAGGTCGAGAAGGCATTTACTTCTTGTTACTCCACCATTCCATTTTTTTTGATTCTCCATGATTTCTCGTTTCAGTTTCGGCGTGACGGGTGAGGCTCACCGGCTAGAAGGAGTTGATTGAATTTGAGCTAAATTTTCTGATACTCCTGCATAGCTATCTAGTCGTTCCTGGATTCCTAGCAAGTGATGAAACTAGAGCTCTCCTAGCTAGATGTAAGAAATATCTGGATGACTTCTCCATCGAAGACCATCCAATGGTGCGATATACGCTGCTTTTGCTGTCCCAGCCTGACTCATGACACTTATCCTTTTGAGACTAAATTCACGACTGGAGACCACGACCACGTCGGTGATGATTACTTCCTAGACTCTGGTGACAAGATGTGAGAGTGGCCTCTCGCTTTCTCATATCAAAGACCGACGCTTTTTTCATATCATAGACGATATTTCCTGGAGGAAGATGCTGTTGATAAGGACGGCAAGCTCAACAGGGATAAGACGAGAGCCGTGAATAAGATAGGTCATGGTCAGCCTTTTAAAGCTAACTTGCTTTCTTTGTGTCAATAAGGTTTGTGTCAGGTCTACATGAACTGGACCCACTGTTCCGCCAAGTGACACTGGAAAACGACAATGTCAAGGCCGTTATTCGTGATTTGAAATGCCATCGTGATCCTGTTGGTCTGTAATCACTAATTTTTACTTGTATATGCTTGACTTATCTCTGATCGCTCAGCACTTCAGTCCATGGTCATCATGAAGCAGCCTGAAATCGGTGGAGAAGGTTGTTCATATCTTGAAATCTATCGTTTTACTAAACTATATCATCTACCACAGTCGGGGAACATAATGATTCGTGCGTGTGTTTGCATTGTGTGAACATACCTGCTATTCAACCTGACGGCCCACGAATAGGACGTTCTTGGTGACTACCCTCGTTTATGTTGGCTATCAGGAAAGTGATATCAGAGAAACAGTACACGAACCCGCCTTCTGCCCTGGGCTTTTGGATTGCGTTGGAGAAATGTACACTGCATAATGGCGCCTTGTCATTCTTACCTGGTTCGCACCTTACCGCGCCCATAACCAAACGTTTCGTACGGTTGCCACAAGGAGGGACCGGCTTCGAAGCCCTTCCTGTCAGTGCAGACTCCATGACTCCACCAAAGGGCGAATATGTCCTCGAGACATGTGAACCAGGTACGTTGCTTCGTCTCGTTTATCACTGACAGCTTTCCAAGTCATTGAATGACATGGCTAGGCGACCTTGTGCTCATTCACGGCTCCGTTCTCCACAAGTCGGAACGCAACGTCAGTCTGAACACACGGTTTGCGTATACGTTTCATGTGATAGAATCTCCTCCATATGCTGAGTATGATTCGAAGAACTGGCTTCAGCCCACTGACGCGATGCCCTTCTCTCATCTTTTGGATAGAACGTCGTGTATGTATCATTAAATAAATAAAGCCAACAAGAAAAGATTACCTCTAATTGAAATCTTGACTTTTGGTCAAGATCAGTTGTCCGTTGATGGCCATGTTTGACACTCACTCGCTACTTTCATCAACCCCATCGACATGGTGGCCGCTATCCCTCTCAATAGCCGCTCTCTCTGGTCGACATTCCTTCTGGCGAGCGCAGCCGTTCTGCTCCTCCGTCGACTAACGCGAAGCCCTCGACGTCCGTCCAAAATTTCCCAAAGTGATGAGCGTGTCTTGATCCTTGGAGCATCGGCAGGCATTGGTCGTGAAATAGCACGGCAATACTCTTCACGGGGAGCCAAAGTATGCGTCGTAGGGCGGAGGGAGCGCTTACTTGCTGAGCTCGTCAATGAGTGCAAGTCCTTGGACCACAATGTACTGGCATTGACTGGGGACGTGGCTAGCGCGGACGACATGATTCGTGTCCGTTCAGCATTGGAAACTGGTTCGTGTTCAATGATTACCCACTGACTTTCAGCCGCTAATTTAGTGTTCACCAGAATGGAACGGACTAGACACGGTCATCTTATCTGCCGGTGTATCTGCCCTTCAGCCTATTCTCTCTGTCGCCGGCATTGAGAATCAAGAGAATGCTACTACGCTTCCTGACATCGACAGCGAAGGCGTCAACAGAGCTGTTTCAATTACTGAAGCGGCCGTCCGAGGCAACTACGTTGGTCCTATGGTCGTCGCTCTTACTTTCGTGCGTTTCTTTCCATTTATAACACCCTACCCGTTCATATTGGTATCGTTGTTCCAGATCCCCCTCCTTACTCGCACCTCCAAAGCACCGTCCATTCTCCAGATCTCTTCTCTCGGTGCCGTCGTTCCAGCCGCGACAAGAGCCCTGTATGGATCAACTAAAGCTGCTTCCCTCGTTCTTTATCAAGCCCTCGCAAGCGAACACCCATCCATTTCCTTCTCTTCTGTGCTTCCCGCCACCGTCCAAGGTTCGTTTCGCGCTTCTGCTGTAGACCAGGGCACAGTTCGCGAAACAGATCCGAATACGGGCGGTATGAGGCCTAGCCATGTAGCAAGGCGGTGTATAACCGCAGTGGATAACGCTGAGAAGATCGTGTTCATGCCAGGCTGGATGAGAATTGTTCATTGGCTTTATTGGCTGCGGCCGGCTTTGATAGAGCCGGCGACAAGGGCAAAATACAATTACCACCCAAAGGTTTGAGGTACGACAATATGGGCATGTTGTGGTCAGCTCAGCGCATATTACCTCTACAGAGAGAGCTTTAATCATCGTCTTAACTCTTGTACGGAACTCATTGCTTCAGCATGAAAGTGAAATAATTATTCTTTTGCGTATGCCTACTGCATTTGCTCTAGTGTTATAGATGGTACATAAACAGGTTCCTCCTCGAAGATGATGCCGTTCCAGGGCTAATAATCCGAGAGAAAGACGAAAACAAACAAAAAAAAAAAATAACCGTTAGATAGCGAGAAAATAATACTGCCAATGAAAGCGAGCGTATTAACTCTCTTCAAACAGGAAGAGGGGAGGTCAGAGTGGTGATGATGCCGATAGGGAAAGGAAAAGAGAGTGATCCGGGGGAGGCGCCAGTAATACATGAGAAGAAACAAATGGTGGAAATGAGAGTCGCCATGATGGGGGTCCCCATAAAAGGAGGACCTGAAATTGAAGGAGTAATGCGATGAGATGCAACGGTCAACTTGATGTACATTTTACCCGGAGAGAATGAGAGACCGCCGGATACGGAAATAGTGTCGAGATGATATAATATTATGCCCAGGATTAGATGAGGAGTGACGCGAAGGAAAAGAGACAGAGCCAGATGAAGTATCATGTCACGAACAGCGTAACCTGACCGCCAGGTCGGTACTGCTCAAATGCCATCTGAACATCCTCTGTAGATCCTAGCGATACCATATCGCCATCTTCATCCTTGTACTTGACACGAAGGGGGCCATCATCTCGGCGAGGACCGCACAGCCGGATTTTCCGTCCGACCTTCTCTACCAAATCATCGTACTCCGTCGCCCGAGGAACCTGAATGACAAATATATCTTCGTGGAAATGCACTTTGACTTTGACGGGGTGAGGGAATGGGGCATGGCCCGCTCCATTTACAGAATCAAAAGTTTGTGACCGCGACGCCCGTAAGCCGACACCACCACCACCCAGTGACGACTCACTGGAACCAAAGGGTGTGATGGGCGAAGAGGAGTTGGGAGAGTAGTCCGAGCTGCCAGTAGAGTCACTCGAACCACTGCCTCGCTTCTGACCAATGCTACTGATAGAGTTGGACGATACTGAATGTATCCATTGCGACGTCGGGACTGGTGGAGTTGGGCCCGGCTTGGGAACGTAGGCATTCGGTTGACTAGCACTGCGTGACCGGTTAATGGGCGGTGGCGGCTGCGTACTGATGGGAGCAGGCGTCTTCGGGATACCGGTACGATATTCACCGCATTCATCGTAGCCTGATCTAAGTTTGGTTGAGCTGAACTGACTTCGAAGAGGGGGGCGTGTGCGGACACCCGCTCCAAAGTTTGTATCAGATGCATATGACCCACTACTGATATTGGACATATTTGAATTGAGCCGTGACGCTATAGGACGCTGAGCGCTCGTAGGCGTTGGTGCCCCTCGCCATTGTTGCATGTGTTCTGTTGTTTCCGTTTGAGCACGAGGCCGATCATAAGGTGCTGGCTGAGGATCACGTTCTGGGGCCATACTAGCTGCTATGCCACGCCGACTTCCAATCGGTGTACCGCGTCCGGAATGTCCTGAGGGGAGATTTGTGGGCGGATAGTCTTCCAAATCCTCCTCGTCAACTTCCAACTCAAACCCATCATGTGGAGGATATCCATGAGGTCCTGTGCCATATCCTGAGGGATAACTGGACTGCTCGCTGTATACACTATCACCCCTGCCCCGACTAGCACCATTAACACCGTGAGCACTACTCGGTGCTTGTGCGGGATAACCAGGCTGTGCAGAACTGAACGGGGGATAGGCGGGATAATTGCGGTTGACAGTGGGATTATTGTTAGCCAAAATTTTGGCCATGCTGCGCTCCGATGCTCGACGCTGTGCCAAGTTATTAATCAATCGGTTGATGACAGATTCCCACTGTCGCATCTGGTCTTCGCGGCGGCAGCGCAGGGTGAAGTATTCAAGGTCATCGTCTCCCTTCCACCATACGGCGAGTGGGTATTGCTGCGTACCAGAAGACGCTATAAAAAGAAGCGTGTCAGGTGTGTGGCAACTGATAAATAGTAGTGGAGACGAACTCGAGATTCGGGATGAGGTTGGAACAGCTTTAGTAACGTTACCGAGAAAGATACGCCCTTTGAGAAGTAGCGGTGTATTTTTCTTCTGCGGTTGACCGAACCCGCCGGGTAGTACGAGAGGGGGAGGAGCTGCTTGCTTCTTGAGGATCGAATTACTCTTGCCCATCTTTTTCCCATTAACCGGCGGCGGGACAGCTTCTTTGCAACATAGAATAATCTTCTCAAAGAGAAACACGTGGTATTCCCGGTCGATGTCCGATTTGGTGACAATGAAAATGTCGTTGAGTAGCAAGTTGCCAAAATTCTCCAGATGATGACCCTTCCAGTCATCTACGCGACTCTGAAGATTTTTAACAGTCTGTTCGTTCTCGGCATGCCGTTGGGCTTCATTGATTTTGTCCGTAATACGTTTGGCGGCAGCTGAACCTGCCTTGAGGTCTTCGTAGTGAGGATAGGTTTCGGGGTCGGCTGCTTTGATAAGGGACTGCCAAGAACGATAAGCAAAGGCAGCACGACATGTGTCGATGTGTAAGACTCACATCAAGGAGAAGAGGATACTTGCAGATTCGTTGGATTGGCTTTATTAGGAAGGCAGGCAGTTCGCCTTTGGCGGCGATCAAGTGATTGAGGGGCTGTTGAACAAATATTTATATTAGCATCGGTGTTTGCCGCATCAACCACCCTGTGTTGGCTTGACAACACATGGCAACACATGGCAGACGATAACGAAAGTAAGTGGTACTCACAGTCAAGCTGTTTTCGTAGGCGAGCATGAGCTCCGATGCGTAGGTATAATTGGCACAGTAAGGCTCATAGACGACGAATTCTTCTTCCTATTGTTCCGGATTGGTAGAACAGAACAAAGCTCAGCATGGTAATGAGGAATATGGCAGGAACACTCACGCTCTCGACCCAATGTTGGCCCCATCGCTGGTCATGCCAAGGAAGTTCGGCAGTGCTCTCTAGTCGAATGAGGAAGCGACGCTGGAAGTTGAGCAGTTTGTTGAGGTTGGGGAAGAGCAGATGGATGGTGTCTTGATCAATGATGTTGCTTTGAGACAAGGCAGTGGAGTATTGCTTGGTGAAAAGTCAAAAGAGGAACGCAGAAATGAAAAGCATAGACGTACCTGCATGATCTCTAAATCCTGTACGTATTTCCGTTCCGTCTCTACCATCTCTCGTATGATGTTACTTCTGGCACCATCTTGGGTGGTTGAGGGGGGGTTTGGAGCATTCGGATCTGTGGATATGGACTCGGAGGAGTCCTGAGTGGACATGTAAGGAGGTGATGGGGGAGGGTCCTCGAAAGAGCTATCGGGCAGTTGGTTGACTATCGCAATGACGGCTTTGATAACCTTGAAAAGACAGAGATATTAGAGCATGGAAGAGAAGAGAAGGTACTAGCAATGGCGCACCTTGACCAGTCCATCAGTGGACTCGCGGTTCCACAAATCTGTGACGGTAAATAGTTCACAGCCAGGTAACTTCTTCTGGGCGTCACCAGCACGCATGATGAAGAGTGCAATAGCCCTCTTCTTTGCACGGTCCGGGTTCGCCTCGTACTGCGCTTCATCGAACTGTGAGTTGTTTATCTTCTCAAAGTCGTCTGGGAGTTGATCGAATATATAGCACAGGGGAATGCCGAGGGAGAAAAGGTCCCATAACTGTGTTACGGGGTCGGTAGAATGTCGTGAATCATGGGAAACGACGAGGTGAAAATAGCGTGAAAAGCCACGAATCTGCAACAAACGAGAGCGCAATCGAACGCATTCCTGGTAGAGAGAAGTGATAGCAGCTTGGTTGAGAAGAGTGTTGTTTGCAACTGGGGTGTCAATCTGAAGGCCCGTGGTCGATACTATGGATTTTTTGCGGCCTGCGACGGAAGCCATGGTTGTCGAACGGGCGGAGGAAGGAGGAGAACGACGAGCAGGAGGATGTCGATCTTGGCCGGAGAGTGAGAATGGTTTAGCACTGTGAGAGGCAACGGTCCTTATGTTTGGTCTTATTTGTGCATTGCTATGTCCGAAAAAGGAAACACGTTTCGAAAAATCGAAGCCATCTGTTCAGAGTTTGTGTTTTTTTTTCCGCGGAATCTCATTGAGATCTTCGAATTCGTATGCCATCGGATGTCTTTGAGACATTGTTCCCCTCTCGGTTCCGTCGTAGTTCCCTTTCCATAATATCTCTAATATCTCCAGTAGAGAAAGTCCCTTGGTGTGTCACTGCTACAATCAGTTGGAAACACCTTGTTGGACAACCAGCGTATATGTACGGATCTGTCTCGTCTCTAGGCCGCCTGGTAATCACATATCACATATTTCCCAAGGGCTTAGCTAACCAATCCAGTACTCTTTTGATGTTTGATCAAGCATGTCCCAAGTCAATCATATGTTGGAGCGTCTTCATGAGGCCATTATTGTGTTTCCCTTGTCATCGACCGGCAAACCAGTTTTGGCCTTGATGGGTGTGTAGCTATCAAGTTCAAAAAGCGTTTAGCAAATTGGTCTACTCAATCAATCAAATCAAATACCGGCACCGGGGTTATATTTATTGCGCTGCTATCGTTTGAAACTTTGCAATCAATGCATATGCTCAATTGGAAACAAGATGGCCATTCAAGCATTAAAAGCAACTGTGATAATTACCTCTTATCGTCATATGGACACGATTTCGATTTTTGCCATGGCCAAGTCGAAGACCAGCAGGTCCGCTCGTCAAGGAACATTTCATCGGGGGGGGGGGGCGAGATCTTGATAGAACGGCTTTCGAAACCGAGGCACCACTGACAACATCAAGACACATCCTCGGTGGCCTGGACCAAGGGGATGTACTGTTGGATATTATCAAGTTGCGTGCCGTATAGCGTCGCGTTTGTTTTCTATGGCCCAAAAAAAACTACTCCCAAACTCAAAGTACTTAACAACTGAAGCTATTGGAGCCTGGCAACGGAAACGCATTGTTCGTCATTGATTTAGAGTTTTCAAACACGCGCTCCAGAAAAAAGAGCATCCGTGCGACCCGCCTGGGGCCTTTATATTCAAATCCTAAACAAGCGTGATTTTCACAAGGTCCTCAAATTACATAGTTGGTCAACTGCACCCATACTTGGAGCCATTATCTTAGCAGAACGTTAACGAACGAAGAACGGTGGTTGCTCAGAAGGATTTGGGGATGACAAGGTGGAGAGCAAGAGCCTCCCAAAGGATTTTGCATCCGTGGATGCGCCTGGACGCGGTCGACGTTTCGGTAAGAAATGAACGACAGACCCGACCGGCAGGTTGACAAGATGGAGCTTTGGACCGCATGCCCAGTCGTCGTTGAAGGATAGCCAAAGCCCTGTTCCAAAATGCAAAAAGTGGGCCTCGTCTGCTGTGTCTGGTTAGTATTCAAAAACGAACCGGCAGCTCGGACAACTTCAACTCCGCATGGTCGGAGTTTTAGTGCTCACGCCGGGGTCCTGCAGGGCTCCCAGCAGAAACCAGCAAGACCCCATGGCACCTGCTCGTTCTTCGACGCGTCGCGGTCATATACAACCTCATGTCCTTGACGCCGCATCCAGTGGAAATCATGACCTTTTTATTGACCCTATGCTTGGGACACCGCTGGCGGTGTACATCGAGAAGGACGTACATGACAGGGAGGCCTTGGTCAATCTAATCACGGTAAGTTTTGCGTCCAAGTCGTTAACTGGCAAATTCCTTGGAAGGGACAATGCGAGAACGACTCAACGACTACGAGCGGTTTCTCATGTCTTCTCTGTAGAATAATGGCGGTTCAGTCGCTGCGGGCTACAGTGGTGTCACTTATATTCTTGGTCTGTGATATTATTGATTATGAGGATGTCATACTAAGGCCTTTATATCCCCAGTCGATCCCTTGAAGCCCTCTGGTCAAAATCTGTATAGGCAGTATGTTGGAAAGAAAGGAAAGATTGTCCTTGATTCTAGGTGGATTCATGAGTGTATCAAGGCAGGCGAACTTCAAGCTTTTCATACCAACTGGGCTGGCTGCAAAGTGACGGGAAACGAGATGTAAGCATCGTATTGTTCGTAACCGATTCTGTATCATCTCATGTAATTTCTTCGAAGAGTCCCACCCATGATTGATATGCAAGCAGGGCCTTCGTCGATACTCCCCCAACCCCAACCCCAGCCTCAATCTCAACCTCAAGCCAAGAAAAGAGGAGCCGTGCGCCAGCAGAATATACCCCAGATAGATCAAAGTGCCCGCCAAATTGTGCCGCCCCAACCATTACATCCTCAGGCCCTGCAGCCACCTGCCATTCCTACTGTAGAATCTCTTGTCCGCGCTCAGCAACATTTCCAGTACCCCATTTATGCAATGCCATCCCCGCGCGCTATGCACGCGCCACCACAGACATGGCAAGCCACCAACGGCATCGCACCACAACAGACACACATTGCCCCCCCGCCCCCGCCCCCACAACAACCTCACCATGTTCTTCGACCTCCAGACACATGGGACTATGAGCCTTCTGATCCAGATGCAAGCGCGACGTCATACGATTTCCGGTATAGGGATGATCAGTCGTGGGTTCCTCCCACCCATAATCCTTACTACGAGACACCCGTAAGTTTTCTTGCATTGCTTGTGTATCTGTTTCTCAGTGCTTTGGGTGTAGTATGAGAATACCTACGAACCACCGCCTCAAAGTTCGTATCTGGAGGAGTCTCCTTCCTCTTCCTCGAATCCTCCACCGCCTCCACCGCCTCCACCGCCTCCACCAGCTCCTCCAGTTGCTCCTCCAGTTGCAGCATCAGTGCCAGTCGAAGACGAAAATGAAAGGTCAAGAGGCCGGAAACGTACCCGAACTCAGGTCAGTTCTTACATATGTAGTAGTTTTGACCAGCTGATGGTGTACAGTCTGTTCCAGGGCAACCCACTTCTGCTCTTGTGCCGAACCGGAACCCTCCAGCCCGGTCGCCGAGCCCACCAAGTCGTGTCATTAAGAGCACCTATGGCGGTAATTTGTTTACCGCTGAAGACGTCCAGTATCTCAAGAAATACATTGATTATTGTCAAGAGGAAGGCTTGGTTCTTAGGTCGGCGACAGCTCTAATACAAGTTTTCTAATAATTCACAAATTGCTTAGCCTGCGTGAGATATGCCTACGAATCGCCGTCAAGGTACGCCTTGTTTGTAACTATATCTTTTTTTAAACTTATCTTCTCTTTCATTAAGGCCCCTCACCACACGTATGTACTCTCGGTGATAGCAGGTTCATACTCCTCAGTTGAAATGGACCCAACAGGTTTTACTCCTGGCGCCGGTACTGCAACAAACATCAAATTCGTCTGGGTGGTTACATGATGAACGCTGATCGGTCACAATCCCCGCACCGTGATGAAGGCGAGGATGAAGAAGATCCAACAGTTCGTTCTGGCGCTGGTCTTGGTACAATTTCAGCAGCCCAGCAGCGGGTCCAAGGCGATAATCTGCCGAGAACGCGTTCGCCGACACCACCAAGGGCGCTATACAGAAGTACTACTGGAAAGGGGGTTGCATTTACCGTTGATGATATTGCGTTTTTAATCCGTTTTATGGAGTATCGCAAGTGAGTAGCTTCTTCCCATCTTTTGGAACGAGACGAAACCGACTTTTTTTTTTTAGGTCACAAGAGCGACTTGATATGGTTGCATTTTGGAAAGAAGTAGCTGCGAGAGTGCGTCGGGTGTTTCCTGTTTCTTGGATTGATTACTCATCGGGTTGTTGCTTTCTAGGCTCCTCATCATTCACGAGCATCATGGATGAAGTTTTGGCGTCGTCATAAGCATGAATTAAATCGTACTGATGCTGATGAGCCACTACCTCAACCCCCCGATAAGAAGATGAGGTATAGTCGTGAGGATGATATATTGCTCGCTAGATATTTCTTCGATAAGCCGGAGGGGACGTCGGATCAGATTTTTCAGGCTTTTGGGAGGATGGTACGTGTTTGCTTTTCTGATCTGGTTCTGCTGAAACTGACATGTGTAATAGTATCCTCATCATCCCTGGAAAGGCTGGCAGGAGCATCATCGGATCCATAAAGTCAAGATTGATCATTTCATTCAGCAGTTAGCCAATGGGGAAGACATTGGGACTGAAGGCCCTGGTTAAGCATATGGTTATTCCTATCTTCATTTATTCATTATTGTATTGTTCCGTCATTGAACGACTCATTTCCGTACTGATGACTAAAACGCAGAGGCTTTTGATATCCGCAAGCTGTCATTCATGCAAGATAATACGGACGGGTTGCGGACCTTCATTATAATGTTTACTCGATTCTATGTAAAACTTATAGCTATTGTACTCTAACTGATTACTTCTTGACAAAGTCTTAAGGTGACCGCCACAGACACTTGTATACTCATGAGTTGCCGTGTCCCGCAGCATTTACAGCGCGTCGGGAGAAAGGTCACTGAAGGTGTGCACGTCAAAGCCACTCATAATACTAAATGCTGATTTAGCATCATCGCCGAACTCAGAATGAGAATCGATTGTGTCCTGTAAGTTCGTTAGTCTCGAGCCACGAAGTCGATAAAGCAACCAGACGTACATCAAAGTAGTGGTGTGCAAGGCTGCGAGGAGCTTACGTAGAGGGTAAGCTAAGTTGCTAATTAACATAAGAGAAGAACCTCACTTTTAGGAGTTTTCGGAAGTCGGCAGGTAACGCCACTCTGAAGAATATGATATGCTACCAACCCAGACCTATTTTAGAGTTTGAGGACGACAGTGAAAATAAAGTTGAAATGACAGCGTACCACCCGGTCTGATGTGAGGCACCGAGGCCCTTTCCAGTGTCAGCATGGAAGAACTGATAGCAGTATTAGACAAGTCTATATAGCTGATAGCAATGGCTCACCTCATAGAACCAGACGTAGTCGCGGAAATGGGCGTCATAATCTAGCTTAGGGTTGCCCCCATTTGTGGCTCGTCGGCCCTGCATATCGCGCCCAAATATATGGATGATGCGGTGCTGAATCTCTTCAGCTACTCCGGCAAGGTTCATATAATCACCGCTTCCAGTAGGACATTCGACCTAATGAAAAATATTGAACGCATTTTGTTTGACAAAGATCTAACAACTCACCTGGAGGTCGTCACCATAATATTGATAGAATCGCTGCAAACTTTCGATTAAGAGGAAATTGGTAGCCAACCCTGTTAAAAGGTACAGATGATGCATATCAAGCGACATCGAGAAAGAAGCTCACAGATTGGTCCTCTCCAGTTTGAATTGCCTCCAAACATCCCAGATAACGAGTCACCAGGCCAATAATTAACCTCGTAACGCTGTCCGTTGACATCCATTCCCCAGGGTTGTTCTTTATGCAGCTTCGAGAGTCTAGAAAGCAGTGAGATATGAATCGACATATAAGCAAGCCCACTTACGATCGAATCCCATGTTCGCTTAAGAACTCGTCTTCATCAAGCATCTTCTCTAGAATCTTGATGAGGCGCTCCTTGCTCGCTAAGGCAAGCAATCTGCGCTCGTCCTTGCCACGAACTTGCCGCATAGTGAAATCATTATCCTTGAAAGTGATTCCAAAAAACAGAGCTTACCCTTCATGTTTGCCATGTTACGGGCGGCCACCTCTGGCCTATTATCGATGAACCACTCGACACGCTTTTTGAACCCAGGGAATCTGTTCAACGTCGAAGGTTCTAGGACTAACGTCCCATAAAGAGGGATAAGACCGACGAGGCTGCGAACGGGTAGTTGCATGGAGTTCCCGGGTCCGAACTGTATTGCATCGTAATACATGCCATCGGCTTCATTCCAGAGACTTTGCTCGTCGTCCCCTACCTTGTAAGTCATGGCGTCGGCGATGAAGATGAAATGCTATGAAATAGTGAATACGAGGTTCTTCAAGCCATGGATTCAATGTACTGACCTCGAAGAATTTAGAAGCGATGTCCTCGTAGACTGGGTTGTGCTTAGCTAGTTCCAATGCCATATTAAGCCTAGGGTGGAGTATTAAGCATACGAGAAGAGTTCAAAAGATAGGCATGCCTGACATGTTCAAGCAGTAGAAGCCCATCCAGGCAGTTCCGTCGGCCTGACGGAGGACTCCTCCGGTCGGAAGGGGCTCAGAACGGTTGAAAGCACCGATATTATCCAGACCGAGGAAGCCACCTTCGAAGACATTGTTTCCACCTTGGTCCTTTCGGTTAACCCACCTAACCAGTGTCAGCGTGAAGTGAAGACGTTGAGAGTGATAGAGCATCTACCAAGTGAAGTTTAGGAGCAGTTTTTGGAATACACGCTCCAAGAAAGGTATATCTTCATTACCATGAAGCTTGCGTTCGATTTTGAATACTCGGAAAGTAGCCCTGTGTCCGCGTAAGCGTCTTTGATATCATTGCGATGTGAATATGATAAGTACCAAGCATGTACCGGTGGGTTGACGTCTCCAAAGTTCCATTCGTACGCTGGAATCTGACCATCGGGCTTCATGTACCACTCTCGTGTGAGCAAGTCAAGCTGTTTTTTTGCAAATGCAGGATCTACCACAGCCAAAGGAATGCAATGGAATGCGGTATCCCAGGCAGCAAAGAATGGATATTCCCACCTACAAAGGGAATATGAATGATGGATAGGTACCAATTAATCAAGACATACTTGTCTGGCATGGAAAGGATGTCAGCTACGTGCATGTGACGCCATTCCTACAACATCCTTGATTCAGATGAACAGAAGTAGAGTGAAAAACTTACCCTGTTTCTGATCCACTTACGCTCAGGAGGCGGGGCAGGTTGTGCAGGATCGCCCTGAATCCAATCTTTCTGAATGAATTGATAGAACTGTTTCGTCCACAACATGCCACCCAGCGCCTGCCGCATAATTTGCTTGAGATCGTCACTAGTGGGACCAAAAACAATAGAGTTGTAGAACTCATCGGCCTCTTGGCGACGGGCTTCAACTGTGTCATCAAAAACACCTTCATCGAATAAACTGGGGTCTTTCCTGGGGGAGAGTGGTGTCATTTTCAACCGGACTACAACGCAGCCGCCCTGTCCTGGTATATCTCTGAAGACGTAGTGAGCCGCAGATTTGGTTCCCCTCTTTTCCGGGTTGACGTATGAAGGTTCTTCGGGGAATGGTGTACACGGGCCTTCCTCGCGTTCGCTCTCACTTGGAGGACGGGAACTAATGGATGCAGTTCTAGGGCGGGTTCGAGGTGAAAAGAAGGCTTCTTGAGAATCAGAAGTAGGAGGACGGTGAGAAGGGATGATGTAGTCATGGAAAGCGTCTTTAACGTATGGTGTTTCGTTATGACCGCCATAGAGCCGGCTATAATTAGTGTTGTTCTCTGTGAAAAGGAGCTCAGGTTCGACCGCATCATCTGGGTCTCCTTCAAAATCGCCTGATGGACCAACGGGAGGAGGAGAAGGAAGACAGTACAGATGAGTTTTCGGTAATTCGGGATGCTTGGCAGTGATGCAGTTGATATCACTACGAACCGATCCCGAGAGAGTGGGCATCGGGGGTTTTTCTTCGTACCACGACCAGGTATTAGGGAACCAGAATTGGGGAACAATGTGAAGAGTAGCAGGATCGGGGCCTCTATTATAGCCAGTGACGCGAACGTAGATGTTATCCGGGTCATCTGCATCTTTGGCATACTGAAGAATGATAACATCAACGACAAGGGTGAAGCAAAATAATAAAACACCAACCTCTACGAAAATATCCCAGTATCGGTCTTCATCAAAAGCATCAGTATCCAAAATTTCGTATTCGGAAACGTCGCGGCTGCGGTTCTGGTTCTCAGTGACCAGTTCTTCGTACGGGTAGGGTCGCTGAGGGTACTTGTAGAGAAACTTCATGTACGAGTGAGTGGGAGTTGAATCAAGGTAGTAGTAAAGCTCTTTGACGTCCTCTCCATGATTGCCCTGATGACCAGTGACACCAAACATCCGTTCCTTCAGAATGGGATCCTCGCCATTCCAGAAGGAGAGAGCGAAGCAAAGGCGTTGATGGTTGTCGGATAGGCCGGCGATACCATCTTCACCCCATCTGTATGCACGAGAACGAGCCTGCTCGTGAGGAAAATGGCTCCAGGCGTCGCCATTTCCAGAGTAATCTTCGCGAACGGTGGCCTAAAAAGAGCGCGTATATTCGCCTTGAGCAACATGGATATCGATTTTGGAGACAGAGAACTTACCCATTGCCTATCGCTCAAGTATGGACCCCAGCGCTTCCAATGACGCTCCTTTTTGGCGTCTTGAAGCAGACGATGTCTTTCTGTACCTCTGTACTCAGCACCGAGCTTGGATGCCAGCCGTTCACGATACGATGCATGTTCAACCTCTTCACCGTTCCTCGTGGTAGATTCTGGTGCGTTGAAGAGCTTGGGCGGGGGCTGGGAAGGTGAGGATGCAGGTTTTGGAATGTGAATCGTCAAACCAGGCTCGCGCTCTAAGGACTGTTGGACAGCTTCGCCGGGGCCACCACGAAAGAGCTTTTCTTGCACCTTTTTGATGCTATCAGATGCCATGATGGTCATTACCAGAAGATGGTGTTGAGCTACAGAAAGTGGTGGTTGAGGAAGAAGGAAGGAAACAAGCAACGCTCCGGGCGTTTAGCGACGCGAACAGGATCTGGCGCGGACCCCGAAAATTGATGTCATCAATGTATTTTTATCCACGAATACATAGAAAATATGCAAAGTTTTCTCTTAGGTTTTTTACTGAAAAAAGTACAAAAAGTACAATATTTTATGCAAATTTTGTGAAATACGATGAAAAGTAATAAATATTTATATTACTTTTTTTTTTTTTTTTTTTGCAAAAATACTTAAAAGAAACTTTGAATATTTTCTCTGTATTTAGGAGTAAAAATACATAAATTTTAGTACAGTGATAGCGTACTACATAAACTACTTATTTTAAACTCCCAAAATTGAAGATTGATTGTGATAAAAAGCGTACAAAATGCAAGGTGTGATGGCAAGCGAATGAACTAGGATGCATAATATAAGAAGAATCTCTGGTCCGTTGCCGATGGTATAGTAAGTAATATATAGAGTATGCGTCACAGTCACAAAGCATATGCTGGGCGTATGGGGTAGCAGCTGTTATCGAAAGAGGGATGAATAAAGGACAAGCAGAGGTCGTGCGTTGGGTTTTGAACTGAACGTATAAATCTACTATCGTAGAATCCACAAATACTGGAAACGAAACATATGACGGAGTTCTCACACGCCCGTTATCGTTGTGATGAAGGCGCGGTTACAGTCCATCCACCGTCAGCATCAGCTGCCATGAGGACACTCTGTGTCCAATCTTCCTTGTCTTCATCATCTAGCAATCCTAAATGATTGGAGGATGCGTTCGATAAATAGGATGCCTTGGATGCAGACCGATTTCTTAATGTGCGTCTTTGCCGAAGGTGTGATGGCCGTTGGTCTGGCGACGATAATGGTAGGGAGGCGCTCGACAACGAACGGTAATGATCAGCGATGGGTGTTATGCCCGGATGGACTGTGAGCAGCTGGACGTCATCCAACAAGGTGCCAGCAGCTTCCTCGCGTGTGCTACCGCCAGGCGAGTCTGGAGGTTCTGGTGACCGAATGGAAGGTGACTCCTCTAGTCCAAGATCACGCCGGAGCGTTGGGCTCTCAATAGCGGTATCAATGACATGCGGAAGCAGCTGCGTGCTAGATTGTGGTGCAGTAACGGCGGAGGTTGGCGTGGAAATAGACGAATCAGATACAGGTGACGGATTTTGTAGATACGGAGAAGAAATGTAAGGCCTCCCTATAGGAGAAGACGACAACGGAGACGCAGAACGCTTAGAGAAAAGGAGATTTAATGAAGGCCTCTTCATCCCATGTCGTCGAGGAGTACCAGGAAGGGAATTAGTAGGAGAAGAGGTAGGGCTAGGAAGAGATGGCAGAGGTACTGATCTTCGAGGTGAAAGCGGACTTGAAGGCTCACTACCACCAGAACCTGGAAATTGAACAGGACCACTGATGCGACGGTTAATGATAGACAGCGGAGACTTTGGTAGACCCAAGTCCGAACAGTCTGAAATAACGGGAGCCATGATCTCTTCTTCCTTAGCATAAGGGTCGGTCCGAACCGGAAGACCAGTTGGAAGATCAGTCAATGATTGCGGGGCCGACGAACTTGACGGTGTAGCCAGCGATTCTGCGGACGAGGACAAGGGCGGAGGAGACAGGTTGGGATGCGACGGCGAGTGACTCTCGTTGGAGGTCGACCCATAGGACATTACAGACCTAGAATCAGACGACGCACCCGTAGAGCGTGGAGAAACGGGTCTCAGGCGAGACGAGTATTCTGTTCCACTGAAGACACCAGCTAGGACATGCTGCCTCGGCCCCATTGGTCTCAACCTGATAGCGGTAGGGGTTTTACCATCTGTGGAAGAACAGGGACTTCCCACGACCTGGTCGAGTTTGTCTGGAGAAGGAGGAGGGGACGTCTTCATCTCCGACCCATCGGGTGCATCAGAGTATTCTTCATCTGAGTCCTCCGCATCGAGTTCAAGTGCAATGGTGTCGTTTGCGGAATCAGACGCACTAATGTCCAGCACAACGCTCTCACGTTTGATATCAATGACAGGTGACTCCAGAAGAGGACCTTCCCACAGGTCCTCGGCTTCACAAAGAACCTTAAGCAGTGGGGGGTTCATGCTCAGACTGGGGCAAAACACAAGAAGCAAGTTGCTGATGGGCATCTTTGTCGATTTGCTCTCCTGGGCCGTCGCCTTGATGAGTTCGATGACAGTACGAATGAGATCTTTGTTCTCGTAAGGAAGCTTCGATAACAACGACTTGAGAGTATTTGTGACAGAACGGGAGGGCGGCTGCATGCCACTGAAGCTTGGCATTGCAAGCGTAGACAGCGAGGGAGGTTTGCGCAGTGCAAGCCCACTTCGAGGACCCGATGGTAGAGTTGGACCGCCTTTCCCACCCAAACGTCCCGTAGCTTCTTGAACATTCGAAACGCATTCTTGACTTATAGCGGCTTCAAATTGCGGAAGCAGCGAGTAGGTCAGAATTGGCTCGGGTACTATAGAGAGAGAAACTTTGAGGACTAGAAGGACATGTGTGAAGGACACGCACATTCACGTAGAAACGCTTTGAAGACGGACGCGACGGCATGAGGATCCAATTCCGCAGGAGAACACTCCGTCATATCGAAATCGGCCCCTGGTTTGGATCATGATCAGAAGTTGAGTTGGGTATCGTATGTCACACTAACCTGTATCAAACTCAGCACGCAACTTCGCGATATGCAATGCTCGCCCGGGGACACTAGCATACACGAATCAAGTGAGTGTAGACCTGTGGCAAATTCCAATTTGCCTACCGAAAGAGTCCCTCCTCTTGTATGCCCCAGAGCAATAGATGCTGTGCGCACCGTACTACAACTGCCGGAACCATTCGACCCTCGAGCGGTTCTAGATGGTTCTTATCCACGTCTCCCGAGCGCACGTCACCCTTCACCGATTCCAAGTCCGTAGCGCTGAATGACACACCAACACCAATGGCTGTGTCCCTCGTCGCAGCTCGCAAATTTCTGCCGAAAACAATACCACCGGCAGCTCCAGCACCTGTACTTTTCGTACGCATAGGCCCACGAACTTTCTGGCCAAGCAACGGACCAGCCGGCGCCGTGAAAGCATCAGAATCGGACAAAGAGGAGCCTGTTGTTGATGAATTGATACTCCATGCCCCGGAAGGTGCGTCAAGTGTTCTCCGGGATTTCCTCCCGTGGTGGTTGGACATAATCCCGGATTGATTCGATGCAATACGCGCCAAGTTATGATCAGAATATGACGATGGACCAGTACTTGATGAAGAGGAAGAGTAACCGGAATTACTCGAACCAGAAGACAGGCCACCCCAAGCACGATTAATCTTTTCCACAGCGCGCTTCGCGAGACCAAAGCCACCGGTCATACTGATGGTAGGTTGCCGTGACGATGGAGGAGGCGGCGGTGGCGGCGGCGGCGTAGGGGAATTACGAGGGAAGAAGGAAGGAGGGGTGGGCAAGCTGCGTTGTGATGGATTAGCATTCGTCGTCGCTGTCCAGGCTGCCAGTCGCCCACGAATGTGAGTTCCGGTTGATTGCAGGCCGAAGCTTGATGGAGAAATGATACCGTTGGCGGCGGCTCTAGTGAGCGTAGGCGTTTCTCGCGATGCAGAAGGCGATAATCGCGGGTGGACGTCCTCGACTGATCGTGGCGAATGGTTCGACTCGGATAGCGCTGCTGTGGCAGAAGCTGCCGATGGTGGAATATATACCTTAGCAAAGCTCGATCCCAGGTTTAGTGACATCGAACGGCGATTATGTGCTCTGATAGAGGATGTCGGGGAGGGTATGGGGTTTATCGGCGGTGGAAGATCTTCCGCGACGGTCTCGCAAGATATGTCTTCCTCTGGAGTAGCGTAATCAGCATCGGTGATGAGGGCGCTCAGTCTCTTGTTGACTGGAGGAACGATGGTATAAATGGACTGAAGGGACTCGGCAACGGACACAGGGCGCGGTGTCCGATTGCCTATAGTAGTGCCAGGACGAATGGTGTGGTGACTCATAGTGGAATCACTTTTCCGCCACGTCTCCTTCAGTTCTCCCTTGTCAGTACTCTTCTCCTTCTCAGCATCATTCTTCTCAACAGCCTCCAATTCCCTCTGTTGGGCTTCTAACCGTTCACGTTCCCGCTCTCTCTGTTCTTCCCCTATCCGCATATAATTAACTGCCGAAGATATACCCGGGCTGACAGTGATTATGGAGCCCCTCTGATCGAGATTGCGGGCGGGTGAAGGTGGCACGAGTTTCAATCCTTGCATTGCAGGCGGCTTTGGTGGAGGGGGAGGGGGAAGAGAAGATAAGGGTGTAATGGGGGGCGGAGTCCGTGAATTCTTCCTACCGCCATTAAAAACATGAGTTGCAAGCTGCAGGGAGAGCTTAGCCGGCCTGTGTCCAGGGGTTGGCGGTGGAGTCGCCTCGACGGGGGTCACTGGCGTTCTGGATGTCGACGATACAGGAGTAGTGACATCGGAATCAGTGTAATAATCTCTCTCCTTTCCCTTACTATTTCCGCAAAAAAGCTTGGAAGTATCCTCGGACTTGTTCTTGCGTCTTGCGCCAAACGCGCGCTTTAAACGACTGCCTGTAGCGGCGGCAGCAGCGATCCCCTTGGAAGCGAGCTGGGAAGAAGAGGAATTTTGCTGGGACGGAGAAGGCGACCGACTGATATTCTGACCCATGAGAACGGCCAGAGAGGATGAACGGGGACGAGGGGAAGCAAAGGCCAGGTTGTGGACATGAGGATGTTTTGGTGCAAGAGCCGAGTGATCCGATGAATGAAAGTCTGACTGGCTGGAGTCCTGGGGCAGCATGTCAGAGGCTGCGGATGAAGAAAAAGAAGAGGAGAGAGAGGTAGATGGAGACGAAAGAGGAGAAGGAGTGACAGGCCAGCCTGAATGCGCAGGCCGATTCTCGACGGACATGATATAAGCGCAGCCGTTATAAAGACGAGCTGGTGTAGATTAGGCTATTCTGCAGAAAAATAAAAAGGCGTCAATAGATATATATATGTAATGCAAATGCGAGGGAGACATATTAGAATAAAAGGCAGTGATAGAGAGCCAGATCAGATCGTCCATATTGGCTGGCGACGGAGAGAATGGCGACTCACAGTATGTATTCATGCACGCTGGGGTCGACGACGATGAGCAGAAGCAGAGGGGGTTGGAGATGGCATGTGGGTATCAGCCGTCGTGGTGGAAGGTACAAAAACTCAGGCGCCGGATGACGGCGTTACGGTCTCGTTACGGTCCAGTATCTTGGCCCCTTTTTAGGCAGTCTTCCTTTGGGCCGTATATGTTACGCCCGTCCCAACTCTGCGCCCAGGTTCTGATAGAGCTGATATATCATAGATCTGATACAACATTTCGTGCCTACGAGGTGCAAGCCCATAAAGCTGTCCATCCAAATGTAACATCAACCAGCACTTGTAAATTGGATACCCTGTTCTGTTAGCAATAATGAACGCGATCAACGACCGAAGAACCGGCGGACCAGAAGCACCAAGGTGCGACCGAGAAGACCTTTACCTGCATCATCACATGTATTCAGAGCAATCATCTTCAAATCATATGTGAAAATTGAGGGCCCTTCACAGAGACCGACCATCGTCCCCGTACAATAATATCACCCCTCCGAGGATAGGGGACGCGTCATGAGGCACCCCGGCTGGATGTATGTGCGATTGGTTGAAACAGTCAACGGCATCGTTGGACGCAATAATACGTCAAGCAGGTATTTACGTTGCTGGGTGGAGCGTGATCTATTTATTGCAACAATTCGATTGCTCGAAGCAAGTATTCGGGAGCGACATGGACGACCGCAAGTATCGAATGCACGACTTCATCGTGTGCGGATCCGAATGAACGGTATTCACAACGAACCGAGATGAGCATGAGCGACATACCTACTGAGTGGATCGGCGTCGTCGTAGGACAGACAGCTTCGTGCGTGAAGGGGGCCGGCTTCAGATATCGGTCTACGTCGGTCCGGGATGCTCGAGCGATTCTCATTGAGCAAGATGTAGCAGCAAAGATCTCGGAGATGCGATGGGGGTTTATCCCTGAGCACAGTAAATGACTGCGTGGTAACAGCCTAAAGATTCATGCAGCCGATGGCCACGCTCAGGCGCTAATCGCGCGAAAAAGTATGCGTGCTTGTGCTGAGGATCTAGGAAGCGGCGAGACGATTGATCTTGATGGAATCAAGTTACACTGCTACCGTATTCAGTGAGTAGGCACAGGCAGTGATGCCAACCAGAAACTTCTCCCGACGCACTGCGGTGGCTTAGCAACGGTGAGAAGATCACAACATGATGGGGACCAGATCGAAAAGGTTCCGGTCATCGATATCTGCTGCTCCGTCCTCGGCCCAGCACATGTCTACTGTTTATCCATGCGGAATCGGACCATAAGCAATCAAGATATTATTATTGACTCCCAAGTGTCACTCGCTTCGATAACAGATTTTTAGACTCATCGCTTCAAGATTCTCGACTCAGACAGACATCTCACACAAGGTTCAGCCCTCGACAGTCCCTCTATTCATGTTCTAAGATAATAACCGGTCGGCCTCCTGTACAACAAGAACGATGTCCAACTTGGAATAGTCTGTGGTCTGTCCGCGGTGATCGTGAATGCAACCGACGAGCAAAAGAACACTTGTCCGAAATCAAGGTCCCCCATCACAAGTGGACGCTTTACGGGCCCACTAATAAATCCTTCACCTGGGTATCGTGTCAGTTATCACCCACGCGAGAAGAGAAAAAAGCTGACCAATTCGTACGTGAAGAACGACGTTGCAATACTGGGAGCCACCTTCACTGTTATGGGCATTAGTCGTGTTACGAAAACTGCACCAATGTGCAACTCACGAAGATTTGGCCAAAGACCGCGATACAACCCTCCAACCCCCTCTGTTCTGACTATTCCAGTAAGCGCATCAAAGGCACCAGAATATGCTATTCCCAATCCTGATGATCTCATTCCGGTTACCTGCATCTTACGACGCAGCACGTCAAATGGGTAGGTCAACGTTTGCGATATCGATCCTGGTGCATATTAGTCCATTGTGCAATTCCTCACATACCCACTCACCAGCTAGTGCACCACACGCCAACTTCCTTGAAACACTGTTCTTCCCTGGCGGAGTAATGACACCCCGGAAGAACTCGTATGCCGCAAAATTGATCCCCACGTATGGAGCAACGCCTACTGCCGTCGCGATTAAGCCTCTGTACAGCCCCCGGATTCCGCCCTCTTCCCGGACTATTTTCAGTGTCATGCCCCAGATTGTCAACTCTGATGCTGTATAATTGGGACCACTTGCGGACGTGTGGTAAGCGGTCGAGAGTGTGTGTTTCAATGACGAAGTCGATACAGTCGAAGACGCCAGAGAGGTATTACATTTAGACTGCAGAGAAACAGGTATTGACGCTGTAGCAATTGATAGGCGCGCGCGAACCAAGTCTAAGGGGTATGTCGAACCTGGGAAACGTTCATTAGCAAGGTCTTCGCCAAAAGCAATGGTAGATAATACGACCGCCGGACAGGGGGGGGCCGCGGTTCAAAGAAAATGTAGAGAGTTTTCATCCTCCTTCGTCGCTCTCAATTGACAAGAACAACAAGATCTTTGGAGATCCCACTTTTCAGCCAACCCAAAGAGTCTTTACACTCACATACAGATGTGATACCGGCCAAAGCACCAGCTGCCAGTCGTTTGGGGGTGTCAAGGTCTCTAGACCCATGACTGGTGAACAACTGCAAAATGACGTCAAGACCTTGAACACGCAATGTTTGCTTCTACTCGCCTTCTTCAACTGTTCATAAGTCGTGAACTGTACGGCGCTGAGGACAGGCATAAGTATAGATATAGAAAAATAGAGGGGTCGAAAGGCAAACACACCTGTATGGCACAATTCTTAAGCAATTAATGCCATTGCCCCGCATGTAACCTCTAAATCCTTCTTCCTGCCACATGCGAACAAGGCTCCTCCAGACGCCCTTGTATTGTTGCTCTGAAGACCTTGGTTGCACTTGCCTATATCGAATATCAAAACAATGCTTACAGGAGAAGTGGTGAGGCGTACTGAATAATCTTCAGCCTCTCCAAAGGACTCACGACGGTCCTAGAGGCTGCACCAGCACAACCCCCCGCTAAAACGGTCACTTAAGGAGCACCGTAAGAAGATATGTGGAAGACACCCACCGATAAAATAGGCTGATACTTCTGGCGTAAAGAATGATAGCCTCGGAACCTTTACAGGCTGTATGTCTGCTTCTGTAGCTTGTGTCGCGTCGCGCGTCATGATACGAATAATTTCTACGAATGTGAAGGCATGAAACAAAGAAGAGAGGAGAAACCGTCAGCAGCTCCTGCCCGTAACGCGGCACTGCGGGGTAAAAAGAGGAGACGAAAGCGTGCAGTCCGAAAAAGGAGGTGGCTCTATTTTGTGGTCTGACGTAATCCCCCACACAAGTCGTACTCTTATTGGTAGGATTAGATATCCTCCGCCGTCCGTGCAACTCAGTCAAGAACATGCACAATACATAGATTGATCACTTGGTTCTGTATCAGTACGTTTTGAGCTATATCTAATCACTTGTTGCAATGCCTAGAATCAACCTAGAACACTGAAAGTAACAGAATACCTAGTTCACTAACTTGATATAGGAAACTTGGTTTCCGTCTCGGACAATCTACGCGTGATTTAGCGGAATCCCGTTGGAGAAGGCAGAATATATGTGTGGTATGCACGAGCTGTGCGTCCGATGCCGATGGACCCATTCACTGTCGGACTCTTGGTCTTGTGAATCCGATTGTCAGATATAATGCCCTTCTTTAGCACAGGGAAGACAGAGGACATACATAAGAATTCGAACGAACATATGGGGAGTCATCCGCAAATCCGCTCACGACTGTCCCGTTGAAAGAGAAGGTGGCAGACACGCACCGGCGGACATATGCTGCCATCATCGAAGTACATATCAAAATATCTATTCACAGCTGTGAGAAATGATTATATTCGAGGACGAAATATACCCGCCTATCCAAATAACGGCCATCGCCATCCCCAGCTCTCTCCAGTATGAGTCATAGGAAATCAATGGTGAGCAGTCTTAAATCGCCATAGTGAACGATGGCATCGTAAAGTTTACCGGTGTGAATGTCATAACGCTGGCTCAGAAGACAGGTCGGGGCTAGCATGATAATGGGGTGCGAGACTCGAGCCTGAGAGGGATAGTCTCCGTTACAAGTAGATATCAAGGGAATGACCAATGATTTTTGTCGCGTCGCATAGAAATTATCTCGACCGCTTCAAATAATTATGGCTGTACTTCTAGCTTGAAGATGTCGATGTAGAATCTAGTAGAGATCTATGTTAGAGGTTGTCATGAGAAATTGAACACCACGATTAGATACAGACTTGCTGTCTGGTACATAGCTGGAAAGAGAGATGGAAAGTGAACGTTGTCCCCCAAGACTGTATAAATTGGCAGCCAGCTAATATGTAATACAGCTCGGGTAAATATGTGTACATAAACTAAAGTTTTCGTTTCTGGCGTAGTGAGCTTTTCGCTGTCATTCTGATATCGTATCGATAATGTTTCCTGCGCCTTTGGTTCCCTGCGGTCGTCAATCTAGGACAGGTGAGCCGCGAGAGAGATGTAAAACATCGGTTCATCTATGTCCCTCCGATACTCCAGGACGTTGCGAAATGATTTTTGTCCGAAAATACAAATCTAGAGTGCTGTCGCTTGTTCCTTGCCTTGCTGGGTGAATGAACAGCTGGTTGGGAATTAATTACCATCAACTTGAAGTGCTGCTTCCTCAGTTTTCGACTTGTAATTTGCCTCTGACATATGCGCCTTTCTTCCACTCGGTTTCCCGGTCCACCAAGAAGGGTTTGTATCAACTTTATAGAACGTCCCTTGTTCCGTCGAAGCTCGAGGATATGTTTCCCTTGTTGGAACGACCAAGTTGAAATAACAGGACCCGGGTGCATTAAAGACAATGTAAGTCGCCAATCAGGCATAATATGCATCTCCCCCATTGATTGTCTTCACAAACTTGATGTGGCATCTCATCTTTTGTCCTTAATTAGTGATCAAAAACTGCTCACGATGTGTTGGGGTCTAACATATCCTGAACACTCTACCACTTAAAAAGCACTCACAATCTGTTTTCTAAACATTGGACTTTCAGCTCCCATTTTCAGCTCAAGTTCTTACTCCGTTTTCTTTCTCCTTGCCATCCGGCTCTTTGACCCTCAAGGCACCATGGATCGTCTCCGTCGTGCTTTTAAAATGTACGTCTGGTTACACTTTCTCTGCCACCTTTAAGTAAAATGGGGCTTTTCTAGCTCCTCTTCGTCTGCGACGAAGCGAAATGTCCCCTCCGCTAATGCAAAGTCCACAAAGAAGGACAATCTCAAACACACCAAATCCATGCCTATTCGCAGCTCCCTATACGGTCTCGAATATTCTCCAAATAATTATCCTCCGTCTCCCACTCCCAGGAATATCATCAAGTCTGCAAAGATCTATACCTCGCGATTCACGCCTCGCACCAAGCCGGCAGCCTCTCAACCAGTACCAAAGAACGTGAATGCGGACCTCCAGGAGGAGGAAGATTATGAAAATGTCCTTGACATCCACTCCGGAGTGACCGTCATCACCCGCGAGGACCTCGATGCCTTTCCGATGCCTCCAGATATTTTCCCGCCCAATCCCCCGAAGCTCCAGGCATTCTATGATGCACAGAATGAAGAACGTCGTCGCCGCAAGGAGCAAAAAATGGAGGAACAGCGTGCCCGCTATGGATACAAAACTGTGCACGGGAACGCGTCTACGCCAACGGTGTATCATCATGGCTCGACCCGCCAGAAGCTCACCTCTTCTTCTACGGTGAACGTCAGCACGGCGTCGCATCGGGGACGTTCACGTTTCTCGAAGCCGCTCCCCCCTTGCCCTGGTGACTGGCAGCAACACCTGAATTCGCCCTCGACGACCTCCTTGCACCCCGACAACCAGACTCACACATCTCGCCACCGTCAAGGGTCTACTACATCCCATCGTTCTCGCTCGCGTGCAACGCCTAGCCACCAGCGAGTCCAAGAGCACAGCAAGTACATGACTGAACAAGGAATGGCTTCCTATCCTGACATCGAGGCTCTTGCGGCTGTCCGGAGAGGTCACGCTGTATTCCAACAGGGATCTGATCATCGCAAATCTCATCGAGTGGAAATGTTCTTCAATCCCGACGATGAGCCAGTTCCGGTTAATGTCGGTCAGATACAACAGCAAGTCGACGACTACCTCTCGTCCCAAAATCTGGCGCCTGGATGAGGGAAGCCCTTCTAAAATGCCTTGTATTGAATGTTGCCCTGGTCAGGCTTTTCAGCCCTGTTTCGTTCTTTCGAAGTCTATCCTGTCTGTTTTTCAAATGCTTATTACCACCGTTGACGGTGTTGTCCTGTCTCTCCTTACTTGGTACTCCAATTCTCATCTAGCAACTTCTGTCATTACATCTATCGGTATCTAGCGCTTCATTATGGTTTCGTGTCTTTGGAAACAATCCAGTGTCCTTTTCAACGGCAGTCTGGCCAGTCTGTGCGCATAAATGGATCATCTGCAATTTCTCAACACACCTCCCCTTCGGCATTCCATATTGCGCGTACTGTGAAGGAAAACGTTCTTGTAAGACTGCGCATTACCATGTATGAAGGTACAACGCTCTACAAAACAAAAAGAATTGGTACCGCACTTTCAGACTTTAACAGTGCTCCTGTCTTCAGTAATGTATCTGATTCTTGACTTCTACACTCCAACATGTCGACGGTGCACGATATCCGTGACATGTCCTGTTCTGCAACCACTCACAGAATGGTATGATGAGTTCTGCGAGTGATGGTAGGGCGCTCCAAAGGGTGAATTATTTATACGTGGAGCACGGTTAATATAACATGAGAGAACAAAACTAATTGCAAATACAATGAGTCTACCCATGGTATAGTATTAGGCGAAGAGATAGGTTTGTATAAGTCAACATGCAATGCGTAATACAAAGACAGCAGCAGAGTGCGAAAACAGCCTCATTGATTTAACCAACGGTGTATCTTCACTTCTCGAATTGTCGCACGAGTCTTCGGATTCGGGTCCAAACACTTTCGTAGCAGGTCCCAAGCTGACCGAGACAATGCGGGATATTCGTTCAGGACAATTCGCCCTTTGATCGCATCGTTCTTGGTACGGAATGGTGACATACCATGGAGCAGATATGACAGAAGTACGCCGAGCGTCCACACTTCCGCCGGCGCAGCCTGATATGGTTTCTTGAGAAGTATCTCGGCAGCAGCATATGCGGTTGTCCCATGAAAGAACTTATAATATGGCCGGGACTTTGTCGGGTCGATAGCGATCGCACTCCCGAAGTCAATGAGTTTCACCTGAGATAGTTTGAGCAGATAATTACAGAAGACGCGACAATGACTTACATGCAGATCCTTGTCAATAGCAATGTTTTCATCTTTGATATCGCGATGGGATATGCCATGGCTGTCAAGATAATGTACAGCATCAACAACTTGTGCGAAAATGTAGCGTGCTTGCTCCTCAGATAAGCGTTTGTGTTCCGACTGATCAATGCATTCGAAGAGGTCATGCGAAGGTCGTCGGCTGTACTGAGGCTGAAGAGTGGGTTGGGAGTTTTTTTTCCACATCTTCAAAGGGACTGGTAGGTACGATGATAATTGGTGATAAGGGGAGACCATGGGAGGAGAGGGTGCTGGGTCGGAATTTAATGAGTCGGCAGAGCGAGAAGGTGTGAGAGACGGAGTAGAGATGGGTGAGGAGCCGGGGCAAGAGGCCCGGTTCGCGCGTTTTGCTCGCGTAGCGTTCGACCAAGGAGAACCGTGAAGTTCTTGTACCTATCGGTGTAGATATTAGCGATGAAAAGCTGGTATCAATGGTTGACGCACCAGATAGAAATACGAAGGATCTTGAAATAGGTCCAAACCTTTGACAATGTTGCGGTGATCCATATAGTTCAACAGGAAGACCTCCGTAGGTAGTCTACCATACCTATCATCCTGCACCCACGCATAACCCGGTACCTTCTCCTTTATGATGAACTTGACGGCAACTTCGTATCCTTCCCAACGATGTCTGGCTGTCATGACGAAGCCATATCCGCCTGCACCTAGCTCATCCTCCAACTGGAATGTTCTGACAAAATCCAAGTCCAACTGGTGATCAGGCGGGAAGTGTGAGGAGTAGCGGTCTGCATCCAGACTAAGACTAAAAGGCGACTTGACGATATGATGATGTGAATGCTCGGGCGATGATGAAAGACATTCGTGATATGTGGGAAAATGCGATGAAGAGTTGATAGCCGTTGTTGAGGAACCAAAGCTGAGTGACAGTTCGTTGGGAGAGAGGGGTAACCGAGAGATATCCAAGGGAGAATGAGGACACATATTGAGAGAATCGTCTAGAGTCTTGTCAGAGCAGCGATTCACAGATGCAATAGGACGCTCGCGTCGTATTTCGTGGTTCTCAAGCTGGGGAAGATTGAAGTTGAAGAGATGGTCAGGCTCGGTAAGAAGAGGCGTTTGCACGGTATCGCTCTCTGAGGGGGAGAGGTATCCAGGACTTGGAGGCGAGAGGGCCGAATAGGTGAGCTCCGGTATTTGGGTCTCAGAACGCATACCAGGGGACCAAGGCGAGAGACGATTATATATGGCGGTCGAGGCGTTGAACTGGCCCAAGCAAAGAATCGACAATTAGCGACACGGGCGTGCCCGCAGTAAAGCCAAAAGATTCAATGTGTCCCACAAGGGCAAAGAAAGAGAAAACAAGCCTCGCTGCGACCTCACACCTGAAACGAAGAACACGACTTGCCCTTTCACCGAGAAACACAATTGTGGTTATTATAATCACGTGTGCATGCCTACATCCTATTATTGTACAAACAAAAAACCAACACATATCATACAACTGCCTTTCTGGTGATGAGTATGGGCGCCACCAACCTAGGCCCCTTGGAGGATGCGCTCTCAGGGACGGTCGGACCAGGAAGGACGTGGTATGGCGCCTGTAACAACAAGTACCATGATCAGCCAAAGAATAGGAATACGTGGAAATATGTTTTCAATACGTACGCACCCCTATATAATCCAAGAACTTGTTTATGTTCTCCTCCTTAGATGTACCACCCGGTGGAACCGGAGATGCCTTGTCCAGTTCGTAATGTTTCAGCAGCTCTTTGACATCCTTCCCTGACATTGCGAGACAAGCATCGATGTTGTTGGGGAATAAAGACGCCGGCAATGTACTCCCATCCAAAGGTATCAACGGTCGTAGTTTTTCCTTGCGAGTCAAGGTCGCGTTTATTCGTCGCGCCTCCCTGGTGAATAAATGATTATGAGAGTGACTCCTTCCTTAGAATCGGACTCACGAGTTGTGGAGATGTGTCTTGATCGCTACCATTTGATGCGTGTGTTCATTCGTTTGATGTCGGAGACTATGAGGAACCTGTTTCTCCAACTGTACGGATTGGAAGAATCAGAACAGACACAAAGCAGCAGCAAATAACACACCTCTTGTCGAACTTTGTTTTCAATCTTCTGTGCCACAGATGCTCGTATTTCCTTAGTCACATGTTGTTTGAGGCGATCTTCGAGACGTTCCTTCACTCTTCTTTCAAGCTCTCTTCGCAGAGTCTCCAACTCCTTGGCATGCTTCGCTATCTGCTTTTCTAGACGAGACCTTAACGTTGCGGTCTATAAAACGAGTCAGAGATCGACACCCCAAATCTGTCAGTACCTCACCTCTTCTCCAGCTTTGATAACAGGCCCAAGCATAGCCGCCCTCTCAGTATTGGTTTCTATGCTCTCGTACATCCCTTTCAGTCGATGGTTCATCTCCTTCAGGTTATGCATGAGCTGAGCAACGGCCTCGATTTCAGGTGGGATGGCCGATTTCGTTGCAGACAAAAGATCAGCACCATCTCTGAGAATGGTGGCTGAGGCAAGAACGGAGAAATTTGAGGAGGCGGCATGAGAGGGTGTCACTGTGGCTGCTGACTGGCTGGATGTCGCGCTATCGGGTGTCGGCGGGATGTTGATGGATGGCCGATGAGGCTTTGCTTGAGCGCCGGCGGGTTTGTCTGTTCTTGGGCCCATTTTTTCGAAAATGTGTACTACGTGGGAGGTTTTGGAGACGGCGGGAAAATCCAGGAGGAGACTATGTGAAGCGATACGATCTTTATAGGAAATGCCACGCAGGAACAAAGTTGTGTCACGGTAGAGAAGTGCTTCGCTGCACAGCGGTGACTTGCCGATGAGATAGCCTCAATGTGACCCCGAAGCTCAAGTAGGATGTAAAGATTCCGGATGGATCTCCGGGAGATACACGAGGCAAAGGCGTGGGTGATGACAGATTGCCGAATACGATGTTGAGCACCTAGTAATGGATGCCGAATCAATTGGGTTGAATGGAGAAGTCTGGACCTGGAATAAGCGCTGGGAAATGATTCTGTTTTGGAACGATACGTGGTAGGTTGAACGGCAAAGAAGCTTGTTGGCGCCTACTTGATATCTCAGGATATTGGGCGGCCAAGTAAGTAGCACGTATTACCAAGAAAAATGAATCACTCAATACGTCTTTATTGTAAGCGCAAAGGTAAACAGTAAGGTCAGAGCTACCTGATTCACGACACACACGAAGACATTCGGTCCTTCACGATTTGTTGAAGAACATCCCCAATGCCAGCTGCTTAGCAGAAAGGATGCCCTACGAAAGAGCGGCCCGCGTCGCGATTGCTGATAGTTGGGTATTCGTTAACTGCAGAGCCCAGTGGAATGAAAATGACAAGAGATGGACGCACCTCAGGGTGTAATCAGTGCCTTCAAAGCAGCACCGACGTCCCCTTGATGTTGAACCAAGACCTTCTCCGCCTGTGCTCGTGTCATTTCGAATTCATTGACCTGTCGGGACCAGGTCAGGACGGTACATAGTGCAATCCGCACGATCCCATGACGCACAATGATATCGATGTCGTCTTTTTTTATCGCGGGTGCAGATGAGTCTTTGACTGGTTTGACAGGGCCTTTCTCCAGAATGCCCCCCGGTCGAAACGCCTCATCCATTTTGCCCTTCGAGTACGAGAAACCGTCGACATACTGTTGGTTGGGTGAGAGATGTCTCGTTGGAAGGTAAATCAGGACAGACGTTCATGATGACTTCGGGCTCAGGGCGTCCATTTGTGTGAGACATGGCGGTAATTGCCAAGGTACAGTAAATGTTTAGTTACTAAGATGATATTCCGATTTTTTGTAGGTACATACCCCCAAGCGACTCGGAGCTCGTTCAAATCATTCCTATTCAATTTCTACGGTTTATTTATGTACACAAACGCGGCTTGTGAAAGCTAAAATCAGGCATCTCGTTTCTTCCACAACGCAGCCATATTATTGATACCAAACCGCTTTGACAGTAAAAGGTCCTGTATACATCATACAGGTCAAAGTAGCCCTTGAAATAATAGTGAATTATTTACCCAAATTCCCTTGGGGAAAAACGTCGACAGAAACCAGACCCTGGTTGCCATCGTCCCTTTCCAGAGCCACTTGGGCGGGCGGGACTTGATGAGTTCATTGACAACCTTACGTGCATAGACATCATTTGGCATACCGGTCTTCTGCGAATTTCCTTGGCGGTCGCGGTAGTCCGAGTCAATTGGAAGGTAGATTGAGTTGTGGGGAAGGTCTCGCTTGTTGACTGTAAGCCGACTAAGCACACCGCCTGTAATGACCACAACAACTTTGACACTACATTCCAATAGTCAAAACGCGGCCGTTAGATATCGGCATTCAGATAGCTTACTCGAACGGACTAAGTTCTATACGAAGTGTGTCGCTATACGAGTGCAACGCAGCCTTGGACGCATTGTAAGACGCTACAGATACACCTCAATCAGTAAGCCGATCACGGAAGGAAAGAAAGACGTCTGGCTCACACCCGAAGGTATAGGGCAATATGGCCGCGATGGATCCGATATTAACAATCGTCCCCTTTGCCTGGATCAATAGACTAGCAAATGCTTGGACCATACGCATCACTGAGAAAAGATTGGTCTCGAATGTCTTGTGCACGACCGTAAAATCCAAGTCCAGTGCAGGCATCGTGTACGCAATGCCTGCATTGTTCACGAGAATGCCGAGAGACCCGCCAGTACGTTCAGAAATATCCGCCTTGATGTCCTGGATATCGGAGGGCGACGTTACATCTAAAGCAAAGACCTCGATGCCGAGTTCAGCGAGATCAACGAGATGATCTTTGGAGCGCGCAGTGGCGAAGACGCGATAACCTGATGTGAAGTAAATTTTCTGTCCACGAGTGACAAGATATCGTATATATGATTCACCATTGGACATGAACTCTCTTGCCAAGGAGTTTCCTATACCACCAGGCCTGCATCTAAGAGAAATATGGAAGAAATATGTGGTCAATGCACATAATTATATATACAAAGAAGCGCTTCTTACCCGGTTATAAGGACGGTTTTGCGGTTATCCGTCATCGCAGTGACTTGCAACCCTCATTATTTAAACAAGCTTACATAAGTAAGGACAGCCACTAGACATGGACACGGACTCGGGGCAGTGAGAGCAGCGGTTGCGAAATGATGAAAGAAATCTATGGGATAACAATTTCTGCTATACCTTGGACGCTTACAAATTGACATAAACGACTGCTGGCGAACAGATAAATTATATCAATTGCGTATTCTACAAGTGCTGGGAAATTAGGAATTGTATATTACATTGCGTTCAATATATATCTTGCATCTCCTCCTCCAGTTGCGTTTCTACGATTTGCGTTTCCTGCCCATCATCTGGTAGGTCTGTGTCTACAAGCAATGCCTCAGATTCTGGTAGGACGTCCGACATGGAAACATCTGTCGCCTGGGAGGCCGGTATGTCATCGCTGGACTTGTTTTTAGGACGTGCTTTCTTTTCACCCGTTTTAGGTATGAGACCAAACAAGGTCATTTGACGAGGACCTTCCTTCTTCTCCTTCCCGTTTGTCTTCGCAGTAGGTCCTGTAAAATATTTAGTAAAAGTTTCAAGGCAAGGTCACGAATGCTTGCGTTTCTTCCCCGGATCCTCAGCGGCGTCAATTTTATCAAAAAAGCTCTCGCTCTTCTGTATGACTTTGTTCATGTCGGATTTTCGTGCGAAAGGATTCTGGCCATTTTCTTGTGCAGCTTTGCGGGCGAATGGATTCGATTCTATGAGATGTACGTGTGTGTTCAGAGGATAGACGATAATCTTAAGGCGGACTCACTTTGCTTCGGAGGTGGCATCAAATCACCGCGTGACTCTCCTAAAGGATTGCGTTTCCGTTTGCCATCTAAAGTAATATCTTCCTCGGAAGCAGTGGGTTCTGCCCATGATTTCGGGGTAGATGCAGGAGCTACAGACGAATATCGTGACTTTTCAACGGTAGGAGTAGCCCGAGAAAGTCCGGGTCTGTGTATTGAAGGTGGTGGTCCAAAATCCTGAAACGCTTTACGCCGGTCAGAGAACGGTTCCTCAGCATCAGGTAAGCGCCGAGAGGGAGGGTCTGCTTTATTCCAACGTCGTCGTTTCTCGCGAGCCAGCGACATGCGATCTTCGCTTTCCTCGTGTATCCGTTTCAGTAAGAGCACTTTCTCTTTGAATCCGACCATATGGTAGAAGTCTGCAATCTTGACAACTAGGTCAATGGAGTTAACGTGATGCAATAGCTTCGTTAGTTCAATCGCCCTCGGAATGTTATCCCCTTTACAGGCGCCTTGGATAAGCTGAAGGAATTCCTTATCCATGGCTCGCTCCTTTGCGATAATATCTTCCGTAGTAAGCTCTTCGTCGAGAATATCAACTGCCATATCGTGGAACAATATCTTACGTTCTACCCTAAAATAAGTTGAACATCAAATCGAGGCAACCCTAAGACGCAATGACTGTACTGTTCTTCAAGGGCATTGTCATTGCGGAATGGCATTCGCATAGGGAGCTCTTGAATAAGCGGCCTGGGAAAGCCGGGATGTTCTTGTCTTCCCTGTGGAAGACTCATCAGGTCTGCAGATCTTGTACCCTAACAGAACGTGCCTTAAGAATCAAGCACATCAGCGTGCTTCCTGTAATCCCAACGGGCCAGTAGGATTCATCTTTTCCCTCCCTTCTTTCGAGAAAGTTTGTGTCCATTACACGGGCCCAGGATCCGTGGTGCGGAATTCGGTACTTCATAAGTATGTGTACCTGTCCCGATGAATCATACACAGCAGGTGCCTAGACGGCGCCCAGATTAAGTCACGCGGAATGGCATGGGAATGTCGCTTACCCCTTGGTCGGTGACACCAATCCACTTGAGTGTATGATTCTTTGGGATGGGAAGAACGTCTCTCTGTCGGACAGTGAAATCATCAAAGTTGATGAGCTTATAAGACAGATTTTGGGATCCTAGAGCGGGTTTCTTAATTCAAAGTGCTGAAGAAGATGGCTCAGCACTGACCATCAATTGTAGCTGCACCAGCACGATAAACGACGAACACCCATTCCGTTCCCGCAACCATCGACACAAAATCGGCACCCAGACCAATGATTCGCCGCTCCCTCCCAGTACCACTCAAGAATGTCAAGTCTCCTTGGTTGGTAGCTACAACAACATTTCCAAGGCCATTCAGATCTTCCTCGGAGCCCTGGTGAAGACTGGTAGACGGTGGAATACCCCCAACCGCAATACCTAGAACGCGGGTTTGCCCTTTCAAATCATAGGACCAGTCACTTTGAGAAGACCACGATCCGTACGGCTTGAATGTCACTTTGGCTACGTGGTTATCTTCGGGCTGACAAGCAAACAGAGCTCCCCGTTCACCTAGATAATAATGAGATTTTGAAAGGCTGATGCACATAAACCTACCGAGGTAGCCTAGATCATACTTCAGACTGTCAGTAAAATGCTGGCCTCGTCTCGTTGAGCGGTCGAAAAATTCAATGTTTACGATGTTATGAATATCCTGGTCAGTGACTTCAATGACCCCAATCGTGTTATAGGCTATAAGGGTTCAGAAATCGAATGACGATTTGAAGTATTGAAATTACCTAGATATCTTTTCTTATTATCCATTGGTGTCGAACCTGATTGGAACGGCGGTTGAGCTTCCGTAATGCTCACTGTCAACATCTCTCATCGTAACTTGAGTTTACTAAGAGAAGACACGGCGCTTACCCATTTCTTTCACCATGTAGCCTTTGTTTTTGAAAGGTGCTTTGGCGTCTTGCGCATACTTCAAATCGCTGGGCCCGTTCCAATGCGTCATGTCTTCAGCTTCATCATCGTCACTAAGACCAGCGTCGCCAGTATCTAGGACGTCATCTATTCTGCTATCTTCATCGAATAAGGATGTCGTAAGCTGTTGGATTGCGGTATTCTTCGTTGTGATGATCAGGTTCATGGGATCAGGAATCGTTGACGGTATAGCATCGATCCAGCGAATGAGCTGGCCACCTGAATCTGTCCAGGCAATGATATTTTGCTTCGGCGAGAATGCAATTTGAGTAATGATAGCATTTGAATTTGTTGACTGTCTAGGCGAATAAATTAAGCAGCGAGCAAGCGATAGGTCAAAAATGCTCACTTTGCCACTATGCGTCGCGTCGTGGTGGACCAAACATATACTGTTGACGTTGTTGCCGAAGCAAGATAAGCGCCGTTAGCTGATATTGCTAGGGCAGTGGTTGCACCGGTAACGTCATTGTGAGAGAAGGTCGATATCTTCGTCCCTTCAGAACGTGAGATAGCGACGACGTCTTAATAAAACAATTCAATTAGAAGAACCGCAGAGCTCAGTCAAACAAATACCCACCATGAATACGTGAGATGATGAAAAAATATTCGCCAGATGTATGCCAAACAGCAGAGCAATCATGCGAGAAGTCAGAGGATCTGTAACAGTGTAAACTCAAGCTGAGAAGAGTGTTGACAAGACTCACTCCGTGTCTCTGACAGCAGGAATGATACCATCTATCTGCTTCTCAATGTTGGGCTCCTCCTTGGACATATCCCAGATGATAATTTTACCGTCACAGCCACAAGTTACCTATACATCATCTTATGAGGAGAAGGAACAGACATTGATAGCAAGAGACATACCAATACAGGTAACGTAGGGTGCCAGGTCACCCGCCGCACTCCGCCCTGGTGGCCTTCTAAGCTGTTGACGTTCACAGGATCTTCCATATCTATAACCTTCACAGAAAGTTCACTGTCGAATATGAGCTAGTAGTATGGAATTAGGAATGCCACGCACTCGGAACCAACAGCAAGTCTTCTCCCCTTGGCATCGATGGCCAAGCATCGCACCGACACCCCATTGACAGAAGCAGCATACCCATCATATTCATTGGTATTCTTGAGGTACCGTCGAACTAGCGCGTCTTCACTCCCTGAAAGCCAGTAGTCCGCCTGAGGGCTGGTGAGAAGGTTGATGAAATTACGAATCGAGGTCACATACGCAAGCTGCAATGCAGGTGACCGGTAGATCAGCATCGGGGGCCACTTCTGGCTCCTGCTCGGCGCCTTCGTCCATTCTCCATAGTCGTACTATGCAATCTTGGCCACCTGTGAAAGCGCGTCTGCGACGCGTCGTTTGTCAGCATTTCAGTGATACTAGAGGAACGGCGGAACGAACGATCCGTCCTTCGAGAATGCAAGACTAGTGGTCCCTGGGCCGTGGGCAGGGTTAGAAATGAGTTTCGACATGGTGGTTGGCTGAAAACGCGAAAACACGGTCAGTCACACGCGGAGGTTTGGTGACACCGGACTGACCTCCAAACACAGATAAACACTGTGTTGCAGTATTTTTCCTCCGAGTCAGCATATCGCTCCATTGTGTTATTTAGATGTACTTATTTTCAATAAGTCTATGTGAATCCATACGTTCTTTGGCAGATTGCTCTGTTTCAATGTACCTTGGTACTTAGTTCAAAGCGTAATTGGGATTATGTAAGATTACTAGCATATCGAGTCAGTACACGCTAATCATTGTCAATTTGACTCTTACCAAAATGTCACTTAACAAGGGCGACGCTACCTCGAAAATGACCAGTCTGCTCTCATTTCAGACCGAAATAGAAGACATCCACAATCGCGAATTGGCTAAACGGCGACTCCAGGGAGCAGCAGCCATGGCGAAGGAGAAAAAGAACAAAGATCCTCCGTCTAGGGGCAAAGGGAAAGCCGACGAATATAAGGAAAACAAGGATCCTCCGCCTAAGGGCAAAGGGAAAGCTGGCGACCATAACAAAATCATCATTCCGGGCGAGCATGCTGATGGCACTGGATTCTCCGAGGTAGAGGAGAAGATCTTTGTAAAGTAACATTCTCTTTTATTTGACTGGTACTGACGATAAGCACAAGACTATGTTACAGTCTAATTTGCTGAATGACTACGAGTCGGCGCGAGATATGATTGCTGTCTTGATTACTCAAAATTATGGTGAATATGTCTTACGAATTGGATCACAACCACCCCACGCGTTACTATTCTCCGGAGAGCTCACAGACTCGTCGGATGGATGGACAGGACCCGACAAGACTCCGGAAGACTTGGACACCTTGCGGCAAAAGATTACTGATGCTGTGGAGGGGATTGGTGGTAAGGTAAAATCACCATTTACTGATCCCGCCGCAGACAGCTGCTCATTCGTTTGAAAGGTTTCTGTGCTCTGCGAAGTTAGGACCGGACATCCACGTATATCGCTCCTCCTACGGCTCCCCCCTCCAAACGTTTCTCTCACTCCCGAAGTTCGATGTGCCGTAGTGGGAAATGTGGACAGCGGGAAGTCTACCACCTTGGGTGTGCTGACGCGCGGTACGCATGTTGTATTTGCTAAAGAAAATACCTTTATGCCTGAATCTTCAATCAGGTGCATTGGACGATGGGAGAGGTCGGGCGCGAATAGCACTCTTTCGACATAAACACGAGATTGAAACTGGCCGGACCTCCAGTGTTGGAATGGAGATCCTTGGTTTTGGACCTTCGGGCGCCCCGATCCTACCTAGCACCGCAAATTCTTCTGATCCAGACGTTATACGAAGAGAAAAGTTGGGTTGGGAAGAGATTTCTATACAAGCTGCTAAAATTGTCTCCTTCATTGGTAAGCTATGCCTCTACTCTGGAAGTCCTCACATTGATCGTGTTCTATAGACCTTGCTGGCCATGAGCGATATCTCAAAACTACTCTCTATGGACTAACATCTGGCGCCCCTTCCTGCGTCATATTAATTGTCGGCGCTAATGCGGGTTTGATTGGAATGTCCAAGGAACATTTATCCATTGCATTGGCTTTGAGTGTACCGGTCGTCGTTTGTATCACCAAGGTCAATTATCATCTTCTCATTACGGCATTTTGTTTAAACTGTCCCATAAGATTGACATGACCCCATCCAATGTGGCTGCAGAGACCATCAAACAAGTTGTCAAGATACTAAGGAGCCCCGGGTGTCGGTGAGTGGTACTTTTGCCTCAACAAACCCTGTCTCAAACAATCTAGCAAAATACCCGTTTTCGTGAAATCTTTTGAGATATCCGTTGAAATTGCGACTTCTTTCGGAAAAGACAAGTAAGAACAATGCATTGTATGTATATTTGACATGACCCCACTTTTAGACTCTGCCCTATATTTCAAGTGTCGAATGTCACTGGAGAAGGCCTTGACTATGTCCGCACATTCCTCAACCTGCTTCCTTCGAGTGAGGCGGACAGCGAAAAATTTGCTGCGAATCAGCCTCTAGAGGTGAGCCCGGGAGAATATGGCCATTGAATCGTAAGTAACACCGTCTAGTTCTCTATCACTGACGTGTGGTCAGTGCCTTATGTGGGCACAGTCGTAAACGGGATCGTGAACAACGGTAGCGCCGAGACTGGTGACGCAGTGATGCTGGGGCCGGATTTTAACGGGAATTATTTGAGCACCGTCATCAAGAGTATGCATAAGAAAAGGTATGAGTTTTCATGCACACTTGGCGGGCCATTCTCGGCCCAAGAAATTCTGTGGCAAAGCGGAAACAGGGGCACCATGTGGCAGGCTTGCTTTAGGGGGCATCGATGTCCAGCTGAGAAATGGTACCGAGGGCATGTCATTAGCGACTACCTGGAAAGTACCTGGACAATTCTTCGTCCCTATCAGTTTACACACTGCCACTTGGGATCCCAGTTTCTGCTGGTCGACCATTTATCCCTCAAAGGCATTCTACTTCTCACTGCCGACTATATGGAGGCGACAAAAATGGGCACGAAATATTTGGATTGCAAACAAACAAACTATCATCTGGAATTTCGAACGCAGCAAATATGTCGGCACGCGCACCTGCATATCAGGCAAACTCTGAATGCTCACTAGTTTCAAATTCCAGAATATAGTGCATCTGTTCTCTACGTGCTTGCCCCAAAATAGTCCCTATCGATTGCATTAGGTGATTCCATGGCTTACGAAGTCATCACCGCAGTGAATCGTTTATCTTTGCCTTGGGGGGAGAAACGGCCCGCCAGCACTAACAGTATCTGCCGAAATATTTGCTAAAAAGGGATTGTCAGAGCCTCGATAACGACGGCTGAGGCAGGCCAGTGTGTTGCCTTCGCCCTGAAGCGGGTACGAAAAGCGGATATCCGAAGGGGGATGGTTTTGGTGAGCAAATCGGAGTCACCTCCCCGTGGTAAGAAACGGCGAATCTACACAGTCGTGGGATCCTGACGGTGGATTCTATAGCTATACGGCAATTTGAGGGACAAGTCCTCATTCTATAGTTCGATAGTCTCGTTTGCTGTTGACTGCTGTACATTGACCGCTAGTCCCCCAGCCATAACACCACGCTGCAAAGAAACTACCAGGTGGGTGTGAGCTGACTAGTACCGGCGTCGATGATTTGATTTGACAGACTTCTTACAGGCCATGCTACACTGCGGCGTATGTCTGGACCTCGCATTTGCAGTCCATCAAAGGCTGACGTATTCCTGGTAGGCTGTAAGGCAAACGGTGAGAATCATAGGAATGGATCATCCCCAAGGAGTTCTTCGAACGGGGGACCGTGCTACGGTGCAGTTTGAATTCATTTCCCACCCCGAATTTGTGAAAGAGGGAATGAAACTATTATTCCGAGAGGGTAAGACAAAGGTACGATTTCTCGACTTGTCTTGGAACATGCGCTTATAGCTGTGCAGGGTCTTGGGGTCATAACACGGTTATTATAGCGTACAGGTCTGAAGTTGTATCCTGTTTATAGGTATGTAAATGTTGTACAACCCATTTGTGATGGACACTGTTGTTTTACTTCATTCGGGTGCTGTCATGTAGATGACCGTTGTGTATTTTTGTTATGCTACATTGGCCCTGCCTGCCGTTGCCAAGAGATTTGAAATATGATCCAAATATGATCTTGATCAGCCGTGATTTACCATGATCGAGGTAAGAACAAACCGTAATCACCGAAATTCCAGAGCTCTGACCCTCTGGCGCTCCCGACGAAACAAGACATGGACCGTAATTGAAGGCGATATTCATTCTAATGTCACCATTAGACAGAAGAATTAGACAGATCTTACCATAAACGGTTGCTGAGGTGGCATCGCCAGATTAATACCTTCCGCTCGCGTGGACTGTGCCGTTTATAGACATCGCCTTCGCTTCTCTTACCTCTTTTGCTTCACGTCGTGCTTCACCTAGTCCTTGGCGTTTTTATCTTGCTCCTACGACTACCATCGCCCTGCTCGCGCTGTTTCCGCATCTGATTTTCGCTGTACTATTACCTCTGCACCATGTCCTTACCGAGGCTATCACGGAATGCAAGTTCTGGCAAATGGTTTGAACTCGTACGCTGTCCTTGCTGCCTGCCAAAATGCTTTTCAATTCCTGATACTCTGAAATCCTTTTTCCCAGTCAAAATTTGATACGCCGTACCCTTCCTACAGTGCGAGCCAAGAGCCACTGTCAATATCTAAAAAAGTCGGTATTGACAGTGACTTGAACCTTCGAAACCAGTTCACCTGTCCTCCAGTTTTCTCTCTCTCCTGACCCACAGCAATGGGGGTCAGATCTCTCTCCGGATTTGGTAGAGCCAGACGATGATATTCACACCCCCAAGGAACGCTCCGACCAAGTTGAAATCGGCGGACATGTTATCTCAATACGTGGGGTAACAAATCTCGGTTGCCTCGCCATGTTATGTGCTGGCATCTTGGCTTTGTTGTATGTTTCACGAGCTTCATTGATCGTCGCCACATTAAATTTACCGATCTTTTCCAGTATGGGATATCCAGTGGCATCCTATGTCACCTCTCGGGGTCTTTCTAATCAAGGTGGATTCAATTTGGGTGGCTTGAATGCCAGCGGACAGGTGCGGCTTCTTTGCTTCTTCATGCCGCCGCACCTCCTCACCTTCGGCCGCACAGGTTCCGGATATTCCTGGAAACTTTGGACTTATAGATCTAGACACGCCTCGAGAAGCTTACACCGTATCATCGTGGAACGATCCTTCTCAAAACATGCAGCTGGTGTTTTCAGATGAATTCAATACCGACGGACGAACTTTCTATCCTGGAGATGATCCATACTGGGAAGCCGCGGATCTCCATTATTGGGTTTGTTTCCCAATTTTAAGGTTAATCGTACCCAGTGACGAAATATCCAGGGTACCAACAACATGGAATGGTATGATCCAGCAGCAATAACAACCAAGGACGGGTCTCTAGTTGTCACCTTGTCAGAGATGGAGACCCACGATTTGCATTATCAAGGCGGTGAGTGAGTCTTTTCTGCTAAAAAAATTCTTATGCTCATCCGTATGGATATGCAGGTATGGTCTCGACATGGTAAGAAGATTGGAGACATGCGCCGTTGTGATATCAACTACCTCATTTCTAGGAACAAATTCTGTTTCACAGGGGGGTATATCGAGACTTCTGTGATGTTGCCTGGCACCACTAATGTCCTCGGTCTCTGGCCTGCTATCTGGACCATGGGCAACCTTGGACGTGCAGGATATGGTGCGACCCTTGAAGGCACGTGGCCGTATACATATGGTAAGGTGATGATAGCCTTGATACACTATCTCAGCTCATATCATGTCCAAGACTCGTGTGATATTGGTACCGTCGCCAATCAAACCATCAACGGTGAACCTGTAGCGGCCACAGTTGACGGGGACACGGGGAAGGGCGGCATTCTTTCATATCTGCCAGGACAAAGACTTTCTCGGTGTACATGCCCAGGGGAAAGCCACCCTGGCCCAACTCATCCCGATGGTACCTTTGTCGGTCGTTCTGCGCCTGAGATCGATGTATTTGAGGCTCAGGTAGGTTTCGGCATAATTCAGGTCTTACGTCTCTAATCTTTGGCAGATTAATCAAGACACGCTGATAGCGCAGGTATCCCAATCCGGGCAATGGGCGGTACGTCGAACCCGCCGAGGAACCATCATGGTCTCATAGTCTCATAATTCATGCAGCCGTTCAATCATGCGTATGTCTGGCAAAATACGTCCGACAACTTCTATGTCCGAGATCCATCGGTATCGCAATTAAACACCTTCATGGGTAGTGTGCTCCAGCAAGCAACGTCAATCGTGACGGACACGGATACTCAATGTTACGAGAAAACGGGCGGTTGTTTTTCGATTTATGCGTTTGAGGTAACTCTCCAGGGTAATACTTTTCAGAATGCCGATTCTGACATTGGATTGTGTGCAGTATAAGCCAGGTATGTCGTGCTATCTTGGGTAAACTGAAGTCCTCCCCTTACCAGTACAATCTCCTGGCGACCAGGATACAATGACGGGGTGAGCACTTCTTTGGTCTCTCCGTCATGGTACTCACCTTCAACCTTCAAACCATCCTAGTACATAACGTGGATATCTGACAACCAGATTGCATGGTCTATCAAAGCCGCTGGTATGGGACCTGACTTATCTGTTGAAATATCAGAACGTCCAGTACCAACGGAGCCCATGGTATACTCGTCCTTCCAAAATTTTAGCACATTGACGTTAACAAAAATTATAGTATATAATCACGAATTTGGGAATGTCTACAAATTTCGGGCCTGTCGATATTGAACATCTCGGTTTCCCAGTTCACATGGCGATTGACTATATACGTGTATATCAGGTTGATTGTTTTTTTTTGCGCCTACTAGCACTATTTGGACACTAATGTTTTCGACAGCCTATTGACAACATTAACATTGGTTGTGATCCCCGGGACTTTCCTACACAAGCGTATATTAACGAGTGAGTTTGGTCAACCTTTGTTCTACGTGATGACCAGACTGACCGCCCCACACTGGCAGATACATTGAAGCGTACATGAATCCTAATTTGACGACTTGGGTTGATGACTTTCAAAAACCATTCCCCAAGAACTCGTTCCTTGGCGAATGTTAATCGCACGGATGAAAATAGTCTTTTTCCCGGTGAAAGAGATCACATATGATTTCTCGGACATCAGCCCTATGATACCATTTGCATCTTGAAAGCTTACTATTATCCTCATCAGCTACTTTATATACATCCCCCGGCATTCTACGAACTCTTCTTGGCATCGAACACTTTATAACTGCATAATACCTGTTATTGTCGCATTATTCTGGAGGGCGTAGACGGGATTTTGACGACTACACTGATCCTTGTCCTTCGGTATATTTGTACTACCCTGTATTGTTAGTTTACCACTATAAGACTTACGGAAAGGTACCATGTTAGGGAACAGCTTATATTTCCTGCACCTTCCCCGCACCCTGATAGAAAGCCGAGTATAATCAGGCTGGAATATAGTCGACGGTGACAGGCTATAACCATAGGTTAACACAGCCGTTTTACTAGCCACTGAAAAAGCGGTATCAATGAGCGGTCATGGTAGGCACAAATTAGGGTATCTCTCTACAAGTGTAATAGGCATACTTCCGCCAATGCCAATCACCACCACCTTTAGCCCTGATGGAACGTCATCAGTCAGGTCATTCAACAGCTCAGGCTTCACCTTCCTGTCCTCGCAGAGCCAGAGGCACATATTCCAAGGCCGTCGGATATCCTTAGAAACGTCATAGTTGCCATTGGCAGAATAAAAGCTGGGGAGTCGCTGTAGGGATAACGTGGCCGGTCGAGAGCTTGAACTAATTACTGGGAACTGACGTTGTTCAACAGATGAGCTGAGCGGGACATGATGTACATAACCCCCTTTGAATAGTTAGTACCGGACAGGACCTGAATGGACATTTGCCTCGCAGATTCGTCAACCTTTTGTCATGCGTGACGGATAATATTGGCCAAGTTACATCAGAGATGCTACTACAGAGTCTACACCGAGATCCTTGAAATGTTTTGTTCAGTAGAGAGACAAATGATGGTATTGTGTATCAATCACCTCTGGAGCGAAAGGCCATTTGTGGAATGCCTGAACTACAACTTGCCACTGTTCAATGGTCAGTGAGTGTATCTTGGCGTCCGGATCAATCCACACGGGATTCTCAGGATTGCAGATTGTTTTCGCTAGCGTTCCGGCACCAGGTCCCAGCGTTCTGATTTAATGGGTAAAATGCTAGGGCAGGGACAAACAAGCCTCTCACAATAATGCTTTTTTGAAGGGTGTTGCCTTTTGTACAAACATCCGACGCAAACAATAGTCCCACTTGTCTAGCATCTCAGGAGATATAAGCTAAGGAGACAGTTAGGAACGACGGAACATGAGTAGTGGGTGGGTCGACGTACAGCGTCCGCACGAGGGACCATGTTTATGACCTGAAAAGGCATCCCCAATCTTCTCCCTTTCACCAATTTTCTGGATTGTCGTAGTTCTCCGACCTTCGTCATTATTGCCTCAGATGGTGCTGGATGAAAATGTTGTTCAAGCGGTTGTGTTTCCGAGAAAGGTAACGCCTCCTCGCATTTGGCCGTTGCTTCGGCTATAACGCTAAGTTTGCATCTCAGTCTATCTCCTAGGGGGCCAGATACGCGCTTTTCATGTGGTTTCAGTAAAAGGCCTCAAAAACCAGCAATGAACTTACCTGCCATACATATTCACTCATGACATGGCTCAGAGGCACTCTACCAAACTTGAATAACCATTGGCGGCCAGGAATGGTGCGAAATTGCTGTGCAATAAACTGTTCTCCCGATATCGTTGCTCTGAGGTGGGAAATATAATGTAGATTAGGGTGCACTAGAGAAATTGTTGGGTCATTCGGAGACTGTTTGTACAGGTGAACTTACCACCAGCCTCCCAGGATAGCTTGTCGACATCGCTTAACAGCCCCATTTCTTCCACCATATCATACGTGGACCATGACACCGCAGGAAGATCAAGGACTTTGACTCTATCGTCGAGCTCTTCTAGTGCCTTCACGTTCGTAAGGACTGTGTTCCAAGGGGTGAGAATGACATACTCTGAGATACTTCAAATAATCGTCGTGAGTTTCGAGCACAATGAGCTTTTTGATGCGCTTTTTGGGCAACGCGAGTAAAGCTCTTGTCAACTGGCCCGGACCTACAAGACTGTCCGTTATTATGAAAAGCATGGCTATGTTCAAAAATCGCACCTGGATACGCCTCAATGATAACTTTATCTTTAGACCCTTCTGGCACAAATGCGTTGGCAATCTTTTTAGCAGTTTCTGGATTTGCAACAGATATACGATGCGCAAGTGAAGGATTTGATGGAAAATAGCTGCGCCATTGTAGAAAGTCCGGAAGGTCAGTGTAGTCTTTGGGTGTCTCAGTTTTTATTTTCTTGGTGCGGTAGTATCTGCGTGGTGCGCGGGAGTACAATGCAGAGATCTGAAGTCGGCATGGCGGACACTGGGGTAAGAGAGGCATACACGGTCACGCGTGACGAAATACTCGCTTCTGTTACTAAAGTTGGTGCTTTTGATTCCCACGATTTCTGAGTATCTGACCCAGGTGCCACGTGAAGAGTCGGAATCGCAGGAGCCAATCAGAGTCGTCGCAATTCCTTCTCCACGATGACCACAATGTCTCGCGCTTTGAAGACAGCAGGTTTGTTGGAATCTACTATCCCTTCTCTCATGGGCTCATGATATGTATCTTATGCAGTTGCTGCCGCTGGACGACGGGCAGCTACGCGGCCAGCGGGTCTTTCCGGTGTGTCTACAAAGTCTTCCACGTCAAACAGCATATTCATTGAGTTGCAGCACACCGATGGTTACATACAACGAGATCCACCATGCAAGCGGAACCGTCGTCGTCCCAGCCTTCCATTCCCTCTTTTTCGTTATCTTCGACTCAGCCATTGGTGGAGTTGGCGAACAGAGATTCCAACCAGTCCAGTCTTGAGCATCCACAGAACAAATCAGGTGCGCGCTGACTGCCAATTTTCCCGAATCTTTCTTTATCATTCATGTTGTTTAGAATTTGTACTGTCTACTGTGGACAAGATTGCGAATTGGGCGCGACAAGGCTCGCTCTGGCCTGTGACCTTCGGTGAGCATATGATGCCGGGCTCAAGAAGGTTCTGACAGTCTTGCGCAGGTCTTGCGTGTTGTGCAGTGGAGATGATGCACATGGCCGCTGCCCGGTACGACCAGGACAGACTGGGAATCATCTTCCGAGCCAGTCCTCGACAGAGCGAAGTTATGATTGTTGCCGGTACACTCACGAACAAAATGGCACCTGCGTTACGGAAAGTGTACGATCAAATGCCTGAACCTCGTATGTCATGCACTGTATGTGCGGGAGATATCGGGTTATTGACGGATACTCTAGGATGGGTTGTGTCAATGGGCTCGTGCGCCAATGGAGGTGGATATTACCACTATTCCTACTCGGTTGTTCGTGGATGTGATCGTACGTGTTGCCATCATCTGCACTGCACGTCCGTAACGCCTTTACAGGGATCGTTCCGGTTGATATATATGTACCTGGATGTCCCCCGACAGCAGAGGCGCTCCTATATGGGATGCTGCAACTGCAGCGCAAGATGCGACGCAGCAGGAAAGCGGTTCTTTGGTGGGTTACATGGAAGATTGCAATACTAGAAACTAATGGATCGGTTGACAGGTACCGCAAGTAACTCTTTTGAAAAGCTGATGGTTACAGTCGTATCATTGATTCTGAACAGTGTATAGAATCAGACAGAGTATTTTTGCCAACTTTATTTCAATTGCCGTCTAGTTGGCAGAGCTTGAGACAATAATATGTACAAAAGCAACTGCAAAAAAGATAAATATTCCATTGATTGTCGTTGTAAAAGGTCCGGTCGGACCTAAGCGAGCGCCTCAGATCAACCCTATCCAAGGCTGACACAGCTTCTACTTGGACTTGGTGCACTCTCGCAACAAAATCTCTTCTTCTCCTCTTATCACGGCCGGTATCTCCTCAACGTCGAGCAACAACCCAGGATCCCTCCAGCTCGTCGTTGCCGGCGACGCCAGCCCTTTTTTCACCACCGCTTTATTTCCAATCCCTTTCACCTTCACCTCCAGCCTGTAAATTTTATCCCTTCTGCCTCTAGACGATGGCTGCCACCGTCTACCCCTCACGAACCGACACGAGTCCGAATGTACATTCGATGTACCCGCGAGCCCTAATTGCTGACCTCGACTTCGGCGACAACCGATACCCCTCAACGACCACTGCACCTCGGTCAAGCCCTATCGTCGGAGACAAGTCCACAAGGGATTCAAATGTGCAAAGGGAGGGCGGTTCGAGTCGAGGGAATGACGAAGCAGTGGCCACGAGCACCCTATCGGTCGGACGGACAGCAGATATACCAAGGGCGTCTGATCAGCACCTTCAGTCACAGTCGCGAGGGCCGTCCCGTGCAGAAGCCTCTGACCTTGCATCGATAAAATCCCAATCACAGGAGCCGTCGCAGGAGCCTCCACGTAGCCAAGTGTCATATGCCCTGCCTCAAGGAGCCTCTCGCCGTGTGGTAGAACGGTACAGCTTGGACGACAACACACAACGTGCCCCTTCCAGAGCCCAAGAAGAGGCCCGGCAGCCCCCCGTGGATGCCTCGCCGCAAGGAAAAACTGCTTTGCCCAGGTTGCCGTCACAGGAGCCAATAGCAGGTCCTATTCCTTCCACTCCCCGCCATCCTGCTTTGCCCGTTTCCGGCGCTGTTGCCGGTCCCAGTTATACTGTCGCAATGCCTCCTGCAATTATCCCATTATCTGCATCTCCTGGCTATGCACCTCCTGTATCCCAGCGTCTTCGAGTGTATGCCCAACAGCCGACCTTCATTAATCAAAGCACGACTCCAAATCCCGTGAATCCGGTCTATTCCCCTACGCCTCCTCCACCTCGACAAGAAGAGGTTTGTGTTGAATGTGCCATGCGTGATCAGGATATGGCCGATGTCGACGTAACATCTCCAGGAATGTGGGAGCGGGAGAGTGATATCTTGTATGAGGAGCTAAAACGCAGAGAGGAGGAGGAGGAAGTCACAGGAATCCTCAATGTCGATGAGCCTCCAAGGCCAAGAGCGAAGGGTGGCCGCCTAACTGAGCAAAATGTCAAGATATGGCTCAGCGTGGTGCGTTTGTACATGCTTCAACCTGCACGGCTGTTTAAATGTGATTCCTAGACCGCACGAGAAACGACATCGCGGAACCAGACCCTCAGTGCGTATGTCACTGCACAGAGGAAACTGCTAGAAGAAGAAGCTCTCGCACATACCCGTGCAATGCAAGAGGCGAAACAACTTGATAACAGGATGCGAGATGCCTACTCCCAATTACGACGCTCTGCATACGACATGGGTAACAGTGCAGCACCCAGCGACGACACGGGTGGGGTCCGTATCAAACCTCCTCGATCTCCTACGAACCCGCTGCACGATCGCGCACATTCTCGTGAAGTAACCCTCTTGGAGAACGGCATGATTGTCGAACACGTGGACGTTCGCAAAGAGGAACGCGAGGCTCGAGAGCGCCGCCGCAGGGAGGAGAGACGGGCTCGAAAGTCTTCTCGAAGCTCTTTCGTCGACGCTCACTCAGTAATGTCTTCTCCGAGTCTTCCCACTGACAGTGGCATTGGTCTCAAGCCATCGACGCGCTATTCTCAAGGCAGTCCGGGTCGGCCTATGAGTGTCCTAACTGCACCCCTTGATCGTCCAGAGCTTCCGCGTGCTCAGTCCCAGGCCTCGTTTTCAGATGTGCACAGCTTGAGCTCCACGTCCCCACGACGTTCTCGCTTTTTTGGATTCCCTAACTTCCGGGAAGGATGGAATAGCCGTGACAGCTTGGCGGTATCAGGGATGTCGGGAAGCATGGTTGATATGCAGTAAGTCTTCATTGTTCACAGCGGGAAACATTCATAACTTATGTTAATCTTTGAAGCGTTGCATTGCAACGTGAAGATGCGGCTAATCGATATGTATCCTCTCCCATTGATCTGAGCACTCCTCGTCGGAGTCAGCTGTGGAACGGTGCGGACTTGGAACCCTTGGAACCCACTGTATCACGTCAGTCTCGGTATTCAGAGAGCAAGAGCCAGAAGAAGAAGAAGGGACTCGCTAAAATCTGGCGCATGGTGACGAAAGGATCTAAGCATGATGACATTGCCAGCGAGAAAAGGCAGCTACAGTCCAATCGCAGAACCGAAGATGATTACCCCCTAGCACCACCACCACCTCTTACCTATCTTATGAACCGTGAAGGTCGTCATGCTTCTACACCTTCTCTCACCTCTTCCCCACCAAAACTTACTGCCGGCGTTTCCCCCCCTACAGCTCCCTCAAGCCTTCTACCTTCTCCTGCTTCATCACGGCCTTCTGTCCAAGACGCAGACACAGCAGTTGTACGCAAGTTGAGCGGCAACTATGATGACGTCGACGAAAAGAGCCCGTCGAGAAACGTGCACTTGATGACTTCTGATCCCGACATACGCAAGCGTGTTGCATCTTCATCTCCTGTTCCCGCCCTTCCCAATAATTATACCAGTCTTCCTGTTTCCTCTGCTGGCTTGACACGCGAAAAATCGCTGCCTCCACTTCCTGGAGAGGCACGACGCCGATCTAATAATGCCCCAACGTCATCAGACCGACCTCAAACTGTATATACCTTCGACACCCGAAGACCACCTCCTGGAGCTGGGCCGACCCATGACTTCCTTCCGCCTCAAGCACCCTTCCGTAACCCAGAAGCTCGCCGGCAGTCCTTCGGTGGGCTCACGTCACGTCCAAATCTGGATGGACTATCAGAACGGGCGCGGAACCAGACAATGGCAGGCTATGACCAACGTGACTCAATGGGTCCCATATACGACGAATTTGGTGGTTCAAGGCGATCATTGCGCCTTGATTATGCTGCGACGACAAGCAATAGGAATAGCCTACCCCAACCTACAAAGCGAAAGTCCAGATTCGGACTATCGTCTTTACTCGGCAAGAAGCAACCAGAAAGAAATCCGATGCAGGATAACGTTGCCCAACAGTTCCCTTCGTTCCGGCAGTCGGCTGGGTCTGATGCTTTGGACGAGGTGACAACCAACGGAGGCTATGCTACTTCTGCGTCGCGACATAGTGCGTTCAGCGGCGTTGGTGGACCAAGGATGTCCATCACTTCCCGAAAAGCATTAGAGGAGCTCGTAGCACAAGATACGGACTTCGTGGCATACCGGTATCCCTCTAACGATCAGCATTTAGATTTGGCGCGGTAACAGAGTACCACGTCGTCTATCACATTTTGTTGTATATTTTACCTACTCGACATTCCTTTGGATTCTTTTTGCTTTCACAACCACCGAAATCCTCCCTGGCTATCTTGCCGTACTCAGTCATTCATTTGTTTTCTTAGCGACCATTTGGACTGGCATCGTATCATACTTATCGACTTATTGTAAATTGCTACTAAACGATAGTACGTGGATTCTGAAGTCGCCCCGGCCCGAGGGATCCTGCAGTCCTGGATCGAGCCACCTTTTCCCTCAACCATGGCACCGAAAGCCTCCTTCAGGTATGTAGCGTAGCTGATAAAAAAAAAAGGAATATATTCTCGCCTGTTGGTATGTCTACGATTAGTTCTCTGGCACCTTTTCTAACTTGTCTCGTGACCATTTCAATCCTTGAATCCAGCGCCCTTTCTCAGCATTGCCATCAACTCCTCAACTTTCTCTTTGTGATCCGCTGGAAGTGGTGGGATGGGGGTCAACTTGTGTTCCTTGCCTCTGGCCAGCACGAATCTAGGCTTAGCAAACGCCTCTATGCTCTCCAGTGGATTTCCTTCGACGGCAACTACATCTGCGACGAAACCTGGGAGAAGTTTGCCTGTAACTTCCGATAAACCGCACGCCTCTGCCGCCACGTCAGTGCATGCAGCCAACAGTTCGCGCGGCGTATATCCCGCATCCGCCAGAGCCGTAAGGCCATCAGCGTAACGCTCGAAGGGACAATGTCCGATTCCGTTGTCGGTTCCCATGATAATCTTGGCGTTGAGTGTTCGCAATGAAGCCAGATTTGCTACAATAGCAGCGCGATGGTCCCAAGGACAGAAATAATTCTCTCCAGCAAGGCAGGCGGTGTTCATCGCTGAAGGCAGTCAGCGTGTCATTCATGAAATTATAATAATTCTAATGCTCACTGGGGCAGACGTATACACCCTTATCCACGATGAGTTGGGCCACTTCGCCATCGAATTTTGTGCCAGACTTGGTACTCCAACTGCAATGCTCGATGCTGTCGAACCCAGCCACGACTGCTCTGCGTATACCCTCTCCACCCAGGGCATGCGTGGTTACCTTCACACCCTTGGCGTGAGCGGTGTCAGCGATGGCCTTGAGCTCCTCGACTGAGTAACGCGCCTCAGATGGATGCGAGCCAGCAGTCATGAAGCCTCCGGTGCTCATTACCTTGATAACCTCGGCACCTTCATCCAATCGCTTTTGTGTCATTTTTGTGACCCCTTCCACTCCCTCAGCCTCTCCGCCCATCGCATTGCAGTGTCCGCCAAATACCGTAATTGGGGCATTTGCGCACATCAACCGTGGTCCCATAATCTCGCCCCGGTTGATCCGCCCCTTCATCTCCATAACTCCCATGCCGTGGCTTGCAAGGTCACGGACGGTTGTCACCCCTGCGTCCAGCAGCCGGAGTGCGTTCCTCTCCATGAGTTCTCTGGTTTCTTTTTCCTTAGTTTGCGCATCAGAAAGCTCGTCGCGGCTAGAATTCATCTTCATGCGCATGGGATCAAATGATACATGCACATGACAGTCGAAGAATCCTGGGACGATAGTAACTGCACCTAAGTCGGTCACTGTGGTTGTAGGCGTGAGAAGGGGCACGATAGTGGTGAACCAGGGACCAGAAGCCGCGATTGTGTCGCCCGAAACCAGTATGCCGCCGTCAGATATCGGGTCGGCCGAGCTGGACGTGACGAGGAGCGCTGCACGGTATGCTTCGTTCTGTATGTTGGTGGACATGGACGTCATGGGTTTCTCTTGATATGCTGTAGAAACAGAGCTTCCGGCCCACGCCTAAATAGCACGCAGCTGCTGTGGTGATACACGACCGGCCGGTCGCCTTGTTCTATGCCTGGGCTAGCCCGGGGTCCAAACAGGTTCAAAGGTCCAACAAGTGCATCACTTGTAAGAATACGAACAGCTTACCATGCTCCCACCCGCGGCCGAGAGAAAAAGATCGCCGTTGAAGGTACCGCACTTGTTGCCTATCTAGCCGCCTTACCGCGGCTCTACTCCGCTTTGATCCGCTTCAATTCTTGCGATCGGTGCATTTAAGTGTATCAGAGGCGAGGCGGTCTAATGTTCGTCAGAGCAAGTCCGTTGCTTCTCAGCGATCTCATCATGGAGAGCGACGCCAGCACCATCTCCTGCGCAGCCAAGGTCAAGGATGCTGTTGACATTGATGTTAAGAATGTCAACACTTTATCGGCCATTCCAGAATCCGAGAGGGAGGCTGCCATTGACACGGTAGCTGCTGCTGGTATGTTCTTTCTCGTAAACATCTGTCGCGCTATTCAATATTTTTGCAGAACAGTATACTGAAGAAGAATACAAGAGCCTTGTCCGAAAGATAGACTTGGTTCTCCTGCCACTAATGTGGGTCTTGTATGGGCTCCAGCAAGCTGACAAAACCGGCATTTCCACGCAAGCAACGTGAGCTTCTCTTTTTTTTCCTCCCTGGGCTTCCTCTCATTAAGATGAAATGTGATACAGGTTCAATATGTGGTCAGACCTCGGCATGAAAGGCCAAGACTATGCTCTACTTACCACCATTTTCTACGTATCATACCTTGTCTTCGAGACCCCTGGAAACTACATCATGCAACGTATCAACATTGGTAAAATGCTAGGTGTATTCATGTTCTTCTGGGGCATTGTAGTCCTTTGTACCGGATTTGTCACGACGTGGGCAGAGATGATGGTGTTGAGAGCTATCCAAGGTGAGCTGATGAAATGATCTCCGAATTCATTTTCCTAATGTTAGCTATGACTTCAGGTGCTCTAGAAAGTGTCATATCACCCGCCTTTCTCCTTCTGATTGGTGCGAAGCTTCTTTGGCAAAACTGCGCTGCCCTAAAGCTGTTATATTTTTGGTCAGGTGCATGGTATCGGACCAATGAGCACACCCTGCGCAGTATCGTCTGGGGAACGGCAAATGCAGGTTGTTCTTCCATACAAGTGTATCGTTTCTCCAATTCATCTGCTTCTTCAGGTTTCGGTATCATTAGCAGTCTATGCATGTGTATGTATGGTGATAGTTTCGTTGATCCATGATCTTACATAAATCTCGGCAGATGGCATTGGAGAAGCTGCTCTGAAGCATCCAAATGGCATAGACGCTTGGCGAGGCATTAGCTATTTCCGTTGAGTATAATTTCATTGGCTCGTTCTCGGATGGAGGTTGATGATGTTCGGTTCAGTGGGAGGTTTTACTATTATTATGTCATTCTTCACGTTCGCCATCCTTGGGTATGACCATTTCTGCATTTAATATCCGGTTCTACCTGATCGCAGATGTCCAGCACTCCCCGTGAAGTATGGTGGTTATCTAAAGCAGAGAAACGCATGGCAGCTGCTCGCATTGTGGGAAACCAGACCGGCTCCGACCGTATGAAACGTGGAGAATGGAAATGGCACCAAGTAGCGGTCGCATTCCAAGACCCTCAGACATATTTCTTCTTTTTTACCACAATCGTCAATTCAATACCAAAGTACGCTTTTTCATGTTCCCCGCTCTAGCATGTCCGAAACTGACTTCCGAGGTATAAACAGCGGCGGTACAACATCTTTCGGCTCACTCGTCTACGTCTCTTTCGGGTTTACGAACTTGGAGACTATATTGAAAGGCACCGTTCCTCGGAACGCGTTCTCGATCGTCTGGTTTCTTTCTATAGGCCTCTTTACGAGAAGATATCCCAAAACGCGGTTTTTGTGCATGTTCATTGCTGTTGTCCCGGCATTCGTTGGAATGCTCGCGACAGCATTGCAGCCGGGCGATGACGCACATTTGTGGTCAAGGTGGGGAACGTATTTCATGACAGTAACGTGAGTGTCCATTCACTTTGGCCTCTTTGATTTTTGGTCTTTTACGCCAATTGACGCTTGTGCATGTAGAGGAGATATTGCTGGATTGATGATATGGACATTCATTCCGAGCAACGTTGCTGGGAGAACGAAGAAATCTGTCACCTCTGTTATTCTCTTCGTTAGTTGGAGATTTTTTGTGAACTTGTGTGTCGCTCAAGGTTAATATTCATTGTTTCCAGGTGGCATACTGTGTCGGAAACTCCGTTGGAAGTCAAGTCTTCCAGTCGAAGGTAACATTTCTGATGCTCTAAGGCCGTTGATTTTGAGCGCTGAAAATGCGATTTCAGTGGTCGCCTCGATATGTACCTGCTATCCTCATTTCTGCGATTTTTGTAGGTCTTTAACCTTTTCCACACGAATTTGCACAGGGTGATGTTTCTCTTGACAGTATGGTTTGGAGATGATCTTGTTCCTTTCGTGGCGTTTCTACTACATTTACGTGAATCATCAACGCGATAAGGCTGCTTTTGCCAAGGGATTATCCGTCGAGGAACGGGAGCATTTAGGACGGTTGGCGGCAGAAGCAGACGTGACAGATTTTGAGAACGAGTACGTTGATCTTCTAAGACTTGTGCATTTCAGATCCCGACATCTTTGCAGACATTTCCGATACGATTATTAAAGCCCTGAGGCATCGACCTGGCATTGGCATCGCATGTGAGTGCTCACCCAGTTCCCCTGGTTTGGCTTAGCATTTAGTGCCTCAGACTTCTAATAAAATGGATGTATAGATATCATTTATTCATCATGTTCAAGATCCCATAATATGAATGTACGACTTTTTACATATTCGTGTACATGCTGTTACGATAGTTCGTATATTCTGGTCACAGTAAAGTTATACGGGAACAAATCAAAAAAATGAAGAAGCTCGAGGACATGCTAAGTGTCCTGTGATATTTTATACCTGTGGAATTCCTCTAGTGACGTGCGGATACGTCGAGGCAATGAGCTAAAAGAGTAAACATTGGATTCACGCCACAAAGAAATGAATCAAGTCTTACTCTGAACAACTCTGGTGCCCTGATAGCTAGCACTTGTGGATCCTCGCCGAGGCCGACGAATCTGCAGACAGTCAGTTGGGTCCTATTACAATCAACGGTACCCACATCGTTGAAACCCCAGCTTCGATTGCAGATGAGAGTGTGAGCGCTGAATAAATGTCAAAAGTTACGTCCTCGCCAAATCGATGAAAGCTCACAGCATTGGACCCCGATTAAGAACGAGAATAGCAATATGGGTGCAGTATACTGCCCATCGGTGTTGTAAGAAGGCGCTGTGACTATATGATCGAGCTCAGTATCATTGGAAGGGCGTGTCAAGTTGGACTTACTTCGGAGATACAAGTACGCAAAGAGAGTTGACAGTAAACCCACGGCATAGGCACCCCAAGTGAGAGCTACAGGGCACGCATCTGTTAGATCTTTCGTAACAAAAACAGTGAAAGATCTCACTTATTCCGACCAAGGAATCATTGACGAGGGCGTCGATCCCACGATCTTTGAACAACCTCCAGGTATCCTTTGCCGCGGTAATGTATGATTTGCCGTAAAGAGCTTGATATCACTGACATGAGTGGTGGAAAAATGAAAGGGAGCAAGCCAGCGTACATATTTCAATGTATGCATATCTTCGACCGGCGGTTAGCATCATGCATCGTAGAACTTCGTTGAGACCCATACCTATTGAAGTATTCAACGAGGTACTCAATGCATCCAATACAGCACGCTGCGCAGCACGCCAAACACGCCTCAACCGCTTCAAGTTTACGACGCGAAGATGAGCATGTGAGAAGGGAAAAAATGGCAGAGAACTTACGATGCCCATCCTGATTGGCATTGTTTTGGACAGCATTCAAAACCAACCTAACGAGCTCCAGAAGCGTGACGATCAAAGAACCAAAGGCAATGGACCCCAACGATAATGTCGACGTGCGGGCAAAGGCGGATAGCGTTGGATGTTTTGGCTAAGGTAATATGAGCTTCTGTCAAGCAGATCGCACAAATTCTTACCATTTCTCCCAACTGTCTCGGGCCGAAGTAATACCAAGATCCAAAGGGACCACCCGCCAGAGTAGCTAGGGAAACATTACCGATGACTTGCGACGTCCAAAGGAAGGAAAAGGTTTCATAAAAGATAAGTCCGGCAACTGTGCTTCCTGAGCATGATGATGAAGAACAAGATGGACCACCAGGAGTCCATTTGGCATATGTTGCAATAACGGTGAATGTGTACCAGACCGCCAATGCAGCCTGAAGGATCAGCGCGGAGAACGCGACAACGTACACGCTCTTGTGGTGCTTTGACACGTCTATCACGACTTGCAGTAGCAGAGACGCGAGGGGAATGCGTGAACGGAAGCCCCAGTAGGACAGTACAGATAGGAGAGCGATAACTGTAAAAATGATAGCACCGGCTATAAAAAGCGGTGTAAGCTGCCAATGAATAAGGGAACGATGCACACCGCTTACACCAATATTTTGTGATCCAGTAGTAAATGGCGATCCCTCTAAAATGCGATGTTAGCAAGGACCTTGAAGAGAAGGAAACAGGTCTGTACGTGCTAAGAGCGATGCTCAAAACAAGGGTGATATGCATGATTGTTTTGGTAAACACTCTAGTCAGGAGGAGGTAGGCAGTCGAAAGTAATAGTGCCGTTCCTGTGACAAAAAGGAGAAGATATACTGTACTCCTGTAACACAGTGAGCGCCTTGCTTCATCCAAGGCGAAAAAAAGGGTACTTACGAATTAAGCGTAAAATTTGAACCAGAACTGACGCCCCCTTTGCCCAGCCCGCCCCCCAGCCCACCCTCGACAACCCATGACTGAAGTGCAATTCCGGAAACTACTGCGAATCCAATGAACTACCGGAGAGTTGGATGAGTTGGATAATAGGGCGGTGAAGACGTACTTGGAGGATAAAGAGCAACAAGAAGATGGGATCATTGACCCTCTTCCTGGGCTTGAACCTATCGCCCTCGTATGGGTCCTTGACATTCTGGACAAACGGTTGCTGTTGTTGCTGGTGGGCTGGAGCGTAACCGGGCGTTGGACCAGGGTACGGCGCATTTGCATTTCCGTATGGAGTAGTAGATCCTGCATATTGCCCGCCCTCGCCCCACTGGTTCTTGTCGGGCCATTCAGACATCGTCAAAATCGTTGCTCGTAGCTGTTCGTCGCAGTGTTCAGTGTGTTCACCTAAAGGGCGTTAGCCGCGTGCACGACACCACAGATTTATACGTCATTCAGATCGCCAATGCCAAGATGCAGCAGTAATCCAGGAAATACATCCCTCTACCCTTTTGAATACAACTATGCACCGTACTTGGTACGTACTAAGGCCCAAGGTCATCAATGGGCAATGTTGCCGGTTCCGCTACTGTGATACTGAAAATTTGCATCCACGAGGTTTAAAAATGGGCGTCGGGTCCATCACTGACAGGACTACATGCTTGTAGAGGTGCGCGGAATGATGACAATACTACTCCGACTGCTTTCGGGCAACGGCCTTTTGCGTGGTTGTCTTTTCCTCGTCCATCACTATTATGAGAATATCCAGCTGAATGCAATTAACACTCTGATACCAACGGCAGTGCCAAGTGCAACCTGGAGAGCCGAGTTTGAAGATTATACGACGGCCAGCAATGGCGCCTGAAGCATAATCAGAAATTTGTGCATACATGACTTGAAGTGTGGTGGCATACCGTATACCAATAATGACGCTGAAAATACCAAGGACTTTTTGATCGCGAACATAGTCCAGTCGATTGAGGTTGAACAACGCTCCCACCCCCATGAGCTCACACCATATAGTAGTAAGGGGAACTATCGAGTTGATCAGTTATTGAATGTCATTCCAAAGAAAACACAGACCGGTCATCAGAAATTCCTGGCCAAGATTGAGTCCCAGGGAGATGATGATGCACACAGGTCATACGGGCCGCTTTATATAAGCGCTATATTTCTTGGATTAGGCGGTGAGCCAAGTACGAGCCAAGCAGCTCTCATCAGTATCATACGTTGGATGTACTCTTTAACGGTTGTAATATTCGCGCTCATACCCCGAAGCTAGAGAGTACAACATGATACCAAAAATACTGGTTCGACCGTAGCGTATGGTGTAGTATACAGATACGTTGCTATTAATGAAACATTGTGATTGCGGGAGCCCAGAATAAATATAGAAAAAAATAAGTTCTACCAGCTTTTCGGTGTTCATGCAGTTTTAGGCAATACATTCTTGAATCGAATGACGAGGACGGTGACATTGTCTGAAGAGTGATGAGAAAGCGCGTATTTCAGGAGCTTCTGGCTTGCAAGCTGAGCATCATCAATCTCTCGGATGAGATCAACGGCTGCTTGGTCGCTAGCAACGTCCCAGAGCTGGGATTGGTCATCACGGTCAGTAAGTGAATGCCTGATGGAGCTCGAAAAAAGGAACTTACTCCATCGCAGGCCAGAATTACGAACTCATCATCATCACAAAGCTCCGTTTCAGTCGTGTAAGGAGCACCAACGACAAATTCCTTCATCGAAGAATCACCCAAACTACGCGTCACGGCTAAGACGCCATTCACTCTTCCGCTCATGACAAAGCCACCAGCATCCATAATCCGTTTCGCCTCTTGTTTGTCTGATCCTTTATGATCATAGGTGAGCCGAATAGCATTGCCGTTACGACATAGAACCCCGCGCGCATCACCAGCATTAGCTGTATAGAAAACGCGTCTCGCCTCTGGGGGAGGCATTTGCGCCGCAACTTGAATTTGTACAACTTCAACAGACTGTTTCCGGGACACCGAGGGAGATGCTTTGGGGGAGAGAGACGGCCCGCTACCGAGACTTCTGATGGCGTTTTTGAGTCGCTTAGCACCCAGTTTTTTCGCTTTTTTGCGCCGTTTGGGATCTTTATTGTCATCCGCAGTGGCATCACCGCCGCTCTCCCCGCTACTGCTCTCATCCCCGTCAACAAGTGAAGGGGCCTCGGCAAGAGGTGTTATAGGCTTCGACGGCGGTGTTGCTTGATCCAGGAAGGACTGTTTGCTATCAGCATCCTCAAGGCGTAGGAAAGCCGTTACAGCAGTGCAACCAGAATGGATCTTGCCGTCGGATTCTTCACACATGCGGGAAAGACTCCGGTCAACGTCATGGAAGGTTTCATTGAGAATATCGGGGATTGCAAGATCTGGACATGCTCTTAAGCATCGGAGCAACGACTGCGCGTGGAGCGGCGCGGGTGAGCAAGCCAAACCGCAGGATTTGCACAGAAAGCTTACCTCATGGAAATGTGTCCCGCACCACTCGGCGGCATGTTTCCCTGCATGTCCGTCGAATACGGCGAAGAATCCCTGACCGCGTACGCTGTCAAAGTCGGTCACGAAAGAGTGGGAGTCTTCCATGGTTCTCCGGTTGCCTTTATCTTCGGAAACGCCGACCTGGTAGGAGGAATTCTTGGTGGCATGGCGGTTGAGAACCTGGATACTGAATTAGACTAGTCGACATCCAAAAAGAGCGATAGAGCGCACGCCATGGGTGTCGAATTCAGCAGTTGATATGGATTTGGAGCGAGCATTGGGAGATTCTGTGAACCGCATGGCAGAATGCAGGCGATATTGAGAAAACACGGTTATTTCTAAGGAACGAGGTGAGCAGGACCTTGGCCAGGAACGAAGGCGACGCAGAGGATTAATATACTCACAGAGAACCGAGTCGGTTGCCTGTCACGGTGATGACGAAAGAAAGACGGAAAGACGGTTATGTCAGGGAGCTTCGCAGTCGTAATGTCGGCTCCGCAAGTATTCGTCAAGGTAAGGAGACAAGGTGCGAACGTACAAGGACGTAGAACGGAGAATAGGACTCTATAGGGTAAACAAAAGTTGGACCGGGTGAGCGTTGCAGAAAGAGGTTCAATTCAGCCATGTGGCAATTGCAGAAAAGGCAATCTACTCTTCCGACCATTTCCTTATTATACCCTCTCTTTTTTTGTCTCGTCTTTTTCTGTGCAAAGACCCTGCACTAAAGTATTCTTTATCTTCAAGGAGCCCATGTTATAAATATGAAAATGGCCTCCTACAATACATTTATTCATCAACCATGACACGACTGCAGTGAAATACATGAACACTATACAATAGCCTTAGGACTGCGACGCGAGAAAACCTAAACACAAAAAGTAACATAGTGGAATCTCCCCAGCAATCACTTTTGTACAAAGTCCTTGAACCGGATAACCATCACTGTGACATTATCCCGGGTCGGCTGAACTTGGTTACAAAGTGCATGATTGACGAGAATCTTGCTTGCGTACTGGGCGTCTTTGATACGCCGCACAAGGTTGACTGCATCTTGATCTGCCATTACATCCCAAAGCTGTTTGCTCATTAGTCAGTACCCATGTTGCGAGGAGTATAAGCACTTACCCCATCACATGCAATAATACAAAACTCATCTTCGTTCGTCAACTCCGTCCGAGATGTGTACGGCGTCGAAATCACATATTGTTTCATCCGGATACCATTGTATGATATGTGATTGCCCAAGCTCCGTGAAACAGCCAATGTGCCAAATACACGGCCTCGCATAATGACACCCCCGGCTTGCCTTATGCGGGACTCCTCAGATGGATCAGTCACTTTGTGATCCTGTGTCAATCGCTTCGCAGTCCCATTACGACATAGAACCACGCGCGCGTCACCTGCATTGGCACAGTACAGGACTCGTCTAGCTGTGTATGGCGGTACTCTTAGCTGTCGTGAGGCAGACGGCGTAAGTGTCGGAGATGCGTGCTCGGATGCGAGTGAAGAAGCAAACGAGACCTGTGTACCGTCTTCATTTTCGATACGCAGAAAAGCAACCGCTGCTGTAGATCCGGACTCGGCTACCTTTTCAGATTGTAGGGAATACTTTCGCAATGTTTCGTCCACTCTCTTGAATGCCTTGTGAAGAACTTTCTCGGGAGCAAGGTATGGGTGATCATGCATCGCACCCAAGAGCATCTAGTCAACTGTTTAGAAAGTGTTCTGAAATAGACTGGTAAATACACACCTGGTGAAAGTAGTAGCCACACCACTCTGATACATTTTTGTTTCCGTGGCCGTCAAACACGCCAAAGTATCCTTGGCCTCTGACCGAATCAAAGTCAACAACAAAGGCATGCGTATCCTCCATGGTGGGGCGGATGCCCTGGGTTTCGTAGATACCGATCTGGTAGTATTCGTTTCTTGACGGCCGTTGATTAAGGATCTAACAGAACGAAATCATGATGAGTGCAATGTAATACGCCAACTGCGCCTACCCCGTGAGTATTTGAACCTTTTGCAATTGTCATGGGTCTCGACTTTGCGTTTCCGCTGTACCTAAAAACCAAGGCGTCTAAGACCACCACCACATATGACGCGATGCATACGCACCTCATCTGCATCATTGGGAAGGTCTATGAGCCGTCTCGTCAGAGACGAGACACAAGGCAAGGGAAATGGAGCTTACTTGGATGGTAACGCGTGTATAAAAGGGTGAAAGATGGATACGACGGCAGGAGTTTATATAGTGTGTCACCAGCAGTAGATATCATGATCCTACATCTGCTGTTTTGATGGGGGCCAAAGGATAGGTGTTAACTCAGATATGTAAGTAGTAAAGGCATGTAATTCAGTTCCAAGTGTGTGGTCATACTTAGTCTGTCAAAATATATCTAATAATCAGCATTTTCCCCAAAGGTCGAATGAACGCCATGACACACGGAGATTATCAATTGAATGTAACTGTACTCGAAGAAGCAAGTTCTAACTTTGTCTATGCTTGGCAAAGGCCTTGTATCCCGAAAAGGTAGATCGCTGGAGATCAGATTGATCTCACAGGTTCTTGTCTACACACATTGCACACAACCCGGCTTGCCTTGTCCACTCGTTTCCATTTGACTTGAAAACCTGTGGATGTCTCAGCAATCAGCCGCTTCAAAGCCTTCGTTGCAGGGTGTTCGAATCAAAGCTAGGAAAGGCGCCGTAAAGGCTCACGCAAAACACGAACCAGCGGGTTCGTTGATTTTCTCTTTTTTTTTAAAAAAAAGGTCTACACCCTCACCGCACTTTATCTAGTCTTCAGAGACCAGCTCTACAGACATCTCGAAACGGTCCCAGAAGGCGACTTTGATTCATTTGCTACTAAACTAGTTCAAGCAGGCTCAACTCTCGAATTTCTCAAATATGCCGATGCGCTTTTCGAAATCATTCTCGTCGGAGGTCTCATCCAGCCTGGAGGCAACTACGTTGACGATGGTGCTCCTGTGTCCCCGTTTACCATCTTCAATGCTAAGGAACCGGCCGAGGTAGAGGACCTTCGGAAATACATCGAAGTCTTGAACAAACTCATTAGACGGTGCGTCTCGCTTCCCTGTAACTACGACACAATTTCCTCATTGGTTCATTGGCAGATACAAATATCTGCAGAAACCACTGGAAGAATCTGCGCTTCCTACAATCTTGCAATATATACACCGGTGGTCATCAGCTCAGAAAGACAAGCTATCGATAGCGATTGGCCTGTTGTTTTCTCAAGGCTTGGCTAGTGCCTCCTGTTTACAGAGTTTGACGAAGGATCACTTGCTTAAGAATGGTGAGTTGGCGCTGACGCTTCTTTTTTTTTTTCGAACAACTTACCTAACACAACGTAGATGTCTCCATCGATGTCATCACGTTGATATTCCGTTCCTTCCTCGTGGACCAATCCATGGAACATCTGTCAGCGACGCTCAAGCGTGGTGGTATCAAGGATTTACTCGCTTTCTTCCCTGCCAACAAACGCGAGGGCAAGAATCTGGAAGAGCACTTCAAGAAGAGCGGGCTTCCCCAGGTCGCGGAATGGTACGCCAAGAAGCAGTATGCTGTGGTCAAGGAAGGAATAGTCAAGGACCTTCAAGAGCTTTGTGAACGCGAAGAGACCCGTGAACAGGCATGCTCAACCGTCGCCGCTTCTAGCTGTATGCTGATGGTCGTTTTGCAGATTATTGCCGCTATTAAGAGCCGTCAGGAAGCAACGCCAATTCCTGACACGGAACTCATTCAATGCATTTGGCAGGGTCTCATGGCTTCCGTTGACTGGAGCGCACGCCCAGATCAAATTGAAGGTCTCGCTCTGCGTGAAGTTGGAGTAGGTATCATGTATATCTAGCCTTACCTTACCACTAATATCATCATCTAGAAGTTCTCACCTATTCTAGAGCCATTCTGTGACGGACCGAAGACGGAAGTTGCTCTCATAAATGTTGTACAAGTTTATTGTTATGAAGATACTCGCATCATTAAGGCTTTTCCACAAATTCTCAAGGTCCGTGCAACTTGGGTCGTACAATGCAACACTGATAGACTTTGTTATAGGTTCTGTACAATAAAGACTGCATTTCAGACCAAGCTATCGTATACTGGTACCAAAAGGGCTCAAAACCCCAGGGTCGCCAGCACTTCCTGAAGAGCACTGAGGCTCTTGTCAAAGTCAGTTGCTCTTATGTCTGGATACTATGCACGATTTAACTAATCCGCACACACACGTTAGTTTTTGCAGGAGCAGGAGGACGAGAGTGAGGAGGACGAGTAACTGATTACAATGCAAAGGTAACCATGAATAGCTGACAATCGTTGTTTTCAACACGACGATTATTGTACACGAATCACATGAAGTACAGATAAAAAACCGTAACAGGAGCGACACTACCACAAACACTGGTTACAAAAAGACAAGGAACCAAAAAAAGGGTATATCAGATGTGTGTTGCCTTACCACGCCTCTGGTCCGGGCGCAAAATCCGGTGTCCAGCCGTTGGTACCGTGCATCTGCAGGAAGATGCCATCAGAACCGTTGACTGGGAGACCCAGATCTGTGAGACTCTACGCGGCACATTAGTACCGCTTCACAAGTGTGACAGTAAAAAAAAAAATGACCCACTTGTTCTTGAAGCCAGACTGGAATAGCGGAAGGACTGACGATCCCTCTATCACTTGGCCAAACGAAGCCCAGCTCTTCCATTGTGAATGGCGGAGGCATAGCCGGGTCAACGAAAGTGGGGGATATGATCATGTCCGCAAAACCCGGAGGAGGCATTGTCGGTACCGGAGTGTTGATACCACTTCCAAGGCCAACTTTACGACGGAGATTAGCTAGCATAATCCGCAGTGTAAGAGCATATCTGCACATGGTTATCCTGTGTCAGAGGTGCCAAGGAAAGGAAGGCGTACCGCTCAGCAGCGACATCAGATAGAAGCTGAGCCAACTGTTCAACTTGAGTGGTGATTGCACTCAAATCCAGTTCGGCGGGAAACAAACTCGCCATCTTGAGGAGGAAAAGACCCGAGAACGCAGCTGTCACGAGACTATCGTGAACCGCATATCGGAGAGCAGCACTAGATATCGGTGTTTGTTAATCTCCAGAAAGTACGCGGATGTCAGTTTTCAAGGTTCGCACCGGTATTCAGATGAAGTTAAGAATACAGATAAACAACGGAACGCGGCATCTTTAGCTTGGAAGGCCAACTCTCGTTGCTCGAAAGGCATTTTATCCCAAGCTACACCACGTAAGGCAACACAAACGAGCCACAACTTGGCATAATGCAGTTCGCCCACTAAGATTTTTCGAAGGAGGGAGTTCTCGTCCATTGTTTGACCTTTAAGGCGGGGGGGGGGGCATCAGTTGTGCTTAACTCTTAGGGACAGAAATAACCTTACGGTGAAGGTCATCGCAATCCTGCCACCATTTGTCCAAGGCCACGTTCGCTCGTCGGATGAAAGCCAAGGTATTATGATTGACTTGACCGTTCAAGGAAGCCAATGTTTCGTAGATTTGTGCTTGTACAAATAAATTAATCAAATATGGTCCATGAGAGTATGAACCCACTTTTTTGGGCGATCAACTCGACCTGGGAAATCAATCTGACATCTGTGGGAGACGCCATTGGGTGGGAAAGAAGAAGGCGACAGTGGCGGATAGAATTCTCATCGCGTAGAACAATTGGGCGACCGGTGCCCAAGCTCATCCTGGACGGGACGAGAATGAGATCGTTGCGAATAGTACCAGATGAAACTCACTGATGATCGAACCAATATAGACATAGCCAGATGCGAGCTGATACCACTGCATCAATCTTCATGTCAGCGGGCCGGTTTCGACGACAGGTCAGCGAACGTACCCAAATCTCTTTCTTCTTCTTCGGTTCTCTGTTTGCCAGAGTCGTCAGCTAATTTTTCGAGAGCACGATGTAATCCAAGATCAAGGGCCATGCGCATAGCATGACCGCTTGGAAGCCAACCGTTAGTGCTCCACGCAGCCAAGAGAAGCATCCCTATAAAGAGTTGAGCACTCGTGCTGCAACCATCTGGTGATGCAGACCTTGCACGGCCTCCTTGCGGACCACAGGGCCGAAGAGAGACGAACGGGCAATCCCTTGGGCCTCCTCAAGACATTTGAAGAAGGTCGGACTGAGTGGGCCGTTCCCGCTCCGAATCTTGCCGGCGATGGCTAAAATGGCGTCGAACGTCCAAGGTGAGCGCTCCATCAAGCTTTCGTATGTATCGTACGTTGGATCGAAGAGAGGAATGAACAGGTGACAACCAGCGAAAAATCTAATTGGAGAGATGAGGCCTACAGACCGCTAAATGTAGCATACTGAAAGAATTCACATATTGTACAACTCTCGCGCTTCCGAGTCCGCGACGAGACCCTGTCATAGACTTCGGTTGATTGCTCCGATCTAGAAAACGGCATGCCTACCTTTTCGACAACGTGCGGGAACGCATTTCTGGGAATTGGTTCAGCCCTCTTTCGCTTCTTGACTCTGTGGGAAATATCAACAAAAGTTTCGTTTTGGAACATTTGCAGGCTGGATTTACCTTGGGGAAGATGCAGATGGCGCAGCCGCAGCCTCAGCAGCAGCGTTCGCTAGCCCTTGCAATGCTTCGATGGGGGCGTTCAACGTCGCTCGCGGCAACGTATCCTCAGACTCGTCGTCGGTAGATGGAGCAGTGCTCGGAACAATCCCATATGTAGCATATTTGTGAGGCTGTAGAGTGCTGATTAGGAACGTTGTGGGCGCGCTGTGTGATACAACTCACTGGTGGCGCAAATCCGGGCAACGGAGGGAAACGGCCTCGATCGCTGGAGCCTGGACCAGATTCAAAACCATTCCGTCCAGAAGGGGACAATGCGCCATTTCCAGCGGATGAAAAGATTGAGCTGGGCGGGGGCATGCTGCCATTCCCTTGGGCCTGGTTCTGAACGAGGGCGAGAATGCGATCAAGGGAAGACTGCATGCCAATCATATGGCTTTGCATGACCTGGTCAGCATTTCTGTGAGCAAGAGATCTTTCGCAGCATGAAACGGGACAGACGCACAAGATATTGGCCCTCGAGGCGAGAGACTCTCCTAGATCCTGTGTAAGAAAAAAAAAACACTGTAAAAAAGGGATGAGACCTACTCCACGCTAGCGCCAGCGATAGGCTGGTTGGTTTTCTTCTCCTGTACTGTAGCTTAACATGGCACCGAGAGAGAGAGCGACGACAGAACATACTGGCTTCTCGAATATGCATGGAGTACCGCTCAACTGACACCTGCGACATGGAGCCTGCAAAAACCCGGGCCGGGACGGAGAGACGGTCCAGTGAGCGGGACGGTGGATGGTTCAAAAGCACATACCTCGCCTTCACATCTGTTCTTCCCTTTTCTGCATGCCGTGCAGGCCCGTGCACCTCTCTTGGGGATGTGGACAGCCTGGCCCGCATCCTGAGGCGAGCGGCCTATTTCACTCGTCCTACGGCGCTTCGAGGCAGATTCTGAGCCATTCGATACAGACGCAGAAGGACTAAGCGACATGATGGTGGAGAAAAAGAAGCTGGCAGTGGGTGACGATACTGAGACTTGATTACCGTTCGGGACAAACAAACGTCGGACGGTTCAGCGTAATAGTCGCCGTCGGCCTTTTTCAGGTCAACAAGATGCACGTGTTGCCGTGATCAGTTGACGCCTCTTCCACCGTACCACTACTGTCCCCTTGTTCACACATTTCCTTACCCTCTCCCCGTTTTCTAGGTTTTCTCGCGCTACCTGCATCATCGTGCATTCAGTCTTTGTCTCATCTGTCCTACCTGCTTTTTCTCCGGAAGCCAGGCAAGCGAAAGCTACTTTTTGGGCTCTATCAGTGTTCAACAAGATCTATCTTTCCCCACATACGAACCATATCTCCGTAGGCCGCCGTATCAATCCATGACTTCTTTCTTTTGTACTTTTTCACCCGATGACCCATCCAAAATACTATCTTTAGCCAGCGTCTCCCATATCTTCCGGTTTGGTGCTAAGCCGGATTTAAAAAACCTTATGATTCTGTCCACCAAACCGGTCATGATATTTAGTTCGTATCATTCCGAACGGCGAGACTTCAACGTCAGCTTTTCTGCCTTCCTTTAGTCGGATTTTTCTAGACGAGACTTCTGCTGTCTTTGCAATGTTGCGGGTACGTCCTCTGTGGTTCAATGCGAAAAACATTTAACCTCTCCAGATCATTGGACCTTTATTCTCACTTGAGTCGGTGCCTTTTGAGTGCCTTAAAGCTAAAAGTGTATACACGCGCATGGCGAGTGAGATTTTTTGGTTTACATTGATTCCACACCGTCAGAAAGGCGCAGCATACGATGGAATATCAGAAAGAGACCGTGGTCCAGTGCTTATTCTTTCATAGTAAGACATACAGTATACTTCTGCCGTTGCCCATCTTCTTATCAAGGCTAAAAACGCAGAGCTCAGAAGTCCAGTCCTTCAGGCTTTCCATGTCTCTAACGGTCCGGGTTCCGGTGTATTCAGCGACCGAGGCTGTTCAACTGAAATTTCAACATCCGAAGTTGTTTCGCCGTTTCTGGTCCACTCGCAGCTCATCAGGTTATGTACAACCACAAATCTCATGTGGGATGCTGCTGAATCGTTTCTGCGTTAGAACATGCCTGTCTACATGTCGGAGTGTCGTTCTTTCCTCTCTCTTTCTATATAGTTTTCCGCAGTTCGCGGGCTTGAAAATTCTCATACGACGGAGCTCTCGCAACCGCTGCCACCCGTGTCATGCGTCCTTCGTCGGCTTCTACCTTCGATGACGATAAGTAGGTACGAAGTTGTTTTTTTTTTTCAATCACAATCAGGCTGTCGCTGATATACTTACATCCAGACCACGCGAGGATCAGCAACAACATGAGGAACATCACCTTTACTTGCGACAATTCACCTTCCATTTGGTATCAGTCCCCGCTCACCATGACGAAGGGCAAATATACATAGAACGCCGCCTAGGGAAGCAGGTCTTTACGATGATGATTGCTGCAGCTCGGTTCGACTCAATGTGATTCCTATTCAGAATCAAAGAAAAGTCGTAGCTGCATCTGTCTCTCTGTAGTTTGTCTGGCTATTGTGCTACAGGCTCAAAAATTCTAACAGACAGCTGATCCCACCATGTGGTAAATCAACCGAAGAGAACAAATGTATGTGAACTAGCCTGCCGCTGCGCATCGTCGTCATGAGTGTTTACAACTGTAGCAAGACTGAAAAGGCAACCATTTGCAAGTACTAATGGTCACAGAAGCAGGTCCAGACTTCCGTTCACTGCTGGCAGCCAGTTAATAATGCTGTCAGGCGATATTCTGCTCGTATGAAGTCACTTCTTGAGGCTGCAGTATATGCCATGCATTTTGAAAACTATTCGTGGCCCTTTAATGCTTTAGCACCTGAATGCAGACAGATATATCATTTGTCCCTGAACATCTTCTGAGCCGTAACCTTACCAGGCATCATAGAGTTATACCAGACATGATCGTTAACGAACAAATCTCGGAGTCGATATGCTCACAACCTTCCGCAGGAAAGCGTTCGGGCCATTAGGGAGTCCTTATCGAGGTCAACGTTACTCCAAACGAGCGCATTCGACGTAATTTGGGCAGATGAACCGGGCAAATCATGGACTGAGGGGAAAATCTGGTTAACTCCACTGAGCTCGCCGTAAATCCAAGCATACAAAAGTTTGTTTCAAGAGTACTTCGTGAGACTGAATTTTTACCAACACACCACTGAACTAGGCTTTACTATTATACACGGTGATGCGGAGCAACTGATGCTGATCTACAGGCATGAGGGTTGAAACTTAAACCCAAAGAGGTGACACATTGAGTGAAAAGCGACGGGCGGAATTTGATAAGGGAAGTCCAATAAAGCTAGCATATATCCTCATATTCATCATCCACGCCAAGGTACCGTCGAATCTCACTAGATTCCACAAGGGACTGCCGAAGAAAGTAAGACATGAGAACACCGTAATTGTCTAACCGCACGCGTAAGTATTAAATATGAGGACGAAAGAGCAATGACTATCCGTACCGGTCCAACGAATAGCAGCTTCTTTGGCCAAGGTGATGCCACGCTTAGTTTCTTCCAATTTCACGGGATCACAGGCACCGTATGCGCCGAGTTCATCGTCCAGCTTGCATAACTCTTTTTTCAAAATCACGAGTTTCTCCAAAGACTTGGTGCGGGATTCCTATGATACAGATAATTAGTGATGGAGCCGTTATGGGCATCTCTTTTCTCACAGATTCTACCCGCAAACCCTTTTCGAATTGAATGGAGACTTTGATCTCATCGAGCTGAGCCTGATTTGCAGCGCGCTGCTCGTTAGCTGCATTCAGTCGCCCTTGAATCTAATAATATGGCGTCATGGGAGGGAAGGTTTAGGAGAGGCAGAGGACTACCAATGCGCCATGCTGGGATGGGAAGCTCCAGAAAACTGCAAGGCGAGATGAAGAACATGGGCAAGGAAACAATTTATCGCCAACGCACAATTCGAAGAGCCAATTTTATCACCTTGTACCAGCCCATCGTCAACGAGCGACTGGAGAACTTCCTTTACAGACTGCGAAACTGGAGGATAATTGTCAAGGATAGCAGCAGGGGTCATGTGTGATAACAAACCTATTCCCTTCATTTTCGGACCGAGCCTCTCGAGCTCTTTCAGCTGAGAGGTCACCGTCTTCAGGAAGTTCGACAAAAGATTGAAAGTGATTAACCTGGTAGAAGTCTTTCTATGTAACGAAAGTCATTGCCGAGGTGTTGAAGAGAGAAAGAAATAGCCTGACTTACAGTTTCATGGAAGATTTCGAGCAATTTGACGCGTTTCTCTTCAGATGAGAGGCCTCGTGGAGCCTGTAGCAAAGTTAGACTGAGATAACACGCGATAGACGTACCATGCATACCATTTTCGAACTAGAGGCAGGCGCGCGCGGCTGTTCGTAATGGTGGACGTGAAGGGACAATCACGTGACGTTATGACAGCGACGCGTCCGCTTCGTCTCGCACTGGCATCCCAGCCACTGGACCAAATATTCGAATACAACAAATCTGACAAATCTGGATGGCTGCTCAATGTAACGTCGATCTCTGTCTATTACTTTTTAAAAAAACTTGAAACAAACTTTACTGCGTCTCATTTGAATCTCATTGCGTGTTCTGAGCGCTTGAGCCTTAAGCTTGGAGGTGGCAGATCTGTACAGAGATACCCGCGCTCTTTGGTTGTTAAAATCGTCCGGGGCATGTCTTGCAGCCAATAACCTCGAATTCGACGGCCACGCGATGTCTCATGGTAAGGTGGGACTTCGAACGGAGCATCTAATTTATCGTGGACAATTGTTATAACCGCTGAGTGAAACTGACAAGTGAGCAGTAAAAGGCATGGGTTATATATGGAATTAATGACGAGATATACAGACTTATGTACAGTGGGCACTATGGTAAGTCTAATGTCACTTGATAAACGGACATGACTTTTCATTTACTCTCCATGGAATGTACAAAAGTGAAGGCATGGCATCATCTTCTAACCCCAGGGTATATAGACATGAATGCCGGTACCTCTCCAACGAAAGCTTGAGCTGCACGTGAGCGTGTAATTCTTGAACACCGACGGTCACCTCAGACCTCTTCTCCTACCTCCATGAACAACTCTACCTTAGAAAGTCTGCCGCAGACGTTACTCTCCACAATCCAGAATATTCAAAACCGAGACTCCGTTTCTCAAGCGACACATCAATTTGCATCTTCTGCCGGGTCTTCTGGCAATGTCCTGCAAGACATAATTCAAGCCACGAATCAGTTATCCAACTCGCTGAATCTTTACAGCTTGGCAAACTTCACAGAACCGAAACTCATCTCACGACTGAAGGAACATGCAAATACGTCCCATTCTCTCAACATGGTCAGTCTTTGGTTTCGATCCTTTCGATCACTGAACAATCGACCAGTCAGACCTCAATGTCATCCAAATTGTTGATGCACTGAAAAAGAGAACGGGCGTCAAGTACGGCGAAGATATACCCTTGGACCGCGCAGCCTTAGCGGATTGGTGCATCTCGCGGTTTGAGGCATGGGGGACCTCCGTGGGCATGGAGTCGTTCAAGGACGAAACCGGTGAAGGCACTGTCAGCTTAGTGTTGGGTGGGAAGGTCTTGGTGGTGGACGTCGAATTCTCCGTGAATCGGTCAAGGCCTCTCTCTTCTATCGAGGTATTGAACGTTAAAACGTCCTATGCCAACTTCGATACTGCCGGCTCAGCATCCTTGGACGCATTTCTGGCGACGAGCATGTCAGCCTTTTGCGATGCCGTACAAAAGCCTGAGGCTGACGTGAACCTTCTGGAGGCGGCGAGGCTGGGGACGGTCGTTAACCACCACCTCCGCTACCTGGTTATGCTGGATAGGCTCGCAAACAGAAAAGATGACGGAGGTATCAGGTGGTTCGTTGATGTAGATCAACTCTGTCATGTCTTGGAGGATTTTGCAAAGGCAGAGGCACTTGCAGTTTCTTCGTGAGTGTTTTACCAACGTTGCTACCTTTCTTAAGTTATATATACAGGTCGTTGCAACATACTGCACCCCTTGACATTTTTTTGCTTCGTGCGCATGCGCTACCACTTCCTTATCTGATGTCTCCCTGCATATCTTTCTTGATCCATCTTTCTCCTGCCTCGTATTTGCGACTTTTTCGGCAATCTTGCCAATCTTGGGACGACACCGTCACGGATCCCGCACCACATCTACCGCAGCTTGACATTCCCTTATCCCGAATACGGAAATTTTTGGCATCTCGACCCAAGGCTGGTGTCGCCATCGCCACACTCACGCTCTCCCCTGAATCGGACTTCCATTCATCTGCCTCCGTGTCCATGCCAGCATTGAATGCACGACCCGTCTTTCCCCTGGTACCCGGTGGTATAGAACTGGAACATACATTCCCGCAGACATTCGATTCGCCGTTGGACTTGGATGGCGAACCGTCTACGAAACCTTCCTGGATTCTTGATTTCACCCAAAGCGGCTCGTGCCCCGGAGTCGTAATGAGTCAGTCAAGGATGCGGGAGATAGAGCTTGTTGTCAACCCTCTGAGCAGTATAGACCAGCTCAATAATATAATGTCATTCGGTACTGGCAGCTGGGTGGATATTCTGGTACGTCTTTCATATTCTCTCGGCACGATCTGTTCTGACTACGTGTACCACATGTAGTTCAACCCTTCCGGTGCAGATCCATCGAGCCCAGTGTCACCAGAGCGCTATACTGCCATCTACGTATGTGCGGGGAACTTGTAAACATGTTTTCTTTCTCAGCCAGCCCGTTTTCCAGCGATCCCCATCTTCAGCTCACCCGCCACTACAATTGCGGCTTACTGCGCCAGAAGAGCCTGGTTTTGTGCTCGAGAGGGTACCTGTTCATAGCATGAAGGAAGCCTGGGGTGTGCTAGAGGTAATCCTAACAGCGCGATTTTCATTATTATGGGTTGACATCCGTTTGTAGATTGTTCGAGAACAATGCTGGTTGAATGAAATTTTGTTAGGCTGCAAATGGACGGCAGAAGGCCTTCCTTCCGAAACTGATGTATTATCGGACGACACAGAACCTACCGAAGAAGATCTGCTGGCCGTCCTCAGCGGCACAAATGTGCCGCGCAAAATTCCTGTCAATGTTTTTCTTCTACAGAGCCGGTTTAACGGGGAGAATATGAATGGTATGCCTGTCGTTAATGACCAGCGTCCGAGAATCTTCATGGTGGCTCCTGAACGCCCACCTATCTCTGGTTCGGTGGGAATCAATGTCACTTACGACGAGTCGAAACCTAGAGGAATCAGTGTTGAAGTTAATGGTGCCATGGGAGTAGATATAAAACTGGATCTATTGGAAGAAGTATGTCGGCGTGGTGGGACTTTTAGTCTGCCAGGGCGCATTTGGGCGAGTGCATCTGGGTCATCTTGAATAGCCTTTGGGAAGATAAATGAAATGTCGTACTCTGACCAATTTAGTCCGCTGCTGAAATGCAGCACCTCGTCATAACCGCAGTGATATTATGCAATACACGATAAAGAAATGACCGCAGAATTGCTTAGAAGTACAGTAATGTAATGTAAAGTGTCCAATACCTAGAAAACAGGTAGCGCACGGCGGGGGAATCAAAATACAGGAAATTAGGAGTACTCGACAACCGCAGCTAGCGTCCTCCTGCTGCCGCCACTTTCGCTCGCATTACCCGATTATAAGACGCCCTTAATGGGGATCGGTGGGCCAAAAACTGGAGATGATTCTCCGCATAAGGCGGAGGAAGAAGAGGAAGAATCTTCCCAACATCTACATCAATGGGAGGGAAAAGGGATATCCGATGAGATGTGGTGACAGGGAGATGGACCAAAGAGGAAAGGGCAGCTATGGAGGACGAAGAGGAGATGGAAGACAATGTTCGGTGCCTGTCGGGTTTCATTCGGGCCTCTTTAACAGAAGTCATGACAGGTAGAGTGGATATGCTTCGGGCTGAGGACACTGAGGACCGACGGAAAAGCGATTGGGTTGTGATAGGTGCATTAGGAGAGGGAGGGGCAGTCAATGAAGAAATCGGGGAGGTTGGCATATGCCTATCAGTGAGGCTACTGTCATTCGGAGCAGAGCTAGAAAGCTGGGAAGCAGAATCGGGTATGACAGTCAACGGCGCCAACGGCGCCGGTTTGGGCGGTGTACCTGATGGGCCATGGGATTGACCTCGTATCAAAGGATGAGGTCGAAGATGTTTGCTAGAAACGGAATAAACGGACGAGGGTCGGGAATGGTGCTTGGAACGGGGAGACGTCGAGTTGCTGGCAGATTCACTCGGGGCAATGGCTGAACTATGCAAACGATTGTCAGAAGTCTGATCAGTTTGCCCCTGGGCTTTCTCTGTGACTGCCCCAGCGACTGTTGACTTTACAGCATCTCCAGGACTCTTCCCGGGTCTAGGATATAACCTATTCTCCGTCACATTGGGTGAGCTAGGCTTGGACAGAAGAGCAGCGAGCTCGGCGGGATCCTGGTCCTGAGTTGCAATGGCCTCTGCAAAACGGGCAGCTGCTGAAGGATCCATCAAGCGACAATCATTGAGATAACGAGATTGTCTATCGTTCCTTTGCTGCAAGTAGCCGGGGGGGGGGCCGCGTGGCAAAATCGGTGAGCCGTTGATTTTCTGGAAATGATGAGGCATTGTTCTGGCCTCCGTGTCATTGCCTGGCGCAGTGACGTGTCTGAGCGCTTGGCTTTGTTTCGCCATCTCGTCTGGAGTGGCAAAATGATACGAGGGATTGGAAATAGCGTTCGTCTGATACGGCGGGTGGCTGTCACTGCGATTCGGAGAGAATGTGGGCGGCAATTGCATTTTAGCGGTGATATTTTCAATGATTTTGGGGGATGGTTCTGAGGGTGTAAGAAGTTGAGATTGAGACGCAGATGCAGACGGCTGTGTGGAAGGTCCGTCCGGACGTGAATCATGATGATTTGGCTCTGCACCAGCCATCAGAGGAGAGGTGACGGGGGTTGGAAGTGCTTTAGAAATCTGGACCCGACGCTGTGACCCCGTTCGCTCCAACCGAGACGCACCATTCCTTTGAGCAACGCCCTTGCTCGACCCATTTGCATCCGGTGGTCTTGCTGTGTTTACCCTAGATAAGCCCGTTTCTGAGCCGGATCGCTTAGCAACAGTATTCTGTGTCGATGGCGTCCGTTTCGTTAGACGTGGCATCGACGATTCACGGGCGACAGGCGTAGCGTTGTTCTCTGTATCGGAGTCTGGATCCGATTCGCGGGCCAAGCTTACTGATTCAGTAGACGTATCAGCTTCGCTAGACACCCATGCATCGTCGTCATCCTCGGAATCAACACTAATTGTGAAGCCTCCTTTCAACTTGGACCCGTTGGACTTATTCGTGGTCGCCGTGGCTAAAGGAGGCTGACGTTTCGATGGAGGTGCAGTTTGGTGCTCCCGTTCTCTCGCCTCTACCCGGACTGCGCTGTTTGTACGTGGAAGAGGTGAGGTGGTCCTAGCATGCTATCCGATAAGGAGAAAGATTAGAAAGATGATGGATGCGACAGAGGCAGATGTACCCACCTCATGACTGATTTTCTTCGTTTTTTCAACCCCTTTCGGCTGGACGAAGTCCTTATGGTTTATCTGCAGATTTCCTGCTAGCTTTGTCGACGAAGAAGAACGCGAGTGCGGGCGAAGATTGCTTGTAGAATGTACCCGATGGTTTTTGGGTGGTGGCATGGATGATGGTGGTGGTGGTGATCAACCTGGAAAACGCCAATTGGCTCAGCTGATAACCTTGATCCGAACGACATCACCCCTTTTGACACATTCACGTTCCCTCATTCTACCTCGATAAGTCACATCACCTGCCACCATGGAGAGGGTCCAGTTCCAGCAGGAGCAGGTATTTTATCTCTGCTTTCAAAAAATGAATATATTTTGATGAACATCTTTTTTTTTTCGTAGATGCTCGCAGAGCTGAAAGATCTCGTCGAAAAAAATCTATTCACTATCGTAAGTACTCTTACGCCATCCAAGCGCATTCTATAGCAAGAAGAATTTTTCAACGATGTAGCATTGTTTCTGTTACAGAAAGAGACGAAGTTCATAGTGAAAAAACGCACCGTGTTTGAGAGCGCCTTGGTCCGACGAGTCGCTAAAAAGGCAGACTTCCTGCGGTATTCTGCCTATGAAATGGGCCTCGAACAGTTGAGAAGAAAACGGGCCGAACGACTCAGTGAGTAACCAGGTGTCGCACAAAGGTGATTTTTGACCTTGTATAATAGATCTGCCCCGTTCACCGGCTACAATATCTGACTATGCTCTCGTCCGACGGCAGTTTCACATATTTGAGCGGGCTGTCAAAAGATTCAGGTCTGACGTGGGCCTGTGGATACAGTACATTGAGCTTGCAAAACGGGAAGGTGCACGGACGCTCGCCGGGCGCGTAACTGCCAGGTATGTATCCTGGTATTCCATAGTGTTTACATGAGGCATGACCAGGCATAGGGCATTACAACTACATCCCAATACCCCTGCCTTGTATATCCTTGCAGCGTCCCATGAGATTTCGCACCTCTCTCTATCTGCAGCTCGTGCACTACTCCAACGGGGTGTACGGCTAAATGCCGATAGCATTGACATGTGGCGAGAGTATGTGAAAATGGAATTGGGGTTCATTGAGAGTCTGCGGAGGCGATGGGACGTGCTTGGTATCGAAGAAGACGACAAAACGGCAGCTGAAAGAGACCGGGCCTTGATGGTCGACGAGTTTCGAGGTCAGGATGATGTTAATTCAATCGAGGTCGAAGATGATGCGGAGAAAGACGAGGGAGAAGAAGCTCGGAAAGAGATCATGAAGGGAGCAATTGTGAAATCTGTTATCTGTAATGCAATTGAAGGTGAGTACATAATAACTGTTCATTTTCTGCCCCCTCGTGCTAAAAGACTATTGAAGCCTTGCCCAAAATTGAACTGTTTGAATCATTGAACGACGTGATAACGCAGTATCCGGTTCAACCAAGCCTGCGGGAGTCACTTGTAGCACACCTTGATGATCTGTTACGGCAGCGATTGCATGAGCACCCACGCAGTATGAAATTACTTGCCAGCAGATTCTTGCGATCCGACATGACAGGCTGCGAGCTAGTGGAAGGAATACGTAAAGCGAACGAGATGTTGATGGGCGCGACTGATGGCGGGGAAGAAGGGGTGCTCGAAGTGTATGGCAATTTCATTGAACAATGGTGCCAGGCTGCGATTGATGAAAATTTGGTATGTTGGACTCGGGTTTCAAAGTTCTCGTGACGCTAACATTGAATCTCAGAAATTGTATCTTATCGGGTCCCTGGAAAGGGTAATTAGCGGACACAGGAAATCTCCATCGCTCTTATCGGTTCATATTAGAGTTTTAGGCCACGGCGCCGGGGGATCCAGAGTTGCTGAAAAGGCACGAAAATACACATCGCGGTGTCCACAGGCGGCGAGCGTGTGGCTAGAACGGCTAGCGGCCGAGAAGGAGCAGGGAAGCAAGGAAACAGTCGAGAAAGCGTGGGAGGAAGCACGACGATCAGTAGCAGGATCGGAAGACGAAATTGCGTCGGTGTGGCAGTGGGGACTTGAGAACTGTGGTGGGGTCAGTATGGAGCATCTGGCGAGGCTGCACGAGGTAATTAATGCATGCAAGTTGCTATATGTCCCACGATATTGACTGAGGTACATTACAGGGCCTGGCTAAGGAGAGCATGGGCATGGGCTTACTGGCCGTGCACGAGATGATACTATTGAGGTATCTGACGGTCGTCTATAAGGACCGAACAGTGCCGAAAAGCGGGCAGAGTTCGGATCAGCAGACGAAACGTTCGGAGTGGGACAGAGTACGCCATATGGACGATGCTTATCTCACGACAGGCAGAATATGGGGAGAAGTATTTAGGCTCGAGGCGAAGGCTGGGAAGGAAGAGATGCTGGAAGAAGTGTACCAAGTCTGGCGAAGAAAAGAGGCTGAAACGGCGAGCGTGGAATGGGCCAAGTGGCTGTTGAAGCATGGGAGGGGGAAGAAGGCCAGTGCGATAATGCTGCAGGGGGGGTATAAAGAGAAATGGGAAGAAATAGTAAAGGACATGTAGCTGGAATTGAATGTACCCTTCAAGTTGGAATATCCGTACGATCGTTGAGTAACATATGGGCACATGTGGCTGCATGCTTAGAAGCCGCCCGTCCATGTGGTCACATAGCATCTGGTCCATCTGCACCTTTCCTCTTTCTTCTACCCCCTCATCGTCTCTCTTCTGCCCGTACGTATTACCTTCTCCTGCCATTTTCTTTCTCTTCGTCGTGCTCATCGTTGCGGCCGCTGTCCAGGCTATAAGCCGCCTTTTACCATTTCGTACTGTCTGACTCGCCTATTGCACAGCACTAATTCAATCCCCGCCAGGTTCACTCTCAGGTCATTACTCCCACCGCACGACGGCGACGGGACGTCGTTCACCCCCCCGTTGACGGTCTTGCTGGAGCCCAGACGACGTCGCCCTTATCTTCTGCATGTTCTGCAGCCTTGACTTGCTCAGACATTAGCCGGTCTCGTCTGAACGGATTGCAAGCGATTCGCCCTTTCGCCATCTCTTGATTGAGATTCCCTGGAGATTTAAGGTCTCTTCAGTCTCATGTTGCAGTATCCTGTTCTTCGTCCGCTTTCGTCGCCAAAGGTCAAACGTTCAGTCGCCACAGACCATCACCACTTCGCCAGCTCCAATGGTGACAATACCCGTAATGAACCCCGTCCCTTGACCACCAAGCGTGTCTACAAAGATGCGTTTGTGACGCCTCAATATACTGGTCAACCTCCCCCTCTTCCTAATTTCTTTTCTTCCCGTCCTAATCCTTCCTCTTCTCCTACCACCGCTTCCCCAAAGCTGCCCCGGAACCTGCATATCTCGTCTCGGCAGGCCTCTATCGCTGTTCCCGTTCCTCGTTCTGCCTCTTCAAAATCCCCAGCCAGCTCCCGTCCTTCCTCGACCATCGGTGACGTCCTTGTCCCAGGCGATGCCGTCGGTGTAGGCGCGATGCTTCAGGGTCAAGTAGTGCGGCTTGTCTCTATCGGTGCCAACCCTTCTGGGCCTCCAGACTCTCCCAATGTCGAGGAGCCTGCCCAGGAGTTCGAAGTCGTTCGTCGTCTCGGCGCTGGCAGTTACGCAGTCGTTTATCTAGTGCGAGAAGTCCTTTATCGTCCTCCGCCCTCTGAGGATGGCCATCCCACGACCGTCGGTACAATGGACATTGATGATTTGTCCGCTTCCCGCAACCCTTCAACCGTCTATGGGCGCGAATTTGCCATCAAGTGCTTATCTAAAGCGAACCTCGACGAGGAGGCGCTAGCAGCACAGATGTCAGAGGTACGTCCATGCCTTTGTTGCCCTCTGACACAAGCTTGTTCAGCTCTTTTCTTTCTCTTTCTAGGCTACTATTCACCAGTCCCTCGCTTCGCATCCCAACATTGTCACCCTCTATCGCACTTTTGAAACTTCTTCTTTTCTCCTTCTTCTCCTGGAGTACGTCCCCGGTGAAGACCTATTTTATTTTCTCGAACAAGCCCGCGATCATTATGAAGCCGACTCTCCAACCTGTACTGATCCTTCCCCCACGTCGTCACGAACACCCCCTACTCCTAGTCTACTTTCAAATCTGCATCCGTCCCAACTTCTTTCTCGAACGCGCCTTCGCCTCATAGCATCTATGTTCTCCCAGATGTGTGATGCTGTCGCCGCATGCCACGCGCAGCAAGTCTACCATCGCGATATCAAGCCAGAAAACTTTATCGTCACCGATGGTTGGACTACTACCAGCGATGGCCGACAGGAACGCAAAGTCATCGTCAAGCTTACTGATTTTGGCCTGTCGACCACTGATGTCGACTCGTCTGACATGGATTGCGGCAGTGCGCCTTACATGAGTTATGGTGCGTCGGTCAACTTTTGATTCTTGATCCACCAACTGATCCTTGATTCAAATTTCATCTTTAGAATGCAGAAATAATGTAGCCCCTACGTATCGCCCTCGAGCTGCTGATGTTTGGTCGTTAGGCATCGTGCTCATCAATATGTACGCCGGTGTAATTTGTCCATTTCTTTCAGCGTTTAACCGAATTTCTAGGTTGTATCATTATAACCCCTGGACAGACACCTCTCAAGGAGCCTGTAGTTCTTTTGACATTTTTCGACTGTCTCCGGTCAACTTCTTTACGCAACGATTCACAGGCATGACGCGTCCAGTTGCGGAGATGCTCGCCAACCGAGTTTTCAACGTTCTTGATGATTTCGGTGACGATTCAAAACGCATCTCAGCTCCTGACTTTGGATTATGGGCAAAAGATCTTCCGGACTTTCTTGGGACTCACCCCATGCCGTCCCACCAACGTGGTGTCTCCGTTAGTTCCACTCAGGGGCACCCCATTTCCTCCTCTGTACCACCATCACACCGCCCATCGTCTAGACAGGCCTCCAAAGCCCCTTCGTCCATACGGACACCTGCCATACCCATTCGGTCGCTCTCACGCGCTCCGTCACTTGAGCCTGCATATGAGAGGCCGGAGGCTTCCGAATTATCGACGGTCATCGATCAAGAAGTCGAAGAGCAGGAAGAAATGGAGCAAGTTAGTGCCCAAGGTATCTTGATGACCTCACGCTCGACGTCGACCAACAAGAGGCGGAAGCGTGGGGCACGAAAGGGTAAGGGAGCGACTGCGGCGACGCCCACGACGCCCAGTCTGAAAGACGACACACTGGAGACGCTTGCGGTTGCATCCCAGTCTCTGGCAAGAGAGATCAGCAAAGCCTCAAAAGCGCCGTCTGTGACCTCGTCTCACAAGTCCAAGACTTCTGATACGTCGAGTCGTCGCTCGCGCAGCACCCCGTACGAGCCCGTCTCGATGTATGCATTACCCACTCCCTTACTGTCGAAACCTAGACCTATGGCTGCACCGCCGCAACCTCCGTCGCCGGCCTTGCCGCCTCCACCCAACAGTGTGCATGTGTCGACGTCGACCACATCGCTGCATGTACCTGTGAAGAAGCCGTCCAAGTGGAAGCTGAGCTTTGGGAAAGCGAGTTCGACCAACCTGGCCTCTGCTGCAGCGAACGGGCGAATGTCACCACTGGAGGAGCCGTCCGTGCCGTCGTTGAAATCTATGGACGTGAGTGTAGCGCCAATGTCGGCAACGGCGAGCAATGTGACGTCGTTGATCATGAGTCTGGATGCGCCTGTCGTGCATTCGACGTCGGTGTCAGATGAACCATGGGGCAGGGGCCGCCGTGCGCGTGGATCGCGGTCACCTCATGGTTCCCAACCGAGCCGGAGTCCGAACCCGCCGCCTCTTTCCCATCACCAGGGACTGTCTCCGAACCCGAGTGTCGAACGCTGGGTACACGATACGGCTGGGGGCCGCTCGAACCGGGGTGTCTCTCCGAACAGCACGCGTAGCGGACGTCCTTTGGCGTCGAGCGCGAGCTCGATGACGTCTGGTAACTGGCGCAATTCGATGAGTACGACGAGCTCGAGTGCAGGTACTTCGACGAGTGCGTTTACGAGGTATAGCAATGCGAGCATGAGGAGTGTGTCTACTACTGCGACGAGTGTATCTGCGACGAGTTGGAGAACGGGCAAGGGCCCGCCGCCACCATCTTCGCATTCGTCTAGTTATCTTTCCCAAGGAGTTCCAAAGAACGTCAAGAGTGAGTGTTTGCTTTTCTACTTGCCGAGCGAACCTTAACCAAGGCTGCACATAGTCATGGATGGTGTGCCATGGGAGCTGGACCAGCTGCCTCGTGGTCAGTATCCCAACCCAGAAGGAGATCTTTTTGGTTCGCCGCCGGCGCGAAAGCAACGGTCGCGCAAGCCCAAAGACGTGCACCTGGACACGATCTCTGAGGACCGTCGGCGGGATGCGACGACGAGCACGACGTCTCTGGCGCTTGGCGATGGCTCTGGTGACGAGGATGGGTATCCTAAGAAGGTTCAGCGGGGACAGATCAACGCGTTGGCGAAGATGTTGAGCGCATTGAGACGGTAGGGGGGCGGGGGTGGTTTTGTGTAATATGCATAGTAGGTGCGTGCGTGGACGCGCGTCACGGTTTTCTTTTCCACCCCGCGCCCTGTGTATCATAACCCACAAACAGCAACAGGACTTTGTTTTCTTAGACGCCATGTTCTACGCGTATACACACTTTTCATTTCATTTTTTTTTTTGTTGTTGCAAAAGTCGTTAACCCGTCCATCATCATCAAGAGCATACTTTTATCTTTTGTGCAATTATTACGAGGTACTAGTATGGGATATTTAATGCTAGGAGCGGAGGGGGTTTGTTGGTGTGCTTTTAATGAGACCGGTTGCTAAGAGCGATGAACGGGAGTGTGGCGTTGTGCGATAATCGTGTGGGCCCGCAGAGGGATATTTATGGAGACTGGACCTGAATATCCTGACGCGAAGAGCAATAGCGAGTGACACGTTTCCGTACTTTTTTCAGGCATGATCACCATGTAGAAGGTAGTATCTAAAGCATCCATGAGATATTATTACTGATCGGGGTCCCGACTTGTGTTAAAAGAGAGGATGAAAAATGAACAAGATTCGCATACTCACTCAGTACGCCGAAGGGGAGTCGAACCCCTACCGCTTGCTTGGAAGGCAAGCATGATAACCGTTTCACCATCGGCATTATGTTCTGTTTGCGTGCAGAGTTTAGTGTAAAAATTGCATCAACAGCACGAATTCACTATATCTTATACACCAATTAGGAATGTTAAAATGAATGAATAAATTAGGGTGTCTAGAGCTATCCCTCGCCTCTCTGATGAGCTGCAAAAGCCATATTTTGCTCGATGGTGGGTCGCTGGGAGACGTCTTGCGGTGGTACAGATGGTATGCGAGGCTGGACTGCCATGGGCGAATCGTCGTCAGCGATGGCGTACCTTCCGGAAGCGTTTGTCCTGACTAGGTTTGTGTAATACTCTGAGAGGATCTCGCGAGTGCACTTTGTGATGCATGAGTAATGAAATGAGAAACATAAAGAGCCTGGCCAACGCACCATCAGCCGCCAATCGATCATCTGCAAAAACTCCCTCTCGAGGATATTGAGCTCCGTAACGCTGATGCCGCCGACCTTTGCGTAGAGGGCATTTGTGCAAAAGGTATCGCAGAGACACTTGCTGGCGACTGCGATGGCTGTGATGAGGAAGCGATGGCAGGTGAGGGAGGAGAGTGTGAAGAGAGAGTGGCGAGCGCAGATGGCGTCGATGTAGTAAAGGGTGACGAGGAGACAGGAGCGCTCGACGTTGATGAAGCGGGTGATGCGGCGGAGGTAGTCGAGGACAGAGATGGCGGGCGCGGTGCGGGAGTGGAAGCGGGTGAGCGCCTGCGGGCTGAGCGCGATACGATCGTTGTGGGACATGAGACGGTCGAGCATGTCGGCTTTGGAGGCGGCGGGGGTCAGTCGGGCGGAAGGCGGGCGGGATGGGGCGCTCACCTATCAGCACGACAAGGTCGCTAATCGGCGCATCTTCAAACGCAGCGGGAAGCTCGACTTCCATCGACCCATGTCCTCGAAGATCACAACCCCATCCTCCGCCCCGGCCCGCGGGCCGCGACTAAAGCTGTACAGTTCTCAGGCGGAGATTAAACCTTATTTTTTGGTGGACGCGGAGGTGTGGTCGGCTATACTGGGCGTCGATACCTACAGTGATCATGGCTCCTAAATTCGTGTGTGCTCTTTGTCTTTTGTTGATGCTTGCGTTACTTATTGCTCGCTGGTGTAGGATCCCAATGAAGTCAAGATCATCTACCTCCGGGCCACAGGTGGTGAAGTTGGTGCATCGTCTGCTCTTGCACCCAAAATCGGTCCTCTTGGTCTAGTGCGTACATTGTTATATTCTTTAAATCTCGCTGACTCTTTTTTCTTTCTCTAGTCACCGAAAAAGGTCGGTGAAGATATAGCCAAAGCAACTGGTGCATGGAAGGGTCTTCGTGTAACCGTCCAACTCACCATCCAAAACCGGCAAGCCGCCGTCTCTGTCGTTCCTTCCGCATCGTCCCTCGTCATCAAAGCTCTCAAGGGTACGTCTCGTCTGCTGTCTACAACCCTTTGCTCACCGCTCTGCAGAGCCACCCCGCGACCGAAAGAAGGAGAAAAACATCAAGCACTCGGGCAACATACCATTTGACGAGATTGTTGATATTGCACGGACGATGAAGTCGAAATCTCTCGCCAAGGAGCTGTCGGGGTGTGTCAAGGAGATTCTGGGTACTGCCCAGTCAGTGGGTTGCACAGTGGATGGCAAGCCCCCTCACGATATCATCGACGCCATCAACGATGGCGAGCTCGAGGTACCAGACGAGTAGATTATTCGCAATGCATTTCCTTCGCTATATAATTAAGACTACATGCCGTTCCTCATATTCGGAAACTTGCTACGATTATAGTGCAACCAATTGTATTCGTTCATCTCCAGGCCACCCATCGCGTGTTTGATGACTGCAACAAGACTCTGGCCAGGCTGGACATCCTTGCCTTTACCTCCCTCCCCTCTCTGGGTGCCGTCTCCACCCTTGTCACCGCTGAGCTCCCAGTACATTGCACCCGCCAAGCCTTGCTGCCGGATATACTGGCCCTTCCATTGAGCCACCTCTTCGGAATCAAAGCTGACCATCTCGCGTGTAGCATAGTTGTACGTCCAGCTGGCTTTCTTGTGTTCGTCTCGCAGGACGTAGCTCCCGGGTAACGGCAGAGCCCGGTAATCATAGACACCGCGTTCCCAGCTGCCCTCACCAACCCCGTTGTACTTTGAGCCAGGCCCGTCTGTGCCCATGAAAGACCGACCATAAAGCGGGATGCCGAGCACAATCTTGCTCGGATGGACGCCCTTGGAACGGTAATAATCCACGGCCTGGGACGCGCTAATTGGTGGACCATACAAATTGGCTTGATGACCGGCGAGGGAGTCCCAGGAACCGGCGAAATCATAGGCCATCAAGTTCCAGAGGTCGAGGGAGGCGTCCATCTCTGGGATGTGGAGTTTGCGGTAGTTGTCTTGACCGCAGGGCGCAGCGATGGAGAGGAGGAAACGGTAGCCGTTCCGGCCGTGGGCGTGGGCGTCCAATGCTACCCGGAGCTCGCGCAGGAGCTGGACATAACCAGAAGCCTGGGCGTCGTTCTGGGGGTACTCGTAGTCGATGTCGAGTCCGTCCAGACCATAGTCTTCGACAAGCTGGAGACTGCTGCGGACAAACTGGGCGCGTTTGGCAGGGTCGACGACGACGGGATGCATGCTGGGGCTGTATGTCCAGCCGCCGATGCTGAGAAGGAGTTTGAGGTGTCTGTTTGCTTTTTTGATGAGGTGGAGGGCTTTGAAGTTTCCGTAGAGGCTGTAAAGTGGTTAGTGGGCGCGAAAGGCGAGATATAAAAGGGGGAGACTTGTTGTTTGCGTCTGGATCGTTCCAGCTGTCGCCGTCGTAATGGATCTGCTCGTCTGCCCATTGGTCTGAGAGGGATACGGTGCCGGTGTCTGGGGATATGTTGGCAAAGGCGTAGAGGAGATGGGTGAGGTCAGAGACAGGGATCGCAGAGGGTGGGTATTTGCGCGCATATATGCCCCAGTTGACAAAGCTGAACTGTGGTCAGACGGGTAGGGTAGGAAGGGTGTGGAAGAGGAACTTACTAGCCAACACTGTACTTGCCCCTTGTCATTGTAGGTGTCCGGTTCCCAGCAAAGAAGACGAGTACGAGAAAGATGCAAGTGAGCACGAGCAAGACCCGTTTCAATATGTTTTTCTTGTTTTTGTTGTCTTTAATAGAAGAGGGCAGACGTTCATAGTTCATTGTATACACTGCCACTGTGACGTCACATTACCGTTCACTATATACGTTCTCCACGTCCACACCCATCCATAAGGCTGGTCAAACGGCGCCAGTGGGGCCTTCACAACCAGGAAGGAAATATCACACAATGATTTAATCCACGTCCCCAGCTCCCACGCCGTACGCCTATCGTATTGCCAAGTCGTATCACAAAGCCACTGCCCAGTTTGCATGTATCCGAGGTTAAGACGTAGAGATCTCAATTGAGAGAGACAAGACAGCCTTTCCTTGATTTGTTTCTATTAAAACCGCCCCTTTTCAGTTGCTACCAGTCAAAATTCTGATGTGGCTCACTATACACGTCTTCTGCATATTAGCAGGCGTATGGTATTGATTCAGCTCTAGCACGTCCAACCCTGGGAACGCACAAGTGATGTACCGTACGAGTTCTTCTTGACATTCGTGGCGGTCCCATTTGTACGAGATGGCGAGAGTTCTCAGATCTGGCACGGAAAGTGTCTTCAGGATGGAGAGTAGCTCTGGACATGATAGGATGTCCTTAGGAAGAGACGATTTCACGAGATCTGCGGTTGTCGTGTGGTCCGGATAAGTCGTCAGACACAGTTCCATCAACGTAGAGGGAAGCAAGCGAAAGATGAAGTCGTGTGGAGATGGATTCGAAAGCCTGATGGAGTGTAGCCTGTCCATCACATCCATGGATTCAGGCATTTTATTTACCAGACGCGTCTGAATGTCTGCATCACCCGGGACCAAACGAACGTTCAAAACGCGTAAGCGTGGCGCCAACTTCAGTAGTCGGACCCACAAATCAGAAGGTCCATATCCCGGTGAGAGTCCTTCCACGCGAAGCTCCCGGAGGACGGGAAACTCTGTATCGAACAAGTCGAAAAAGAGTTCTGCTGGAAGCTCAAGGGTTTCGAGCGACGTCCGGAATCTATGAATCAGGGGGTACAGGATACAAAGTTCTGTCGCCCGCTGGACCATCCCACGCCGGCCAATGTCCTGCTGTGCTTTCCGAGCAGGTAGCAACGCGAACGGGACATGATAGATGAATTCTCGCAAAGAAGGGGCTGGAATGTCGTGCGTGTCAAATATCTCTGCATAGCCCTGCCACGGCGAATTACGTATCTCCAGCGATTCAAGAGCGGGCGCGAGAAATATGGATTCCAACAGCTCTCGCCAGGGTCCGCACACTGTGAATTGCGACAAACAGACAATTCGCAGGTTCTTCATCAAGGGAAACGCCGTGGCAATGTTATCTGACAAGGCTTTCGGGAACTGAAGGGTTTCGTTTATGACGAGGTCGGAATGGCCCCCGAAGAACTTTTGGATGTCGAGTTCGAAAGACCTGGGTAAGTATGAGGTTAGGAGAAGAGGAAGGAAGGAGGTGCTGCGCTGACGTTACGTAGGTCCATAGCGTTGAAGGCATGAATGCCGATCTTCTGGGAGTTACGCTATTCCACACCCACTGATAGCGGCAGTACACGTGTGGAAGGCATATCCTTCTGAGATGACGAGAGGATGCGGCCAACATGCGGACATCTTTTGTCGAAGGTCCAAAGGGAGTCCGTGGTGCCGAGCCAACGCACATCAGCTGTACGATGTAGAGAACGATGTCGTCGTTGAGCGTCCATCGTTTACGATGAAACCCGACGGTGCGAGAATGAGGATGTGATGACACAGGCATGTAGTGAATGTGCAACTGTGGGGGGGGGTATCAATGAGTACCTGCTCGTGAATATAAACCCCGAGAGAAAGAAGATATTTTAGATCGCAACGTACCAATGTCGGTGTGTAGTAGTTGGCAACAGCGATGTCAACGCCGGAGTTGGGGTTCCACTAGAGGCCTGAACAAGGCTGCACCTAAACCCGCATGCATGAAATGCGACCCTTGAAAGTATCGTCTACCGTAGATTAAGTAGTCACGGAACATTGGCATTTCACTATTCACAATCAAAACCTTGCTCTCGGTGCTTGTTCGGTGGTGATCCGTAGCATCTCGACGGGCTGGAGAATCAACTGATGTGATTACAGCTGATTACTTGGTGCCTGGATAGAATGGAGACTGGTTAGCGCCAAGGGCTTGGAGGGTGAGAGAATGTATTGACCCTAGCGCTAGCATGCTCCATTTGTCCTGTTTCTCTGTTCTTGTCTTTCCTCTCTTTTGATGACTCCGGAAGTCGAATATTGAACATCTATAACCGGAAAGAGTAACAGTGTGCTTTGCCCCGTCGGAATTATGACCGCCGGGCAATAGAATCGCCATCGTCGTGGGTTCATAGAGTTTCCGAATATTTCGCTGTTCAATCCTGGTGGGAAACCCGACAACGCGAATAGATGTCCTGAAATGCAACCGCACTCGCTTAAATTTTACCAGACTCGAAGCGCTCTTGATTTGACAAGGGTTGCGATGTGCTAATTGCCACATATTCAAAGGTGTTCGCGGGTACCTGGTAGGCAGGGTCGTGAGAACATCCCCATGAGTATGTCCTGTACTGCCGGACTGAAGGCTAAAACGGGAGAAGCCATTCACGTTAGCTCTCACATTCCAAAACGCGTTACACTTCACTCCAAATAATGCATTCATATAGATTATTACTGCGTGCGGACACCGGCGTCCCTACGAGGCTTCCAGAATGTGGCTGATCGGCTAGCTATAGATATAGCCAGATCGCACAAAACAGCAAAGATGGTGGTTATGAGCATTCCTAGGACCGGAGAAACGATAGAAAGGCACAGCGAACTTCACGTTGCATTCATACGGAGTCGGAGACATATGGTTCTATCCAAGTCAGTCAAATGCAGAACAAATTGTATTGGCCAACCAGGAATGCATCCTCTTGAATTGGAGAATTCCAGCACGTCACGAAAAGGAATGATAGACCCAGTGCTCGTACATAACTCTCCGTGCTCGTCAACGATCTGCATTGCATTCAGCCGAGAAGAAAAAAAGGAAAGAAAAAAGGGAAACGCTTAAGCTTTGTTTACTGCACAGCTGTGCAAGCCGAACACGTCTTTGACGGTTTGCACTTCGAGCTCGCCCGAGTCGGAGAGTCGAATGTCGGCTTGAATGCAGGGAGGCCTGTTGACTACGGCATAACGTGCATGGGTGTAGAATTGGACACGAATATGTCCCAGGGGGAACGGAGACAAATATGGTGCGCCGCGAGAGAGGCCTGGAAGCTGGGTTTTGCTTTTCCAGTTCTTGATAGCATTTTCCGTTGATGGAGGTGAGTGTACGATGTAGCCGAGTTCGACTGAGGATGATGAGAAGAATTCGTTGTGCGAGAGTACAAGAGGCTGGGCTTATAAGAGACATGAGGTTGCTATATACTGAACAAGGCAAGAAGGCAAGAACAAACACATTGGCATGGAAAAGAAAGGCGTGCGGGGTATTCAAACGATATTTTGATACTCTTCAAGCCTAGGGAGATCAGGAAGTGGTCTTTGCGAGAGCTGGAGCGGGAATTGCCATACGCGCAGTCAGGATAATTGAATTGATACTCTTGGACATTCAACTGTTCATTACAGCTGTTTGCGGAGAGAGTAGTTCGAACTTTCATTTTGGGTTTATGGCCATCTCGGATCTCTTCTCAAGTCTGACCCTTCCACAAAACGCCCCCGACTATGCAAACGGTTGTAGGTAATGGGTGACTTCCCGCAGCGTTTAGAAACCTAAACTAAATTCTAAATCAGAGATGCCGAGCAATGCCGATATAACAAATTGGATGAGCGCCACAATTTGATGGGAGACACCCTCGTCTAGATTTTAGTCTAGACGACCCCTCCGACCCCCCCTTCTAAATTATGTTTCTAAACCTTTGATAACCGCATCTGGCAATTCCATCAATCTCGATCTCTATTTGGACCTGTTAGTTTCCGAGGCGTCTTCTTTCACTCACGTCGCCTCTCATGTACCTGCGCGCCTGTCTTCAGTCCAAAGCTCATTTTTGCTCTGCTAGCCTTGTATCCTTGCACTGAATCTTTGGTGGACCTAACAAATACTGTGAAGTGTCTATAAGGCTACTTCCCAGTTGTTTTCTTGAGAACCAGCCATTTTTTTCCATCCCAACTGCTGTCTTTTTCATACCCGACTCGGGTAATTTTCTGGAATTCACGGTAGTAACAAACTTGTAAGGCAGTCCACTTCGGATGCCTATCGAGGCCTATAAAGTCCAGGATTAAAGGAAAGTAATACCTATCTCGCCTTTATCTCTCGTTTCTGCCTCAGTTAACCCTCACCGATCGCTGTTTGTGTTTCCAGACCTAAATTGGTTTACGGTTTAGAAATATAAATTCTAAATGATTTCAAATTGGGACTTTGATGGATTTAGAAAATGGTCTGTGTTTCTAAATGCTGCGGGAAGTCACCCAATAATGAATCGCCTGCTCATATTTTCCTTTATGTAACTTTATAAGTCATACGGCCGCCGCAATGATGTCCTTCAAGTTCAAGTTCGTAAAAGTCGAAGCACGTATATTCCAAAACTCCTGCAGGCGCTTCGCTACTTGCGTCTGGCCTGGCCTGGCATTTAAATTTAAATGCATTGCTGGATAATTACAAGACGTGCTGTAAAACAGCACGATATCGTGACTCGTGTCATGCTAGTACCAATCCCGTAACCACCCTTTGATACTCACTCTCTTCCCAGGCTTCCACTGGATCAATTCGGGAATAACGCGTTGCGAAACTATCAATAATGCAGACAAGATGAAAATCGTTATGACACCGACATTCTGGTAACGGATAACGCTTCTACCCTTCAAGAATTTCTGGAAAATCCAGATATTGGCCCGGACGTCGCAGATGCAACTTTGCCAGCCTGGATAAGGGGGAATGACAAGAGCAACGTGTAGTGCGAAGGCAGCTTGTGGAAAGTACAGAAGTGTAGTACTAGTACCACCGCTGACGTCCTTGTCATATAGTATACGTGGAGCAATGCACTGCTGTTTCACTACTTGGGTGTGGGGTGAGCCAAGGCCTTTAAGCTTGTCTGTGCGATAATACCGAATCGCATGGGCGAAAAGTTGAGACTCATTTTCTGTCGCGGACACAACTTCGGCGTAGGTATGGGTAGCTCGGAGAAACACTGCCTTCGCAATAGAAAACCGGCACGCGGGGATGAACGACCTAAGCAGAAAAAGTATCGAGGCTACGTCAATTCTTGAACTTCTGTGACGCAACTTCCAGATTGGAAAGATGCCTCTGGTGCCAGTGGCGGCTCGTCGTATGATGGGAGCGAGTTTGATGACTCGGCCTTCGAGAGGTGTAAAATAGACGCAGTGATTTATCGACAATAGTTGTTGCTGAGATCCTGGAGCACCGAAGCGTACATGAAGAGTAGCAGCACTATCGTCCGGTCGGATATGGAATAGGGTCAGTCGGTCGGTCCCCCATCTTAACTCGAGTCTTTGAAATGTTGGATACGGGCTTGGTTCTTCCAAGAGTGACTTGTTGCGAAGCTGAGGTTCGAATCAGACGAATTTCGGGTGGGAACGTGTGGCGATTTATTCGGCACTTTGTGGCAAAGGCACGTTGTTCGGGGTGGATGCTGCGGTGCGAATGTGTCAGGATCTTTGGATCTTGAGTAATAGCGTAGATCCTTGGTGGCCATGACTATTACTTCAGCGAAAAGATGTCGAGATAGAACTGGAACTCACTCTGTCCAAATGTCAGGTTGGGTGGGATTTAGTTATTTGATGCAGAAAAGTGACGATTCGTTCAAATGACACATCGGTTGATATCCAGGAGCTAGCAGATCGACTTGGAACAAAGTCGGTCTCTGGGTACGTCAATGCGTCAAGGAAGGTGTAGTGCCAAGTCAAACGATCAGTGATAGTGCGCTTCAGTGCCTCGAATTCTCCCTATGGTTGGGTGAAAATAGGACCAAATGTAAGATAAGAGTATAGGAAATTCTTACGACACGAACTCGAAATTGACAAACCGGAGGCTGTCATGTCACAGTAACGGTGTGACTGAGAGCCAGGACGCGGAATTTGGTTGTCCTTCATCGTCGCCATTGGATTCAGGTAATCGCAATGGCGCCCAATTTTTTCTCCAAGCTCGTCAAGTCGCCCAGTTCCACGCATAGTCGTGATCGTTCCATCGACTTCCAACAGTCGCCTTCGCCTGCTCCTCGCAGTCGAACTTCTTCTGCTATCAGCATGAGCGCGTCTCCGCCCGGGAGCATCTTTGCGTCTGGTTCACCGGTCAAAAAAGCAACCAATAGCCAGGCTTCGAGAATAAACACCAGCCAGCTCGACCAGGATGCCAATCCAAGTGTGATGGTTGTACCACCATCGCCGAGCTCGGCTACAGGCGATTCAAATAAAGAGAAGGAAAACAGCATTGCTAATGGTAGCAGCGGTATGGATGGTAGTGCGAGCATTGCAAACAATAGCGTCCGTCATCGAACACCTTCATCGCCTTCAAAACGTCCGTTTGAACTGCCCGTACTCCCGACTGTCGCTGATGTTGCGACTTCATCGTCAAAGACGGTCCCGCCTTCCCAATCACGACCTCCTTCACGTTCAAATACGGCCTCATCTTCGAAATCCAACCTTCGTGAGGCCTTCACGAAAAATACCACCTCCACGGCGCCACCTTTGCCTGCAGGAGGGACATTGGCTACCCCATTCACCCCCGAGATACATCGAAAATCATCCAACAAATCCCTGAGAGACGTACCTCCACCACTACCCATATCCACTACCCATTCCCGAGCTGCCACGACACCAGATCTCAGTCTTGGAAATGCCAATGACAGCCAAAATGCAGATGATGCTTCCAAGAGTGCCATTGTGGAGTCGCCTACATCGATCACAATGCCTGAATTTCCAGTTGGTTCACGAGAAAATCCAGGACGAGCAGTGAGGAATGGAAAGACGTTCCTTGCCGGGTCTCTCGACCGTGACGCCACATCGGTTAAGTCCGTGATCACACCACAAAATGGGAAGAAGCCGACAAGCCGACCATGGAAACGCCCCTCGACAAAACCAACAGGTCTCGCGAGTGCCATCGCTGCCTCTGGTTTGGCCATGGCCAATCCCGTTCTTTCACCACCCCACCAGGTCCAGCTCAGTCCTCCTGCCCAAAGGAAGTCTTCCCTGCCCTCGCCACCCTACCTGAATCATACTGGTTCTACTTCCGCTGTTTCGTCACATACCAGGGCAGGATCGTCTGACTTTTCCCCGAAGTCGAAGCGGTCATCTACAGCGTCACCTAGGCGCAAGTCGATGTCAATTCATAGCGACATAAACTCTGAATATATCGATGACCAGGCCGGTGGAGGTCCTGACTATTACTCAGGGCTGGAGGATGAGACCTCAGATGAAGACGAGGGGGATTCAGACGACTTGGACCCGTTGATGGACCTGGACTTGGCTTCTTCTGACATACCTGTTACCGGCTTCGCAGTGGCCAGCAGTAGAAGGAATGCCGACTTTCATGAGCTGTTCCCTGCAATCCCGGAGGGTGACTATTTGATCGAAGGTGCATCATAAAGCACCATTATGCGTGTCCGGCCAACTAAGGTCTTGTCAGATTACGGCTGCGCGCTACAGCGAGAGATTCTGATTCAAGGGAGGCTATACATATCCGAAAACCATATTTGTTTTCATGCCAACATCTTCGGCTGGATCACAGATGTAAGTCATTCTACATGTCCTTCCCCTGACAGATGAGATGCAACCTTTTTGGCAGCTCTCTATACCTATTTATGAAATCATCGCCTTGGAGAAGAAGATGACCGCTTTTGTGATACCCAACGCCATCCAGATCACGACGCGTCAAGCCAAGTATAACTTTGCTTCCTTTTTATCCAGAGACACGACATTTGATGTCATATATAATATCTGGCGCCTTGCTCGGCCTGAAGACACGCAAAGTCTCGGTTCAGGATCTGTGGAACAAGCTGCTGATCAGATCCTTGAAGGAACTGTTATCGGCGGCAGCGTTAATGGTGATGCCGTGATCGTCGGTAAGCAAGTTGGAACCGTGAAGAGAAAGGTAACGCAGTGTCAGTGCGGCAAGGATGGGACACATTATTCCGAGAAAGCTTTGGAGATGATCATACCAGGCACTCCCGAACGAATATACAATCTTATGTTCGCGAGTGGGTTCATGAAGGAGTTCTTGGTCGTCGATCAAAAGCTTATTGGTGTGTCTTTTTTCTTGGATATCTCGACCTCCTAGGTTAACGGGTCGACAGATATCCAAGTATCTGATTGGGCCCCGATCGAGCCTGGCTCCAATCTCCTTGCCCGAAATATGTCGTACATCAAGCCGCTCAGCAACAGTGTTGGGCCGAAGCAGACAAAGTGTGAAATTCACGACGAGACTGAGCACTGTGACTTTGATGATTATATTGTCACTGTAACGACGACACGGACACCGGACGTTCCTAGCGGCGGTGTCTTTTCAGTGAAGACGAGGACTTGCATCATGTGGGCCAGTGCCATGTCTTCCAAGGTGATTGTGACCACCCAGGTCGAGTGGACTGGAAGGAGTTTCATTAAGGGTGAGAGTTTCAGTTGTCATCCCCTTTCCTCTACGGTTTGTTTATGAAACTCTTTAGGTATCATCGAGAGATCGGCTATCGACGGCCAGAAGGTGTACCATGTCGATCTGGAGAAAGCTATGCGTGCCTATATCCAAGAGCACCAATCCGAGTTTGTACCTGAAGGTGTAGATCCGGCTGCTTTAACGCTGGTTGAACCTGCCGAGGATGTCAAGCAGCCCACGCTTGAACCAACATCGGAAGAAGGTCGGAAACAGCGTGAACATGAACGTAACCGCCGTGGTCTGCAATGGGCCTGGGATACATTCGAAGGTGCTGCGTCTGTTGCTAAACAGAGCACTAAAGGCGCTCTGGAGCTTATCGGGGACGCTTGGGACCAGTCGTCTTCTACGACCATCCTGATCTTCATCATCGTGCTTCTGGTTATCAGCAACATATGGACGCTGGCGCGGATGGGATACAAAGCTGAATCTGGGAGACGGAAGGTGTTGCAGACAACAGAGGAGCGGGAGAAATGGATTCACGGTGTGGTCACTGCACTATGGGACGAGTTGTCGGCTGGTAAAGGTGCCGTTGTTGCGGTAACGGACGGACATTTTGATCCGACGAAGATCGGCGATGAGATTATTTCGATGACGAGGAGACTGGATGACATGGAAGAGCGCATTCGGCACATTAAAGAGAATTTGCGAGATGTGATAATGGATGTTAATACGGGAGCTGAAATGCTGGATTAAGAACAGCTCTTTTGGTTCGATTTAAAGCTTATTGCGCTATTTGTAGTTTTTCACTGTTATCAATTAGGTATTATGTGGATTTGGTGCGTTGTATGATATGAACAATTAAAACAACTCTACGGAATGCCTACGACAGCCACAACCGTTGAAGCAAGACGTAAAATGATCGTTTGTTCGAGCTCGACCTCCATGGCTCTATCTTCGGAAATACCTTGTAAAAGGAGGATTGGATAGCGTCTTGACTTAGCGTTCGTGGGACGGTCTGAAAATTTCTTTTATTACAATCCTGCGTCTGGATGCCGCAAGCCGTCTTCCAGTCAAATGGGAGCTCCGTCCCGCCTAATTCTGTGGCAACTTCGTGGTCGACCGCTGCATGGGGTTGTAAGAAAGTTGATCTCTGCTCCAGTTCATAGATCGAACTACATTTGCCGTCTTGGGAACCAACGCCACATTTTGTGAAAACGCATTCAGCGCCGACGAATTCTTCAATCCCACCAACTCAAGCCCTCCATTTTTTCAGATATTTGATGCTTTGTTCATCAATGTTCTAGGTGGATCGCTTGTATATGAAGTCCCTTCAAATTCCGCATTTGCATTTGCTCATGAGACACCTATATTGAGACGGAGGAGGTTTTCTTCTGTCGAGAGATTCAGCCAACGCCCATTGTCGGACCTTTTGGATTCCCTTTATTTATAGTCAAGTGTCTCGCGATCGCTACCATTTTTTTTTCGTCTCCTGTCGTACCTCAATCTTTTACAACCATTCGGGTGAAGACTGAGGTACGCTTTTACTTCACACATTGATACAATGCTTACAACTACCTAGATCGTTGTTTACTGACATCTTCGCTAATGATGCTGAAGACGACCTTTGAATGAGTGATTGGGACAATAACGATGTCATTTCAAAGGTTAGTATAGCGGTGGCTGAAGTGGCTATTGATGCTATCAAGGCATCTGGAACTGTCAATATTCCCTCTGCGACTGTAGCTTGTCGCCCATTTTGAACCTGGCGCTTGAACTTCATGTCCAAGACATGATAGCTGGGTCTCGCAGAAACAGTCCAAATGGCAAATGGCGGAACAGGGCCGTACCATAGCTCACACCTGGTTGTCACGTCTGGTCGCGCACAATCTCATCCTTTGATCGTACTCATTGATCCCCATCCACCGTACGATACCACTATTCTCCTGGACAACTTCTTCGGCAAAGTTATATACGGTTTATATGCGACCAGCTGATAACGTATGGACCCATTACGGCTGGGCTCGGTTCGCGTTGTAATGGACGAATGATATTACATTCTCACCCGACGGCTCAACATGTTACATGTTAGCTTCTCTGGCGTAGCTTTCTAAATCCATACTGATGAATTCGTGCAGCGGCGACACTTAAAGCGAGGGAGGAGGATTTGGGGGGGCAATCAAACACTTCCTGCTGCAGTGTACAGAGTTTTTTTGTTCATCAAATTACTCAGTTCATCGCATCTTTATCTGCTACGTATTTGTCGTTGACCTTGAAACTGAAGTACTGAAAAACCGTAGAGTGGTCGCGTACGTCGACACAGGGGCCGCAGATGGTAATCACTACGATTCTATGAATTATTTAACTCACTCCCCAGCCATCAATGGTAACGTCTATACCTCTATTGGGATGGTGCGTCCATGCCTATTTCCTTTCTCTGTCTAGCAGCTCTTAGACTGAGCTAGGTTTGGAACAATAAAGGAACACTCAGCGGGAGATTTTATCTGGAAAACGGGATCTGCAAATCTAGTGTTCGCAGGGCCTGGAAAGCTTCTCGCACTGGAAGACACGAAAATGTTTCTGGTTAGAGTTTCGGCTGAGGGCAGGGTGATATGAAATATAGACTACCAAGGTAATGAAGTTGCAAACCATTGCAGTTCCCAGGAATTGAACGATCAGGATCTTAGAGATGAGTCTATCAAATTGAGCCTATGCTCTACCCTGTGTACTGGAACAAGTAAATTGGTGTATACGACGACCACTTCCGTAATTCAGGTAAACGATTGTGAAGTCTGGCCGGCACTCTTTTCATCTGTGGCAATGTTGGTATTAAGTTTCGTCCTGAGATAGGGTCAGTCGGGCTCCTTAAAAACGTCTCTTACTTACTGTTCTTCAGCTAACGAATCTTCCAAGTCCGAAGTATCATCACCAGCAGCTTGAGCTTGAGCGATCTACATAGCGTGGCATGAGCCTTCATAACAACAAGAGCAGAGAACTGACTTTGATGTTGAGAACCTGAACTTCTCCGGTCAGCTTCAGGACCTTGTTCTTGATCTTTCCGACTTGTAGAGCATCAGCTGGGATGACAGCCTCAGTGTGCTATTCGAATGAATGGTCAGGATAATCACCTGTAGCTCCACTGGCCGCAGCAATGGCAGGATCGAAGCCTTCGGTTTCGGCAGATTCGGCGGCTTCCCTCATTGTCTGCATATTATCCTGTTTGGGTAATAAGTCTTCTTTGGCACTCGCAAGACGAGAGAACTTGAACAAACCAAAGTTTGACTATCAACAGTGGCTAAATCGACGTTTGCGAAGGGATCTGTGAAAGTGCTCCTTGTCAGAGCGATCATTAATCAGTGAGGACTGAGGACTCGCCAACAAAGACGGCATTGGCTTCAGCAGAAGCATTGCCAGCAACACCGTCGGAGATTTGGAAGTCAGCATAGCTATCCGATTGAGTCTCAGTGCGTTGTCAGTTTCAACAATGAGGCAAGCCTACTCAAGAAGCTCGAATGCGCGAGGCATCAGGGCTACGGGTGCGGCACGGACAAGACCAAAGCACAAAGAAACAAGAGCAACGACCCAAGTAGTTTGGATCATATCAAACCCAGCGAAAGGAGAACAGAATTAGATGAATTGAGAACTTGAAAGGACAGGAAGCAGACTAGCTGTGAAAGGAAGGTAAGGAGGGAGAAACCTGAAGAAAAGGGAAGAAGGAAATGAAACGCCGTCAAGGCGTCAACAAAGGCTCGAGTTGAAAATGACAATTTCCGTGGAGCATCGTGGGCCTTATTTATATACGACCGTGAGATCCTTTAGAAATTCCGGGAAGAAGTGATGGAATGGCCAATGCAATCGCATGTCTCTTCACTTCATCTTGACCGTTGCCAGAGGAACTCGAATGAATGCATTCAGAATCACTGGTGCCATTAGAATGCGGGAAAGCATGACCATGCATGGGGAGATTCTCATATTAAGGAACACTGAAAGCCCATACAAATGAACACCATAGTCGTATCCAAGTGATCGCCAAGACTTAGGAAGTTCCTCAAACAGTAAACCGAGAGTTAAGACAGAGCAATCCTTGGAAACAGGCTGCAGTTACCACGTCGACTATCGCTCGAGGGCCGGGTCTCGCTGACAGTGGTTGTGTCACAACGCCGACTAGTTAGCCTATACGAATGGTTCAATGCAGGGACTGACTGAACATGCGTAAGAACATCAAGACACGTTACCCTGTGTGGTTATCATCGGCCAGCCTTGCTATCGATAAAATAGTTTTGGTATACGGCCCAAAAGCCAGCCTGGATCCAGTGAAAAGGTACAGGAAATTATTCAATATTAATAAAATACCACGCGGACACTCTTAGGTTGGGGGCCACGAAACACTTCGTTCTCCAGTGTCCCACCACCAGTCAGTAAACATATTCAGAACTCGCGTAATAAGTCTGTCCCCGCCCTGCGACATTGGTGGTGAGTCGGCCGGTGACAGCCAATTTATGGTATAATCGGGTTTAGTGGTATACATATGCAGCTCCGCATAAAATGGGTCATAATAAGTGGTAAGGAATAGGTCTCGAGCATGAAAGCCCGATATTCTGTTAGTGTTTTTTGAGTTCATTGCCAGAATTATAGTAAGACGAAATATTCTTACAGGTACATGATTAAGATCAAAAACAACTGGACGATGATAGCAAACGCTATCCATGACAACGAGGGACATCGACGGCCCACCTGAGCCGGGATCTGTTCGCGCGGGTCAATAATATGCACGGTCAGGATTGATCGCTAACTTACAACGATTTTGTTCTTGCTCATGCTCTCTCGTAGGGACACAACCTTTCGTCTCACATCCTCGTCGGCGTGGTGCAACTTTCGCGCAAGCTCCTCCCTCTGCTTGCGAGATGTCTTTGACATCTGCTCCAGCTCTGTTAACCGAGCCATATCGATGTCAGGGCCCGACCTGTTAGATATCTCTCAACTGACAGTTGCATTTGTGGTACGAAAACGAGACTTACTGGCAAACATCCTCCAGACCTTGCGCAATTTGTGACAATCCCTGTCGCATATGAGTGACCGCCTCCGTTCGTGTTAAAGGTTCTTCCATGCTGTCATCGACTTCACGCCCCATAGCATCCACTATTCGAATTGCGCTCCGATTACGAGGAGAACCGTGGCTCTTATCTGGTTTCTCTTCCTTCCCATATTCATCCACGAAGTTCACAGTTGGCGTCCTTCGAGACTTGGAGGGCGATACAGGTGTAGGTGGAATATCCGATACATTGCTATCAATGTTGAGAGCAGAAGATGGCCTCAAAATGCCATTCTCCCTAGTAGTGCGGGATGTCTCACTGTGTGTTGATTCATCATGGAACTCTGCAGACGAATTCGGTGTTATTTCGGTACCAGACTGGTCAGATTCCGTAAGTGGTGGATCAAATCGTACGCTCTTTTTCGGTGTCATCAGCCATCCGCCGGGAGGGGCAGGTGTCTGTGGAGGCAGGGAAGTAGTGCGTGCTAATGGAGTCGAGTTCTCAGGAGAAGGTGTACCGTCCTGAGGACCTTCTTTATCTACCGGCAGAGGATTCGATCGCGCAAGTCGTGGAGCGGGAGTATAAGACCAGGCACCAGGCGGCGGCGGCGTTTTCGACACCGTTACTTGGTCAACGGGCTCAGTATCTTGTTCGTTCTCAGAACCAGATGATGGTGGGCCAGGCAATTCTGGGAGTTCCTTTGGAGGTGACAGTGTCTGATATTCAGATTGGGAAAAAGAGGACCTTCGATGAGGGGTAGTGAACAATGGCTCTGAACTAGGTGGAGTGGGTGGCGCAGATGGCGATGACAAAGGGGATGCCAGTGGTGGAGTGACGGGTGGGTCAATAGGTCGGCATGGACGTGATTCGTCTCGTGTTGTTTGTGACCAAAGCTGCAGGGAAGGGGACTTTCTTTCCTCAGTCTGTGACTGGGTTAACGTCGCCGTTTTGAGTGTGGGTGTACTCTCTTGAGGCAAATCCTCATCAGTATCTTGAAAGAAATGTAATTAGCGAAGGATAGTGCTACTTAGTTCTGAACCGACCTGTAGACTGCTCGTCATAAGCATGGCCTATCTCGCTGGCTTGGCTGCTAATAGGCTTATCGTGGTCAACGGTCCTTGCTGCACTTTTAGAGTGACCTGAGAGCCTAGGAAGTCCTGATGATTTGTGTTTGGTAGCAATGGACGTTGTTGAAGGGGAAGAAGACGTCTTTGGGGAAATATTTGTCCGCTGATAGGTATCTTTTGAAGTAGGTTTTGAAGACATAGACCACGACCGTGGTCGTTTTTCTTCATTGGTGTTACTATGTGTGGGACTGATGGAGACGTTTGAATGTGAATAACGGGATGGAGCACTTCGGGAGGCAGTAGAATCAGGCGGTAACGGGGAATTTGAACGAGACGAATAGGTCCTCGGTCTTACACGCGACCGAGGAGATTCAGGAACTTTGAGGCCGGGTGAAGGAGCCCCTCGAGCAGTGACCTTTGAGTCCATGCGAGGTCGAGTTCTCTTGTAAGATGAGTGGGGCGACGTAGAAGCGGTGGGAGATGGTGGCATCGGGGAATTGGCACGGCTAGAATGGCTACGATGGGTAGTTTGACTATACCATGTTGGATGTGGGGAGTTCCAGTTCCGCTCTCGTTCATGGTCGACCTCGGATTGAACTTCTAGTTCACGATCACGTTCTTCGCTGGCGATTGTCCGCGAACTAGCAGGAGAAGCAGAACGAGAACTAGAAAGGGAATTGTGACGCTGCAGTCCTCCTGACCAGGATAGGCGCATAGCATCTGTGGAGGACTGGCTCAGACTAGACAATGTCCGACGATGGGGCTTATCCCATTGGCGTTCTAGGTCATCGTTGTGTTTGGATTTCAATTCAGCTCTACGACCCCGATCTATGAGCACGTCAGTTGTCTATTGCGACGAGAACGTTGGACACTCACGATCGGTGTATGATCCCTCAGAGCTTGCTCGGTCATTGAAAGTGTTTATCGAGGTAGTGCTGTCTCGTCTAGTTAAACCAGAATGTCCTGGTGACTTGGGGAAAGTGTGAAAAGAATTCCTATGTGAGAGATTGATGGAATGGGAAGACGACTGATTAGGACGAGATTTTGGCGGATCTGGTTTGAGAGTAGAGACTGACTGGGAACGCTGTAAGTCTATCAGATTTCGACTTGTGCCTGAAGAAGCTTGAGAGCGGTCCGCTGGACGCGGACGAATGGTTGCTTGAGGATCTACTTGTTTCTTTCGAGAAGCAGTGGAGAAAGCAACTAGAACAGGGCTTACTATACCGGAAAGAAATAGAAAGTATAGCGCACCTTTCGGAGACCCTCCATCATCACTCTCGAATCCTTGGAGCCCTCGCTGCATTTCTGAATCATGATCGAGCAAATCTGTGACAAAAAATGAGGATATTGATGAAGGATGAGACTATGTGATGCGTACTCGATTGAGCTTGGAGATAGGAGTTGAAAGACATTTGCAATGAGTGCTGGGGAGTGCTTGTAGCGGCTGGAGGTGTCGCCTGGCTGTTACCGAGGTCGTCGACCATGCCTTGAGTGTCGATGTTATCGTTTGCTGAATCTTGAAATAGTTGAGTGAAATTGGATAAGCAGACTGAGATGGAACTGACCACGTATTGAACCAAAGGCGCGTGGAGTTCTCGAATGCACACTGAAGACGTCGGCATCTGAGATATCAGACCTATAAGAGACTCCTGAGAAAATGTCAGAACGGCCTCAAAACGCGAAGATAGCTACGGACTCTCGATCTCTTCGTCACTCATGCTTTGCCTTTTGCTTATGATTCTTGCTCTCTCCTGCTTCGCTTTTCGAGCCATAGGGCTAGCCTGCACCTCGGTAACATCAAAGCTGTTCCGTCTGGGCCTGTTATCTTTCCGGGGTGTGTCTCCGGGATCGCGTCGGGCACGGGAGAATATACTCTTGATGCTTTCTTGAGCTGTACTGGTGATTGAGGAAGCAAAGTGGGGCTGGTCAAAGTCGGATTCTCGTTCTGAAGGTGATGATGGAGTCGGCAGCGCGGTAGAATTTGTGGATGATGGGGGAAGTCTGGCCATGACCGCACGGAGACGGGCAGCAGGGGTATCTTCTAGAAAAGTGGCAGATGGTTCTATTATCGAGAATGAAGATAGCACGTTCCGGGAAGGCTCGTCGTCGATGTTGAGCTCGACGCTGTTGCTTGCGACGGGATCTGAGAGGTGTGATGGACCTGACTGTGGACCATCGGGATTGCTGCGAGGTGTTCGAGATACCCTGAGACGAGGAAGTAGGGGAGGTAGCACTGATGGAGAGTCCATGCCCAAGTCCAAAACAGAGGACGAGCTGCGTGTCGTCGCGATTGCCGGTAAACAACCGTGTATAACACGTGATCAACATACGCTAGGCACAGAGGGTTCAAAGCAAATGTCCTTCTTTGATCGGTATTATATAATATCCTCAACTAGAAGTGCGATGCACCGGTGATTTTCGGTGATTTTCGGCTGAAGATGTAAACGAGCAGAAATAAGTTATCCCATGCAGAGTAAAGAGGTTGACTCGACGGCGGCTTCTGATAGATTTTGGTTGAAACAATAGAAAAAGCAGAAAATAATACTAGTTATGACTCTCTGTTTTTGCCAAATAGGGCCGGCATGCGTCGGCCGGTAATTACCGAAACCTTATGTGGCCAACTGCATAGTCGAGCTGACTCAGACAGACTCGTCGTCTGCCTTCAGCTTCACCTCAAGACAATATGGGAAAAGGTTCGTCGTCCTCGTGGTTGATGTCGTTGTCTGCATTCGTTGACTTATATTTCTCCTAGTTCACGGATCTCTTGCCCGTGCTGGCAAAGTCAAATCACAAACACCAAAGGTTGAAGCCCAGGAGAAGAAAAAGACACCCAAGGGCCGCGCCAAGAAGCGTGTTCTATACAACCGTCGGTGAGCATCTCGGACGGTTGGGTGTGGAAATGAAGCTTATTTTTTTTTGCAGATTCGTCAATGTGACGACTCTACCTGGAGGCAAACGACGAATGTGAGTGCCATTTTCGCGTCTCATTTTGCGCGCCTAGTCTGGTCTGGTCTCGCCCACCGCCTGCTATTCTTCGCTTCGGATGAATCAACAAGATCAAGCATAGTTCACACTGAAACTACCCCTGTTGACAAACATGCATCTAATGTCTTTCGCTCCTATCTGATCCCTTTCATTTCCTCTTCTTTTCAACGATGTACTTATGCTCTTGCTGCGCCAGGAATCCCAACCCCGAAAAGTAGAGTGCTTACATGCCTCTTATCGGATTAGCCTGGACACAGGAGCAGATGAGCTTGGGACTTCCGGAGTAGATTGACGCAGAGGGTTGGGGATTGTTCTTTAGTTGATGAGCGCTCTGCATATTATGTTATTCTGTGTTCCCAATACGTCCTATTTTTTTTTTTGTTTTTCAGTACTTGATTAACCGCAGCAAGTAAGCTAACTACTAAGACGCGGTGGAGGTACAGGTCCTCAGGATCCTCTCTCCCTCTTGTTCCGGTCCCTCCGTTCTTCCTTCCGAGTTCCCCTGGTGTTTTGGCATGTAATGTGGAGTAGAGTAACGGACATGTATGGTACTTTGGCCCCCCCAATATGTCCTATTGCCGCTTTGAAAGTTCTCTATTTGAGAAGATATTATCAATTAAGTATGCCACATATTCAATTGGTTTTTTTTTTTGGGCAGATTTGCTTTTTCCATCAGGCAACCATGACAAGTCTGCTTTGCTTGCGAGTCACTGCTTGCTCAGCGACGCGTTCTACGACGCGTACGCTCTCTACGCGATTTTTCTCTTCATCAGCGACGGCGAGAGCCGACGATGAGGCCCCCATTAAGCCACCTCAACCCCCGAAGCCCATCGACGACTCCACGTCGGCCCTCGATTACAAGAGGACTCAGCGTATGAGGCCGCCTCCTCTTCCTGCCATGGATCTGCCGCGCTCAAGGACCGCTGAAGAGGCGGTTACCAACATTCTGTACAATACCCCTCCTCCAAGTTTGCAGCCATTCAAAAGGTGAGTCGAGTCATAGACCGACTTAGCTTTTGAACCTCAACGGTCGACTTTCAGACATATCCTTAACTGTCTAGTACAGAATGAACCCGGTGTCCTCTCTCGCGTTTCAGGTATCCTGGCAGGAAGAGGCTTCAACATCGACTCCTTGGTCGTGTGTAGCACTGAAATTCCAGACCTCAGTCGTATGTGCATCGTTCTCAAGGGTCAGGATGGCGTTGTCGAACAGGCTCGCAGGCAACTCGAGGATCTCGTACGTGCCTTCAACTTCGTTCAAGAGTTCCCATCTTTCACATTGTTCCTTAGGTACCGGTATGGGCTGTACTAGATTATACCAACACGAGTACCATCCAACGTGAACTCGTCCTCGTCAAGGTCTCCATTCTCGGTCCCGAATACCTCGACGAGCAGCTTGTTGGTGGTCCATCGCATGACCCAAGGAAATGTGAGGATGGGAAGGAGCCCTCAAAATTAGAACAGGAGACCGTCCTCGCCCACAATTTTGAACGGGGAGGTCATCCTGATCAATTATCTGAGGCAGCCACAAATATTCCTCTTACCCCATCGCAAGCGCTTCGGCAAAAGCATCAGCATCTCCATTCGATTTCCACGTTGGCCTCTCAATTCGGCGCAAAGATTGTCGATGTTAGCACTAACAGCGTGATCGTCGAGCTCACAGCAAAGACGAATCGCGTCGAGGCATTCTTGAAGCTAATCAAGCCTTTTGGTGTGCTCGAAGCAGCTCGTACTGGTCGGTATCACTTTTCTTGGTGTGTAATACAGCCTAACATCTTTTTTCTTTCTTTCTTTTTTTCAAAGGTTTGATGGCCATGCCCCGTACACCTATTGACAATGCATCTGAGGAAGACATGTCAGAGTCAACCGGCCATGCTGTGGATGCAAGTCTTTTGCCACCGGGCTAAAAACAAATATCTTCAACATAACCCAGAGTCCCTGTCTCAATAAAAATACGGCAATTTATACAACTATTAAGATGTAATAAAACGTGGTACGAGCACTTGTCCGGATGATTAAAAACCAAAAATGCAGTGAGATGTGTATATGAAGGTCCAAGGTATCACTATTAATATGGATTTTATCAGCTTCACGTCCGTGTATTAATTGGTTGGGAGAGTCTTTCATTAATTTTGCGGACCCATGTCGCCGCCAAGTCCCGATCTTCAGCCATATATGTTACGTTCTTCGAGGGCTATGTAAGCAACGAAAGTCAGGGGGGGTCAGACGAGAAGATAAGATAGCTTACAGTTAGCAAAACAAATTCTCGTTCGCCTTTGGGCTCCACCGTTGATAATACTCTCTCCTTATCCTTTGTTGCATTATCACTCCGCAAAAGATATTCCGCCTTGACAGTAACATCTTCTGGGGACTTGAGCGGATACTTCAAGACAAAGACTCGTCGACTGGTGAGAACCAACTGTTGCGTCTTTAATTTTGTTGGGGAGACCGCAAGTGGGCGAAAAATCCTGCTCGCCCGCCGTCTAGCGGATATCGCTTGTACCGTTGAAGTAAATATCACTGGTTCGGTCGGGGGAAGATTCAAAAGCAATCTGCTGGAGGACCTCTAGGAGGTCAGTGAAAGGATATTATAAAGTGAATGGTGGTACAAACAAATCTACGGGCGGTCCATTCCCCTGGACCGGAGTCATAGCCTGCTTTCGCCCTCGTTCAACTTCCAGCAGGATGTCTGGCTGCTCTATGAAGGAGTCAGGGCCCAAGGGTAAAGGTCGCATTAACCTAAGCGCTCCAACAAGTGTACCAACTGGACTGCCGTCCGACGAGCTTTCTGGAGAAGCGCACAATGGATCGTTATTATCCTGAGGTCGTGATGATACATTGATAGGTGGTGGTGTCTTGACAGCGGTGGGCGTATCTGGAGGACTGGGCAGCTTGGGCTCAGGTGTGTCGGAGCTGCGTAGGTCAAGCTGCATATCTGAAAGTTTGGCTGGTAGTATCTGGCCACTACGTTCGATGGCGACTTGCTGAGGTTCGGCATCGAATGCACGATGACGGATAATAGGCGATAGTTTGCCTTCAGCGGCCCATGGTATGCCATCGTCTTTGCTACTGCTCGCAATTTCGTCCCAAGAGGCACCGACATCTTCCCAGTTTTTGTCTTCACCTTGAGAAAGCGGGTGCTCCTTCTTGACGAGACCAGATTCTAGGGGAGGTGCAGGATCTGTCCATAAAGTTTTCCAGTTGATGGAAGTAAAGAAGGGGTGAGAGTAGAGTGCCTTCATATCGTTATCTGACCCTTCGGTCACAGCGCCTAACCTCTGCTGAGGATCGCGGACCTTGGTACGATTAGGTAAGGTAAATCTAAATCTAAGGCAACAAAGCGTAAGGACCCACCAACAGCTTCTGGACTAGATCTTTTCCCTGTTGATCAAACCCCTCGGGGAAGGAGTATTCCATTTTCTTTACTTTCTGCATCGTCAAATATTCGGACAATCCAGAAAATGCGAATCGACCAGCTATCATTTGGTAGACTATGCAGCCAAAGGCCCAGATGTCAGAACTAATGAATGACATAAAAGAATAAGCGAAGATTCTTCATGAGGAAGAACGGACATGCCTTCTGCTCGTTTCATTTGAAGACACCAGCTCCGGGGCGATGTATTGGGCAGTTCCGACGAATCTCTCTGCCTCCACTGATGAATGGAAATGAGCGTCAAACGTGGGGGAGGAGGGTAAGAAAATAGGTTTACATCCACTGTCCTGTATCTTTGCGGTTCCGAAATCGGTTATTTTGATGCGGAAAGCTTCGTCGATGAGAACGTTCTCTGGCTTCAGATCTCTACAGGTCGTGAGCGCAACCGAAGCGGAAGGGGGAAAAAAATACGACGCACCGGTGTATGACGCCCTTGTCGTGCATGAAATGGATGGCATCGATGATCTGTGCTGCATAATACCTGCTGCAGCGAGTACTGAGTGAGCCCATGCGTGATATCAACGTCTGTAGCTCTCCATTGGTTGCCAAGTCGATAACAAAATCTAGTTGACGATTGAGCACAAGGTTCATTTTGGTGAACTATGTATGGTACACACATAAACTCCATTCGTCTTGGAAGGCAAAATGCAAGCGAACAAGGCCAGGGTGTCCGGAACCCAGCCGCAAGAGAGCGTTCTTCTCTGTCAGAGCGGTCGCCATCTTCTGCTTCCTGATTAAATAGTTTTTGTCTAATGTTTTAATAGCGTATTTTTGGCCAGTACGTAGATAAGTGGCGAGGAGCACCTTGAACGGAAATCAGCACGGTGTGGCGGCGTAAAGGAAATTTTTGCACCGTAGAGTACGAGCCCTCGCCGAGTGTTTCGCCGACATTAAAGTCCTCTATCGTCGGACCGCGTGACTTTGAGGGGGCTCTCGACGTTGACCTAGAGCTCATCTTTGACTCTGGTGGATCAGCAGACAGGGCCAGGTTGCGTGTAAGATATGACGGTGGTCGGGACGCCCTGGGTGTGGGTGGTAGGGGACTAGCAGACCTGGGTGGGGAGAAGGTACGTATGGGCCTTGGACGTGATGTTGTGGGCGCGGTGGATACATGACCAGTGTCAGAGCTTGAGGTCGAGATAACTGACGCCCGGCGGCTCAGATCTGCCAAAGACGGTGTCGAGCCATCAGGAGAGACGTTCGTGACGGCGTATTGGAGCATTCAGACAACGCTCAGACACAGCCACCAGTGCTCGCAGCGGCGACGGTGAAAACGGAACTGGCCGAGTTTGTCGAGTTTGCCTCTTAAGGTAGGTAGTTCCCATGTCAGTCGAACATTGATACTGCCATCAGCAATCACTCATCGTTCATTGTTCATTGTTCATTGTTCACTGGTCCCAGGACCCATTTGTCAGATGGATCTCAGGAATTTTACTCATTGTTCGCCCGAGTCATTGTACTGTAGAAGCATTGTATTCGTCATGCCAAGGTACATAGTTACAAAGTTAGTAGATAAATAACATAATTGCAGAGCAGATTCTTTGGATTTGTACAGATGATGCGACGATAAATTGAAAAAGGGAAAGCGACTAATTTTGATAGCATGTAATAACGACGACGGAACCTTGAGAACAACCACAGCAACGAAAAAGAAAGCGTGACAACTTCCGAGAGAATAAGAGGCGATGAGGAGACGTGAGTGAGGTCGCAGGGGAGAAGCGAATGCCGCTACAAACAGCAAGAATATATACGTGCAAGAAAGCAAATGAAGAGAGCTAGATGAATGAAAAAAAAAATAATGCAGGGGCCAGATGAGGAGAAATCTTTATGCGGGTTTAATTGGCCGAGACCCCGTACGGCAGAGGCGTAACATCGGGAGATGACCCTTGCACAAAAGGCTGCTTCCAGCTCCCCGCAACGCGTCGCGAGGCCGAAAGGGCTGCACCTGATGGAGGTTGATATGCCCCTTTATCTGCAAGTTCAGGAGAAGGGGGGGAAGGAGGCAGATTTTGAGCGTGGTTGGGTTCATACGCATCAAAGTTGATAAAGTCTTCCAGGTTATACTGAGTCATATGAGAAGAGCCGTGCGATAGCATCCCCTCGTTGGACGCGGTGGAATCCTCAGTTGGTTGCGATCCGACATTTCCAAAGTCAAAATCAAAATTGAACGCGTTGGGGTCGTACATCGGAAGTGCCACGGCGCCCAGGGTCGCGTGGTCTGGAAATGGGCCAAAGTGAGATAGGCTGAATATAGAAGGGTCGTCGGTTGACGTCAACAACGCCTCAAGTGAGTCATCAAATGTTGGATCGTTCCATTGCTCATCGCTAGGCATGGACACTGACAATGACAGGGGCTGCTGTTGAAAAAGATTAGTACAGGAAACACAACATTTCTTTGAGATAGCATACATGAGGAACGGTCGGCTGATCATGAACACTCCACGAGAATGAAAATCCAGAAGACTGCGTCGCCGCTGCAGGCGGGGAAGGCGGTAAATGTACCATCGAAGATGGAGACGGCTCTTGAAATGCATCGTTCGAGCTCCGAAGCAGCATAGACGGGACGATGCCATTTGCCGCGGCAGACGAGGAAGCCGAAGAGGCATTATCCATGGTCTCGTACCTCTGTGCGTAAGCAGCACCCTGGACGTCGGAGAGGACCTCTAGTGGCGCATTTTCAGAGGGAGACGGAGCTGCCGACATCGGTGGCGTTGGGCCAAGGGGCCCATAGCTGTCAGGATTGGCATTGAGGGGGAGGTAATTGGGAATGGGGAATGGGAAAGGCGCAGTCCGGACGGCGGAGGTGGTGGCAGTCGGATACGGTTCATAACGGTCGGAAGCGCGATCCTTGCGACCAGAGCGACGCTTACGCTCCTTGGCCTGCTTGGCCTCTTCTTTTCGGCGCTCCTTGTCCTCTTTCTTTACTGGCTGAAAACGATAATCAGGATACATCTCTGCGTGTTCCTGCTTCCTGATCTCCGCTCGTCTCTCGTACTCGCGCTTTATATCAGGATCTGCCTCTGCCCACAGTTTTGAGATGGCCTTGGACACAACCGACTGTTGAGAGGCCCCATTTGCAGGCTTGGGCATGACGCGGACCATGTCTGAACGAAAGAGGATCCAGGCGTTAGGTGGCCTTGGAGGCTTCGTCGACGATGCAGAGGAACCTGCCATGACAGCGACGCCGGGCAAGGGGAACGATAAAGGAGAGACGACCAAGACGACCGTGGATAAAAGTAAAGAGCAATCGTGGAGCAGCCGCGGAAATAAATTTCACGGCGGCAAGCACACACAAATAGCAGAGTACAGCCACGCTCGATCGGGGACAAGGGGCAATGAAATTAGAAAAACAAAAGGGACGTCCGCAACTCATTATATATCGACCAAGACAAATGCCACCAGGAATAGGTCACAAAACAAGACAATGAACAAATATCAAGCAAATCAAGTACCATTCAAGCAAGCAGGTTCATTTGTCGTAAATAATACAGCCATACATCCCATGCGAGGGGAACAAGTAATAGTACACAAGCCGAAACCGAGTCACCAACGAACAAAAACGACGTGCAAAGAGTGGCAATGGTAAGGAGCATGTGAGGGTAAGAACAGACAACGACGGCAGGGAACTACGCCAGCAGGGAGCCAGCGCGACCGTGGTGGACAAGAATATGAAATAAAAAATTTGAAAATTATATCATCGGCTTCAGGTGGTTGTATCATTCAGTAGCCACTGCCGTAGCCTCCACCACCTAGAACAACAAGGTCAATACAATGCGTGGCACGTCCTGGGTGGCGCATACCTTGGTAGCCTCCACTTCCATATCCTCCACCGCTCTGGCCGCCACCGTAGCCGCCCTGACCACTGCCATAGCCACTTTGGCCTCCGCCATAACCTCCGCTGTAGCCTCCACCTCCGTATCCTCCACCACCGCCGTAGCTACCTCCACCACCTGAAGGAATAAAATATGATCAGCGGAAAGAGAAAAAAAAAACAACCGAGACGCAAAACAAAACTAGCCTGAATATCCACCACCACCTCCGCCGCCTCGGGCATTAGCAAGATTAACTTTGATGCGCCTGCCGTCAAGTTCTTGCTCATGGAGGCCTTCAATCGCACTCTGAGCTTCCTGAGCATCCCCATAGGTCACAAACCCAAATCCTCGAGAACGACCGCTCTCGCGGTCGCGCATGACGATCGACTACGATCAAGGGTCGGTTAGTATACGGATCTCACAACGAACACTGTCAACAAGACTGCTGCAGGTACGGATGGACGAGAAAAGAGGCGCACATCAAGGATCTGACCAAATTGAGAAAAGGCCTAAAATTGGAAATATAAGAGGGACTATCGGTTGCACAGCAGGACGTGCTCAAGCTGGATCACACTGACTTGGCGAAGGGAATCATCTGTCGTGTTCCAACTCAAATTGCTACATAAGACATGAAGCGGTATCAGTGCCGCCCTCTCACAGGGAAAAGGCGACGTGAACAGGGAGCAAAGGCACAGACTGACCCAACATATACTTTTGTAGACATGATTGTCCTTTAATACAATAGACGTATCCGGACACTGAAAAACGAGACTGTAGGGAACAGAACGAAACCGAGACCGACCGGTACTGGAGGGCAGAAAGAAGGAGAGGAAGTCAAAAAACGTGATACCGTGTCCTTATAAGACCGTATTCCAACTCCGCCCATATAGTCTTTCCTATCTCGGTCGCAGACCTTGCGATTGGTCCGTGCTCTTGTATAACCCTCCCTGTCTCATGACCCTCCTAAGGTCCGTTACTAAGTATAACCCAACTGTAACCATGATGTAGTACTAAACAGAACATATGTGCGAAGAATCATTATTATGGTATGGGACGTTATTAACCCTTCGTGAAAATCGTCGAGTCAGAATTTGGGGTTCAAATCGAACAATGCGCAAATGAAAAGAAAAGAAAAGATCGTGTTCACATCAGACTCCTCCTCTTCCGCTCCTTCCGCTCCTTCTTCTTCTTGTTCTTGTCTCCATCGCCAGAGACACTTGGCGTTGGGCTTTCGTTTCGGGAGCTCCCCTCTCCTCGACTGCTCCCGGCTCCTTCATCGACAGATACACGCGGCGAGTTATCCTTCTTCAGTCCAGGAATCATGGACGATACAGATCCTTGTCTTCTCGTTGTGATGGAGATCCGCCTCGCAAGTCTCTGGAAGTTCTGAGAAGAAATCCTTTTCCTCTTTGGCTCAGTCTCCGGGTCTGGTGTCCCGCTGCGCGACGGAGCACCACTGGTTTCAAACGTAACTCCCGGCGCTGGGGTGGCGGACTTTGGAGACTCAAGTTGTGAGTCTGCCACACTCTCTTCTGCCGCCGGTAACGCAACCGACCTAGGCTCGGAGGTGGGGAATGTCACGGGGGACGGTAAATCAGTGGTAGCAGGCGTGTCTGCGACCTCAGATGAGGGGAAAGATACGGCAGCAGACTCAAGAGGTTCCTGAGGCGGAGGGATGGGGGCCTTACTGTCTTCCCCTTGCTCCGGGTTTTTGGCATGAGGCTTTAGAACAGAAATAATTGGCTCATTTACGATGGGAGCAATTGTAATAGCCTCAGCCGGTTCCAATGGGCCATCATCGTCGTCATGTTCAGAAGGTTCCGCAGAATAGGAATAGGGTGCAACATCTTGCTTCATTTCTCCGAGAGAAAACGCAGGATCCTCGGTAGACGACACCTGATCTGCCCACATGGATGCAAATATTCCATCTCGGGCAAGCAGCTCTTTGTGACTACCTTGTTCAATTATCTGTCCATCTTTGAGTACCAGGATGCTACGATCAAAATGCGTCAGCCAAGGTTTCAGCATTCATAACAACAATACTAACACATCCGCAGAAGATATTGTCTAGCGCGAAGTCTTTGTTAACAAGACACAGTACGGTCACAAACATTACTCACTGATAGGCGATGAGCAATCGATAACGAAGAACGGCCAGTGATCAGATTGGATAGAGCCTTCTGAATATCTTTCTCAGTGGAGGTATCCAAAGCGCTGCGCAACAGTTAGCCGACCTCAAGACGTCGGACAACGGTCTTGTTGTACCTTGTAGCCTCATCCAGAAGCAATATTGGCGGGTTTTTCAGTAAAGTCCTGGCGATAGCAACCCGCTGCTTTTCTCCGCCACTCAGCCTTACACCGCGCTCGCCGACAATGGTATCATATCCTGCATCTGGTGTTGGCAGGTATTCTAAAGGTCCAAGACGTGTCCGCACCTTCGGGGAAGCTCATAATTCGATCATGCATCTGCGCTGATTTCGCAGCGACTTCAATCTCTTCAGGGGTGGCTCCGAATTTGCCGTATCTAGAAATAACAATTAAGGGGTAGTCTCAGAAACAAGTCAGGGAAATTCATACCCAATATTGTATCCAATAGTTGTATTGAATAGAACGGAATCCTGCGGAACAACCCCGATGGCCTGCCTCAAGCTCTTCTGAGTAACATCCCTATCGAGGGATTAGGAATGCCTTCTGCGAACAAAAAGAGATAAGAACCTGATATCTTTGCCATCGATGAGAATTCTCCCTTGGCCTTCTTGCAAATCGTAGAATCTGTACAGTAGACGGAGAATAGTGGACTTTCCAGAACCTGATTCTCCAACCAAGGCAACAGAGGAGCCTTTGGGCACTTTGAATGAAACACCCCTGAGAGCCGTCGTGCGATCATTGTACGAAAAGCTAACGTTATCAAACTCTATCTCGCCATCCTGTACAATAAGGTCAGGTGCGTTGAGCTTGTCATTGATTTCTGTTGGTTCGTTGAGAAGCTTCAAAAGCTTCTCCGTATCAACCAAGGACTGGTTCACAGAGCGATAAATATATCCGAGTTGGTTCAAAGGGGCATAAAGCTGTAAAAAAACAGACTTAGAACACAACACCAGGTGTTGAATTAAGACCTGCTCACCTGGCCTAAATAAGTAACGAAAATGACGAAGTCACTTGCACTTGCTTGGCCGTTAGCCACGCTCCATGCAACGATGAGCGACCCAACAAGGAGCCCAACGGTCTGCGAGTCAGGTAAGTCCTCGGTAAAGGTAAGCCGGACCATCACGCACGATGATAAAGTTTTGAACGAGATTAAGAATATTTAAGGAAACTAGACTCAGGTGAGACGGACCATTCACAAGAATTTAGTATCATACGTACTCATGACCGTATACTCCAACGTTTGGTACTCTCGAAGGGCATTTCTATAGCGAGCTGCTTCATGTTCTTCGCCACAGAAATATTTGACAGTCTCATAGTTCAAAAGGCAGTCGGTATGTATACCGCGTGTTATCTGACGACATCAGATAGACGTGGAAAAGGGGATGGACAAAAGACTCACGATGTCTCGCTCATTCATCTTTCTCCTTATCTTCGTTCGCCATTGCGTCAAAACGACACTAGCAGACACTACAAGCAGATGCAGCAGCACTAAGAAAAACACAATGCTTGGACATACCATATGCAAAGATAACCATGAAAATAGTGACTGCCAAAGTCCAATCGAACTTGACAACAAATACCACCAAGGCAATGACGATATCGACGAAGGTGGGTACTATATTAAATAAAATGAGCTGTAGTACAGTCTCCCGTGAGTCAAGACAATATGATGACACAAAAAGCTATACGCACCTCCAGCGTATGGTTGATAGCAGCGCCACGATCAAGTACACGAAGGATTTCGCCAGTCTTCCGTCGCGTATGCCAAGCAAACGATAGATTTAACAGATGATCAAAAGAAAGCTGCGACATTTCTGTTTTACGTTCGGTTATGAAGCTATTGCACGCGGTTCCCGCAGCCACTTACCACGGTCAGAGTACTGCATCACAGGTGCCCAAAAAGACTGTGAACCGGACGCTAATCAATATGGAACGGAGCGATGTGGACTTTGGACACTCACATCACGAATGGCTGCTAAACCGCCACTCCCCTGCAGGAACCTCAAAGCGACATAGAGGAATAAAACGGGCCACGGAGAACGATCTGACGATCTGTCTTCCAGAATACTGACAAGCTCTCCGAGGGCAAAAGGCATAGCAACATTGACGACTCGACCAACTACCAGTATGGCAACACAAACAAGCTGGCGATTGGAAATCTCTATTGGTAAAACGGGAGGAATGGAAGTGACGAATACTCACAGCTAATACTTGCAATGTACGAGACTTTGACGGCCATAGGTATGGCGTAAGACGCTTAAGACGCCTTCCTATCTCAGACCAGGAGGGATCATACGAGACCTCTGGTTTCTTGTCTGCGCCCTTGATATGAAAGATCGATCAGTATGAATGACGATAACAAGATGAGTAGAAAAGACCTTATGCGATGGCGATGGAGTTGGTGCGCGTGTAGTGGGATTAGACCTCTGGAAGATGGAACGACTGGGACGAAATGTCCCATACTTGGCAGATTCGCCAGATTCGCCGGCAGCGAGACCTGGCACAGCAAGAAGACCAGTGGATGGATTGGCGTTGGCTCCCGGAGGAAGGAGGAAGGATGATTCCGTGGCCGCAGTTTCATCAAGGCCATTCCCCGCCTCCACCGGGGTGAAAATGATACGTGGAGATAATAGGGACCCTAGCAAGGGGAGAAGAAATATTATACGTAGGATAGGGAAAATAATCTGGAGAATGACGCGAAGAGGAAGAGAGGAAGACGAATCTGCTTCACAAAGACAGATACATAAGTTATCCACGCAGATACAGACAGGACCGTACCTTTCTTTGAGAGATTTAAGGCAAGGAATATCGCCAATAAAATATCCAATATTAAAGCAGCAGCAACAGAAGCTTTGACTCGTTTGCGGAACCAAACATCGACACCTTGAACATCTTTCCAAGCTCCCAGCGCTGCTAATCCCGAGAATGCGACAAGACCAAGTACTGCATTAAATTCAATACCGGTATCGCGTGTCCAATGCTTGGTCACGACAGCAAAGATCGTGAAGGCAAGACCGTCAGCGAGATATGTCAGAGAAGTAAGAGTAAGAAAGAGCAGGATCGTGCTCCGGCGGGGTAGCTCCGACCTGCTGAGTTGTCAGACCAGTACCTGCAAGAAATAGAAGATACGAGCCTGACGACCACCGATGTGATGGGCAATGAAGACAACGAAGAAGGGGCGTAAGGGCGAAGTAAGAACAAAGATAAAGAACAAAGAAGAACGAGACCTGGCGAGAGGACTCTGAGAAGGAAAATGAGGATATTCTGCGGTGAGTGCTGGAAGGATGCGTCGACCACCGCCATCGTCGTCGCAATGCTTGTCGTCGCTGCCGGATGCAGTGGACGTTTGGAGGAAAAGGATGACTTGTTGAATTTGGAAATTATACCGTGTGGTCACGTTACGTAGCCAAGCCGCTAAAACTATTTCTTCAATGTTGATGCTATCTTCGCTTACTAGCACTACAGGGTAACATTAAGGTCCAAGGGAGAAGAATGGGCATTATCGATCCATCTTTTCAGTCCATGGACCCCCTCGTACTTGCCTCACCAAGGCCATGAGGCAGCATAGCGACGCGTGTTATCGACTGAAAAAGAACCTAAGAAGTGGCGATACGGTGCATATTACGCATGTAACCCTGACGGGCCGCTCCACCTCAGCTCCCGTAGCTCGTACATCCATCGCTCCTCCGTCCCATCGAACCCAGCTAATACAGAGTCATCGCTATCGCTCCTGACATTGATACGGCTGCTTGTATGAGTGAAGTACACATATCGTACATTCAACAGCAACCTCGTCGCGTTCATGATTGAAAAACAAAGTGCAAACATGACCGGGATTCGCGCGAGAGAGAACTATGTGATTGTTGGCTTTGTAAGTGTTTGAGCTGGGATAAGGACTTCTTCGTACGTACGTCTGCCGAGATCCACAAGATGCAGCACAGGAGATACGCAGAAAACATCCTGTCTACGTGTTAGCATGACAGAGAAGAGATTCAGAGTCAACTCACGTTACATAGTTCATCGCGGAATTCTTATATACATCGTACAAGAGTTGCTTCCGCTTCGGTTGCGCAGGGTGACCTAGGACCTGATAGCTTTTCAGAATAAATAGGATAAATATCACCCCGTTGTACGCCAGATTCGGAACCCAATAGAAATTATAAAGTGGTGGAATTTCAGTCAGGCTGCAAAAAGCAGGCTGGTACAATTGTGGTGAAATAATGTGATTTGTAACTGTGTTGGAGTGAGCAAAACGTCGTGGAAAAATACGACGGATTTGGCCTCACTGTGCGCATGGTCCAAAGATACTCCGAGTATCGTAAATGTCGTGACCACCTCTCCAGCATATAGACATAGAAGCAAGACCACCACTAATATATTTCGGTCGTAAATCACATATATCCATGACATGAGAACGACTGTTAGGCGTCAGAGCAGGGGGGATTTCCATCCACAAGATTACTGACGTTCAGATGTGAGGATTGAGACACTGATTGACAGAATCTCCCAGCGAAGCCAGAAGGAGCCTATACGTTACACAAGTCATACTTAGCTTAGAATGTTTCGACATGCGTTGAGCGTCTGACATACAACTAATCTAGGATCAGCAATGATATCTATCAGATGGCACAACCACATACAACTAATAACATAGGTTTCATCAGCATCGTTTGGAGACAGATTGATATAAATATAACGCACTGATTCTGTAACACGAGTATTCACGACAACTAACCCAGGGGTCAGAAATGTTGCGACCAGAATTCCCGTCGAACTCACCGCTTAACTCAAACCTTGGGCATGACCAAATCAGTGGTGACATTGAGATTATGGTAGGGTCAAGACTCACATTATACAAAAGAGACCAAAGTATCGATGCTACTGACAACCATTGGACTTGGGAAAAGCCTTTGACTTCATGTACGTACCCATAGAAAAACATTGTTGATGAAGGATGTTCTCCTCCTCTGCGCATTGAAAACTAAGATGAGAGTGTGTCGGTTATATCCCGTTTAATGAACGAACCCAAATAAGTTCAACCTGTTTTATGCTCAGTGATTGCAAGAAAGACGGAATGAAGACCTTGCCTCTCTATGGAAAGAAAGTACTATGCGAAATTTGTAGTTAGAAACACAATGCAATAGACGTCCAGAACGCGATACTTACAGTGGTCGTAAAGCATTATCGTCGCAGCGGCAACTGTCAGTGGCAGGTAGGTGCCGAATATAAGAACATGAAGGATGGCTCGGACTTACAGACGGCATATCTGGTGTTCTCGATTGAGCTGAGTAGACGTTGGGCCTGGGGCGTGTCCATTGAACGCCAGCTGGGGGAAGAATGACAGAGGGAGTGTAAGAAGCTCAGGGAGAACTCGGCGAGGAATCAAAGATGTGGATAATCGCCAGATGTGCCGAACTAAGTGCTTCTATACTTGCGTGATTCCGAATGGCGGCGAATATCAATCTTGTAGTCGAACTTGCGGCGACAAAACCATTCTGTTGGCATCAGCTAATCACGACAGTTACACAGTTACAGATAAGCGGTAATCGGACAAAATGAAAGGAAGCAACCGGACCTAAGCGGGCTCGCAATAACATCCAGAAAATGGAAACAACCCAAGAACGTAAGTGACGATTGAATGACCCTGCCCGGGGTTGATGAAAGCCAGTAAACGGAACGTTGACCGTGAACGTCCAAATTCAAAGCATCCACATTCTGTTGAGGAAGAATATTTTCCGATTAATCGAGTTATTCTCGATACTGCAGTAAGATTCGACATCAGGATCTCCAATTCAGTCACGGAATTCTCGTTGGATGCTCGGACACGACCCGAGATTGGACGCATGATGGGAAGCAAAAACAATTGTATAGCATCTCTCGAACACTTAACCAGAATATACGCTACAAGGTTCTGTAAAGTGCATGTAAAACCATGGCAAGTATTGCTCACATTACTCCTTCAGCCCACGGGAAAGTTCATCTAAACGGATCCTCACAGCGTCTAATCGCCTTCCCTCAGCATCTGCGGTCTCCATGTCTCGCAGCCTCAAAGCGGAGCGTGCTGACTGGATGAAGTCATGCGACCGCTGGACAGAGATCTCGACACTTGTGTCCGGGGACGTCGCCTCTGAAGATGACGGGACGAGAACTGATAGATCTACATTTGACACACGTAGGAGGGCCAGGTCATGAAGGATGTCGCTGAGCGGCAATGGCTTGGTTGACGTCTTGGGCGCCATGTCACAGTCGAGTTTGAAGGTTGGCAAGGTTTGTGTTTGTGTACGCAATGGTGCTCACTTCTGCCACTGATTCCGAAAGGCTTTCTGTCAAGCGTATTTCCCGCCTTTTACGCTCACTTCGTATACGATGCAAGGCTCTGCGACTCTGTGGCACCATTCGCACAACTCAATTCGCGACCTATCCTTGTCGTCGCGGAGCAAACTGTTCTGATACGCCGCTTTTTCTGCTTCCTCCGCCCAACTCTGCAGCCTCCAGGCTCGTCTTTGACCGAAACTCCAGCGCTGCTGTAGAGTTGTCTCGCAAAATATATGCCGTTCGCGACGCGTTCCGTGATCTGGTGCTCAATACACGACCACCGGACAGAAAATCATTCGGTACTGCTTCTTCGATCACACTTGCTGCTTTGTGCGCGACTGTGATTGGAGAGAACATGGAGCTCGAGGACGATGAATCAGGTAGAGATGCCGAAGGAGAGCAGGAAGAAGACAGTGTAGAGCTGCTGTATGAAGCAGTACCCGCTCCATATCGCCGGTTAGTTGTTGAACCCTCTTACTTGGTTTGGTCTCACTACTTGAAACATGCAGGTGGACGTTGTTCTCTCATGCAGTAAACATGATCATCAGTGTATGCCCTCCCCATGCAACCTTGCACAGAATCCTCCTCGACACCACCTTGGAGCAAGGGTTGTTCCATGAATCCGAGACTCTTCTAGGTGCTCTTTTGGTCCTCGGCCTATCCTCCACCGAAATTTGTCATCCCTTACACTCGGATTTTCTCACCGAGCTTCATGGGCGATGGTGTGCTAGCACGGGGTATACGGAACAATCGTTCTTGAAAATAATGGCCGATTCCCTACTCAACATTCGTACACCTAATATCTGGCTTTCCAAACCTGTAGACCGGTTCATACACAATTCCTCCGTAGAATTCTTCGTCCGCGCTGCTTGCATCTTGATGGAGTTTTTAGTCAGGGAAAGTCTTGATGAACAATCGAGTGTGGACCTATCCAGGAAACTGGTACGCTGGATTTACCGTCGTTTCCTGACGCTAGAGGAATCATGTCATGATGTGATGCTCGATCTAATTGTCGTCTGTGATGGACTTACTACGGATCGGTGTCAGTCGGGATGGATGCAAGAATTACGGTGCGCTGTTGCTTGCGTGGGCACCCGACTTTTGCTGAAATGCAAGGGTCACCATCACTGCCCACTACTGGCATATTTACGCAAAGTGGCGCCCTTGCCATCAACCTACGGGGTTCTGGTCGAACATTCATTCGTGTCTTCTGCCAACTTTCAGGATGCCCAAGCGCAACTGCAGGAATATTCAACAGCGCTGCATGCTCACAATCTTCATCAGCTTGACGCATCCATACTATCCTGCATACTCTGCCATGTCGATCGTTTGTTAGATTCCCTCTATATCGAGAGAGCCGAGGCGAAGGCCTATCAGGAAGAGTTGATCGAACTCGTTGATGACGCTGAGAAACGATGTTTTGGGATGGCGGACAAGGATGAAGGTCAATTTGTGTGGGAATCTATCGTTGGGTGCTGGATTCGTTCGCCGTGTGATCTTCCCCCACCGAGGAAACGGTTGAAACGCGTTCACTCGCCCACTTCAGAACCTGATTCAACCATCATCTATGATGACTGGGACTCTGCAGATCAGACACCGCCTTTTGCTTCACTGCTTCGTAAAGCTGCCTCTAGTCGGACAATTTTGCACCGAACTTCACCAAAAAAGAACCCCTTCTCGCAACCCTTATCATCTCCTGCTAGACAATGCCCATCTTCGGATGATGCGCTAAACCTATTCGTTTATCCCACCTCTCCTATTTAGAGTCGATCTACATATATATTCAACATCTAGTCATATGTACATCACAAATTATCACCCGCAGAATTGTTCGAACTTGTATTGTGTCCTGTGTCCTGTAGTATAGCAATTATTACCTCTATTTTTTGATGACTCGCCCAGTGGAGAAATTGCAGAAACACAAATGAACAAAGTTCCCAAACTCCTAGGATTATGTTGTAGCTAATACCTTCCGTGCCAAATTTACGTATTGCATCGCATCCTCCTTTTTATCGCCTTCACTCCCCGTCGTTCTTTCCCAATGAGATAGTCCACCGTCTACGAGAGTCCAAGCTTCCTCCTCCGTGTGTTCATCAACCCACCGAACATATTCCGCTTCCTGCCATCCATGAAGACTGTGGGGCAGTGGTATCAGCGAACGAACAAGTATGTGGTGCAACACTATAAGAGGGGGTAAGCCAGCCGTGTATTGCGACAACGCCAGCTGTGAGTTTTCGAGAAATAAAAGAGGCCTAGGAAACAGATAAGTTTCCGGCAAGGACGTATCTACATGCTTAGTGCATACCGCATTGCTCGAAGCATTTTGTATTCTGGTCCTACACTCTCCAAGTTTCCGCCCCGCTTCTCTTGTGGACTTTCCACAAGAAACGCGCTCAGGGCGAACTCTAACTCTGTCATGTCACTGGTAAGCTGTAATTTACCTGCTTCTCCAAGCGGTTTGACTATAGAGACATGAAGCACAAACGTCTTAATGATATATTGCACAAGTGACATTATCCTGATCATTGTGTGTCTTGAGACAGGCCAAAGAGAAATCGTGCACACATACCACGCTCTTTTTTCATCTCCGATCCCGAACTTGCTGAAGATCTCGGTTTTGATATAAGCCAGCTTTTCTACGAGGTCTTTCATGTACAGACTTGATCCGCCCATGCCCGCGATAGGGTCAGCAGATCTGCCAAAATCAAAACGATGCATTTTAGATATGATGGCGCTCAGCTCACGCCGTATGGCGGTGAGCAGAGGATTGACGATGCGTTCGTAGGCAGAGTGTAAATTCTAGAGGTGATTATTATCCCAGTGGGCCTTGAAGATAAAGGTCAGAACATACGCCAACACTGCATTTAATGATGTTGAAGACCACTTCTTTCTGTTCTTCTCCAAGCTGTGATAGCCGCGACCATACACAATATAAAAACGTCGTCAGTGAACCATTTATAGCCTGTTGTGGCGTCGCTGAGGGTCCTATCAAAGTCAAGGCAGACCGATCCCGAGAGACCTAGGGGAAGAAGGGTCATGTATACACCCGTATTTGTAAGGCGACACTTACTAAACCATCAAGTCTAGATATAATAATATCTATACTTGTTGTAGCGTTCTTAGCGACGGCTTTCACAAGCAGTGGGTCAAATCTTGCCGAGTCTAACTCGTTGGCCACAGCACGTGCAATGTTAATGCCTTCTGACATCCCTGGTGGATTTCGTACCCCACCAGAGAATGCCTGACTGACGGACTCGTTGAGTTTAGTCGAAGATCGGGCAAGATACAGTGATTCGAAGTTCGAAAGTGCGTGAAGCACTAGCACAGTCTCTGGGCTGGGTAGAGGTTAGGCACGTAATAATGATAGAACAAGGTAAGCGGACCTTTGGTACGTGTGTATGTAAGTTGTATCTGTATGAACGGCAATTTTTGCAAAGAACTCGTGAAATAATCTTAAAAGTCTTGGGTATCCCGTGCTCAGTGTTTGTTGAAGAAACATGGAGCCTAACGATTGGTAAGATATATATGATCCTTATCATAGAACTAGATGCTTACTTCTAGCGGCATCCCGCGCATTCTTCTCTAGCGAACGGGCCAAAGCTGTCCAGAAAGTAGCACTAGGTTTGTTCTCTAGAAGCTACTCATGCACCGTCAGCAGGTTCTTGTAGGGATCAGGAGGCAGCCTGACCTTCATGGCCTCGTCTAGAAATACTACATGTGAAATGGTATCCTTTTTTATTTTCAGCACTCTTTCCAAAGTGTATACCTAAGTTACCATCGTTAGTATTGAGTATGGTGAAACACGGTTAAAAACCTGCTGCCCAGTAAGGACCCTATGTGTCTATCCAGGCTGATATTCGACAGATAGATGTCCATGAACAACGGTCCACGTGTAGCCCTCACCTTTACACAGCATTCAGCCATGTCCTGTACCATCACCTCTAATCGAGCCCAGAGAGCAGCCGTCCATTGCGGAGCCGTCAGATTAGTTGGCTCCGTTCTCACGCGGGACTTGTACAGGGTAGGTGATTGGGCAGAATCTATCTGAAGTGTCATGGACCGGTCCAAATGGACTTTAAGTGCCCACCTTTGGACAAGATTTCTTTGGAGATTTTGGAAAGATCAAATGCGGTTCGTATTCGGTCGTCAACAGCCTGTGACAGCTCCAATATGAGATTCTGAACTAGTTCAGGAAGAACCCGAAGGTTATAGGCTGTTTGAAGGGAGGACGCGAGGAGGGACTGGTTCTATGAGGGTTTATTTAGGACGCGGAAAAGAAGAAAAGAAGAACCATTTACAAGTAATGTTAAACCCGTCAAAACCATATTTTCCATTTCCGAAGTCACTTTGGCTCGGGCATCCTCGATATAGGGCACATGGACGGCGATTGCATTAACCGACCTCAAAGATATTCGGGATTCAAGGTCATCGCTTTGTACGTCCGACTGGCGAGTTTCCTCAGACACCCATGAGGCTGGATCATCCAATAATGACACTGCAGCGAGCTCATGCAAGTTCGCAAACTAATAATGAATCTAAGGACGTACCAAGCTCCGCAATACTAAGCGCTGCCTTTGCGATAGTGCGCTCCTTGCCGTCCTCGAGGTCTTGACCCTGCGCAGATTCATCGGATTTGCTTCGGAAAAGCGGCAGCGGCAGATCCGGGATGCTACTGCCGGATTCCATTTCGGCCATCTGGATTTGGAGTCTGCGAGCGAGAATCACAAATCGGGACGTGCGACGTAGAATATCCGATGCCTGCTGAAGTTTCTGGAGACGAGAGACGTTGGTTTGAAGGGTCTGGTAAGGCGCACGGACTTTGAGACGTAATCTGTTAAAGGATGGACACATGTGATATTGAAAGGGACCACAAGACGCACTTTTCGAGAGAATGGTCAAGGTCGGCGAGCCCGGCGCGAACAGAAGTAAGGGAGCCGGATAGTTCATTTGCACTTGCTGCCTGAGAAAGAAGGTCCTGATGATGGTTGGTGACCTATTATCCAAAAATAATGAATGGACAATGGCGAATAACAATGCACTCACAAGAGTCTTTATTTGCTTGGAGACATCATCGATGCCAAACGTAAGTTTTGATATTGCTATGGAGATTTCCTCCTTTCCTGGTGCATCGGCAAGCTTTGTCGAGGACGCCAAGGGCTTTGTACGGGTGTCGGATGGAAGAACATATGGCTCGCCCGCAAGGACAGCATTAGCGTAGTCGTTGGGGTCGAATTCAGCACTTGCAAATACAGAATAGTCTGGGAGAGATGGTGAGATGATGGTGAGAGGATAAGGAGTGGCGAGGCACGTACCAGCAGGAGCAGCCATGGAATACGAGTCGATGACGGTGCTGATCATATGACGGCTGCTACGCGTTATGACGTCAGCGGGTGGGAGTATAAATATTCGAGTTGTGCAATCGCGATTGACATTAATCTTGGCACCCATGTCGTACGCCTACTACCATCAAGCCCCAGGCTGGGGGTCCAATCAGGTATTCCTTGATTTCCCTCTGATTTACCAGATTCCCTTCAACTGACGGCCCTTCACTCATTTAGTTCCATTTCGGGGCACCACCTGCTCCCACATTTCAGCCTCAGCCATCTTGTCTGTATTCTCTTATCTCTTATTTTATGTCCACGTTTCTGATCCCCGTCATAAAGGGGGTGGCATTGATTATTACCGCGCCCATGCTTTGAGTCCTCAGGCTGATCCGTGAGCAAACACTACCATGTTTCTCAGTGCTCATCCAACCAATACGCTGCCTCTTTCAACCTCTCCTTCATTCAGTCTCCTCTTTGATAATGCCTGGAATCGCGTCAGAGATTTTGGCCCCAACTCTGGAGGTCTCGGTGTAGGCATAAACGAGGCCCGACATTGGCACTCTCGCGCCTATGGTGGTTTAGTACGTATTCTCCCTTTTACTTGGCCTCTCTTCATGACCTGTTGATGGGGCGCTTCTAGGGTGAACTGAACCAAATGCTCCCACAAGAAGTTGGCCACGCAGCCGCTTACGAGGCCTATCGTACATGGATCCACAATAGCTCCATCTACGAGCCACTGAGTGGTGACTTTGAAAGGCAACGAGAGGCTCTTATCGGTCTTGCTGTGGCGGAGTGTCAGTTATCCTCGTGTTGCCCCACCGTTGGACTCACCGAGTTTCAAATGTAGCCTCGCGATTATTGGGTTATACCGCCCGCAGTATGGACAATTATGCTCGTTCAGCAGCCGCAGAAGCTGCAGCGATGACTGCATCGATAATATTTTATTGGGCAAGTCATCATTTGCATTCCTTATTCTTTGATCTAATTTGGATCTGCAGAGCCGTGATCACGATGACGATTACCGGGGACGTGGAACCCAAGGAGACCCGTACGATGACCGATACGAGTATGATTCCGATGTTCTCCATGGGCACCGTCGTGGTCGATCACACTCTCGACACCGGTCTCTCTCAGTATCCTCATACAACATGCCTTACTCAGGAGGCGGAATAGCACCCGCGCCATCCACGATGCCCATGCCTATACCCGGGATGGCGTCGAGCATCGGTTATCCTGGTCAGCCAGGATCATATGGACAACCAGGGAACTATGGATCTTATCCAGGACAGCCCGGATCTTATCCCGGTCAATATGCGGGGTCGCAATACGGGGGCGGCATGCCCATGTCGATGCACGGTGGGGGCACCGCCTACGCTGGTTCAGATCCCGGAGGCCCCATAAATAGTGGTGGATACGCCGCACCTATGGTTATGCACTCCCGTCCTCGGAGCGTCTCCATGTCAATGCCTGGACATTACCCCCACACCCCGTACTCTGCAGGCGGGGCTATGATGATAGGTGGAGTTCCTCAAGCCCAGATCATGCCGCAAGGTGTGCCACAAAGTCAGGTTGTTGTCTTGAAGCCGAACAAGAAGCACCGTCATCATCATAAACACCATCATAGATCTAGGTCTCGCTCCAGCAGATATTAGTTTGTGCTCATCTTCGCCAGCATCTGTAACTGTACAAAGGAAAATTGTATTCTGTATTTTGCACCATGCATCCTCATCTTGCCCAACTACCTATCTATCATATTCGGTTGTCGTCCACATACTCTACCTACTTTGTACTTGCATATTCGAATTATAATGATTGTTGTTGATGTTGAAAACCACTAACACTGCAGCTACGGTGGTGATGCAGGACTGTACGCCAATTTTCCAGGACAACATCACCTTCTATGCACCCGTTCAAACTTTTGCAAATGGAGTGATAGGTGGCGAGTCCCAAGAAGCCTTCGAGCATGAAAAGCTGTTCCACCACGCAAGTCCACGACAGTCAAAGTCTTGTATAACAAAACCGATGCTCGAATGCTTGCTAACGCAGTTCAAATAACCGTTTCCTAGTCGGCAGTAACATAGACAACATGTCAACGATACCTACCGCATGTTTGATTCCCACGCTGGTAAAAACGTCGTGCATATATACCACAAACCAGCAACGTCGATGGGGTGAGCAGGCTGGTCCTGATCGATCCACGTATCTGACGCACCCTTCACGAAATTCACGAGCTTGACGAGTAGTTTTCATGTCAAATGCCTGTCCGCATCAATTCAAACAAATTCTGTTGTTGCTTTCCGGTGCGACTTGGGGTAATTGTAAGGGATATATTCTTAAAATATTAGTTCAAGAAGTTTGAGCATTTTTTTAGATCATCGCAGTGTTGGGCGTGGTGTTGGGAGGTATCATCGTTGTCGGAGGAATTATCCAGCACAGTTGCCTAGGTGAGAATTGGTATGAGCAATGAGATCTTACCCCCTCAACTGGCCGTTGAACGAAGGTGGCGACATCAAGAATAAGTTGCCATATGTCCTCCAGATAGTTGTATATGGATTATACGCAATTTTATCCCTTGGCGGGTAAGTCGAGCCACAAACGCGGGGATCCATATTGACATCAGAGGAAATAGATTAGTAGGGGCCGGATCCCTCTCCGTCTATCAGTATTTCAAAGATGCGCCTGACAGCGTAAGGTCTTGTGCCAACGGATCCCAGGACGACCTAGTCGTCGAGGCATGCCAAAAGGGTGTATCCATGATGAAAGGTGTATTGATCGGAGTCTTCCTTTTCGTGTGGCTAATGGAAATCTGGGGATGCGTGATCATCAAGAGCTATCGGAGACAGTTAGAAGATGAGGTAGAGGTAAAAGCATTTGCGAACAGGCAGTGAAGATAACTTTCTGATCGTGGATTGAATGTGAAAACTTGAATGCATTTGATGAGTACTTTCAAAACATTTGTAGTGATGACTATTGTACAACAGAATTACGCTGTGGATGATACGAATCATCAGGCGTAGCACAGAACCCTGTAGTTCTTCGCATGTATAATCTTCAGCACCTAGTTTTTTTCCGTTCATTAGAATCAAGGAACTTACGTGGACAGTCTTCTCGTGGTTATCGTAAGGGATGACTGCACCTATTAAACATTAGGTCCCCATTGCTTCCAGATTCAGAAATAACATACCATCGAGCTTCGCACTAGCCTTTCCAGGATGCACGGCACCCTTGTGAGGTGCTTCAGCGATATACAACGGCGTCCCGTCGCTCTCGTGACCACCTTCGACGGGACTAGCACCTAAAGAAGCTACGTTGAGTCTACCGCTAGCATCAACCCAGCGCAGGCCACGCATATCTCCAATGAGAATTTCGTAAGTATCGAGCTAGTCAAACAATGTTTAGAATGAGGACGAAGAATGAAACAGCGTGACCTACATGGATCTCCTCGTTGTCGTATCCAATAACGGCACCTTTCTTGAAGACATCAGAAGCCTTTCCAATTTCTAGGACTAGTCAGGGGCGGGTCGACGGTAGCTACCATTGGAGACTCACGAATACCGCCCTAGGTTTCATCAGCACCAGAATAAGTACTCTTGTACTAATTGTCGGAACGGGGGATCACAAATCACGTACATCATAGAAAGCGCGACAGATGTATAGGGTCCAATCATGTTCCTTGCCGACAACGATTGCATTGTGAGGGATATTCTTGCCTTGGTTCAAGATCCACTCAGCCGGTCCTCTGGGACCGTTGTGACGGTATTGTTCTGTACGTGTTTGGGCGTCTTGAAGCCAGTTCTGAAGCGCCCAGGTTTGCGCTTTTTTCTAAAAGAATCAAAGGTGAAGGATACGAATACGAATGTCTGGATTGACTAACCTCCTCTTCGCTCTTTTTGTGCTCCTTGAAAGCGAAGTAGCCCGCGCCAAGGAGAGCGGCACCTATGACATGAGAAAGTGAGAGCTGCAGGCTCAAAAGACAAATGGGAGATGTACCTGCTACGAGACCTCCACCGATCTGTGAGTTTATGGTCAGCCTCAGCGAGTTCGTTTTCACGAAAGTTAAGACAAAAATTTCACCTCAATCTGCTTCTTCCTCTCATCGTCGAAATCGAACCAAGTCTTATGGTCTGGCTTCTTGTCAGGCGGCTCTGTTCGTGAGAGATAAAATCGGGTTTGAATGATAGATGGAAAGGATACGTGCGTTCATTGTAGTGTGGCTGCTCTTGAGGTGGAGGAGGGGGCTGGTATTGCTGCTGCTGCTGCTGCTGTCCCTGATTGTAAGGTGGTTGATAACCGGGGTTACCGCATTCGCCAGCATGATCTTCATCGGAGAGGCGTCCCCACAATGCGGGAGTGATGTCAGGAGTCCAGTCAGATTGAGAGAGATGCGACTGGATGATCTTGTATCGATGGCCTGCATAACTTGAGCTATGCATTGCACTTGTAATAGGTGAGAACTTGCCATTGTACTGAACAACGTCGCCATAGCCGTACTGCGTGCCGGGTTCCCAATATTGAGTCATGGTAACAAGAAGAGATGAAGATGAAAGGAACGGAAGAGCCCGGTAAGAGTTATATATCGAAGGAAGGTGGCGTGTATTGTGTCATAGTGACACAGGATCCGGGCGGTGAATGATCAGTATCGATGAATCGAAAGACAGCAGTCCAGACACGTTCGCTGCCAAGCACTGGGCGTTTCGCCGTATCGATGAAAGAAAGTATTATCATTTGGCATTTGCTCCCTTGGAACATCTAATCTGTAGAATCAGTAGTCGCGATGGGGTCAGGTGCCCACCGAAGGAATCTTGCGACATATACGGGGCTCGAACGTTGTGGAGCCGTGGGAACACTTTCCGACTGACTCATCTCCATTATGAGAGCAAACTACTTTGGGGCTGCGTTCCTTCACTCTACTGTACACAATGTCGGCCCCAGCAGTATCCAAGTTTCAAGCATTCATGAACCATCCAGCGGGTGCGGTGCGTTTGCGTTTCGACTGATAGCTTTACCGATGACTGTTTGCAGGTCCCAAGACGGTTTTCTTCTGGGCTCCGATGATGAAGTGGGGTCTTGTTGCTGCAGGTCTCAAGGATCTGTCGCGACCGGTAGAGAAATTGAGCGTATCTCAAAACCTCGGTGTGTCGTGCCCATCCCTGTGCTGGGGCACTATCTCACCCTTTTTCCAGCGCTGACTGCAACGGGCTTCATCTGGGTACGCTATGCCTTTGTGATAACACCCGTCAATTACAGTCTTGCTGGAGTATGTGAATCTTGCGTCTGGTTGCACCAAAGCGTCACCACCCTTCCTAGGTTAACTTTTTTGTCGGATTGAGTGGCCTATCACAGTTGGGAAGAATTGCCAAGTGCGTCGTCCTGCTCTGTCTCCATTGGTCGATGCCTGACAATCTACTGTAGCAACAAGTGGTTTTCATAAGCGCTTCCGATATAATATATACACAGTCATGTTCGAATATATAGATCAACTATCTTGAGACCGTTGTCTTTGCCCTGCTGTCATTTCCATCATCTTCTTGTCTCCTTCCATCTGCCATTGCGTCCTTGGCTAAATCCCACCACCGCGTGATTGTCCCAATTACCTCCTTCGCATTAAAGTCACCACGGCTTTCCGGCTCACTCTTTCCCTCTTGCCATGCTCGGTGACGCTCAAATGACTCCCACACACGAGGTCTCTGTGGAGGAGTCCTCGGTTTGGGCTTTGGTATGCGTCCCTGACCCGCATTATGACTGTTCAACATATCCATTGCCACCTTTCCAAGGCTAGACCATGACATCAATCCTCCGCTTCTGTTGGTGTGTAGTTGTTGGCTGCCAAACACCCATCCTGAGGCACCAATCAGGGCAGCCAAAATGGTACCCCACTTGATAAACCAGAAGCTGGTGCGCAACATCCAGCTTGTAGTCCGATACAGACTCATGAGGGCGAAATAGGCCGAGAATACAGCAATAAGAGGCGGTAGTACTGTTTGCGCGTCCCATTGGAGAGGGCTCGTTGAGAAAAGGCCGCTGACCAAAGCGTAGAATGCGGCGCAAAACGCCAGACACTGCGAAAGCGTCGATATGATAAAAGAGTATACTGGTGGCGGCAACTGTTCCTTTAAAAAGGAGAGAATAGGCTCCAGGAAATCGGTAACAAGGTCCATTGCGGTGCCCGTTTACTGCAGGTGTAAAGGAGAGAAGCACGAGCAAGCCACGACTGACCCGGATGTCCGGCACGGAGCAGCTATATTTGGACCGAAAAATGGGGTTCTCGTTAGGTACACGAAACAAATAGCCGTCAATAATCAACAACCATAAAAAGGACCAAGTCCGATACGAATCCCATCCAGGGCATCTTCTCTCGTTTCCATCATCTCCTTCCTCCGCTCTCCCCTCTTTGCTGTACCGACCACAAGTCTTCTCTGTCATTCTCACTATTCGTCATGGCCATGAAAAGGAAATTCGATGATACCGGCGACGCGACATACAAGGTACGCGTCTGGATCTATACTAGTCACTTTGCCAACTCTGCACTTTCAGGAGGCAAAGCAGTTAAAATGTGTTCCTTTCCCCCACTGCGAACCTGACAACGACGTTGCAATGTCTGACGCCGAGCCTCTTTATTCCTCTCATCATATGCGCGCCTCTTCTAATGCCAGCTCAGCATCCTCCGACACTTTCGATTCTCCTTCGACATACTCCCGTATGTAACCTAACTCTCTCTTAATTTTTTCAAGTCAATCATCAGTATTTTAGCCGCCTACCCAACCTTTGAACTCTACCCCCTCCCTTTCTTCAACAGCGTTGAATCCGTCGACCAAAATTCTCACCCTTGCTCGGACTACTCGGCTCAACCAAACGTCGGTCTCTTGCAGCCTCGCAGCAACTTCGTACACCACGGGTAGGTGCATGTTCTAACTCGTCTTTGCGCGGTCATTGTCAGTCGAACTGCGCTCATGTTGTCTTCCTTGCCTTGCACGATTTCGTGTTCTTAGTTCCCATTGCTCGCAAATTCCGAAATTACGTGTCGCCTGCGCTTCCGGAGTCCATGGACAACGTACGATGTGGAGTTTCTGCGAACAATGCGGCGCGATTTCCATGGTCGACAGTGATTGAACGCCAGACGATCTCGACAGCCATCCCTTCTCCGCCTTCTAACCCTTCTCTTCCCTTCATTTTCCCTTCGCCACCTACTATGTCGATCTCTGCTTGCATCTCCCTTTTCGTCACTTCCCTCCATTTTCGTTATTTTATACATTTTTTTATTCCTTTTAACTCTTGGCGACTCTCATCCGGTATCTCTGATGCGTCAACACCCATACACCCAATAAAAACTTATCGGCACTCCTCTTCGACGTCCTTCCGGAACATCGATTTTTGCGACCTTGTCTGCTCAAAATGTCCCACACAATCCACCAGTATTCGATATGTCCTAACTGTATATATTGGCTCCGGACTCTCATTCTTATATATAAGAGTACTTTGTAGTATTGTCTTGTCACCGCTTGCTTGCGCTAAAACATCATCGTCTTTTAAAGTGGTTGTAAACTCTGTTGATGCAATTCCATTTACATAAATATGTTTCCGGAACATTCCGTAATCAAGGTCAATACAAGCCAGGTGCAGCCTCGGTTCGGAAACCACCAGCTCGGTTGAGTCACTTTCATCTCGAATCCCTTCAACACTGCTAGTTTCCATGATTCCCTGATTCCCTTCGAATACGATCATCTTTGGAGCCAATAAATTGGAGTCCAGCATTAAGCTGATTCATAGATAAAAAGAAGACACTTAAACACATTGAAATGAGCTTTGGAGATGTGATGTGACAGGTGTATTTACCTTCATTTATCAAGACCATTTTGGGCTTTCACTGCCTCAAGATAGTAGGTCGGCACAGACCACTCTTAGTCCCAGAATTAAGCAGGATTGTCCTTTTGAGATATTTTATTTGGAGTTAATGGAGAAAAAGTGGGATTCAGCATGTGCCAATGCAAGATGTTGAGAGAATCTCATAGAAAACAGCAAAAAAAATTGAAATTTTCTCTAACTACAAATAAAATACATTTTAATAGCTTAGTCTCAGCTGAAATTAAGCATAAGTGTGCTCTATTTGGCAGTTTATCTCTGTCATGATGGTCCCTCAGAATTTTGGCCTAAGTTCCCAAAATGAAAGAATCAGAGCAGAGTTTGAATTGGCAGGAAATTGCATCTGACCATTGTGCAAGATTGTTATATGCATGCTGATGGTCTCTGCTTCACATGCATTTCAACCATTCTATCATCACCACCAGCATCCATCAGACTCTGCTCTTCTCCATTTTGTATTCTTTCATTTGAATTATCTTCTAATATTTCATATTCATATTTTACATCACTGTCTCTAATACAGTAGAATTATTTAGCATCAGAGCCTATTAGCTCCTGACTCCAAATTAGCTACCAGTATATAAGCCTTGTACAATCATCATAGATTCAAATATCAACTTGGATTAGCCTAATACTTCTTATGCTCACTTCTATTCTCTCATCTGATGGATTCTACTCTAAAGGATAACTCTTTCATCTCCTCTCTCCAATAAACTGTTAGAAATGTGCTAATTGATTGAATTTGGATGCACATGCAGAGGCTAGCAGAGTGCATGGGCATCAATAAAGCTATTGGCAATGTTACTCTTGAGTTGAAGTCTAAGGATTGGATTGATAGAATGGAGTTCAGTGGAAAGGCAAGGAAAGAGTTGTCCTTTGAAGTGGAATCCATCAGACAAGAAAGAGAGGACTGAAGTGAGTGCAAAAAGTAGATGACTATTCAAGTTGATATTTGAACTGAGTATTTACAATAATTGTATGTAGTTTATATACTAATGGTAGTCAATTCTAAGTCAGCATCTGTTGGACTCCAGTGTCAACTATTTGCTACCATATTCAGAGTCTAGATACTACAATGTGAAATATGAATGTAAAATGATAAAGATAAAATAAAATTAGTAGGAGTGAGAAATAGCTAGAGGCCAGTGAAACTTGGTGATTGAATTCTAAGTTGGTCAAGATGAAATAGAGGCCAGTGGCATATGCATAACATAGACTGTCATTCTAAATTCTTTGGGCTTCAACTCAAGAGTGATATTGCTAATAGCTTCATTAATATGCACACACTCCACTGGTCTCTGTTATATGCATACCACTGGACCCTGCACTACACAACATTCTGTCAGTCATAGGAATCTGCCAGAACCTGATAAACTACCAATTCTCTTCATTTGAATTACTCCAATATTTCATATTCATATTTCATATTTTAATTTCCAACCCAAAGTCACTGATAGTGATTAGTCAGTATCAGAATCCATTGGAACTCACAATAGACTCCAACTCAGTATTAGCTACTAGTATATAAATCCTGTATAATTATTATAGATACTCAGTTCAAATATCAACTTGAATAGCTAATACTCTTTATACTCACTCCCAAGTTTTTTCTCATCTGATGAATTCCACTCTGAAAGATATCTCTCTTCCCATCTCTCTGACAGATTTCATTCTGTCATTCTAATTCTTTGGGCTTTGACTCAAGAGCAACATTGCCAATAGCTTCATTGATGCTCATGCACTCTGCTAGTCTCTGCACATGCATTCAACTTCATCTATTTGATACAAGTCTTAACAGTATATTCAAACTCAATCTTTTGAGTCAAAATTTCTCTATATCATATCCACTACATTCACTCAACCCACAGAAGCAGATTTTAAACAAATTCAGTCCATTTGCTCTAACATGTTTTTCATAAAAGATATTCCAGTGTCTGCCTCAAAGAAACAGTCAGACCTCTTCAGATCAGCTTCTAATGGAGGACAATCCTCTTATAAGAAAACTCACACCCATTTTAGTTTCACTGCTTGACAACCTAACTATAACAACTTCCTTAACTCTTTTGATGTTACTAGCATTCTACACAATAGAGCCTGATGGGCTAATTCAATGTACAGTGCTTAAAATGACTTCTTTACAGACTTTTTGTTTCTAGACAACATGTATGAAAATTCAGATAGTCTAGACTCTGAAGATAAAGGTGATAACACCTCTACTCACACTCTCATCTGTTGTAGATCAGACAGCAATCCACCAAACTCTCCTCTGAAAGGCCTCAGTGGACCAGAAGAATCAGAAGAATCAGATGATTCTGGTGGTCTCCAGAATAACAATAATCCAAATCAACAGAACATGTTATAGGAATTCATAAATCTACTATGAGGAGTTTCCACTTCTCTCAACAATCTCAAGCCTGCTGCTATCTATATCAAGGTCAAGGAGCCAGAGATCTTTGATGGCTCTGATTTTCACAAACTGAAGGCTTTTATTATCTCTCTTCAGTTGAATTTCAATGACAGATCTACTGCATTTATGACAGATGCCAACAAAGTCAACTATACTATCTTCTCTCTGTTCAAAACTATACTCAACTGATTTGAACTAGATATCCTCAAATCCAACTCATGAAATCTGCTGGCCTGACAATTCCTCTATGCAGTCTTCCTGATGAGCTCTATAGCAACTTTTGTCTCTTCAATGCTATTAGGAATGCTGAAAATGCATTGGAGCATCTCTAGATATATGATAAAGACTAAATCATAAAGTATATGGTTCAATTCAATCAATATACCTCACAGATCAGATATAAAGACAACTCCCTCTGCTATATCTTCTACTGTGGCCTCTGTACTTGCATCAAGAATGATATGGCTCACCACAGAAAGCCTAACAATCTCTGTGATATGCACTTTCTTGCCCAAGAGCTTGATGCTCAATACTGGATCTGAAAGACTGAAATTGCTTATGAAAACCAAGACAATAAAACCTCCAACTCATTTTCCAATCTCAAATCCAAAGTGTCCAACACTTTTTCCTTAAACTCTGTGTCATGATTTTTACTCTAATTATGACCTGCTGATACTTATAAAAGTCTGATCAATTCTGACCATAGCATGACCTTGGCTATGGGATAATCTCACAATAATCATGCAGAGCCACAGATGATAATGCAATGATGATACAATGGCTGTGTTGATATGCTGAGTACATATTCAGCCTTATAATTTGTGAATTCTATATAATATACTAAGACATGCTAATAACTGAGGACTATTAGCCAGTAGAGGACTATGGCTGTGGCTCTGAGCTGATAGTCATGCTAGTCACCAATACTAAGTCCAAAAGGGATTTTATAAAATAATATAGCATAAGAATATAAATTCCAAGTTGAGTTTGAACTTAGAAAAGTTCTGCATTACATCTTAAAAAATACCTTAGAAAATACTAAGTCTAAATTAGATTTAGAAATAGTATCTCAAATAGAACCAATTCTATATGTCACTAAGATGAGTATTACTCTAAGACAGCTAGGAGTATAATACCATAGCAGGTTGTGGAGTATTGAGCAAAGACAGCATCTCCATCTAGGAGCAATAGGAAATGGGACCCAATGATTTGTAGCTAGCATGTTATGCTTCTACCAAACACTTACAAATGCTTGACACTACTACTACTAGAGTCCAATTCTGAGTTCTGGTTCTGAAATTATTGTTAATATAAAAGTATGATGAGAATGATAAGATAAGCAATGAGGATTTCATATAGAGAGATGAAGAGTCAGAGCTGATAAAAATAGTCTGCTATTATAGGCAAGAGTATTTGCACCAAGTAGTCAGAGAGTTTAATAGAGATGTTAAACCTTAGCTCAAGACTGAGGTACATCAGAGTATACTATTGTCTTAAATACTGTCTGAAGAGCCCTATGCTCTACAGGTGACTATTGTCTGGTTTTCATGTTTTCTACTCATTGTTATCCTGTCTGAGATGACAATGACTG